TTCCCGATCTCGACATCCTTCTCAATTCAACATCCTCATTCCTCATCTGCCTTTCCATTTCCCCCCCCCCCCCCTGCTCGCCATGAGCAACGCAAAAAAACTCCAGAACAAGCTCTTCAGCGCTACCAAGCCTGCTCGTCAGTTCCGCTCCATCTCATCTACCGCCCATCGGGCCATCCACATGCCTTTGTTCCAACCTCGTGCTGACTCTCCACAGAGGACAGCCCCGAGCAGGCAGACTCTGGCACATCCACCCCCGTCCCCGCCGAGTCCCTCAAGATCAACATCCCCGCCCCCCCTGGGGCCCAGGCCAACCTCCCCAAACGGCCTTCTTCTCAGCAGGGACAGGACGCCAACGAGGCTACCACACGTGAGTCGCCACGTGCTTCCCAACTTGCTAGAACGAAAGAGTGTGGGCTGATGGGATGCATAGCGAAGGGCGGCAGCGATACGGATACCCCCGGGACGCAAGGTCAAGAGCACAAGGTAAGCTTGTTTTCTACCCCGCGAGACCCCCCCACCCCCACAAATGAGCCCCGCTAAGCGAGCTTTCTTCCCCTTCCCCAATTAGTCGCTCAGGGATCGTCTTCATGCCCAACTCGGACCCAAGTATCACTCGGTGGAGGAACACCGACTGCAGCAGTCTGACAAGTATGAAGTGCATTGGAAGAGGTGGGGGCCGTATGTCAGTGAGCGACAGTGGGCGACGGTCAGGGAGGATTACTCTGCGAATGGGGATGCTTGGAACTCGTTCCCATTTGAGCTTGCTAATAGTAGGGCGTACCGATGGGGTGAGGATGGTATGGCCGGTATCTCGTGAGTGACATTCTTCTTGACTAATGCGCGTCCTGATCACTCGTAGCGACAACCACCAGCGCCTCTGTTTCACCCTCGCCCTCTGGAACGGCAAAGACCCCATTCTCAAGGAGCGTCTGTACGGGCTGAACGGCAACCAAGGCAACCACGGTGAAGACGTCAAGGAGATCTACTACTACCTCGACTCTACCCCCACCCACTCGTACATGAAGTACCTCTACAAGTATCCCCAGGCAGAATTCCCTTACGAGCAGCTCAAGGAGGAGAATGCCAATAGGAGCAAGGAAGTGTCCGAGTTTGAGTTGATGGATACGGATGTTTTTGATGAAGACAGGTACTGGGATGTTTATGTCGAGGTGGGTACTCTTGTATAGTGCTTGAATCGTAGCTCACTCTTGGATAGTATGCCAAAGACGAAGAGGACGCCGACGCCCTCTCCGTCCGAATCACGGCCTACAACCGCGGTCCCGACCCTGCCGACTTGCACATCCTCCCCCAGCTCTTCTTCCGAAACACCTGGTCCTGGCCCAAGGAGCTTCCCAAGCACATGCCCAGCCTGAGGCAAGAAGCCGACGGTGTCATCCATGCGGACCACGAGACGCTCGGAAAGACTAGGCTGTATGCGACGCCGAGTCCTGCGCCTGCTGCGCCGGTCAAGGGCGGTGTGGTGTTGGTTGATGGGCCGAGTGTTGTGCCCGACTTGTTGTTTACCAACAATGAGACCAATTTTGAGGTGAGCTTTTCACTTGGAGGAGGGACTTTTACTGACTTTGGGTAGCGTCTCTACAATGGCAAAAACCGAACACCTTGGGTCAAGGATGCTTTCCACGACCACCTCATCCCCGGCCACCGACCTCCTGAGCCTGAACCGGAACACACTACCCCCGGCGCTCTCCCCGTCAAGAAGTCTCCCTCTGGCAAATCTCCCAAGCTCCCTCCCCACCACTCTGAAGCCGACCTTTCCGAGGACGCCGACGAGGAAAACAAGGAAGGGGGAGAGGACGACGAGTCTTCCGGCCCTGCCCCCGCCGCCGAAGCCGCCCCCAGGCCCGTCTCGGGCGGCCACCGCCAATTCGTCAACCCCGACAAAGAAGGCACCAAAGCCGCCGCCCACTACTTTTTCAAAGACGTGCCCGCCAACGGCGGCTGCGTCGTCGTCCGTCTCAAGATGACGCCCAATACCCCCGAAGAAGACCCTACTATCCTGGACGAAGAGCTCTTTGATGAGAATCTCGAGGACAGGAGGGTCGATGCGGATGAGTTTTATGGGAGGATCGCTAAAGGCGGTATCTCGGATGATTTGAGGAATATCATGAGGCAGGCGTTGAGTGGTATGCTTTGGACGAAGCAGTATTATCAGTATATCCAGAAGGAGTGGATGGATGGTGATCCTGGACAGCCGCCTCCCCCGCCCGAGAGAAAGTGGGTTAGAAACAAGGTAACTATCTCATTTGGAGGCGATGGCAGAGCTGACATTCGATGTAGGAATGGAAGCATATGTATATCAACGACATTCTTTCCATGCCTGACAAGTGGGAGTATCCTTGGTTCGCCACGTGCGTCTCTCTCAAGATTGATCAAGGTCACATAACTGACACATCTTGATAGTTGGGACACTGCCTTCCACTGTATCCCCTTGGCTATGGTCGACCCGAGCTTTGCCAAAAAGCAGCTCGACTTGATGACGAGGGAGTGGTATATGAAGCCCGACGGTGCTCTTCCCGCGTACGAGTGGAACTTTAGCGATGTCAACCCTCCCGTCCACGCTTGGTGAGTCTTCTTTACGCTCCTGATGATGTGACGCTGACAGTGGGCAGGGCTACGTTCCGAGTGTTCAAGATTGAGAGAAAGATGTTTGGTAGGGAGGATCTTGATTTCTTGGAGAGAGTCTTCCAGAAGTTGTTGCTCAACTTTACATGGTGAGCTCAACGACCTAATATCACAGAGAATCAGACGCTGATGTCAAGTCAGGTGGGTCAACCGTAAGGACGCCGACGGCAACAACGTCTTTGAAGGCGGTTTCCTCGGTCTCGACAACATTGGTCCCTTCAACCGATCCGAGCCCCTCCCCACCGGCGGCAACCTTCGTCAAGCCGACGGTACCGCCTGGATGGCCTTCTTCTGCCTCAACATGCTTTCCATCGCCCTCGAGCTCGCCAAGCACAACCCCACCTACGAAGACATTGCTTCCAAGTTCTTTGAACACTTCCTCTTCATCTCGGACGCCATGACTTACCCGTCTTCCAATGACGAGCAGCTGTCGTTGTGGAATGAAGAAGATGGATTCTACTATGATGCCATCCAGTGGGGTTACGGGCACTCGCAGCAGTTGCCGGTGAGGAGTATGGTGGGGCTCATGCCGCTCTATGCGACCTTGGTATTGGAGCCGAGTGTCATCAAGAGGTTCCCCGGATTCAAGAAAAGGATGGACTGGTTCATTGAGAACAGGCCGGATATCTCTGAGAGGAACGTGGCAAGTTTGAAGAGTGAGTCGTCCCTTCGCGATGTGGGGATCGTGCTGACTTAGTGCAAGCTCCTGGACGAGGCGACCGTACGCTGCTGGCGCTGGCTTCAAAGGAGAGGTTGGTGAGGATCCTCGAGAGGATGTTGGACGAGAAAGAGTTCCTCTCCGAGTACGGCGTCCGATCAATGTCTCTCTACCACCACGACAATCCCTTCTCCATGAACGTCAACGGCGAAGAATTCGGCGTCGGCTACTGGCCTGGCGACTCCAAGTCTGGCATGTTTGGCGGCAACTCCAACTGGCGAGGTCCCATCTGGTTCGCCGTCAACTTCCTCCTCATCGAGTCTCTCCAGCGATTCCACCAGTACTACGGCGACACCCTCCAAGTCGAGTGTCCTGTTGGCAGTGGAGACTACATGAACCTCGCCGGGTGCGCGGAAGAGATCCAGCACCGCCTCATCCACATCTTTTCGCGAGACGAGTACGGCGTCCGGGCTGTCAATGGCGGTAACCCAAAGCTCAACCGAGACCCTCACTTCCGGGACAATGTTCACTTTTACGAGTTCTTCCATGGGAATGATGGCCGAGGTCTGGGCGCGAGTCATCAGACGGGGTGGACGGGATTGGTGGCTTGGAGTATCATGCAGACGGGCGAGTACTGTAGGCTGCCCAAGACGCCCAAGAGTGAGTCTTTTTCCTCTATCATGGCGCGATGTTGTGCTGACGGTGTGATAGCTCCGAGGTCTGTGGCCAAGCACTACTTTGACGAGCAGATTAATACCCCAAGCGAGTACGCCGGCGAAGACGGTACTCCCTTCTCGGCCTTCTCGACCCGCTCAGACTATGAGCCTGAGCCTGATGAGCTTTAAGGCTGTTCTTTTTATTCTGTATCGGACATTTGTCAAGTAACACAAATTTTTGAAAGATAAGATAAAAATAGAATATTTGTACATTTGTTGAATTGGTTATCTCGCATTGACTACGGCTGAATTTATATGCAACACATTATGAAAGTCTGGAAAAAAGGGATCATATAGTACATAAACCTCGGCTTTTCGAACCCTGCACAGCTGATCTCATCATCTATAATACACCTTCGCTCTACGTCCAAGCTATTACACAGACGGATCGATACGGAACATATTCGTGGCTTCAGGTCTGGAATGACATGCATACGTACATGCTGATAGCCCTCTTTCATGTGATGTGGAATCACGCGTATATCGTCGACAAAATCATCGACAACCCTGATATCATCGGTACTCGTGTATGTATCCGTGCTTCACACAAGAAGGTAGAAGTGTCCGCCGCTTTGATTCACGATTTAAGCAGTGTTTCCGATGAACACTTTAGCAAACGGCAGGTCCGAAGAAAGCATACCTTTACGCAAGCCTTATATGCACTCTGCATGATCGCTTCCCAATCGCTGCTTCCACGTCTTTCCTTATTACCGCACCAGGCAGGCAGAGAACGCACAGCGCTCGGGACACCTTGCGGAATTGCGTCCTTAGAAAAAGCCCGGGAAAAGGGGGGGTCTTTTCCATAAACGCAAAAGCCATCGAGGAAGACAAAAATACTTCCGCCAAAAGCCTTCTTGGTAGTTACGGTAACTTGACAAGGGGGACAAGGGTGCGAAAAAGCTACATTTCGCTCCGAAATGTAGATTTTCCCCATGATGCCACATCCCTCAACTTGGTCCACGGGCTATCGTTATGCATGTCTAGATCCAGTTCCCCTCCCTCACCCCCCTCCTGCTCTTCTTCTCCTCCACTACTACTGCCTGACTATCCATAAACTCGTCCACCCCCGCCCAGATCGCCCAGTCGTCGTCATACGCCCGCTCTTTCGTCAATAGCCTCCGCGACTTCTTCTCCTTCTCCGCCCCCTTCTCTTTCTTCGCTGCCTTCTTCTCTTTCTTCGCTGCCTTCTTCTCTTTCTTCGCTACTGATGATGATGAGGAGGAGGAGGAAGAGTATCGGGCAAGGAAGGGAAAGTGCATCTTCTTGCCGAGGATGTATTCCACATCCTGCAACAATGTCTGCCTCGGGCGCGCGTCGAACAAAGACAGCTCGGTCGGCAGGGTGGTATACACCGGGGCGGGAGGGGGCACGGGGTTGGTAGTAGAGATGGAAGGAGGGGAGGCAGACCTCGCAGGCGAGAGCGGCTGGGCCAAACGGGCCGTCGGGCTCTGAGGCGCGCGTCTGCTCGGTGAACGTGAAGAAACAGGAGTTGACGCAGAAGGCGTATAAGCCGAAGAAGACAGCGACGAAGTAGAGCAGTTGTGTTGGTAGGGGGTGTGGTAAGGGAAGGGGTCCGTGAATGGGTGGTCGGCTGGCAATGCTTCCCGACGGTCGCCTCGGTCGGCTCGGGGGGGTGTGGGGGCAGAGCGGGTGGGGTACATTGTAAGTGCTGGGTCGGGGTGTGGTGTGGTGGGCAGGTGCTCGTGATGTGAGTGGACATCTACCTTCTTCATGTTGCATGCATATATACACCCACAAACGACTTCAGCTGCTCATCCATCCATTTCGCCTTCACATCACAATCATCCCATCAAATCTGTCAACATCACTTCACTTCACTCTCAACTCTCAAACTCGAAACGTGTCGGGACCTCGTTCCTGATCTCTTCCGGACTTTCGGACATGAGTGCCTCGGGTAGGTGTGTGTACCTTACATATTTCGGGATGGGATGTTGCTTGAATGAGGGGCGGGAGGGCGGAAGAGGGGAGGAGGGACACGAAGAGGGGGTGACGGGGAGACAAAAGGATCTTTCAAAGGGTGGAAGGTGCATTTCCGCAAGGTGTCCCGAGCGCTGTGCGTTCACCACCCTGCATGGCCTCTTCTTAGCTTTCCCACTTTCAGCAAGACCGCCTTTCCCAATGTTAAAGTATATTGGTTCTGGAAAGCTGAATCTGGTTGGTCTGCGTTTCTTCTGCTGTATCATTCACGACACGTTTTGGCCCTTCAATCCCGCACCATCTTCATCCCGGCCCCCTGTCAGAGATCTTTGCTTCCGACCGGTGCCTCTTTCTCCGACTGGACATATATAAGCACAAAACGACGATGCCCATCTATATCTGTCTAAATGCATGTTCACCCATCTATAGTTTGAGAAGTTCTATACAAGTCAAAAAGGGGGCAAGCTGAGTGCGTATGGCTATGGTGGTATGTTGTTGTGATTAAAGAAGAGAGGTACGTTCTAATATTTACAAGTGTGTCCGTGAGGTAGAATTGAATGCTAATGAGAAAGAGCAGCGGGAAGTGTCGATGTATATCTATATGAAAACCGAGCAACGGCAAGAAGGGAAGAATGAAAAGAATGGAGGATGGGGCGGGGGATAGAGATATAGTGTGCTGGAATGCGTCATTTGTGGTGGTGATGTGACAAGTTGGAAGGGGAGAGGAGAAGGGCTGTCAGCAACGAACGAAGCGAACCAAACAATTCAGCGGCAAAAGTAACACCATCGCTCCACGTCCAGTCTATTACCCGGGCCAGGGAAGACTGAAGCCGGGGTACTCAGACGGATCAAAACAAAACAAAACAGATACACTCTACTCCGAACAACCTAACACTTTTCCCGACAATACCATTACCTTCCCACCCCAAAAACCCCCTCTCCCATTGTTCTTCCTCGATCACATTCCTCTTCCTCCGAAGAACGCACAGCTCCACGTGCAACCAAATCCGCGCTCCTTATTGTTCTTCGCGCGAACAACAAGAATGAAAAAACGCCCCAAGAATACATCCGAATGAAACCCTATTGTTCTCGAGAGAACAATAAGAAAAACTTTACCTTTTCTGCCGAGCCTCCGGCACGCCTCTCCTCTTCCCGCATAAAAAATCGCTCCTCTCTCCCACACACCCACCCACATAAACACCTTTCCCACACTCTTTTCACAACATGTCCCTCTTCTTTGAGAACTTCGACCCCACTGTCCTAGCCCGTTCAAATGCGGCCTTGGAACCGAAGAGAGATCATTTGCGGGGTCGCTCAAAAGACATGTGGGCTGAGCGCCTCCGCCCAAACTCAACCAGGCCTGCCACCCCGCAGATGATCTCTCTTTGGTTCCAAGGCCGTTTCTAAACGGTCTGGGACAGTGGGAGGTGTATCGGCCCCTGCACGCCCCATGGACTCTTCTAGCTTTACTCGCCCCCGTCTTCGTTACCGTGACTCGTTCGCGCTCTCTTCCTTTGTTCTAGTAAGGCTGTTCGACGCATAGACACGCCCATATTCGCTACCCTTGCCTTCTTCCACCCGTCACCTCTATCTTATTGTCTTTAGCCTTTTCGTACGCTTCGCTAGTCGACTTGTACCCTTATTCGCTTCGTGCCGTAGTCGTGCCATGTAATCGCTCCGTCTATCGTCTCGTCACTCATTCATGTATATGAGGAAGGCTGGGTGTTGGTACAGAGACTTGTACAAAAACTCTTTGACTCTCTTCTCTCCCCTCCTCTTCTTCTCTAAGCTCTACTGCTCCTTCCAAGCCCTCATATATGTACGAGATCCGCCTCAGGGACTGCTGAGAAGTGAGAGTTCGCAGCGAGCCGATATGAGAGTCGTGCGCGAGTCGATGAGAGTCAGATGGCAGTCATTCGCGAGCCCTCATCATCAAACTCTCCAAGGGTCCTTCGTGAGTCCGCGTCGTTGGACTGGCGTATGTGCGGTGTCGGTGTTTAGAGAGGCGAGCCTGAAGAGTGTCCCGGAGTCACGGAGTAGGGCGTATGTCCAAGATTACTTATGACTGCAGGGCCGTGAGTTGGGTTTGACAGAGGCATACCAGGAGCGATCGAGCAATGTGTGACCTCTCTATAGAATAACGAGTCCGTTCCGTTATTGCAAAAGAATGCACTATCGCTCTGCAAAGTCGCGCAAGAATCGCGCCGCCCACACGAACCAAACAATCAGCGGCAAAAGTATACGCCTCGCAAAGATCAGTCCCTACAATCAACACACAATCGTGCTGTATGTATAATTCTCTTCTATATACCTCCCTCTTACCCATCGCGTCCTCTTCGCAAAGTATATCAGATAGCTACCCCCTGCACCATCAATCCAACGTCTGCCCACCGCGGCCAATGAGATGCGGCGCAAGTGGGGGTGGAGGCAGGCACGGCCAGAAACTTCGATTCGCTGACAAAGTGCACCTTCTTCATCGCCGTCACCCTCTGTCCATCCCTCCCTTTACCTCCCTCACAATGTTCGCCCGATCCCTCAACACCGCCGCTCGCTCATTCGCCCGCCGTTCCATCTCCACCGGCCCCTCCGCTCCCTCCTCCTCCCGATGGTCGTCGCGCCACGCTTTCGTGGCTGGTACCACCCTCGCCATCTCTGCGCTTGCCATCTCCTCTGAAAGGCGGAAGGTTTTGAACGAATCTGCCAAGCCCGAGAAGCCTAGTCCGAGGGAGACTGTGCTGGATCAGAAGAGTTTGAAGGAACCTATACATAAGACCGAGGGTGCGTCATTTGTCGAGATCGATATCATCGATGAATGAGTGCTGATGGAGAGTAGTGAGGCAGGATGGTGCTCCCGCTCCTCAAGCGTCAGAGTCATCAGATAGTGTCGAGGCTGCGGCGGATGGTGCAGCGAAAGTGTTGGAGGAGAAGAAGGAAGAAGCCGGGGATGCTTCGCAAGGGGCTTTCAACCCCGAGACTGGAGAGATCAACTGGGACTGCCCTGTACGCCTTTTTCCTATCTCTCCTTTGAAGCAGAACACTGACGGGTGGGCAGTGTCTTGGTGGTATGGCGACTGGTCCATGTGGGGAACAGTTTAAAGCTGCCTTCTCTTGCTTTGTATACTCTGAAGCAGAGCCCAAGGGTGTAGACTGCGTGGAAAAGTTCAAGGCTATGCAGGATTGCTTCAGGGAACATCCCGAGATCTATGGTGAAGGTGAGTCGACTTTCCATCTCGAGCTGCTAAAGTCGGGCGATATGAGTAATCTGCGATGAAGTATGGATGCTGATGATGACCGCAGAGATCGACGATGATGAGGCGCCTGCTGCTGTTTCCTCCGAGGGATCTGCCGCTTCCGAGGAGAAGAAGGCTGAGGAAGAGAAGGCCGAGGACATCAAGGTCGCTGCCGCCCCTGCCGCCTCCCCATAGACGAATACCTCTCCCACACCCGACTTTTGCATACTACAAAATGATTCAATGAATCATGCATCAACCGCTCCTCATCTCCTCACACTTTCTTCGTCTCTGGTTGTTTTTCGCTGTGCTTTCTGATGGTTTGTATTGTGGCCATTCATCTATCTTTCGAGGCGGCATCTGGAGAAAAGGTGGCTAGTGCCGCCGCTGGATGATGGCTACCCACAAACTGAGCTGTAATCCGTGACAAGGTGAAGATGACTGACAATCCGCATACCCTGTGTTCTGACCCTTCGTGACCCTACTCACATAGGCGCCGCTGGGATAGGCACGAGCTGCTCGGCCTCGGCTTCTGCTCGGCTTCGGGTGGCCGGTCCAGTCAGCATTCCCGTGTATATAAAGACACCCAGTCCATCACCCCTCCCCCACATTCAACATCTACAATGCCCACCATCAACGACCTCTACACTACAGACCTCGAGGACACCATCCGCGCGCTCTTGAACAAGACTGGTATCCCCGGATGTGCTATCACTATCGTCAAAGCGAAAGAGGATGGCGGGTGGGATGAGGGCGTGTGGACGCTAGGGGAGGCCAAGAAGGGCGTTCTTGTCACCCCAGACGTAAGCCTTCCCACGACAGTACACGCAAAGGCTGACGCGATATAGACCCGCTTCCCTTTGTTCTCCATGGTCAAACTGGTCACCGTCCTTGCCGTCCATCAAGTCCTGTCCGAAACATCTTACACATTTGATACCCCTCTGAAGACCATCATTCCCGAATTCAAGAGCCCCGACAAAGCGCTGGAAGAGGGTGTGACTGTTGCAGATATGTGCGCGCATGTATCCGGGCTTCCGGCGTACTTTGATGTCTTTCACATCGGGACGAGCTTGGAGGATATCGCGAGTCCCTCTCATCGAGAACTGAGATCTGGCTAATGCAGGACACAGCTCGAAAGCGTCAGCAAACTCCACCCCACCGCGCCCCTCCGCACAACATTCCAATACGGCAACCTCATGTTCGCCCTCCTCGGGCTCATCATCGAACGCATCTCCGGCCTCTCTTACCCCGACTACGTGAAAGAACACATTCTCAAACCATTCGACTTGGACAGTGCGGGGTTTGAGAATGACGAGTTGACGGCGGAAGGGCATTGGATAGATGCGAGTGGGGGAGGTGAGATGAGGGGGATCGACAATGGGGTAGTGAGGTCGCCTGCGGCGTGGCCTGCTGGGGGGTTGATCATGAGCATCAAAGACTACGTACGTCCTCCATCCATTTTCATATGCCTAGACTGACGAAAAAGATAGGCAAAGTATCTCAAACAACTCCCCTCCCACCCCGGCTACCAATTCGCCTCAACCCCCAACTCTTCCCACCCCGCTTTCGCCGACCTATTCCACTACCCCTACTCTTCCACCACCCCTTCCTACGGCGGGGGGCTCTATCAAACGACCTATAAAGGGATGGAAGTGCATGAGCATTGGGGCGCGTTCACGGGGTATAGGGGGTCGATGGTGTATGTGCCGGGGAAGAAGGTGGGGTTGGGGGTGTTTGTGAATGGGGATGGAGGGGAGTTGGTTAGTACGCTCATCAAGATGACTTTGTTGGAGAGACTTGCGGGAGGGACTGTGGGGCCGGAGGAATGGAATACCAGGTGGGCTCTGCTTCTCATGTGGAGACGAGAAGCTGACACGATAGCAGGATCGGAGAAGATTTCGCGAAAAGGGTAGCCAAATCAACCGCCAATTTCCCCTCCATCCCCTCCCCTCTCTCCTCCCAGAACCAAACTCCCCTCGTCGGAACATTCACAGCCCCAGGCTACGCCACCTGGCACCTAACACCATCCAACAACCTCCCCACCCGTCCTGCCCTCACCACAACCCCCATCTTGCCGCAACTATGGACAAATCACGTTCAACCGGTCTTTACTGCGGTAGAAGAGGGAGAGTATGAGGGGTGTTTTGAAGTTGGGTTGGAGGGTAAGGTGTTTTATGGGGCTGGGTTTAGGGCCAAGGTGGATGGGGACAAGTTGTTGGTTTACGGATTGTCGGGGATGGGGGAGAGGGTTGATGTTGGGGAACACCCGCTGGTGTTCTATCGTGAATCTCAAGAGGCCAGTGAAGCCAGTAAAGACACGGAGAGCTTGGAGGGATTGGTGGAGATGCTTGAAGTCAATTAGATGCCGTGTCGCGTTTTATGAACTTATGGAGGTGGATAGTTGGACGACGAGATAAACCACAACGTCACCATATGTCAAGTATGCATGGGCAGCGCAGCGATCCTATGCAGCTTTTTAGATACTTTGCACATCGACAGCATGTGCTAAACGTCGATCATCAGCACACGCAAGGCAGAAGCAACATCAGGTTGAATCGACTTACTCCGCACAGGCGCCCGCAGAGGACTAGCATCCTCCACAACGACCTCGTGCAATCTTCCCCTGAACGAGTACTGCACCTTTAGCTTCTTATTCTCGCCGATACAAGGGTCGTAGAAGCCGAGGACGTTGAATTTGCCCTTTCCGCCGGGGATGTATAGTCTGCTATCTTGGACGAGAGCTTGGATGGGGATGGTTACGTCTATCGTTTCTTCTTCCTCGTCTTCCTCGGTGACAATGGGTTTTCCGGAGATGGCTTCGATGGGGTTGTCAATCTTGGAGGCGAGGCCGTATGTGGCAGAGAGGATGATGAGGCCTTCCATACGAGTCAGCAGTCTGCGCAGACAATCTTGGTTGTACGCACCATTCCTCTCCTTCTCCTGCGCAACTTTTGCCGCTACACTCTTCTCCAACACCTCCCTCGCCCCTGTCGCCTCCTCCCTCTTCTGCCTGATAAACTCCTTGTTCTCCTCCCTCAGCTCCCGTACTCTTTCTCTCAGACGCTGCTTCTTGCGGGGTACGAGGTAGTAGTTGTAGATGGCGTAGTAGGAGATGGCGGGGAGGAGGGTGGTGCAGATGAGGACCTTGGGGTCAAGTTTTTCGGCGAGGAGGACCGGGATGGAGAGTTTTTGACCGAGGCGGTTGAATCTATACCCAAATCAGCGCAATCTATGTCGAATCGATGGTCGCACTTACCGCAGCTTCAAGATGATACCCCCACCAATCTCCATCTGCAACACCAACCCCGCCCTCACATTCTCCGAAAGCTTTCCCTCCGCCGTGACGAATCCAGCTACACTCTGCCCCAGCCCGGCTTCAGCGCCGACCTTCATTTTGAGACCACCGGGGATGGGGATGGAGTAGTCGGCGGAGACTTGGTTGGAAGCGAGGGAGGCAGAGGTTTGGACGGTCCAGCCAGAACCGGATCGGGTGGAATTTGTGATACCGATGGAGAGGGAAGATGGGGACAGTTCGTTTTCTGTGCGGGAGGCGCCCCAGGGGCCGAGGGAGAAAGATCCAGGTTCGAAAGCTGGAAACGATCAGTATCAAGACGACTGAAAGAGAACAACACTCACTCATGAACCCAGTCGTGTCCTGGTATAACCGCCTACCATAGGTGAAGCCGAGCTGAGGAGGAGCAGCGACAGTAGGCGCCACAATGTTGGCAGTCAAATACTGATCCTCATCGATCGTATACGTCCCCTTTGCTCGGAATATCCGTGGATTCAAGCATGTGATGCCAGCTTCAAACCAGAGCTTGGGGGAGAACTGATGCTTGACCGTACCAAGAACGTTGGCACCGCCTCGGCCATTGCGAGAGAGCGCTTGTCCTTCGATGACGAATTGGGTATTTGGCGAGACGGGTATCTCGAAAGAGTGCTTCATGACCGCTCGGCCTGGTCGGACCCGCAAAGCCCGCGATATGGGATCGTGCTTGAGCTGGTCGGGATCCTGGAAGTAGGTCTTTGGCAGAAACACTGCCCTCGCATCCAAGACCACCTCCATCTCGCTCTTCGGCTTGACGAGCACCTCCGCTTCCAACGACCTCTTTTCATACGCCTGCCCCATGAACCACTTGCGCATCTCCTCCGTCGTCTTCACCCTCGGCCCCACCTCCCAGCTCGTCTTCAATCCTTCCTCGCCAAACATGTCAAACACTGTCCGCTTCATCGGATCTATCAGCACTTCATAAGCGCGCTGAATCTCGGTGAATTGGGTGTGTGCAGCGAGGCGCGCAGAGTCTGATCGCTGGCGGTCGGGGTGCCAGGTAGTGGCGAGAGAGCGGTAGCGATCGCGGATGGCCGAATCGGTTGCGTCTTTGGGGAGGTTGAGGAGGGCATAGTAGTCGCGGTCTGGCTGGTGAGGGGGGAGGGTGGCGCCGAGGATGGGGGAGCGGGGTGGCTCTGGGGGCCGGAGGGGGCCGTCTGCGGTGGCGGGGAATGCCCTGTAGTAGTTGGAGGATGGCCCGGGGTCGTCGCCGCTCATCTGGGCTGTTTTGGGTGCAGAAATGATCCACGACTTTCATCGCATCATTCTTCGGGTGTTCGTAATGTGGTGACGTCCGCATATTCGCTTTCCGTCGCCATGCGTCAAACACAGGTCAACCATGCGTACATCATCGAGATCGCCCTCTGCTTCTGACGTCCTCTATACCTACCATCATGCCCTCTCACCTCAACCAAAATTTCTACCCCTGTCTGCCCCCCGAGATTAGTCAAAAGATCATCGACATCTTCGGCTTCACCGCCTGCCCCAAAGACATTGTCGCGTTCGCATGCGCAAGCGAGGTCACCTATCACCAGATCATCCCATACCTCTACCGCAACCTCTCGCTCAGCATAGACGCTGCTCTCAAGCTCTTCCCCGATGACGGAGGCGCAATGCTTTGTCCCAGAGCGAGCTTCGATATGGTTTCCATGCCTCTCGTCTCTGACCGAAACGGTTCAGTAGAAAGCGACATCGAGCTGCTCTCGCTCTATGCAAAAGTCAGAAAGACAAAATCCTGGCCAAGGTCCTGCTTCCTTTTCTCAAGAAACTGCTCCACCTCCGATACACGCGCAGCTTGAAGATAGACGCACGAAACGTTCACTTGCTCGCTCGATACATCGACTATCAATCATCCCTCACCGCCCTTGCCACGTCTACCAAGCCCCTCACATTCTTCCCTTGCTTCGACAGCCTGGCGATTGTGCTGGACGACAGGAACCGATATGACGATGGACTCTTGGATCTTGAACGTGTCGAAATGGGTCGTGCTGTGCGCTGCGCGCTGCAACCGGCTCGTCTCTGCATATTCCATGACGAAGAGAATCCTGCCCCCTCCCCAGACATAGAAGACAGTGAAAAGCAAATGTACCTTAGGGGACAGTATGCTTATATCAATGGGCTGGGGTTCCTGCGTTCGTCGCCGGGCAAGACAAGGCTGCTCGAGACATTGAGCGTGCATCGTGCTTCTCCGGACGCCGCTTTGGCATGGCATCCTCTTTCAGTGTTCAGAGCGAGGGAGGTAGAAATTTTCTTGGGAGGCGACGGCCTCGAATATTGTTCGGATCGTTCCAAAATGAAAAGAGAAATTCTAAACGAGATTGGGGCCTTTCTGGAAAAGTTGTTTGCAGTTCAAGAGGTACTCGACAAAGGCAAGAAGTGCGTTCGTCTCTCGTATCAGTTATCTGATGACTAATGGAGCGCAGAGTGTATGAATTCCCTCTCATGGCCGGAGTCATACGAAGCCTCATATTCTGCAACTGCCTCATGCCGATGGACGTCATACTTGAGACGCTATTTGAAGAAGGGCGAATCAGGAGAGAGGTGTATAAGGCCTGGGTAAGGACTGGTAGGAGAATGGTCATGACCCATATGGATGAGAAAGTGTGTTGCAAGCTTTGTCAGGAATGTGACCGAGGTGAGTATCTGACGTTTATAGATGATCGCATGCAGCGCTGACAGATCTTGCCAGACAGATTTGTACTGATACCGGTACAGACAGCAGGGTAGTCAAGCAACATGTTTTGGGCGACTTGCGAGGGAATGGGCTGGGAGCGAGGACATTGACATGTGGCATCGCAGATGATGAACACGGGCGCTAGAGGCATGAATCAAGGGTGATTGGAGAGGACGGTTGGGGAGACTGGAGCCGTGGGCGCCGGCGTTTTGACTTGAGCTTCGGAGGGTAAGCCGTGGTTATCGAAGATAAGGGCAGGTGTGCGATGCCCTGCGAATCGTGAGTACTTTATAGTCTCTAGAAAGAGGTGAGGTACTCACCTTGATGCCCCGCGTAGACTAGTCATCGCAGAGGTCGTGTAGTCTCGCTGCTCTCGTATATTATTGTACCCATGTACAACGACATCTCCTGTGCTTCCACGAGGCGCCTTACAGCCTCAGCATATTCACCACCGCCCTCATCTCTGCCGCTAGCTCTTCATCACCCTTTGCATTAGCCGAGGCGACCTTTGCTCCCTCAAAATCAGGCAAACAGAGACTGCCGCCTGCTCGCTAACGGATGTGTCGACATTCGACATCACCATGAACGACGCGGACGCTAAGGAGGAACTCGTAGAGGGATTGGATGGAGCTCCTGGAATGATCATCGGTCAACGTTGTACAAGTCATTCTGCACAATGGGTTGAAGGTGGTGGAGAGCTTATAACGAGCCATGTGGACGAGAAAGTGTGTTGCGATGTCTGCCAGAAATGCGATAGAGGTGCGTACGAGTCAGTATCTGCACCTATAGCGCTGACAGACCTCGACAGCCATGCATCCGTTATTCATATTGCTACATTGACCATACTAATTGCTACAATACCCCTCGATACACTGCCTTCTCCAACTCACTCGCTCCTCCCACACCCACCACACCTTATCCCACCTCGTCCTCCAGTCCCAGAAACGATCAACTCTCCACCTCCTGCCACCCACTCGTTAAACGACCTCTTCACCTTTCTATCCTCTCCGAGCCATTGGACGATACGGCCTAGCGTGGTTTGGGTGTTGTGGAACTGCAGGAAGCGGATGGTTTGGGAGATTGTGGGACGTGAAGATGGCTGGAGACCACTATCGAGCCCAAAAGCAAAAGTCAACGAAGGTGGGATCCGCAAAACCAGGGAGAAACGTACCTCTTATCCGACAACATCTCTTCCACAAACTTGACGATCCCCTCCGTATGCTCCTCCCCTTCCTCCCCACCCTTCTCTACTGATACCCCTCTCTCAGGCTTTAGGAAGAGCTCAACGACCCTCGCCCTAAACAGCCCCACAACACCCATCCCCGCCAACCGGATCCCATGCCCTACTACATGCTCCACCGTCACCCCTCCCTCCTCTCCCTCCTGTCCCGCTCCACCGACCAAAGGGTCGTCGAACGATTGATATAAGTGTTCTAGCCCGAAATGCCATTTCCCCGGTCCCTGGGTGAAACACAGATGCTTTGGCTGGGCATGCTGGCGGAGAGAGATGGTGGCTTGGAGATACGTCTCTGACCAGCTGAGGTTTTGTGTGGACAGCCCGAGGGAGGGAGGGTAGATGAGCCACTCCATAGACGGGAGGAAGGTCATTCTGCCTCGTGGCGATGTTGGAAGATGGGGCAGGAGAGAGGAGGGGGCGGAGATGATGAGGGAGGTGGTGTATCGGAGTGGGAGGAGGTGGCGGGTTGAGATATGTAGAGCGTTCTGAGCGTTTGCTTTCTGAAAAGCTTGGAGCAGCTCTTTGTCTGGTACACACCCTTTCTTCGAGGGTACTGGAGGTATCGCAGCCACGTCAAAAGACCCCCGAGGACAAACCTTCCCCCGCCCATCCCCACCCCAACCGTCCAAGGGCAGAACCCTCTCAATCCGATCCTCCCTAAGCACCACACCATCGTAGAGCAGCGGCACAGTCTCGAGATACACCGCCTCACTCGTACAAGCCAAGCTGACAAGATCATGCCTAGATGCGCACTGCCGGAAACGGTCGAGGACGAGGAGCAGGATCTCTGGTGGGAGGCGAGTGAACGGGGTTTCCATTGTGGGCGATGGGGAAGAGGGTTTGGGGGGGCGAGGCTTATATACTTGTACATGGTTCGGTCATCTGACAGCCAAGAGCGTCGAGAAGGGAGAAGCTTGGAAGGCCAAAGGAGGGTGTGGATCGTTATGACGCACATGATCGGCGATCGGGGGGACATGTTTTGTCCGCGTTGTAGTCGCTCATCACTTATTGCGTGCTGTAGTGAAAGTCCTATACGCAGCTCGTCGTTCAACCTCTGGCATGGATTACTGCAGCCCACGACTCCAGACCCGCCGCCCATGCTGTCGATACATCAACGAGAGCGGACCGACTCTAGAGGATTCTCCCTTAGTAAATCTCGATATCAAAAAAGGACGCGCCAGACAGTACCTCGTCGACTTGTCACCGAGGATACGCTGCGAACCAAACAAATCATCTCTTGCGAAATTTGATTCCGCCCTTTTACGAGGATGGCAGATGAGGATTTGCGGTTTTCCGATTTTGGAAAACCGTCGGTGCACGGTGTCCCGAGCGCTGTGCGCACTGCGTTCACAGTCTTTCATTAGGGTTTGTTTGTAGAGGTCAGGCCATATGGCAGAACCATGTGGAAGACATGATCTCGGTGGAGTAAAAAGAACCAATCTACTAATCTAGATGTGAACGAAAGATGTATCTGAAGAGTACGCAGCTCTCTATGTACTCGTAATGCCACTTGGAGAGAGAAGACAGCCGTAGTAGTGTGGTTCTATGGGGTATGGATGCTGGAATACCCGGGGCCCTTCCGCCTGCCACTCCTGTGTGATTGCTACTTGAGAGCAATAACGACAGGGTAAAGAGATTGGGACTTTTTGCAGATGTCATTCTTCATTCCAATCCCGATATGCACATCTACCCCACAAAAGTACGCACATCGAATAGTCACTTGAAACCCGTATTAAGCCTATTCTGCAGATCTTTTATTCCATCGTGGCCGAGACTTGCGAATCTTTTCGTATCATACATAGCCGGGTCGTACTTTGATACGAGAAAGGTTTGTCGGAGCAAGTAGGGAGGAGAAATGAGGGAAGGATGGGGACAGGGGCGGGTCGGGAGAACGAGCTGGGGGTGTGACGGGTGTTGGCCTGTGATTGTTGGCTAGTCGAGAATCATGTGCATGCCACATCGCAACAGATGTCCAACTTGTCCCCTCTCGAAAACAACGCTGCGAACCAAACAAAGCCTCGATCTGATACCGCCGTGTTACGCCCGAAGTACGGCCGCGTCGGGAAAACGCGGAGTTCGGCCGGACCGATGTTTATTTGGCAACCCAAAAGGTTCGGAACAAGACGGCGCTCCGTCTCTTGCGACTGCCCCGCCTGTGCATGCATCGCTGGGGTATTCGCAGGACGAGAGGTGCAGCGTAGGGCTGGCAGAGGGTAGGAGAGGGAAGCAGGTGGGAGGGGGAGAGTATGAAGAGTGGGGCTGGGTCATAAGGGGTCATGTGATTGGTTGGATGGGTAATGTTTGGCCCGGATTGGGCAGTCACCGCGTCGTGTTGAGTGATACCCAGAGCGAGTGCAACAGCGCAGTAACCCCAGCCAGCGCAGGGCAGAGTCGCCATGCAGCGCATCCAGGCCTCGCTACACCCCCCTGGTGCTGAGTACAATGGAAGGGGCGCGACCGAGAGGGGGGCGAGGAAAAGCAGCGGCTCGGAGGCCCGGGTGGATGTTTACCGCGAGCGTCGCTGGTTGGCTGGGTGAATTCTCTTCCTCCTGCAACTCCCGACGTCCTCCCTTCTCCCTCTCCCATTCCACCCGTACACACTGCATACATCCACATATATACATCCCCGCCCCCGCTTTCTGGCCCCACAGCGTCCCTCAAACCTACCCCGCCCCCCGTGTTCACGCCAAGGTGAGTGCGACTTGCTGTTGGCTGGGTGGCTGTTGGAAAAGGCGGAGAAGGGGTCCCGTCGTGTGCGCTCGTTCGACGTCGTATTGGACAGAGGGCTTCCCTCCCTGCGCCTTCTGTGCCATGGGGCCGTGACGTGCTTCGGCCGGATGCCCCTATAAGGACGCTCTTCTTTTGTGCTGCTTCCTGGCGATCCTTCTCTGCGTTTGCATACTCCAGCTGACGCCCCTCCCAGCTTCCGTATACACTCGCGCCAGATCACCACCGTCTCCTTCGTCATCAGACCTTCCGTGTATCAAAGGAGCCCATCCATTACCCGGTCGTGTGACTCCAGCACCATATAAAACCCCCGCTGCATCCCTCGACGCCCACGCACACCATGATGATGACCTCCTCCATTATCACTCCCCACTCCCGCACAATCACCCACACCCCCTCCCCCAACTCCTCCCCAAAACTCGTCCCCGTCCCCAGCACCATCGCACCCCTCTCCCACCTCTCCCTCTCCACCACACACTCCTCCAGCACCTCGCCCACCGCTGCCCCCGGCGCACTCAGCCAGAGCGCACCTACCCGCAGCTACGTCCGCGGCCCCCAAGCGCGTCCCTATGGTCCCTCGTCCATCAAGAAGAAGGAGCTCGACGCCGACAGCAGGCACTTTGCCGAGCTCGTCGCGAGGTCTGTCGACGATCGCCGCGGCTCGCCTTCCAGGGAGAAGGGGCTGATCGAGATGGTGGAGAATGTCACTATCGAGGAGCAAGAGGAGCGTACAGAGGCGCGCAAGATTGAGCAGCGAAAGCAGCTGGGACGCATGCAGAGTCTCGGTGGGAGCTGGGAGAATGAACGCGCCGAGTTGATTGTGGATTACCCCGTCTGGAGTCCCGGTTGTTTCCAAGGTGCGTTCTCCTCTGCTCAACCTCACTCATGCTAACGACTCGTAGACTTGTCCACATTGCACACACTGCGCGACAAGACCCTCGCACACACCCACTCCCTCCTCTCCCACCTGCTCAACACCCACTCGACCCCGACGACCTACCGCCTCCTCGCCCGCTCCGCCACGTCCCCCAAACCATCCTCCACCCGCCCCTCGCCATTCCACCACGGCTGGGGCTGTATCCGCCTCGCCCCTTCCCGCGCCCAAGTGCGCCGAACGAGTCTCGTCCAAGCTGGCAGACCCACCTTTTCCCCGCGCCTCTCTCTTCCCCGCTTGCCACTGCACGCCACAAGCGCTGTCGACTCTTCCTCAGACGAAGAGTCTCCTGCCAACTCGCCCCGTGTTTCCGCGCGAGACTATCGTGAAATCAAGTTGCGCACAGGGTTCAGCTCGGGGAGTAGTGATGAGGAGGATGAGGCGGAGGATGAAGAGGAGAGTGCGGATGTTATCGTGGCGAAAGAGATTGAGAAGAGGGGTGGTGGCAAGGAAGGGTAAGTTCTCCTCTTGTTGTTTTGGAGGCAGTGCTGACTTGTTGGTAGGACGGTATTCTTGATGACCCTCTTTGGTCAACCCGCCCTCATCCTCACCTAATTCCCTCCCCTCCACATCCTTGCTTCTTTCTCATTACCATGTTTACGCCCCCCAACTGTCGATACCGACGACAAACCACGACAAAAAACACTACCACTAACAAGTTGTATATATCTCACATTCCCACTGTTCGTCTTTACCCCATTGATCCTAGCATTGTTGTAAATCTACCACATTATACGAGGCGTCAAGTTTCGTTCTTCTTTTCACAGTATTATTGCTCGCTTCTACATACGTGCAAAAGTGTCTTCTTTCTCCGATCACAAGTGTTTCCTTTCTTTACCAGTATATATCTTTTTACAAAGTGTTCAATCGCGAAATCCTGCCTGGCCTTTTGGCTCAAGATGCAAAGATGCAAAAGATGAAACCATATTTACCACGGACAGAGATCATACGAGAGTGTGGTGATCAGGCCTGCTCTGTGGGGACAGCTGAAGTTATCACCACGTGTAATTGAGGGTTGAGTCCAAGTACGTGAAGAGGAGGAGGGTTGAGTCCAAGTAAGTGAAGAGGAGTACACAGTTGTGCTTGGATGAGGTCAAGAAGAGTTGTAGAGAACATATACAAGTACATGAATGAGTGACGAGACGATGGGCGGAGCGACTACGTGACACAAGTACGGGCCGAAGCGAATAAGGGTACAAGTCGACCAGCGAAGCATACGAAAAGGCTACAGGCAATAGGAAAGAGGAGACGGGTGGAAGAAAGTAAGGGTAGCGACGGAATAGGAGCGTGTCGACGTACGTCGGAGAGCCTTACTACGTAAGTCTAGAAGAGAGGAAGAGAACGAGAACGAGTAACGGTGACGAAGACGGAAGCGAGTACGACTAGCACGCTACAGAGAGCCTCTGGGACAATTTCTCCTCGACCAAGTTCTCTACAGCTGGGCTGATTTTAGATACGACCTCGTTGCACCCCGTGAAGGCAGATATCATGGATTTTGGAGCTGGTATTGATGGAGATCACATTGTCAAGCTACAAGCATCACTACTGGTGCGCGGCGGAGGCACAAGAAGATCTCAAAGATCAGATGACTTGACAATTAGCGCCTTGATAACCATATCGCCGAAACGGCACCATTCGAGCGGCAAGAGTAGAAAGAAAGGTTGTATACATTTTTGCTTGATACGTATCCTACACAAAACCTAGCCAGAGGCTTTGTGCAGTACGACGATACAAAAAGAACACAACAAGCCAAACCGAGATGCCCGATAAAAAAAGTCTAATCAGGATAACAATGATGATGATAGGTAGGCACCAGGCTTAACCACGAAGAGAAGAAGAATCTATGGAGACAATTTTTTTGATAGATGAAGCAAGCAAGAAAGCAAAAGAGATGGAGAAGCAAAGATAGCGAGGTCACAGACCTGCTAGATCAAAAGGTCTCAGACCCGTCGAGCCCGAAAGTCTCAGACTTTCTTAGCTGGAGAAAGACCAAGAGATCGAGAACTCTCCCTCGTCGTAGTCATTGTCGCTAAGAAAAGATGTCAGCCTTTTGAGCATGAGGACAGGTGGGTATGGTAGACTCACTTGAGGGCACCGAAGAGACCGGGGGACATGTCGAGAGAACCGCTTTCACACTCGGGGCATTCGTCAGCGACCTTGGCGGTGGCAGTGTTACCGTTCTACATCTTGCGTCAGCAAAAGATCTCTGAATGGGAGGAAAGGGATGGTTTAAGAAACTCACCTCGGTGTTGGTGATGGTGACGGTGTCACCACAGTGGTCGGAAGCAGTGTACTGGGGCTTGTTGAGGGCGACAACGTAGTCGTCGTCGGTGACGGTCATCTCACAAGCGCTGCCGGTATCAGTGACGGTGTAGTAGGTAGCGCTATCCAAGATGTCAGTCAATGGACAAAAGTGAAGAAGAAGAAAAGACTTGCGTGCCAGAGTAGTCGCCAGAGGAAGAAGAGGAGGAAGAAGAGGCAGCGGAGGAAGAGGCGGTACCGCTGGCAGAAGAAGAGCCGCTGTTGGAAGCGGTGGGGCTGCCAGAGGCAGACTCGGAAGCAGAGCCAGAGGCAGAGCCGGATCGCTGAGAAGCGGGGGCGGCGAGGACGACGGAGGCGGCGACGAGAGCAGCAAAGACCTTGGTAGCGAACATTGTGTTGAGTTTTGGTTGGGTTTTTGGTTTTGTGTTGCGTAGAGCAGTAGTAGAGTACAGAGAGTGTAAAGTCGCGTTGGCTGACTGTTTTTGGAGTTGGTTGTGAGATGAAGTTGAGAGGAGAGCTCAGAGGGGCGTCTTTTATACCTTTCTGTGAGTATCTTCGGCGTCTGGAAGCCGCTCAACTTTTTTTTCTGAGGCCCAACTGCGCGAGGCAGGCAGATAAGACGGCCTGGGTCCAGAGGCGAGAAGACCTGCATGCTGTGATGTCAACGTTGCGTTCCCCGGACCCCGGATTTTGGGGATTTGGTAAAGATATGAGAAGAGATGCGGGGGTGTAGAGCGCAGTGTCGGTCGTGAAAAGCAAAGCGCAGATAGGGTGGGCCGAATAGTCGCCGAGCGGGGTCAAAAACCGAGATGGGTCGGCTGGGTGATCGAGTGTCATAAGGTAGTGCGTAGCGATTCCAGAGAGGTTTTGCAGGCTGTTTTGATTCCTTGCCGCATGAATGGATACGGTGAACAGCCACAACTTGGTACCATTTTCTGGGGCGATTGTGTAATGGAGAGTCTGGAAAAGTTACTCCGCATTCCGGAGCATGTGCTAGTGACGCTTTTCGCTTATCGGTCTTTATCAACATGCTTCGGAGATATACCTTGTCACGTAACTTCCAGAAGATTCCAGATCTCAGAGGTTTTCGAGTGCAAGAGAGGAGGAGCTTGTGATCGCGAGAATGACAGATATGCATATCGGACTTTTTCAACAGCCACGACCCCAGAGGCACCGCAGTTGAACAGCATCGCCCCAGCTCAGCCCCACGCAGTTAGCCTTCTCGCCAGATCTCGGTTGGGGTCGCACCTCGATATCATCTCGTTACTGCATGCACTGCTGCGCTCATCTAGTCTGCATGGACGCTCCACAATTCTGCCATGCGCCTGTGACTTATGAGGCCCAGGCTCATAATGAAGGCCCTCTTTGGTTTGTATCTCTAGTAGACCGTTCTAAGTGACGGTGTGCTGCTGTCCAGGCTGCCATACCCTCCATAATTACCCTTGCCGCAGGTAGCCAGCTGTGCATGCCTCCGTTTCTATCGGTCTCTTCGTTTCATCGGTCTATTCGGATCGAACTTTTCTCAATTTCTGGTGTCGATTACCGTGCAAGCAAATTGGTCTAGAAGCAGCTTTCTACCATGACTCATTGCCATAAAAACAGGAAAGAGTGGTCTGCTGTTCGTGTGTCTGAGGAGGTTTTCGGGGACTCTCAACCTTCTTCCCGCTGCTGTTTGCCGTACAATGACATGTGTATAACCATATGGTGGATACACCGTGTTCGTACGGCCCACTACCGTCACTCATCAGCACCCTCCAGACGCGCACGAAGTAGTCTAGTCACCTTCTTCGCCCTCTACTCAGACTCCTCGAGACTCCTATCCCCAGGCTCAGCGAGCCTCCTCCAACCAGACTCCTCGAGTCTCTTATCCCAAGGCTCAGCGAGCCTCCTCTACCCACATTCCTCGAGTCTCCTCCCCTCTCGCGTGCCCCTCTCGCGTTCCACGTGTCGACTCCACCGACCGTCTCAGTGCCCAGCTCCGCTACTGTAGAACCCAGCGATACCGCTCCTGATACAGTAATACCTGATGACGAGTCAGACACATCCCAACTCGTTGATCACCCACTTTTTATCGGCCCTGACGTTGTCTCCACCGATGAGGACCGGCTCCCGAGAGGGGTACCGTTAGCGGAGGCTGGCGCGGGTCGGAAACCGAGTGGCCTATCGCTGTCGGGGCGAGAAGCCAGACGGAAGTTGCCGTAGGTCGGGGCAGTTGAGGGCGACGGGTTGGGCTGGGCCATAGTCTGCGTGGGACGGGGAGGTGCAGTTGCCTGTTGAGGACAGTCGCGGTTCCAGTGCGGACCCTGGCAGAAACGACACGGAGTTCTCGGGGACGAGAGAGTGGAAGAGGAGTTTTTATCGTCACGCTGCTGATGCTTATTTTGCGACGTGGGAGGGGCCTTATCCTGGCGACGGCGATTTTGTTTGAGCTCAGGTCGCATGGAGGACTCGCCGTCGATGAGAGCGCGACGGAAATCGTCGAGGTTGGGGTGGAGCTGGGCGTCAATACGCGCCAGTTTCCGCATGTGCTCGGGGAGACCGTTGATGATATCGTCGATGCGGTCGACGTCGGGAGTGCCTGCGGGGTAGATGTCTTTGGAGAGACCGCTTGTCGTCGAAGTAGGCGGCTAGGGACTCCGTAGTTTTGAGCCGGCGGAAAATGCATTTGTTTCTCAAACGAGAGGCGTGGTTGGCACCGAGGTAGACAGAACGGATGGCTTCGGACCATTGCGACCATGTGCACAGAGACCGGCGGCGCTCTGGCTCGAGGTTGGTAAACCATCGCTGCGCGGAACCTTGTAAAAGGGCAGGGAGGAGGAGGAGCAGGTCTGTGTCGGCGGCGCCGGAGAACTCGAAAATGGCAGTAACGGAGGTGACCCAGGTGTCGACGTCCTCATTGTCTTGGCCACGGAACTTGGGAAACATTTCATGTTTGAGCTTTGGCGCGTGAGGGCGCGACGGAGGGGACACCGGGGTGGTGTCGCGGGATTGGCTGAGGCGGAGGGAGCGCATCTCGTCGCGCATCTCGGCGAGCGAGGACAGCAAAGATTGGTTCTGATGCATTAGGTATCCGACCGTGGGAGCGGGACCGTGGACGAGATCCTGATGAGTCGTGATGTGGTGTTCACTAGTCGGAGTGTCATCAATAGACGGAGGAGGTTGGAAGTTACTCGGCCTAATGTCGACTTCGGACTGGAGGCTTCTACGAGCAGCTCCATCGACAAGGGGGAGAGAGGGACGGACGGGCCGGAGGGGAGAGTAGGAGTCGGCTGAGGTTGGTTGGTGACGACGTCGGCGGGACCGTCCAGAAGCGCGTCGCCTTGGCTGCGAAGGTTTCGGCGGGATGGCTGGGTTGCTGGCTGGGCCATGATGGTTGGAGCAGCGAGAGCGAGAGAGCTGTGTTGCGGAGGTGGTGTTCTACGCCTGTGAGGGAGACTCTATTAGACTGGGGTGAGGAGGTATTATACACCTGGGTGAGTGGAGGCTCGCTGAGCCTGGTTTTGAGGTGTGAGACACCTGGGTGAGGGAGGCTCGAGGAGCCTGTTTTGTCGAGTGTAAAGGCCTATAGCCTAGCTTCTGCAGAAGCTCTTCCCGTGCTTCGCGATTTGAAGTCGAGGTGAGTAGACCGGTGTGGCTGCGGGACCGAGGCAATAGCAAGCGGTGCAGTGATAGTAGACGTCGTAGAGTAAAAACGTTTATATCTAGAACGCAGAAGACAAGGATACTGAAGATTCTAGAGAGATATTTTTGTGGTTTTGTGGTATTTTACAGTGAAAATAGTGAAAAGAGGAAGGTGAGTCGTGTTTTTGGTGTCGAGAGGGTAGCTACTCCTGTAGCCCAGGAAGTGAAAGAATAAAATAAGGATAGCCAGGAGGTTCTTTGATAGGGATCAAGAAGAGAAACTCCTCCGGCATGCATCAAGTTCTATGGACGGAAACGGAGACGGTATCGCCGTGTGATGCCGAGAGTGTGGCGTTGGTGGATGTCATGCGGCGGCGGTCACGCTATTACAGCTAAATCCAGCCATGGACATGCTCTCAATCGCCATGCGCAAGCTGTCCGGTAAATCGTGTCACGACACGAGTTCAGCCTTGAATAGAAGCTTACCCTTCATCAAATCTTGAAGAAACCTACATTCGGCGCAACTGTTGTGGCATTGAACGAAGAGTTGACAAGTGCCTACCTACGACGCCGCCTGCGCCCTCAGCCCCAGGCCGGTGTCCTTGATCTCATCGGGACTTGAGTGTCGCTGCTGGACCTTCGCCTTCTCCCTCCTTTGCTGGCGCTCCTGCCGAGGGCTCGGTCGGCTATGGTGGTAGTCCCTCTGTTGGCCTTAGCTATATGGTCGGTCATGGTTCTTCCCTTTTGGGTGACTACGGTGTTGGTACGGGGCGTTCTACTTAGGTAGCCGTCAAGATGGAATGACAGGTATGGCGCGCTAATGAGGAAGCCGGGAGGCGATCAAGGCGGGCGAGTGGGCAAAGAGGAGAGATTGGGCCTTTGCAAGTGTATGCGAGGCACAGCTATACTGGGTCGGACAAAGACAGAGGTAAACACAAAGGACCGCCAACAAAGGTAGAAATCTGTGCAAACCGAGCAGCAAGTAGCAATGCAAATTGAAAGATATGTAAAGGTTGGTCAGATCTACATACATATCTCCATCTCGCGAGATCTAGATCAGCAAGAGACCGTGGTTTAGATCTTGGCCACTCCCCGCACGTATAAGACTCTCTTCTCTGGCAGAGGAGGTCACTACCTCCAAGAAAACAGAAAGCAACAACGCAAAGGTCAACAATGAGGATCCCATACAGACGGCACTATCACCATCTCCACCCGCACCCAAAAAGACAAGTCCGCGAGGAAGAGGTGACCAGCTCAGCGGCTGTTGTTGCCAGCAGCGCCGTGCAAGAGTCTACCAGTGGGACAAATACGGCAGGTACGACAGGTAGGGAGGTGGCGGCGAGCAGTGATGCTGTGAGCAGCGGGACGGCGAGAGGAGAGACGAGCTTGGGGACGTCGAAGGTCATTTCTACGACGGCAACTGCTGCCTCTTCTTCTGCATTGAGATTAGAGGTAGCTAGTACGCAAGCCTCTTCTTCGTCAGCTACATCTTCGTCATCAGAGTCAGCAGCCAGGATCAGCGCAGGAGTCGAGACGGCCACAGCCAAAACCAGCTCCACTCGTTCAACCCCTCTGAACCCTATCCGTACGTCTTTTCGCCTCCCCTCATACCACCCCAGACTGACCAGTGTCCATTAACCAGGAATGACCACCTTTGCCAGCGACTTTCCTGTTAGCGCCCCCTCGGATACAACCGTCCACAAATTGGGAAGAGGCTACGTCTTCCTGCCAAACGATAGCGCTGCAGATAGCAGTACGTCCTCCCCTTCAACCTCTGTCCCAAAAGCTGACCCATGTCCAGTGCTCCTCTTTGTAACATTCTTTGTTGCCTTCCTCGTATTCACCGTCTGCTTCATCCGCTGCACATCCTTCCTCGACCGGCGGCGCGCGAGAAAGAGAGGGGGCAGGATGAAGGAAGATACGGTCGTGGGGGAGGAGATGAAGTGGGCCGAGGGGCGGGAGGTGGTGGAGAGAAAGGTTGTATGGCAGAATGCTGGGCATGGGGAGAGAGCCGAGCGGGAAATGGTCAGGGGAGTGAGTAGGGGCAGGGGATTACAGGCGAGCGGAATGAGGGTCGCGATATGAGCACACTCATGTTGGTATTGCACACATTGTAATCGCTACAAATGTAACATGCACTGCAGGCTGTCAGGCATTCTCACTTTCAAGTTCCAGTCATTTACTATGCAGAAGAACCAATGAACAACCAAACAGACAGATAACCGTCAAACCTCACCCAGCCTCACACATTCACCGCTCTTGCCTCTCACTTTCAGTCCCCGACTGCTTCCTGACCCTCGTCTCCCTCGTTCCACCTAAGGACCCATTACTCCCCGTTCTAGACCCCGCTTTCAGCCTCCCAGGAATATCCAACGTTCCTCCTTCCCCATCTCCTGATCCCTCTCTAGACCCAGCGCCAGAATTCACCGCGTTGCTCGAAGCACGTACCAGCCCATTAGGGGGAGTCGGCGCGAGCGAGTTGGGGGTAGAGTCGTAGCTGTAATGAGTCTGTGCCCCTGGCCGGGACGGGAAGGTCGTATTGGGTGGAGGGATAGGGGACGGTTCGCGCGAGAAGGGGAGGGCTTCGGGGTCGGTCGGTTTGGCGTTTTCGCGTTTGGGTGTTGAAGAGAACTGTGAGTCTCGTCAGCTCTGTCCTGCGATACAGGAGCGTGACTTACCGCAGCCCAGAAGGCAGAACACAGAATGAGGCCCGTACCCAGAGCGGACAACAGGCTGGGGATGGTGCCCCAGATGACAAATTCGAGTATCAGCGAGAACACGACCTGGAGATAGATGGCCAGTCCTGCCCGCCCGGCCTTTTCGCGCTGAAGACCAAGGGTGAGGAAAGTTTGAGCGGCGAAACCGAATACGCCGATAGTGAGGATGAAGAAGAGGTCGGAAACGGAGTGGACCCAGGCAATGGGTTCAGGTCGGACCAGGAGCCAGCTACAAGGTCATTAGTCTACAATTAGTCTACGAAAAGTAAGGCTGGGGAGGACATACAAGCCACTGGCAACGGTGCACATGATGGAAAAGTAAGATATAGAATGGAGGGCGTGGGCTTGCTTACCAATCCATCGAATGGTGGTGTCTAATCCGTCTCAGCTCATGATCCCGTGTATAGCCAGCGACACTTACAAGCGAGGGAAGCACCGACGATAGCCACGCAAGCCCATGCAACAGCAGCCGACCTTGCAATCTCCTGCACCCCATCTTCCTCGCCTCCCGGGGCAGGCGGTAAATCCAACCTTCCTCCTCCATGATGACTCTTCTCTTCGCTCACATCTCCAAAAAGGAACCTCGGCCGGCTGACCAGCAATACTCCCAAGAAGCACAAGAAGCCGGCGATCACTTCCTTGCGTGACAATTTCTCGTGGAGGAATACAAATCCGAGAAAGGCAGTAAAGCTAGGCGCAAGGAATTGGATGGCGAGCGAGTCGGAGAGTGTAAGGCCGCGGAGAGCTTGGTATCCCGCCAGTAAGCCGAAGTAGCCAAAAAGACCACGCAAAACGAGGATGGATCGAATACCAGGCGGTCCTAGTAGAGGGTTGGGATCACGCTTGACGAGCCAAAGAGAGATGACGCAGAATATCCAGGTGATGCCCATGCGCACAAAGATGAGGGTAAAGGTGGAGATCTCGGTGTTGGACAAGAAGTACTTGACTGTCAAGCCCATGAGGACGAAGAACAGCTCGGCAATGGCGACAAGGGTAAGCCCCACATTCTGAGAGACAAAGTAGACCAGGCCTGGAGGCAGGCGCTCGCCAGCTTTGGTGCCTATAGAATCGAGGAGGGATGGCTGGGCGGGATTGGGTGTTTCGTTGAGGGTCACTGCTGGAGCTGGTGGAGGGGGTTGGAAGGAGGGCAGAGTGCCCCTTTTGGCGGTGGGGGAGACTGGGGAGAGAGGGACGGGGGCGTAGGACGGGGATTGGGTGGGAGAAAGAGACGACATGGCGAGTAACGGCACGGGATCGTCGCGGGAGAGTGTCGAGGGTACAGCTGTGAAGGGGACCGTTTTTGAATGTAGATGTACGTTCGGCGGCCATAGCCGACAGTAGTTAGCTGGCGGGCAAGGCCGAGCTTCATTCTCTATTTGTTTGGTTCGGTACCAAGGGAAGGAGTGAATATTTCCGCGCCCTATCCAACAATGCATAGATGGATCGCTAAGACGTATGATTCGGATGATGGAGAGATGATCGAAATGATCAGATAGGTGCGGAGGCCGTAGACTAGAGGTTACAGTCAGCCGTGCGCGGTGTCCGTCTTTTTGAGCGTACAATGTTGAAATCCTCCATTTCCAAACCCGCCATGGCGACGATGTCGAGACAGATCTAGTGATATGATTAGCCACACATATCACACTATTCTCTTCCACACTCACTTTGAAAGCCGCGGAAGAGTCGTGGCCACACTCGTCCTTGTTGTCAAGGTAGACACCTTTCAGCCTCGCCCTTCGATTATTGACGAGTGCTGAAAAGACAAACCCCATCACAGCCAAAAGGTCTCCTGAGAGAGATGTCAGAATGCTATTGATTTCATCCGTCATCCACAAGGACGAGGTTGCCGGCCTTTCGCCCTTGTCGTGATGGGAGTCCGGTTCAGTTCGAGATCATCGCGAATGGTCGCTCATTGACATCATTCACGTCATCTATCATCGGCACCCTCTCCTCGACGTCCGATTGCTGCTTGCTGAGATCCTCAGCACTGTCACTTTACGGGTACTCGCTGAATCTAGAAGAGCATCAGTCACTGCTCACTGGCTTACCCCAGCCGTGACACAAGCCGTGACACAACTCACCTTAACTCTTCTGCCTCTTACGCCGCCCTAAAGGCACTTTCCAACGCCTCATTGTCCCTGCGCTGTTGAGGAATCAGAGAAAGGTGAAAAGGAAAAAGATGGGTAGGATGGAGGTGACTGGGCTGACAGAAGCGCTGATCTTTCCCTTCCTGACGCGACTGGCGAAAGACACAACCACAACGTGGCCAGCTTGCTCGTGCAACCACATCCTTGAATGTGGCCATCCAAGTCGGTAGCTAGATCAACGAGAAACAGTACTCTCCATGAGTCATCTCCCACAAATATCACACTCGAATGCTGTCTTGGTGATTGCCAAGTCGTCCACCGGCACGCCCCATGACCACTCTAGTTGTATAGCGCCATGGTGACCAAGCAACAAGCATGCACGCTGGGCCGAGACATTCAGAGAAAAGATGCCCTACGGCCTCGCCCCCAAGAGCTCGATCATCGAGCGGCGAGCCCCGCCCGGGTCCTGCGATGCTTCCAGCCTACATATCTGCAGTCCATTTGTACGTATAGCAATTCCTACTAATATACCAAGATAACGTGTGGCTGGGTGAGATGTGGACCTTCGTGTGCTGTACACACCCATACGCTACATACTGGACTGGGGCAAGCAGTATCAGGCACGCCCGTCGGGCAAGGCAAAGGTTCGGTGATCGGGGTGCTCAGTCAGCCCGGGCCAGTCCTTCGGCCATGACAGGCACCACCCCGGCCATCTCGAGACAAGTGCGGCCCGCGCTGCCTTGTTTTCAGAAATCCTTATAATCTGCATTCCCACCCCTTGCCTCTCTCTCCCGTCCCCACTTTGTTCCTCTTTCATCTCTATAATCATGGCCGACGACCACTCCACCTCTCCCACCCTCCACGACGAAATCAGAGGCGGCCTCTCTGGTGAGGGCACTCCCTTCGCCGCCGAGGCCCCCCTCAGCCGCACCAGCTCCAAGAATCTCTCTCACCAAGACACCCAGCGCTCCTCCACAGAGAAGGCTGCCGAGGTCTCTGAACACGAGGGTGCCGCCCCCCAAGCAGACGATTCTGGTTTGTTATCCGGCGCCAGACTGTATCTTGTCTTCCTAGCCATGATGCTATGTGTCTTTGTGAGTGTTTGGTTGCTTCCTTTGGAGATGCAAAATCTGACATCCTTTGCAGATGTTTGCCCTCGGTTCGTTCACCGCCTCCAGCTCCAGCTCGTGCTTCTGCTTATTTTGTTTACAGACCAGAGTATCGTCAGTACTGCCATTCCGGTCATCGTCTCGGACTTCAACGCGTTCGACCAAGTCTCGTGGATTATCACTGGGTACTTCTGTACGTTCGCGTCATCGCTCTCACGTCTGGTGCTGACAGAACCGCAGTGACACAATGCGGTCTTATCTTGCTTGTTGGTCAGATGTTGACCGTCATCAAGGCCAAGTGGATGCTTCTGGGCGCCGTGTTTTTCTTTGAGCTCGGATCTCTCATCTGCGGCGTTGCCAAGGATATGAATACTCTGATTGGTGGACGAGCCGTTCAAGGTATTGGTGCCTCAGGAATGTAGGTCTACCCCCACTCTCATCAGAACCACACTGATGAATCGCCCAGGTTCGTCTCCATCCTGACCATCATCGCCATCATCACCCGTGTCGAGCAGCGTGCCGCCTTCATGTCCTCGTTCGGTATCGTTTTCGTTATCTCTTCCGTCGTTGGTCCTCTCTTGGGCGGTGTGTTTACCGAACGCGTTACCTGGAGGTGGTGCTTCTACATCAACCTGCCCTTCGGAGGTCTCGCCGCCGTCGCCGTCCTGTTTTTGCTTCCCGCCCATGCTCCTTCCAAATCCGGCTCTGATGACACCACCGAGAGGTCTGTCCTACACCGGATCTTGCGTTTGGATTGGCTCGGTACGGCTTTGATCTTTTGCTGCATGACCTGTCTTCTCCTCGCCCTCAGTTGGGGTGGTAACGAGTACTCTTGGAAGAGTAAGTCAATCCTCCGTCCACCCGACTGTCACTTATATGTCAATAGGCTGGCGTATCATTCTTCTTTTCATCCTCGGTGGTCTCCTGGTCATTGCTTTCGGCGCCTGGCAATGGTTCTATGACAAGCGCGCTCTTATCCCTGTTTCCTTGTTCAAGAATCGCACCCTTACCATGTCTTCCGGCGCCATGTTCTTCTGGATGCTTTCCATGCTCGGCGGTACTTATCAGCTCCCTCTCTTCTACCAAGCTGTACGTCTCTCCATCCACCTTCTGATCAGAAGACTGACAGTCCCTAGGTCCGAGACCATTCGCCCGAAAAGTCTGGCATTGACATCATCCCATTCATGCTTGCTATCTGTATCGCCATCTTCATCTCTGGCGGTTTCACCACCAAGTTTGGCCGCTACTGGCCCTTCCTCGTCGCCGGCCCTCCCTTCTCTGCCGCCGGTTTCGGTCTCCTCTACACTATCGATGCTTCCACCTCTAGCGCCAAGATCATCGGCTATCAGATCCTCGCCGGTTTCGGTATCGGCCTGTCTTTCCAGATGGTCTTCATGGCTATCAACGCCGAGTACCACGAGCGCCCTGCGCTCTTGCCCCAGGCTACTGGTACTATCAGTTTCTTCCAGCTGACCGGTGCTGCCTTGGGTACTGGTGAGTCTCATCCCTACTATCATTGTCACGATATGACAGCTAACGTAATCACAGGTATCATCAATACCGTCCAATCCGTCTACCTCAACACTGAAATCAAACGTCTGGCCCCCGACGTCGATTTCAACCTCGTCCGCCAGTCCGTCTCTGCCATCTACACCCTCGACCCTGCCCAACGTCCCCCCGTCATCGAAGCGTATGTGATCAGTATCACCAAGAGTTTCATCCCCATCATCACGTCAGTGTGCCTGGCATTGGTGTTTGGAGGGTTCATCAAGAACCATAACATGTTGACGAAGGGTGGGGCTGGTGGAGCCCATATGGCGTAAGGTGGTCGCCCAATTCTCCATTCAAATAATAGAGTCGGATCTTAGTCTATAAATATATAACTACGCTACACCTGTCTCGTTGTGCCATATGTACTATTACGTCTATAATGTACGTTTATCAGGTCCATCGAGGTCTGGAAAGGGCCCTATGGAAAGACCAGCTGGTCTTTGATCTGCGCCGATGCTTGGAGTGGATGATCTGCTCAACAGATTAAGTTCATGCAACGTCATGCATATTGTCACGGCCCGTATTCTATACAATCACATCCCCCATCACAAACTCAACCACTCACCCCGATTGTCCACCCTCGCCCACACTTCACCACCCCTTCCTAGCCTTCTCAACCTCCCCCAAAACTCCCAACACGTCCTTCAAAGCCTCGGTATGCAGCTTGATATCCACAAACAGCTTTCCGCTCTCTTCTCCTTCTGCCAGTCGCTCGGGCTGGGTGAGGGAGGAGAGGGAGGAAGCGAGGTGGGAGAGGGTTGTAGAGAGGGCGGTGGAGGTTTGAGTGAGTGATTGGGCGAGGTGGGGTTGTTGTATAGAGTTGGATGACTGCCCTTTCGTCAGCATGTCTTTGTGAACGAGATAACCCTCTGGACCCACTTCGGCAACGGCCTCTTCAAGCTCCTTCTCCTCAGCCTTGCTCACAAGCTCATTCTCAGACGCTCTCGCCTGCCTCTCAAACTCTCCCACATCCACCGCTTTCCCCTTCCCTTTCACATCCCCAAGGCCATACAGCTCTCTCCTCTTCTTACTCCTAGGACTCTCCGCCCCACCATCATCTCCCCTCGCTCCCTTCTTCTCTCCCGTCAAGACCCACCCCTCATCGACACTCTTCTCCTCGACCCATCCCATTCCGCAGCTCACACAGACTTTTCTACCGTCTTTCGAGCCGTCTTTTCGCTTTGGATAGCCAGCAAGTGGAATGCCGCGGCATGAGGTGTTGGGACATGTGTCGGCGAGGAGAGAGTAGCCTTGGAGGAGGAATTGGGAGAGGGAAGCGGCGGGGTCGGCTTTGGGTTCGGCCTGAGATTGAGATTGAGATTGCTGGGAGGCCTCGGCAGGATGAGATTGCGATTGCTGAGGGACTGCGACTGTTTCTTGCCTGTCCGTACATTCCAAAGCTACCGCTCTTGTCTCGTACGCGTCAAGCCCACCAGCGGGCACCGAAGCCTCTGGAACACTGGCCACAGGTGGCACCCTCACCCTCCCTTCCGGCCGCCCATCACACCCCGCACAAAACTGCACCCTCTCCCTGTTCTCTCTCGAAGCGATAGCAGCGGGTTCTCGCATAAGAGGTGTGGTCTTGCATGAAGAGCAGTGGAGGTCGGTGAGTGTCCAGCCTTTGAGCATGTATTCGCCGAGCTGTGTCGAGTCAGCATGGGTCGAGAACACGAAAGAGGGGTACACACGATGGCGGAGGTGGCTTCGAGGGTAGAGACAGAGGGGGCTGGCATTGTTGATAGCTTTTGTAAAGATATGTAAAGAGGAAGGAAATGATGGAGATGGAAGTTGAACAAGCACCGAACGGGATCAAATTCCGTCTTTTTTCGCGCTCACTCTTCTCCTTCATTCCTGCATCTTGAATTATAAACCATCGCGACAATGCCCGCCCTCCCAAAGACCCTCAACAGACTACCCCTGAAGCAAGCTGTTTCTGCCCTCAGAGAGAACTCGGCGAACGTCACCTTGTCGCCGAATGTGAGGGCTCTGAGCATGCGCTTCGTTGCAAAGAACTCGGAAGCCGGACCTCGGTACGAATCGCCTCTCCACTTGCTGGTACACAAGCTAATGTACCATCACAGTCAATTCCTGAGACAATATGCCCCCTCTTTGGCCTACGCCAACCCCTCCCTCCCCATCCACGTCCACCGCATACCCGACCCTCGCTCAAAGCACAAGAACCCCGAGAACCCAGACAAGGAGGCTATCGAGACTGGGCTGTTTGGAGGAAAGGGTGGGGTCAAGGAGATGCCCAAGCCGGAGATGATTGTAGAGTTTCGTAAGTCTGTCGCAGAAGCAAGGTGAAACCGCAAGTTGACGTGGTATAGACGATGGACCGAAACAGGTTCTGCCATTATCGCATTTGGACGGGGAGAAGATTTTGGGACAATTGTTGTCGGTTGCTGGGGAAGCGAGACATGCCGGTCTGCTGAATGAGCCCACACAGACGGTCGAAGAGGTCAAGGCTTGAGTAGGAGAAGGGACATCCATGTAACTGCATAGTAATACGGCGTTTGCAGCTCGGACTGAAAAGATCAATCATGTCGAGGCGTGCGCTGTTTCAGCGACGGTCTCTTGCAGGACGACAGCCACAAAGGGCACAGCGATCCCAAAGTATAAGCAGACGGTGCTGAAGCCGAGAGTTGAGAATCCGCTGGACTATACAGTCACTCATGCCCCCTGACTCCTCTCTGGGCTAGACAATCACACATATGCCACCTGAAAATAATCCGTATTGTACATACAAGTTGTGAATCGTATTGAACACCGTCCTCCTGATGCTGGACTAGTAATCATCGTCATCCTCCTCATAGTCATCAAACATTCCTCTTCCGCCTTCGCCTGTACCCCCGCCCCCAGTCATATCCTTCTTCCAGCTTCCGATCAGTGGATTCGCCGGCTGAGCCGCGGGAACAGAAGCACCCGACCACGACGGTACAGCAGGCTCTGCTACTTGCGGTTTCACGTCATCCTCCACCTCCTTCTTAGCCCGACTCTTCTTCGCTGTGCCCCCAGCAATGCCACTCCCAATCTCTTCTTCTTCCTCCGCCTCTTTTTTCTCTACTTTAGCAGCTTTAGCGGCTTTGGTCGCAGCTGCAGAAGCGCTAGGTTTCCGCGCGCGTGAAGGACCGGCGGCGGAGGACTTGCCACCTTCGGGCAGTTCGGGCACAGCCTCGACTATTTCACGGAGGAAGTCAAAGTTGGGGTTGGTGTTGATCATTGCTTTGCTGGATCCATTGTCAGTGCTAGAAGTAGGCGTAAGGCAGGGACGTACAGATGCCCGGCAGTGAGTTTCCGCGATCCACTAGCAGTCACTTCTTTGCAACTCTCATCCAACAAGACTTGTATGAAACATTCCAGACTCTTTGCTGCCCGCCAAATTAGCGACCTGAGGCCGACTGTGAATGGATGAAGGATGGCACGTACAGATCATGACCGGTGTAGCGCTTGCCAGCTTTCCCACTTCCTCGTCCAGCTGCATTATCCGCTTGATTCGCGCCTGTTGATGACAACAGAAGGAGAGAGGACCCATTGAATATTAGTGATCGTCTCATGTGTAAGTGCTTACAGCACATATTGAAGAAGCTTACAGCAGGGAACTACAAAGTTGCGAGTCAGCCTGGTCCATTGTGACAATGTCTCTTATTGTAGACGGGAACGTACTCGACTGGTCTTGAACTTTCCAGACTTGGCGGGCGGCATCTTGATGGTATACGTGGGCTGGTGGGCGGACGGACTGGAGAGAAACGCGTGAGAGATCGTATAAACAAATTCGGGCATACTTTATTAGTGCAGCAGGAAAATGGGAGCTTAAAGGGGGGGCGCGGATGCAACCGAGACGCGTCTGTTGTTGACTGTCAACAGAGTTAACAGACTGTCAGCGGGGCAATCGTAAGGCTGGAACCATGAGGGTCTAATTAGGCTGAGCAACAGTAATCTCGCAACATCTGCAGCCTCCACCACCACATCCGAATCTGCAACGACGGCCTTCTACCTCGCCCCAACCCATGCCACCTGTAATGTTTGATGATATCAACTTTTCGCCCCTATACATCTCAATATATCAATAGAGGGCAAAATTAGAAAGGAAATGACTAAGAAAAAGGTCGAGAGATAACTGCAAGCGAAGGAAAAGAAAGTCTATATTTTGATCGGTCCTCACGCAGATGAAATCTCGACATCATACGGCTACACGGTTTGTTGGACGATGTTCTCCCGCTCCTCCTTAATCTACGCGCCTCATTCCTATTCTATCGCCCGCCCATATATGGGCTAGAACAACATACACATCTATCTCTCACTTTCTCTTCAACATGAACATCCCACTACATCTCAACTCTTCTTACTTTCCACCGGTGGTCTTGAACATCACCAAGCCGCCCAAAGAGATCGAGTACCCAAGGACCTGGAGAGGCATGATGGGGGACCCGAAAGCGAGGAACGCGCCGGAGATGAGGAGGATGTCCTTGAGGACACCAGCGAGGGTGAGGATGAGACCGGATCCGACAGAGATGAGGAAAACGGCGGCAACCTGGCAATGTGCGTTAATGTTTATTCCCACGGGAGAGAAGATATGGCGTACGTTAAGAGCGAAAGCGATACCAGCGTTGCTGAACAGCACCAAGAGGCCAACCCTGTGCAAGTTGTAGAAAGGCTCAAGCCCCTCAGTGAAGGGGATGATACAGACGTTGATGACCGCACAGACAGGGGCGTAGTAGTGCAAAGACACAATGGGGTCCATCTTGAGGCCGTGGAGAAGGATCTGGATCATGACGAGTCGAGAAGCCTCAAAGGCAAGAGCGGCACATTGGCAGAGGAAGCCGGTGAGCTCAAAGTGGACTTCGCCGTAAGCAGCTGGTGAGGTACGATCAGTGATTAGATTGTTTTTAATTCAATGACGCAGGCGGCTTACCAAGGAAACAACCCATGGAAATCATCTATCGACACTTGGTGAGCTGAATTGCAGAAGCTTGAAGGCAGAAGACGTACCAAGACGATGATGATCAACCTGCCGTTGGGCTCTTGAATCTTGAAAGCAAAAGAAATCAAGAGGATGGCAACAGGGTTGAACGCCTGGAGGTCTCGTCAGCTCACAACTGTGAAGAATGGGTACACGGATGTGACTCGCCTTGAGCATCTGAATGAAAGAGACCGAAAGCGTAAGGTACGCGTAGTTGGACAGAATCAGGGACCCGGAGAAAAGGGCACCGATAGGGAGAATAGATTTAATCCATCGATCTCTCTACAAAAAAGCTTAGCGACATCCTTTGCGCTGAACAAAGAACTCACAGTCATCTCAATGTCCTTGGCACCATCCACAAGGGTCGTTGTGCGTTGCAGCACTCGGGTAGCAATGGCCTACCAAAACAGTCAGCTCCGTACATGAACTACCGTGACAGAAGACATACAGAGAAAGTCAAGTGGAAGGTGGTGAGAAAGGTGGGGTAAGGGAAGTTGAGGCTTGAGAAGACATATTCTGCCGTAACGTATCAGCTCCACAACTCGAATACCCCTCTCAAGTGACAAGTAGTCAAGACTCACTGTTGTACAAGATAACACTGATAGAGCAGGCCATCCAGATAGGGATAACTGTGAAGAGGCGATGTGATTAGCTCTGCAGATTACACATTATGTGTCGCGTCGCGTCGAAAATAGAACCCTCCACAGAGCCCCTCGGCGAAAAATGTCGCTAGTCTAATACACCATTTCCTCGACCCTCCATGTACAAGACGAAACCAAAATGAGAGAAGAACGCACTGATGAATCCTGGAATGGTGATCTTCTTGGGAGCATTGGTGTTTGTCCGGGGCTCAGAGACTCTGCGCGAAAAGATCAGTACCTGGCCGCTCGCAGCACGTTTACGAAAACCTCTTCGCTGGGCGACCGTTCTATTCGGAACGTGTGCGCCCGCACTCGAGGAGGAGTACCGGAGCGGGCACTCACTTGATGTCGACATGCTCGCCATGGGTGAGGTCGTTCTCAACATCGGACGCGCGAGGCATCGACTGCAGTCACCATCTGAGACATTAGCTCGATATTTCCAGATGAGGTGAGTCGCGCAGCAGGGAAAAATTTCCAGTTTGACGCACGTTGAGGGGGATGGACTGCTCTTCGTCCTGCTTGTGCTGGGAGGTGCTCATGTCGGCGGTGGGGTTGAGGGAGATGGTGAAAACAGGATAGATCGAAACGCAGCCCCAGGGAGAAGGGCGGCAGGCCCCGAAGCTTCTTTCTTAACGCGGTGACTGCCTGTAATTACACTACACGTGGCATTTTGGCTGGCTTTCTTTTCCTCTTTCGCTCTTTCATCCACTGTCACGAGCAGTAGATCCAGTAGACACCATGGCGAGACCACTCAGATCAGTCCTTACCAGTGAGTACATAGATACAGACAGGAGCCTCGCTGACATAGTACAGTCGCAGGATCATCCCTCGCAGGCCCTTCACGAGTCTCCACGAGAGCAAGAGCTCCTGTCCAGGTCAGAACGTACGTCAACTGCATATCAATGGCTTGCATATCTAATAACAATTTCAGAGCATGGAACATGGCAGACCTCTCCCGCAATCTCCGTCTCCCCTGGTCAAAAGAAAACACCTCCACCACTTCCACCACCAACGAACCCCTTCCAGCCGAGATCACCGACGAGCCCACTTCTTCCTCGGACGCCCAGGGCAGCCTGTTCGACTCTGTTACCGCCCCAGTCACGGACGCTCCCAAAAACAAAAAGAAGCTCGCCAAGCGTGGCACAAACTTTGAATGGACCGAACATTCCTACTCGTCTGCCCCGCACAAGATTTCACCGCGAAAGCTGAATTTGCTCTCGAGGCAGATTGCGGGCTTGCCGGTGGATGAGGCGATTGTGCAGATGCAATTCTCGGAGAAGAGGGCGAGTAAATGGGTCAAGAGCACGTTGGCGTTGGCGCGAGATCATGCGATGGACAAGAATTTGAAGAGGGACAAGCTTGTTGTCTGTGCGTACTGTCTCTTTGCCGTCTCTGTCAATGCTGATCGAATGTAGCCGAGGCTTGGGTGTCGAAGGGTCAAAAGATTGGACGTATCGACATCAAGGGTCGAGGAAAGTACGGTATCTTGCACCACCAGTCTGCGCGTATCCACGTTGTCCTTCGTGAAGGCAAGACTGTCGCCGAGAAGCAGCAGGTCCAGTACGACAAGGCCATCCGTAAGGTCAGGAGTGCGGGGCAAGTGCGAGAGGATCTCCCTTTGAGGAGGAAGGTGGTCAGCGGGTGGACTTGGTAGAAGGGCATGATGTAACACTTCTAACGAAATGGCCGCCTCGTGCTCTCCTCTCCCTCAATATCGTGAGGTCAATACACGTCTGAGGCTTTCTGCCGTCTAGTTGCGCACTTGAGAGCGCCAAGTTGAGCCAGACTCGACACTATATAAATATTGGCGACCAGTGCCTCGTGGGCTTGCAAGTTGTGACTCGATTCAGGGTACATCTGGCTTAGCCTGTTAGCTTCAACCGCCAATGCTGCCGATATGATTCTCTCATCTCACCACTTCACCTCTGCTTAACTTTAACAAGTACTTCGGTTGCACAATGTGACCTGCCCACGTCCGGCTTCAAGCTCGCGCCTCTTATATCTTCAAAGATCTCGAACCACGAACCAGATGTCGATCTCAAGCTGCGTCTGGCGGTGGGTTGAAAACTCCGAAATCAGCATTAAAGCTGAACGTGAGCTAGCTGCAACAGTGAGAGGCCGCGGGGCGAATCCCAGTACGTATGTGTGACCCGCATTGCCAGACCGAGTGCTCGTTGAGCGATAAACAACAAAAGAATCACAATATCTATTGTTTGCATATATTTTGACTTCTTCCGTCACATCTCTATCCCCTTTAAGCAGACTTGGAAGCCTTGCAGATGTCGATGAACTCGGGCTTCAGACTGGCGCCACCAACAAGGAAACCATCAATGTCCTTGGCCTGCGCCAACTCGCCAGAGTTCTTGCCGTTGACGGAACCGCCGTAGATGATTCGGGTAGAGTCGGCAACAGACTGGGAGACACGCTTGGCGAGCCACTGTCGGATGTCGTCGTGAGAGTCCTGGGCTTGTTGGGGGGTGGCGACCTTGCCGGTACCGATAGCCCAAACAGGCTCGTCTATAGGTCGTGAGCACTTGAATCAAGGGGACACAGGAGGACATACAGGCGATGACAATCTTCTTCCAAGCGTCGGCGTCAATGGCGGCGGCGATAGCCTCGAGCTGACGCTCGACAACCTCCTTGGTCTTGTTGGACTCGCGCTCCTCAAGAGACTCGCCGACACAAGCAATCACGGAAAGACCGGCAGCGATGGCAGCCTTGGTCTACAAATGCCATCAGCGTCTCTTCTTTTGATACGAAACTAAGCTTACCTTGTCAGCGACAAGCTTGTCAGTGTCGCCGAACAAACTCCTCCTCTCAGAGTGTCCCAAGATGACCCAGTGGACGTTGGCGTCCTTGAGCTGCTGGGGAGCAATCTCACCGGTGAAGGCACCGGAAGCCTCGGTGAAAGCGTTTTGGGCAGCGACCTGGGCAGGGGGAGAGAGCTCAGACTGGACCTTCAAGAGATAAAGGGCAGGGGGAGCGACAACAACCTCTACAATCGTCCGTCAGAACATGCAGACTAGAGACGGTAAAATACGTACCAGCAGAGCCGTCGAGCTTGGCCTCGTTGATACCCTTGATGATCTTCTCGATGGACTCGAGGGAGCCGTTCATCTTGAAGTTACCACTATAGACCATCGCATGTCAGCCCGTGTCCAACCGCCATCCGCCAGGCAACGTGTCCGTTTTCACGCTCGCCAGCACGTGTCGTCATAGCTACCCTCCACCTTGAATGTAGAAAAAGAAGGCGACGTACCCAACGAAGAATTGTCTAGCAGCCATTTTGTATATATGTCGTGTTGTTCGTGTAGGGAGAATGTTGAGAAGAAAGATGGAAAGAAGAAGGAGATGGAAAAGGGAATATGAATGGGCCGGCAGCTCTCGGACGTGTGATGCAACCGCGAGAGATGCCGGCGGGGGGCCCCGCTGCGTACCGAAAGGCCGAGAATCCCGATGTGGCGAAGCGAGCATTGTGGTGGGGTGGATGATGTCCGACTGCGTTGCATTTGAACCCCTGTGCATGCGTTATGAGGCAAGTGTAACGAGCGTGATGTATGATTGTTAAGTAGTGTGGTGACGGTGACTGAGTGAAGGCGAATATCCAGCCGATCATTGCACGCGACACGACACCGTTGAAAGAGCAGCTAATGGTTGGTTATCTGGTTATGAATCAGCATGAGAACTACTGTACTCGTACTGTACGCGTGGGCAGCGGAAGAGCGTAGCATTACACACGGCTCTACTGACTGTCAGAGCAATCATTCAAAAAGCATCTATAGATCGTTCAAGCCACAAGCCCATGGCAATGTTTGCTGTGATCAGAGGAAGTTCTCCTGATTATCACGCACGGGGACTAGCTCTGCTCAGTAGGCTGCTGTGACCTTTCTCCGTTTCCTTTCCTGTCACCAGGCGACGAGATACACTTGGGGCCAGCGCAAAAAAAGTAGAAGACACAAAAAAGTATTCTCCGTCCGGGATTCGAACCCGGGTCGTCCGCGACAAATCAAAACCAACTGTTCTTGAAAAGCGGATATACTAACCCCTGTACTAACGAAGAGGCACATGTTAAGCAAGCTGTAACTAAGCCTATATTCGTGGGTGTTTTGGGACGTAGATGCCAAGAGAGGTGGCGGTCGAAAGTTGTCCGATAATGACCATGACTTCCAAGAGGGGCAGATATATGAGCGGTCTTGACGAAGGAAGGGGTCTGCTCCTTCAATACGAGGAGGTCTTACATCGTTCGGTTTGGAGAGGGCGAAAGAAGAACCGCACGAAACGACAGTAAAGCCAGTCGGGCCAATTCGAGGGGAGATGACAGGAGGTGGAGAGCGGGGAAAGAGGTGGCAGGGGGGTTAGGAGGTAGAGCCCTCATGGCGGCCCTCGCAGGTATTTTCCGATCTGGCTTCAGCTCCTCTGCATTGTGACTGTGACTCTCAACCTGAGATGAGAGGAGACCAGACTTCTAGAGATGATGGACAACTTTCGAGCGTTGCATACTAGACAACCGATCCTTGGAACCATGCTACATACTCTATCTCGTCATAAATCGTTGATTTGCTCTCCCAGAAGCTTGAGAGTCATGGCCGATCTGCTCTATGAGACAGTAGTATGATACGAGAAAAACCAATCTTGTACAAGGCTTGTTTCTATTTCTACAGGCAATAGTCAGATCTCAAAAGTTCCACAACCAATCGTCAATGTCGTCCAACAGCACCGCACTCCCAGCCTTGTGCCCCCTTTTCCCTTCTTCGTATGCGCAAATCTTGCGCTCTCTCGAAGTACTGAGACAGCGACCGTTGAGAAGGCAAAGAGAGACGCGATAGCCTCTCAGGGCGCTCTGAAGACCTTTACATGCAGGGAGCTCGATCTGTGGGGCGATCAGCTGAATCCTGGGACGTGGTGCGATGACTTACCGAATGCTTCTCGTCACCAACAAAGTTCGTCAATCCCTTCACTCCGTACACCTCAACATCGTCATCATTAGCGTAATCAGTGTCCGACTCCATGTCTTGCACATCTTCGCCTCCACGGTCTTTCTTTGGCCGCTCGCATATCTGCTCAACCTGAACCATCGCAATGCTGTTGTTGGTAGCCCAATCGATAGCGGGAGAAGAGAGGTAGAATGAGATGGTAGAGGTAGGCGCTGATGATATGGGAGCCAAAAGACACTACCAACTTGTCAGCATGAGTCAGGCAAGTATTGAGAGTACGCACTTCTGGTGGACTTCCAAAGTACCTGTTTGGCCCGGGAGGCGCATCAACAACTTGACAGATCCCCACTATTCCATGCCACCAGCAATCCGTATCGCCCTTGTTCCCCCAGTACCCCTTGAAATTTCGCCAGCTATCTTCGCCCTCATGCTGAAGCCTTTGACGGTCGGAAGAGTTGGTCCAGTACTGGACGGGAAGGACGTGAGATTCGGTATCCCAGATGGGACCGAGGTCGTCTGTACTATCTATGATCTTGAGTAGATTGCCGATCTATGACATCATCAGCGGGCGCCAAAAAGGAGTCGGGGGAAGGAGACGCACCTCAGCATAAACATGTTCCCCCGGGTCGGGCCATATTCCATGACTGCCCATAGCCACATACGCCACAGGTCTCTCTCCAACTTTCTCTACATCCTCCCATCGGAGGGTTCCAGCACTGAGATAGCCGCCTTCGTGGGTGCTAAAGTCTGCTGATATGGGGGTGCCGTTGACTGTGCGCATCCGAAAGTGCTGTCAGATATGTGTCAGTTCTCTCTGAATCATCGTCTTCAAGTAATTGCAAAAGGCGACTCACTTCCCAGTCAGCGACATCTACAGATACTAGGTAAGTCTAGGCATTGCTAATAGACAGGAAATCGCTTACGATTACCCAGCACACCAAATCTACCAGCTGGCTTGCCAAAGTTGAAAGGATAGAACGTCCAATACCACAAGTCCTATCCCCAGCGTCAGCTCTGTCGCGTTGACTAAGCTCACCCACCACTATCCCTCTTCCTTGATCTACCCAGAAGCCATACACAGGCTCGTTCACTCTTCCCCTTCCATCCCCACTACTGAGATCTATCCCGCCTTTCTGTCCTGCGGGTCCGTACAGGTAATGCGACTCGGCATTGAGCAAAGCCGGTTGCGGGTTGTGTGGCTCAGAAATCGACAAGAACAACTGCGAGCCAGATAATGGTAGTGTATCAAGCTCAGATGGAGTCAAGATGGTGTGGTTCTGGCATGTGTTTCAGTGTCTGAGTGAGCATCGCGACAGTTGAGCTTACAGCTGGGTATGAGTCACCCGATGTGTTTTCAATCTGCAACGTGTCAGCTTTCACACATGGAATAGCGCATGTATACCCACATATTCGTAATGAGGCAGCATGTAGTCCACAGTACTGGGAAAGTACTTTTCGTCCTTGCTGCATACAAGTACGTACCACATCAGCCCCATCTACCCGCATGTCGATTCGAGCCGGTCAGACTCACGAGAGCTTGAGTATGGGAGCATACTTCTCTAGCAGCTTCGTAGGGTCATGATCAGCATTACTTTGGGACGTCCAAGGATGAGACGGTAGTGCTGCGGGCGGAGACGCTAGCCATGGAGCCTGTTGCGGAGGACGATTGAGAGGGGTGGCGAGGGCGGGAGTGCAGGCCAGGAGGAGGCCCAGCGCTGATGTATGCTGTAGAAGTGTTAGTAGAGCCCTGTATGGCGTGGAAGACTCACCATGGGGCCTGCGCTGCTGATGCATATGGAGGTGGCAACACAGAAGCAACGCATCATCCAGCCCGACGGCCCTGGTGCTAGATGTGGAGGTCCCGCGTCGGCCATAGCCGCCATCACGTAACCCATACATAGTGGAAGCATCGAGATACAGCCTTCGGTATAGCCATGACACTCATACGTGCATGCTATTAAGACCTGGTTTAATGAGAAGATGCCTCGGTGAACGAAGGTGGCAGTCCGCTAGTCTTCTCTCTCCAGCAATGTTGAACCAGAGGTCTGTCTGCTAGGAACATGGCACTTTTCCCTCTACGACGCGTTCCTCGACAGTCCTTATATGCTTGCTTGATGTAGCACATATTGCTATTAGCTAAGCCAGTCCAGAAGGGTTATTGTATAACGGTCATCGAAGCTCTTCTGCTTGCTGAGCCTCAGATCGCCATATGTGGTCAACAAGGCTGGCTATCGACTTGAATTCAGACAAGAGGCCAGTAGCTGCTGAATGTGTACATTCAGCTTGATCTGTCCATGATCCGTATCCAAATGACTCACGCGGGAAAGGCGCCGCGGCCGGTCAATTATCGCCGGCGGACCGATGCCTTGCCGTCTCGTCATTGCGTCGCTGTGGTCTCCTATGAAGTGATAAGTGCTCAGGGTCAACATACAAACGACTTGGCATATATGATTTACGGTAGTTGCACAGACTACTTGATATGAGGGAGGGGATAGGGTAATAGTCCATGAATGTCCGTAATTGAGCCAAAGGAAGAAAGTCTCACGTGAAACGCAACAGATTATATCACATGGACGTTATCACTTCTTACTCGACTAGTGGGGTATATATATTGATGAATGTGAGGGGTTGAGTAGATGTGACCGAAGAAGGGCAAACAACTATGCGGATAGCGTGCAAGAACTGTATAGAGGTGAGGGGTAAGGGGTATGGATGAGAAAGACCTCAAGACTCAAGCACGGCGAAGAATGATTGGAGGAGGGCGGGACGAATTTGAATCTCGTGTATACGGATGGTAAGCAGCCAACAGTCTTAGAAAGCTCATTGACTGAGAATGCGTTAGCGGACGTCTCAACCGACAAATGCTCGACTCACGAGGTGTTGTTCAAAGCCCAGTCACGGGCAAAGGTTGAAGCTCGCAGGAACTTCTTGTTGGCGTACTTCTTGTAGACGTAGACAGACTCAAAGTCGGGCTCGACGAGGCGCTCGCATAGTAAGGAAGCACCGGTGATGAGTTGAGACTCGGTAAAGTTCGAGTAGAAGACAAAGGCATCGTTCTGCGGTCAAGGTTAGTGTATGTTTGGGCTATCGAAACGGATACTCACCCAGTCACCACCGAGCATCTTCCTCGACAAGTACATCCCGATAGCAGCAATCATACTAGGCTTGCACCTGAGGAACCTGTGGTCCAACAAGGTGACCTCCATAAGGAATTTGCTTAGTGTTCGGGTTTGCACGTCATAGTCATCGGCCTTGGAAATACGTCGGACCCAAGAGTAGGGCGAACAGTAGGATGAAATGGCAAAGTCGAGAGTCTGGAGGATGATACGCTCGCCCTTGAGAATTTCGTCCTTGGTGTAACCGTTCTCGGTCATGTAGACAAACTCGTCTACTGAAGGTGCGAGAATCTCTTCGTACTTGGCAGCGATAAACATGGCGGTAACACCGACAAGTTGGAGCTTGACGAGAGACACCACTCGAACGGAAAGGAAACGGTCAACGATGTTGACGGCGATCCAGAGGGTCTCGGGAAGCATGTGGTAACGGAGGTGGACCTGAAGAAGCCAGTCGATGAGTGTCGTCCTCATGGTCCTAGGACTAGAGTCAGTCATGTTGAACGACGATCGGGACAAACACAACATACCATTCAATCTCGGTCTGGAAGTCCATGTACCTCGGGTTAGGCATGACAGACTCTTCAAGCATCTCCATGTGGCCAAAGATCTCATCGGCATACTCTGCAACCATGGTGGTGTCGAAAAGGTCGACCTCGTCCTTGAATGTTGCTTGAACGACATCGAGCTGTTCTTGCGCTCTGATCGCGTCCTCTTCGGGCATCCTTAGCCAGTCCTCCTCGTCCTCTTCCTCCATGTCGTCCTCCTCAGAGTCTTCGTCCAGGTACTCTTCCTCGACAGTGTCGATGCCTTGAGGGACAGAGAGCGTCTGCTGTCGCCGAGAGTCAACCTCCATCTGGAAGTCGTCCTCAAGGGAGAGTTTGCTGTCGAGCGAAGAGTAGATGGGGGCAGAGGTCTTTGACCGAGAAGGGATGGCCGCGATGGGGCGTGTGGGTTGCGCATCGTTGTTGCGGGAGGCAAGCGGTTGACGGACCTCGGCAACAGTCTTGCCAGCGGTGGCTTTCACTAAAAAAGGGCGGTTGGCTTACGATCGACATGTTTGGTGATGGACAACTTACGAGGCTTCTTTCCATCGACACCGTCTTCCTTTGCATTGACCACCACACCACCGAGCGCTGTTCTCTTCGCACCGACCTTGGCCGCGACAGGCTTCTTGCCGGCAACGGCAGCGGAAGCATTCGAGACAGCGGTCTTTTGGGCAGGACCCAGGTGGGACAGGGAAGGCTTGTTGCGGATGGACGGTTGGGGAGCGGCGTTCTCGTCGTTGCGAGAACGAGTAGCGGGACGGCGGGTGGCAGGGTTCTGGGACAGAATGTCAGCAAACATTGTCGTGTTTGTTGATTGGTGCAGATGTGATTGGTGTGGACGGGAGGGGAAGAAGGGTGTGGAGAGGAGTTATCACGTACTCGGGAGGCCATGATGGGTATGTGAAACGGTGGCTGAAGGATGGCAGGAGAGTTGCGGTGCTAGACGGATGTCTGACAAGTTGGATGAAACCGGAAGGGAGGATGTGCTGTGTGTTGGTGGAGTGTTTTCACCAAGCAAAGTTTGGCACCGGTGGAGGTACGGGGAGTGGAGCGCTTGGGGGTGTGAACTGGCCGTACTCTGTATGCGGATGGGGGCTATCTAGACTGGAGAAGCGAGGGGGTATAGGTCTAGCAGGTGGAGAGGGGTATGTTTGGTGGATGTGTGGGGGCGGGGTGGGGTATGTGCGGGTGGATCTGCCGTAATCGCCGTGGTCGCTGTAAAGAGTGAATGGGGGGGTGGGTGGCGGTGCGGTGGAGGCGGGGAGATGGGAAGGAGGAAGGATGAGATGCGAAGGAGAGAGGGAGTTGTTTGCGGCTCTGTTGCCTGCAAGTGCGTAACGCGGCGATCGCCGTCAGGGAAATCAAATCAAACTCGCGCAAACATGATGTGTATTTAAAACAACACGAGGCAGCGATAAACACCGGCGTTACGTACGGCGTTACGCTTGCAGTTGTTTCGCTGCCCATCGACGCTGTGTACCGCCAGTGGCACCCGCTGCTTTGTGGCTCCCCGACGACCGCATCCCATGCATCCTCTGCGAGATCGCCCATTCTTCCGTGGCTTTTCCAGCGGATCCAGCTGATCGATCGCCGAGCATACCCCTCCTTCACGACGGTAACGGTGACTAACATGCTAGAGGCAGTCAATGAGCGCACGGTCATTCAACATGCTTCCGTCAAGCCCGAACTTTTCGCAGATTCTTGCGCACGACCTATAGAAAGCGTCCTGGTTGTCATGATGTCAGACGAGCGGACCTCAACTGAGGAGAGGCTCTAGCTTCCGTGGGGGGTGTCGAGCTGCATGTGGTGCAGTCCTTGGCTGGTGCTCAGGAGACGCGCAGATATCATCAGGGCGCAAGTTTTGTCCGATGGAACATATATAGCAGCTGTACCTCGGGTCATCCCCGAATGCAAAATGCTTGCGATATCGGCTTATATTTCTAGCTCATGACCTGCAAGCTGCGGCTGTCGCCTATGTAGCTCAGGTCCTCAGGACACCGGACCAATGTCGTGTTTGTGGCTGACGTTGGGCTTATGTACCTACCCGCGCAGCCTCAGCTAGACTCGACTCCCCACCAGGCCATTCCCCCTCATGGGCACTCTCGTTTCATGACATCCACATTAGGTTGATCTTGACACATCACGTAACATCTCTCCTACGTTATTCGTATACAACAAACCTCTCTTCCTCTTCGCATCCTCTATCGCGTCCTGAAAGTTCTCCCCGTAGCGGTCTTTCTCTCCGCCGCCACCTCCGGCTTGGCCCGATTCAAAATCTTCAAAAACTCGGCCACCCTGTATCTCATCCTCGAGTGCATGTACGCCTTGCTGCACTTGATGTGGTAGTGGAGATAGTCGCGGAAGAGCTGGATGCGGTTGATGGTGGCGAGGGCCTGCTCAGAGTTGGCATAGTGACGCGGGTCGAGGACTGTCCGACGTGTCAGTCATGTGTACCATCTATGGATGAGAAACGACTTGCCGAAAGTGACGTAGCCCCAGTCTTCGCCGTTCTTGAGCCCGGGGAGATGTCGGATTTCAAGAGGAGGTTCTCGGTTCGAGTACAACACCTGAGGAGCATTCTGAAGACTCTGAAGTCTTCGCGCATCCACAAATTCCTATCATCCCCATCAGCGTCCCATCATGACAGACTCCAAAGCAAACGCACCTGCAAGAATACCCTTCCATAAACCCTATCCGTCTCCTCCTTGAACACTGTCGAGAAAATGACCGTCACACGATCATGGCTCGCCTGAATATAGATCGCCTCTTCCTCCCTATACTTGACAATCTTCAGCTCGCCCTTCACCTCTGTCGCTTGGAGATCGGCCTGCTGCGCGCCGGCAGGCTCCTTATAGGACGCCTTGAGGGAGGCTTGTTCGGTAAAGGCAGAGAGGAAAGGGGCGGCCATGGCGGATGATTTGAGGTAAGAGGTCTTTGACACAAGGGCGATACGCTCCTCTACTTGTACATTAGCACCGCACCAGTCTGCTTGGGATGCGACATACCAGGGCTCGCAGGGAGGTTCTCCAAGTCAATCAACAGACTGACATCGTACTCTGGCTCCACATCTCCGTCACCAAGCAAGAACCCCGCGAATTCTTGCTGGAGGTGCTCCTTGGCGCCGTACTTGACGAGGTCGGGCCAGCATTGGATAGCCATGGAGAGGAGGATCTGGGTCTTGGAGGAAGGGGTGGAGAGGTGGAACCGGACATTGTCGTAGTCTACGAATTGGATGTCTGCCTTGGATGGCCTAGAGGGCTTGTCAGATGAGCCGCCATGGATAGAGAAAAGGGCGCACTTTTCGAAACGGTCGGTCAGGACATCGTGAATGATCACATTGTGAGACTATGCGTCGTTAGCGCACACCCCTTCACCTGTCTTGCTCTGTGAACAAGACTCACTTCCAGGAGGATCATGTTGGGCTTGTACTGCTGATGTGAGGGCGGGGTAGACACAAAGCAGGGGTGTAGAGGAGCAAGAGCGAGTGGATGGATGGGTCGAGGAGGTCGATGCGATAGTGACGCATCACCGCTCTTGCGGGATCAATTTTCAGGTACCACGCCTGTTGACTGATGGTGCAAGTCAGAAGTGCAGCCTGCATGCGTCTTGATCTCTACGATTATGCTGTAAGGGTAAGGCCCTCTGTGGCTTTGGGATTCAGTGCTGTTCACTTGTATGCGGAATAATCGCAGCTGAGAAGGACAACAAGCGGGTCAGAGCTCAATCTTCCGACAAGTGCGGTTTCTTGGCTCTCCCGCACGTCGTAATTCAAAATTAGCTTGAGCGTTCATGCCAGCTATTGTATGTTAACGGGGATACCAACCAGAATCGCACCTTTCCAACATGACCCGCATAGCCCTTCTATCGGAGGATAAGTGCAAGCAGCGAGATCTGATTGCAGCGCGCCAATCGGACGGGCACGCTGTAATGTTCGCTTTTACATACTCCGGCCTCACAGTAATAAAGACGTCATGGCTGAGCGTGCCACGGGTCCTCTGGGGCGACACGCATGCATGGATAGACGACGAACCAAACAAAAAGGGGCGGAAAGCGCCACATGTGGGAAACGCCGATGATCCGGAGAGGGCCGACGCGGGGTGGCTGGGCATCACGTTATGGCGACGACCAAGAGGTACAAGTAGAGCAGCGGCATCCATCCAGCAACTTAGCAGAGGTGTCCCCATCCCCCTTACACAGAGTACGTCCAAGTCCCCCGAGACCCCTCCCTCCCCCTTCCGCCACGTGGCCGCGGATACAGTCTGCCTCTCATATCTCTCCCGCCCTTCTTCTTCTCATTCTTCTGCATCTTTCTTGTCATCGCGTACTGATCCCACTCAGCGCGCGCCGTCTCCCCTACACTCACCATGTCCAGTGACCGCGGAAGAGGCAGAGGGGGAAACCGTGGTGGGCGAGGCGGTAGCGACGGTTCAAGCCGGTAAGACATTACCGTTCCGTCAATAAGCTGGGAGACTGACCTGTCATTGTAGCGGCCGAGGCGCCTGGCGGAACGGCCCCCCTCCCACTTTTACGCCCAACCCCAGAATGAGCATTAACGACCAGTGAGTCTTCTTTAACGTCGTCATGTCGGACCGCAGAATGACGCGCTAATGTGGCGTATGAAGCATGAACGACATGAAGATCGTCCAAGGCGTCCAGAATGAACGAAAGGGTTTCCAGACAGACACCGACATCTCCCGCACCACCAGCAACCCCAACGCAGAACGTGAACTCCAGCCCTGGGTCCCCGACGGCCCCGCCGCCGCGGCAACTGCCTCGCCTTCGCCCCGCCCGAATGGAGGCAACGCCGATCTGGAGACGTTTGGCCAGGCAAAGAACATTCCGTGGGATCAGTTTGAGACGAACGAGAGGCTGTTTGGGGCAAAGACAGACTTCCAGGAGGAGTTGTATACCACCAAGCTCAACAGAGGCGGTGCCGACTATCACAAGAGGGAAAAGGAAGCGGACAGAATGGCGAAGGAGATTATGGGCGTGAGTCACTGTCTCCTTTGGTAGACGTGTACTGATGTCGATCCAGCAAACTTCCAAGAATGCGCACGTCGCAGAAGAGCGGGGCCAGGTCGACACTCGAGACGAAGAGGAAAAATACTCTGGCGTTTCTCGTGCCCCCAACGCCTATGTGCCTCCTTCTGCTCGACGTGGCAACAGCGGTCAAGCCCCGGCTGCTCCTCGCGCCTCTGTCAATGGCAACCAAGCTCCCCAAGCCCCCGAGCCACCCAAGGCCGAATCGCCCGCCCTGGTTCCACCCGCCGGTCCCGCTCGCAGCACAAGCGATGAAGTCGTCAACACTGCGCCCCAATCTGTTCCCATGAAGGCTTCCGGTACCAGCACCAACATCCAGCCCGTCACTGAGGGTGCGACCTCGTCCATTGCCGAGCAGAAGAATGAGCTCAGCGGTGTCGTCAACGAGTGGAGGCAGTTTGTTGGGACCGAGCGCGAAAAGGTGGAGGCCAGAAGAACGTCGGCTTTGAAGACGGAAAAGGACAAGCAATTGGCCGAGTTGAAAAAGTTCCAGGCAAGCTTCAAGGTGCCGCTGCCGATGCCCAAGGACATGCTTTCGATCTTGACCAAGGATGAGGCAAAGCAGAAGGATATTGAGGCAAAGGCTGCCGCCGCCCTCGATGCTGCCAAAAAGGATCGCAAGACCTCTTTGGCGGCTGCGCCTTCTCCTGTCAGCGCTGCACCTCCCATCCACACCAATGGCAAGACCGACGCTCCCCGCCCTCCTGGTTCCAAGAAGATAAACATGAAGATCCCTGAAATCCCACCTTTCAACGCCGCCAAGCGCAAACCACCCCCCGTGCCCGTCGCCGAGTCTGCCCAAAACGACATCAAGCTTCTCACCTCTCCCACTCCCTCCAACGTTTCGCTTGCGTCTACGAGACTCAACCCTACTGCGAGCTCATTCGTCTTCAAGCCGCGTGGGGACGCGCAGGCTTTCAAGCCTGGGCAGCCATCTGTGGCTGGGAGTCCAGCGGTTTCTGCCAAGCAGCCTACTGCTGGCCCGTCCACGGCATCCACTCCTGCCCCTGCTCCCGCTCAGAACCAACCTCGCGGCAACCAATTCTTCCGTGAAAAGCTCCCCGAAAAGTTGTCAGTCAACCCGAGGGAAGACTTCAACCCATGGAAGCACAGGCCCGTGGAGCAGCCTTCCTCTGTGGGTTTGGCTTGGGGCTTCTCGGGCAGAAAGGCTGGTGTACCACCGGCGTTTGCAAGCCCCGCCCCAGGTGTACACTTGCAGTTTGACGATGATCCCAACTCTATTTCCCCACACCCTGCTCAGCCGGCTTTGATGCCTGGTATGCCGCCCAACTACCCTCCTTTCGGCCGATTCCAGGTAAGTCGCGAACTGTATGCGTGTGACGATGCTGACCCAGAGTAGCCCGGTATACCCCCGCCTTACGCTGTTCAGGGTATGCAAAACCCCATGTTCTCCCCTCCTCACTTTGCTCCTCACCCAGGACAACAAATGGGCCAGCCTCCCCAGCATATGATACCCGGTGGTCCACAGCATAACAGTATGTCAATTTTTGACAACTAGAATTTGAGCCCAACTGTCGCAGTGCCCATGTATTTCCAAAACGGCATGCCTCACTCCCCCGCTTTCCTCCCCCCTCAACCCATGCAACAATACCCCCACACCCCTCAACGCCATGTCCAAGGTCCTGGACCGGGCGGACCCAATGGTCCTCCACAGATGTTCTACCCCAACCAGGGTCCACCCATGCCTCACCAAACTCCTCGTGCGTTTCTACCATCTGCCATTTGACGACGCTGACAATAGTGGATAGTGCAACAACACCAAATCCCTTATCCCGGCCACTCTCCCGCTCAAGGGCACCAGCCGCCATTCCAGCAAGCACCGCCGCCGCAGATGCAAATGTCGCCCGTACCGGGGCACGCACATGCGGCGCAGGCACAGCAGCAACCTGGGGCTTGATGCAGAGGCAGAGATAGTGAAGACGGTGTTAAATGGAAGGGTGAAAAGGGTGCGGAAGTATCCACGCAGATCTTGTTGGAGGAAAGGGTTGATGGAGAAATTGTTGTATAAGGGAGAAAGAAAGATGAACGGGATCTGTTGCCGGGATGCTGAAGATGGAGAGAGAGGATGAGCACATGGCAGCAGGCAAGAAGGTGCTGTGGTATCTTGCAAGAGGTGACCTTGCAATGCTATCCAATTCCAATTAAACAAACCGTGTGGCGAGGGTTGAGCATTTTCACATACAGCTTGTCCATGATCCTACTTGTGCGGCATGTATTGCAACCCTTGTCCTTTGCGGTACACGGAATCGGATATAGCATAGACGTGCGCAAGAGATAGATCAAATACGAAAGAAAGCAATCGTCAAAACGACACGACTGTCCTATAGCTTCTCTCTCTTCGAGTTGCAAGTACCTTTTGTACACTTTCATGACACAACTGGACAGGATCTGGTGCTGCTATACACTCAGGCAGATAGGTAGCGACAACAGGCTTTACACAGCTCTTAGCAGAGCATGTCGCAACACATCTCTTCCGCACAGCAACAACAGAGCACTATACACTTGTCAGCTTCTGTCCTATACAGGAGCATGGATGCGATGCGACTCACTACCGGCGAGACTGTAGACCGTGGCAGGAAGAGGGAGAGGATAGTAGTTAGCGAGCAGATAACCGAGGATAAAAAGGACCGAGCTGAACATACCAGGCGCAGCATCCACCACCACCGCTAGACTTCTGTGGTTGCTGTTGGATGTAGACCGGTTGAGGCTGAGGCTGGGGGTAGCTATGATTATAGTGGGTCAGTTGATGCATCTACCAGGATTTCAGAGTAGCAGAACCTACTATTCTGTTCGAGAGCGAGCGGCACGAGGCATCACCAGGTTAGTCAGAATATCACGAGGCTGCATGAGAAGAACGTACGGCCGGGCTGCTGGTAGGATTGCTATGACACTCATATCAGCTTATGCCCCTCTGGACTGACCGTGTTTGGCTTCGGTTTTCTGTGATGAAGACTCACCTGGGGGGCAGGAGGGTAGTATCCACCCTGCTGCTGGGGGTACCCGCCGTACTGCTGACCGTACGGTTGTTGCCTATAGTATGACCAAAAGTGTTTTGAATGGACCGATATAGATTGAGAAAGAGGGAAGAGTGGCAAACTAGGTCAGCGACTATCCAGATTCGGGTGTTATTGACGTGGCGCGATAGACGGCAAGAGAAGCAATGAGGGGTGGTAGGACGGGTAGGAACACCAAGGAGAGAGGCGATTTGTGTTCAGGAGATAACATACTGGTTGTGGTAGTACTACAAAATTCAATGGTCAGCCATTTCTTGCGGTCAAAAACAACAACAAAGCTGGCACAGCAATCTCTCCTTCGACACAAACAAAAGCGCCAGGTCCGTCCGACAGGGGCCACTTGCCGCAAGGGACGGGGCCAAGACAAAGGAAAGGCGAAGCACTCACATCTCTGGCAGACATCTTGGTTTATTGGTTCTTGGCTTGAAGTATTTTATCAAACTGGAAGATCTCGTAGCAAGTGACGAAACGAAGCATTCAATTGTTCGGCAGGTCAGGAAATTCAGGGTTGTAGGCTATGGACGGCGACCGCCGCTTGGCTACCACATGCGTGCATGCTTGCGGCTGTGGCGTTCGTTTGGGTGGCGCTTAGACAGTGAGCACCGCTGCGCAGGCGAGAGGCTATACAGACTGGCGGAATAAGTGTAGACAGAGGGATGCAGGAGGGATCCATGGTAATCGTTCGAACACACCACGACAATTTTCTCTGGCGGTTCGGCAGCAGAGTCAAACACAGGGCGGTTCTTCGCCTCACTCGCCTCGCTGCTCGCTGCTCTTCCTGGTCCGGCCGAGTACGTACCCCTCAGTCAGTCAGCAGTTTGCATATGCCCTTCAACCAGTCAAGGTGAACTGTATATACCACATCAATAAACATCTACAGCCCATAAATGCCCGCTCCCACACCTTCTTCATCTCTCAACCGCTCCCCGAGCTTGAAGTATTCTTGCAAACACTCGGGATTCCGTAAAGTGGAGGGGTTGATGCTGCTCAAGGGCGCGCCATTAATCACTTTTCGTATGGGTACTGGTATCGTTGTTAGCCTGAGCTGCAGAAAGAGAAGTGAAACTGGAAGATACCTTCGATTCGTTTGCCAGTGAGGGTGACGGGGATGTCTGACGCTTGCAGGAACTGCAACATCAACTCATCAGCTCGGCTTAGGGTATCAGGTCATGGGTTTGAACAAACCTTGGCGGGCACATGCCTCGCACTCCTAGCGCTCCTGATACTCGCCTTCATCTTTCCCACCAAACCCTCACTCAAAGTCTTCCCTTCCTTCATCTTGACGAAAAGCACGACCTTCTCGTCACTCCCACCAGAAACCATGAGCCCCACAACCAAGCACTCTTCCACCCCTTCACCTTCTGCATACTCTTTCGTCTCTAGGACAGAGTAGATGTCTGTCGCTCCGAATCGGATCCCGCCGGGGTTCAGAACACCGTCAGAGCGACCGAGCATGACGAGACCGCCCGAGTTGCCATCTCGAGATGGAGTGATTTGGACACTTGGACCAGCTCATCAGCGACGTGTTGAATGAGATAAGCAGGAACGCACTAGTCTCCATGGTACCAAACCCCGCCATCTCCTTTGAAATAGCTCTCTTGGAACCTTTGCTTGGCTGCCGCGACTTGATCTTCCGAGAAGCCTGATCTGTGCAGTGGCCAGAAGCCCAAGGGTTCGATAGGGAATGCTTGGGTACAAATCAGTTCTCCAGGTTGGTCGGGACCGGCGTCGGTGTCGAGCGCACTGTAAAGTGGGATCAGCAGGGGCATTTGTGGAGCCTACGAAACCTACAAGCCGAGCATGCGACATTGGATCTGGCCACGATAGACTGGTAGATTTGTATTGCGTCCGGCAAACACTGAGCATACGTCCGTGCCACCTTGATTAAGGTCAGTCTATGGGCTTATACCGGATGTGCGTAAAGACTCACCAGTAACAGACCCCAGCAACACATCCTTCTTCACCTTGCCATACACAAAATCATACGAGCTCGGCGGTAAGGGGCTTCCGGTACTCAATATCTGCTCCAAAGTCCCCAGATCATGCTTCTCTCTCACATTTGGATACGCCCTCTCTGTATACTCCAACCACTTTGCGCTTGTCCCAAAGACCGTCACGCCAAGCTCATCCACCATATCCCAAAGCCTCCCCTCGGGTTTCAGAGGCGATCCTTCGTAGAGGACGATGGTAGATCCGGTGGAGAGGGAGGATATGAGGTATTGGAACATCATCCAGCCGGGAGTGGTGTAGTAGAAGAAGACGGACGATGGGCCGATGTCGCCGGCGAGGTGGTGTTCGCGGAGGGCGTCGAGGAGCATGCCGCCTTGGCGGTGCTGCAGCTACGTCAGGTCCTGTCGGGGAAGATCTCGAGACAGATACTCACGACAATGGCTTTGGGTTTACCGGTAGTACCACTGGAGAACAGGATCCATATCGGCTCGTTGAAGCCAATTCTCAAGAACTCGGTGTCTCGTTCCTCACTATCCAGCCAGCTGTCCCACCGCTTCACCTGACCTTCAAGCTCTTTTGGTGTACAAGCGATCTCTTCTGGCAGATGATCTACGACCACGACCTGCGTTGGAGGTTTCGAGAGGGCTTCGAGCAGCGGTCCGACTTTGGCCAACAACGGCCTCGGCGTACCACCATACACTACCCCATTTGTGACCACCAGAACCTCTGGCTGTATCTGCTCCAGCCTCTCCACCACACCCTCCGTTCCAAAATCCGCTGCTGCCGACGAAAAAATTGCCCCGAGGGACGAAGTAGCGAGGAGCGTGACGACGGCTTCGAGACAGTTTCCACCCCAAAAACCTACACGGTCGCCTTGTGACACACCGGCTTTCTTGAGTGAGCGCTGCGCGCGACCCACGAGAGTGTATAGCTCGCGCTGTGTCATCCGCTTGGTGGGTGCTTGGTAGCCGTCACATGACTCTGATACTTGGATGATGGCAATGTCGTCGGGACGAGTTTTGGCGTGCCGAAGCTGGTTTTCAGCCCAGTTCAGCTCAGCGCCCTGGAACCAGAGGGGATTGTCCTTCGGCGTCCTGCTCTCATCGACATAAGGTCCTTGCCCGCCCTTGTCTCCCAAGACTTGCTCATAGTCCCATACGGCCGACCAGAAATCTGAGCGGTGGGTGCAAGACCATTGCCAGAGGTCGTTGTAGTCTGCGAGGGTCAGGCCGTGGGCGGTATTGATGTGGCGGAGGAAGTGGGCTGTCTGTGTGGTGCTGGGGCTGGGGGGCGACCAGAGGGGGGGCTCTTGGGACATGGCGAGTGATGAAAGAGGAGATGCGCCCAAAATCATCCTCCAGCAGATGTGGATCTCCCGGCAAGAGTTACCCGGCGGCCATATCCGTTCGGCGATCCGGTCTTTGCAAGCGACGCGGTCGTGTACTTTTGTCTTCTTGACTTGAGCGTCGATGGAATGATGAGTAGACCACAGGAATGAGAGGGATACATGATCAAATATGCCTTTACACTTGATGCCCGCGGAAGCCTACATACAACTCGCATCGCCAGGAGATCTTTCTCCGATCCTCATTGTATGGAGCATGACGAGACAAGTCACTGCCTATAGGATGACCACCATTGTGATGCACAGTTGTATTTGAAATTCATTACAAGATTGACTTTTCCATCAGTACAGATTTACAGCATCGTACGCCTCCCTCCACTCTCCAGACCCACACACTTAGGCCCAGCTCCAGATCTCCCCATTACCCAACTTCCCTTCATCATCACCATACCAAGCAACCCCCAACAAATGTCCACCAATCTCCTCCCTTCTCCTCACTCTTACCTCCCTCTCCGCTTGCTTCTTCCAAGCATCAACAAGCTCCCCCGAAAGACCGAGGTCCCAGGCCCACCCTTCCGCCGGGCAGAGGGTGGAAGAAGATGCAAGAGAGTCGATGGCAGAAAGGAGAAGAGGTAGCTGGTAGGGAGAGAGGTTGGAGATGTGGGTTATGAGGAATTTGTCGCTGATGGAGATACAAGATACCGCGAATAGGACTATTGCGTCGTCTTCCTTCTTCCCAGAGGACGAGGGGATACGGATACCAACAGGTAGAGGCTCGGGTGTGGGCCTTTTCCAAGAACCCTTGACGGGCACAGAGTCCAACACACCCGGTGAAGCTGGGTCGGTGATGAAGACAGCATTCTGGGACGTGTCCGTCTGGCGCAAGTTGGACTGAAGGCGGGCAGAGATGAGGCTGCCGACATCTTCAAGGTCTTGAAGATGGATCCACGAAAAGGAGCCTTCGACAGTAGCTGGGGGCAGGATCTTCCAGACGAGTTCAGAACACTGAGCATCGTCCACCACCCATCCCGGTCGGCCTTCTCCGATAGAACACTTGGAGTAGAAGCTTGAGCCCACGTCGGACCAAAGATAGGACCCAATCGCCTTGGGAATTTGTTCAGCTGCTTGGGCGGGAAGGGGGATGCTGGGCTGGTCTTCCCCCCATGAGGCGGGGATGGGTGGGAGAGTAGATTCGGGGGAGAGATGTCGGTGCAGGAGGCTCAGGAAGCGAGTGGCATAACCGTTTCCTGCTTGCTCATTAGCATGAGGACAGCGAACGAAGAAAGGCTACTTACGGCCATGGGCTTTGGGTGTCACGACAGAGGCAATGCAATACACAAAGCCCGGTTCGATATCCGTTGTGCCTTTGCGCTTGATGAATCCTTGCCTGCGGTATCTACGATACGGTTAGGTCAGTCAAGGCAATATGGGGACCGAATAATGGAGGCAGCCTACGTCTCACAGCCAGAATAGATTTCGCCGTTCGGGTCGTCTTTTCGGACCAACACCCTGTTGACATAGATCAGCATGCCATCGCTCGAAGCAAGCACAGTGCTCAGCTAGAACTTACCAAGTGACAAATGCCTCCTTGCCCCACTTTGCTTCTGTCCTCTCCCTTATAGACACCTTGCGGTACTCCTACATCTCCATGAGTGATTCGCGATAGCCAATGACGACACTCACCTCGAACGGCTCACCCTTCTGCCAATTATCATACCCTGCCAGGGCATGCTGCTTCTCCTGATCCTTATTCGCGACCTTGATAGTGAAATCCTCGAGGTTGGCTTTGATGGACATGTTTCTTGATGGTATACAGAGTCGACGCAGGACCACAAAAGATCCCATGTCATCTCCGTCTTGCCGTCCGGTCCGAGATGTGGCGGCGATGCCCGATACATCCGTCGGCTCTCGTTCAGATCTCGTTTATGACTTGCTTTCCAGAGCCATGCTAATTGGTATACCAGTCCATGCATATACGGTACCCTACTGAGCAGTCAGCGCAGAGATGAATTGACTGCATCAATTGCCTGAATTCACCCCCAGCTGTGTGCCGAGTTACCGCCATGCCGGCTGTCAGATCCGGGAAGCAACGCGGCACCCATTTTGCACTTCTTCTTATCTCGCTGCTAATCGCCCTGGTGCTAAAAGATAACGAGAAGCGGAACAGCCGATGTAGAGACCGAAGTACCGTCTTCCGCTGGTCGCCTGCCTAGGACGGGGGGTACATATACCGCTACTGCCCATGCATCGAGGGCCACCCACCCACCCAGCAGCAGCACCATGATCCGCCCACGCACCTTGCCATCCACTAGACCACCCACCAGCTCCACCCCCCGCCTCCCGCTCCCCCGGCCATTGTCGAGAGGCATTGCCGCCCCCCGTTCTTTCTGCTCTGACTCTGGCCACAACCACAAGTCTGGCTCAGGCTTTTCTCGCCGGCGGTACCTCCCCCTCACCCTCCTCCCCGCCGGCTTGCTCCTCCTCCCCTCGCTCTCATGCGACTCTGACCCCGCCACCTCCCCGCCCCCATCCCCATTGGCCATCGCCCCCGTCTCCGAGCTGCTGCGCTCATGGTTCGTATGGGCCATGATCTGCACCCCTGGCATGGTCGACTACTCTCCCGGTCTCCTCTCCCTCATCTCCCGCACCCCGCTCAAAACGCCCGTCGAGTGGTTTGTCCGACACACCTTTTTCGCCCAGTTCAACCCGGGAGAGACGGTGGCTGAATGTATGTCCGAAGTACGCTCTTTGAGAAAGAGCAACATTGGCACGGTAGTCAACTATTCGGCAGAGGTGGATGAGAGCGGTTTGCATGAGAGTGGAGCGGAGAAGTGGGAGAGGGAGGAGAAGGATAGGCAGAGGAGGTTGGAGCAGGTGGTGGTTGCTTTGGACGTTATGGGCGAGTATGAAAAGACTTTACCCTTGGAACAGAGAGGAGCGTCTGGGTTTGCTTTGAAGATGGTACGTTCCTATCATCCCTAAGAGACAGAAACTGACCTAGGAGTAGACCGGCTTGATCGACGCCAACGTACTCGAGCGAGCCTCATACACCCTGCTCCGTATGCGCTACGCCGCCCCCCAGACACCCATCACCACACCAAACTCGGCAACCTTTGTGCCATACCCCGGAACGCCCGAGTCTGCCGACGGGCAGGTCATCGCCCGGGACCACATGAAGAAGCTCGTCGACCCGAAGGAGCTGTTCAGCTTGCAAGGCAAGGTTGAGGCGATGGGGACCAAGGCGGAGGACGTGAGGTTGAAGGAGGGCGATCTGGAGCAGTTGGCGACACTGTGGCAAAAGTTGAGGATGCTTGGGCAACGGGCCAAGGACAACAAGTGAGTGGAAACCCTTTCCTGTTTAGACATGAGCTGATAAAGAGTAGAGTTATACTGATCATTGACGCCGAGCACACTTGGTACCAGCCCGCTATGGACGCCTACACTCTGTTACTGTCTGAAGAGTTCAATCGTCCCACTGGAAACCCCAAAGACATCTGTCCCGTCATCTAGTGCGTCCCCGCCGCCATCTTTCTTGTGCCAGACTGACACTCGTGGCAGCGGAACATACCAATCATACCTCACCCGCCAACCGACCCACCTCCTCGCTGCCATCGCCCACGCCGAAGCGAACGGCTACGCGCTCGGCCTCAAAGTCGTGCGTGGCGCGTACTATCTCCAAGAACGCAAGAAGTGGGCGGATGAAGGACGAGCTGGCAACGACCCTATCTGGCCTACCAAGCCTGCTACCGATTTGTCTTACAACGGAGCTATCGCCACGCTTTTGAGCACATTGTCCGGGCAGCTGAAGGGCAAGCACCCCGAGAGGGCGTTGAGTGTCGTCTTTGGTACGCACAACACCGAGTCTGCCGATAGCATTTGCGAAAACCTGGTCAAGTACGGTCTTGCCGAGAAAGACAAGGAGTCTGGTTTGTTGCGTTTCGACCCTGCTGCCAAGGGCCACGTCCGCGTCGCCCAGCTGTATGGTATGAGGGACGACCTGACAAACAGCATGGCTACCCGATTCGTGAACGACGGTAACCCTGTGGCGTACAAGTACATTTCGTACGGCGCGTTGGCGGAGGTGATGCCTTTCCTGGGCAGGCGAGCGATCGAGAACAAGAGTTTGATGAGCGGAGAACACGGAGCTGCGGGGGAGAGGAAGAAGGTGGGGCGAGAGTTGCGGAGAAGGGTGTTTGGGTAGTGCGGCATTGGGTGGTTGTTTGGTTCAGGTTGTAGCTTTTCCGGAGTAATGATCGTCTCTCGGGGCATTATGGTTGTAAGTCATTATAGATGCATCACAGATTCATGGGATTGATCTGCAGAGTTTGCAGCGGAAGCAGATGGGCACACATGCACACATCACCACAACAGCAACAGGGCCTCGAAAGGATTTCGTGCAGCCGGCTTATCGCTCCCCACTCCTTCCTCTGCCTTGTCACCACATGCTCACCCACGCTATCCCCTCAGCCATCCATCACAGGACAGATCAGAAGAGCATACGTGTTTGATCGTCCCCCCTCGCCTGTGCCCTGCCCCCATTTGTCTTTCCACCCCCGGATGTCCGCGGCAATCTAACCTCTGGCGCTTCTCGCCTTTCGGCCACGCGCTGCGAGCCGACCCCCGCCCCGGACATGCATCCGTCCAGTTGCTCTCGACTCGTAACGCATGTCTAGGGCCCGAGGAGGGCAACACTCGCTTGACGATGTCGGACGAGATAGGACTCCTGATAGGAAGAAGACGCCCTCTGTTGCTGTGGCAAATCGTTCGGCGATCTGCGCCTGGACATGATAAGAGTCACCTGCACCACCTGATAGACAGCAGCCAGCAGGTGATTGGGATTCAGAGCAAGGGTCCCCTGTAGCACCCAGTCTCCACCCCCTGGCACTACGCTGGGTACGCTGGGCTACGCATGCACCCCCTACACTCCCCAGGTCGCAGCTCCGGCCGTGGGAGTGTTCGGGAGTGCCGCTTATCTTTGTTTATCCCTGAACGGTAATGCCTACGTGCCTGGCTCCATTTTTGAATTCCGGGTTTCCAGCAAATAGCCCTCGCAAAATCACCATCTCTTCTCTCTTCCACATCCACCATGTCCACCTTCAGGCCCATCCTCCGCTCCCTCAGGGGAAACACCCCCCTCAGGCAAACTACCCCGCCCCTCCGCTCCACCAGACCCACCTTCACCTCCAACCGCCTCCTCTCCACCCGTTCCTCGCCATCGGGCCACAGCTCTGGCGGTGGGGGCGGCGGGGGCAAGCGACGCTACCTCCCCTACGCCCTTCTCCCCGCTGGCCTCTTCCTCTTGCCCGCCGCCACCCTTGCTTGCGACCCCGACCCCTCCACCCTCCCTCCCCCGTCCTCCCTCTCCTCCGCCTCTACCTTCCAGCTCTTCAAAGCCTGGTTCGTCTGGACCCTCATCTGCACACCGGGCATGGTCGACTACTCGCCCGCCATCCTCGACTTTTTCTTCAAGACACCGCTCAAAGCCCCCGTCGAGTGGTTTGTGCGAAACACCTTTTTCGAGCAGTTTGTACCTGGCGAGAGTGTCGCAGAGTGTATGCCTGCGCTGCACGCGATGAGGGAGAGGAATGTCGGTGCGATGCTCAACTATTCTGCCGAGGTCGACGAGTCGCAGTTGAAGGGCAGCGGCCCTGATCGCGACGCGCAAGACAGGGCTGAGCGTGAGAAAAAGCTCGGTCAGGTTTTGCTCGCGTTGGAAGTCGCTGGAGAGTACGAGAGGGGTTTGCCTATCGAGCAGCGCGGTGTCACTGGGTTCGCCCTCAAGATCGTAAGCCTTTTCGAGAATAGTGCGGTGAGCATCCGGCTAACACGTATATAGACTGGTTTGGTGGACTGCAACATTCTCGAACGCGCCTCCTACTCTCTCCTCCGTCTCCGCCCCCTCACCAATTCCAACTCTGCCACCTCGCCCACCTCTGCCACTTTCGTCCCTTACCCCGGTACACCCCAGTCCGCCGATGCGCAGATCGTCGCTCGATCCTCCATGGAGGGCGAGCGAGGCCTCGGTAAAGGCTTGGAGCTTCTCGCTTTGGGGGGCAAGTTGGATGAGATGGGTGTGCTGGAGAGCGACCATGGATTGCGAGAGGGCGATATGGAGGAGCTTAATGAGCTTTGGGCCAAGTTGAAGATCATTGGTAACAAGGCCAAGGAAAACAAGTACGTCTTTCGGCATTCCCGATAACGAGGGTGAGAGCTGACGAGATGGCAGTATCAACTTGTTTGTGGATGCCGAGCATACTTGGTACCAGCCCGCTCTTGACGCGTACACCCTGTTGCTGTCGCAAGAGTTCAACAGACCGCCCGTCAAGAAGGACGACACCTGGACCGGTCCCATCATCTTGTACGTCCCCTTTCCCTTCTTTTGTGCGATAAGTTGACCCCGGGGCAGCGGTACATACCAATCCTACCTCACCCGCCAACCATCTCACCTCATCCACGCCCTCGCCCACGCGGACGCCCACGGCTACGCCCTCGGTATCAAACTCGTCCGCGGCGCCTACTTTATGCAGGAACGCCAGAAATGGCTGGACGAAGGCCGACATGGTGCTGACCCCATCTGGCCCAACAAGCCTGCTACCGACATGGCTTACGACGGGTCCATTGCGACCATCATGACAACTATGAAGGAACAGTTGGACAGCCAGCACCCCGAGCGAGCGTTGAGTGTCGTCTTTGGCACGCACAACTCGGAGAGCTGTGATCTCGTGTGTGACGGGTTGGTCAAGAACGGGCTTGCGTTCACCGACCCCATTTCGCACATGCTCCACCTCCGCCCGGACGTGCGGGGCAAGATCCGTGTGGCTCAGCTGTACGGTATGAAGGACGACCTCACGGACAGGATGTCTACGAGGTTTGTGAATGACGGCAAGCCCGTGGCGCTCAAGTATATTGCGTACGGCAAGTTGGACGAGGTGATGCCTTATTTGGGACGAAGGGCGATTGAGAACAAGAGCTTGATGAGTGGGGACCATGGGAGTGGGGCGGAGAGGAAGAGGGTTGGAGCAGAGTTGAAGAGGAGGATTTTCGGTTAGACCGTACGATGAGGGGAGGGGTCATACATTTGCATTCCGGGTATCATATGGGTTCCATTCCAGCATTTGACGAACATGTATGCATAAACGATCACAGTAATATGACTCGGTGTTGGTTGGCTGAACTGAATGTGGTGATACACTTATCTAGCTGCTCCAGCGCCCACCACCAACACCTTCTTGCGATGCGTGCCGTCTTGTGTCATACCGTTTGCGCTGCCGTGTTCTATGTCGCGAGCCGAGGGATCAGACATCGGCTGTAGTTCAGCCTATGAATGGAGGGAAAAGACTGTGTAGAGGCAGATTGTACAGTGCTGATTCTGTCGATGCCGCAAACTGCAGTGAGACCTTGGATCAGGAAGCGGCGAGGAGCGCTATCCCGTGATTGCTTCCGCCGCGTTGTTTGGTTCGGTAACAGAGGCGGAGGCGGTTTCGGTGCCGCTTGGCCGCAGGACATGAGGTGTGTAAGGCGACGTGGATAATACCATGGCCCCCGGTCTCTCGCTGACCAAGAATAGTCCTATGTACTCCGCGTGGCCACTTCCAAGAGACGACAGTGACCGGCGGCCGGATCCAGAGTGCCCGAGTGCCCGACGTCCTTCATGGGGTTGGATGAGTGAGTAAGCAGCTCAATACCGAACTGTTTGACCTCAGTCGGTCAGTGGTTTACATAGACGATTCATGCGAGCGTTCTTTCCCCAGTCTTCTGCCACAATCTGCCACAACGACCTACAATGCTCCAACAGACTTCCAAACTCTTCTCGCCCATTGCTGTCGGCTCGCTTGAGCTTCAGCACCGCGTCGTAATGGCACCTATGACCCGTGGCCGGGCCAACCCAGTGGGAGGTGTCATTGCAGACTTCACATACGAGTATTATGCCCAGCGAGCATCGTGTGAGCTTCGCCCTCTTCCTACGCATGATGAGCATACTGACGAGGATTACAGCGGGTGGGCTACTGATTAGCGAAGGGACCGTTATTGCCGAAGAAGCAGGAGGTTTCCCTCAAGTCCCAGGCATCTACAGCCAAGCTCATATTGACGCTTGGAAGAAGGTCACCGCGGCTGTCCACGAGAAGGGCGGCAAGATTGTCTGTCAGCTTTGGGCTTCTGGGTAGGTTCTTCTTGGGACCTCGTGATAGCCTCAGTCGCTCAAGAAATGGCAGACGCGCAGGACAGCAAGGAGCCATACCCAATATCTTTGCCCCCAGCAATGTACCGCTTGTCGACGGCGCCCAAGAGCTCTCCGTCATGACTGAAGAGGACATTGAGTGGTTCATCGAGCATTATCGACAAGTAGCTGTCAATGCCATGGAGGCAGGCTTTGATGCGGTAGAGCTCCACGGGGCAAACGGCTACGTGTGTATACACTATACTTATCCCTTGTAGTGATCGCTAATACCTCTGCGTTGATAGCTCATCGACCAATTTGTGCAGAAAAAGACCAACCAGAGGACCGACGCCTACGCCCAGCCCACCTTCCTCTTCCCCCTCCGCGTCCTTTCCGCCGTCACCTCATTCATCGGTGCCCACCGCGTCGGCCTTCGCATCTCGCCCTTCTCCCGTTTCAAAGGCATGCGCGATGCCGACCCCCTCGGTACTTTCGTCCCCTAAATCACCAAGGTCCTTGAAGCGCATTCCGACCTGGCTTATATCCATGCGATAGAGCCCAGGGCAGAGGGTTTTGCGGATGTGGACGCCGTTCAGGGAGACGACTTGCAGCCTATCAGACGGGTGGTGCAGGAGGTTGGGAAAGGGGTCAAGTTTATCGTCGCTGGCGGGTACACTGTGGAAGACGCCAAGGCTCACGCTGACGAGACTGGGGATCTTGTGGCATTCGGGAGACTCTTCACTTGTGAGTTTTTGCCAAATTCCTCAACGCTCAGATGATGGACGCTGTCTGGTCTCCATAGCCAACCCAGATCTTCCTAAAAGGATCCAGAACGGGTGGCCACTCCAGAAATACGATCGACCAACCTTTTACAGCCCCGGGAGAGAGGGCTATGTCGAGTAAGTTCCTGGTGTAATGCTCCGATATCGCATATAGACTGACTCGCGCCAGTTTCCTTGAATACCAAGAAGCCCCTCAGGCTTCTGCTTAGTTCTCCTACTCGCTGCCGTCGGGTATGACGGAGACTAGAAAGGTCATTAGTGGGAATGCAAATGTTGCTCAAAGATGCCAGTCACAGTAATATGACTCAGCGTTGGTTGGCTGAACTGAATGTGGCAGTCTCCCTAGGAGAAGAAGCGGAGTACAGATGGAGTTTATCACTTGCCCTAAAGTCAAAACTTCTTCAAACCCCGGCACCCGGCACGAGTCGTGCCAGAGTCAAGCACGCCAAGTGGGCAGTCAAATCATCTTCTTGTGTCCTTGCCGCCCCCCGGCCACCGTTGGCAAGGGGAAGCGTCACCTGGTCAGAGTCGGGAGCAGTGATTACATACAGAACATTACGTGCGTGTGAAACAGCTGCAGCTTGTGGGTACGTGTGAAAATGAAGGTGAATCGTGTGTGGATGACTATGTACAGAATGTCCTATGTAGAAAGGGTATACAAACAATTAGAATCACAACAATCCCAGAGAACTCAAAAGACCCGGAGAAAAAGTTTTTTTTTCGTATCAACCTTCGTTAGGAGGAAAACAACGCGTGAGGAAAACGCGTTTCAGACCATGCTGAGTCGATAGTCTACCCAAGTGTAAGGCGGTGGGGTGTAGTGAGACTTCTTGGCCGGGTCTTGGTTGTGTGTGGGTTGCTGATTCGGCGCGGATGGGGTGAGGATGGGTGTAGGGGAGGGAGGGCCGTGGCTAACGGCTGTGGTTGTTTGGTTCGGGTGCTACAGGTAAAGCATCAGTCTATGCTCCAATCCACAATGCATGGATAGGCGGAAGAGACTCACGACACAAGGTACAGGCGCAGAGTTGGCAAACCACCAAGGAGAAAACTCGGTATCGTTCTCAAAGCTGTGCTCGTAGTGACGGGAGGCAGCAGCGGCGGCGCCGGTGGTATGGATGATGACGGGTGGGTAGGTGACGGTGTGTCGCATGAGAGGGGTGATGCGGGGGATGAGGGTGCGGGAGGGCATCATCTTGGGAAGAATGGATAGAGGAAAGGGGAGGCGGGCGGGAGATTATATAGGTGGGAGGAGGAGGGCGGCAAGGAGTGAGGATGACGACTTGGGGTGCGACGTCAGTTGACCACGCGCTGCGACGGGTCGGGGGATGCGGCGTTGGACCGTGTTTCAGGGGATGGATGGGATGAGATTGGGGGGTATGGGGTATTCAGGATGGATGATTCAGAGATGATAGGGGATGGAGACAGATTCAGACTCAAACTTTCCCAGCCCCACTCTCGGCAATCATCCCGGATCACCGAACACCTGACTCGGACATCGCCGCACCTCTATCCTCTCCTCTTAAACAGTCTGTATATGCTTCTCAGAACCATTTTACACAGTTGGCCTTATTATGGAGGGCAATGAGACGCCACTGGCGGATGGTATATCGGTGGGGAACCCCTCGACACGTTCGTTATCTGACATATCCGACTCAGGAGGCTTGTGTATTGTGACTACCCAGCAGGGCTAACTGATGACTCGCTTGCTTCCGGTGTAGAGTCTGGAGATGGTTCTGTCAACGTGGCAGTGGAGAATATCCAAACGAGTAAGTGATGAGCCGACTGATCAGGAGTGTACAATGGGCCGCCAGAACACTCCTCCTCCTTGCATGCTGGAAGTCTTGCGTATCTTTCCTTTGATATATAGACGACGGGGTATGCTCACCGCTCTGACGACTGTGATGCTTTGAAGCTTGAGCTACCAGAGTCTCAAAGAAGATGTACCTCCTTTGAGTAAAAGGCAAACCTTTCACGGGTCCGCCTTGCGATCCTACGCAGACTGTGGATGATAGCTACTCACCTAGACCAGCTTCATCATCCTCACTGCTAGTACTGCTACTGACCCCTGTAGAAACACAGATCGAGATGACAAACTTTCTCAGATCGGTATTCAAACGCTCCTCTTCAAGCCGGCACGGCCGTCCCACAGCTACCCCAGACCCAGAATTTCCAGATCAACGATCTCGATCTCCCACCCCTTCCTTCATCCCATACCGGCCCTCACCCTTACCCTCACCCTCACCCTCCCCGCCGAGAGAACGAGATGATCTCTTGACTCTGGCGGATACGCTCCAGCGGCAGCTTCGCCGGGCTGGAGCTTCGGGGGCGAGGAGGGGAGGAGAGACGGATGGGACGATGAAGAGGTTGTTGGAAGTGCTGGAAGAGATTGAAAGGGGCGATGTCAGGGATCCGACTCCTGAAAGGTCTCGAGAAGGAGTCAGTCAAAGCTCAGAGAGGAGTAGCAAGAGCGTAGGATTGGTGGAATCAGCTCTGGGGTCTTGTGCGGATGCTCTAGGTGAGCGTGACCCCCTTATTGTCCTCATGTGGCCAGGCTGATAAGCCACTTCAGACAGTGCTCAAGAGTGTCTACAGAGTCCTATCGGCCAGGCACATGCCGATACGCTCGGCAAGATAACAGCCCTCTTAGAAGCACAGAGAGATGAGATTGAAGAGATGAGAGTCTTTATCGAAGCTCGGCGCTTCCCTTCTCTCGGTGAGCCATCTCTCTTTCGCCCAAGGTTTCCGGTCCTCATCAGAAACGCAGTCACACTGCAGCAGATATATGGAAAGATAAACGACCAGATCAAAGGTGTCTCGAGTTTACCAGACGGAGAGGCTCAAGACGCGCTGTCTTCGATGGTTCAAGTCCTCCAAGAAGGTCTGTCCTCCTCTCTCCTTCAAATGTGCTTTGACTGACCACCACCTCACAGGCCCAGACTACCTAATCGACATATGCCTCATCTCCGCCATCGTCTGGTACGCCGAGATAATCGACTCTTCCTACGCTGCCTCCCTCCGCCAGATCCTCGAAACCGCCATCGCCTCCCAAAGCAATCTCGAAACCTTTCGTCAGGCGGCGGAAGAGATTCTGGGGGTAAGTGCGGGGCTGGATGTAGGGGTGCTGGATGATAGGGAGGCGGAGGATGCGTATAGGGATATTGGGGCGCTTTTGAGGCAGGTACGTGTCCGCCTATGCGGACCATGGCGAGAAGCTGATGAGAGATGGACAGCTGCAAGTCAGAATCGAGTCCAGCACGTTGGAAACACCATCTGGCAGTAGTGTCGCATCAACCTCCACGCCTACACCTCTCACTCTCCCCGGAACACCCGTCGCAACACCACCCATATCACCCGTTTCTTCCACACCTTCCTCCTCGGCAGGAGATGCAGACTTTAAGAGTATGAGCGTCAAGGACCTACAAGACAATTTTGGAACCGGCGTCACTACTCCCACTCCCGCTTTACCAGGACTCTCGTCATACAACGCCCCATCCTCCGGCCCTACCGCCAAACCCACGCCAACCCCATCGTCCCCAGCATCCGCGACAGGATCCGAAGAATCTCAAGAAATATGGGAGTATAGAGGTCAGCTCCTCACGCGTTCCGCCCTCGATCTCGTACTCCGCCAAGAAATGCTTGAACAAGCAGATTCGTCCGGCCAGTATGCTGGAGAAGTTTCATGGGACGACCTGCGCGGTGCTTGGATTCCGAAATGGGCGAAAAAGCTAAAGAGGAGTGATTTGGCGGAGGGGGAGGTGCCGGATAGTAATCCGGCGACGTTTGAGGAGAAGGAAGAGGATGAGTGGGGGAATGAGATTGGGTTTTATGGGGTGAATAAGGAGTTGTATTATAAGAAGGAGCCGACTTTTGATCTCAAGGATTGATAAGTGCTTTCAGTACAATACTTTGATTTATACATTCTTGTTATAACATGTACAAGTTGGATCAGATTTGCTAGTGGCACAGAGACACGACGCGAAAGGTCTAGGCCTTGACTTTCTCCAGTCCAGGAAGATACTCGTATCCTCCCTCAGCCCTGACCTTGTCAAAGATCTGTACACAAAGTCAGCATCACCTACCGATCAGTGTGAATCAGACTTACACTCATAGTCAAACTCGTCTCCGCATGGGGCAAGCTCGGGCACTCCAGCAACCCCTTGCTCAAACACCTCGCCACCTCATCCGCCTCCCAATAAAGCCCAAACCCATCAAAGCTCATATCCACCTGTTCATCCTCCTGCCACTTGCCCCCTTCTTCCTCCGGATTAACAAGGCGGCGGATGGTGAACGACTGCGGGCGGGAGGTATGGCCTTGCACGATGATCTCGCCGGTGGAGCCGACGATACGGGTGTTGCGCTCCTTTTGAACTGGGGAGAGGAGATTGGTGGTGCAGTAGGCGATGGAGGTGATCTTGGGGAAGGTGAGGGTGAAGCTGGTGGCAATGTCGACGCCGGTCTTGTGGAGCATCATTGTGCTGCCGACCTTCTCGGGAGGGGTGCGAGCGTTATCGGGATGGCGGTAGAGGATCATCATGGTCTTTTCGTAACGATCAGCTCGAATCAACTATTATGAGGTAGCGAAGCTTACCCAGACCAGGGGGTAGGGCCCAACGTCCAGCAAAGGGCCACCAGCAAGCTCTGCTGCCAACACACGGTCGGTATCAGGTCGCTTCTTATAAGCATCCATAGAGTGGTCAGAGTAGAGGCATCGAATCTCTCCGATAGCATTGTCTTTGTGGATTGCCTTTTGGACAGCGAGGAGCACGGGGTTGAACCTGGTCCAGACGGCTGATCACTGCGATCAGTGGGATGAAGGGACACGCGAAGAGATGGCGTACCTTCCATCAAGAAGACCTTTTTGGCCTTGGCGATCTGGACGAGATGGTTCCATTCATGAGCATTGAGAGTAGCTGGCTACATGTCAGTGGTAAGCATCAGCATGGTCTTACATATACGCAACCACTTACTTTTTCCAACAGACAATGTTTGCCAGCTTCCAATACCATCTTGGCGTCTTCATAGTGACAGATGTTCATGGTTCCAACGTACACAATGTCGACATTCTGGCTTGCTCAGCTCTCTTCGTCTGTGACTCTTTACTTCTACTCACAGGATCATCTACCACTCCTTGATAAGACCCATAAGCCTTGGGCTTAAAGTCCACGAGGCCATCTTGCTGGGCCGCCGCACCATTGGGAGTGTGCTCGGCGATAAAGTCTTCGGCCTTTTTGAGGGAGCGAGATCCGACGGCAGCGATGGCGTGGGAGACATCGGTGACGTTACGGGTAGACATGGGGCGTGAGATATCCTTTGTGAACATGGAAGAGATCCCTGGTGAACATGAGCGATTGACTGGCTGGACAATAGAGGAGATGCTGACAGCCACAGCCGAGAATGCCCCAGCGGGCCACGTATGGAGATTGAGCAGACATCTTGGGTACTGTTGATGTATAGATGGGCAGAGTAGAAGTGGTTGTTTTTGCGAGTCTTTATAGATGTAGATGCAAATCACCGCACACTCGCCGAGGCCGGAAGAAGCCCGGGCCGAAATCCGATCGCTTGTCCTTGTCGACTCCCATTGTTCTCAGTTGTGCCCTTTGAAACGTGCCCGGGCATCAGCCTTCTATCCTTCGAAGGGGACAATCAAGAAGCATCACCTGAAATGGAAGTCTGAACCCGTGTGGCCGGAAGCCCGAGTACCGTGAAGCCCATACTCGAGTGCAGACACAATGTTCATTTCAGAAATCACTGCATGAAGAATGGATAGACTTGTCTAACAACGTAGGATAGAAAAAGCCTAGAATGATATTTGGAGTTCGTTATTGACAAAGAGAAACAGAAACCGGGAAAAGAAAAGACCAGGAGAGAAACTAGGACTACTACCATAAATACCTCTATTCTAATAATGTTCGACCTTCTTACACGCAAGCCCACTGCTCGCCCTCACTCTATTGAGCTACCGCAAACGCCACCACAGAGTTGTCAGAGTGACTCAAAGACACCTTGACAGTCTTCGCACCCGCCGCAGACAGAGCATCACCGCTCAGCTTGACACTAGGTCCAGCCTCGGTCGATACAATCTCAATCTCCTTCAAAGGCGCACCGGCACCCTTGGAGGGGACCGAGAGGGCCTTGAAGACAGCCTCCTTGGCAGCCCATCGGCCGGCAAAGGAAGCGGTGGGGTTGGGCGCAGAGTTGCAGTACTCGATCTCTCCGGGAGTGAAGTTTCGTTCACGGAAAGTATCGGACGTGGGCACGCTGCTGATGAGCTCGGTGTCAACTCTGTGGAATGTTAGCATTGCTCTCATGTTGAAACTAAGAGACTTACCCGACACCAGCAACACCCTGAGACTGCTCAAACACCGCCCTCAACGTCTCGGCATTCTTGTAGTCGATAGGCGCCTTGTTTGGCAGCTTACCAGTGAAAGCAAACGAGTTCTTGCTAGGACCAGCCCTAGCCAAGGGGTTCAACAACACATCGCCCTCAAGCTCAGCAGTGTAAGGAGGCGCGTCCTTGATCTGGACAAGGTTGTTGTTGACGATCGCCTGAGACATACGAGAGTAAGTGTCAAGCTCTCGCGTGGTTCGCCTCTTCTTGTACGCCTCAAGCTCGTGGCTGCTGAGAGCAGCAAACAAGTATCGAGGGTGGACGATAGCGACCTGACCACCGACCTGACCGAAACCGAAAGAAGTGAGGAGACCACACTCGAGTCGGACGTGCTGGATGGGCTTGGAAGGGTAGAAGAGGTGGGGGAAGGCACGGAGCTCTTCAGAGATGTTGTCGGCGTTGTGGTTACCGGGCACGAGGGCAGAGTTGAGGGTCTGGCACATGCCGTTGAACATCCAGGCGGCAGCACCACCCTTGGGGTGACCAGTGAGACCCTTCTGGGTGATGACGGGCACAGCGTTACCGGGAGTTCGACCGAGCTGCTCGAATTGGAGGTTGTAGACACCAGACTCGTTCTTGTCGTTTGCCTTGGTGGAAGTACCGTGGCAAGAGATGACACCGACACTGTCGGCGTCGAGACCCCAGACGGCAAGAGCTCGTCGGAGAGGAGCAATGTTGGGGTGAGAACCCTCGAGCATACCAAAGGTAGCAAGAGCATCCTTCTCCTGCCTCTTGGCCTCATCGTCGATGAAGGCGACTCGGGCAGCGAACCACTCCTCGTTACCAGTCTGCGACTTTCTGCCCTCGAGCTCCAAACGCAAGAGCTCGTGCTCGTTCTCGAGCCACTGAGAGATCTGCTTTCGGCGGAAAGAGAGCTGTCGAGATCGGTACTGGACGTCGAGCAAGGGCAAAGCGTGCTCGGGAGTGACCTCACGGGCGGTGGAGAGAACACCTCGACCGGGGGCGGGGATAGAACGACCAGCCTTGTCGGTGTGGGTAGAGGTGTAGGCGACGATACCCTGGATAGAGGCACCCATCTCGATGGCAGTCTTGGCAGACATGACAACGTGGACACCACAACCCTGAGACTCCATGAAACCGGCTCGCGTAGAGGTCATGGGACGAGAGAACTCGGTGGGCTCACGGCCGGCGGCAAACTCGGTCTCGGCGTTGGAGGTGGCCTTCATGTTGGCAAACTCGAAAGAACCTTCCTCGGAAAAGTCGTCGAAACCACCGGCAAACATGACCTTGGCCTTGCCAGTGAGAATAGAGTCGCAAGCAATCTCGACGGACTGGAGCGCAGTAGCACAAGCACCGACGGGGATCTTGACGGGACCAGAGGAAGAGAGCAAAAGGAGGTTGACCCAACCAGCAACGGTGTTGATGAAACTATGAACTGTCAGCGTGGATATATTGGACATGTGATTACTTACGTCTCCTGCAAGACATCCTTCTGGACATCCTTCTCCTCTCGCCTGTCCCTGAACATCGCGCTCATAGAGTGCATACCACCCATACCGGAACCCAAAGAGGTACCAACCTCACTGGGGTGAACGTACTTGTAAAGCTCGTAGGGGTCGGTGACACCAGACATCACCAAAGCTTCCATGGTACAGGTCAAAGCCCAAAGAGCAGTCCTGTCGGTCTGGGCGATAATATCATCGGGGATACCGTATCGCTTGGCGTCCCAACCAGTGGGGAGCTGACCAGCGACGAGTCGGTCAAACTTGACGGCCTTGGGAAGGAAGACTCGGGCACCCTTGTTGAACTTGACGAACCACTCGCCAGAGGATTGGGCCCAGATGTCGACCTTGTCGCCGTGCTCGCGCTTGAAACGGGCGGCCTCTTCTTCGGCAACCTCGAGAGGCTCGAGGTCGTGGTTGAGCTCAATCTCCTGGATGAAGCCCTTCTTCTCGGGGTTGTAACCCCAGTTGATCTCGGGTTCTGTTCCATGTCAGCCATGTCCATTATTGCACTAAAAAGATATACTCACCGATGAGTCGGATACCAGCGTGGGCAATGATCTCCTTCTCATACTTGGTCTTGACATCCTTGTCGTCAACCGGCTCGTTGCTCTTGGAGTCGACCCATCCAACGTAGGTCTGTCCGTTACCGAGCTTTCCGTCAAAGTGCTTGATGAAGCCCATCATCCAGGCCATCTCGATACAACCCTCAATGGTAAACTCGCCCCTAGCCTCCATCTCCCATCGAGTCCTGGCAGAACCCCAAGGACCGACTTCGGCGAAACCGGTACAGACAATGACCTTGTCAAGGTCGACGAGACCTTCGAGGTGCTTGAGCTCGGCGAGAACGTCGTCGCCCTCGATCTTGGGAAAGTCGAAGGAAAAGTTGGCTCGGGGAGCGATGGCGACCTTTTGGTGGAGGCGCTCGGCGTCACCACCGTTGATGACTCGGAAGTCTGCAGCGTTGTCGATGGTGATTGCCTTTCGCAGGTCGGCAACACGGTTGAGGTCGAGCCTGATGGAGGTCATGACCTCGGCCAAACCGGCGACTCGGTCCATACCACCGTTCAAATCGGCCCAGATGGGCTCGATCTGAGTAATGTCGAACAAAAGGGGGTGCATGAGACCGAGAATGTTGAAGGCCATCTCCCTGGCGGAGAAGGTCCTGACACCGAGCTTTTCGAGTCCCTCGGCGACAAAGTTGGTAGCGCTCATGAGACCGGTACCTCGGGTCCAGCCGATGACGGCACCAGCGATACAGAGGTACTCGCCCCAGGACTCGGCAGACCACCTGTTGAACAAGGTCTCGAGGGAGATTTTGGACTCGGCGTAGAGACCGTCGTTACCAAAGATACCGTGGTTGGGGGAGAGGGGAAGGACGACCTGGGTGGGTCGGGTGACGAACTGACGGGCAGCCTTCTTTGTCTTGACGGCACCGAGGAGACGAAGCAAGTTGGTCAACATCAATCGGTGGGCAAGCTCAGACTTGTCGTCGATATTGTCGATCTCTCGGCCGTTCTCGGGAAGGGCGGCGAAGGGGATAATGTAGTCCAAGTCGATCTGGAGGGTAGAGTAGATGTAATCCACGAGGGCCTCGGTGTCTTGACGGGAAGCACCGTTGTAGGGGACGACAATGAGCTTGGAGCCCTTGGATCCGATCTCGTGGAAGATGTTCTTGTAGTAGTCGACGGCGGAACGAGAGTATCGGGAGGTGGTGACGACACATGTGCAACCACCAGAGAGAAGACCCTTGAGGATCTCGACACCGATAGAGCCCTTGCCGACACCGGTAAGGAGGGCAGCCTTCTTGGCAAAAGTGACACCAGAGGTGGCGATCTCGGTGAGGACATCAAAGTCTGTATGTCGTCAGCGCAAGTCGACAAGGGGAGGGCTGAACGTACAGATGTTGGTGAGCTTGGCACTGTAAGAGAAGCTGGTACCGGTCTTCCTCTTCAAATGCAAGAAGGGCAAGTGAGTCTCCTCAACTTCTGTCCTGTCCTCCACATTAGGCCTCAAGAACTGAGAACTAGATCGCCTCTGCTTGGGGCCCTTGGTTCGGGCAATAGCGGCGGGCGCGAAAGAGTCGTCGACGGCAGAGCTTTCGGAAGAGTGGCCCAAAGACTTGACGACTTCGCTGTACATGGATTTGATGGCGGATTTCTGAGCGGGAGTGATGGAGGGTTGAGAGTTGACAAGCTCCCAGAGCTTCTCTGCAGAGGGCGTCAGTAGCGTAGAGAGGGAAGTGAGGTTGACGGACCAATGTCGGACTGGACCTTGTCGAGGTTGACGGCCGGCTCGACCTCGCCACCGGAAGCCATCTCTGTTGAACGTTAGCTTGTTCAGTGATACAAAGGATAGACTCACCCTTGACATAGCTCTCGAGCTTTCGGACATTGTTCCTCGAGATCTCAGAGTAGACAATGTCACCCTTGGCACTGACCTCGGTGTGAGGGGCCGTGGGCAAAGCGACGTCGCGGTAGACTGGGGGCTTGTCGACGACCTCTTGACCTAGCTAGGGTAAGCAACGTAGCTATGCAAGTTGGTTATACGCACAGTTGTCGAGCAAGATCTGACCAAACTGCTTCACCTTCTCATAAGTCGGGCCCTTTGATGGGTCAACATTGTCGATGTGGTACTTCATATACCTGCACGGGGTCAGCGATGGCGGGCAGGCGGTTGACTGGACTCACTCAATGAAGGTGGGGTCTGCGCGGTTCATCTACGCGCCACAGTCAGCTGGTGTCCCTGCACCTACAACGGGACATACGATGGCGATACAGCGAGAGGTGAGCTCTCGCCTGTCGATGCTCTCCTGGTCCATGCCGACTGCCGCCATTGTGGATGAGTAGGGGGGAATAGGGGGAAGAAGGGGAAGAAGGGAAGTAAAAGGGGGGCGTGAAGAGGACACAAGAGAACGCGATTGCTACAGCCACGTCTGGGGAACTTTCGGTTGGGGATGATGCCCGTGGTACGCGAGGCGGCGCGCGCCGCCGATTCATTCTATGGTGATACACGGGATGCATGGCCTTTTCGGATTTACGCGCTATGCAGCGGGCGCACTAAAAACAGCCCAAATACAATTTTATACAAATGAATGCACCCGTACTCGCACCATCCTGCCCCAAACCCCAACGCTTCGCCCACAAATACAAATGCATAGCGTGCCTCGCGTCGGCGGTGTTCGGATCTATGCGCTGATAACAGCGAGCCACGTGCGGGCCACGTGCGGCAGATGTTTTGGGGAGCTCCCGTCCCCCAGGCAGTCGCGCGTCGGGCGTAGTTGACGAGATGCATTCTATCTCTTCTTCACGTTCCCTCTCTCCTCAGCCACTCACCATGGCCTCCCTCTTCTCATCACAGTCCCCCTCCCGCCCCCTCGTCCTCAACTCCCCCGCCGCCAGGGTCTCCGTCCACGTCCCCGCCTCCCCCCTCTCAGCCTGGGTCACCTCCCAGGTCCTCGCCCAGGACTTTCAGGACGCCATCGCCAACGACGACGAGCCCGTCCCAGAAGTCGAAGATGAGGAAGGCGTGCCCAAGGCCCCTTCCCAGGAGCCCCAGATCAAGCTCCTCGCCAAGTTCTTGAACTTTGTCGCCGACCGTGTCGCACAGGACGCCTCAGAAGAGCTCGCCCAGGTCCTCTTTGCTGCTTACTCTCGGTTCAACGAGCTCTTCCTCGCGTCTATCAACGTGCACTCTCTCGTCCAGTCTTTCGACCCCGAGACAAGAGCAGAGATCTTGAAGGCGTATTTCAAGGCGTTCGCGGCTGCCAGAGAGCAGTTGGGTGACAAGGTCCAGATCGCCCACCCCTCGTCGTTGCTGGAAGCCGCCAAGGCCGGCAAGACCGAGCTCTATGCTCTGTTCGGTGGACAGGGTGTCAACGAGGTGAGTAGCAAGGTTACATGTATACATCCCCGCTAACGCCCCTTAGCACTACTTTAACGAGCTCGCCCTGTTGTACGACACTTACACTCCTTTCGTCGCTCCCGTCATCTCTGAAGTCACCGACCTCTTGATCTCTCTCGGCCACAAGGCCGGCCAGGACGGCTACACCTATTACTCTTCAGGGCTCGACGTCCTCTCATGGCTTGACGGCTCTGCTCCCCGACCCAGCGTCGAGTACCTCGGTTCCATCCCCCTCTCCATGCCCCTCATCGGTGTCACTCAACTCGCGCAATACGTCGTCTCTTGCCGTGTCGCCGACCTCTCTCCCGCCGACATGCGAGATATCTTCAAGGGCGCTACCGGTCACTCTCAGGGTGTCATCTCTGCCGTCGCTGTCGCGTCGTCCAACAGCTGGTCCAGCTTGTACGAAAACATCCTCAAGGCTGTCAAGCAGCTCTTCTACATTGGTCTCCGAGGCCAGGAAGGGTTCCCTCTCTTGTCTTTGGACCCCAAGATCGTGTCCGACTCTGTCGAGAACAACGAGGGTGTCCCCTCTCCTATGCTGAGCGTCAACGGTCTCGGCGTCAAGGCCCTCGAAGGCCACATCAAAAAGGTCAACTCTCACCTTCCTTCCAACTCTCAAATCGGCATCTCTCTGCACAATGGTCCCACCAATTTTGTCGCGACTGGTCCCGCCAAGGCCCTCTACGGTCTTGCCGCTGCTTTGAGAAAGGTCATGGCTCCTTCTGGGCTTGACCAGAGCAAGGTCCCCTTCAGCAAGAGGAAGGCCGTGTTCACCATGAGGTTCTTGCCCGTCAACGTGCCTTACCACAGCCACTACCTTGAGGGTGCTACCCAAAAGGTCGAGAAGGATTTGGGAGAGGAGCTCTGGTCGACCAGTGCTTTGGGCATGCCCATCTACCACACCGAGGATGGTAAGTCGCTCGTTCTGGTTGGCGTGTAATGCTGACCATATCCTAGGTTCCGACCTCCGATCCGCCGCCTCCCTCACATTCTCCCTCTGTGACCAGATCTTCACCAAGCCCATCCACTGGGTCAAGGCCTGCAACTTCCCTCCCACCGCTACCCACGCCATCGACTTTGGTCCCGGAGGCAATAGCGGTATCGGACCTCTTACCAGCCGAGTCCTTGAAGGTCGAGGTGTGCGAGTCGTCATTGTTGGCGAAAAGGGCAAGGCTGCTGCCGAGTTTTACGACGCTTCCAACATCAAGCGAGAGCCTGTCTGGGCCACCGAGTGGTCCCCCAAGCTTGTCAAGACCCTTGACGGGAAGGTTCACATCGACACTCCCTTCTCCCGTTTGCTCGGCAAGCCCCCTATCATGGTTGCCGGTATGACCCCTTCCACTGTTGGCGCCAACCTCGTTGCCGCTACCCTCGATGCTGGCTACCACATCGAGCTTGCTGGTGGTGGTCACTACAACGCCAAGGCTCTCCGATCCAAGGTCGCCGAGATCCAGAGGCGTGTCAAGCCCGGAGTTGGAATCACTTTGAACGCCTTGTATATCAACCAGCGTCAGTTCTCCTTCCAGTTCCCTCTCTGGCAAGAGATGCGCAAGGAAGGCCTTCCCATCGAAGGTTTCTGTGTCGCCGCCGGTATCCCTTCTTCCGAGAAGGCTACCGAGATCATCGCCGCCCTCAAGGACGCTGGTATCAAGCACATCTCCTTCAAGCCTGGAAGTGTAGAGGGTTTGAGGCAGGTTGTCAACATTGCCGCTGCCAACCCCGACTACCCCATCATCCTCCAGTGGACCGGCGGTCGTGCTGGTGGTCACCACTCTTGTGAAGACTTCCACCAGCCCATCATTGCTACCTACCCTTCCATTAGGCAGAACCCCAACATTTCTTTGATTGCTGGTTCCGGTTTCGGTGGCGCCGACGATGTCTGGCCCTAGTAAGTGTACCGCAGTCTACATTGATACAAAGCTGATTCGTCGCAGCATCTCTGGTGAATGGTCCGTCAAGATGTTTGGTCTCCAGCCCATGCCTTTCGACGGTGTCCTCTATGCTTCCCGAGTCATGGTCGCCAAGGAGGCCGACACCTCTGCTTCCGTCAAGCAGCTCATCGTCGACTGCCCCGGTGTCGACGACGCCGCCTGGGAAGGCACCTACGACAAGCCCACCGGTGGTATCCTCACCGTCCGTTCCGAGCTCGGCGAGCCTATTCACAAGGTCGCTACCCGAGGTGTCAAGCTCTGGCGAGAGTTTGACGACACTGTCTTTGCCCTGCCTAGGGAGAAGCGTGCTGCTTGGCTCGAGAACAAGCGAGACTATGTCATTGACAGACTCAACAAGGACTTCAACAAGCCTTGGTTTGGCGAGAAGGCCGATGGTACCGTCACTGCCGATATCGGTAAAATGACCTACGAGGAGATCACCAGGAGGATGGTCAGGTTGATGTACGTCGACAAGCAGGACAGGTGGATCGACGTCTCTCTCCGAAACCTCGTCGGTGACTGGTTGAGGCGTGTCGAAGAAAGGTTTGCCGGTGTTGACGGCATTCGAACCAAGGAGTCTCTCCTTCAATCCTTCTCTTCCCTCGACAAGCCCCTCCCCACTATCGACTCTTTCTTCAAGTCTTACCCCCGAGCTCAGTCTCAACTCGTCGCCGCCGAGGACAAGGCCTTCTTCCTTGCCATCTGCCAGCGACCCGGCCAGAAGCCCGTGCCTTTCATCCCCATCCTCGACAGCAGCTTTGAGGTCTGGTTTAAGAAGGACTCTCTTTGGGCCGCTGAGGACATTGACGCCGTCTTTGACCAGGACCCCCAGAGGGTCTGTATCCTCCAGGGTCCTATGGCTGTGAAGCAGTCCAACGTCGTTGACGAGCCCATCAAGGACTTGCTCGGCAACATTGAGGACCTCCTTGCCAAGAAGATTCTCAACGAGTACTACGGTGGCGATGAGAGCAAGATCCCTGCCATCGACTACATTGGCGCCAAGCCCGGAAACCCCAAGACTGGCCTCTTTGCCGAGACCGTCTCTGGTAATGTCCGAACTTTCAAGATCGGCAAGGCTGTTCCTTCTGTCGACGACTTCCTCGAGGTCATTGCTGGCCCCAACGTCAGCTGGCTCCGAGCTGCTTTGACTTCTGTCAACGTTGTTCACGGTACTGGATACATCTCCAACCCCTTCCGAAGGGTCTTTACTCCCCGCACTGGTCAGACTGTGGAGATCAAGTCTGTTGCCGGACAGGCCACTTCTGTGACCGTCTACGGCGCTGCCAGGTCTTTCGGTCCTCACCCCGCCGACTTCAAGGCCGTCGAACTCACCTTTGACCCCAAGACCAACGCTATCGACCTGGTCTTGAACGAGGAGCGTCGAGGCTCTACTGTGCCCCTCAAGTTCAACTTTGCCTACCACCCCGAGCAGGGTTACGCCCCCATCCACGAGGTCGTCAACGGCCGTACCAAGGCCATCAAAGACTTCTACTGGCGCTTGTGGTTCGGTGACAATGAGCAGCTTCCTGCTCTCAAGCTGGACACCACTTTCACTTGTCCCGAGGTGGCGGTCGACGCGACCGAGGTGCAAAAGTTCTGTGACGTTGTTGGCAACCAGGGCGAGGCCTTTACTGTTGCCAGGAATGAAAAGATTCAGGCGCCTATGGACTTTGCCATCGTTATGGGCTGGCAAGTGAGTTGTCTCGGCTTCATGAAAAGTTCCAACTGACAATCACGTGTAGTCTGTCATGAAGGCCATCTTCCCCGATGACATTGACGGTGACCTTCTCAAGCTCGTCCACCTTTCCAACGGCTTCCGCGTCATGGAGGGTGTCGCTCCTCTCCGAGCTGGCGATGTCTGCTCCGCCGAGGCCCGTGTCGTCTCTGTCATCAACTCTGACAGCGGCAAGACTGTCAAGGTCAAGGGTTACGTCCTCCGAGCTGGCGAGCCCGTCATTGAGATCTCCTCCTCCTTCCTCTACCGAGGCAAGTTTGTCGACTACGAGAACACCTTTGAGACTGCCGACGAGTCCGACTACGTCGTTGAGCTCACCAAGGCCAACTCTGTCGGTATCCTCCAGGCCAAGCCTTGGTTCGAGTGGGACGACGACTCTGTGCCCCTCGACGTTGGCACTACTCTTACTTTCAAGACCAAGTCCGAGTTGAGGTACAGGGACAAGACCACCTTCAGTGCCGTCAAGGTCACTGGTGCCGCCTTCATCCGAGACAGCACCAAGGCGCTCATCCAGGTTGCCACTATCGACTACGAGGCCCACAACTTGCACGGAAACCCCGTCTTGGAGTACCTCAAGCGACACGGCCAGGCCATTGGCAACCCTGTTGCTCTCGAGACTGGCTACTCTCTCATTGAAGACCCCACCACTGCTGTCTTCACCACACCCGCCACCAACGAGCCTTACTCCAAGATCTCTGGTGATTTCAACCCCATCCACGTCAACCCTTACTTTGCCAACCTCGCCTCTTTGCCCGGTACCATTACCCACGGCATGTGGTCCAGTGCTGCTACCCGAAAGTACATCGAGAGCGTCGTCGCCAACAACCACCCCGAGCGAGTCATCTCTTACGACGTCAACTTTGTCGGTATGGTTTTGCCTGGTGATGACATCCAGGTCAAGCTTACCCACACTGCTATGAGGGACGGCAAGAAGGTGATCAAGGTCGAGTCCTTCAACCAGCGAGGCGAGAAGGTCATCGACGGTACCTCTGAGGTTCTCCAACCCCCTACCACCTACGTCTTCACCGGACAAGGTTCTCAGGAGGTTGGTATGGGTATGGAGCTGTACGCCAGCTCTGAGGTCGCCCGTGCCGTTTGGGACGCTGCCGACGCGCACTTGACTTCCACCTACGGTTTCTCCATTGTTGACATTGTCAAGAACAACCCCAAGGAGCTCACCATCCACTTTGGTGGTATCAAGGGTCAGGCTATCAGGCAGAGGTACATGGACCTCACCTACGACACCATCGACGAGAGCGGCGCGGTCAAGACTTTGCCCTTGTTCGGTGACATTGACCTCTACACCACCTCTTACACCTTCTCTCACCCTCAGGGTCTTCTGTTCGCTACTCAGTACACTCAGATCGCGCTTGTCGTGACTGAAAAGGCCGCCTTCGACGACATGAAGGCCAAGGGTCTTATCGACCAGAACGCTTCTTTCGCTGGTCACTCTCTCGGTGAATACTCTGCTCTTGCCGCTATTGCCGACGTTCTCCCCATCTCCTCCCTCGCCGATGTCGTGTTCTTCCGAGGTATCACCATGCAGCGTGCTGTCAAGCGTGATGCCGAAGGCAAGTCTCAGTACGCCATGATGGCTGCCAACCCCTCTCGAGTTGGCAAGTCCTTCAACGAGATGGCTTTGCGAGAGATTGTCGACACCATCAGCAAGCAAAAGTCTACTCTCTTGCAGATCGTCAACTTGAACGTCGCCAACCAGCAGTACGTTTGTGCTGGTGAACTCCGAGCTCTTGCTGCTCTGACCAACGTACTCAACATGCTCAAGGTGCAGAAACTCGACCTGGAGAAGCTCAGCACGATGATGAGCGTCGAGGAGCTCAAGGAGAAGTTGGCCGAGATCATTGACGGCTGCTGGGAGTTGATGGAGGAGAAGGAGAAGAAGGACGGTTCCGTCATCCTCGACCGAGGTTTCGCTACCATCCCCTTGCCCGGTATCGACGTTCCCTTCCACTCTAGGTACTTGTGGCCCGGAGTGATGTCCTTCAGGAACTACCTCGTCAAGAAGATCGATCCTTCTCAACTCAACCCCGACAAGTTGATCGGCAAGTACATCCCGAACTTGATGTAAGTGTTTTCATCCACTGTTATGAATTCTGCTGACTGTGGTATAGCGCCGAGCCTTTCGAGGTCACCAAGGCTTACGTCCAGAAGATCTTTGATGAGACCGCGTCCCCTCGAATGTCGTCTGTCATCGAGAACTGGGAGAAGGATGCTTGGGACTCGGCTGCTCAGAGGCAGAAGTTGGCTTACAACATCTTGACCGAGTGTCTTGCTTACCAGTAAGTCGCGCTTGTTTGCATACACTTCGGAGCTGACCAGAGCCAGATTCGCTTCCCCTGTGCGATGGATTGAGACCCAGGACGTCTTGTTCACCCAGGCCAAGTTTGAGAGGTTGATTGAAGTTGGTCCTAGCCCTGTCCTTTCTGGTACGTCTCGTCAAAGCTTCTGCCAACATCCACTAATTGTAATGCAGGTATGGCTACTCGAACTCTCAAGGCCAAGTACGAGGCTCAAGATGGTGCCACATCTCTTGACCGTGCCATCTTGTGTCACGCCAAGAACTACAAGGAGGTCTACTACGCCTTTGAAGATGAGGCTGAGGAAGCTCCCGCCCCTGCCGCCGGTAGCTCTGCCCCTGCTCCCGCTGCCGCTGCCGCTCCTGTGGCCGCTGCTCCTGCGCCCGTGGCTGCTTCTGCTGGCCCCGCTGCCGCCGTCGAGGACGCCCCTCCCAAGGCCGTCGACACTGTCCGAGTAATTGTCGCTCAGAAGCTTAAGAAGCAGGCTAGCGAGATCCCTCTCAGCAAGTCCCTCAAGGAGCTCTCTGGTGGCAAGTCTACCCTCCAGAACGAGATTCTCGGTGACTTGCAAGTCGAGTTTGCTTCTGCGCCTGAAAAGGGTGAGGACCTTCCTCTCGACGAGCTTGGTGCTGCTCTTGGTGTCGGCTACTCTGCCCTCGGCAAGCACTCTATGTCTCTTACCAACCGTATGATCGCTTCCAAGTTCCCCGGTGGTTTCAACATTACTGCTGCCCGAGGACACCTCAACAAGCAATGGGGTTTGGGTCCTCTCCGAACCGACGCCGCCTTGTTCTTTGGTATCGTCAGCGAGCCCCCTAAGCGACTCGGGTCCGAGGCTGAGGCCAAGGCGTTCCTCGATACCCTTGCCCAGAGCTACGCTAGCTACAGTGGTATCACGTTGTCTTCTGGTGCTGCTGCTGGCGGCGCTGGTGGCGCCGCGGGTGGTGGTGCGGTCATGAACTCGGAGGAGTTTGACAAGTTTGTCTTGAAGCAGGAGGAGCAGGCTCAACGAGAGATCGAGTTGTTGTCCAGATACTTGGGCAAGGATGTTCGAGCTGGCGAGAAGAAGGCCGACTTGGAGAAGGTGAGTTTCTTATCTACCCGTCGCTGACTCTAGCTAACGTGTTGTAGGCTTCTGTCGAAGAACTCCAGGCCAAGATTGACGCTATCAAGCTTGAGCACGGTGATGCTTACCTCGACGGTATCTCTCCTGTCTTCTCGGCGCTCAAGGCGAGGACCTTTGACTCTTCATGGAACTGGGTGCGACAATCATCCATCCAATTGTTCTACGACATCATCCATGGTGAACTGGACCCCAGTACCGTGTTCAACGATCCTCCGTGAGTACAGCTCGACAATCGATTGAGTTCTGTTGCTGATTTTTACCAGGCGTTACCGTCCCAGCGCCTAGTGTGGTAGAGAAACAGGAAGCTTATAGTAGTAGTGGAGTAGTGGTTCAGCAGACAATAGAATAGAAGGGTTTCAGGTTCTTACTCATGACGAGCTACGGCTCATGTTCTTTTTCTTATCATATTTCTCCTTTTATGTCGCATAGATATCTTTCCCTAGTTCACAGTGTACAGCAACGATGCAGGTCAATCAGCAGATTCCAGAATAAATGTTGCAGCAATGGCTTTTGCATAGTGTTTTTATGGAAAGCAAATCTCATCCGATTTCTTCTCGTCGGTATCTGCACCTTCGTCGGCGTCTGATGTCTCCTCTTCGCCTTCAGAGTCATCCTCCCCATACACAAGATCCCAGGCGACGCCATGGACGTCCGGCTTGACGAAGCAATCGTCCATCGGGAGTGGGAGACATCTCTCCTTGCACACAGCAATCTCCTCATCGACAAGAGACGCAGCACCGTCCTCAATCCAGAATCGCAACGCCCAAAGATGCTCGCATGCTGTCGAGCCTTGAACGAACGCTGAGCACGTGCAGTCCCTTCGGGTGCGCCCATCGCGATCGCGAAACCCGCAATAGTGAGTCTTCAAAACCACTTCCCCATCGGTGTCTTTGTGCGAAGTGTGGCTTACAAAGGCGTGTATGGCCTTGAAGTTTGCTGGCTGTTCGTGGGGCTCGATAGGTTTGATGGCGTTATTCTCCCAAAGGGTAAACGCCCGTTTGAGAGTACGCTGGAGCACCACCGAAGGTCGTTCACGAGAGTGGTAATGTTCGAGATAGGATGGGAACCATATCTTCAAAATGATGTGAAGGAGGCGATCGTCTCTACGCATGATACGTCAGCCTTCCCCCTCTATTAGGCTGTCGAACACATCTCACCTTTTGTTCCTCCTTGCATGAAGGAATGTTTTGTCGAAGACTTTGAACGCAGCTTCAACCAATTTGATGGTTTTAGCTCCAAATCGAACGATCATACCCCCGGGAAGACCCAAATCAACAACACATGTAAGCCATCTGTCGGAAAGCCATTGTTGATCAAGATAGGAGAAGAAATCGGATACCAAAGAAGGCCTGAAGGGACTCGCAGAAGCAGCATAGTTGCGGACCTCGGCTTTGAAGCTGCTGTAGGCTGTGTCCCATGCTTCTCAAGAAGGGCATCGCTGGAGCCCCCTGAACATTTCCAGTACCTTCTTTACCTTCTTTTCCCGTTCTTGTTTCACGCTGGTGGGGAATAGGCGTCCGACTTGAGCCCGAACTGCTTGTATGACATGGAATTGGCAGCATCGGATGATGATATCAGGACCAAACTTGAGCTCGATCGCATTGCGCTCAGCATCGTCACCGTCAATCATGAACAGAGCATGCAGATAGAGACCGGCTCCGACAATTGCTTTGGAGTGCTCTTGGAGTTCGTCCATGTTGAGGAGTGGCGCTGCTTGCGCTTCTGGCGGGCCCTCAAAAAGACGACACTTCGAGCAGCAGCTTCGATAGCACCGGTCACACGGTCCAGGAAATTGAGATACGTGGAAGTATCAGCTCTGCGGGAGACGAGCACGGCGACTAGCTCAGTAGTCAGTTTTGGGCACTTGGACACTTCGCAGCGACACTTACTTGGAACCATGTGTCCTGCGTCATGTCTTGTCGCCAGAATGGTCACCGGGCTTCTGTATTTGGTCTTCTGTCTCCAGGACGAGTCCATATAGAGACCGTGGCGTCTTCCGTAGATGATAGCCGCATACAAGCCAGCCTTCGGAGCGATGGCGCATTCGAAGCGGCGATCGGGAGTGTCCGTTGGATTTGCATCCTTATTCAATACACTTGGCTTGTTGAAACTTGGCAAAGTAAGCTGACATGACATTGACATGACTTTGAACGACTTACTAAAGAAACACGTCTTTATTTCGCGCATGAATGCTCTCCGCGGCCATCAGCGGATCCCCATTGAACCGGGCATGTCTTCCGGCTGTCGTGATAGCTGCTGTAAAAGTTCTATCATCGGGCAGACGATGAGGATAGTTCATCCTGATCCAGAAGGCGTGTGAGCTCTTGTGGCAGGTCGATTGGCTGTTGAAGTCTATATATGGAATCAGCGCCAGAGGATGACGAAGTTTTCGAGTATTGCCTACTCTGTTGAAGCATCGCCTTGGTTGTCCCAACCTCTTCTGTAGTACGGTAGAGCTCCCTCCGTAGGAAAGGAGATGACCTCAACAAGGAAAGATCCGGACACGGTCTGTGAAGTGTGCTGTGGTATACGGTACACTCTTGAGCTCGACCTGCTTCAGCAGTAACCTCTACCTGAGACACAATGAGCTAGAGACGAATAAACACACGTCGGCATGATTACAATGACCATATCCTTACACGAATGCTTCCTCTTGCCAGTTCCCCCGCCTGTGGATCGCTGAAAGCAACATGAACCATTGCATGTGTATTCTGCTCGAAAGACAGGTCGGTGAGGGTCGTCTTTGGACATCTCTTTCGGAACATTGATGTGGAACTGGTTGCTTCGAACGTCGCCAGTGATGTGCCCAACTGGGTGGTACCATTTGATATTGCAACGGTGATCCAGAACCCGCCGACCCAGTTCGTAATCGTTTGGCTGTCCGGGAATCAGTAAAGTCACCGCACTTAAGAGCCTTATGTTAACCGCACCGGGGCGTCGAACCACTCGGGAAGGTCTCTCAGGGGCATTGTAGCCGCCTCATAGCCTGTGACCAGCATCTTCTTCTCAGCGCGAAGAGCACGAAGATGCGCCACTACCTCCACCCCGATGGCGCCCGTAGCAGGGTCATTCCGTACTCGAGGATGGAGGGCAGAGTTCCGGGTGTTTTGGAGGTCGAGAAACGGACCATCATCTTCGGGCGAGGCAGGCATGTCGAACCAGTCATCGCCATTGAGTAGCGAGTCGAACAGACCATCGAAATCGGGGGCTTCGCTTTGGGCACTCTCTTCAACGAGCGAGGATGTGGTATCCGAGGTGATTGAGAAGCTCTCGGGGTCATTTCCGGAGAGGGGATAAGAGTCGGAAGACTGTTGCGTGGGCGGCATGATGGCCGATGCGTCGTGTTGAGGAGATAGGGCAGGGAGTTAATTGGGATTTTGGTAAAAGTTACAAGTACAAGTACGCAGATGGGATTTATGATTTTGCCCCCGGCGGCCGGTGCCGACGCGCAAGTCATTCTCGTTCTCTGTTACGTCTCGTTCTTCATTCTCCTTCTCATATCTCCATTTCTCTTCTCGCCATGTCCCAGCAGCAACAAGAAGCATCTCCCCATCTGCAAGACGCATCCACAGTCCCGACAACAGCACAGGCGGACGGCGAACCTGCTGCCAGTACCCAAGAGCAAGTCATCAAAGTCTACAACCCCGCCTCCGCCACTGCCACCCCCAACTCAGAAGGTGAACCCCCCCAACACTCTCATTCTAAGATCCACAAACTGACAGTACTCTAGACCTGCCCGCAGACTTCTTCGAGCCCACTCTCTCTGACGTCCGCGCCATCCATGGAACCAACGCCGCCCGCAACAAACGCCTCAACGAAGGGCCTTTGCTCACTAGCAAGTACCGCGAAGCAGAGAAGGGTGAGAGGGAGAGGGTGAAGCGGGAAAAGTGGCCAGAGACGACAATCCGGGTCAAGTTTGGGGATGGGACGGTTGTGCAGGGGGTGTTTCCGAGCCAGGGGCCGTGAGTCTTCTCTCCTCATGTAATTTGGATGGATCTGATATGTTCAACAGTATTCAGCCAGTGTACGACTTTGTCCGCTCGACTCTCTCTCCCTCTGCCGTTGCAGAACCTTTCATCCTCTACCAACCTCCCCGCACCCTCTTTCCCGAGCACCCGCCCCCCGAACAAAAGCCCACCAAGAAGCCCATCAACCCTCTCATGAAAAGCTCTATTGTCACGCCCGCTAGCTATGGTAGTGTCCGTGGAGGACCTGTGCAAGGATTGCAAGGAGGGAAGGGCGGGAAGGAGACGTTGGCCGAGCTGGGACTCGTGCCGCAGAGTTTGTTGGTAGTCAGATGGGACGATGGGGATATGAATGGTATGTCCTGTCCCTTCTCTCTGTCATACTGTGTTATGAGCCTCAACTGATGATATTCGTCTTGTAGCCAGCTCATACCCAGCTCCATTGAAGGACGAGTTGAAGCAGAAGAGCGAACCACTACCACCTGCAGCCCCAAAACAGGCCGACGCTCCTGCTCCTACTGCAAGCTCAGGGGGCACCAAGACAGAGATCCCCACAGGCGAGAAGAAGATCCCCAAGTAGGTGTCATCCGTCATCGGGAAAGTCTAGCTGACGTTTGGGTAGATGGTTACAAAAGGGTTTGTTGAAGAAGAAGACATGACCCGGCTCTCAAAGGAACGACCTTGAGACTGTGGCCATATTATGACGTTGTAAGCATAGTAATCATAGAATGGAGTAGGAGGTGCGAGGTCCTGCGCACAAAGTCATCATATGTATACATGTGTGACCTATCAATCGAGCCGAGCACGGCGCACGGGGAAACTTTCATGCCAAGACCTTATTAGCAACTGCCTCTCAGGATGATCAGGACATGAGGGTATTGCACTGTTGTCGTTGCATGAGAACGGGGCCGGGTGTGTTCAAAACGAGATTAAGAGAAGAGGTACGGCAGATGCTGAAAGAAGACCAGCGGATCGCTCTGGGCATTCTGTGACCTCTTTGATTTGCGATCGGACATGACATCCATGACAAGTATATGATGCCTACAAACGTATTCGTACAGAACATACAGACTCGGCTTCTCATCATGTAGACATCTATGAGCATGTGTCTACAGAACATCAGCATCTATGTTCAGGCACCGGACCCCAAGTAGACCAAACTCACAATAGAAATAGTCGTCAACCAACGGCAGATACCCTTCCACCAACTCCCCAACGAGACCGACGAGTGGTATCCTCTCCAATCCTTGGGCAACCTTGACGATTTTCGGTCTAGTCCAACCCAGCCACAGCGGTCCCGTCAAGAATGCTTGCATCGCCAGACGACGGTCTTGTGTGGCGTTATGAGACAAGAGTAGGGGAGAGCCTAAGACAGAAGATGAAGAGCCCGAGCGGAGGTGGCGGTAGATGAATAACAAGAGAAGGGGGATGAGGTATGGGGGGAGGGAGCGGGAGAGGGTGGGCAGGGAGTAAGGGTGGAAAGATGATGGGGATTTGCGCTACTCTGGATAAGTGGTGGTTCTTTGGCAGTTTCGTTGAAGTGGCTTACAGAAGCCCTGAGCAGCAACAACACCCGGATCAAGCCAACGCTCGCAGCGATGATCTCTGCCACGTACTCGCTACCCTTGAGGGTCGGTATGAGATCCATCGGATGTTCCAAGTACTCTTCTGGCAGGTTGCCTACCATAGGCAGAAGATGCGCTCTCAATGGTGAGAATGCTGGTAAGCTGGGCGTCAGGGGCTGACTAGATTGCTTTGATGTTTCAGAATCCGAAGATGCTGTTGGGTTCAGCACCTCAGGTGGGAGCGAGGCGTAATCGACTTCTCGCTGAGGTGTTGATGGAGAGAGGACAGGCCTTCGTGTTTTGAACAAGAGTATCAGGCGAAGAAAAGTTCTGTCTTCTTGTAAGCTCTATGCCACAAGATCCTTGATATACGTACTTGAGCGCTTCCAGTCCCAACACTACCTTCCACCTCCTCCTCTCCCCCGACTTCTTCCTTGCAACCATCTCAACCAGCAACTCTAGATACCCAACCGTCGTCAATGCCCTGCTCGCCCTCCGATACAATCCAGACTGATCCGTCCAGTACCGCGTGTATCTCGCATGGTCAGAGGCCGGAGGGAGCGAGGGATGTATCCGTGTAGGGTCGGCAGGGGCGCGGGGCGATCCGGAGATGGGCGAGGTGGGTGATCGAGGCTGGGCGAATGGGTGGGGCGGGAGGGAGAGAGAGGAGGAGAGGTGTTTTGTGAGAATCGTGTCGTGGTACCGCTCGATCAACGATACCGCAGAGTATACTATATCACTGTCAGGTGGGATGCCAGTGTCAAGGGGATACTTACAGCCCTCTGAAGCAAGTTCAGCATCCTGGAAACGTCCTGGGAGAAGCCAAGTGATGTTCGAGAGGGACGATTCGATCGTTTGGACTGACTCCAGGTTTGAGAGGAGGAATGCGTGGTATGCTTGCAGGGGGGACATGGTGTTTTGAAGAGAAACAGTAGATGATAGAGATCATAGTAGTAGATAGGCGCATATGTGGATAAGCGGTGATTATGTAAGGGCGCAGAGTTCAAAAGTCAAAACAGAATCTGCGTGACTTCTTCTGGATCTGTCTTTTGCTCGCTCGAAACTATCCACAATGCCCAAAAAAGAGGCCGCCTCAGGCTCAAAGACCAAGAAAGCCCCGGCTCAACAATCATCGACCAGTATCGACGACATCTTTGCCGCCCCTAAAGCCAAGAAGACTTCTACGGTCTCGGAACCCAACACCAAGAAGGACAAAGGCAAATCTAAAGCTTCTTCTGAAGCAAATGTTGCTTCTTCAAGCAAGGTAGAGGACGGCGAGAAGAAGAAGAAGAAGAAGAAGGTCAAGAAGGCCGCCGAATTCAAGCCGGAAGAAGAGGTTGCGGAAAGTAAGGTGGAGACTGTAGTTGATCCTTCGACTATTCCCGTGGCGGTGCCCGAACCGGCTGTCAAGCCAAAGAAGGATAAGGGAAAGAAGAGATCTGCCCAGGAGGATGAGGAGGACGAGATGTTCAAGGATTCTCGTGGAACTGGGCCTCGTAAGTCATATATAGCTCGAAGAAGCCCGCGCTAATATTTGTACAGGGCGAAAGACGGAGGAAGGCTTCCTGATTTACAAGGAGAAAGAGCTGGAGATCGACCCCGAGGCTGGGGGTACACCCCTTTGTCCATTCGACTGTGACTGCTGTACGCATAATGTGGCGTTAACTGAAATTCATCTGACCTGTGCGCAGGTTTCTAAGCGCACAATTCTTCAACGACCCATATTTTACGAACCGACATTAATGCATTGCATCTACATCCTACGTGGGCATGGGCAACGAGAGTACTAATATCAAACTGTATCTTTCAAGACCCCAACTGCCACCATTTCTTTTCCTTGACACCCTCGCGCCCCACTTTCAACCCCATCCCTCTCGCGAGCCTTACGTCCCCACTTTCCCTCAAGCCCACCACCACACGCCCTTTACCGTTGGTCACCACCACCTTGCTCCACCCTTTCCTCACATGACTCACATAGCCCCCCGTCAACTGGTCGAGTATGTCGCTCTCCTTTCTGAGGACTTTTGGGACATACTTGTCGATCTGCTGCGCGGCGGCATGTTCGGGAAGGGTTGAATTGGCTTTGGATGAGAGCGCAATGGGGACCATGTAGGTCGTGTGTAGGTTCTGATATGGATTGGCGGTTGGTTTGAGGAGTGGGAGGAGGGCGGGGAGGAATTCAGGTGGGTGAGGGGATTTGACGTGGATAGGACCGAGAAAATTGTCCGGTCTGCCTATGTCAGACCTGTCTTCATCACAGGGGACAGCATACTCACAACAGTAGCAGGACATCACCTGTCTTTGTCTCTATCCGGAGATCAATCTGCCTGTGCTTGTCGATCTCCGTCTATCCCTTGCGTCAGCGGGTATGGTAGGAGCTTGCTTGGACTCACAATATCAATCAAGATCCCACCGCCTTTCGTCTCCACCTCGACCCTTGCCATCTTGCGGCCTTTCTCGCCCGTCTTCTTGTTCTTCTTCTCTTTTGCATCACTCTTCTTCTCATCGACCTTCTCAATCCTTTCCATCTTCTCACCCTCTTGCCTCCCACTTCTCACAACTCCCATGCTGACTTCTACCCCTCCATGCTCCGCTTCATACCGCCCCTCAACCTTCCATCCTAGCCCTTTCAGATCCCTCGCAAGCCCGTCTATCGGAACACCTATGGTCGTGTTGAAACGAGTTTTGGGCCCGGAAGCGAGACCTGAGAGAGCTACATTGGCAATGTTGGAGATTTGGTGAGGGACGTGAAAGTTCAAAAGTGTAGACCTCAATGTGGGGTCGAGGATATCCCTCGAAACGAGCTGCTCCCTCCCTTGAACCTTATGTTCCACATGCGATACAGCCTCTGGCCTCAACCGTGGCGGAGGCGAGGAAGGACTCGGAGATGGTGGTGGAGTCAGCCCCGGGAGCGAAACCTGCGAAGGCGAAGAGAGATACGTCGATCTTGTGTCTCCGCCGGGGCCGCCGGAAGACAGGTACGTTGGTTTTGGGGAGACGATGGAGGGTGCGTATGCCGCAGGCTCATCGGTGAAAGGCAGGTCGGTTTGTGAACCTATTTTCAACTTGACCAGATCGGCGTTGAGATAAGGAGCGGTCGGTGGTGAGACCTGGGAGCCGGGGAAGCCCGAGCCTTTTGTGCTTGGGGAAGTCGACGGTAGAGGTGAAGAAGAGGGCGGGTAATGTTCGGGTGATAGAGAAGAAGGGTTTGACGTGGATGTTATAGGTCCGGCATGGCTAGCTGGACTCTGCTGGGCTGATGGTGTAAGGGCAGGTGAGGAGGTAGGTGAGAGGTACCGCTGGGAGGTATGGGAGCCTCCTGTTCGGGCAGATATCTGCTGGGGCGATGATACCAAGTCCGAGCTATAGGCACTCTTAGACATGATCAGCTAGGTAGCAGGGTAGTGTGTGGATGAAATGACTTGCGAGGATCACATCCATGTCGTCTTCTGTCGATATTGGCGGCAAGTCTGCCATGGCATGGCTCCTGGGGCCTTTACTACTCTGACCATAATAGAGCTTCGTGGGTTCTACGCCTACTGGCTTGCTGTGATGTGGGAGATGCCTCTCTTTCTCGCTAGGTCCCTGGTGCCCTGAGTAACCGCCTGTCTTGTAAGCCCCTTTACCAACGGTTTGGCCCAGTGGAGGACCCAGGGCTCTGGCGGAAGGCGGAGTCGAGATATCCTGCCGCAGTCTGGGGGAGGGGAAGGCTACGCGCTCAGGTTGGTACGCCATGCCTTTAAGCAAGTTCTATTTCTTGACATCCACCAAGCTGATGGGGGAGCTGGAGCTGAAAAAGATCGATTGGAGTGGCTTTGAGATGTGGGCACCGGAGAATGTGACTTGAGGGACGAGCTGAAGAGGAACGGCCCTGTTATGGACTGGGGTGGTTGCCAGGAATTACCCAGTCAGACAAAACACAACCCATATTATGAGTTCACCACAAGTTTACGAGTGGGATAGATGGGCATAGACATGCTGAAGTGGAGGCACTCGTCATCAACTGCCCAAAAATGGCCGACGGCTAGGATCACAGTTGGCGGCGATGACCGACCACTGCTGACAAAATATTCCCGTGCTGATTTGCCGCGATCAGCAGCCGGAGCCGAGGGGTATTTCGATCCGTTGGTCGCCATGCACAAATACATAAATTCTCAATCGCACTTCCATCTCCTTCTATATCTGACATTTCCCGTAACAGCTCAGCTCAGGAGTTTCCAGCCACACAAGTTCTTCACCGTCCATCGCTTTCACCATACTCACTCGCCGCTATCTCTTATCAGCTCGACCCCTTCTCTCTAGAGCAACACTCTCCCATATCGGCTCAAACACCAGTAGCTCTCTTGTCAAGCACGTCCACATAGAAGCCTTGAGAATGCCCCGAAAGGTTCAGCCAGACGCCGAGTGGAACAGGCTCGCAGTCCATATGGACATGTTCCATTCTCATTTCCGAATGGAGTTTGCTCAGATTTACGAAGTGAGTGTGTGTTGTTGCAGATAGAAATTTTGTGGTACTGACCTATCGCGATGGTTAGCTGGCGGATGGAAAGTATGAGCAAGCTGGTATGACCCTCTCTCGATTCTTGCGCGAAGCCAAATCACTCTCTTCGCATCTCGATCTGCACCACCGTATCGAAGTTTGTCTCTTTCCCTTTTTCTCAAAATCCTATACTCACACAACTGCAGGAAGCCCACATCTTCCCTGTCCTAGCGAAGAAGATGCCTCAGTTCCAAGCTGGCAAACGTGAATCAGGCGAACACCTCCACAGCCACAAACTCATCCACGACGGTCTGGATCGATATGACGCTTTCCTTGCTGCTGCACTGGCCAATCCCAAGTCGTATGATGGAGTCAAGCTAAGGGAGGTGCTGGATAGTTTCAAGGAGGTGCTGTTCAGGTGAGTCTGAAGTCTTCTGATGGTTGGTAGATGACATGCTGATATGGAATAGGCATTTGGATGAGGAGGTGAAGGATCTTGGGGCGGAGAGTATGAAGGCTGCCGGATGGACGATTGAGGAGGTGCGAAGAATACCTATGTGATGTATTCTTGTTCCGCTGGTATTGTCGTCTCACAAGTGTGCGTACAGGTGGTTGAGCGTTTTGAAAAGGTGCATACTGCACACAATCTGCGTCAGCTGAATAGATCATGCGCAAATCCAAGGGTTGCCTGACTATTCTGAACTACGATTGGGGGCTCGCTTACACTCTTGTAGCCTTTCACTACGACGACTAGGAAGGCGATAGGTATGGCAGGGTCAAACCCCGTTCTCCGAACCAGCAACCAGAGTCCCGAAATCATGAGCCGAGTTTGAAAAGGTTGGGGCTCACTCATGGCTATCGTCTCAAGCACCGCACCTCATCCAAAGAAGTACCGACTTAGCGACACCGCCACGCCCGTTGAGACTGCCCGATGCTCCTTCAATATGCGTTGATGATAATCTGGAGTGGGTGTCCAAGATGCTCTCGTTATCACCACAAGGGTAGATATGCGTGTCTCTGAACCTGGACGAATAGATGCCAGCGGCCCTATGGAAGAGGGGTTAGTGGGATCCTGCCAACGTTGGAAAGTCTATCAGCTTCCTCTATTAGTTACTTCTCTCGAGAATGGAACTGACAGCAATGCGTATTGCATCTTCCTGCCATCCAGGCTGGCATCAACTCCCGCACTGAGAGGGCGGGCGTATAGACGACCGAGCAGATGATGGGGGGTGCACGGTAGCGTCTTGGGGTGGCGGGTGTTGGGTGATAGAGGGCGTCGAGTGTACTTGATGCCTTGTTGTGAGCTGCTTAGTTGGGCCAGCCTTGCAAGCTGAAGGGGGGGGGGGGCTGGAGCCTGGGGGATTTGTGTCAGTCGACTTCTCTTTATCCCAACGCACCTACTCGACACTGTTCAGAATCGTCTGGAAGGTGATGAAAGCTGAGCGACTCACTATTCTATTTGCACCATGAGTATGATGATCTGGCTCCCAGACCAGAGGATACAGAGAGAGGAGACATAACGGTGGGTAGATATGGGGCGGCGAGACAAGCTAGACTTCTCTCCTCCTGTTTTTTTCATGATGCCAGTGAGCGCAGGGAGGTCGAACTTTCAAGGCGCTCAGCCATCGGGGAGTGGCAAGAGGATGAAAGGTAATCCAGATAGGGCCCATGGCAGAGAGATGAGAGAAGCTCTGCACTCATTCTGGTAGTGAGTACACTCACTGAGCTGCAATGAAAAGACGAGGATGAAGGCTATGGCGTCAATGCAGATCTTTTTGTTGGGGGACGTGGGGGCCGGTGTCGTCGTCTGGCATGATGCCTGCGCTTGCTTTAACGGGCACTGGACAGGGGAAGGTAGATGTCAGACTCGGTAGCAGGAGAAATACAAGCAGATCACACGGATAATCGGGGCCAAGAGACGACAGTGCAGTGCGGCAGGCAACAAAGGCACCCGTCCGCGAAGCTGAGTGATGGCAAATGATTTGGGGATCATACGACCCGGTATAGATTACAGCCTGCTGTGACTTCTTGTGCAGCAGCATGGGACGATGTACAAGCAGCTACAATGATAAAGCTCTGATTAAACGATTAGCTCCTATAATGGCTGGTCATTGTCATTGATCATCATCAGCGAAAGTTGTAATGCGCACGTACTTTAAACAGGACCCTCCTTCTGCCGTGTTCGCCCTGAAGCTGGGTCTGTATAGTTCAGCTATACATATGGCCCATGCTGCCGTATATACCGGGAGCCTTTGGTCACTACTATGGCTGAGGCGTATGATACGCTTCATTCTCAAGGATTCGCACAAAGTCTAGGTTGAGCTACTGGAAAAGGTGGTGGACGAGTGAAGACGGCGGCTCGGCTATTCATGCCAGGTCGACGTTGTTCTTGAAGTCGATCAGACCAACGGTAAACATACACCCAGCGAATCGTCTGGAGTACTGCTTGAGCTTTCGAGGCCTCATTATCATGAATCGTTCAACCACGCGACGACGCTAGGTCCTTTGAGACTCACAAGTCTCCTCTGTCCGTGGCTCTAAAGGAATCGTAGAGTGCAGTCTATCCCGATGCATACTATTGCCCCCTGACGAGGCTCAAACCGCTTCTTTCAATATTTTCTCATTAGCCCAGTGCATACGGTCAAGCAATTCTGTGTTAGCAACGATAAAGACATCATTCAACTCTGGCAATCCGCCATCCCCGAGCGCGCCTTTCAGCAATACCCGCTGATTCTCGCTTTCGGATCAAAGGCTGGCTCACTACTGTGCATCCCTCCCCAACGGGCGGGCCTTGTAGCAACGTGTCCTCAAACAGCTTCTGCCGTTTCCGCAGCCAGTGGCCACAAGACTTGAGGAAGTGACAAATATAAAGTTCAAATCCGGCCATCAATGATTCAAAAGGGACGCGCGATTTTTGCTGTGCCTCCGGGATGAGATCACCTATACACAGAACACGGAAGGAAGGAAGGGGCGGAATCAGATCTGTCGCCGGTCGTTGGGGGATACTGAGTGCCAGTGCAATCGGGGACACAGAGCGGGACACGGACACAAAAAGAGTTACAACGCAGGTACAGCCAGGTACAGGGGGGCATAAGAGGGTCATCCTCTCGTCTGGATGGATTTGGGCGCATCTCCCATGGTCACTGGGAGTATGAACTCTGAGGGGTTCGATCTGCCGTACTCACGACGCCATAGTGGGGGAGTGCAACACCTATGTCGGCTTGCACCCTCCTTGCTGTTGTGTATTGCCGCCCGGCACAGCTGACTCGACCCGGGTAAAGAGCCCAAGAAACTCTAAAGTCCCGTAAACCTCCATTGACATCGAGCACAAGTTGAACGATGTCAAGTCGAGAGTGGCATCCGCCGCCCCCACATGTCTCGGCAACATGTAGAAAGGCAGACCACAAGTTCATCTGCACCGTAGCGGATGCAGATCGCCCCGCAGCACAGATATGGCTGACAGCAGCGAACTTCAAGTAGGATCATACATGTGTGTGTTCGCTCTTGATCCGTCTTCGTGCTTGTGGGCCTCGGACGGAGAGATGATGAGCAGCATGTGCGCTTGCATGGCTCATCACAAAATCTACATAGCGAGCTGGCTACGCCCTGTGCTCGGGTGAAACAGACCCTCTTCTGCCCACCAGCATCGTATAGTATAGCTCTGCTGGCCTGGGCCAAATGGTGCCAGGATCTGATGTCGGTATAGATATGAATCTGTTGTACAGTGTGCAAAGAGCCTGAATCTATTGGCGCCTCGAGTGCAATCACACAACTACGATGGGATAATAAGGGGGTAATCGGGATCAGTGCAGCGGGGGCGATAAGCGGTCCTTGAACCTTACACTGCTTTTCCCGCTCCGAAGCAGATATTGCCTTTCCACTATAGCTAGCCACAGTACATACATTATGACGCCAGCATGTCCAGCGAATTTTCCGCGGCAAATGGGAACAGCCAGCGGTGTCACACACTTTCCCTGCCAAACTTCTCTCCGCAACATTCACGCTGTTGATCGCCACAAGTCACCAGCTCCGCACCTCAGCGTCTCATCACTCTCCTGCCCGGTGATCCTTCCTCGATTGCCTTCAGTAGTATGTGCCAAATTATTAGCCGTATACTGCGCTGCGTGTGTCTGAGGCTCAATGTGGCCGAGGGCGGATAGCTGCTAAGAGCTCAGATCTCCGGTGCAGCAGTTCGGCGCAATACACTCGGCACTCGGTGCCAACTCTGTCACTGTTTTGCCCTGTTGAAGGCCCGGTCTCCTTTTGAGGCCCATCGCGCAGAAAACAAAGTGCACGACCGTCGAAGGGAAGAACGGTATGTATATGTACGGCGATGCAAACTCGCTCTGTTTCTCTTTGATCGCTTATGAACAAACACTCTACGACTAACCCCCACGTCTCAGCCTCTTTTGCAATATACTTCAGTCTATACACACCTTTACCCCTTTCTCTTCCACTCAGTACGCCGGCCGGCTCCCCTCCCCCCACCTCTATTCAACAGCCTAGGAACCAAATCACACATTCTCGCCAAAAACGCGCGTTTCTCAATCAACCCTGGCCCCTTGGGGGGCGCTCTGAGGCCCACAATGGACCGTCGTCCTCATCATTCGCCACTGCCTGGTGCACCTTCCCCCGGTACCAGCAGCAGGCAACAGACATTCGAAGGTCTTCCCACGCTCCAGCAGGGCTTCTACCCCATTCAGCGACACCAAGTCCACCCAGAAGACGCGCCACCGTGGACGTCCCAGAACCCTGTACCCATCCCCCGCTCAGAGTCAGAGCTGTATCCTCAGCAGGATATCTACAGTACGGGTGCATACCAGGAGCTACCGTACGCTTCGTCAGAGATCCCACAACATCCTTATTCCTCCTCTCGCAACGACAGGGACAGGATGCAAGGTGGTCAGGAGAAACAGCAGAAGCAGCGCGTGGGAAGGAAGAGGGGCAGAGTACCGACTTCCTGTACTGAGTGTCGTGCACGAAAACAAAGGGTGAATACTACTCTTCTCCCAGCTTCTGGTCTATCTCCGGTGTTTACAGACGCCGGAGAAGCCTTCTCGGAAGCGATGACGATAAAAGTCCGAGCTGACATATCTTCTTGAAAGTGTGACGGCGCACAGCCTTGTCTGCAATGCTCGAAACGACAAGTCGACCCCAGCATCTGTCGATATGAGATCGATCCCCGGACGACAGCATCTCGGGAAGTCGGACAAGAGGATACAGGGCCGAGTGGTAGTGAGAGGAGGAAAGAGAAGAGAAGAAAAAGCGAAGCTCCGAGAAGGGACGATGGTGAAACGCTCGCGCACGGGATGTGGAATGCTCCTTTGGCATTCTCTGGGGGCAGGTTTGACGATGAACGAAGACGAGCAGGAGATGACGGTCTTGCAAGATACCAGAGTATGTGATGCATTTTGGACGAGGCCTCTTACTGATGGAATCGAAAAGTGACGGAAAGGAACCCAAGACCGCCCAATCTCGGCACCATGCTGAACGATCTTTCTGCGTATCGCATGGTGGGCTCTGGTATTTGGCGGCCGTGGGACGACTCGCGCAGCGGTATGCAGCAAGCAGGATCACTCAACACGGACCTCTATGGAGTTCAGAGTGCCTATCCGGGTTCGAACAGTCACCACAACCTTCCTCCAATCATTCCTCCTAGTCCCGTTCTTCGACCGAGATCAGAAGCCGACGTACGCGGTGACGCTGATTATGAAGGCTATGAGAGGACAAAGAGAAACAGCGCGCCGAAATCATCTTCATCTGAGGGTGATGCGAGCCTGGTGGCAAGGAGAGTGCGAGACTTGTCCCCGCCGGGGCCACAGAAGGAGGATTCGACAGCTCGTAAGTATTCTCAGGTGATGCTTGTCATGATCGCAATTGATGGGCAAACAGGGAATGCTTTCAAGGGCAACAATTTTTTTGTTTCTGACGCGGCCAAGATGATCCTTGTACGTCAGATACTGAACCTCGCAGTGTATCATTGCTGAACCATATACTAGAAGGGACCGACAACAGCAGCGAAGGAAGGCCGACCCCAAAGCGACTTCGACAAGGCTCAATCATGGTCTCCTGAAAACATCAAGTCGCGATGTCTCGGCAAGCTACCTGCCAAGGAGCGATGCGATGAACTGGTTCAGAGATACTTTGACCGCTTCAACAGGCAAGTGTTCTTCTTTTGCTGCTCATTGAGAAACCGAGTCTGATGAAAGAACATCTCAAAAGCTTGACATTGGTACATCAAGAAGACTTTGGAGTCTTGTACGATCTCTTGTGGTATCCCCCATCCCATAACGACCCTCCGTCAAAGACCATCGATACCCCTTTTCTCTCTCTTTTGCTCATCATGGTGGCTTTCGGTTGCGTGCCACTCCCGCGCGCTCAGAACCCTGTCGTTACGACAGACGAGGGCGAGCCTCTCATTCTCCCGCCGCTCAAATTCGATGGTCATAAAGCGGCTGCAGACCGACACTCCTCGCAGATATTTATGGCGGATGGGGACGTGGTCCTCGCTAGACGACTCTACCATGCGTCATATCAAGTATTCCATTTGGAGGCTTCACAGGGGACCCTGGATACGCTCCGGGCGGGTACGCTTGTGAGTAGTCCATGTCGGCTCTAGATATCTTAGGCGGGGAGAGCTGATTATTCCGGCCATAGCTCATCAAGTTTGCGAGTTTGTTAGGGTACCGACTGGAAGCTTCTTCACTTGTCAGCTATATCGTGCGAAAAGCACAAATTCAGAGTTGAGTAATGGTCTCTGCTGTTTGGTTGGGCGACGCTGATATAGATTCAAAACAGACTGCATCTGGAGGAAAGCATCACCAAGACCATGAGTCGTCGAGAGGTGACATCGAGGCGCAGAATGTGGGCTGGTAAGTCACTTCTTACGAGAAAGCTGTCAGCAAGCAGCTGACAATGCGATTGACACAGAACTCTATGTGCAAGATCAGCAAGTATTTATTTCATGCTCGTCGCCTCACCTAATACTGATTTTAAATAACCAGGATGGCTGCCATGGCCCACAATATCCCAGCCGTCATACAAGAATCGGAGTGTACCATACAAGACCCCACCCTTGACCTCGGTACCGACGAATCTTTTCCAGACTTCAGATCCAAGGAGGACCGGAACCAAGATTCGATAGCCCACCTTTATTCTAGTCTGTATCGGCTTGTCAGTCGTCTCCGAGCAGAGAACAGAACCGTCGAAGAGGCCGAAGAGGCCTTGTCGAGGTTCAAACAAAGTATTCCCAAGGGATACTTCGTCTGTTCCGACCAGGAAAGAAACGATCAACCTACCAGGATCTTTGTGTCGACCAGCTTCCACTATGTCCGTACGACTCTTCACCGAGGTTCTCTGCTTTTGTCGGTGGATCCTGCAGACGGGATCAGTGAAGAAGAGTTGGAGCTCCGGTTGCGCTCGAGGCAAGCGTGTCTTGAGTCTGCTGTTGAGGAAGTTAGGTTGAGGTCGAAATTGGGATACTCTAATGATCTTCATATGATAACGGTGAGTAGTATGAACTGGAAAGACTTCAAGGCTCTGACACATATATTTGTAGTCTGGTGCTGGTATCAACACGGCGTCAATCATCGCGGTGGCTCTCTATCAGAACGTTCGCCATCCCTTCATGTCTAGCTCTGAGGTTCTGGGCACCCTCCGTACCTATCTCGAGTATGAATCTCGTCGCTCGTTCCTGAGCGAGGTCAATCAGGATCAGCTCGAGGTCGTCTTTGATCTGGCAGAAAGCGTTACGCAAGCAATGCGTGATATGTCGACTCGAGAAGCCTCTGATAACGATGCCGGAACAACCGGGTCGCGGAGAGGTAACACGCAATCAACCGACACCCTGCCTAGTCAGCGATCTTTTCAAGCGACTCAGACGGATATGCGCCCTCGCCACGAGCGCTTGTATCAACCCCGGCTCAATCTTCCCCCGCACTCCTCCCAGTTGCCCACCACCGGGGCCTCATCTTCCTCTGACCTGTCCATGCTCATCAATCCTATGGAGTCAGCCATCCACCAGAGCCCTCTCTCCTATGCTCCCTCGCAACACTACCGACACGACTTGTCTAGCGTCAGCGGTTCCAGCATGATTCGGTCTCCCGCGCCAGCTTGGGCAAGCCAGCAGGTCATGTCGGGCTCGTCCAGCTCTTCCACACCCGCCTTTCCAAGAGATGGGAGCAGAGGGTCCAGCAGAGGGTCCAACACGCCGTATCTTCGCGCTACAGTCGGGAATACAGACCTTTCTCAAGTGTACCAGCAGAGAGGTCCATATCCATACGCTCCAACAGCTCCTTGGGAACCATCGCCAACTGCTACAAGTGGTGGGCCGGGCTACACCGGGTCTCCGTGGGCTGGGAGAGATTCCCCTGTCGATACACTTGACCGAAGTCGAGGGAGAGAAATTTGGAGAGAGGGAAGTGGAAAGGGGAAGGAACGAAAAAGTACAAGTTCTTCTCGAGAGCGTCGAGAGGGATGATCATCTGTAATGATCAATGGATGGAAAGCTGTCACTATAGGACAACCAGGATGATTAATGGCTAGAAGTAAAGCCTTGGTAGCTCGAGAGTTCCGGGCTTTAGACTTTTCGAGCTGTAGACACTCAATGATCTGTCTTGGGACTCGGAGGCGATTGGTAGTATCCCAGTAATCGACGAATAAATGAAGGCGAGAGGCTCGAGGGAAGGCATATGTTTGGAATTCGTATCGTACATAAGAAGTTAACGAGAGTCTTGATGATCTGTCCTGCTCCCGTCAACAGGCAAAATCAACAAGTAATGCATAGGCGATCAACTACCACCAATTACCCGAATATCCCAAAGAGTACAAGACCAACATCGCCTTTTGTCCTCCATTGGAGGTCGTTCCAGACCAGATGAGCCATGAGCTCCGCCCCACTCTTCTAGTTCAAAGGCTTGCCGAGCGAAAGGTCCAGAGGCCCATTGCTCGTTATCGGAACTTTGGCAGGCTCATTTTGCTCCGGCTCGCTCGCTCCAAGCCCATTCGCCGTCCCAGCAGTATTCTGCACTTCACCTTGCCCTTGGCCAGCCAGCTCGGGCTCAGCAGTCACGCCACCTGCCCCGGGCTCCGGACTGAGCCCATTTCGAGCGCGAGCATGTTTCCTCTTGTCCCTGAAGATGTCCTTGAGCACCTCTTTGACGTCTGCCTCCCTTGCTGGTCTTCTTTGCCCGTGACCGCTCAATGGTCTGCCAGCTGCACCGCCGACAGCAGCAGCGCCGACTTGGGAAGCGGGATGAGCAGTGCCGTTGGCGGTGGAAGTAGTCTGCTGAGAGTGGGACTGATATGAGCCGTCGTACGAGTTGATAGATGGCGCGTTTGAAGAGGTGATGATATCCGCGCGGCCGCCTTGTCTAGAGTCAGCCACTGACCCCCGCCGTGGAGAACGAAGACACATACCAAGTGCGTCCCTCAGATCCGTCACATCGATGGCCCTTGACACGCGCCTGTCATTGACACTCTGATAGCTTGCATTGTTCATGTTCATGAGCAGAGAGGCTGCAGCGGCATAGTGTGAATCATCGTCCGGTCGGACATTGGCAGATGAAAACCTCTCCACAGCTGAGCAACATCAGTAATGCCCCAACCTAATGTTTAAAAGATTGAACATACACTCTCTGATAGCCTTCTCCACATTCCATCTCGTACCCAGCACCCTCTCCGTTTGTCCCCCGGTCCATCCCGTAGCGCCCTGCACGACTTCCGCCCTGCTTAATGCCCCCAGCAAGACTGTCGGGTTGAGGAGGGGCTTGGCGGTAGCGGATGATTCGCCCTCACGAGCATGAGGGATGAAAGCAGTGGGCTCGTCTGGGGTGGTCAACAGAGTAGGAGGATTGGGAGGGGCTGGGTATGCTGGAATAAGGAATGGTTCCGGCAGAAGGGACAGAGCCTGCGTAACGGTCAGCGCCCTATCATTCCATATGCAGAGAAACTTACTTCGTTAGCCAACTGCTCCACTGATCCCATTCCCCATCTCTCTCCGATTCTCCTCCATACCAACCCCACCATCTCCCTCACCGCCCTCTTCCTTTCAAGAACCCACGCACCAGCCCTTCCGTCTCCCGAACGCCTAACAAGCTCCCTACCCGCATCCTCATCCAGCGCAAGCAACATTGGCACTCCGCTGATCAGCGCCTGTACGGGGCACGCGACATGGATAGCGTCGAGAATACGCAGCGCAGCAGCAAAGTCGAGAGGTGTGGCAACCTGAGAAAAGATGGAGAGGTTGTTGGATGACTGAAGACGAGTCATCGGAAGAGAGACCCTGCGAGGCTTGAGGGCCTTCTTGGGTGGCGTCGACGTGCCAGTGTTGGCAGAGTTGTCTTCCGAGGGTTGGAACTTGAAGGAAACACCTCTCTCGCCTTTAGGCGTTGCTCGCCCAGAAGCAGAGCTACCTGACGACTCCTTCTCATGCGCCTGAAGCTCAGTCGAGGCCCTCGTACCAACCTCGGGCGAGCCCAACGCAGTCACGGGCATCGTACCCCCTCCAATGGTATTCTCCCCATCTCCCTCTGGGCCGAGGCAGCTACTGATCACCAGCGTGTACACTGCAGCATTGAGAGCATTGCAGAACCGGACGGTAGCAGCGTCGCTCTGAGGGCGTTTGATGGCAGTCCCAGGCTCACCTGCCTTGCCCGGTATACGCCCGCGAGGCAGCTCAGTCTCGATAAACAGTATCAACGCTCGCGCATAGGCTGCTCGAACGCCATAGTCGGCCTCACAAAGCAGAGGAAGGGTTTCCTGCCATACTTCTGGCGAGATAGGGTTACGGCGGGACGGATGGTAGACCGGTCTTGGACGCTCGAACAGAGGGGTAGGGAGGGGTGTTTCAACCGGAGGAGCAGGGAATTTGCCCTTGCTAGGGGAACCGGGCTGTACCACATCTCCGTTAGACTGGCCGTTGACCTTCTCTTCTGCCTGGTCATCGGCCGCATCCGCCACAAGCATCACCCCGGTGATACAAGCCACCAGAACCCGGATAATCTCGCCCCTCGCCTTGTCGTGCAGAGGCAGCTCACTGATCCTGGCCGCAAGCTCTTCGACGATATCGTTGATCTGGTCGGCATAGTAGATATGCGTCCCGAGACTACCGACGCACTGTACGAGCGGCGGTAAGAGGGCATCAAGAGGAGAGAGATGGATACGGCGGATAATGAGAGAGATGAAGTTTTGAAGGAGGTCGGAAACGCCGAGCCCGATGAGGGAAGTGGTAGAGGTGAGGATGGTGGAGATCATGGCCAGAGAAGAAGTGTGTTTGGGCGAAGGAGCGGTATCTTGGAGGTCGACTAGGCTCTCGACGAGCCGCGTGGGGACGACAAATCGGTATTGGAGGGTGATCCAGGCAGTCAACCGCTCGGAAAGCCAGCAGCACCTTTCGGAATCTTGCCATCCATTCGTCTTGTCCAAGTACTCTCCCGCACGGTCAATGACGAGCGAAGCTTGAGCGACATTGCATTGCCGCACCAACGCGTGGAAAGAACGCAGAGCAGCCGAAAGGACATCCGCCCCACTCGGGCCCTTCTCCCCGGGAATATGCGCATGTAGACTCGGGGCTCTCCTATGCGCAATGGGACCCTTGGTGGCTGCAAACTCGTTAAAGAATGGAGAAGGACTGGCGTCCATCTCGATTTTGGCGGTTTCTTGTTTGAGCTGTTGGATCGGTTCTTCGAATGCGTTCTGCAAGAGGGGCGGGATGAGGATGGCGGACTGGAGAGAAAAGTCGCGGGAGGAGGAGAAGATGGCGTCGGAGGTAGTTGCGCCGTTGAGAGCAGCCAGAGCGATGAGCCTGGTACGGTTCTGCTGCTCAAGGTCGGGCTTCTCAGAGTTTGTCGTAGAGGAAGTGGTAGCCATACTGGCGTATTTCCGGAGGATGGTGAGGTAGGTCTTGGTAAGGGCATCATCTGCGCCTATCTGAGAACCATCGGTGTAGGTGGTGAATGCGATAAAGCTCGCTGTCGCCCTTCCAACCACTTCAAGATCCAAACTCCCTTGCTGATAACCTTTGACGCCCAAGCAAGTATCAATGATCCTCAAAGCGGGACGCGCAAACAGCGCAATATCCCGCTTACACTCTGTCAGCAAGGCTCGCAAGATAGCCAAGCTAATGAGCAAGGACGCCCTATATTTGGGGTACCCCTGCGAAGACCGCTGGCTCTCCTTGATGACCCGTTTTTCAAGCTCCTCGCCGATTTTGGCGAGTTTGGAGGGTTTGTTGGTAGCAAAGTAGGTGAGCTTGGAGAGGTCCTGAGCGAGGGGACGGAATTCTGGGCCGGCGGTGAGGAGGGCTTTGGAGGGTGGATAGCAGGCGTTTAAATGTTGCACCTCGGGCTGGAGGTTTGTGCAGGGGAGGCAGCCCATTGCGCTTTAGATTCTGTGTTATTGTCAGTATATGCTCTCTGAGAGGGGAAGAGGTCTCTACCTTTTGTGATGCTTTTGTAGATGCAGGCAAGATGGTAAGGTAGATGTTGACGGGCCGAGCGGGCACTGTACTGCTCGAACCGGAAATATATGCGGAAAGAGGATATAGAGGACTGTACAGCGTCAGTACCAGACCATCAATCTCGGACATCCACAGGAGAGAGGCAAAGACTTACTGGGAGGATAGGAGGGTTATTATGTGGATATATCTGTCTGGGTGGAGATGATAGAGGAGATGCGCGCACTCGGCTACATACGACACCGCCCGAAGGAGACATTGAAGCCCCCCGCGACTGCGCCCATTTCCTCTTTCATTGCCTTTCTTTCAACCTTTTGCCGTTTGTGACATGCTTTGCATTCTACTTATGTCCCAGGCACTGTATACTTGACTAGTCGTATGGGCTACTGGGGCTATAGTATCGATGTAAAAGTCACATTGCATTGAGGTAGGAGCATAGGTCTGGTATCACGCTTGAGTCATTGGAGTGTTTCTCCTGTTATTGGAACCATTCTTTGGATAAGCCGTGTCCTATACTGAGCATCATCGTTCTATCATCTTGGCTATGCTCCGCAACAAGAGGCTTTGTCCTCAAACCTGACCTTCATCTTTTAGATTCCCTCGTAATGCCTCCCTCTTTGACAATGGGATAGTCACACTCCAGCAACTCGTGATACGCCCTTCCATGGGGGCTCTCCCGACAAATGCCAGCAGCTCTCAATCTTCTTTCAGTGATTGTAGAGGGAAGATTCACTTTGCTGATGGCAGACCTGATTAAACCCACCATAGGTACGTCGAAGAGATACGCTTCCTTTGGCACCGATGGTACAAATGGGCAAACAGTGTAAGGAAAGGCCGAGCATGAGAAGGGCGCACACTGTGTTGCGCAGGGAACGGAGGAGAACGCTGCGAGGTGACCCTAAAGCATTCACACTCCTCCTCTTCCTTTGCACTGTTTTCCCCCTGGCCATATAATCCTCCTGTAGTCCCCACACATCCCCAGATCCACTTCAGGCCTCAGAAGCGGCAGAGAGATCGTTTCAGAAAGCGAAGACGGCATGCCGAAACTGTCGGCGGCCGTGGCTGCTGAGGTGTTCGCTGCAAGGAAGACGGGCTTGTGCTTGTGTTTATGCATACATGGGTAGATACTATAGAGGTATCTGGCTATAGGCTGATGAAGGTACACCCTGGCCGTTGTACGCGCTGCCCCGCTGCTTACCCGTAGTGATCGATGTGACTCAACATCCACCCCGACGCGAGCGGTTCGGTGTTCCGTTAGTCACCGGGCACAAATAATAGCTCCGTTGAAAAGTTGCCCTGCCCCAGCTGAGGAGGCGACCCGCCGTGGCTGGGATAATTGGGGAACAGTGCGGCTGGGCAGAGAGTTTCTTGCGCTGACGATAGCCAGTGCCACCTGAAGTCGTCCCCACCGATCGCCCCCCTACCACACGCGCACGGCCTCCTTTCCCCGGCCCACAAACACAGCCGGCTTTCTCACAAACACTCCCGTTTTCATTTCTCCTTTGCATCTCCATCTTATCTCATCTACCCGCCATGCCGGCTTCCTCAAAACGGGACACCCACAGAAGGCGCAGCTCCAGTGTCACTGCAGCCCTCAAGTGAGTCCGCCGCTTTATCGTTACTGAAAGAGATCTTGACGCGTACACAGCCAGATCCCTTTGAACCAGCAAGGCGATGGGTAGGCTATCACCATCTGATCCACGCGTCATCATGCTCACTCCAAGCAGTATACGCCCCCTCAGAGTCAAGTCTCAGCCCTCCTTCTCCCCCATCGTAGCCCCTGGTCTGGGAACCCCCAGCAAAGTGAAAGCCAGGCCGCTATCCCGGCGATACGTATCGGACGGCCTATGGAACGACGTCAAGACTGGGAAATGGCTGCTGATACCCTGTAAGCCGTCCGGCCGTCTTGGGGGCACTGCGCGGGCATTGATGGCCGTCTTCCGTGCCTTGCGGTGCCCAGGCTCGGTCTTGCTCGAACGCTGACCGAACCTTCAGCATCGTCGTTCAAGCTCTCCCTTATCGCCCCCATTCTCTACCTCCTCCATGTTGGCCTCGCCTATGCAGGTATAGAGGCGTTCCAACCCGGCGGACAGATCCCCAACGTTGGCGCAAAGTGTCTGTTGCCTTCCAACGAGCAGGATGGCGGGTACGCAAAGACGTGGTGGGATGTGGCATTGCTGGTTCACTACATCGTGTTTTGGACATTGTAAGTACTGCCAAAGTATGCGAGGCGTGGCTGATGAGGTACAGCGTGAGGCAGTTTATGACGCTCAAAGTCTTGGCTCCGCTGGCTTTTAAACTGGGCGTGCGGGGAGGCAAGATAACGCGATTTACTGAACGTAAGCTACTCCCCAACACAGATGTATCAGGACTGACATTGCCTGGTAGAGGGATATGCCGTCTTTTACTATGGTATCTACGTCACGTACGGCCTCGTGAGTGACTGCACCAACGTATATCTCGTGAGCTGACGCTATACACAGTACGTGATGCGTTCTTTGCCCACTTGGTATTACAAGACCGAATACTTTTTCATCGACTATCCCCACAAGATCATTTCATTCCGCCTCAAGTTCTACTATTTGACTCAATGGGCGTTTTGGACGCAGCAGACGATCATTTTGGCGGCAAAGGTGGAAAAGCCGAGGAAGGATTACAAGGAGCTGGTTTTGCACGTGAGTGGTTTGTATTACTTGGCTGGGCGTTGTGTTGACTCTATTTAGCACATTGTGACCATTTGGCTGATCTTATCGAGTTATATCGCTCATGTATGTCGAACGGGACTAGGCTGAATCCAGGCTGACATGATGATAGTTCACCTACTTTGGCGTGGCCATCTTCTTTACAATGGATACTTCCGACCTCTTCTTCTCTGTACGCCCCTCAAATCCTGGTAATGATTGCAACTGACGGACGTGTAGCTCGCTAAATGCGTCAACTATGTGTCCGACTTTTGGTCCATCCCCTTCCTGGTCTGGTTCACAATCTCCTGGACCTACCTCCGCCACTACCTCAACCTTCTCATTCTCTACAACCTCCCCACCCATTACGACCTCATCCCAGTCGCCGCCCGCTTAAAACTTGACCCTTTCAACGACTCGTATTTGGACTCTTATGGGTATATGAAGTGGCTGATCTTCATCCCGATCGCGTTATTGCAGGCGTTGAACCTGTTTTGGTACTTTTTGATACTGAGGATTCTGGTGAGGGCGGTATGGAACTGGGGCGAGGATGTGAAGGATGATCGGTCAGAGGATGAAGATGAGGAAGAGGAAGAACTGGAGGAATTGGCGGGGAAGAAGAAGGAATGAAGGGATGGGATTCCCGGGTTTGTTTGGTTCTTTTACGAGAGCACGATTGATGGGGGGTGTTTCGCGTCAAAAGAGAACAGTACAATGTGTATAGGCTCATTTGCATACCGCCACCTGGGCGGACTGGCATGCTCTTATCCCAGTATCATGCATGTCTGCGGGGAGCAGCAACATAACAGTAAAGAACAAGGCAAGAGCACAATGCGGGGGTGGCGGCCAGGGTGCGTCTCAGGGAAGAGGGGAGAGGATATGGTTAACCGCAGTGCCTAGGTCTTTTTTCTTATTGTTCTTTTCGCAACTTGCTGCCGTTATCCGTCCACCTCGTCGTCCCCGGGGGCAATTCTGCGAGCATCCAGGATCAGAAGCAGCGGGACATGAAGAGGATTCGTAGACAGGCCATGCAGGCTGATTACAAAGAGGCGGGGATACAGTTGCCATTGGTGAAACAGGCCACTGCCGTCTTTTGATACCAGCAATTAGAGCCTTGGCTTTAGCTTATTTCCGGCATCTCCTTCGTCTTCGTCTTCTTTCCCTTTCTTCATCCACCTTTTCATCCCTCTTCCCGCTTCGGTCGAGTACGCCACTGTGGCCACTGTACCCAGCTACGATCCCGCCTCGCGTACGTGGGTACTCTATCGGACGGAGCACAGATCGTTTGCGTGCTATACGAATCAAGATCAGAGCTTGGGGCTAGGAAACTGTCCGGGTCGTCGTCTCATTCGTTCTTTGTGAGTGCTATTTCTTGCTGTGGGATCTCCCATCAGGATGGGGTGTTGTCAAAAGTCGGGATGAAGCTGACCAGGATGCCTGCTGCTACATCTCGCTATCTCCCATCTTCGGCTCATCTCCATACGATCTTCACTTCCAAATCCCCCTCTTACACCTCCTGTCCTCCCACGCTCCTTCCGCCACCCGCCCTCTCCATCACGATCCACGGCAAATCAACGAGGAAGATCAAGAAACGCGGTACGCGCGCCAGATCATTCTTTGATCAAGCAAGAGTGCGGTGTGTGCCCCCATCAGCCATCATCACCATCAAGGCATCCCTTCTATCACGACGCTGGTCTAGTCACTAGTGACGTTGCATCTCAAATCGCCTATTTCTATTTGAAGGGCAGGAGACGACAGAGTGGTAAATCCATACCCATCTCTCTCCAGCAGTTCACTGGGCAGAAACAAACACAAACGACATATTCCATAAAGGCACCCCATCCCACCACACACAGGTCACGTTCCCACCAACCACACATTCTGGATTAAGCGCCATCAGCAAAATCTCTTATTGTTCTCTTTCCCCTCCAGCTTGCAGCTTGGTAGCAGAAGGGTATTCCAGGCCATTTGGGATACACACTTGAACCCCCGGCCGCTCGTCCCGCATTGTGATTACCAGCCCTGGCTTGGTATTGTCTTGCCTGATACCTACGACTATCATCCATAACCTTTCTCCCCTCTTGTTTCGGTCTCAATTCCCGTAACAACCCAATCTCTTCTCGACAACCTCTCTCGCCATCTACAAAAAGAGTATTCGTCATACGACGCCCTCTTAAACCCGAAATCACCCAACACTGAAACTCGAGAAACAATGGGTGGTTGTATGTCTTCCCCCTCCACCGACGACCCCGCTGCGGATGCTAGGAGTAGGGAGATCGATAAGGCTTTGCGCGAGGTGAGTTGTCGTTTCTATAGGTGCTGGGTAGTCAACAGTGTCCGTGCTGGGGTGGAAGAGTGGGATTAGGTTGTTCTGGCCTTGTTCTTCCAAAGGGGTGTCGGAATGGTCCTACTTTTGGGGTGCAATAAGCCAGCGGCGTTCACAGAGATGGAAATGGAGTCAAGGTGTATGGAAGCTGACTCGGGTGTAGGATGAGAAGCGCTTGGCTCGGGAAGTAAAGCTTCTTCTTCTGGGAGCTGGTGCGAGTGGAAAGTCTACCATGTAAGTGGCTCTGATAGTTATAGTATACAGTACTGACGGGGTATGGGTAGTTTGAAGCAGATGCGATTGATCCACGATCGATCTTTCGAAACCGACGAGATCGAAGACTACCGGTCAGTCCCTCCCTCCCCTCTCTCCCAGGCCACGACTAACCCCTCTCTTGCAGCAAACTGACATTCTCCAACATTGTCGGCGGTATGCGCGCCATCATCGACGTCATGGACGAACTCAACCTCGCCGTCCAACCTTCCAACCGCAAATACATCTCCCTCGTCGACGCCGAACCGCCCATAAACACCAACGAACCCTTCCCCTCGCGATACCTCCCAGCGCTGCAGCGTCTGTGGCAGGACCCGGGGGTGCAGGCTTGTTATAGCCGGGGGAACGAGTTTGCGTTGGCGGAGAATATGCCGTATTTCTATCAGGATTTGGGGAGGTTGTTTGAGCCGGGGTACAAGCCGAGTGATGATGATATTCTGAGAGTGAGGAGTAAGACTACTGGTGCGTCCCTGGCTGGTTGTGAGGGAGGCGGGGCTGATGATAGAGGTAGGTATCACGGAGACGAGGTTCCCGATCCACGATGTGGTGTTTAGACTATTCGACGTTGGTGGACAGAGGTCTGAGAGGCGAAAATGGGCTTCATGCTTTGGTACGTCGCATGCCTCCCTCAATGGTATTCGAGGTGCTGACCCGCTCTGCAGAGAACGTCACTGCCATCCTGTTCCTCGTAGCTCTGTCAGACTACAACTCTTGCCTGATAGAAGACCGAGGTGAGTGTTCCTCAACATCATGAGGCGCAAGCTGACAGGGACAAGATTCGAACGGTATGCAAGAAGCATTGATGCTGTTTGACTCTATCTGCAACTCTCAATGGTTCACCAAGTCCTCCATCGTAGGCTTCTCCTAGGTCCACTCTTTCAACTAGGCTAACACTTGCTACAGATCCTCTTCCTAAACAAATCCGATCTCCTTGCGCACAAGATCCAAGACCCCAACCAACAGCTCCACGAGTATTTCCCCGAATTCGAAGGGAAACCATACTCGTTCCAGGACGCTGTCGACTTTTTCAAAACGAGGTTCAGGGGCTTGAACAGGATGGCTTCGAAAGAAATTTATTGTCATGTGACAACGGCGGTGGATAGGCAGAACGTCAAAGTTGTGATGACTGCTTGTCAGGTGAGGTTTGCGTCTCACGAGTGGGAGTAGAGCTGACCGCTATAGGACACGATCCTCAAGAACACGTTGAGGGACATGGCTATTCTTTGAGCGACTCACTGCTACACTATAATTCGCTATTCTTCTTTCAGGACTTCTCACATTTAACCACAGATCTGTTATACACCATTTTCAATTCTAAATTCACCTGTGATTCTATTTGCTTTTGGCGCTAGGAGCTGCTTTACAAAAGCAGCCAAGCGGAGAACAAGCTGCCTCTGGATGGATACATACACTACACAAGACCGGGATTGGCGCGTAGACTATATACGGATGCATACAGACAATAGCGGGCGAGATGTTGGATGTGCCACACGGCGGGGATAGTGAAATACCGGGCCTCCACTTGGAGCTGACGCGACGCTCGCCACTGTATGCTTTTGGGAGAGAATCAACATCTCACACACGCCCACCATGTCCCAGAACCAAGATATCCAGCGCCAGGACGCCACCCTCGACGTCGCGCCCACCCCCCAGAACACCCCCCTCGAGACAGGCGTCCTCCAGAATCGCCCCGCCAACCTCGGACAACCGTCTGTCGAGACCCTGGCAGAGGGTGAGGAGAGCGAGAGCGACGAGGAGGAGGGTGGCGCCAACCCCGCCAGCTTGTTGGCTTCTGTGAGTATCGCAGTGTTCAGGATGGGTGGTTGGAGTTGGAGCGGGAAGGGAAGGAAGGGTACCGTGCGGGAAATTTTGGAGTGGCTTGTGGGAACTTGATTGTTTGGATGCGCATCTCCTTTCCCTTTCCAACGGATTAGGATGCTGCTCTTCAACCACCGTTGCCTCCCGCGACTGTCCTGCCCTTCCTGAATCAAGACGACTTGGCAAAATATTGAACAACATAGCTAACACGGTCTCACAGAACCCCGCGCTCCTCGCGTTCGCCCAGTCCAAGCTCGACGGTCTCGTCGGCAAGTCTTCCGGCTACATCGAGTCTCTTCCCGCCCCCGTCCGCCGAAGAATCGATGGCTTGAAGGGTGTCCAGGTCGAGTACTCCAAGATCGAGAGCGAGTTCCAGTTGGCTATCCTCGACCTTGAGAAAAAGGTATGTCTCAACGTGTCGGGATCGTGCGGTTGATTGGTGCTGATGTAATGCACAGTTCGCCGTCAAGTACCAGCCCCTCTACGAGCGACGAGAGGCCATCATCACCGGCAAGGCCGAGCCCACGGACCTCGAGGTCGAGGAGGGTATCGCCGCCGACGAGGACTCTGACGATGAGGCTGAGGAGGAGGACGCCGAGAACAAGGAAGAGCCCGCTGGTGGAGAAGACATCAAGGGTATCCCCGAGTTCTGGTTGACCGCATTGAAGAACCACGTTCCTACCGCTGAGAGCATCTCTGACGAGGACGAGGAGGCTCTCAAGCACCTCGTCGATGTGCGACTTTCGTACCTCGAGAACCAGCCCGGGTTCAAGCTCCACTTTGTCTTTACCGACAACGAGTTCTTCTCCGACTCTGAGTTGACCAAGACCTACTACTACCAAGTGAGTCGGCGTCGTAAGTATGTAGGATGGTGCTGATCTGTGTTGTAGGAACAAGTTGGTTACGGTGGTGACTTTGTCTACGACAAGGCTGTCGGTACCGAGATCCAGTGGAAAGAGGAGAAGGACCTCACCAAGAAGATTGAGATCAAGAAGCAGAGGAACAAGAGTGAGTTTGATGATGCCAACTGGTGACCTTTATTGACCCCAAACAGCCACCGGCCGAACACGTACCGTCCGAAAGGTCGTCCCCACGGACTCCTTCTTCAACTTCTTCAAGCCCCCTCAGCCCCCTTCCCCCGAGGACCTTGAAGCCGACGACGTCGACGAGGCCGAGCTTCAAGACCTCGACGCCCGTCTCGAGATGGACTACCAGATCGGCGAGGACTTCAAGGAGAAGATCATCCCCCGAGCCGTCGACTTTTTCACCGGCAAGGCTTTGGAATACGAGGACTATGGAGATGAGGACGACTTTGAGGACGAGGATGACTACGATGATGACGAGGTGAGTCTTTGTCCAGTCCCACTCTTTTCTCCCTCGGGAAGAGTCGTAAAGGGGAACAAACGCTCATGTATGGCTAGTAAACAGGACGATGAAGGAAATGCCGCTGCTGTTCAGGCCGCCGCCGCTGCTCAACCCGAGTGCAAGCAGCAGTAGTCGGAGAATGGAATCGTCACATTGTCCTCTTCTTCCGAAATTCATTTAATCTTCTTTACCATACTTATGAAACCCACGCAATCAAATTAAAACCTTTTCACAATAACAAATTTGGTCTTCGCATTCAGCTCCTTTCTTTGTATACTCCTGTCATGTGAATTAGAAAAATTGCAATATAGCACCTGGTCCCCAGTGCTTTCTTGTTGATTGGCAGCCGCACGGACGCTAGTCGGACTGGCAACGCAAAGTAGACAGCCAGATGCGAGATCGACATATAATTCTGCATACAATGGAGAAGTGGACTCCTGTGGCTATTGAGCATGATGCTTGCGCGACGAAAAGTAGCATTTAAGAACACGGCCCGCTGATGACTCATCACTGACGCGACGCGTTCCTTCTGTCATCTCTTTCATTTGACGTGTCCTTTCCACATTCTCTCAGACTGGCGGCACCCTGCACAGCACTCTACCTGCGGCCCCTCTCGGTCTTTCAAATCGTCTTCGGCATGAGCGACATTGCGGTTCTCACAGCAAGAACGTACGAAATCACTCGCCTGGTACCTGTAGGACATGTTACTAGCTATGGTGCGCTTCCATCAGTCTCATACCCAAACCCCTATAAATGGGGTTTTGAGGCACATCGAGATCATCCGACATCAAGAAGTGCGAGAACTTCAGTAGCTGATAAGCTATCACAGGACACATAGCAAAACTAGCCGGCTATCCGACTTACCCAAGGTACTTTAGACTTTCATTTCGCTCGACTCTTTGCTGACCATGATGGCATAGACATGTGGGAAATGCTCTCAAGATGTTGCCTGCTGATTCTGATATACCATGGCACGTACGTCAGAGTCACTGCTTCTTTCCCGCCCACAATCCCCAGGAGCACTTCTTCGATGGCTATGCTTTGGATTCACTGACTGACGACGGGTGTATAGCGTGTCGTTTCAGCAAAGGGCGTGATTTCTCCTAGAGGAAACCTCGGACTGGGTGTAGCTCGTCAAAAAGACAGACTGGAGCAGGAAGGTGTGGAGGTGGAGACGCTTGCAGGCGCTGGTGGGGAGAAGGTGGATATCCGGCGGTGTGGATGGTTCCCAGAAAGTCTGGAGGAGGAATAAACCTATACGGAAGATAATAACGGAAGCCGAGTATCTGTGGAGTCAGTTGTATCATTATGAAATGCATGTTTCGTACAAGGACAAGGGTCATGAAAGGTCGTACCGTCGTTGCTTGATTTTGTTGTCTAGCTACAGCTGCTCCGAATATCTACCCAAAGATTTTTTTCAGACTCCTCCAACCTCCATCACTCCTTACTCTAGCCCGCCATGAGACACGTTACACAACACTCCAACCGAATTGCCTATGTATATTGCATAGAATCAAGAACTGACAACCACACGCCCCGATGGCCTATCGCCCTGCGGCGGAGATAGAAGGTCCTTCCTGGACTCATCGCTCACAATATCCATATCCATGGACTCATCGCTCACCACGATAGGCGAGTCCAAAATGGAGCCCTTGATGCTCCTCTTGAGGGGAGAAGTATTCCTCTGATCACCTCCCCTGGTCGGAGTCACAGCAATCAGGGGCGATGATACGATCCGCGCGGTGGATCTAGCGGCAGATTTGAACCCAGTCGCAGGAGTATGGAAGGCGGATTGATCAGGGGATTGTTCAGCCTCGAATGGTCTTGATGCCACGTAAGACCTGAATCTTCGGCGGTCGGCGCCCAGAGCAAATTCTCGCCAGTAAACATTCTCTTGAGTGAGCGTCTGAAGACGGATCTGTGAGGGACATCAGTGATCATTTCTGATATGGGTGGGCTAACTCACCTCGCCCATCTGAGCCTGGGAATGTCTAGTGGCTACCTCAATCTGCCATCTCATGGTCTGCTCTTGCATGGCACTCAGCCTCTTTTCCATTTCCGCGAGTTTGAATTCCGCTGCCTCTCGACGAGCTGTCTCGGATTGTAGCGACACGACGGTATGGACATGCTCGGTCTCAAGTGCAGAGAGTTTAGGCAAGACGTCCTTTTCCAGATTGAGGCGCTCGCGCGAAGCGCTTTCCAACTGCAGGTCCGAGATCAGCTCTGAATGATGCGATTCCGATACGACCAACCTTCTCTTGGAGAGTATCCACTTCTCCAGTCAACCTCCTGTTCTCACCCAAAGCTTCCCCATACTCCTTCACCCTAGACCCCATTGACTCGTGCATGTCGTCATCCAACTTGCTGATCCTGCCCATGATTTCCTCGTGGAAGCTGTACGATGACTGGCTCAGCTCTGCAAGAGCACTGGACGTGGAGACCAAGAGAGGTGATGGTTCGGGGGGATTGAGGGTAGGAGCGGGATGGGGGGCTTGGAGAGCGATGGCAAGCTGGGATTGAGTAGATGCGAGAGCTTGCTGAGTCTCTTTGAGGGCTGAATGAAGTGCGGCCAAAGCCTCGTCCTTGTCTGTGAGAGCTGAAGCAGCCAGTGTACGCTCTGTCTGCATCTGAAGGCTGTCAGTCAAATAACCACCTGAAGCAAGTTAGTGACCTACCTCGAGCTGCAGCTTTTTGAGCTCCTTTTCATCTTCGAGCTCATCGAGTCTCATCTCCTTTACTTTCTTGGCAAACGCATCTCTCTCGAGCTCGGCAGCGAGTGCTCTGGCTACAAGTCTGTCCATCTCTTCGTTCTTCTTCTCTTCAGACATGATAGCCCCAAGCAGCTGTTTCTCTTTTGCGTCCATGGTGTCTCGCAGTTCATTCCTCTCGTAACGAGTGTCCTTGAGACGCTGCTTGAGTATACCAATTTCAGCCTCAAGAGATGTCACCTGAGATTTTGTAGAGGCAAGCTCGGTGGATAGAGTTGCGACTCGGACTTCGGACTTTGTATTCGCTTGCGCACTGCTGGAGCGATCCTTGGCGGCGTCTTCGGCTTCGTGTAAAGCAGCAATAGCCGTATGAAGGTCATCCGTGGAACTCAGACGGATAGCAGCGACCTCGTCAAATTTGGACAGGATGGCGTGCTGGCTGGTCAAGATGGCTGTAAACATTTCTTCTTGCCTGGTGTTTCCCTTCGCATCCTCGTTCTGAGTCGATGGATAGGCACTGGGCGATACTGGTGGAGCAGACATGTTTTGCTTCAGCGTCGTCAACAGCTGGGTCTGGTCTTCTAGCGCAGAAGTGAGCTTCTCGATAAGATAACTGGACCACTCAGATTGCTGGGCAGTGAGAACATGCACAGAATGCAGTATCTCTTCTCCAATCCCACCAGGGCTCGAGCTGATATGGTCCTTCCTCCCATACTGCTGGCACAGGTCTTCTAGCATCTTCATCACCCCGCTCGCCTCGTAGGAGTAGGACCCAGTCGCGGGTGTATTCAGATCCGAATCTACACCAATCGCCCTTCCAATAGCCTCAACAGACAGCAGCTTGTCCTTGCCCTTGCCCTTCGGCGGGGCCTGGATGACAAAGTCTGTCGAGGTATTCAATGATGTCGGAGGAGGGAAGGCCGCAGGGGAGTTGGTAAGGCTCGGGTGGCTGTGTTCCGAGGCAGCACCGAAGGGTTCCGTTGTAGTCGCGGACGAGATCACTTGAGAATATGAGGGTACGTGCGTGGGATGAGACGGGTGAGGATGCTCGGAAGACACCGTTGATCCATAAGCCAAATCGGCAGCGAGCGCGTACGAGTTCGACCCCGATGACTGCCTGTTGAGAGGGAACATCCACTCCGTGAACTTCCTAAAGTCCTCCATCTCTTCAGGTGCCAGAGCCACAACCGTCGAGGGCTCTTCTGGCATTTCCCTGCCGGGCACAATGGGACTACGTGAGTCTAGATCGTGTGTAAGGTCTTGGGAAGGGTGATCGGGGGAAGGCTTAGCGATCCCATGATAATAAGGAGGCGAGCTGTTGGTAGGCCCATGGGATCGAGATGCTTCTGTGAACCTCTTGTACTCTTCGTATTCCTCGGGAGCCAGTGACACTTGACCTGAAGGTACGACGGTAGACTGAGAAAGATTTCCAACGCCGTGAACTTGGTTCTCCTGCGACGAGTCATTATCCCCGCCTTCCAATTCTCGAGATTCGACTGCCTGAATAGTCTCAACACCGTTGTCTTCGTCGGAATACTCGAAATGTTCACCTGGACCTTCAAAGGTCGCGGGAACATCAGGAAGGTTGTCCGGGAAGGCGGCTCTCGGTGATTCCGACATCTTCGAATACTCCATGAACCGTTTGAAGTCTGCGGCTTCTTCTGAGTCGAGCGCCACCATGGGCACGTAAGGACTTGGCGCTGCTAATAGCAAGGGCCTAGAAGACACCTCGGGATTTGGAGCCGACGACCGCAAAGACCTAGGGGGTCCGGCGTTTGCGGCTGGGGCGAGAAGCGTTGGCTGCAGCGAGTCTTGGGGACGATTCTGCTCCTCGATTTGTTCCAAAGAGGAAGGAGAGGACCGAGACAGCTCGCCAAACGTGAACTCAAAGTTGCTACCTCCGGGTGCCTCTCCTACTTTCTGGCTCCCGAAGAGAGTCGACTGTTCAACGCCGTCGGCAAACTCTGCCTCTCGGACTGTCCCACTCACCGACCCAGAAGCCTCCTCCTCACTCTCAGAATAGTGCGCGTTGAGCGTACTAGCAGTGTAAGGAACATCGGGCGTGGCGATGCTTTCCATCTCTCGCTCAACTCCTTCACCGTCTTCGGTTCCTGCCTCGATGGCAGTAGCGAACGGCTCGGTTGAATCATCTTCATCCGAAGCGTATACCGAAAGCATAGTGATGGAAGGTGATTTCTCGTGGATTTGAGCAGTATGGTGGGAAGGCAGCGGTTGAGAAGGATGTATGACCACATCATCGAGGGGTACAGTGGGCTCGCTCAAACTCGAGGATATGTCTGGGGTATCGCGAGGGCGATAGGAATTGTACGAGTGTCTTGTCGCAAGGGAGGGACGAGGGGTACGACCGTCTTCCGAAAGAGAAGGAACTTCGCTCTAAGTATTCAAGTCAGCTGTGGCCTCCTGTAAAGCCGCGCAACTTACCAATTCAGAATTTCCAAGAGAGTCAGGCCTGCCGGTACCCGCCGACGGCATGGGCGAGGCTTCTCGCCTAAAGTGGATGACGCTTTGTTCGACTGGCAAGAGCCTACTGGTCTCAGCGTCACCATCTGCCTGTTCAATGACCAGCTTGACCTCTTCATCATGGTGCGAGCCGTCCATCTCGCGCAAGGAAACCTCAGCAGTCTCACTTGGCGCTGCGGTGGTGGTGTCGAACGCACTTGAAGGAGCGGAGATGGGCGAGCTGGAATCGCCTTGCACTTGGTCTGTTGTCTGCCCTTCGTTGGCGGGTGCAGGATCCTCGGCGGGGACGGGCATGACGACCTGGCTGCCAACCTTGCCATCATCACCCGCCTCGACTGTCTGGATACCGCTCTCAGTTGAAGCACTGACATTCTCCCTCGGAGCTGTATCTACCTCCATCTCACTGGAAGTCTTTTCGGAAGGTTCTCTATGCAAGTAGTCTTCTGCCCTCGCTCGCTTCCGTTTCTCAGACGAAGGGATAAACGCAGGGGCATCATGCTTTAAAACCGTCTTTGAAGTAGTCGAGCTGATAGAAGGTGTTGGCGAACTACCCTTAACCGGTGAGGATGGCAGACTACCACTCCCAATAGAGCTCGCCGGCATAAACACCGCAGCAGCAGCCCGGATCTTGGTGGCTGTCGATAATGGGGTTGTGGATGGTACTCTGGAAGGAGCGAAAGCAGGGGAAGAGTTTGTACTTGATTTGGCGCCTGGGGTGAAGATGGGAGCGGAAGCGCGCATCTTGGCTTCGCTGGCGGTGGTGGTAGCAACAGACTCCGCTGGAGAGTCAACCCTGCGAGGGGCAGACGAGGATGGAATGGAGGTGATGGACACCTTTCGGAGAGAAGCGGGCTTGAACGGTACTGCTGAAGATGATACAAAGTTGAGTCTGTGGAAAGCTGGAGCATCGCCGATAGATGTACCACATGGGGTATCGATAAGACCTCCCTGGCTCCACAGGGGAATGGTAGCGAAGGGCATGGCGAACGTAAAGTTTGCGCTCTCAGATGCAAAGCTTCGAGAAGGGGGTACAAATTCTGAAGCTGCAGCTCTCAACTTCTTGCTCGAGCTTGTACTAGTGGTGCTTGCCCTTGAGGCCTTGGACGAACGTTCTTCGGCATCTCGCGCCAAGGCGGCCCCAAAGACGATGCCCTTTGACTCTTTAGGCTTGAAAGATGCCGCCGTAGGACGTAGACTGGGTCTAGGGGCAGGGGCTGACGAGGTGCCAAATCGTATGCTGATGGGAGCTCTTTCCGATGCTTGGAGACCTTCTTCGACGGCGCGCTGTCTTTTGATTGGTTTATCTGACTCGGGACGTCCTTCGGATACTTCCTCAACGATAGCAGTGGGTACACTGGCGGAGAGAGTAGCGTTTTGTGACGTGATTGCAGCTCGTTCACCGGTGTTTTGGATAGCTGGTAATTCCGGGATGGCTGGAGGGTCTGTTTTCGCCTTGTTGGTCGAATATGAAGCAATAGATTGGATCACGCTGTTTCGAGCATCTCGGAGATGGGGCGGCAGCTGAACATACTGTCAGTATCTTCCCGACGATAGCTGAACATCAACTTGCCTCTCGCCAGCTAGAAGCTACTTTCTCACTCTCCTTGTCCTTCTCTTTCTTCTCCTTCAACGCTAAAGACGACGCAAGGGCCCTTCGCTTCAAGTCCAACAACGATGCAGGCAGCTAAAGGAACGTCAGATTTCGTTCTTCGAGCTCGTTGCGTTCGACTCACTGGTATAGCTTCATCCTTGACGGGCTTCCCTTCCTCTTCATCGACACTAGACTTTCTTTCCGGCTCTGACTCTTGCAGCTCACTTGAGGGAATCGAGGCTTCGACTGATGGTTGAGTGACCTCCTTTACTGTTTCTTGAGACGGGCCAGCCTCCGGACTACCTTCACCCACAATCATCTCCTTAACCGCGAGAGGTGGTATATCCACCGACTCTAACCTTCGGGTCGGCCGCTTGAGTATTGGCCTCGCCTCCTTGTCACTCTCCCCTGCCGCCTGCTTGAGGAAGCCGCCCAGCTGCCTGCGGGCAAAGCTGTTCATCTGCAGACCGCCCTGCGAGCGTTTGGCCGAGAATTGGGAGTTGGCCGACATGGGTGGCGAGGCCGGGATGGGAGATGGGGGAAGAGGACACTGAGATGGGGAGAGTGGTGGGTGATGTGTGGTTGACGTGGACGCGCGGTGGAGGCCCCCTGCTGATCCTTCCTCCGGAGATCCGTGCGCGTCGAATGTCTTCTCCGCGTCGTCGAGGACTTCTTCGATCCTTTCATCTTCCACTTCATCGTCTTCTTTCTCATCTGGCGTCGCATCGAGCTCCGCCTGCTCAGCAGCCGCCATCTCATCCAACATCTTCTCGAGTTCGCGCTCATCCCGCTCTTGAGCCAGGCTGCCCCACGCATCCTGGTGTCAAACGTCAGCCTATGCCGTGCTGACTACCTTCTGACTTACTGGTTCGGGGATAGCAAGGACCAGCTTCTTGCCTTTCCATACCGTCTCAACGTCGCAGTCTATATCGGGCGAAGGCACTCTACTCAGCGCTTCTCCTGGATCCTCATGCTCAGCATCCCTGGGTGAGATAGGTAAGGGCGTGGACTCTGGCGAAAGCCTGACCTGAGCAGCAGGCCAAGGGAATGCCTCTTTTCGCGACAACTGCTCGACAGGTGTATGATCTCCATCCTCCTCCTCGGGATCCTTGACGAAAAGAGGCGACTCGGGAGGGTTGTATTCCTTGTGCGGCATACGCACCACCACCCTGTTGCCTTTCCACTTCAACTCCTCTTCCTCTTCATCCCCACCTTGACTCGAGCCATCCCGGTTGCTAGGCCTTGGAGAAGGTGTCAACCCTCCAGAAGCTTTCTCTGGGCTTTGGAGTCCCTTGCCCTGATCCGTCATCATTTCGTCAAACGTCTTGCCTCCTGGCCCGCCTAGGACAGCTTTGGGCGGCCCACCGATCCTTCCTCGAAGCCCTTTCGGAGCCCTCTCCGGTATGGGATGCGCCAGTCGCTCAGAGCGGGGTCCACCCGGGCCGGTATGGTACGTATAGGACGGAGCAGTAAAGACCCTTCTGTCTCCCCTTTCTGGCCCGTCCCCATTCGCCGAGCGAGCAGACGAAACCATCGAACGTGCGGGCGAACTAGCGCCAGCTCGCCCATCTTCATACGCCAACGGCGACCTCGTCAAATTCCTCCCGCCATGGCTTTGTGCCAAAGGCGACAAGTTTGAACGACTAGACGAGTCGAGGGTCCAAGCTCGGTTGATTGGGGGAGGCGTCAAACCCGGCGTGAGCAAGATGTTGGTGTTGATCTGAGGAAGAGCATGAGGCGAGTTTGGGGAGTGAATGGGGAGCGAGTTGGAGTGATGCTGGACGGAAGGGGCGAATCCGTGCCCAAGGGGCGAGCGATCGTATTTCAAGCCGCCGACAGCGCTCACAGGCGGTCCATAACCCATGTCTGCCCATTCTGCTGGCGCTCCGGGGTTGAGCTGGAGCGTATTGGTTCGCTCATGCCGCTCGCCACCTCCTAAGCCTGCTCCTTCGAGACTCCCCTTCACAGACATCGAGGGAGAGAAACCATGGCCCTGTTGCCCTCTCTGAAAGTTCGGTTGAGGCGGGGGAGGATGGAGGGGAAAGCGGAAGTTTCGGTCGAGGGCATGTGGTCGGGGAGGAGGTTTGCTGGGCAGGGATGTCGGAGTGGGAAGATAGGAGTAGTCGACGTTGTTGCTGGGGTACATTGTGGTGGTCTAGCAGGGCAAGGTGAGCGAGACGAGGGGCATTATACTGGACAGGGTCGGCGCAGGTCTTGGGGCTCTCTTGAACAATGAGCCGTTCTTGAAACAATGCTTGAAAGGCGGAGGACAGGTGGACCTTTTTGTGAGATTGACGTGCAGACACGATGGAAAGGGACGGAACGTATGTGCCGAGGTGTGCACAGACCTACCGCGTTTTTCCTGATGCCTGATGAGCGCCTGATTTGCTTGTCTCTTGTCTATCCATGTTTCAGTGTTGTCTTTGTGCGCGAGCACGCTGACCGGTGAGTCGAGGTGGGGTATACATGGCAAGCATATGGTATACTGCAGATTATCGTCAGCTTTAGGGAAGGATTAGACGCGTCAGAGATAAGACTAGAGCGACACACGGACTCACATGAGCGGCACACTCGAGGCTGCCGTGACAATAGGATCACGCTTCGCCTGGCAGATTTGAGAATTCTTCGCTGGTGTGCTAGCGCTAGACATACTTAGTACTGAGTGTTGGCGCATCGTGATTCGTATCAGGCTATGTAATGTAGGCGTAAAAGCTTGCCGCCGCTTGAGCGGAAGTGTCGAGATCCGTGCGTCAAGTCCCCTGCGACTCCTCTGTCCGGCTCTCCGAGACCGGCGGCCGAGCTGATATGTAGCACACATGAGAGCGTTGTATGATGGCAAGATACATCTTCAGACTTCCGCGCTTCGAGTCCTATCAAGACTTGAGAGCCGGTTGAGAAACTGAGGACCTTGTAAGATCACGTACGACAATGGCAAGTGTTGATTGAGAGTAAGGGTAGATCGAAGCCCGCTGCCCTCCTTCCGCTAGAGCTACGCGTCTTCTTCCCGGACAATCGTTGGCCAGCCATTCGCAAATGAACAAGGCTTATGCATACAACAGTAGCAAATCTTCACAGCCACCCCAATTCAAGAAAACGAGAAGTCCAAGCAAATGAGTCGCGATGCTGAGATAAACAGGAGAGGTGAGATGAAAGCGCTCAATGAGCCCTCTGAGTGAGCCAGGCGAGCACAATGTCGAGGTTGTGCTTCGTCTTGTTACTTGTAGAGTAGCACTATCACCATGTCAGCTTTGCCTCTCTCACCTGCACGTTCCGCTATGCACGAGCAGGTACAGATAACTCACCGAAACGACCCTGCCGCCTATTTCCCCCAGCCGCATTTCCTTGATCAACTCGTCAACCCCTAAAGCTGCTTCCAGATCGTTCTTGTTAGCGAGGACTAGTAATGGGACTGATTGGAGAGAGGGAAGTGAAAGAAGGGCGTGGAGCTCGGATGTGGCTGTCGGGATGGAGTTGCGCTGCCCGGGTAAAGTCAGCATTGCATCGTGTAGGGGCGACCTATTGAGCTTACGTCTGCTGCATCTACCACATATCTGTTTGGCCACCGTTAGCTTGAGCCTCAGTGACATGTTCAGAAAGAACGTACATGATGGCGTCCGCTCCCCGACAGTATCGATCCCACATTCCCCTAAACTTTGGTTGCCCCTACCCAGCTTGTCAATATCGCCCCCACACATCGAGACCTCAGTACTCACAGCTACATCCCAGACTTTCATGGTCACATTGCCTTTCCGCACTTGCCGAAGATTGAAAGCCACCGTCGGAACCACGTCTTCCGACCATTGGTTAGATCCTAGCACATTTACCAATCTAAAAAGCAGTCAGCACTTTGACTTTGCTCATGTGCATGAGAGATTCTCACGATGTCTTTCCACTAGCCTAATGTAAAATGTCAGTACGGGTAAGCATGAGAGACCGGGCCTGAACTCACCTGTAATCCCACGATTGTAACTTCCAGATGCTTGGCAAAGAACAGCGATCTGAGCCAATTGAACAGGTTCAGGAATACCCCTGCCATATCGACTACTTCTGAGAGTTCTTGGTCTTCAGACTAGGCTGTCGTAAGTGTTCCGAGGAGACGAAATGGGAATGACCGAGGGCGATCGATGTATAGCGTGCTATCGGTGGCGGAACCGTGCTGAGCGTCTCTTGATGTCGTAGACTTGACCGTCGAATGCGAAGCGAAGATTTGAGTCGAGTAAAGACTTGCTGAGTGCGAGAAAGTGGGTCTCTAGGAATATAAAAGGATATTTCTAAATCGTCGCTGATCCGTTGTGGTGGCTCATAATCAACCGCGCACCGTTCGCTCTCGCCGATGAGGTCACCGCAGAAGCCCGTCCATGATTTGATTCCGCGAGTTTCAGGTACCGGTATGTTGAGCGACGAGAAGATTGTCAGAAGCAGAGACAAATTCGTGATGGACACGGCATGCATGTGCTGAAAACACTATGAGTCTGTTATCCTGTTGTACGATTCGTGCCAATGTCAAAAGAGCGCATTGAGAAAAGAGTAAGGAAAGCTAGCCGAGGAAGGGAAGAAGATCCAGGCTCCGTGTATCAGCGATGGGATTGCAGGCTTGTTCACAAGGGTAAATGGGCACAGGGTGGTACAAAACACAGGAATTCATTCAACAATTTCAATTTTTCTTCTATTTGCTTCTTTCACTTTCTTCTTTATTCAATTGTCCTTTGCTTAGCACCTTCGAGAGCAGGTTGCGAGCTCATATGCGCCTCGGCGTCCGCACTTAAGCAGACTGGACGACTGCAGTAGCCTTGGCATCACCAGACTGAGCCTCGCCAGAAGGAGGAGCACCAGAGGGGGGAGCACCGGAAGGAGCGCTGCCAGAAGGTCCGGCGTCCTGGCCGTCTCGCCTCTGCTGGCGGGCACCAGAAGGAGCGTTGGCAGGAGGAGCGTTCTTGTCATCACCTCGCCTCTGCTGGGGAGCGTCGGCAGGGGGAATACCAGAAGGGGCGTTCTTGTTGTCACCTCGCCTCTGCTGATGAGCATCGGCGGGAGGGGCACCGGAAGGAGCGGGGCCTAGAAGGATGTCAGTCATGAGATCTGTTTTCTTAGAAGAGAAAATCGTACCGTTGTTGTTCTGGTCGCCTCGCCTCTGTCGGTGAGCGTCGGCAGGGGGAACACCAGAGGGGGCGTTCTTGTTGTCACCTCGCCCCTGCTGGTGAGCATCGGGGGGGGGGGGCACCGGGTAGCGAGCGGGGCCTAGAAGGATGTCAGTCATGAGATTTGGTTTCTTAGAAGAGAAAATTCGTACGTTGTTGTTCTGGTCGCCTCGCCTCTGTCGGTGAGCGTCGGCAGGGGGAACACCAGAGGGGGCGTTCTTGTTGTCACCTCGCCTCTGCTGGTGAGCATCGGCGGGAGGTGGCCTCAGAATGGAGCGGGGCCTAGAAGGATGTCAGTCATGAGATCTGTTTTCTTAGAAGAGAAAATCGTACCGTTGTTGTTCTGGTCGCCTCGCCTCTGTTGGTGAGCGTCGGCAGGGGGAACACCAGAGGGGGTGTTCTTGTTGTCACCTCGCCTCTGCTGGTGAGCATCGGCGGGAGGGGCACCGGAAGGAGCGGGGCCTAGAAGGATGTCAGTCATGAGATTTGGTTTCTTAGAAGAGAAAATCGTACCGTTGTTGTTCTGGTCGCCTCGCCTATGCTGGGGAGCGTCGGCAGGGGGAACACCAGAAGGGGCGTTCTTGTTGTCACCTCGCCTCTGCTGATGAGCATCGGCGGGAGGGGCACCGGAAGGAGCGGGGCCTAGAAGGATGTCAGTCATGAGATCTGTTTTCTTAGAAGAGAAAATCGTACCGTTGTTGTTCTGGTCGCCTCGCCTCTGTTGGTGAGCGTCAACAGGGGGAACACCTGAGGGGGCGTTCTTGTTGTCACCTCGCCTCTGCTGGTGAGCATCGGCAGGAGGGGCACCGGAGGGAGCGATCTTGTTGTCGCCACGCTTCTGCTGAGGAGCCCCAGAGGGAGGGGGTCCAGAGAAGGAGAGACTGGCGGACTCCTGGCCAGCAGCTAGAGACTTGTCAGCAAGCAAACTTCTTTTTGGAGAATAGGACCTACGAGGAGCCTGGTCATTGCCGCCTCGCTTCTGTTGAATACCGTCGGAGGGAGGGGCAGAAGCGCCAGTGCCAGAGGGAGGAGGGCCGGAGAAAGAAAGACTGGCAGACTCCTGGCCCTTGTTACCGGTAGGAGCCGCCCCAGCAGCTGAATTAGATAGTCAGCAACACAACGTAGGATGTATAGAAGAGGTGAACGTACTGGCAGCGACAGCAGCGAGAACGGCAAAGGCGGTAGCAAATCGCATGGTGAAAGTGTTGGTTTGTTTGAGTGTCTTCTACAGAGGAAGAAGTAGTTGATCTGTTGGAAGTGGATGTGGTTGTTGGTGATGGGACTTTATTCTCAGCGAAGTCGAGCCCTCTTATATATCTTTTTGGCCAAACACTGCCGGCGGAAAGCATAGCACCGGGCGACCTCCAGTCACGAGAGTAACGCACTGGAAAGCACTGCTCGCTCAGCCCCCAGTCAGCTCGCAATGCCTCGCCTTCACTAGACGCGTAGCACACCTATGTTCTCGACTCGTATACCGTACTGCATGAGCAGAGCTAGTAGCTAGCCAGATCTGTGCTGAGTTGACCGTAGCTAGTATCGGGCGATGCGGATCAAGGGAAATCGTGGATCATTTGACCATTGGCCACATCCGTAGATGCAGGGAGGCGACATCGCCTGGTCACTGCTTGTCCAGCATGGTGAATCCGAGGTCTGAGCGAGCAGCCTGGTGACAAAACCGCAGGTGCCCTCATCTAATCAGTGTCGAGCCTGGAAGATGAGGATGGTGAGCGACAGTCGATGACTTCATCCGCATGTATCCGCAGAAATCCTGGCGCCGCAATCCGCAATGGTGGCAGCTTCAGTGACAGATGGTCGAGGCATTGGCGAGCGAGCATGTCATTCATTCGCGACGTGTCACATAGCGGCGTAAAAAGCAGAGCACAGTACGAGCCGTACACCTATGGGATGCCAGCGTTACTCTCCAATGTCTTTTGAGTCGTAGCGGCACAGTACTCACAGCTACTTGCCAAGACAGAAAGCGGAGAAGGCAGGCCTGCGGATAAAATTGTGCCAGTCGTTACGGCGGTGTGGCTGCGGTCACCGCCGCTGGTGCGTCCCGACTCCCGAATGACTTTCTGATTGTGGCAGATTCATGTATCTTGGAACAGATGCTCGGCTGGTATCACCGGTCTGCTATACCGAGAGCGCATCCAATCTACAGCTCGTCCCCTGATGAAGAAAGGGCGCCAGAGTAGGTCGAGTTCATCGAATGTGCGCGTTGTGACGCTATTCGATGATGATTGCGCGCAGGCAGGCTGCTCCACAGATTACTTTCAAGCTTTCTCTTTGACTCTCAGTAGGTACTTAAAGGCATATGAATCTTGCATCTCTTCAAAATACAGGTAGCAAGTAGCAGCACGGCGTGGGCTTGCTAGTCAGGTGTCTTTTTTTGGCCAGTGCTGACGCGTTCGACGGTCCAAGTAGCCGCAGACATAGCTCTGCTGGCGAGTGGACCATCCAAAGCACAGTTCTAGTGCTTAAATGCTGATTGACGACCTTCTTGAGCTCACTGTTGGTGAGGTTAAGAGGTTGATCTATGGTGTATCTTTGTTGTTGCAAACACATAGACGATACAAATGTTCATTCAACATACTCGCTTCCAACTTCTTTCTATCTATTCTTTGTACAAACTTCTATTCAAACAGATCTTCGAATTCAACTTGGTAGTCTAGATCAACCTACATCTAAGCAGATCCCGCGGAAGGAGTGGGCGCGGCATTGCCAGACTGGCTAGGTCCACCGGAGGGAGGGACGCCAGAGGGGGGAGGTCCAGAAGGAGGCGCACCACCGGAAGGAGCAGAGCTCTCCTGTCGCTTCTGCTGGGGAGAGCCGGAAGGAGCGCCAGAGGGAGGAGGGGGAGGAGCAGACCCAGATCCAGAGGGAGGAGGGGGCGCTATAGAGAGTCAGACAACGTCGCCTCGGAATCGATGTGAAGATGGACTCACCAGCAGAGTCACCTCGCTTTTGCTGGGCAGAGCCAGAGGGAGAACCGGAAGGAGGAGGACCAGCGGGCGCAGTACCAGAGGGAGGCGCGCCAGAAGGGGGAGCACCAGAAGGAGGCGCACCACCGGAAGGAGCAGCGCTCTCCTGACGCTTCTGCTGGGGAGAGCCGGAAGGAGCGCCAGAGGGAGGGGGAGGGGGAGCTGATCCAGATCCGGAAGGAGGAAGGGGAGCTACAAAGTTGTCAGTCAACGATCCTTCCGATTTCATTTCGAACAAGGGATGTTACTTACCAGCAGATTCACCTCGCTTCTGCTGGGGAGAGCCGGAAGGGGCGCCAGAAGGAGGAGGAGGAGCGGACCCAGATCCAGAGGGAGGAGGGGCCGCTATTTAGCTGTCAGCCAATGTATCCTGAAAGGTGATGGAAAGATACGACTTACCGGCAGAGTCACCTCGCTTCTGCTGGGCGGACCCGGAGGGAGCGCCGGAAGGAGGTCCAGCGGGGGCAGATCCAGAAGGAGGAGGGCCAGCGGGAGCAGAGCCGGAGGGAGCGTCCTGTCGCTTCTGCTGGGGAGCACCAGAGGGAGGCGGGCCGGCAGGGGCAGAGCCAGAGGGAGGAGGTCCAGCGGGGGCGGAGCCGGAGGGCGCGTCCTGTCGCTTCTGCTGAGGAGCGCCGGAAGGAGGGCCAGCGGCAGAGCCAGAGCCAGAAGGAGGGGGAGGAGGAGCTTCACAAGTCATGTCAGTCAATCGAAGACGATGTACAAGTACAATGAAGACTTACCAGCAGAGCTCACATCACCTCGCCTCTGCTGAGCAGCGCCGGAGGGAGGCGGGGCGACGGCAGAACCAGATCCAGAGGGAGGAGGGTTGCCAGAGGGGGCAGGTCCAGAAGGAGCTTCACCAGAGGCACCCCTCTTCTGCTGGGGAACGCCGGAGGGAGGAACGCCAGAAGGAGGAGGGCCAGAAGGAGGAGGACCAGAGAAGGAGAGGCTGGCAGACTCCTGCTGACCGGTGGGGGCAGCGCCGGCGGCTAAGGCGGTGTCAGTCGACCAACTTGGACAGCGTTGTGAGGTGTGAAAGTATACTCACTAGCAGCGACGGCAGCAAGGACAGCAAAGGCAGTAGCAAATCGCATACTTGTTGGTGTTGTTGTTGTTGGGTGTGTGGGGAAGAGCGAAGTAGTGTGGCTTGGAAGTTGTCAAAGTGGCTTGGAAGTTGTCAAAGTGGCTTGGAAGTTGTCAAAGTGGCTTGGAAGTTGTCAAAGCGACTGTGAGTTGGGAGTTTCTTTTCGTCGAACTGGCGCCCCTTATCTATCTTTTCAGCTCTCATAGAGCCCCCGAATCGGCCGACCCTCGAAGGACCTGTTCACGCTAGGTAGCATCGCCCGGAGGGAGGCATTCGCAATCTTTGCTCTTTGTTGATTGTTCCTTGTCACAGAATACTGGCGTGACTACCCTTTCCAGCATTCCACAGCAGTCCACAGCACTTCTAGTTCAGCTTTCGACTAGTCTCCAGAGATCTGCGCTGAACTGATCGTGACTAGCGTCTGACCTGGCTACGCAGGAGAAGGAGATTGGGTGTTGATGCCGGCTTGCGTGACGACGAGTACCCGTTAGTAGCGAACGATTGTGCATGGATGGTCAATAATTGCACTGCATAACGATTTGTTTGGTCGACGAACATGATCAGTCGCGTCAGCTGTCGACAATCGATGGGCGGTGAGTAACTCACCAGAGTTCTACGTCCTGTAAAGTCGCAGGTGCCCTCGATTTAATAGGTGAGGATAGGCCATAAGTCTAAAGATGCTCAGTTTGGTACGTGTCCGGCCCGGTGGAGCAACTTTATCCGCATGCAATCCGCAGTCAAACTAATGGTACCCTGGTGAGTATGACGATATGCAAGCGACAAGCGCACGTCGAACAGCACAATCCTGCGCAGGTAATAGCATGATTTGGTAGACTCTACCCTATGAGTCGTATTAGTGGCTTGAATCTGGATTCAGTTAGTGCTCACAGCTCACATGGCATGGCTCGAAACGAAGTCGGAAAGAGATGATGTCTGCGGATGAAAATAATGGGGTGACAGTGACGACTGCGGGTCGCCGCGCCTTTTATCGGCTGGCCGAGCCACGTGGTCTCACATCTCTGCGTTGAAGTTGGAAAACCTTTGAGTATGAGGCTTCCCCCATGATCCTGTAGCGTGTATGAGAGCTCTAGCATGAAATGTCTCTGATCGTATCGTGCTGAAATCCATTCCCCGGTCCCCAGCTCGCCATGTCTTCGTGGTACTACGTGGTCGTCGTCGAAATCGATGGAGCTCAGCACGTCAGCAGCAATATCCAACCCAGCGTCCCCTGCTTGGGTTGATATCCTGGTGATGTGCTCACCTTGGACTCGTCCATGAATTACACTAAGGAGACGTCGGGTCAATTTCTGTCTCGAAGCATGGGCCATTCCTCCATCCTTTCTAACTTCTCATCAGCAGAATCTACCCAAAGGCGTACTCATACGACTCCCAGATTATGGACCACCTCTTCGAGGCTTTCTACCCCTAGGACTTGAATATACCCCTCGCAATAGTAATGGCCAATCCTCCATAGCATCCATTTCTGTGCACCATGTTTCTCACAGCAAAAGAATGCATTCGATCCATGCCTTGCTGCTTCATCACAAGTATACTATAGGTGCGATTTTGGACATCGTCGTGGTGGCGAGGGTAGGTCGTACGGTGAGGGCTCGGGGCAGGCTCGGGGACTTCTTGATCTGATCCCAATAGTACTCGGTCAAGAGCGCCCGCGAAAGGCGGCGTCATCGATGAAGGCTATTGTTGAGCACCATAATGAGGCTGATAGAAGATAGGAAAGAACACTTATTGCACAATCAGGGCGCGTAATTAACGCGACAGACATATCCTTAATTACAAACTTCCGCGTCTCTTCGGCATCTCGTCGTGTTCTGCGAATTCTCGCCGCCATTGATGCTCGTCAACTGTCTTCTCCCACTTATCCTATAAACACCCCCGTCTCTGCCTGACCGCGTAACCCTCTATCGTCCACTCAAATCTCCCCTTTAAGCATCTCACCCTTCCCAAAGAAGCATCCATCATGGCTCTCGGCCGTCTTGTCCACTTTGCCTTTGACGCCCTCGCCGTGTCTACAATCCTTGCTGGTGTCAAGAAGACTACCGGATTCGCGTGAGTACCAGATACTGGAATCAGGGAGGAAAAAGTAGTTGACAGACGCTGATCACTCTGCATGTTTATCTGGTTTTCCGCACATATTCCTTTCACCATCCCATATCCCTTATCGATCCACACGACTTCCATATAAATCAACAGCCCCGCGACCGACCTCATCCCAGACTCCTCTCTCAAGTCGGTAACCGACTCTTACCTCGGTGTTGGACACACAATCTTCGACATTGTCGCTGGGCAGTCGGTGACGAGCCAGTACTTCAAGAAGCAATAGATTGTGTACTCTCCTTGCAGACTTCTTGGCCAGTGAGCGAGTTCGACGGAGGGCTTGGATAGGGAATAAGGACAGAATAGTTGAGGGAGTATGTCGGACAGTGATGGACTGGAGTGTTGTCAGGTAGAGGGACTCAAATGGCGGCTTGGGATGCCGATGGCCGCCTTTGTAGACCAAGAAGTAGGGTCGCATAGACAAGGCTGTATCTGTGTCTATAAGGGTTTGAATGGTTTTGCTAGTTGACATGCTACATCATACATGCTCATGAGTTTCATCTCCATGGCAAGTTCTGTGTAGAAGTAGAAGAGGGGAAAGTTGGTAATATAAATGTTGTGAGGCTAACAAAACAAAGTCCAGGCCCATCCGACCTCTAATATAAAGCTATATCCCACAGAAGAGGGTACCCCGTGCGGCCGAAACGAAAGAAAGTGTAAGAAGATCACAAGGACAAGGCGAGTCTAGAGCAGCGCTAAACCATATCGTCCTCGTGCACCTCTTTCACCGTCTTCACATAGATCTCCGTCGGCCCCTCCTTCCCTCTTCTCTCCGCGCTCCCCACCTCGAACGGGCTCTTGAATCTCCCCACCACACTAGGTAACCCCCAGCAAACTCGCTCAACCTAGACGTGAGTTTTGAGCGGTCGGCAGACTCGGCAAAAGGGGCTGGATCAACACGAGTCCGTTGGGAGGAGTTGCCAGAGTATGAAGAGATGTTGTCTTGGCTGTGGGAGTGCGTGGGGAGGGGAGGAGTGACTTGCATCTCGAACCCTTCCTTGCCGCCCATATGGCCGGCATTGTTGGGGTTGAGGGAAGCGAGACCGATAGCCAGGGCATCGTGCCCCACGTTGAGACGCTCGCCGAGTTCGTAGAACTGTTGGGGCGAGTACCCGTCGGGCTGAGGGCGCTGATAGGCTACCATGGGTTGGTTGTCGGTTTGAGCGAGGGTGGGGACAGATTCGGAAGTCATATTTCTGGGAAGAAGGATCTATCGAGCGAGTCAGCTCGAGGTCCGGTAGATAACAGGGAAGGTATACTCACGACCACGGAGAGACAGGTAGCAGATAACAGACCAAGTTGTCCACAAAGGTAAAAAGCGTCAGACCAGAATGAACTGCTGTTGATTGCCTGGTTTGTTGTAAAGGCATCCGCTGAGAGGATCAACTGTCCCTTGCGTCAGCTCCACGATTCTCGAGATTGACCACCCCTCAAAGGCGCGCCTTTATGGGTCTTGGAGCAAAGGGACTTACGAAAGAGACACTGTATACGATCCTGCACACTGTCCTGATTTCGTTGACTTCAGAGAAGAAGTACAGTCTTTCGAGGACTTCGAAGGAGGCGCCTTGGCGTTTGACGTTTCGCAAGAAAGAGGGAAAGACGATACAAAGAGCGATAGAGGCGAACGCCAAACTAGAAAGGATGTCAGTTCTGCAAGTCCTCCGGTGCTTTGACACTACCAGCTCGAGATCGAAGAGAACTTACACAAGACTCATGCAACTTCCGACCATGAACAGATAACTCCTCATTAAATCCAAGTCATGCTCTTCGATATGCACCGAGCCGATCAACAAGGCGAAACAGGAGATGAAGAGGCCGACCCAGACTTTGAAAAAGCCGGAATGGAGCCAGGAGGTTCGTGGTCCGCCGGGGGTGTTGATGGATTTGATCAGGTAGGCCCAGTAGAGGAACTACGACGAGGTGAGTGCGAAGAAGACGAAGCCGGAGCGTGACGTACTTCTTCAAGATGCACACCCTGCAAGAAACCCCAACCGGCAGTGATAAAGTAGAGACTGGTTCGGAATAGCTTATAGTGCGCAGGCGTGTACAGCGACCAGGGGGTGACGATGGTCTCATCCAAGGCGGGGTAGTAGATCCAGTACTCGGCGTAGATAACATGCACGTCTATCCAGGTGTAGACTATATATTGAGTGAGCTTCAGAAAAAGTTAGAGGGAGGCCAAGACGCACTTTGTAGACACATGACAGACCCAAACAGTATATGACACATGAAAGCTCGGAACCATTCATCCTTGGTGTAGAGAAGACACCTTGATTGGCACGACGCGTCAACATGGCTCTCTTTGTGAGATGGGAGGAGACTCACTTCCAGCGGTCATAGTGATAAGTATGCCATATCATGAAGAGCATACCGGCGAGGGACTCAAGGGCCGAGAAGGCCATGGCTGCTGGGCTATCACAAAGTCAGCTCGGTTGATGATGGTGTTGATGAGGATGATAGACTCACGTAGTCATCTTCTACAGATCCGGACGCTTGATACCGAGCTGAAAAGTGAATGAATGTATTACTAGCACCAATGAATGGCAGGTGAGAAGTGAGTGAGTAAAGAGATGAAGAGGGAAGGGAGCGAGTCTCAGTCAGCTCTGCTGATATATGGGTCTGTCGTGCCCTGGTGTACCGGTATGGGAATCTGAAAGCATGCCTTCACTGATCCGATATCGATTTGCGCCGCATGTAGCCACACACCGCCCTTTGTTTGCAGGGATGTATAGATGTCGGGGATGGGGCTAGATAGGGCGAATGGCGAGATGGAAGGCGTTTGTGGCACAAAGGATCAGTCTGTTTGAGATTGACTGTGCTGTGCTGACTGCTGATGTGAGATGGCGATCAGAATCCTCCGGGTTCCGTCAGCATGTGTTTCACACGTATGCATATACTCACCTCTTTGCATTTGACATGTGCTGGTGCGCTTCCGAGGGCCGAAAGCGGTGAAGACCACAGCCTTTGAGAAGGGCCGAAGTCTGCTAAGGACGTGGGCGAGGGATGTGTGGTAAGATTGTGGATCCATCATGCCCCTTTGTGTGTGCCGGTTCAGGGATGCGTCAATATATGTTTCGAATTCTCGTAGAGTACCTGGTGAAGGCAGCCTAATCGTAGGCGTTGTTTGCTGTATGAGGCCGCTTATACCGGAGTGTGGGGTAACATGGCTGGTGATTCATCGAAAGTCGAGAGGAAAGCCGAAGGCGAACGGAGTGGGGAGCTGCAGTCGGTCGCATTTGGCAGCACTTCAGAGGGTATCGAGGCCAACGAGAATGATATCTCATGGGAGAGATTCAGTCCGGTGGAAAGATCAAATGGATGCCTCAACCCCCTACATTGAGGACAAATATAGCTCTGACCCTGTGGACCCGGAAGCGGGAACGATCAAGAAGTTGAGCTGTAGACCGACCGGCCATCATGTCAATCAGTACTCGGGATACCGGTGCATCCCATCGGAGTGCCAGATCCAGCTTGCCTTGATATGAAGACCGGCGTTTGGCCAGGGCGAAAAGTGACGAGAAGGTGAGGTCAATCAGCAGGAGCGGAAAAAAGGAGTATTGAGGCTTGTTTGGACGTGTGTGCAAGAGGAGAATGTGCAAGACGCGTCGCGTCGATTGGCTTTCAGTTGGGGGTATGTATTGACTCGACTGCCGGCGGAAGTTGGTCTCTCGCTTTATAGGCCTGAGCAACTTCTTGCCCCCTTCGGCCCGCACCATGCCCTCCTTCATGCATGTGCTCCACTTGCAGCATCTCAAGCTTTGGACCCCATAGCGGTGATGTCCGCCAGCACCGACGGGACCAGAAGCCATAACAACCCAAGCGCGTGCCTGGCTCTCGTACGAGCTGTGGAAGAAGTGGCTTATCCTCTCAACTTTTGACTTCTCAGCAAAAAAACACCCAGCCATGTCTGCCATCACCCCCGAAACCGACGGCCACTCCTACACCCGCCCCGACGCTGCTGCTCCCGCTGCTTCCGCCGCCGACATCAAGGCTGCTCGAAGGGCCCGTTTTGAGGGTGTCTTTGACCAGATTGCGGAGGAGCTCTTGGCTTACTTGAAGGGAGAGAACATGCCCAAGGATGCTGTGGACTGGTACAAGAGGGTGATTTTTCATGGTGTAGGAGATATGGGAGGAAAGAGCTGACAAGTGCTAGGTGCTCTACCATAACACCCCTGGAGGAAAGCTCAACCGTGGTCTTTCCGTTGTCGACACTGTGGAGATCCTCAAGGGCCGAGAGTTGAGCGAGGAAGAGTACACCAAGGCTGCCATTCTTGGCTGGTGTGTTGAGCTCGTGAGTCGGCGATACGGGCTGGGATGAGGGGGTTGTGCTCATGCTAGCTTAGCTTCAAGCGTACTTCCTTGTTGCCGACGATATCATGGACCAGAGTGTCACCCGACGAGGCCAGCCTTGTTGGTACCGAGTCGTGAGTATCCACTCAAAGATCTATTCCAGCTGATTGACGCGCTTTCAGCCCACCGTTGGCAACATTGCCATCAACGACGCGTTCATGCTCGAAGCCGCCATCTACCACCTCCTCAAAAAGCACTTCCGATCCGAAAAGTACTATGTCGACGTGATTGAGCTCTTCCACGAGACTACTTTCCAGACCGAACTGGGACAGTTGATTGACTTGATCACCGCGCCGGAAGACGCTGTTGACTTGAACAAGTTTTCTCTTGAAAAGTGAGTACCTGTTCAGCCGCAGTCGGTGTGGCTTGGAGCTAACGGGGTGTAGGCACCACTTGATCGTTGTCTACAAGACTGCTTTCTACTCTTTCTACCTTCCTGTCGCTCTCGCCATGCACATGGTAAGCCACTGTCCACCCCCAAAGGCAAAGCTGATGTTTTGTACAGACCGGTATCCAGGACCAGTCCGCCTACGACCTCGCCACCAAGATCCTCATCCCTCTCGGAGAGTATTTCCAGGTCCAGGACGACTACCTCGACTGCTACGGTCTCCCCGAGCACATTGGCAAGATCGGAACCGACATTCTCGTGAGTCGCCTCTTCCCCTTCCCTTGTCACGCTTGGCTGACAATGAGCAGGACAACAAGTGTTCATGGAACATCAACACCGCCCTCGCCAACGCCACCCCCGAACAGCGTGCCGTCCTCGACGCCAACTATGGCCAAAAGAACTCCACCTCCGAAGCTGCCGTCAAGGAAGTCTTCTCCCAGGCGCCCATCTCCATCCCCGAGAGGTTTGAGGCTTACGAGAAGGAGAGCTATGAGAAGATCAATGGGCTGATCGAGAGTGTTGATGAAGCTGGGACGGGGTTGAAGAAGGAGGTGTTTAGGAGCTTTTTGGGCAAGGTTTACAAGAGGAGCAAGTAGGGGACGATGGCATTTTAACGGGACTTTTGGAGACATGCATTACAGGCATACAAGTATAGCCATATACCGGCATCTTTAAGATTCATGGGAGCGCTTTTCCATCCGGACCGAACACCTCTTCAGCCCCGAGCAATTTCAAGAGGACGTTTCTCCTTTCATCCCCTGCCGCCAAAGTACCAAGTCCAGTAAAGATGTGTGCCATCTCTTCTGGCGACAGCTCTGGGCTAGCGGGCAAAGCGTCCACCACTGATTCCCTCACATTTTGATGAGCTTCAAGGCTCTGAGTGGGGTCAAGGGAGATGTATTGGAATGGGAGTGAGGGAGCATGAAGCGTTGGGAGGCGGGTGAAAGTACGGGACAGGGTAGGGTGCATTATAGAGCGTCTCAGGGTGGTTGGGCGAGGTGGGTGAGAGATGAAGAAGGTGAGGGGAAACAAGTCTCTGGGAGTGGTGCGGAATGAGATCATATTGGAAGTGAGAGATCAATGAGGGCTGGTGGGGTGAATGGAAATGAAGAGAAAATGTAAGCGCGACACGGTGGGCGCAAGGGAGGGCTTGGGAAAACGTTCCTTTGTTCTCCAGTGTCAAAAGAACATGGGTGAGAAGAATAGGCAAAGGTCTGGGGTCAAAGTTTCGCATGGCTTTTTCGGTGAGTCATTGTAATACACCATGTCCTGGCTTGCGAGAAACAGAAGCCGTTCATGAGATGATGATGTTGAGCGATACGATTGAGATCAAAGGGGCTCGCCACGTATCTGAGTGATGTGCATCATATGTTCCATCAGTAGTCATGCAGCTTGGAAGACGTACAAGCTGGTGTTTTTGAGTGAGAAATGGCGGTCTGGCTGAACCCGCATTTGAGTCACCCTTCGTCAGCCCTGTTGCAGATTGCCTTCGGCCTTCCGCGACAGATATGTAATAAAAGAGGTCCAGAGACTCATGGTGGCGCAAGGACGGGATATCGTCTGCCAGGGGATGAGCACCTTCGTAACTCCTATCAAGAGTATATGTGTGGCTGCTGTGGACCTTTACGACAAAGGAGACTGGTCTTCGTGGATAATCCAAGCTAAGGCTTCGGCACGTCATGAGTCACAACCTGTCTTTACGATAGTCATGATAAGCAGTGGAGCTGCCTATAGGATTGCTGTAAAATACTGGATGGAATAAGAGCTATCTGGAGCATACGGAGCAGTGAGACATCTTACGACCAACACAGTCGAAAGATCAGCCCACAGAGATGCTCGTAAGACTAAGGCACGGTATAGCAGAGCGTTTCTCACGCGCATAGCGGGGGCCGCTGTCTGCCCCTCGCCACCCTGTGCATCCCTGCGTGCGCTATGCATCCCATGCACGCTCTGAGCGCCACCTGCAGCCTTGTCTCCTGCCCCCGGCAGCATGTCCAAGCAGGGGAGTGCGACGCGGGGTGAGACTCCTCGGCCGATTAGGTTCACGAGCTTTATAACCAGATCACGCGTTTCGTGGTAGCTGCTCTTGACATCACCCGTCCGGCGGCATCTCTCTTTCTCCTTTCCATCCATCCAGCAGGCCATCCCACCCCCAGCCATGCTCCCGACACCCCTCAGAGCACGCCAGAAGCGCCACCAGCAGACAGTCGACGCGGCCAAGGCTTATCAGCACGAGTCGCCACCCGCCGCGGGACCTTACCCCCATACCTCTGCCTCGGACTCGCAGCATCAAGACCAAGGAACGAGTGATGAGGGAGGGAGACGAGGGGATAATTTCGGAGTGGAGAGTATGAGCGAGTGGGGGAGCTACATGAGCTCTGTCAAGCAGGCGCAGCGAGAAGATGCGCTCGGCGGGAGGTCGCATGCAGCGGGCGGGCGAGACGTCTCTCCCATCTCTACAAAGGGTCTTGTCTTCCATCGCTTGGATGATGAAGGCGGGGGCTTCAACGGACGATCAAGTGGTCAGGTCGAGCCGCCCAGTCCAGAGGAGACGCTCCATCCGTTGGAGCCCATCGATCCCGTCAACCCTTCACCCACCTCTCATCCTCTTCCCCTGCCCTTCCACAGCCACCTCCGACTCGCGGACTTGCCTCCTCCCGGGACCCCGACATCTCCGAGTATACCAGGTTCAGAGCCAGGCTCTCCAATGAGCTTGGCGTCGATGCCTTCCTACGTCGCGAGCATGTCGAGTCTGTCGAGAACGAGTTCGGTGGACTCGCCGATCCATGACCACGACGAGACGCAAGGCGGAAGTTTCAGAGCAGAAGGGGATGGCGGTGATCGAGGATTGGTTCTGCCGCAACTCAACTTGCCGTCAGAGTCGCTCAGTCTGCACCTCTCTCTCCCGCGCTGGCTCAATTCTTGGTCATCCGCCGACGACCACAATCAGCCCCACAACAAGAGAGGTCCCATTACGCTTGCTCTGGTGGGTGAGCGGGAGGAAGTTGAGCGGCTGTTGCGTGAAGTCAAAGAGAGGGTTGAGATGGTCAAGCTTGATAACGGCGTGGGTGTGCTTCAGAATGGAAAGATTGGGATTAGGATCGTCTCTGGGCTGAAGCTTGACGAGGTGAGTAGCTCATCATACCTCTCTCGCATCTCAGGACATGCAGCTGACGAAAGAGCAGGTCCAAAAGTCGACTCATCAAGCTTATCAGGCCCTCAATGCTCTTCTCAGCCCAGTGCCTCCTCCAAGCACCGAGATGGAGTCTGAGCTCAAGAGATTGATTGATGGGTACGCCTCTCGCGAGGACTGGATACACGGAGTGATCGTCCTGGGGGAAGGTATGTTTCAATCCGACGAAAGTTGACTTTACGCTTATCGCTATGATAGTGGGTGAAACTTCGTTGGACAAGATGATTCCTACCATTACTCTTTCTGCTCCTACGGCCTCTCCCGAGCTATCCCACGAGACGCCTCATCCAGAGAACCACGCCTTGCCCGAATCTACGCCAAAGCTCACTGGAGCGGGACTCTCATACTTTGCTCTTCCCGCTCACGAAGAGCAACCCGAGTTTGACGAAGAGTCTGTCGCGCCCTCTGATCTGGAGCATTCTCCCAGCATCTCGGACTCTATCCCACCCAAGCTCAGTCCCAAAGCTGAAGTCCTCTTGTCTTTATTCGCTTCGCCCCGAAACCTCGCCGAGAGATCGACCACATCTTTCTTGGCATGGCGTCGCTCGCCCTACTTGTCTACCCCCACCTCCTCCCACGCATCCTACCCCATCTCCCCCTCGCCTTCCGCCTCATCCTACTACGCCGGCGCCATGCCCACCGTCGCCAGAGCCCAAGGCGGCGGCGAGTGGGAAGCGACCCTGTCGAGGAGGGTGGCTCAAAGGAGAGAGAGTGGAGATGCTGTGATCAGCAAGAGCGGGAAAGAGCTTTTGAAAGTGCAGGGGCAGAGGAAGAGGAGGAGGAGTATAGATAAGGGTACGGGGAGGGGCGATTATCATCAGGCGCTCTTTCCGCGGGTATCGCCAGGTAATACGGGGAAGAAGGACAATATGTCTTCGATCATCCGTAAAGCACTCGCAGAGTGGAAAGGGCGGTTGTTCCCCGGTACCAATGCCGGTGCTGAATCTGGGGGCAAAGGCGGAGAGGGTGGGAAAGATAGTGGGAGGAGGATTTGGAAGTGGGGTGTGGTGGCGGGTGCTGTTGTCTTGCTAGGTTGGGGTGTATGGCTTGGTGTCAAGAGTTGAATGAGAGTTGTATTTTACCGTCTTTTCAAAGACGTAGAGCTTGTTTCAATTTGTATACAGTGGGCGTGTTGTTGATTATAAGGTCTTGCTTTTTTTCTGTAATATACTCGTAGGGTTGTCAAGCCTGCGTTTTGTGTGCTGTACTACTACCAGTACTTGTACCCCTGCCTGTCAGAGTTTTGCTTTGAATCACGAATTCGCTTGTTAGTACTTTGTTTTGTAGATCATCTGTTGACAATGTATTCTCTTATTGCAATGAAGTGATCTGATTGTGCACAGTAGAGCGGTGTACTGTCGTTGTATCTGGCCGGATGCGCGCGCTCGAAGCCAGTCTTGGCTGACGCCATTCTTCCTGTAGACTTCTTCTCTGGATTTTTGCAAGCTCCAGATGCGCTGCCAGTACATCGCGAGATGCATCATAAATCTAGTCGTTAGTCTCGCGTCATCACGAGATTCGACGAGACAAGCTGGCAAGTCACACAACCAGAAGCGTTTGTGTGCAGTGTCAAAGAGGCATTGCAGAGCGAGTAAGGTGCACACAGTGCATATCGTCCACTCCTTCAACTGACTTCCTATTCTACTTTGTACATACTTCTACTCAAATTGTCCTTTCGCATAACAGTTACCTTTGAGAGCAGGCAGGAAGCTCGAGATTGTCCCGCACTTAAGCAGACTGGACGGGGCCACCGGAAGGCGCGGCGCCAGAGGGAGGAGGGCCGGAAGGGGCAGAACCGGAAGGAGGGGGGCCAGCGGGAGCAGAGCCGGAAGGAGCGTCCTGTCGCTTCTGCTGAGGAGCGCCAGAGGGAGGAGGACCAGCAGGGGCAGAGCCAGAGGGAGGAGGACCAGCGGGGGCAGAGCCGGAGGGAGCGTCCTGTCGCTTCTGCTGGGGAGCGCCAGAGGGAGGAGGCCCAGCAGGAGCAGAGCCAGAGGGAGGGGGTCCAGCAGGAGCAGAGCCAGAGGGCGCGTCCTGTCGCTTCTGCTGGGGAGAGCCAGAAGGAGGAGGACCAGCCGCAGATCCAGATCCGGAAGGAGGAGGAGGAGCTAGAATGCGGTCAGTATGTCATATATCGATGATCAGTAGGCGTAAATACTCACCGGCAGAGTTCACATCACCAGCTCGCTTCTGCTGGGGAGTACCAGAGGGAGGAGGCCCAGCGGGGGCAGATCCAGAAGGAGGCGGGCCAGCGGGGGCAGAGCCGGAGGGAGCGTCCTGTCGCTTCTGCTGAGGCGCGCCAGAAGGAGGGGGCCCAGCAGGGGCAGAGCCAGAAGGAGGAGGACCGGCAGGAGCAGAGCCGGAGGGAGCGTCCTGTCGCTTCTGCTGAGGGGCGCCAGAAGGAGGGGGCCCAGCAGGAGCAGCGCCAGAGGGAGGCGGGCCAGCGGGGGCAGAGCCGGAGGGAGCGTCCTGTCGCTTCTGCTGGGGAGCACCAGAAGGAGGAGGACCGGCTGGGGCAGATCCAGAAGGAGGAGGTCCAGAGAAGGAGAGACTGGCAGACTCCTGGCCGGCAGCTATTGGAAGGTTAGCTACGGCATACGATAGTCAAGAACATGAAACATACGAGCAGCGTTGTCAGCTCGCCTCTGTTGGGGGGCACCGGAGGCTGGAGGGGGAGGGGCACCGGTGCCAGAAGGAGGAGGGCCAGAGAAGGAAAGGCTGGCAGACTCCTGCTGACCGGTGGGGGCAGCGCCGGCAGCTATAACATCACATCAGTCTAGAGTACCACAAGTATCGTTGAGAGCACTTACTAGCGGCAACGGCGGCGAGGACGGCAAAGGCAGTAGCGAATCGCATGATAGAAAGTGTTGTTGGTGGTGGTTGGGTGATAAAGTGAGCGAAATGAGTGAAGTGGGGCTGTTGAGAGGGAGACTGATGGGGTTTCTTTCTCTCCAGATTGCCCTCCCTTATATATCCTCGAGACCGGATTCTATTCAGAGCACGACATTCATCGGCCGGCCCCTCAAAGGGCTCGAAGGACACTAAAGAGCACTGCTCATCCAAACCACAGTCGTCTCGCATGCCTTGGCATGCACTAGCCTCACCAGATCTCTTGTGAGGCTAGTGAGAACTGCGCTGAGTGTATCGTAGCTAGCACCGTGCGAGAATAGAAGGGTGTTGCGTCACAAGCGCGAAGGATCTTGCTTTTGATCGTCCTTGCTACATCCTTGACCAATTAGTATGCAAGGTGACGAACCTCGTTTCGAAAGCCGCAAGTACAGGCATCGGATTCTTGATTGTTATCGGAACGTCCGCAATCCGCAACCACGTCAACGGCAGCGCTTCACTACGGATGACGAGCTGTAGAGAGAGACCATGACATCGCATCATGTGAGCCTTGTCGTCGCAGCTCGTTACAGCGCAGAAAGCGTAGGAACGGGTGCTGTGGTGCTTCAATGAGATGGACATCATTTTCTACCCGCAGCTTGCTGCAAGCTTGTGGTTTGACTCACGACATTTGTATGCACAATAAGGAGATGCCTAGTCGCTGCGGATGAAGTCAAAAGGTGTGCGTTTCGGCTGCGGGCCGGTCGCCTGGACCATATTTTGATGCCGTTGTTCAACTTTGTCGCGCGTTCATCAACCCTGGCTCGACGCAAGCCCCTCGCCAGTCATCAACTTGTCGATCCATCTAAAAATCCTGAAGCAGATACAATGACAAGTATATCAGGCCTGAAAGACAAGATCCCTTGTAGGGCCATTTTGGGGATCACAAGGAGCAAAAAGGAAATCTTCCTGACGGGGAATCGAACCCCGATCTCCCGCGCAATTAAGAAGTTGACAAGCGAGCATACTAAACCGTTATACGATCAAGAATTGTTGATGTAGTAAAGCAAAATGTACCCTCATATACTGACGACTAAACTACCCCCTGACCTTGTATAGTAGTGTCTCGACTTGTATGCCCAACAGACTTTGTGTACAAAACGAACGAAGTAAATTTCTGTATCATAGCAGTAGTAGATTCGTACATGCATACATCTATAATCTTACAACATCATTATCGTCATGACCACCTCACTTGGCACCTTCTAGCCACCGCCTCACTGCCTTTCTCGACTGTGCCAGAACCCAGGCTCTCCTCCACCGCGCCTCATTTCTTCTCCGTCTATCTTGCTCTGCCTTATCCCCCTCGCCTTCTGCCTTTGGTGTTGCCAGCCCATGCCGTGTGTTGAGCCCCCATTCATGCCACAGCTTCATCACAACTCCGCATCCGCTCGTGATCTCTTGCAAAGACACGTCAAACAACAGATACCACCGGGCAGGGAGTGGTAGGCGGGACAGACGGGTGGCAAGGAGAATGGATATACAGGCAAGGGTATGGGGTGGGCGGATTGCGTAGAGCGGCGTTAATAACCTAGAGTAGGTGTCAGCTCCAGTCTCGAGGAAGATGAGGACACGAACATGTCGTTCAAGATGGACCAGCACATCTGGGCGATTTCTTCTTCGAATACAAGGTCCAGGATCTTTAGATAGTTGATCATATGGTTGTACGGCAAGTCAACCTAGGCAACATTGTCAGCGAGATCGGTTATATGAAAGAGGAGACGACTCACCTGCATGTTGAACCCCAGACGCTTGAGTATCTGCATCTCTGAAGCCGTAATCACATCCTTCCATTCCCAAAACACCTCGTCATGAAATCCTGGTATTTCAAACCCGAAGCCTCTCCAGATATCGTCCCCGTTGCTCGCTCTCGAGGCCGAGCCAGATGACAAGTGATCAAGGGTCAAATGCTGATCCGAAGGCAAATCGAGCAAGTGCCGTATTCTGGCAGTGAGGAAGAGATATGTGTTGATGAGATCGCGTAGGCGGACAGGCGTTTCACATAATTTGGAAGCGAGGAAAAGGGCCGATATTGATATGTCCTACGACTTGTAAGCTCGAGACCACCATTGCTTCAAGCAAGACGCACATTGACGCTGAAAGAGTACATCGATGAGACGTAGTAGAAGCGATGCAGCAATACTTGGGCAGTAGCCATTGTCTTTTGTGGGCTACATCGCATCAGTCATTGTGTTCACGAAAGACAAAGAACTCACAGCTTCATCATGACGCCGGCCTCTTGTATGAGCATACACCCAGCAGTTCTCAAGTCTCCCTCCACATCGCTGGGCACACCGTCGCCCGCCGAAGGGGTCGTCACTATCTGCTGCAATGTGGCCAGGGGGTGCGGTGCGTGGGACATCGCTTTTGTGTCGGTATGCAGCTGAATTGTATTGACGATATCTTGACGATATCTATAAAGACTTGAGTCACGGGATCAAAAACGGAACCAAATTCTTTGCAGCATGACAATCTCCCATGAAGTCCTTGTTGTTCTCGTCCGTTTAATCTCCATATCCCACAAAAGCGCACTTTCAGCTTTGAAAACTCCCCTAAACTCAATCCCTACTCCTTCAACTCACCTGCAACTATCACAATGTCCGACGACGACTGGGGTACGTCTCTTCTCTTCGATAAAGCCATGAGAGCTCTTCGCTGATTTCGCCCGAAATTTGTTCGCGATTCCGAGCAGATGTCGATGACGTCGCGCCTGCCGCTGCCCCTGCTGTGGCTCTTCCTCCCAAGGTGCCTGCCAAGAAGTGGGCCGACGAGGACGCCGATGACAAGAGTGTACGTTCTGGACTCCTTTCTTGTAGAAAGGTGCTACTCCGAGGTGTGGTGCTGATGACAATATCGTGTAGGACGATGACTGGGACAAGTCTGATGACGAGAAGCCTGCACCCAAGGCTGCTGCTGTGCCCCCGCCTAAGAAGAAGGGCACCCTTAAACAGAAGCTTGCTGAGAAGGAGAGGCTTGCCAAGGAAGCTGTACGTGCTCTTCATACTTCTTTGTGACTATGCTAACGTCGATCGCAGAAAGCAAAGGGTGTCAGTGTCGACGATGATGACCTGATGGACCACATGACGGAGCAGGACCGCCGGCGTCTGGCTCGTGAAAAGGAGCAAGAAGCTGATTTGGCCGTCGCTTCCGACTTGATGGGCGGTCTCGACGTCGGTGATTGTACGTCCCCTTCCTGTCCCGAGACTAGCGCTGACATCCTCGGTAGCCAGCGACGACTTGAAGGCCGTCCTCAACTCTCGCCCTTCCACCAAGGACGACTTTACCAAGCTCTCCCAGCAAGTCTACGCCGCCATCCTCAAAAAGCACGAGACCAACCCCCTCTTTTCCCACTTTGTCGAGCAGCTCGCCAAAGACGCTTGTGCTCCCTTGACTGCCGTTCAGACCCGAAAGGTCTCTTCAGGCTTGAGTGTGTTGGGTAACACCAAGCAGCAGGAGGAGAGGGACAGCAAGGGAGGTAAGAAGAAGGCGTCGGCCAAGCCCAAGCTGGGGGCTGCGACCAAGACTGCAGGGAGGGATGATATGGAGGCGTATGATGATGTGCTGGCGGATGATGATTTCATGTAAGGTGCTAATAGATATATAACCTGAAGTTTAGACTTGTGCTGTATCCTTTATGAAAGAATTTGATTCATTTCGTCGCAAAGCAGTACACTGCGTGTACGTTACGAGTGGATCCTACGCTTGGGTGACTTGGGCTGGGAGGTCCTGATAGGTCCTGGGAGGGGAGTTTGACGATGTAATGGAGATGATAGTCGAGCTAATCTACAACCCAGAGGTGGTATACGAGTATGTGTTCATGCTACTGTGCTGTGCGACGTTCCAGGCCTTTGTTGTTCACGTGTGCATTTCCAAATTATTCAAGCTAGTATTACGATCGATAATGTTACAATAGAGCTTCTTTTAGTCTTCTAACAAATTCTGCTTGATATAATGACCCTTTACACCTTCTGCCTGACCTCCGCAGCCGCCTTCTGCTCAGCCTGCTGTGTCTTGGCACCCGCGCCGACAGTAGCGCCGGGGTGGTGCTGACCGGTGAGCGCGGGGTGAGCCTTGTCGGTCAAGTCAAACGCGGGACTCCTCCACTCCTTGCCAGACGCCGCAAGGTCTTCCGTCTTGAACGCCTTGTGCGTCCAGCTCTTCTCGGCATCGTGCGTGAGGTCGGGGTTGAGCTGGGATTCACGGTTGGTGACGATCTTGAAAGTACCGGGCGAAGGCTCGGCCCTGGCCTTCTCGTCGGCAGAGGCCTGCTTCTTGCGGGCGTAGAGGTCCTTGAGAGCCTGGGATCGGGTGGTCTCATCGGTCTTCTTGGCCTCGTCAACCTAGAGATGTTGTTAGTTTGGTCAATTCGAGAATATCGATGGAAACGTACCCTGTTACGGATCTCGACAAGCTGGTCATCGAGGTGACCGAGAGAAGTCTTCATGGCGTTCTGAACGGCAGCAGTGATGGCCTTCTTGATCAAGCCAGTAGCAGTAGACTTGATAAACTACGAGACTGTCAGCTTCGCCCACACAAAGGAAGAAGAACGTACCTTGTAAAGCAAGTCGTGCTTAGAGTTCCTGATAGAGAACTTGAGAGTATCGATAGAGACCTTAATATGGTTGATCTTGAACACAGTGTCTCGTCGGTTCTCGACAGACTCGAGCTCAACGTCGACAGAGATACCCTTACCAGCGAGGACGACATCGGCAAGACCGTGGTCCGAGATACGGGGCCAACCAGACTTTCTTCGGAAAGCGAAAGCGACATCTCGGATATCGGCCTGGATCTGAGAAAGAGACAGGGCGAATCGATGGTGCTGGTTGTCCATGCCCTTGTTGATCTTGGGGTAGGGAGAGAAGGTGAACGAGTTGAAAGACTCAAGGTGAACGATGTTGGGGAAGAGGTTGGGACCGGACAAGACGAGGCCCTCGATGACCAAGTCGATGTTGGGGTCGCTGTACTCGGCCCTGGGGATGGGGACGTAGGTGACCTGCTCGAGCAAGAGGGGGAGGAGGATGGTTCGGACATCGTTCCAGAGCTTGGGCTTGAAGGTAAGGTTACCCTCAGAGTTGAACAAGAGGTCCTTGGTGAAGCGCTTGACGTCGTCACCGAGCCTGACGTTGAGAGGGTCCTTGCCAAAGGCGGTGGCCCAGACTTGCACCTCGTCAAAGAGGAGCTCCTGGTGGCTCTTGTACTTGTCGGTGAAGAACCTCTTGCCAGAGTCTCTCAAAGCGACAGCCTCACGGTCAGAATCTTCGTCGAGGATGTATCCGGGCTCGAGCAAGACCTTGTGGATGTACTCGTTGAAAGTGCTGAACCACGATCGGAGCTCAGAGTCGTTCTGGATGTCGGTGTAGACCTGGTCGAGAGCGTTGAGGATGGGCTCGATGGACTGGCCGTTGGCGAATCGCTCGAGGAGGACACGGAACTGGGTGACGGCGTCGGTGATTCCGGGGTCGCCGCTGACAGCCTGGGCAGAGCCGACACCCTTGGTGCCGACGTGCTTGGCGTGGCCGTGGTAATTTTCGAGAGTATCGAGAAGCCAGCCCATGGCCTCCTGGTAGTCCTTGTGACCTTGGCACTCGACAACGACCTGATGATTTGTCAGCTAAATTCACAAGACGAACAGATAGACGCACCTTCTTGAGCCTGTAGATGAACTGGTCCCTCCTCTCCTCGGGGAACTCGTCGTTGAAAAAGTTCTTACCCTGCTGGAGGTAGTCGGCAGCCCTCTCCCTGTGCTCGGCGGGGATTCGGTCCCTCAAAGCAGCAGCCTTGGCCCTAGCCTTGTCCTGGTTGCTCTGGTTCTGAGGGTCTGGGATCTGGTTGCCATACTCATCAACCTTGGCGTTGGCGGCAGAAGTGACCTGCTCCTTTTGTTGCGAAAGAGGAGCGTTGGGGTCACGAGCGGCCTTGAGGTCGTCGGCGTGGGACTGGGCGGCACCCTTGCCCTGGCCCTTGGCCTCCTGAGCGCGGAGCTGGGCGTCGTTCTTCGCTTGTTGAGCGGCGCTGTAAGTGTCGCCGGCAGTTCGGGTCTCGCCTCGGTGGTCGGTAACGCTAGATAACATGTCAACAATGACCAAAAAGACAAGAGATGACTCACGAAGCCTGGCCGGGAGCGTCCTTGGGGTGGTATCGAACCTCGGTACCGTTGGGACCCTTCAATTGTACCTCGGGAGTCTCGTTGGGACCGTGCCTCTTGCCGTCGGCACCAACCCACTCATTTGAGGGAGCTTCTTGGTCAACGGCGTCGAGCTGCTCCTGGGTGGGGCGGGCCTTATCGGCAGCCTTGGAAGCGGCGGTAGCAAAGACATCACGTCCAACGATACCAAAGTCTTGCAGAAGCTTTCGGGCTTCAGAGTTGGTGACGAAGAGGGTAATGAGGGTACGGATGTGGGCGGCAGCTGCGGATGATGTCAGTGAGATTCACAAACATATAACGATACACTCACCAGTGTTGGCATCTTCTTGAACCTTGTCGTTGGAAACAGGGATCACACCGTCCTGCTTGGCTCGCGACAGATCACCGCTATAGGAAGCCCAAACAGCACTCTGGAAGAGCTCATCGGCGTTCTTCTCGGCGACAATAGTACGGAGAGTCTCGATGATGTCTCTGAAGTCATCAACAAGGACACGGCCGTCTGGTGACAGTTTCGAGACGTCGACAGGGGAAGTCTTGATGGCATAATCGAGGACACGGTCAATCTGCTTGTTGTCGGGCATGCGACTGCGGGATGTCAGATATAGTACAAGATGACGAGATGGAAAGACTCACCCATCGCGGAAAGCCTGGATGGCACCCCACAGCTTGAGACCAGAGGAGACATTGCCTTCGACCTGGTCCCTGTTGACTGCTTGTGTTACGCTAAGCTTTCCAGGGTTCTGGGAGACTTCGGATTTTGTGGGAGCGACAGACATGGTGGGGGAATATTCTAATCTGCGGGAGTGTTAGTGAAGAGAAGAGGGAGGGAATCGGAGGCAGGCGATGGAGGGGATGTTGACTCACGGCTACAGTGATTAAGAGAACAGTAGATGGAAAGATGGTGGGAAGATGGGGATATCCCGGAGGGCTGCGTTATATAGAAAGCGTGAGAAATCCGGATTGACGTCAGAGGTAGGATGCATTTCCTGACGTCATTGGTGCGCATCTGTTGGATTTTCTAGCTCCCGTACCTTTGCCGCCGTTGCATGACGAGCCAGCGCAGCGAACACTCCAGACAGGGAAATAAACTGCACTCCACGACAGATCCATAGGGACCAAATGAAAGAATCGATCATATGCGCATGGTTGTGTACTGCCTTCGAAAACAGTCACCACCACAGGGGCTCCACAACATGCTCCTGTGTTGTTTGGTGCGAGGTTTTTAATCTGTAATTAACCTTTCGGGACGCTCATCCTCTGGCCTTTGCTTTGGAGAGGCTGGACAGCAGGACAGGTCGCAAACTCGATATGTCGCCCAAGAGGGCACAATTCCATAGATTGCAACTGCTACCAGAGTCCGGACGCCCAGTAGCGATGCTCGTGAATGTACCTTCTTGAGATAGCAGAGTTAACTCCGCCTGCGAGATCGAGCCAGGTTGACCGTTAAAGCACGATGGCCCTTTGTTCTCAAGAGGGCCAGGCTGTGGCTTATCGGACCTACATGCCACGGCACAATGCTCCACGGCAAGATACTGATCATCAAGCCGCCGTGACCAGTAGGCCCCATGGCCTGATGGATGTTGTCAGCCACATCAGCCACACCAGTGGTGCCCCGGTAGTTGTACCATCATATGATCACACCATGCACCAAATCGTCATATGTCTACAGTCTTTCCTCACATGGGATGATTCTACCCCTTCATCCTCCTCTCACCTTCTCCGCTTCGCGATACAACGCCCCTTTTACAAGCCTGCACGCCTTCCTTACGGCGCGTTTGTAACATCATCACACTAGGCAACATTTGCAGTCACTTATTCTGTTATTCATCATACCATGCACTTCCCCCGATACATAGAAAAAGCAACATGCACTTTGTGTTCAAAACACATCTGAAGTCGAACGCCACAGCCCACAGGGTATATAGCTCCGACTCATAATGCCGTGAAAAGCTCCCGCTTCTCTTTACTTGTTGTTCTTTCTTGCAACGTCGCAAGTCTGTCCAAGCTTATCGAGACCCAAGCGTCACTCAACATGTCCGCTACACCACCCCATGCAGCCCCTGCCACCGCAGGCGACAAGACCCCCGAACTCGTCACGTAAGTCTCACCCTTGCCCCCTCTGTGCACGGCTAATGTAAAAAAGCAGACGTGAGAAGCGCCCTCGTCAAGATGACGGAGAAGATGATCGTGACAGAGCTGGCAGATCTCACCGCTATAGGCGCGACGGTCCCAACGATGGACTGGAACATGAAGATCCTGAACGGGAACGCAGACGCCACCGACACCGGGATGAGACAGAAGAAGAACGCCGGGAGCGCCATCGCCGTAGGGATGCAGAGACGGAGGAAGAAAGAGAAGACAGGCGGAGGAGACGGAGGGAGAGGGACGAGCGGGAGAGGGAAGAGAGGGAAAGGGGAGATGTGAGGAGAGACTCTAGGGAAGGGGAGGACCTGAGAAGAGGCTCGAGGGAGATCTCGGTGGGTAGGCCTGCGAGTCAGCGTGATCGATCGAGGGAGAGTCACAGGAGCTATAGGAGTCATAGGGACGACCGACCTCCTGTTGAGGATGTGCGAGACAGGCGGGGCTATGATGATAGGCGAGAGGACAGGGGTTATGGAGGTAGGAGAGGCTATGATGACAGACGAGACCACGGTCGTAGAGAATTCGAGGTGAGTCTTCTGTATACAGCTCGAGTTGCTTCTGATCAACCGTAGGAACGTGGTATACGCCCCATGCGATCACCCCTTCCCATGCGCCGCCGAACTCCCGACTACGACCAGCCCCCTCGCCGTCGAGGCCCGCCTCCTCAGGATGTCGACCCCAAGGGGCGAACCGTCTTTGTCTCCCAGCTGTCTGCCAAGATGACTTCGCGTATCCTTGGCATGTTCTTTGAGGACAAGCTTGGACCGAGGTCAGTGCGAGAGGCAAGAGTCGTGACTGACCGCGGTGGTCGAAGGTCTCGAGGGTATGTACTTTTCCTATTCTGCGACAGTATCTCACGGACTGCTTAGCATTGGACATGTCGAGCTAGACAGCGTGGACCTCGTCAACAAGGCGCTTGAACTTTCTGGTACAGTCGTCATGGGTATCCCGATCAGCATTTTGCTCTCTGAAAATGACCTTGGCGGACAGGAGCTCATCACCGCTCATGCCCTCGCTAGTGTAACGTAAGTCCAGCCACTCACTTTCACGTTCCGAACTGATTGTTCCCAGCAATCCTTCCACCCGCCCTCCCCCTTCTTTCGGAACCAACTATCCGCCCCTGTCCTCCGGACTCGACGTGCCTCAAGGTTTCGACCCCAACTTGCACAAGGGCAACCGACTTTTCGTCACCAACCTTCCCTTCTCACTTGGGCCTACTGATTTGAAACAGGTGTTTGAGCCGTTTGGTGCGATAGAGTTTGTGGATTTGCACATGGACAACGTGAGTGCTTTCACCTTGGAATGGGAGGCAAAAATTGATGGATGTTGCAGAGTGGAATGAAAAAGGGTACAGCCTACGTACAGTACAAAGAACTGAGACCGGCGCAGATGGCCCAAGACGCTATGGCTGGCTTTGAGCTGGCCGGACGACCAAGTGAGTTCATCCCTTCGTTGCACCTGAATCCCGCTCTTACTGTTCGCAGTCCGGGTTCAACAAGTCCAAGACCGCTCATTCCACCAAACCCCCGACATGATTGACGACTCCCAGGACTACGGCACCAAGCTCGACGCTACCCAGCGTCAACAGCTGATGTACAAGCTTGCTAGGACCGAGGCGCCTCCTGCCGCGCGAACCGACGCACCGAGCCGCGCCCCCGCACCGGCTATGAACCCGTCCCCGTTCCTCGTCGTTAGCAACATGTTCAACCCCGAAGAGTGAGTCTCTCTTTCCAGTGTTAGTGAGAGCGTTGGCTGATGAGCTGTAGGGAAACTGAAAGGAACTGGGATCTTGACCTCGCAGAGGATGTCAAGGGCGAAGTGGAATCCAAGTACGGTAAAGTCGTGCGGATCAAGGTGGAAAAGATGTCTGCTGTATGTCCCTCGCCTTCCTATGCCTGGTTATTGAGGCTGATAATTGGCGCAGGGCGAAGTCTACATTGAATTTGCCGAAGTCGAATCTGCTACCAATGCTATCCGCGGGCTCAACGGCAGGTTCTTTGGTGGAAGGATGTTGATGGCTGGGTACATCTCCGAGGCGCTCTTCAAAGCGCATCTCTAAGATCGGGATGGCCCAGAGCTTGTGTTGTGTTGTATTCAAAACACTGTCCCCGAAACTGACGAAAAGGGTGTTAATAGCTTTTTAGTGGTTTACAAAAAAAGAAAAGATTTCACAATCATCATGCGGTATGAAAAACGGTCTCTGTCTGCGTCTCTCTTGTCTCTTGTGGGGAATTATATGATGTTCTTTGGGCATAGCTTTTACACCGCACCTACTCGGCCAAGTCGAAACACGTCACGGCGAATTAGCCATGGGTGTGAAGTCTGCTTCATCCGGCTAAGGCAAGTTTCTCTTTTGCACCTGGGAGACTAACGAGCAAACCTTTTCGCACGAGTGACAGACTTTTATCTTCTATTCGTTCCATTATATGGCAAGACTTCTCTGACGCTGATGGAGGCACAACGCAACATGATCACCTAAAGTGGTAAGATTCCCTATGCGCTCGAGTCTTCCATGTTCTTGCTGTCTTCCTATAAATGACTTGCGTGATATTACAGACGTATAATGCATCTGCGCTCACACGACAAGTACAATAGATGCAAACGGATCAACTGTCTCTACATTTATGGTTGTTATCAGGAGTGGAGGGAGCTCTGTCGACAGATGAGCGTGTGGCCTTCTTTTCACTCTCGTTGTTGTATTATACATCTTGTCTCTGCTGCCAGTGTACAAGATGTATGGAAATGGGTGACATGCAAGAAGAGACGATTGAAACGTAACCGAGTCCAGGGCCGGCGGGCATTACAATGCTTGTAATAGATTTTTTGATTCCGCCGAAGTCAGTGCGGAAAGGGATGTTGTCGTTGTTTTTCCACTTTCGTCTTCTCGCTGTTTCCTGCGGCTGCCACATAATATAATATTGTAATTCGCCCCTGTACCACCACAATGTCCTCCGTCTCCAAGCCGCCCCACAGGAGACGCAGCTCCAGTGTTACGCAGGCCCTGAAGTGAGTCCATCTACCTCAATCTACGTGGCTCCTGCGACGCGAGCGGAACCCACAGACGATATGTCAGACTCGATACTGATGTGATGATGACAGCCAAATCCCTCTCAATCAAGATCAAAACGCGAGGTATGGGATGGTCATATGCGTTGACCACGGGGTCGTGATGCTGACCTGTTTTTCAATAGCACAACTTACAAAATGAACGATCCACTCGAGGTCAAGCCTCTGAGCAGCCGCCCTCGACCTGCTCGAAACGGAAAAAAGGATGAGCTGCCGGATCTGTACCACTCTGGGGGGTTCTGGAATGACCTCAAGACGGGAAAGTGGATGCTGATACCCTGTATGTGCCATATCCCGCCTACGTTATTCTCGCTGCGGGAACTGACCCAGCGACCCAGCCTCCTCCTTCAAGCTCATGCTCGTTGCCCCCTTCCTGTACTATCAGCACGAGATCCTCCAACACTTTGGTGTGTTTGACTCGGCGCTGCCCAACGTATTTAAGCACTTTGTGTTCATCTCGAACAAGCTGCCAGATGGGCGATATGGCAAGTCGTGGTGGGACCTTGCGTTCTTGGCCAACTACATCATCTTCTGGAGCTTGTGAGTTCGGTCTTCGTCGTGATAGTCTGTTCTGACGCCAAATAGTGTCCGGCAGTTTATGACGCTCAATGTTCTCCGTCCTATGGCCAAGTCGCTCGGTATCAAGGGCAACAAGATCATGAGGTTCACCGAGCGTACGGTTCTTCTTCTCCCCCCTGATATACAAGCTCATTAGACTGTAGAGGGCTACGCGTTCTTCTACTTTGGCATTCTCGGCACTCTCGGCGTCTACGTTATGAGCAGCCTTCCTATCTGGTGGTACCAAACCGAGCACTTCTGGCTCGAATATCCTCACCGACAAATGACCTGGGAGCTCAAAACCTACTATCTTATGCAGGCCGCTTACTGGCTCCAGCAAACGATCCTGTTGGCTGGCAAGATTGAGAAGCCGAGGAAAGATTTCAAGGAGCTTGTTGCGCACCACATCGTGACGCTCTGGTTGGTTGGATGGAGTTACAATATCTACGTGAGTGACATCGGCGCCGCATTGTACATCTCTGACTCTCTAATAGTTGACATATATTGGTGTCGCTGTGTTTGTGACCATGGACGTGTCCGACATCTTCCTTGCTGTGAGTCTTTCCTATGATTGAATTTGGCAAATCTGATTGTGTGCAGCTTGCCAAATGTGTCAACTACGTATCCGACTTCTGGTCGGTGCCCGTTTTTGCTTGGTTCATTGGGGTCTGGTCATACTTCCGCCACTACCTCAACATTATCATCCTCTATTCCGTCTGGGCTCAGTTCGAGCTCATTCCTTGGAAAGAGCGTCAGGGCTTTGACCCCTTAAACGACACTTTCATGGTCGGGTGGATGAAGTGGCAGATCTTTGTCCCCATCTTTTTGCTCCAGCTCATTAACCTTTTCTGGTACTTTTTGATCTGGAGAATCCTTTTCAGAACCATCTTTGGCGAGCAGCTCAAGGATGAGAGGTCAGATGATGAGGACGAAGAAGAGGAGGAGGTCAGGGAGAAGGCCGAGTAGCTTTCAGACATTTTGGGCGCCATCATCTGCAAGAGTTTTGGATCTTGGCAAAATCATTAATGTGTCGTGCATAACCATCACAAAGCGTATTTTTATGTCTTTCCATTTCGTGCATGCTGTTGTCTTGCTTCTATGCATATGTATGGCAGTGTATGCAACAGTCAACTCCTTAGCGTCTGTCTGTCTGTTAAAGTTGACTTGGAACAATCGGTATACTCAATGCATTGTGTACGTACGCTACCCCGATTAAGACATAGGTATGGTGATATGTCTATCAGGAGATACACAAGTGCTGCACGAGAGGAGAATGCAGGACATAGACAATCATGACGCATGATCAGTGCGGAAGTGTCGGGAGACTCGAGGTTTAAAGTATACTCTGAACTCGAGGTCAGCGCTGAAACACTGCAGATCGACCATGGTGATCATCCTTACCATGAAGAGATAGGACAAGACTCTTCCTTTGTGCACCTGGCGAAGAGTCTCGAGATTATACGAGGTGGAAGCAAAGCACGGCGGATCGTGACAAGCTTCGGTGCACTTCTTTTTCCAACCGTCCACCGCACCCTTGAGTGAGAAGGAAAGTTGGAAAAAGGAGGCAGGATCTGCAAACCGACTCTGGAGACGGACTTGTAGATATCTTGGGGTCTGAAGATCAAGGGCGATTTGAAAGCGACAGACCGCCGGCATGCTGTAGGTTGAGCGACGTCAGCAGTTTCCTCAGCATGAGATACACGAGTACATACGATCCTTCTAAGGGTCTTTTCTCCCAGAAGATCTGGCCATCAATCAGCTAGTATCCTGGAAGGGAAAAGAGCAAGGAGAAGCGAACGTACCCTCTTGAGTTGTTGCGCCTGTCTGACGCCACACCTCAGACGCCCGGAAGGCCCTGTTATGAGGGACTTCCAGCTGGAGATATGATTAGTGTCTGGTGACTGCTTTGAAAGTACTGGTCATGGTGAAGACTTACGTGCTGACAGTGGACAAGATACTATAAGTCCCGTCGACCGTCCACGATCTGCGTTGTTGTAAAAGCATCGTCAGTCATTGTTGCCTCTCAATCCATAGGCTTATGGTGTATATGCAATGTGTTTGATGTTGATACGCACAGCGAGAAAGCCCCTTCACTACCGCTCTGAAGGATAATCAGCGCCTCTTTGTCTGAGTACGAAGCACTTTAGGCGGGATCTTACTTACCGGAAATACCAGACATCAACCTGGATACCTGGTCGTCTCCGAAATGCAACCACCGAGCACGCACAGTAGACTGTATGCACTCACTCGCTAACTGCTACAAGCAGCTTTGACCCGATACACGGCGCGAGGGGTGTGAAGAAGGAAAGAGAAATACGATGGGAAAGATGGCGGGAAGAAGGTACGTGGTGGGTGCATGGGAATCCGTGATGTCATGCAACGGTGATATGCGGTATCTAACAACATGGCTCTCTTCAGAGTCATGATGATAAGATACAGCGTAATACAGGATCGGTTATACTGTACAAGCGAAGAAGAGCCAATGAGGGTCATGTGGAAAATGCATGCCGTGTGAGCGAGAAGCAAGCTCTAGCTTATTCGCAAAGGGGACTAGAGCTGGGCACCGATCACTGATATGCTAGTCGTCTTTATGTACATGCAACAACTGATGTAACAATACGAAATCCTGGAAAGGGTTCACCAGAGTACATGCTGGGTGGCTTTAGACACCGTGCACTATGTCTTGGAAGCAACAAAACCGTACGCGACCTTGCTAGATGATGGTTGAGCAAAGAGTGCGGTAGGTACAAAGAGCAGACTCTGGCAGAGACGACATAGGAGTATGGTGTTTGAGATTTCTGGGTCGTATCGATCAGGTCTGCAGGCCTTCGTGGTGATCTGGGCAAGCACTGTACACTCACGAGGTAGAGAGATGATAGAGTGGAGACGAAGGCGCTATGACCAACGACCTCGCCTTTGGTCTCTCCAGCTGACCAGGCCAAGGTCAAGAGGAGAGGACCAGTAAAGTACCAGCGAAGCCCGCTTCCCGGCCGTCTACTTGCCCCCGTGCCTCACCTTGTCTACCACACCAATCCCCACCGCGCCGTCCTGCACCCGGCAAACCACAGCACCCACCGAAGGGAGCAGATCTTACTCCACCCGGCCGATACAGCGCCGTACAGGAAGCCCAAAGGAGCAATGAGAGCTGGTGCTATAGCAAGGTAGGGGATGGGGGTCAAGCAGACGGCGAGGAAGCGGAGCTTATTGATACTGTTAGGTAGATAATGAAGGAAGACAGGGCTGAGATTAATCAGCAGAGCGACCAAAAAAAGACTGCACTAGAGGCAGTCCAAGACCAGCGGCTTACACTCCAGTCATACAGGACGGCGAACCACAGATTTCCTTGAGCATTATCCTAGGTTGGATGGTAAGCGCCACTCGACCGAGAAAGTACGAGTAAGAGAGGGAGCGAGCTACAAGAGAAGGTTCGTGTCCGAGGACGCGGATCTTCTCTTCCCCGGCTGACCCGTTTGTGACTGGGCACGCGGTCTTGGAGAAGATAGGGACGGGTGGGAAGAGAAAGAGCAGCGGAAGTCATGTTATATGCGTGGGAATCAGATCTCCACAGTACATGTATGACCGGCGTTCCGAGTGGTAGTTACGTAAGTGGTCTAGATCGACGAGTACGTACTCGCGACGTGAATAATCCCGGCAAAGGACAGCAGATGACATGCGACCAGAACACTTGAACGCAAACTCTATCGAAGTCTGTCAGATGACGCTCTGTCCTTGCCACATATATATACTGTCTTGCCACCCGCCTACTGAGATGTATCCACAGCAACCATGCAGTTCGTCACTGACACCGCTAACGTCACCCCGCCCAAGAACCTCTACCCCTGCCTCGCAACCATCTCCCTCTTCACCCCCTTCGACACCACTTCTGAGGGCGGCCGCCGCTCCTCTTTCGGATCATTCTCCGACAAAGATCGCAACGCTCATAAGGACGAGAGCGGCAACACGCTCACCCGCATCCTCTCGGGCTCCAGCGGCAGGAGGAAGAGTACGGCTGTCGATGCCGGGGCTGAGACCTCTATCCCGGCGGGAAAGGAGAGTGGAGCAGGCGGAAGGAGGAGGTTTAGTCTCTCTGGTAAAGATGAGGAGGAGGCTAGAAGCCCGCCTGAGGGAAGGTGGTACTGGCGAGTACGAGTTGGAGTTACCGACGTCCGTATCTCTCTACTCTTACCAGATCATGACTAACAAGGCCCAAGTCTCACGTCGTTCTTCTCCCCCTGTCTGATCCTGCCAACCCCCTCCTCAATTCTGCTCCTCCTCCTCTTTCCACCGCCATTCCCTCTCACGCCGCGCACTCTTCCCGCACCACCACCAACGGCGGAGAAAGCGCCATCAACAACTCCAACATCAATGCCCTTCACCCGCCCGAGAATGACAGCGGGCTGGCCAACAAGATGAAGAACCTCTTCAGGCGTGGAAGCACTACCAACAAGGAAACCCCCGCTTCTACTGGGCAGCAGTCTGGAGCTCAGGCTGCCATGAACGAACCCATCACCGACCAGACTGCCTCTGGCGCTACCCTCCCTTCTGCCGCGGCTAATGAGGCAGGAGCTACCAACACCAACGGCAGCTCTGAGCTCGCATGGCCTGGGGTCATTGATGGGGACAAGCTCGCTGCTGTGATCATTCCCACCTGGGCTTTGGTCAAGGACAGGGTTCAGCTCAAGCACAAGAAGGTCGAAGGCTCCTGGGTCATTGTTCAGGTATGTCTCTTATCTTGCTCTGTAGAGTGAGAGCTGACAAGGGGAGTAGGTCAAGGATGAGGAGCATCATCCTCTTCAGGCTGTGGGCAGCCACCGTCAAGACGAGAGCAGTTACCCAAAGTCGGGCACTATCAAGTTTGAATTCGACAAGGACTGGATCGGAGCTAAGGAGTGCGTCCATCTATTCCTCATCACCCGTCTCTTCTATGGCTGACTTTAGGGCTCAGCGAAGCGGAGCTCTTGCAGCACCACATCCAGAATGCAGTATCCAACGCACCCACCCCACCCAGGCACACTCACCAGCCCGCCGAGCAGGCGCCCTTGCAACTCGGATCCGGCGCTGGCCATGTGAACAACAACACCGCCCGTGCTGGAGCGGGAGAAGGGACTGGGTTTGGTGCTGAAGGCCAGCCTTTGCAGTCTGGATACGATGATGCTCAGCCTCAGGCCGCCGAACCTGTGGTGGGGGCTCCGGCCGAGTTTGGATCTTCTTTACCCTCCCAGGGAGCCGGGGCTGGGCAAGGCCAGCAGCAAGGTATGAGGTATGATGAGGTCGGGCCGACTGATGTGATTGGCAAGCACGCCGGGTTCCCGCAGGGCGGACCTTCTGTGGCTGCTGCCAGCTAAATCCATGATTTTGGAATGAGAGTTATGTACCTGTAACGTTTGATTGCGAAGATTACTGTACGAGTATACGTTGAAGAAGTGAGTGAACTCAAGGAAATTAGTAAGATTGTCAAGAACTTGAAATAATCAATGCAACATCTGAAGTACTTCTGACGAGGTTCATTCATTCTTTTCCTTCTCCCTAAAGTATCCTACTGTTCGATCTTGGTCTCGGCACCATTGCTATTGAGCATAGCTTCCAACATTCCCAAATCCCAAAGCGCACCCCTCGGATCGCCAAAGTTCTGCTCTCCACTCTCCTTCCCTTCCTTCTGCGCTGCCACAGCCTTGGCAAACATACCAATCTCCACCTCCACCCCTTCCATCTGACTCCTCTTCTCTTTTGCCTCCAGCCCGCTACCCTGAGCAGGGACGAACTTTGCAACCCACTCTCGCGTGGGGCTCGACTCGATAGAGAAGAAGCCATTCAGGAGGGTGATATAAAGACCGTTGGGGGTCTGAGCGGAAGGAGGAAGGTCGGGCTTGGCGAACGACATGGTGACTTGACCCCTAGGCGTCGATTGCCCAGGCTGGGTAGGGACTTCGGATTCAGTGATGTTGGCCGACGAAAGTTTGGTCTTGGGGCCGTTGGGGGGAACGGTGGAAGAAGGAGCGGGGAGGGCGATGGCTTGTATGGTGTCGTGGGGGAGGAGGAAGGCGCGGTGGAGGGAGGAGAAGGCTACTACGGAGGCAGGGCGGGCGACGGGCGGGAGGACGGTACGGAGGAAGGCGGTCCAGTGGACGCCACCGTCGAGCAAGAATCCTGCAATCCCGGTTTAGCATACACGATCGGCAAGAGATATCAAGAGAACTTACCACCTTGATAGTCGGGGATAGTGCGCCAGCTGGTAGCGTGGTATTTGCTACCATCCTCAACAAAGGCGATAAACTTGAGGTCCCAGTACAGAATCGGGCCGGCCTCTGGGGTGCTCTTCAATAGGTCTGCAGCCCAGCGAAGGACAGGCTCGTGGGCATAGTCTGCATCTCATTAGCAGAGATCGCAATGTACAATGAGACTTACTCTCGGCAACCCGCCAAATCAAATCCTTTGGCTTATAGACCTTTTCATACTCTTCCACAAGCTCCTTAGCTTCCCTGACGTCCCTGCCCAGGGGTTTCTCGCTCAATACATGTTTGCCGGCCTTCCAAGCCCTCCTGACGAGGTCCGGCTGCTTTGTGATCGGCAAGACGAACAGCACCGCGTCAATCTCGTCATTAGCAAGTACGGCAGCGAGACCGTCATCCCCATACTGGATAGCAGGAGTGGACGATCCCTGGGGCGGGGTGTACTTGGAGTGAAGAGTCTGGGCGGACGACTCTGACCTGGACCAGATGGTGTGGAGATTGAGGGTATTCGACTTGGAGAGGTTGATGAGGGCGGGCAAGTACGAGGCTTGGGCAAAGACCCCAGAGCCGAGGAGGGCAACGTTGGCGGGCATTTCGTTTAATTAGTTATATGGATGCAGATGAAGAGAATAGAAAGAGACTGGAAAGAGATGACGCTCGATATCAATCTCGGCTGTTCTCTCGGCAGTTCGTCGCCCAAGCAACCGGCTTTTGCGCTTGTTACTTTCCAAGCATGCACTTCGAGGCCAATTCAACAGATACATCTACCGAGCTACTCATATAATTCAATGCATAATCTCCCATGCATGATATATCCCCATCGCATCGAGAGTGATTCGAGACTTGTAAAGCCGAGCGGCGAGCTCCGCCTATATGACTTGCGCAAAGTCGGCCGTTTCTCCGATTCCACTGCAGCTGTCAGATTCCTCTACACATTCGACCCTCATTTCCTCTCCAAAATCAGCTCGTGTCTCGGTCCCCGCCATGTTCTGCTTATCACCGCAGTGAAGACCTTTCCAACGATACCCATACCCCCTCACTACAAAGCGAAGGGGTTTGACAAAGAGAGGACGAGGAAAAGACGGTTATGCGACCGAGAATACCAGCTCGGCTGAGTGGGGAGCTGGTACAACTGGGGGTGTTGCTGCCTTGGGCTGCTAGGGCGTCGTCTAGCACAGCGGTGGGGAGAGAGGAAGGTGGGCAGCGGAGAGGAAGAGAAGAGGGCGCGGTAAACCGACGTCTGCCTCTGTATCCAGGTGAGTCTACCAGATGATGTTGTGCGGGCAGTATACTGACAGGCATGCTCTTAGACGAACGGCATATACAACAAAAAGCGCAAGGCTCGAATAATACATCGGATCCAGACGAGTTCTTCGCAGGCGGTGCTAGCAGCACAACGAACGCGCGCGCAAAAGCAGCTTCCAGCAGTGACGCAGAACCACCAAAAAGCTCTTTCGGTGCGCTGAGAGAAAGCAGAGACAGCACAGAAGATAGCAGATCACTACCTTGTATACCTAGTAAGTCGACGTCCTCCTCACATACTATCACAAGACTGACAAAACACTCCAGAACCTCCCCCAACCGTAGTCCACCTTCTCCTATCCAAACCCCACCCTCCCGCTCCCTCTCAAATATTCGCACACCTCCCCTCCTCCCCTCAGGACCTAAACAAAGCTTCAGGGGAGTTGCTGATATCCTACTCGGCCCACATGGGCGACTACAAGACACAAAAATCCACCATCGACCTCCTGGTCAAGAGACGTCTCGTGCCCCTCGGATACAAGAAACGCATAAAGATCCGAGGACGAGACAAGGTGCAGACTAGCAAACAGGGCATCTGGGAGATGAGAGCGAATGAATGGGCTTTGAGACGGTGGCCCCCTATTGAGAGTTTGGAGGACGAAGGCCGGTACACAACCTCGCAATTGCTCGGGAGGCTGCATCACTTGCTTTTGTATGGTGAAGCACCGACTTTTGAGTTTGCGCTCAAGCTCTTGTGCAACGCTAGCGATCATATAAACGACTCGCCTTCGGTCAAAGGGAAAGAGAGGGAAAGGCAGGGAGGCGAGGTGGATGTGTTGAACCTCTATCTGGCGTATGCGCCACGTTTGGCCCCTGCCGACTCGCTCCTCAGCACCTTCGCCTCCGCCTTCCCATCGAACAGATTGAACCGCCAATCACTGCACCTATCCATCTTGTCCCTCCTCTCCCCACCTTCCCCCGCCGCCCAAGCGCACCAAGTCACCCCAAAACAAGTGCTAGCGATGCTAGAAACGTTTCTGAGTAAGGGCATCTTGCCGGGGTTGGAGACGTGGCGCCATATTGGCAAGTTTGCGACGAAATTTGGGATCAAGGATCTGGGCAAAGTGGGGTGGGAGGGGTGGTTTGGAAGTTTGGGGTATGCTGAAGCGAGGGCGTTACTCGGGCCTCTCTCCTACTTTCCAAACTCTATATTTGATGGCGAATTAGGAGCAGACGAGCAAGGGGCAGAAGACCAGGATAGTTGGCAGCTCAGATTCCAACATCTCGGTGTCCAGAAGACGCGCTGGGCGAGAATAGTAGGGAGGATGGAGAAGAAGGGATGGGTACAGAAGAGTGAAGCGGGAGAAGGGAGGTGGGGGTATGTTTGGAAAGATGCTAAGGGGCCCGTGGTGGGAGAGGTCGTGGGGAAGCAAGAGCCAACGGAGACACAAGGCTTGACGGAGCCACGGCAAGAGAAGGAGGAGAAGGATGAGAGTGAGGGGAAGGAAGAGAGCAAGGCGGCCAAAGGAGATGTTCGCAAACCTCATCAACGAGACTTGCGAACCCTCCTTTTCCGGCCTCGTAATCCGTATTACCCTCGAGTACCTCAGGTTGCTCAACGGCATATCCAGTCTTTACGACCAGGCGCGCCTTCGCCGCCTCCATCCTCTTAAACAGTGTAACGTAGAAGAAGTCAAAGCATTAAGCATGGTATGAAATCAATCGCATCTGGTATTCTATTCTATTGTCTGAAATTTTCTGGCTCTATGAGGGTATAATTCTAGTAAAGACCCATTTCCCTACCGATAGCCCACTCAACCCCCTTCTCGACGTTATCTGCGATGACTGTCGGTTTGTGCGCCGGCTTTTCGCCGTGGGTGTCGTGAAAGACGCCGGTACGGACGAGGATGGATGACCAGCCGTGCGCGTTGGCGCCGGCGATATCGGATTGGGGATTGTCGCCTACCATATACCTACATGTCGTGTTACTTGAGACTCATGACGCGGGGACTCGGGGGCAAGGGGAGGGAGGAGAGGGCGAGCGGAAGGGCTTACACATTGAGATCACCGTCAGATTTGCGCCCTACAGAAGCGAGGTATCGCCGGAGAGAGAGCTCGGAAAAGTCGTAGGTCGCTTTGAAGGGTTTGCCGTACTGCGTATAGGGGAGCTCGAGGCCTGTTGTCTCCTGATTGACAATCAGCTTCTACGTTGGAAGATAAGGGAGTAAGGGGACGTACCCTGTAAATGGCTTCGAGCCCAATTCGGAATGCACCTTGTCCAAGACGAGGGATCGGCCAGTCCCTACACCCATCAGCTCTTACCCATCTCACCAATAAGTCGTAGACTTACGACCGCCATTCAACATCCGCATTGCTCATGATCAACTCGACAGCCTCTTCCCCATTCTGCCTCCCCTCTTTACGTGTACCGAGATACCCGTTATCAGAGTTGAGAAGGTCGAGGATGAGGGTGATATCGCGGCCCCAGTCGTGCGTGTCGTGCATGACGAATACGGCGGAGAATGGGATTTTGGAAAAGTCTTGAGGCTGCGATATGTCAGCTTTTGGGGCCTTGGGCAGAGAGCAGGAAGGTGGCGTACACGAGCGAATGACTTTTCGTGTTGTGTGAGTTCTGTACGATCCCATATGGAAGGTGCAGAAGCGATGATATCCTGCGGTATATGCGCATTCTTCATCCCATACCTATTCCCCTCGTCAGGCTGGCCTCCACTCAAAGTACACAAACGACTCACGACTCTGCTACCCGCCTACAATCCTCACCCTTTCCGCCGATCACCAGCACATGCTTGTCAGCGTACCGCTTTGCATAGTCGCGCATTGGCGTGTGGCTTTGCACGAGCTGGTCGGGGGTGAGGGTGATACCGAGTTCGGAAGAGAGGAGGGAGAGGCGGTCGGTATCGGGGATACCACCGCCATTTGTTATCAGGAGAAATGGAATTGGTCTAAATTATATTAGCGAGGGGCGAAGAGGGGAAGAGGAGGGGAGGTACTTGGGCAGACGACCATCTTCGCCCGTGAGGAGCTTCATCGTGCGCACAGCTTCAGGAAGGACATTGTGGTGTCCTTGTTTCAGTACACCATCCTTAACCGATTATCAGCTTTGCTCTCAAGCCATGATCAAGGGCATACAATGTCAAAGGCAAAAGCAAGCTTTTCCGGGAAGGACCCCTTGAAGGCTGTAGATGCAACGAAGGTCGTCAATTGGTGGACGTGGTGTATGGTGGGGTGGGCGACGTACTGCTGATACCGCGTCTGAGTGTACAGGCAGGCTTGAGCAGGCTGGCGAGATGCCTGGTGTTGGCGAGGAGCATGGTGAGATGGAGATGCAACGAGAAAGAGAGATAGAGTAGATACAAGTACTTTCTTAGATTGAGTCCTGCGCGGCAGCTCTTCTCGGCATTCCGTCTAGCAGCCCTTGCCCAGCGGCGAGGGCCGACTGAACCGGTTCCAGTAGTATCCGACCTTGGGAATGTGGACGGGCTGGTCGCTCTTGAGGTTTTGGGGGTCTATTCAACCTGACTTCAAGTCAACGGCGTACAGCCTGCTTAGCCCAGAGCCCCGGTACAAATACACAGCGACACGCGAGTAACTCTACACATATCAACAGATTGAGAGTCGTGGATAGCTCTCTTTGCGCCACCCCCCTTGACAACTTGCCACCACTCTTCGCCGTCGTCAGCCGAAACCCACCTGTCCTTCAACATGAGGGGCACATTCGAGGGCATCCCTATCTTGGAAGGCACAGACAATTACCATCTATGGGCAACCACCCTTGAGGTGTGCGTAGCTGCTAGGTGCAATGCCAAACTAGTCCTTCTGGGTGTCGAAAAGGAACCATACAGGAGAGATGTGACAGGCTTGACCGGATTAGCGAGAGCCGCCATTTGCCCCTCTGAGGAAGTAGCGGGAGACGCTTTCCCTCCTGTAGGAGCAAGAGCGCCCAGTGATGTCCCAGACGAGGAAATGAGGGAAAGATGGGAAAAGTGGGCCAAGAAGGAAAGGAACGCGAGGTGGTACTTGATAATGACTGTGTCAGAGGACCTCAGAGGCGAACTTCGCTATGTCTGGTCCAGCGCAGAGATCTGGGAGTATTTCGAGGCCATGTTTGGCCCCGACCCCGAGAGGGACATTCCGCGAAAGCGAGCGTAACTCGCCAGCTTTATCCTCCCGCCAAACTCCAACGCCTCAACGAGAAGACGACACTTGCAGAGGTTCCAAAACATTTTGAATGACCTCAGAATTCTCGGCGAGCCCATGCTCGAAGAGGACAAGATCCGCGCATTCTTCATGTCGTTGGGGGACAATTATGTGCGAATTCGAACCCTTTTCGTCTCCAAACCACCTTCCGAGCAGACATGGATTCATCTCACCCGTCTCATCAATTTCGATACAACAGACATGTGGCCAGCTAGTAGGGGCGCACAAGGGACTAGAGGTAGAGGTCGACGGGGAAAGAGGGGCACTGCCGCCTATCACTAGAAGCATGATGCAGGTGGCGCCAAGGACAAGGGGAAGGATAGAAGGTGATGCTGGAATTGTGGCAAACAAGGTCACCTAGAGGGGAATTGCCCAGAGCTTTGATAGGAACACATAATACGCAAGGCGCGCGGGTAAGTACAAGTACATTCTACCGGCTGCCTCCATCTACGCCGCCACCAGCCCTTCCCACCTCCACACAGCCTCCACCCAGCCTCCACCAGCAGCCTCCACCAGCTCTTCCCAGCCTCCACCCTGCCTCCACCCCTACGCATCCCTATCTGGCATGGTATATGTATAACAGAGTGGCAGCCATTGCGGCACCTCCCAGCCCAGCCACAACACAATGCCCCGCCCAGTCGAGAACGCTTCCACCGACTACACCCCTGCCGATGACACTCCCAAGAGTGAGCACCTTCCCTCTCCACCCAGAGGACCCCAGCTGACGATATACGAATGATAGCCATTAGCGACATCTTCAAACTCGCCGCAGAACCCAAGACGGAGCTTGGGCGATACCGTCTTCTCTCTCCCTCTGCAGCCAGTACGTCACCGTACGTCCAAGTGCATGTGCGAAGTACTGACGTTGTTGATAGTCAGGGTCTCACCCCTCTGTCTTGGTGCTATGAGTCTCGGTAACCAGTGGACTGGTTTTATGGGCGCCGGACCCGACTTTGAAGAATCATGCAAGCTTCTCGACACTTTCTACGAAGCTGGTGGGAATTTCATTGATACCGCCAACAACTACCAAGGTACGTTTGTTGAGCTCCTGCAGTGGCTTCTGTACTGATGAGGTGGTAGACGAGCAGTCCGAGATGATCATCGGCGAGTGGATGGAGAAGAGGCAGATCAGAGATGAGATCGTCCTCGCTACGTTGGTTCATTACCTTGCTCAAAGGCTCGAGTGCTAACAGTACTCGTATATCAGCAAATACACCACCTACGGTCTTGACAGGAAAGAAGGCAAATTCCAAGGTATCGGTGCCAACTACTGTGGCAACCACAAGAAGAACCTTCGCTTAACCGTGAGTTGTTCCATCCTCCATTTTCAGGATGGACCGGCTGACACGTGATATAGGTCGATGCCTCGCTCAAGAAGCTCAGGACCGACTATATCGACCTCCTCTATGTCCACTGGTGGGACTACAGTACCTCCATCCCAGAGCTGATGCAGTCCCTCAACGACATTGTCAAGAGCGGCAAGGTCCTCTATCTCGGTATCTCCGACACCCCCGGTACGCTCTCCATCTCCCCACATCTACCACATTGCCTGATAACCGTACAGCCTGGATCGTCTCCCAGGCGAACGAGTACGCCCGTCAGCATGGCCTCGCCCAGTTCGTCGTCTATCAAGGTCTTTGGAACGTCAGCGTTCGCGATGTGGAGCGGGATGTGCTTCCCATGTGTCGCGCCAACGGTATGGGCTTCGGTGGGTCTTTTCCAGCTTTATCTACTGTCTACCCCACTGCACTGCACTGACAGTGTATAGCTCCATGGGGCGTGCTCGGGCAGGGAAAATTCAAGTCTCCTGAAGAATTGAAGAAGCAGGCGAATTGGCGAGGAGGCGCGCCTCCCTCTGAGAAGGATATCAAGCTCACCAAGGCTTTGCAAGAAGTCGCCGACCAAGTTGGAGGTGGTGCAAAGGCTGCTACTGGTGAGTCGGCCAGTCACATGGTAAAGAGTAGGATGCTGACTTTGAGGGACAACAGTGGCCCTGGCGTGGAGTAGGCAAATGTTTACTGATTGTTATCCCATCGTTGGTGGAACGAGCCTCGAAAACCTCAAGTCCAACATCAATGCAAGTCCCTTCTCCCACCTTACCTCCTGACGGGAACGCTAACAATATCTCCCAGGCGCTCAAGATTGAGCTCACCCCCGAACAAGTCACCAAGCTCTCGCAAGCTTCGGACTTTGACTACGGCTTCCCTTACACCCGTTTCGGGTTGGACCCTCACTATCTCCCCGAGGGCAAGCCCGACTCGTTCCTTCTCAACTCGGTAAGTTGCTGGTCGCAGGTGTCGTGGGCCTTGGGAAGGAAGGGGTGATGCTGATGGGGGTCATAGGCTGCGCATGTCAAGTTTGTAGAGTTCCCTTAGATTGTGCACGTGCTGGTAGCCTGGCTCTGTTGCGAGTGATATGTAGATAAGCACGACGAAGAAGGATAAATATAGCTTGCAAACGAATTCGAGGAGAAGATCTAAGACTCAAAGTTGGATGAATGTTCTATACGTCAAGTAGGGTGAAGGAGATTTGCGCCATCTCAGCATACGATAGCCAGTCTTATTTCTTTCGTCATCCTTCTTTTACTATCTGCAGTAAACAGTAAACTCTTAGTCAACTCACTACTATCTATGGTCTCCCCCACTGTCCTCCAACAACGACCCCCATAGCCCCATATGATTGATGGCCACGCAGAGCGGCGAGTGCCGATCGAACATGGCGTATTCAGGGTCTTTCAACGCGTTTTGAGCAACCGCCGCGCGGTCATTAAACTTTCTTTCTTTCTTGCCACCTCTCTTCCCGTCTTTCTCATCTCAAGCTCAAAGCGCCGTCTGCACAATGACCATCCACGTGCAGCTACCAAGCTCGGAGGCTGGCCCTTCGACCCCGCCATCGTCGTTTGCAACGCCGACGACGGATGCTGAGGATACGCTGCGTCAGGTCGTGTCGCGGATACGGAATAGCAAGAAGGTTGTCGTCGTGTCTGGTAAGTGTGCTTGATATGATCAGCTGGGCACTTGCTGATACGGAGTAGGCGCGGGAGTGTCGACGGGCGCTGCTATACCGGATTTCCGCTCGGCGTCCGGTCTCTTCAATAGCAAGACAAAAGGTGGCCACTCTGTTCAAGACCTTTTTCACGTCCGATGTCTGGGTGTATGTCCACCATATTGCCGTATCATACTGCTGCTGACGAGTGTGAAGTCCCCTGCACTCCTGGAGAGGCACCACGAACTCATAACCTCCCTTGCCTCCCTCGCCACCTCTGCCTCTCCTACGCCTTTCCACTCTTACCTTTCCACCATCGCTGCCGAAGACCGACTATTACGGTGTTACACTCAGAACATTGATGGGCTTGAAGACAAAGCGGGTCTTTCAGTTGGGATACCTTCAGGCAAACGGAAATCTCCGAAAAGGGCTTCTGCGCCCGAAGCTGCTGAGCCAGAGCACAAAGTCATACCTCTCCACGGCCTCCTCTCCTCGGTCCACTGCACTCTTTGCAAAATCTCATCCCCCCTCGCTGACCATCTTCCCCTCCCTCCGACACCTCTCCCCTGTCCCGCCTGTGCCCTCGGCGAGTCGATACGCGCTGCTCTGAACGAACGGTCCCGTCCTTCCGGACTTCTCCGCGCCAGTGTCGTACTTTACGGGGAAGATCATCCTGAAGGAGAAGCCATAGGCAAAGTCGTCGCAAAAGATCTGAAAACCGTAGATTGTTTGGTGGTATGTGGGACGAGCCTAAGTGTGCCGGGGGTGAAGAGGGTAGTCAAAGAGATGGCAAAGAGCGCCAAGTCCCGGGGCGGCGCAAAGGGCAGAGGAGAGATCAGGACGGTTTTCGTGAATGATGAGCCGCCGAGTAAGGGGGCAGAGTGGGAGGGGTTGTTTGATGTGTGGGTGCAGAGCGATGTGCAGACGTTTGTGACGTCGTACCTCGCCAATCCGGCATATATCTCGACTGTGACCAAGGGGTCTCCTCGAAAGACGTCCGCGAAGGTTTCGCCGAAGAAGACGCCTGCGAAAAAGACACCGAGTACACCAAAGAAGACGAGAGAGACGAAAGACGGATTACCTCCGACGCCAGTCTCTCTAGCCAAGGAAAGAGAGGTATATGTTGAACTTCCTCTTCGAACGACAAAATCGACCCCAAAGAAACATTCCCATACCTCCTCATTGCCCCCAACTCCCACATCTCTCGAAAAATTTTCCTCCCATCCATCCCCATCTCACGGAGGTTATACGACGCCTACAAAGAAACGTCCCGCGCGAGCTGGGCCTGATACTCCAGAGACGCCTGGAGTGGATGGGGATGGAGAAGGTATGGGGATGAGGCCGGGGAAGAAGGTGAAAAGGGAAAAGAGGGATTGGTCGCCCTCACCGGCGCCTAGAGGTAGAGAATCATTGTCGCCGTGTTAGGAGTGACCGGTGTCTGATTGTGGAATCTTTTTTGAGTTTCAAATTTTGGCAGCTGGTCTGCAGACATGTTGTATAGTAGACGTGCGAGGATAACGCCGTTGATTAGGTAGATTAGGTATAATACATAGCTCTATGCAACGCTTTGCAGATTGTGCGGACAGCATTGCTGCACGAACAGAGTTGCGATAATTGCTGCACTGTACAAATACATACAAACACATATGCGTACACCTCTCGTTTCCAAATAGAGGTACCCTAACTCCGCAATGCTCCATCACCTACTCTCCCCCACATCTATGATATCTCTATAGCCTTCAACGGCTTCTCAATCCCCTCCACTCCTCCAACAGCTACTGGAGCGCCTGTAGGATGCTGGGACGAGTACCGCTCGTATTTGGGGATGGTACGGTGGCCGGAGGGAGCTGCGGAGGTGCTATCTTGAGTTTGGCGCTGGCGCGTAGTTAGCATAGGGACGATCGTAGAAAGATTGGGGGTGGGCTCACCAGGGCGGAACGGGAGAGACCGGACTCGAGACCTTCGAGCAGAGCACACGCTTTCTGAGACAAGAGTCAGCGCCGCATACAAAGGCTGAAAGTGAGAGACAGGGGCGTACACAGAGATCATTTGATGATATATATCCACACCTCAAACACGTTTCTACACTCCCCGTCAGTCTTCGGACACTCTATAAGACTAAGGGCACGAAGACTCACGCATAGCCTTCATACCCTTCTGCACGCTCTGCTCCAGCATGAATGATTCGCCGGAATGGATGATGTCAACGATGGCGCTGGGGCGGACGGCTTCGAGGTCTTTGAGGAATACTCGGGCGTGGCCTCGGTAGGCTGATAATGTACGTGAGCTGACAAAGCGAGACGGGGGACGAACAGACGTACCATCGGGAGAGTATATACACTCTGTGGAAAAGTAAGTAAGCTTTTTAAAGTAGGCATACCTGCGTTACATTAGCGGAAGCTTTTGGAACGGAGGAGAAACATACATGACAATTTCCTTCTCGTACGCATACTTGAACGGCTTGCTTCTCTTGATCGTGTCTTCGCTTTGCGTCGTCACAGCCGTGCACCTCGCCAATCGCGCAATATCACCCCTCATGACTATTCCTCATCAGCATATATGCTTGTGGGGGTAGAGGATCACTCACTGTTCATCAAAACAGTCTCAGCAATGTCATCAGCATTGTGCCCAGTGACGATATGGTCGACGCCTAATTGGGCGGCGCCTCGATCCAATGCTTGACGTCGGAATACACCACAGAAAGTACCTTCAGAGTTATCAGCCAAGCGTCTGATCGATGTGAATGGCCTACAGTTGTTCTTTTTGCCGACTTGATCGACTATCCGGTCCATGGTCCATCCATAAAGCTCTGAATATGAAAGGATCTTGAGCGGAAGCCCGTACTCTTTCTGATTTTGCTTGACGGTCTGAAGTCGGGTCAGTACCGATCCTTCATTGTACTCAGAAAGACACACCTCCAATGAGTCGTCTCGATATCCAGTAATGCCTTCGTCGATGGACAACAAGAACAAGTCCAATCCATAGTCATACCGCTTATTCAGGACCGAAAGGACATGTGCCAGAACCGTAGAATCTATGATCCGTTAGCTCGCCCCTTTCCAATATCCCATCTATCTCACCTTTTCCTCCACTGGCCCCGATAGCAACCCTCTCTCCTCGCTGGAAAATACGGTCGCCCTCTTGCACGATCGTATTGTGGACTTCGGTCTCGAAAACCTCAAAGAAGCAGTCCTTGCACACTTGCTGTCCAGTTTTCGGGCGTTTGACGAGGGCGCGGGCTGTAAAGCAGAGGGAGCAGGGTGTGGGGGGCATGCTGGGTTGGCGGAGGATGTATAAAGTGACGGACATGAAACTAAAAGCAACTTTCTAAAGTTGGTGGCAACAAGCTTTCTGGCGGCGCTCGCCGATTCTGACCTCGACCTTGACTCTGACGCTATATGTATTCCGCGCGAGTCATCTCAGTTGCATTCCCAGTCATTCTGTCCAAGTCACGTCTATCAATCCATCAATCTTGAACACTTCTCGGACAAGCAAGATGTCCGCCCCCGGTCAAGAGCACCACCCCGACCTGCCCGCCAACAGCGCTCCGGTCAGCTTTGGCTGCCGCTGTCTCAATCTCAAGATTGACGGTCGCGTCGACGCTGCAGACGAGCACAAAATGAAAGCTGGAGATGGGAACAAGGGTAGCGGGGAAGTGAAGGTGTACTTGCCGCCTGGGTCCGAAGGCGTCGTCAGTCCCGCAATAACGGTGAATCATGAGTGGACGCTGACAGGTGGCACAGAGATTTCCGGGCTATGTGACCTATGAGCAAGAAGGTAACACATTATTTGGGTCCTCGGACAATACAGATGATTACGGCAAGTCCTGGAGGAAATGTTACATCTGTGGAACTACGTGTTATGAAACAACCCGCAAACCGCCGCAGGCATCCGCGGCAGAAGAGGAATGGGTCACTGTAGACCTCGCTGGGAGTGTCGTGGTAAGTCTAACGATAAGCATTGGAGCCATCTCTGACTGAGGTCACAGTACGGAGAAGAACTCGGAAAGATTCTGAGCGAAGAAGGTCTTCCCTTCTCCAACCTACTCATCGACGCCTCGACTGTTCAATCCAATTTTGGACGCCCACCGACCAACCCCGCCCCGTCCTCGGACCTCGAATCATATGAACCTGCCATCCCTGGGCCATACATTTCTCCCCCCCACGATCCATTCTTCCTCCCACCCCCTTTCATCCCTTCCAACTCCCACCTCAAAGACTTGTGCGACCAAGCCGAAAGTTACTTGAAATACGTGCACTCCAAGCTGGAAGAGGAAGTGAGACAATTCATCTCGGAAAGGACGCATGAATTGCGGAATATCGAAGAGGAGGTGCGAGGGGAAGTGGAGACGCTATGGGGCAAGTACCAGACTATCCCCGGGAATGAAGGGGCGGCCCGCGAGCGAAGTGCGAGCACGAGCCGAACACGCGAGAGCATATCCCGCATTCCTAATCCCGCCAAAGTCTTTTCCCCTCCCAAACACTTTGACGGCAACTCTTTTCAACCCTCTCCCAGCATCGCTTCCAACCCAATCATGCAATCCGCCACCGCCCCGGCTACCAGTGCCGTCCCCAACGGCACTTCTCTCCTCGCGCAATCCCTCTCTGCCAGCTCGTTCTACCCTGCTCCTTCTTCGAAACCGGTTGGAGAGGAGGGATCTGTGAGCGATGGGGTGAGGGATGAGATGGATGATACGATCTCGCAAGTGGCCAAGACGTATGGGACCAAGGGCGATTCTCGCGCCGTGGCTATGAGCTACGTTTTTAGTTCTCTCGCAGAGAATATGGGCGGGCCGTCTCAGGCTGCACTGGCAAATGAAGAAGGGGAGACTCCTGCGCCTCCTGAGGCGCATGGGAAGGATAGCTGGATTGATGATGAGACGGAGAATGCGCGAAGAATGCCCAGAGAACAGCTTGGTGCAGTCGCGGAAGAGAATGAAGGGGATGGGAGGACGCCTAGGGCAACACAGACGAAAGAGTTGTACGAGGACAAGGAGCGGAAAGACAAAAAGGGCAAGGGACGAGTCAAGTTTGAAGAGCCCGAGAAATCAGAGAAGAAAGAAGAACCGGAAGAGATTGACGATGGTGAGTAGCCTCATGACTACGGAGCCTTTACTGATGGTATACAGACCACCTGTTTGACTTTGAGCTCGACGACAACATCCGTGACAAATCTGCCTCGGCACCTCTTCTCGACTCTTCCCGCTCCCGCAACCTCCTAGAGACCAACCTCTCCCACACCTTTGCCGCCGACCTCCCCTCTCACCGTGCCGCCTGGCGCCGTTTCGAACAGAACGGATCCATGTACGAAGCCCTCCGCCGTGGTCAGACATATATCTCCGGGGAGGAAGACGAAGATGACGAATCTCAAGTGAGCAAGCTAGCAACCTCGGTGCCGATCCAGATCAATCCCATCCGCGCTGGGAAAGCCAGCGCTCCGGTGGCATTTGAGAGAAAGACGAGTCTGAGTGATAGGCAGGGGCTGATGGTCCCGAGGTTGAAGGGTGCGATGAGGGAGAGTGGGGTGGAGAAGGGGAATGCGTTGGGACTTGGGTTCCCTACGTCCAGAGGTCGAACGGCCTCCAACTCGCAGAGGAGGAACTCTCGTTCAGCCTCCGCGTCCCGCGAGACGGAAGCTGTCAAGTCTTACAAGGCCGACCCTGGGGCTGTGTTTGAGTCGCTTGCCGATACGGCCAACGAGGATGATGAAGACGGGGCCGGCGCGGTGCAGGCGGGAGAAGGGACATTGAAGGAGAAGGGTTTTGTGCCGCCGCATGTGTTGGCGAGAAAGGCCGATAAGGAGCAATTGCCGAATGTTGGATGGAGGAGTATGGCATCGTGAGCTATGTGGCGTTCAGGAGTTCTATTGTCGATGAGATGAATTAAGAAGTTGTCTATATTTCAGAGGTGGACAGTTGTAGAAGAAGGAACAATAATATTCCGTGTAAAGTAGAATATAGTGGTTTTATCGTGTGGTTTCCATATACTGAATCAACTTGGCACATCCAAACGTTGTTCGAAAAGATATTCCAATGCATCAATCCCAGTCTCAAGCTTTACTCTCAGCATCTTCGACTTCCTCAGCGGTCACGCCGAACGCAAGAGGTCCGTCATCGATTACCGTTGCACGTCGGACATCGCGGGCAGTCATGTTGGCCGTGTAGGGGTTTGCGCGATGCATGGATTGACTAGTAATATGGTCAGCTCAGTCGTTTAAAGGCTGTGAGGATCTTACCGATTATCCCACCAAACCATATCACCCCCATCGTGCCATTCCATACTAAACACATACTTCATCTCGTCAGCACCCTCCCTTCCAACGTATAAAGCACTGACCTTTGACTGAGTACACCAATCAATGAGCTCCCAAATCAGCTTCTGACTCTTCTCATGGTCCCACCCCACCACTTGCTTGGCGTGCGCCGCGAGGTATAGGACTTTACGGCCATCAGGACCGGTCTGAACGAGTTTATGGAAAGCGGGAGGTTTGAGCGCTTTCTCGGCGGTAGTGGGGGACGCGTAGATGATCGGTGAGGCGAGTTTGCGAGAGTGCCATAGTCTGGTACAAAGTCAGCTTCATGAGTGGTGAGTAATGATAGAGGAAACTTGCTCGTGTTCGATGATGAGGTCTTCCAGCATGGCCTTCTTCTCTTCGGGCAGGTCGGCGTATGCTTGTCGCGTGTCGGCAAAATGTGTCCAAGAGCCGCCTTGTACGGGGTTGCCATGAGAAAGAAGGAGAGAGTACTTGGAGCGTTCTTGGTGGTACGAAGAGTCCTGTGAACATGAGGATTAGCTCAGCGAGTTGTCAAGAAGAGGAAGAAACTTGCGGTATGCCATAAACAGTTACCGAGGGAATGATGCCATCGTCTACTCTCAGGTTTCACTGGTGACCCATCAAGTTCCATGCTAACAACTGTCATGAGTTAATGGTAGTGTATCACCCCAGATTTTGACACTCACTTTCCAACATCCCAAAGGTAGTCTTCTCTCACGCGATCATTCTCCTTACCATAGTAGAACGGGTTGACTTCGAGCTTGCTCCCAAGCTGGTGGGAGAAGGAGATGTGACAATTGTTGTCCATGCCAGTCTTACGGAAGACCAACACGCCATACTTGTCTTGGAGGGCAACGAGCTAGTGGCGACAAGTCAGTACGCTTTTCCACTTTCGAATGAAGTGCTTACTTCTTTCACTAGTGACTCTGGGATGGTTTGGCTCCAGTCCACACCCGTTACCTCCGCTCCAAAGAAGGAGTCGGCATGGGTAAGGATAGGAGTGACCAGAAGCTGCCCGACGACGCGAGAGGGGTCGGAGTTGAGGCGGAGGATGCCAGAAGAAACAGTCGGGTAAGTTCGAGTTTGTGTGGTAAGCATAGTGGTTTAATAAGTGCGCTGGTGGCAATTAGTATCCCTATGCAAGCTGTACTTATATCTGATCTGTATGCAATGGACGGATCTGCTTGAAGATAGTATCGGCATTTGAGCCTTCCGTCGGCCCGTTCACCGTTGGTGCCGACGAGATAAGGGACGGGCGGGGAAGGAACCGACGCGAAGATAACCTTCTTGTTGCTGTTGGCGGCCTTACCCGTTTCACCCGAGGGGATCCTACTGGATGAATGCAATTTTTAGGAAGTACAGTTGTTTCTCACACCCCTATCGACATGAGCTCAGCATCCTCCACATCCCCCATCATCCTCGTCACAGCGGGGGGCTTCCGCTTCCTCGCTGTTCTCCAGACCGCCCTCGCGCCAAAGACCACCTCGCTCTTCCTGGATCTCCTTCCCTATACCGCCTCCCTCATCCACGTCCGATGGTCGGGTGAAGGTGTTTGGATTCCCCTGGGATACGCTTCGACGGACATGTCGAAGCTTCCCAACGAGAACCATACCTCCCATCCCGCGCCAGGGGAGTTTATTCTCTATCCCGGCGGCATCAGCGAGGGAGAGTTCCTACTGGCTTATGGGGGCGTGACTTTTGCGAGCAAGATGGGGCAGTTGACTGGGAACCAGTTCCTGACTATCGTCAGAGGAAATCAGAATCTGAGGGCATTGGGAGAAAAGACCTTGTGGGATGGGAAGCAGGAAGTTCGATTCGAGATTGCAGATGAAAGCACGTGAGTCGATTTTATCATCAATAGCCCTTCCATGTCACTGACCACCTGGCGTTACGCAGTATTGCTGAGCTCGACAAGACCCCTTCGCTTTCTGAGATCTCCAAGCAGTTGTCATAGTCCCTACCATGCATGTCTCCCTGATCTGATTCAAATCTGATTGGACCTTGAAATGTCATTTCACAACCCTTTCAGGCGGTGGATGCCGATCTCTTATCTTTCAGGGCCAGCTTATCCAGTCTTACGCTTTTGTTATTCTTCAAATTCCTCAACATGTCTTAGAATGCGCATATTGTATCCCGTCAGGTCCGTCCTCAATATGGGAAGCCACGAGCGATCTCGGTCGTAAGTCTTGGACGCGAACACAGTGACACGACTAACCCGTATTCCCGTACAGACCAGCAAGCAATGAAAGACCCTCAAAAACAAGAAGGGCAAACCGAGCATGTCTCCAGGCAAGACTTTCACATCTGCTCTCAGCACCGATAGCTGACAAACCTCCAGTGTCGCAGCAGGAAGCAACGTTGCCTCCCTCAAGCAGACGAAACGCAGGCTCCTTGCCAGCGATGCAGCCAGCTTGGCGCTTCATGTTCTTTCGAGATCGTTAGTTTGACCGAGAACGAAGACAAGCCTACACCTTCGCAGATGGCTGAAATTGTTGTGAATCTACAAAAGAGACTACTGGTCGTCGAAGAGAGGGTGCGCAGCCTGCAAACAGGGGGCGCCCCGACGAATGACGGGATCGGTCTCGTTGCGAATGTAAGGGTGTCCCAGGAACCGCATCTTGAACCAGATAGGATGATGGTCCAGTACGTCTCCCATGTATGTCGGTCTTGAGAGAAAGAGCACTGACTCTGATTAGACATGCTAGCACATCTGGCCCATCCATATCACGGGCCCAACCATCGACTCTGCACTCTCACAATTCGCACGCCATTAGCCCCTCCTACTCATCTTATCATCGCGACACCGTTCCTATATCCTCTCCACATCATGACGGACAGCCAGCCGTGTCGATGTCTACCATTAAGCTCGGGGCTCCGATAGCTACCCTCCGTTCGTTGGGGGCTCTTCCCGCCAATGGGTCAGAGTCGATGTTGGATCCTATAGCGCAGAGCGTGCTGTCAGTATTGGATGCTCAACGGGCTATCAAGATGTAAGTGTTCCGGCGTTGAGGTTCTCTATGGCGGTGACTAATTGGGGATAGCTTCTTTGATCATTGTCATTCTTTTGGCCCGGTACTAGACAAAGTTTCGGTCAACGACGGCATGCGTCTACGGCATCAGAATCCTCCGCTGTTCTTGACGATATGCACAATCGGTGCCCGTTACTGGGATAGTGGAATATCACAGTGAGTCTTCCGAACCTCTGTGTCTGTTACTGACAATCTATCAGGGACCAAGGCCCACTGAGAGAGCGCGGCCTCCACCCATCTTTCCTTGAACTTACAACCCTCCTCGATATTACCATCCAACTCATCCTCCGCCCAATGCCCTCTGACGTGACACTTGACTCAATCAGAGCGCTCTTGTTATACGCTCAGTGGATGCCTCCCTCCCGCGAGCATCTGTTTAGGGCTACAAAAAGGTCCTCTGAAGGAAGTGAGAACCAAAGAGCACCTCGGAGTCGGTACAACGACATCTCCGCTTGGGCCGTACTAGGCCTCGCCCAGCGGTATGCCCTCTTCCTCGGACCGGACCGTCTATCCGTTCTTCGTTTCCAAGACCCCCATACTGAGAGTATCACACCGACAGATATGGCACGTCTTCGAATCTGGCACAATCTCATCACATGCGATTGTAACCTCATGCTCACTTCTGGCCTTCCTGCTTCTCTCGATCCATCATCGGCTGTCCGAGTGGGTCGGACATTCAGTGAGCAACAGCTCGCCCAGCTGCCGGAGGACAAGAGGGTGACTGCGTTGGTGGAACTTGTGGGAATTACGCATAGGGCGATGATGGGTCGAGAGTGGGATCTTGGCGGAAGGCCGTTGGATCTGGTGTCGCTGAAGAAGATCAATGTAGAGTTTGATGATTGGCTCAAGTGAGTCCAGAAGTCAATCCAGTGAAATGAGCACTGACCATACCACAGTATATGGGTCCACCGACTCAAAGATACGCCACACCAGCATAACGCCTTGCCTTTCACCTCCGTCCGGGTAAGCAATGGCTCGAGAGCGTAAACGTTTCTAACGCGTCACAGTGGTATCGCTTGTCTCTCAACTCTGCATCCTTGGGTCCCCTGTTGTCTCCTTCACCGCCCCCATCGCCTGACCCCTCAGCCCATTCTCCATTTCTACAACCTCTCCATTTCTACAACCTCTCGAGATATCACTCACCGCTGCCTCTCAGATCCTCCTTGCCCTCTCTCACACCACCCCCGCGTATATATGGAGCTTGGCATCTCAAGATGTCAACACTTTCCCGGTGGGGCCTTTTGAGATGAATGTTGAAGCTGTGGAGAGATTGAGCTATGCTGTGGACTATACGTGGATTTCGCTAGCTTTCTCTGTGGTGTTCCTGGTTCTCTGTCGAGTGAGAGGAGTCATCAATGGTCGGTCACTCTCTCAATTCCCCTCAAAGGTGCTCATTTACAGAATACATAGACGATCTTTCGATCACACTTGCAGAGTCCCCGATTGACAAGCTTGCGTACCCCATCGTTCACCCATCATCCATCCTCTACCGTCTCGTCCACCTCGCGCATCAAATCTTCCTCGGCCTCTGCCAAACTTCCCCTATCCACCCGGCACATGATTACGAGCCAATAGTGAGCAACGCAGCCGCTCTCGTCATTCCACTGCTCGACCCGCAACAGGGCACTCTGGGAGAAGGCACCCTGGCAGGGATGGAAGATGGACAAGGAGGAGACCAGGGTAATCTGCAAGGGCTGTTCGATCTGCTCAGTAGCTCGGGGATGGACTGGCCTGGTTATCTGTTTGGGGGCGATGGAGGCGAGCAGGGGTGGAGTGGAGGGGTGGATGGTGTGGATAATGAAGGGGGCAATGGCATTTGGACATGAAACGAAAGAGAGGTATGATGGATCAAGAATTAATGCATCTATTGCCCCCATTTCAAAAAAGGCGAAAACTCATCGCATACAACGACCCAAAAAATCCAAGTCCCAAAATTACCTCCACGCCGTCCACTACGACAAATATAGACCAGATGTTCTCCTTCAACTTCTCCCAAAGGTTAGAGGGAGCCGTCTGTACCAAGGTCATGTCAGCGTCAGAAGTTGGGGAGAATTTTGGCTTTGGGGCTCACCTCATCAGTGGGGATATCTGCGGACGAGCCGGTGTAAAAGTCCATATCTTCGTACTTGACCAGCTTTGTCTTGTTGATGATCTTGTAGCCAAAGAGGAGTACGAGGAAGAATGGTACAGGGAAGTAGGTCGTGATAAATCCAGAAGTGTTGAAACCTTGGACTGCAAGCGATGCTTTGGTCAGCTTTTCTGTAAACACAACATGAGTCGTGAAGCTGTAATGAACTTACTGAAGTTGGCAAATCCTCCAAAGATGAGCACAATGATGCAGATTGTCAAGCCGTAGTAGCTGAGATAAGGCTGGAGGGGTGCTTTGTAAGGGAGAGAAGTCCGGTCAATAGAGTGCAACTGGAGGCCTTTCCTCCATCGAATGCCGGTGAAGAGCACGCATGACCAGGAGATGATACCACAGTAGGCTGTCATGTTTCCGACTGTTGGTGCAAGTCAGTTCATATGTTCCCAGCATGCACTGAGTGGAACGCACAGTATCCAAAGACAGTTCCCGCCGAATGACCAGAGTCGGCAGCCATGAACGACAAAAGACTAAACGCCGCACAGACACAGACGCAAACCCACGGGAGCACATCCGCTTTCCTTGTCTTGAGAAGCGTAGACTTGAACCACCTGGGAGAGTCGTCCCGGAGAGTGATAGCGTACAGAGAGCGAGAGGAGATGTAGAGGTCTGCAACGGCGGCGGACCATGCGGATGTGAGGAGGGCGGCATTGACGATGGAAGGGAGGACGCTGATACCAGCGTTCTTCATGGCGATGACAAAGGGCGATTTGGCGGCGGTGCTGCTGAGGTTGAGAGAAGGATCTGACGGAGAGACGAGGAGGCCGATCTGCGATGATCAACATTAGCCAGAGTGCAAAAGTGATAGACAATGACGATTGACGTACGAGGAAAGCACTAGTGAGATAGACTGTTTTGCGATCAGTAGGCTTCCTTGCTACATTGGGGGTCATGGAACTCACACAGCACGAGTCGAATCCAAACTGACTTGATAGCACGGGGAACTGCCCTGCGAGGCTGTCGAGCGACATTATAAGCTCAGGTTGACGATTGGGAAGTCTGGGAAGGTGAACTCACGTCCGCGGTCTCGGCAGCAGCAATAGCAGTGATCTCCGACCCGATGAAAGCGAAAGCAGCCGAAATCAGAGTCGCGAAGAAGCCGAGGAAACGTCCTTTAGCACCAACAATACCCTCGTACTGCATGAGACCGCCAGTCTCATTCCAGAACCTGAAGCCGATAGTCTCGTGGTTGGGTCCACCGCCGCTGGTGATGATGATGCCGCTAATGATGAGACCGATGATGGTGATGATTCTGAGTGAGGCGAACCAAAATTCACACTCGCCATAGTACTTGGTACCAGCAAAATTGATAGCCCACTGCATGTTGGTCAGTAGCTACATAATGAGAGGAAGATCATCCACTTACGACCACAATCAAAACGATGCCGACCCACATGGCATTGTTGCAGATGCCCGCGGTACAAGTGCCATCACCAGTGCCCTTCGGAGTCCAGTAAGAGATAAGCACGGCACATGCAGAGACTTCGGCAGGAAGAAAGACTGAAGAAGCAGGTCAAAATCCAGGACATGATCCCAAAAGTGCTTGTACGAACCGATGTAGCTGTAAGACGCTTCAGTTTGCGACACATTGGAGGACGAAACTCGCGCCACTCACTTGAACCACCACAGCCATCCCATGGCAAAGCCCAATTCTTTTGAGACAAATCGTCCCGCGAGAGCAAACTGTCCACCCGGAATGGGGAGGTGCGAGACCATCTCACCCAAAGAGGTCATGATGGCAAACAAGAGACTGGACATGACGGCGTAGGAGATGAGGAGTCCTGCAGGGCCACCGTTCTGAAGGTCACCAGCGGTACCGAGGAAGAGACCTGTGCCGATGACTCCGCCGATAGCGATCATTTGGCTGGGCAAAAGTCAGGCTGATGTGATCAAGAAGCAGACTTTTTGCAGACTTACACATGGCGAGGCTAGAACAACAATGTCAGCTCAGGGGGAAGTCTTATGATTTGAGATGACTGACCTTGAGAGTACGGTGAAGACCATTGTGAGGAACCAGGTCGGAAGGTGATTCTACACCTGTGTTGACCTCATAGATGACCGAGGTATCCTTGAGCTGCTGTCTGCTGGTCGGGTCACGCGTAGAAAAGGGCACCAAGGAGCCGATGCGCACCTTCTTTCTCGTCGTAGCTGGACATTATCGACAGCAGTTGGTACCGGGGAGATGGACGCGAAAGGGCGCCCTTTTGTAGCCATTTCCGTGTTTTTGTGTTGTGCGCAGAATGATAGATGATACATAGTGGCGATAAGAAGCGGCCGCGCGGGATCGCATCCCGCTGATAAGCTTATCGGCTCAGCTCGGCCCACCTCCCGCTCGACAACTGTCCCGCCCTCTCCGCTGCTGCGCTATCTGCTCGTTCATCAATTCCACAAAGTACATGCAGTGTTCACCACAACGTTCTCGAACCATCAAAAACTGACCATGTCGACCATTCGAGTTCTAGGGCCAGGAGTTTACGGGCCTTTGCCCACCTTTTTTGATAAGGACGGCCAGATCGACTTCAAGAGTTATGAACACCATTTGCTGAGTGCGTCACAAAGTGGTCTTGTCATCGAAGCTGACAAGGTCTATAGGATTGGCCAGCCTTGGTGTCGGTAAGCCTCTCTTCCGACTAACTAGTATATAGGCGCTAAGAAACCAATTCAGTTCCTATATGCATGGGCTCCCTTGGGGAAGCTTCTCACCTGGTAATGTTCATCTTCGGAGCTCCGCAATACGAGATATGCTAACTCACTCCAGGACACGGAAGAAAGGATCTCAATCATCAGATTCGTTCGCCAAACTTTGGATGACAACGAGATGTCGTCGCGACCTATAGTGGCTGGCGTGGGCGGCGCCAGTACGAGGGAGACGATCAGACTTGCGAAAGACGCAGCTGCAGCCGGCGCGTCGGTTTTAATCTCGTACCATATGGTGTCGATACTGACAGTTCATCATAGCGATGCTGGTATGGTCATTCTTCCTGCCTATTACGCGGCAAGCCTGATTGCCGATCATGAGCAGGTCATTCAGTACTATGTTGACATCTGCGAAGCTTCTCCGGTACGCGCCAATGATGAACGGTGCACAACAAGATGCTTATACGACTTTATAGATACCTATTCTTCTCTACAACTTTCCAGCCAACGCGGCGGGTCAAGACATGTCTTCAGACACGATTGAAGCTATCATTCGCCGGGCCCCGAACCTCTGCGGTGTGAAGTTGACGTAGGCTGTTCCAATTTCAATCACCATAGTGCCTGTACTAATTATCCTCACAGCTGCCCAGGAAGTATCCCAAAACTCATCCGCCTCTCCTCCGCCTTCCATGACAGTCCCGAACTCAACACCTCCCGTCCCCAGTCTTTCCTCTTCCTTGACGGCCTCATTGCCGACCTTGTCCCGTGGATGCATCTCAACGGCCACGGCACCGTCAGCGGTATCCCCAACTTTGCGCCTTTTGCTGGGGTGAGGTTGTTCCAGCTATGCTCCAAAGGAAATGGTGCTAGTGCAGAAGAGAAGGAAGAGATGAGAAGGATACAGGCAGTATTGGGCAAGGCGGACGTGGCTGCTGTGCCGGGAGGTGTTAGGGCAATGAGCAAGTCTGATGCTGATCAGCGTGAGAATCTTGGCTTACATGACAATAGAATATGCGTTGAACAAACTTCATGGGTGCAGCCCCTATCCTCGACGACCTCTCTTGCCTCTGGCAGAAGAAGAAGGGGAAGCTTTCTTGAAGATTCTCCAGCCTATGCTAGAGTTGGACGCCGAGATGGAGAAGCATTTTGCGTAAGGTGATGATGGCCCATGAGGGTACGTTGGACAGAAACGAGATTTACCGTATATTGAGCAGTATGATGAAGGCTTCTTACCATCACCTTCTTCCATCACTCTATCTCCATCTTCAGCGATAATGTTTGATTGTGCGACAAGACCATACATCCACATTGAACATAACACCTGTATAATACTCTATGACACGGCCATGCTCAGTCACTTTCCGGAGATCGACATACTCGAGAAACGGTCCAACGCGGGCGTGGTCAGATACTCCACTTGATCTTTTCCCAGATTCCGGAATCCGCCGCCTGAGTTCAATCACCATAAGCTCTTATCGTATTGTGCAGATCTTGTTGCGACCCCAATCGAGCAAGATGACTCACCTCTTCATCGACTGGGACGTCCTCGGAACAACCCGAGTAAAAGTCCATGTCTTCGTATCTGACCATCTTGGTCTTGTGGATCAATTTGTATCCGAACATGAGTACAAAGAAGAATGGGACGGGAAAGTAAGTAGTGATGAATCCGGAAGTGTTGAACCCCTCCACTGTTGGGATCGATATGGTCAGCAACGATCTCTCGGACATGATATGGGTTTTGGCAATAGAAAATACACACTGAAGTTTGTAAATCCACCAAACACGATTACGATGAAACAGATAGCCAGAGCGTAGTAGCTGAGGTATGGCTGCAGGGGCGCCTTGTAGGGAAGACTGTTTCGGTCGATCAAACCGAGCTTGAGGCCTTTGCTCCATCGGATACCTGTGAACAACACACACGACCATGAGATTACTCCGCAGTAGGCTGTCATATCACTGACTATCTCATAATCCCGCATCAGTGTTGCTCTCGTCTCCACAGCCATTCGGAAAAGACGCACAATATCCAAAGACGGTACCTGCCGAACCACCAGAGTCCGCGGCCATGAAAGACAACAAGCTGAACGCCGCACAGACACACACACAAACCCAAGGCAGACCGTCTTTCCTCGTCTTGAGCAACGCTGGGCCAAACCATCTCGGTGAATCACCTCTGAGTGTGATGGCGTAGAGAGAACGGGAAGAGATGTAGAGGTCTGCGACAGCAGCAGACCATGCCGAGGTGAGAAGGGCGGCGTTGATGATGGAAGGGAGTACCTTGATGCCAGCGTTCTTCATGGCAATGACGAAGGGAGATTTGGCAGCGGTACTGCCGAGGCTCAAGGAGGGGTCCGAAGGGGAGACAAGAAGACCTATCTGTGGCCAATTGTCAGCGTATGCACGAATTTATGCGGAGAACATGATTGCGTACGATAAAGGCGCTCGTGATGTAGACTGAGATGACATTGTTAGAAATCTTGAAGAGAATCCGTACGGAAATATGCCACTCACACAGAACCAACCGGATCCAGACTGACTTGATAGCTCGAGGGACAGCTCGTCGAGGCTATGAGATGACGTTGTCAGCGAGCTTCTTATGGGCTTAGTCCGGGCACACTTACATCTGACGTCTCTGCAGCAGCGACGGCGGTAGCCTCTGACCCGATGAAAGCAAAAGCAGCTGAAATCAAAGTCGAAAAGAAACCAAGGAAGCGGCCTTTAGCACCAGCGATACCGTCATATTGCATGAAGCCGCCAGTTTCGTTCCAGAACCTGAAGCCGATAGTCTCGTGGTTTGGCCCACCACCGCTGGTGATGACGATGCCTGTGATGATGAGGCCTATGATGGTGATGACTTTGATAGACGCGAACCAGAATTCGCACTCTCCGTAGTATTTCGTTCCCCCGAAGTTGATAGCCCACTGTGTACTGGTGAGTAGTTGTACAAGAAGAGAGGAAGATTGTCCACTCACGACCACAATCAAGACGAGGCCGACCCACATGGCGTTGTTGCAGATACCGGTGGTGCAAGTGCCGTCACCAGTGCCTTTTGGTGTCCAGTAGGATATGAGAACGGCACAGGCAGAGACTTCGGCTGGCAGTACGACTATGTAGGGGTATATGTCAGTGCCTGGATGTCAATGCGGATCATCGTGCTGTGGCTCACCAATGTAGCTGCAGTAATCGTTAGCCTTCCGCGCGAACCTTGATAAGAGTCAGACGATGCCTGAGCGACTTACTCTAACCACCATAGCCAACCCAAAGCGAATCCCATCTCCCTAGAAACGAAGCGACCAGCTAGAGTGACATGCCCGCCTGGAAGAGGCAGATGTGACACCATTTCGCCCAGAGAAGTCATGACCGCAAACAGAATGCTCGACATCAAGCAGTATGCGATAAGGAGTCCTGCCGGGCCACCACTCTGGAGATTACTTGCAGTACCAAGAAAAAGACCGGTGCCAATGACTCCGCCGATAGCTATCATTTGGCTGGACACAGATGAGCTGCAATTCTTCGGGGGTGGGGCGCTGCGAGTACTAACATGTGTCGAGGCTATTTTAGAAGAAGATGTCAGAAAGTGCTTCTATTCGCACCGAGTAAGGGAGAGGAGTACATACTTTCAGAGTCCGTTGGAGATGATTCTGGGGTAGCATATCGGGTGTCTCCTCCTGCCCACCAACCTCCTGGATGACAGTGACATCCTGCGGCTGTGGGTGTCGTCAGCAGCTCGAATCGTGCGTCGCATTTCTGGGTGCGTACCTCTTTGAGTTTCTCGTCGAAAGTGGACATTCTATGGGTGCAGGGCTGTGAAGTGACGAAAGAACATGGCGTCGATACTTATACTTGACCTTATCTTGCACACGTAGTCGAGAGTGATAAGAGTTATCGGCTCAATGCGGGCTATTCTAAGCGCAGCCGTCGGACCTCGGTGACTACCTGGCCGCCGCGCCTTATCTTTGTACCCGTCTCGTCTCGTCTACACTGCACCTCAAAGGCTATGCTTAATATGCATCTCAACCCATGCACACATTCTAGTCATACAGCCACCCTGCCACCCGCCTCGGATCCTTCTTCCCGGGAAGACCGGTACTCAACTGACTAGGCCCCCTTCTCAGATATCGTCCGTCCCTCGGCTTGCCTTTCACAGCACCCTCAGCGTAGGATAGTTGGCCGCGAACGAGGACGTAGCGAGGCCAGTTGTTGAATGTATGGCCTTCGTAGGGCGTATCTGAGGGGTAGCACATTAGCTTTCAGAGATATGGAAGAGGAAGAAGATGAGCTCACAGTCGACGTTGTGATGGAGCATTCCGTTGCGTAGCTGGAAGGGCGAGAACCGTTCTTGAGGATGCCACTGGAACTCAGTCGTCAGCCACGATCTTCATGTACCACCCGAAAAGGGACACTTACAATCGTGATATCCGCATCAGATCCAGGCTGTAGAGTCCCTTTCTGAGGATACATCCCATACTATCTCTGATCAGCTTCTTGCCCCCTTCCAAAGGGACCAGAAACTCACAAGCTTGGCAGGATTGGTAGCAGTAAGCTCCACAAACTTCTGCGGACTGATCCTCCCCTCCAACAGCCCCCCAGTAAACAACAACGGCAACCTCGTCTCCACTCCCGGTATCCCATTAGGTATAAACCTAAAAGCACCCCCTTTCCGCGCCGTCAAGTCGTAAAGCGCTTTAGTATCGTGAGGATGGGCATGGTCGGTAGGAATTTCGAAAGACTCGCCGGCCATGGAGGCAGAGTGTTCGAGGATGCCTGAAGGTTTTCCGCGGGGAGAGTCGTATCGGAATGGACAGTGGTCGGAGGAGAAAATTGTGAACGTGCCGTTGTGTAGGCCTCTGATTCCTAGCATTAGTGTGGGCGTTGTGGAAGCAGGACAAGGAGGCTTACTGGAAGAGAAATTCGCGGTCCGAGTCGTCTGGGGGAGGGGGAGGCGAGCAGATCATCTTGCTGTTCTCGAAACAAGTGGGAGAATGGAAACGTTTCTGGAGAGTTTGTCAGCGACAAGTACGGGAAGCAACATCGTCCGGGCTTACCAAGTCATCCCAAGTCAGATTAAAGTACTGCGGGCACGTTTCGGCGTAGATTGGCAATCCCATAGTTTGAGCCTTGCGTACGTTGTTCATGCCCAGCTGCAAAACTCATCAGCAAAAGCGATGGTTGACAAGAAGCAAGACTGACCGTGGAGCCGATGTGTACAAACAAGATCGGGTTCTGGACCAACTCAGACATGGCAATAGCGCGGTTCGTCGCTTCGCCTTCGACCAGAGGCGGGCGGGAGAGGGCGTGGTAGTACGGCGCTATCATTCATGAGATCAATGTTTCACTTCCTCTGGGGCCGAAGGGACTCACCGAGCATGCCCTTGGCCCCCAGCTTGTCTGTGAGCCATTCAATCATATCTCCGTTCTCTGCATGGATCATCTGTGACGAGTATCAGTCAACCGTCTTCGTTTCGCTCGTGCAATCTATCACTCACTGTGGTAACCTTGTTCTTCCTCGCAGCCACCATAACATCCAAAAGCTCCCTATCCGTCAACCTCTGGCTCTCATACGTCATGAACAACTTGCAGCTCGTCACACCCCACTCCTCCACTAACCTCGGCATCTCATCATCCAACACCTCCGGATCATCTCTCACGATAATCACGTGGAAGCCATAGTCGATATAACTTCCCGTAGCTTCCGCTCGGGCGTTGTACTTTTCGACCACACCGAGGAGAGACTTGTCGTCGTCGGAGCGGGATTGAGTGGCGAATGTGACAATGGTTGTGGTACCGCCGCAGAGAGCAGCGAGGGAGCCTGTGTTGAAGTCGTCCGCGCATTGTCCGCCTAGACCGTGGGGGCCTGGTGCAGGGGTCAGATGGACGCATCAGATGTCAGATAGGAAACATACCTGTCTTGAGGTCTTGGCATAGGTGTACATGACAGTCCACACCACCTGGCATCACATACGCGCCTCTAGATGTCTATCAGTAAGATCCAAGTCCAGCGTTTTGGCGCTCACTCCGCATCGATCACCTCGGCTCCTGCCATCTCTTCCTCATCAAATGTCTTGGTGAGGGACCTGATCTTTCCATCTTTGATGCCTATCCAGTATTGCCTACAATCCTTGTTAGCCATGGGGCTGAGCACACTGAGTCTCAATACTTGCGATATATCTCCAGCCGTTACCACCACGCCGTTCTTGATGATTGTGTCGAATTTGGCCATGATGTTCACTTTCCTGCTGTGATACCATAGACTTGAAGCAAGTTGTTGATCCGTCTCCTGGAGGTATTTCAGTCAGATATCGGAACGACGGCTCAAAAGCCGCCCATTCCCCGGCCCCTATCTAAGATCTCAATCGGACATAGCCGAGCTAGATTGGATTGATGATCAGAAAGATCCTCGACATCACTGACGACATGTGGACGAGCTCTGTGAGTAACTCAGGCGAGCATGGATTGCTTCAGCCAACGAATAGAGTCGCGCGCAATGGTACGAGCACCGACAGTCGGCAAACGCTCGAGATACGCAGCATTCTACGCGTACATCGTATCTGCACAGTATAAGTCTCTGCGGCTGCGTCAGAGATTGAATCTTCTATCTCATGCGAAACGTACCTATCAATACCGCAGTAGCATAGTGCTAAAGAGATGCATGGGAGGTCGACAGCATACGTAGGGGCTCGGAGATGACTCGGTCGGTCACGTGGTCCTGCTTCGTTGATGTTGCTCTTGCTGTGCAGACGGATGCACTTCTTCTTGTCCTCATTGCATCTCTCTTTCACATCCATTTTATAGAAACATATCCACTCTCACCACTCCCTCCAACACTCGCATTGGCCTGTCGCTAGATAGTCTCGCCCACAAACCCCGCAAGACCACAACCGCAGGCACAACCCCGGCACGACACAAACAATCATCATCGCTACCTCAGACAATGCCGGGAGGCTCGACACCCCCTTCAGAGTCGGAAGAAGAGGCCCCCAGGAGCATCGCGTCTCTGCGATCGAGATTTGAGAACCTGGCAGCTGGGAACGACGCGACGGTCCCCAGTCATAACAAAGCGGCATCGGTCAGCTCGGTTAGAAATGGCCACTTGAGCGCCGGCAATGAAGTGTCTACCAGACCCAAGGTGCGTTATTGCCCTCTCATCAGGTCGGCGTGCTAACCATCTTGGTTCATGTAGCCTGTTCCGCCTCCGAAGCCCGTATCACGGCCAATCACCCCTGCGCCGACGTCTCCTCTCCCGACAGAAGATGTACAACCACAGCTACTACCACGTCCTCCTGCAGTACCCCCAGGCAGACCGACAACTCCAAAACCTGCTTTCAGCAATCACCAATCGACCCCATCTGTTTCGGCACTTGCGGAATCCCATCTTCGAGCAGAATCGCCTATACCGTCACGGTCCTCCTCGCCTACTCGTAGCCTCGGCGCCCGACGCGCTGCTCCTGCAATCCCCAGCAAACCTGCGTCAGCTGCAAGCTCTGCAGTGTCGAGCAATGCGCCTTCCGCGGACATTACCCCGGGTGGGTCGGAGAATGGAGAGGACGAGGAACCCGCGATGTCTGTCAAGGCGCTACGAGAGCGATTCAGCGGGCAAGGTCAGGCAGCAGCCGAAAGACCGCCGATAGATGTGCCCAAAGCAGTCACTGTGCCCGTTGTCCCAAGGGCGGTACCTGCTCCCATCATACAGAGGACTTCGGAGGACGGGGAAACGACGTCTCCCGTGGCCTTGTCTCCTTCGCCTGAAGAGATCGACTCGCCCATGCTAGCACAAGTCACAAGCAGGCAGCCCGAATTGAACTCGTCTCCTTCGTCGATTGGTCACTCGTCGCTACCATCGATATCCCGGGCAGCATCTCCAGCACCGGGCCCACCGCCTGTAAATCGAGCGCACAAACCACCGCCACGTCCTATGAGTACTACTCCAGTGTCCACAGAGTCATCCCCACCTCCCATCCCTCCAAATAGACCTGCCCTCCCAGCAAGAAGCCCGAGTATATCGTCAGAAGCCCCGCTGCCACTCCCCCCTCGTCGACCGACCGTCAGCTCGGCGGATTCTCTAGAGCCGGTGACGACGTATACCGCACCGCCCCGCGTCCTGGCTTCGTCACCGCCGGTCCACGTTGCACCCGGAGGACCACCTCCTCTGCCAGACAGGGCTCGCTCGTCAACAGCTGCCAGAACAGAACCAGAAGCGAGGGCCGCTCCAGGTCCGCCACCTCCACGTCTGCCTGCGCGAAACAATACCATTTCAGTCCCCACCAATGTCACCCCCTCGTCACCTGTGGGACCTCCATCTCATCCATCATCTCCTTCCCGAAAGAGGACAGGCTCCGGTACCCTTCCTCCACCCCCTCTACGCAGTGCTGTACTCAATTCGACAGTGTCGAATTCGGCGTCTCCACCTCGCCGGGCGAGCAATATAAGCCACCGTGTGCCCCAGCCTCAGGCTGCTACCATCCCCCAGTCTCACTCGACAGACAACTTTAACGATGATAGACAGCTTGTCGAAGCAGATTCAGAGGACGAGGACGCCGAGCCGCCTGAAGATGCTGCCATATCGGGCCTGAGCGCCCAAGCCCGCCGGCTGCTGGAGGATCATCCGGATACGACTCAAGCCAATCGCAAACTCCCTGCATTTGTCCCCGACGTTCGTATCAAAGAATGTCATCACGTCTCGGCGTTTGCCGTCTATGGCCGTTACGTCTGCGCTGGCGCGCATCATGTGCGAATCTACGATACGATGCTGTCGGACCATGCTATCCAAGTCATCGAATTGAAGGAGCATGTAGATGGACCTGGAGGGGGAGGGAAAGTCAAAGAGACGAAAGTGACTGCGATGGGCTTCAGACCCGGGTGTTCAGAGGCGGAAGAAGGGAGGTGGTTGTGGTGTGGCACGAAGGATGGACATCTGTGGGAGGTAGATATCACCACAGGCGAAGCGTTCGCTTTCAAAGCGTATGCCCACACTTCTGCAGTGTCGCACATCTGGCGGCACAGGCAGAGTGTCCTCACGCTTGACGACTCGGGTAAACTGCTTGTCTTTGAGGTTGCGCAGGAAGCAGGCAGCAAGCCGACCTTGACAAGAACCCTCCGGATCGGCGAAAAATTTACGTTTGCAAAGATGCTCTGCGGCAAGCTGTGGACTTCGAGCGGACCCGCTGCTCGATCTGTGACCTCTGCATCCTCCCGCGGCCCCACCGTCCGCATCTACGACCCCTGCTGCGCCGGCAACATGCCCCCTCCCAAATCCCTCTTCACCACCGAATGGACCGGCGCTGTCACCTCTGCCACCTACATGCCTCTTGATCGGCATACCATCTTTATGGGGCACGAGGGCGGTTATGTGAGTCGGTGGGATGGGAAAGAGCTGGTCTGTGTGGGGGTGATGAAGGTTTCGAATACGGATGTGCTTGCGTTGGAGGGGGTTGGAGAGTATTTGTGGGCAGGGAACAGGAAGGGGCAGGTGTTTGTTTATGATATCCAAGAGAAACCTTGGGTGGCTACGAATATCTGGACTGCGCATCCGTGAGTACTCGTTCGTTGGGCATGATATGTCGCTGATGTCGAAAAGGGACAATCCCATCCAATCGCTGGTGATGGACCCCTACTCGATTGAGCAAGCTGGGAGATATACCTGCTGGTCGTTTGCTAGGGATTCTCTTCGCGCATGGGATGGGCTACTATCTGTCGACTGGATCGGTAGGTACACTTGATCAAAAGGTCGATCGTGCTGACGTCCCGCCCAGATAAACAACTCCGAATCCGTCAACCAGAGTTTTGCACCTTCCGCCAAGCCAATATCCTTATCTGTACTTGGAACATTGACTCTTGCCGCCCTGCTGACCTTGCCAACGGCCCCGAGCCGAATCAACGCTGGTTGGACGAGTGCCTCAAGAGTGTGGACAGTCCCGACATCATTGTGTTTGGCTTCCAAGAGGTCATCCCGTTGACAGACAAGAAGATCACTGCCAGTGAGTGGATTTTTGCCCAGTCGTGTGACTTAAGTCTGATTTCGGTACAGAAACCCTGCTGTTCGGATCCAAGAAGGATGCAGGTGCCACAGCGGACCGCGTATCCCACGCTTACCGCCAATGGCTCGAGAAGCTCGCTTCTGCCGTTCGCCAAGCCATGCCTGCAGGCACCCCCTACGTCAAGATCCACTCTGAAAGCCTTGTCGGCCTATTCACCTGTATCTTTGTCAAAAGCAAAGAAAAGCAGATGTTGCGAGATTTGGACATCACCACTGTCAAACGAGGCATGGGAGGGATATACGGAAACAAGGGCGCCATTGTGTCGAGGCTGGTGATGGATGACACTTCTATCTGTTTCATCAATGTTCATCTGGCGGCGGGGCAGTCGCAGAAGGCGTCGAGAAATGCGGATTTGGCGGGGATATTGGAGGATAAGGCGATCTTTCCGCCGACGGAGGAGCTGCCCTTCATACATGGAGGCAGTGGCACGGGGATCCTGGACCATGAGATGGTGTTTTTGAACGGAGATCTCAATGTGAGTCCATGATTCTGTCTGAGGGATGGAACTGACAAGAGTATAGTATCGTATCGACCAACGACGCGAGAATGTCATCTCCTCTGTGCATAGTAACGAGCTCGCCTATCTTCTCGAGCACGACCAGCTACGAAAAGAGATGAGGACGAACCATGCGTTCAGGCTGAGGAGTTTCGAGGAACCTCCCATCAATTTCAAGCCGACGTACAAGTATAATCCGGGGACTCATGATTATGACACAAGTGAAAAGAGGAGGATCCCTGCCTGGTATGTGCCACCGTCGCTTGATCGAACAAATGTCTGACTCGTCTTTAGGTGTGACCGTATCCTGCATAACAAATCACCCCGTATCACGGCCATCAACTACCAACGATACGAGCCTGTCGTCTCGGACCACCGACCCGTCTCTGCAGGGTTTGCCATCCAACTCAAGATGGTAGATCAGCTGAGGATGTTGGAGGTCAGGCGAGATGTGACGGCAGAGTGGGGAGAGAGGGAGAAAGAGATCTTGCAGCAGATGAGAGATATATTTGAAGGCATCGAGTGATCTGTATAAGAAGATCCTGTTGGAGAGAGCTGTATGACGAAGAGGAGGACCTGCATTGTAGCTATAGACACTTTAGCAATGGACATTACATACACAAATGCATGCTCACGATTGATGACCCGTTCTGAGCCTTTTGAAGTTCCACTCATGCATACACAGGCTAGGGAGGAACAAGATTTGAATGACAGTCGTTACGAGAGAGACATATACGTGAACTTGGAGGGAGGCTCGCGTCAATCGCACCTAGCGCCGCTCGTCGTTACTTGTTCATCTCTACCTCCAGCCCACAAAAAGGGCGCCACCATCTCCACCCACCAATCTGATGGCCCAGCACCTCTCCCCACGCCGGACACCCCGAAACCCCGCCCCGCCAGTTGCATACCACAACTTTCGAAAATCGCCCAAGCGCAACCCGTACTCGTCGCGGGACTCGACTGTCGAAAGCGCCGGGCAGGCTGCCGATATTTTCGACCTCTATGGCGCTGTGGGGGAAGACGAGGAAGTGGGGGATATGATGGAACGGCTGGATGTAAGGCAGAGCTGGACGAGTGGAAGGAATGGGGATGGGGTAAAAGGAGGTTGAGAAGGAGAGAGGAAAGCTAGTTGGGAGGGGCCTATGAGGGCTCTTGCGAGTACGCCAGAGAAGCAAGGGAGATGGAGTATGGCTTCAGAGAATACACCGGATATATCCATCACCTCCCCGCCGACACCCTCGCCTCCTTCGGCACCATCGACCCGTCCGCCGTCCCAGCCCCATACCCCAAGTCCTCGACGTCGAAACGAAAGTCAGTACTCTGCCATCACAGTGTCGACAACAGACTCTCCTGCGCGGTCTAGCCAGAGGCTGAACCCTGCGGATACCGGTGGAAATGGAAAGCCGCGGTCCAGCATGAGCACTGGATTCTCGACGACGACGGATGGGGCACGGAGCCAGACGAGTGTGGCTGGTTCGTCGAGGTATCCCGGGGAGGAAGAAGATGCTTTCCATGTCAGATCTACTTGTGAGTAATTTGATATGTTGGTGTTACTGTGCTGATAAGTTTCAGATGCGAGGCTTGATGCAGAGGGTGTTCATGGAGATGGCTGGGACCAAGGTGTAGAGCGCACGCGGGGTGGACCAGCCATGCTGAATCATCGAGCTACCATGTTGTTTGCGACCAAGTCAGGAGACTTGCCGGAGAAGGAAAAGCAGTACTTGTCGAGTCTCGACCGGTGAATATATCAACATTCTACAGAGGATCTGCTAATAAGACGTCAGGTATGGTTTCGTCAAGGAGCCTCATCGAAACCGCTCCGAGTCCCGCCTCGCCTCCATCCCCTCTGCCGCCCTATCCAAAGTCCCCAAGCTCCCTTCGCATTCCCCACTATCCGGCAAACCCCCCGTCGAACCCACCAACAACTTTGGCCCCTCCAACGGCACCTGCCCCACCGCCAACCCGCCCCAGAGCCCGTCTCTTGACGGAAGGGAAGAAGACCGTGCGAAACGGAAAGAGACTGAAAGAGTAGGGAAATGGGCGAGGATGATGAAGGTCAAGAAGAGGGATCCGGGGGGGAATATTGCAGAGTGGGATTGGAGCCATGAGGGGCAAGGGGCAAAGCTGCAGAATCGGGTGTATAAGGGGATACCGGATAGGTGGCGGATGGCGGCTTGGTGGACGTTGTCGGATGGGCAGGCTCAGCAGTGGAAAGGGAAGGGCAAGGGCAAAGCATCTGCTCCCGAGTTGATCAAGGACTACAACGTATGTCTCTCATTCTCTACGGGGAGTTGTCTGACATCTATGATAGGACTGTATCAATCTTCCATCCACGTTTGACGTTCAGATCGATCTCGACGTTCCTCGGACTATCAGCGGCCATACCATGTTTGTCACGCGGTACGGCACCGGCCAGCGGAATCTTTGGCACGTACTGCACTGTTTCGGTCAACTGTGCGAGACTTGTGGGTATGTGCAGGGCATGGGGCCGATAGCAGCGACGTTGTTGTGTTATTATGAACCCGAGGTGAGCTATCCACTTGCACTTGACGATTGAACGTACTAGCTAATGTCGGTGGCAGAGAGCTTATGCGCTCATGGTTCGTTTGCATGATGTGTATGGGATGCACGACATCTTTGAGCCTGGATTCCCGGGGTTGCTCGAAGCGTTTTACGTGCAGGAACGGTTGATGGAATGGCTCATGCCGGATGTTTACCAATCTTTCGTGAGTCCATGTGATGACTATATCTGTCTTGTGCTGACCTCGCTTTCCAAGCAACGGAACACTATATCCAGTACTTCATGGGGCACCAAGTGGTTCATCACCCTGTTTGTCAACACTGTACCCTTTTCTCAGCAACTACGGATCTGGGATGTGCTTTGGATGGAAGGCCGGGATGTGATCATTATCACCAGTCTTGCCATTCTATGGGCTTTCCGAGGTATGTCAGGTCCCTCCATCTTGAATTCCTCGCTCATACCTCCATAGACCTCCTCGCATCGCCCCACGCCTCTTTCGAATCGATCCTGTCACTTCTCTCCTCCTACTTTGTGGCCGAAGACGAAGACTCGCTGATGCAGTGGATTCACAAGGTGTTGGCGCTCAAGGGTCTGAGGGGAAAGATGGATGGGTGGCGGGTAGAGTGGAAGGGGCTTGTGAAGGGGGGAAAGGGCGATACTGCGCTGTTGTGATAGAGTTGATATTTGCATCCTGTCGTTGGCTCGAGATAAAGTACAGCAGACATGGCCGGCGGGCATCGGCTTCCCCGTCGCTCCCGGCCTTTTCGGTCTTTTTTTTCCATCTACATAAGCAGCTGTGCGAGGTATCCCAGGGGCCATCCCGCGCCGATGCCGTCCCCCGTCCTGCTCCTGGCCATCGCAGCCATCCCCCTCTGCGCCGCCTACATCTTCCTCACCACCCATGCCAAAAAACAGCCCCCCAATGCCCTGCCCTCTTTCTTTTTCCCAGCCCTCACCTACCACGGCCGTCAAATCCCCTCGTCTGCACGCAATGCCTTCAGCATCCCCGTACTATGCCTCTGTACCGACATTGAAGCCCTGCAAGATGGAGCACTCGACCTGCCTCTCCGTGTTTTGCACCACGGCGGAGACCCAAAGAAGAAAGTGGTCGGCTTGAGGAGCAAGTATTACCTCGGTCATGGTAATGCTCCTTTCCGGGTCAAGCTGGAGGACCTTATGGCTCGTCATGGGGTAGCGAAGGAAGATATTGGGAGAGCGTGGATGACGACCATGCCTAGTTTTCTGGGGTTGGAGGGGACGAACCCGATGACAAATTGGTACATCTACAGCAAGGCGAAAGATGGAGAGGAGGGCAAACTCAAGTGGCTTATTCTGGAAGTGCACAACTCGTTTGAAGAGTCGTAAGTGGGCATGAAACAAGGAATGGCAAGAGACTGACGGTGATGCAAGCTGCGCCTATGTCCTCGATCTCGACTCACCTTTGAGACAGGAACCTAACAGAGGGTACGACCTCGCCTTTACCCTCCCCCGCACCTTCCACACTTCCCCTTTCAACAATCGCTCAGGATACTACCGTCTCGATATCCTCGACCCCTTCCCTGCCGGCTACTCCAAAATCCCCAACTTTGTGCCCAAGTTCAAAGTCTTTGTCCGAGTTTTGACGCCAGACAAGGTGATGAAGCTGAATGTGACGCTCGTCTCTGGCCCCTCGCCTCCCGTTAGGCTCGGGGAGGGATGGAAATCAGCCTGGGGCATGTTGAAGGTGTTGCGAAAGTGGCCGGGAACATTGCTACTCGTCCAAGTGCGAACATATTGGCAAGCATACATCCTAAACTATCGAAAGAAACTCGCCTTGTACCCCAGACCCGAACCGGGATGTCCCTTCACCGGCAACGGCTTCAACCCCCACCCGGGGGATACGGGTATCGATTATGGCCTCCAGCGCAAGCCCATGTCTTCCGGGAAGCGGGGCGTGACAAAGGCGGTTCTAGAGTTGATGGTCAAGAGGGCAGAGCAACTTGGTATCAGGCTCGAGGTGGTCTTTGAGCATGGCCCTGAGCCGCTCCTTGCGGGCTCAGGGAACAACGTGCTGAGCATCCACACTGCCGACCCTTCGTTCTTTACAAGCCTCATGGCGGCGCCTTCGCCCCAGCACTTTTTGTTTCTCACGTATGAGAGACTCACTGTAGTCTCCAACGAGGCGCTCTTTATCCGCATGTTTGGTCCTCCCGATCACGCTCAAAGCGACTATATATCACGCTGGACAAGGTCTATACGTCAGAGATACTTTATGTATCTGTACTCTCACTCCAGCACCCAGCCCCCATCTTCATCTTCTATCCCGGCCCTATCCACCCTTGCCCCACATTTCACCGACTCCCCTCTACTTTCCACGGGGGCCAGGCGCGCAGTCTTGCAGCGAGTCCTCAAAGCTTTCATCGTAGCAAGGCTAGTAGAGTGGGTGTTTGCTCTAGTAGGGTTCACCTTCGTGCAAGGTCAGGAGCCGTGGTCCATTTGGGATCGGGCGGTGAGACGAGCAAACGGCGAGGTTGGGGTGGATGTAGTAGAAGAAGACGAGAGAATTGGATCTGTGAGGTTGTCGGATCATATCTAGAACTTAAATTGTAGAAATATAATGTATATGCACGTAACCACTCAAAGGGAATACGGGCAAGCCATGACAATGCATATATGCTTTTTAGTCTTCTATTCACCGCCTTTCTATGCCAAACAATCCGTATAGAAATGGTATCAGAGATCCGCCTTTCCCACGACCTCTTCCCCCCGCGCCTCCTTCTCCAACACCTCCTTCCTCGCCCCTTGCTCCTTCCCACTCTTCAACGCCCAAGCCAGGGGCATCCTCTCCTCCAACTTTTGCCTCAGCGCCTCCACCTCCGCCTCTTCTGCGCCTTCTCGGGAAGAGATAAAGTTGATGGCAGAGAGGAAACTCTGTACGCTAGGAGGGACGGAAGGAGAAGCAATGTTGGAGAGGATGGAGATGGCGCCAGAGACGTCGGTGGGGTTGACTTCGAGGTGACCTTTGGCGGCACCGAGGATAGCCTCGGCATCGGAGCCCTTAATCGCTTGCTCTACGAAAGCCGCGCTAGCAGACTTGGCATCTTTGCCGCCAAGCAGCGTGGGGAGACTTTGCTCGATGACCTGGGCAATAGGAGCGGGCAAGTCGGCAGAAGAGGTGAGGCGGGCAAAATTGAGGATCTGGTGGAGGAGTGTAGGGTTGGAGGGGGCGATTGATTGGGCAGTGAGCAAACTTCGGAGAGCAGCCGCGTAGAGCTCTGTACAACGGGTCAGCTACGACTTTCATGACAAGACTCTGGAAACTCACTCTTCCTGCTGAAAATCTCGTATCCCGCCAACCAAGTCTCCACCCTCTCCCCAGCCAGCTGCTCCAAAGCCTTCCACACCTTCTCAGCATCATCCAACGGCGTCTCGCTCTTCAAAAGCTTCTCTCCCTTGGGGTCCTCATCCGGCAAAGGCGGTTCCTCCTTCTTGTCTCCCGATGTCGCAGCGGCCTTTTTGGCTTTAGACTCGGCCTTTTGGGCCTTTTTGGCGAGTCGTTTGCGCTCGGCCTCTTCTTCGGGGGTGATGTGCTCGACGGTGAGAGAGGGGTTGTCGGAGATTTCAGTGTAGATCGAGATGAGGGCAAGGGCAGCTTTGGCATAGTGGGGATTCGAGCGGAGGGTTTCTTCATAGTTGAGCAACCTAGAATGTTGTCAGTAAAGGGTCCCACAAGAAGACAGTAGACGCACTCGATGTAGGCAGAGAAGGTATCTCGTCGAGTGCAGTAACCATGGAAATCATATTGATCATCCTCATACTCCTTGAACACAGACACCACCGTCTGATACCTCTTCAACGCCATTCCCCGATTCTGACTACGCCTGTACGCATCACCCTCCTCCTGCAAGAACCAGACACACTGCAAGTCTGTCAAGTCCTGGATCGGCGACATGCCCTTCTTGGTAAACATCGCCAACAGCTCTTCGGCCTTTTCGACGTTGCCAGCTCGGAGCCAGTACTTGGCGGCCTTGCCGTTCAAGAATCGATCTTGGCCATCGAGCAGACGGGCCTTCTCCATCTCGTGCGCCGCACCCAGAGGGTCGCCAGCACGTTTGAGCACGATGGCCTTTGCCATGTACAACTCCGGAAGAGTGGGGGTGTGGGTGATGGCAAGTTCAACGAGCTCAAGGGCGCGCGTGTGGTTGGGAGAAGCGTTGCGAGGGTGTGTGAGATGGAGAGCGAGGTAGTAATATGCCCAGAGGAGGACGGTGGGAGGGGCGATGCTGCCGTCGTTGGCGAGAGTGGACTCTTTCTCAAGCTTGGAGATGATCTCCTGGACGATTTCGCCAATGATGGTCATCTTTGTGGAATCAGAGTAGATGCTCTTGACGTCGACGAATAATGAGGGGACACCACGTTCGAGACCCTTGATGATATATGCCTGGGCGATTTGTCGGAACTTTTCGCCTTGGGCAACGTCGAGAGCCAATCGACGGGGGGCGGCAGAGCGGGGATATTTCTGGGAAAGCTGTTCGAGGGACTCGAGGAGAGCTGATTGGGCGGCCTCGTCGTGAGGTCCAGCAAGGTCGAGACCCTTGGCCTTAAAGTAGCCCCGGTAGTAATCCAAGCTGTCCGAGTTTTGCTTCAAAAGCTCTTCCCAGACCTTCAACGCCTCTTCTGTTCGCCCCAGCTCACCCAAAAGCTGAGCCTTGGTCAGTGACACCTGTCCTCTCGGCGAGATGACCTTTTCCTTCACGCCTGCCTCCAGCCTTTCCAACGCCTCCTCCTTTCTTCCGGCCTCGATGCAAAGTGAGATCACATACATGAGGGTCTGCGCTTTCTCGGGAGCAGTAGCTCCGTCGATGGCGGTCGCCTCGGTATAGTCATTGTACACCCGAATAGCTTCGTCGGCATCACCTGCGAGGTGGTGGGCGACAACAAGACCGAGCCAGGTGGCACGAATCTGAGGACGGAGGGTAAGGAAGTGATGTCGAGCTTGGAGAGCCTGAGAGTACTGTCGGGTGTGGGTGAGGAGGCTGATAGAGTCTCGAATGAGAGGAATGTTGTCGGGGTCGAGCCTTCGCGCCTGGGCAAATGCTCTGGAAGCTTCGTCCCAGTTTCGTTCCGACTTGGCAAAGATACCAAGAACGTGCCATGTGATGTGACTGGTGATGTCCTTCTTGACAGCAAGACGAGCCATGGCCTCTGCTTCTTCCTTCTTTGGCACGGCTGAGGCGGTCATAGGGTCGGGAAGGGAAGAGTGGATGGTAAGGGCTTTCAAAGCGATGGTTTCTGATATTGTGTAAGCTCTCAAATCTTGGCCATGACTGTTATACGTACCTCCATGGTTAGGGAACTTTTTGAGAATGGTGTCGGCAGCCTTGATACCTTTCTTGTACTGCTTGAGCTCATATTGGGTCTGGAATGTCAAAGATGGTAAGCGTGTGACGGATTTGCAGCCTGAAAAAACGTACCAAAAGCTCCCTGAAGAGCTTGTTCTCCTTGTCTGGGAGAGCTCTATGCTTGGGAATATGCGCCATCGTACGGGGTAGAGAAGATTGCTTTTGGGATTCAAGTTTCGAAAAGTGCGCACCAGGCAGCGGTTTAGCAGTGACGCCGGCGTCGAAGGAGCGGAACCTTTTTGGCTTGCGGGCATGTCCACCTTTTCATTCTGCTCATTGTTGGGTTCCGTGTTGGGTGACCAATCTGGCTGCCAGCATAGGCCAAGGCGAGCAGAAATTGCTTAAGACCTATCAAAGTGTCTGCTATAGTGCTCGTGTAGACGTGGTTTCAACAGGACCGCTTATATTTCGGACTCGGTGGCGCTACGCACTAACGTTGAACGATCACCAGACTGTAAGTAACTAAGCTTGGCTCCAAGATCCAAAGGTAGTCTCAGGGTATTTGAGCAGCAGATTCAAGAAGCCCCTCGCACTCCATTTGTGAACATATGACCCTCGGCTACTGCAAGTCCGTGGAGTGTCGATCGTTCTCTGATGGTCGTTATGTTCTGTCGTAGTGTGGGCACCAGGGCGCACTTCTCGATGTCGGTCTCAGCGAGGCGATAAACGTTCTTTCTTGGGGTATGATTTCTTTCGAGTATTACTCCCCATCGAGGCTACCGACGTCCTACACCCAATGGTGAGCAAATGACCGATCGTTTGCTTCTCCTCTCTCGTTCTTCTGCGCACTACAGCAGGAAGACGACTGACCTTACACTTGCCGGTACAGGGCCTTACTATATCCATCACCTACAGCCCTTTACCTCCCGATTTCGACCTTCGACTACGAGAAGTCGCTCGTCAAGTCGTCAACGAAGAATGGGACCGGCGCACCCACAAAATCGATCCTGCCACACCCATCCTGCCGCCGCAGGAGCCCGAGCTTTCTGAGGCGATACGCCAAGCTGGCCCCAAAGATGAAGAACGAGAAGAAGCCTTCAATCAACACAAAGCCCCTTTGACGCTATTCGGAGCTACAGTGGACAACAATGCACCAGCAATTGCCACGGTGAACGACGCTCCTCAAGACCCCGCCACTTTGCCTTTGCAAGTTGCTTCTAAACAAGGCACGTTTTCAGCTAGGTAAGTATGTATTTCCCAACGCAGAGATTGGGCTAAAAGTCAAACCTGGCCATCAATCGCCCCTTCGCATTCCACAGGCTGGAAAGAGTACCATCGTCGTCGCAAAGGCTCTCCCCGTTCCTGTTTCTGCTGGTCAAGCCAGCAAGAATGAGCAGTATCGTACCTACGTGAACGAATACCATCAGACTGTGAAATTTCATCCCGGCGTCATTACGGCCCCAAGTCTTGCGGTGATGGCGAGTGCGAAAAAGAAATCAGACAAACTGGCCCGTAAGGTGAGTTCTGCATGCGCGAAGCGTACATTTTCTGCTATCGCTTTACTAACACAGCAAAGATCTGGTTGGGAATGACAAAGTTCGACGCTTCCCTTATAGCAACCTGCAAAGAAGCACCATTGATTCGCACCTCTGTCACAAGGCGCCTTGAGGTTCCCGAAGGTAATTTCCTCCCCAAATTCTACAACGAGGAGTGGTTATTTTCAGAGGCACCTCTTTTGAAAGAGACTTGTAGTCTTTGGCGAGACATTTGGGCCACTACCCTGGCGCAAAGACAGCTCGGGAGCAGCAAGTGTCAGTGGGTCTTGGTCGAGGACCCGGAATGGTGGTCGCCATTGGTTAGTCAACTTTGCTCTCCCTCCTGTGTGCGCACTGAAACAACTATCGCCGATGAGGACTGCCTTTTGGACATCATTCTACTTGGACCCTCCTGATGGTATTCAGATCTTCCGCCTCCCTGATAACCTACGCTTCAACCATACAACCACTTCATCTCAGCTCCCACGGCCAACGACGGTGCATAGAGCCCTAGTGGACCCCAAGTTTCTCACCGAAAAAGCATTCAAATCTTGGGCTAAACACGTCACCAACCCTCCCAAGGCGTCTGCCAAAGCCTTTGCAACCAAGCCTTCCCTTCAGTCTCTCCTCGAGGCCAGGAAGGATGGCTCATGTGACAAGGTCAACAGACACACGATGGTTCTGAAGGACCTCGGGTCGGAGAGGAGGTTGGATTTGTTGGTTCGAAGGGATGAGGATTCGAGGAGTTTCAGGGCGTTAGTGAGACGGGACATTTGGGGGTTGAGGAAGGCTGAGTAATACTTTAGGGTGTTGATAGGGTAGTCTTCTTTGAGAAGGGACTGTAGATATTCACCAACAAAGTCGGTATGGATCATACAACTACTGTAGATCAATCAGCGCTCGTTTCTTGATGCAACATGCAAGTGACTTACAGTAGCTCAACTTTCCCACCACACCTTCCAGCCGACCAGGTTCTTTGACGGCGCATACAATTATCCCTCTCCTCATATGAATCTGCTCTCCCTCTCATGCGCCCAGTCCCTCAAGTCGTACTCGCCGTGATTGGTGATTGAAATGGAAGCCTTCAGACCCAGAGTCCTTCCATCTGTCCCCATAGTCGGTCTTGCCCCCACTTCTCCCCCCAGAGTCATCACCCGTCTTACCTCTCTTGTTCCCTTCATCCCCAGCCGGCACAGCCGCTCTTCCGCCAGCCTTGACCCGTTCGGTTTCCAAAGCCTTCTTCTGCAAAGCCTTTTGTTCTGTAGCTCGTACCGTCTGGTTTGCCTCTCATGCTCCAGCTTTTGCGTGGTACAAAGAGGCAGCTGGACCCCTCAGGGCTTGGGTTTTGGGGCTTTGGTCATGGAAGTCGAACTGGGCGTATTTGCTGTAGTTGCAGGCCTCGCGGTAGCCCCGTGACATGTCCTTGGGTTGTTTCTGGTAAAGCTGAGGACGCCCATGATTGTGAGCAGCCAGCCATTGTGAGTGATGGTGAGAGGTATTCGGTGACTTGGATCTTGATAGGACTGGTGTTGACGGTAATTGACGCGTCGAATAAGCAAACGCGTACTTTGGGCCTAATTAACAGCCCGGGTAATGGCGCGGAGATCGCCGCCCCCGAACCGCCGGTGGCCATGAGTTGTGGATCACCTGTGCATTTTCTGATCAAAGCGTGCAACTCAGATTGACCACATCTATCCCCACCACAAGTCAATTCCATCTTGATACCTGTCCCCTCTTGTCTAACATACCCGTCATGTCCGTCAGACTCGCTACCAAAAGGCTCAGTACGTCCTTCATCTTGAGATCTAGCAAGTAGTGCTGATAGTAGAGATAGTGAAGGAGCTGGGGGATATCAATACGAAGGGGACGCCTCCTGGTATAGCCCTGCTGAGCGCGGAAAGTATGGAAGAGTGGATCTTTACAATAGCTGTACTCGGAGACGAGACAGTCTACAGAGTACGTCCATGTCGATTTTTGACACAATGACAGCTGACAATGGACGATGAAGGGCGAAGTGTTTGCTTTGCGAATCAAGTTTGAGGATAGGTACCCTATAGAAGTTCCTCAGGTGGGTCTGACCTGTGTCTTTGTCAAAACAAGTGAGAAGCTCATGTGCGCTGCCCAGGTCACTTTTATTGCGGACGATGAGTGGACCCCGCCTGTGCATCCCCATATCTATACGAACGGGCACATATGTGCGTCTATATTAGGTGCGTTACGTTCATGTATATGCCGGTCTATGCTAATGGTGTTCAGGTCACGAGTGGTCCCCAGGTGCGTTGATGAGTACATAGGGGAGGGTGCAACACTAACAGCTTACAGTCCTCAACGCCATCTCTATTTGCATCACCATGCAGTCCATGCTGGCGTCATGTAAGAAGAAGGAGCTGTAAGTCCAAGCTCTGTATCTGTGATGGGCGACATTCTGATACTGTATGCAGACCGGAAGGAAACGATCGCTACGTCCGCTCGGCACCTTCAAACCCCAAGAAAACGAGGTGGCACTACGACGACGATGTGAGTCTCTTCTCCTACGCTTTTTCATCGGACTGACTGGAATCGCAAAGACTGTATAACGCGCTACATCATGGATACGCCCACGGACTGTTGTAGGATAGATCTTCTTTGTAGAGCTGTAATTAACCCATCATAATCTCCATAGATCACATACCCGCGCCGCTCATGTAGCACGTCGTTGCATTTTTTCGTACAATACAACTCCCAACTGAACACCTCGTTCAACACCTGACCCTTATCCAAGCTGACTTCTAGCCATACTACCCAAGCGCGCCAAAGAGTCTTCAGATACTTCGGCTATAATCGCAAGATCCAGTCAGCGCCTGCTCTTGCTCGACGAACATCATATATCGAGACGTGCCCACTCTAGGAAGTGAGGCCACTGTCCTTCAGGTTTGTGAGCAGTAACTCACCCTCTTCAATAGCATCAGACTGGGCAACCTGAATAGGATGGTCAGCTCGCTGCCAAAAGGAAAGTGTGAGGGAGGTCGCGCACAATCTTGAGGACGGTCTTCTTGGACGACTCTTGTATTTCTCCCGCAATGATGAGCTCGTCTAGCACCTACGTCTCAGTCAGCACATGTCACGAGGAACAACAGAATGAAGACTGACAGCGTACGCCTTCTGAAAGTTGAAGATCAAATCAAGCTCGCACACCTACTCATCCATCAGCACATCATCCCGAGCCCATTGAGAAGGCACAAACATTTCCAAAGTATCTATCCAGCACCTCCACGTAACGATGTATGATCTCAAGTGTTATGAGCTCATTGTCGCCTGGCGAGATGGAGGTGATGAAGAAGAGGGAAGCGTATCTGCGGTAAATGACCTTGGTGTCTGATTTGTCCTGTCAGCTGGTTCGACACTTTTCGTAGAGGATGGGGAAGGCTTGCCCTTGTACTCGAGGAAGTTGCACATCCTCGTGCGTCTAGCAAGCACCAATTGGGTCACATCCTTCACAATCTTGTTCTTCGTCTTGGGCGGCAGGGTTTGGAACCACTTTGCTAAACGCACTTTGCCTGATTCGCTACATCAGCAACTGTCCATCATAAAGTGCCTCTTTCTGATGGCAGCGACTCACCCTGCCGGGAGACAAGCATGACATAGTTGATCATTGTGAGACGTCTTTTGACGTGGAGATTGCTGTTCTGGGCCGTTTCCCTTGTGCTGGATCGATGATTGAGAGATGGTGGACCGGGGAGTAGCGATTTGAAGGGTCTGGAGGATGTGCTGGCGAGATCAGTCTGGAGGCAGATAGCAGGCGTGGATGGGACTGAAGAACTGTAGAGCAGAGAGAGAATGAGGCCGACGCGGAGGCTGGAGCGCGTTCTCGACGGAACCTTTTTGGAAGACAAGTCTCGAGTTCGATCCTCATGAAAGTCAGAATCTTGTTGCTTTTTGCTTTTCGCGTTTACCTTTTTTGGGTGGTTTGTTGGTCGATGATGATGTGATGTCGCAAGCGCATTTACGTGCGTCAAAAGGTCGCACCACTCGCCAGCAGCGCCGAGGTGTACGGGAAATGTCTATGCAGCATGCTCGAGCTCTATTGTATAGCTTGTGGTTGCTTCTCCATCTACTCGATATGCATATAGAAGTCAAAGATCTTGTCTCTAGTCAAGAGGTTGCCGCCCCTTTCTTTGCCAAGCTATGGACCTTGCTTCTGGACAGCCAGAGTTTTCCAGACTCTCAGACATATCCAGGACCTACCTCCTACTCCCATGGGGTGGGCTATGTGCAGGGATGTATGTTCGTTCTCAACAACCCTCGCATCAGCTCTTCGAATCAATCGGCCGCCGACCAATTGGTGGCCGTCGGGGGGTTCAGGGTTCGTCCTCGGCCAACGTCAACTATGCTCAAAGATGGGTGCGATGCATCCCATCAGTCCATAGCGCAAGGCTTGTGAAAGACGCAGCTACGTATCGCACATGAGCCCCGAAACCCGAACGCCGAGGACCTCGAAACTGGTGAAACCAATAGCGGACAGCGGGGTTTGCTCAGGTTTTTGTTTATCAAGCGACGATATGGACGACAAGCGATAGCGGGGCCAACGGTCAGCGGCGTTCAAGCGACGATACAGAGCTCCGCCATTGTCTTCAACGATTTCATGCCAACGCTGGTATGCCCAGATGTGCACCGTTCTCGGCATGCAACAGCTCGACAACAGCCCCAAGATGCGCTCCATGCACCTTGGCGAGGTTCCCGCGAAGGTTTGAAGCCAAACAAAGCTGATACGGCCAAGGAACTGCTGAAGATCAGCTGCTCGTTCCTGTGACGCGCCTCTGACGCTCAACATTTTTTGCCTCCACCGATAACGTGAGCTGAAAGCCTGAAAGAGGCAAGAATACGGGATCTTTCCAACTAAATTTATGGGACTCCAGACTGAGTATGTATCCCTTGCCCGTTTAGTCATCAAGGGCCGGTCGTGACGAGCAGCGCAGGTGGGAGGATTAAATACAACAAGACACTCGAAAGCGATGCCAACCGATCTCCCAGCTCCCCTGATTCTTTGTTGTTGCTATATGACTGCAGTACCCTTGTTCAGCTAACATATATCCTTGTACTATACACACTCACAGCTCGTCGATATGGGCAAATCGGGATCGACACAGAAGACGGTAGAGAATAGGCGTGAGGCAGACCTGGAGTCGGGGCAGATGTCGTCGGATGAGGGCACTACCTTGAGTACGTCGTACTACCCGTGTCATTGGGAGGCACTGACGCTTCTCCAGATCCCTCCGAGTCTGGCAGTGGTCACAAGAGGGGAAAGATTGACGACAAGGGGAGAGAAATCATCGATTGGGACGGACCCGACGACCCCGACAACCCTTTCAACTTTTCAATCTCTTACAAGTGGCTCCTGACAATAACGACATGCTTCATGTGCGTAGATCATCGGCCGAGTGAAGAGTCCAGCTGACCCGGACATAGTTCTATTCTTACTGGTCTGCCTGCTGGAGCTTACGGTGCCGGAAATGAGTACATGGAGGAGGCATATGGCATTGACCAGACCAACTTTCCTTGGCTGCAATGGGCCACCTGTAGCTGGAACATCGGTATGTCTTTTGAGCTGTCTCCGTGATGTCCAACTAAACCATACAGGTGCCGCCACCTTCCCTCTCTTGTTTGTCCCCTTGACCGAGAAGAGTGGACGTATGCCTGGATACTTTGTAAGACTGGCGCCTCGGTCATGGAATGAGCATTGACGTAGAGTGTCGTGTCTCAGATCTCCTACATTGTCTTCCTCATCTTCCTTATTCCCTCCGGAGTCGGAACCAACTTTGCCACCATGATCGTCACTCGATTCTTTGGTGGTGGAGCCAGTTCGGTCTCTATCAACATTGTCGGTGGTACCATTGCCGATATCTGGAAGGGTCCCAAGCGTACGTGCATCCGTCTGTGTATGTCAGGTCTGAAAACTCACCTACATATATAGAACGAAGTATCCCCATGAGTATCTTCGGTATGACAAGTGTCGTCGGTATCGCCTTAGGTCCATTTATCGGTGGCGCTATCCAGACCAATCACAGTACTCTCAACTGGCACTGGTGAGTAAATTGACGACTCTCATCGACAGCTAGCTAACACCCATCAGGATCTACTGGATGCAGCTCATCTTTGACGGTGCTCTTCTCCCCGTCTTCTGGTTCATCCTTCGCGAAACCCGAGGCGATGTCATTCTCGCCAAACGAGCCGCCAAGATTCGTAAAGAAACTGGCCGAGAAGTCTACGCCAAGTCTGAGCTCAAGCGCAAGCCCCTCTTGGAGGAACTCAAGATCTCTTTTGAGAGACCTACCAAGATGCTGGTGACCGAGTTTGTGGTTGCCGCTTTCACTCTTTGGGTGTCCTTTGGTGAGTGTTTTGACCAATCACATCATTTGGACATGCCGCTGATGCTCTTTAGCTTGGGGTCTTTTGTTCTTGTTTCAGAACAGTATCACCCAGACTTTCCAGACCAAGTGAGTGTCATGTGTAGGTCAACATCGATGACATCTGACAATCTCCCCAGCTACGGATTCAACACTTTCCAAACCAGTCTCATCCAACTCGCCCTCTCCGTCGGTGCTGTCGTCGGTACCATCATCAACCCCTTCCAAGACCGGATGTACCTCGGCTCTGCCGCTCGTAACAAGGAGACCAAGGACAAGCCCATCCCTGAGGCTCGACTCTACTTTTCCATGCCTGGAAGTCTTCTGTTTACCGGCGCCTTGTTCTGGTATGGATGGACGAGTTACCCGAGTATCCACTGGATCGTGCCGACGATTGCTATCGGATTCATCGGTTTGGGTATCTACAGTATCTGTAAGTATCGCTCTTTATGGTTTTCAGTCATTTGCTTACTCGGAATTGCAGATATGGGTACTGTGACATATTTGACTGATGCCTACGAAAAGTATGCCAGTTCTGCTTTGTCAGCCGCTTCTCTCGGCAGAGTACGTTCCGAGTTTCTTCTTAGCTCTCTGCGCTGACAACTACCAACAGAATGCGTTCGGAGCCTTCTTGCCCCTCGCCAGTCAAGCCCTCTTCACCAACCTCGGTTTCCACTGGGCCGGAAGTCTTCTCGGGTTCCTCGCGCTCGCTCTGTCTGGTGTCCCCTTCCTTCTCTTCGTAAGTTTTCTTCCGAGATCAACACGTACATTGGAGCTGACATGTACTATAGTACAAAGGCGAGTACCTCCGCCACCACTCGCCCTTCATCAAGGACGCCATGTTTGACAGTCCCGAGCAAGAAGAAGAGGAGAAGCACCCTGCAGATATTGCCAACATCCAAACCGTTGAAGGCGCAAACCGATACACTGCTCCGGCTTCATGATCGGAGAGTGATAAGGAGGTGCTGGTCTCGAGTCTCTCGAGGCAGAAGGGAGGGGGAGAGCATGATTTTGGATTGGTTTCATTCATATGCATAGTTAATTGTAAGCCTCATGGGTCCATACAGCGGACTTTTCTCCTTCCGTCTTAAGTCATGCGGACTTTTATCGACAGCGGTCGTTTCATTCGTTGATTCATTAGACTTTGTCACGCTGTCAGCAAAGTCCTGTCTACCCAAACTTGAACCATATTACTCACTCTTATAGCGGTACGCAGGATGGTGTCTCCCGAGCTTTTCCGGATGCGGCTTCATCAACCTATAATCCCTACCACCTCCTTCTCTCAACCGATTCTCCTTCTTTTGATACGCCATTAACCCCAGACACACCAGCACCGTCCCTACATTCATCCCTATATTCAACGCATTTCCTACCCTGAACCCTGTATGTGCGTCCGTCGCAATGTACGACCATGTTGACGCGATGGAGCCAATGGATCCGAGGCCGGTGACAAGCGCGCCGGTGAGAGAGCGGGTAGTGTCGGGAGAAGCGTTGGACATGGCCCAGCCGAGGACGCAGGGAGCGTAAATGTAGCCGCCGCCGGTGACGATGAAGAGGGCAAAGTAGCGAAGGCTGGCATAGCTGGAGGAGGCCTGCTGGGCGGTGGAGATGAGAATAATGTCTGCGATCTCGTGAGCTTGCGGTCTTTTTGATATGTGTGGGTGCTTACAAGCAAAGATACACAAGCCGGCGCCGGCGAGGACAATGTATCCTTGTCTTTGCAGTCTGCTTGCCGCAAAGCACCCAAGGATCCCTATGAACGCCCCAACAACCTGCGGTCCCACCGACAGATACTGGATACGCTTGGTGCTCGCATCGGGGTAGATGACTTGAAGAATGGACGTCGTGAAGATGGCGAGACCTTGCGATGACATGCAGTCTGTCCAAGTTAGATTTGGTACTACCACAAGGTACGTAGCACTCACTTGCGATATACATGTAGCAGTATGCGGCCATGTTCAGATTCAAGAAGGACATCTTTATACCTGCCCAGCTGATGGGTTCTTTCGTGTCCTCGCCTGGAGGAGCATCAGCTTGGAGGCGCATGAGAGCTAATTTGCGTTGTTCGGGTGTAAACATTCTGGTGGTAGTGGGATCACTAGGGAAGAAGATGATGAGGAAGATGGCGATGCCGATTGTAATGATGCCTTCCTACTCGAGTGATCAGTATCCGAATAGACACAGGGAGCAGTAGACATACGACCAAGAAGATCAGACTCCATCCCTTTACGTTTCCGATAGATCCGACGTCCACTAGAGCACCGCTCAGGAGACCGCCAACTTTGACCCAGGGGTCAGCATTCAGCCCGAGGTTTGATGAGCCAGCTTACAGCCTTGCGAGCATCCGATGGCCACAAGCATGAAGATTCCAAACCTCGCGGTAAGCTCATGCCGACGGTAATACTACTAGAGTCAGTTTCAATGCTCATCCATGACATACATGCGTACCCTGGACAGCACATAGCTCAGACCAGGCATGCTGAAAGCCTCCACCGCCCCGAGTAGACATCTCACAGCGTAGAATTGACCGCTGTTCTTGATCCAGGCTGTCGCCAGAGTGATCACCGCAAAGCCTAGCACACTCTCAAGAAGTCAGCATGATTCATAACCAAATCTCGGACTCACGAGATCGGTATGAGGATGAAACCCCATCGTTTGACGGCAAGCCCAGCGAAGGGCTCGCAGAATATGTAGACGACAAAGTAGACACAGGCACCGGTATTAAAGTCGTAGGTGCCGAGTCCGAGAGAGGCGACCATGCCTGCTGCTTTGGCATTGGCGATGTTCGCCCGGTCAAGATAAGACACCCAGTAGACAAGGATGGCTTTCGTGTGACCATTAGCGCATGAAGAAGACGGACATAGGGTCGGCCACGCACCAAGGGGCAAGATCGTCAGATCAATTTTCCACACGAGCTCCTTTTCTGCGGCGGGGTCGATGTAAAGGTCCTCTACACTCTCTGACCTGGTCGTAGATACAGTGTCATTTGCATCTGGGACCCCCTTCTCCTCGTCGACCAGAGTGCCGGAGTGCGAGCTCATACCGGATAAACTTTGTGGCTTGCTGAGCGGGCCTTTTCGAGTCGGAAGTCCGGGCAAGGAAGCCGGTTAAAAGTGGGATAGAGTTTTGACGGGAGTGGGGAGAAGTAACGATCAGAGAAGATGGGCTGTTTCTTATATAGTTACCACCAAGTCTCACATAGCCGGCAATAAAACGAACGACCTCCACCGGACTCTTCGGTGGATCATTCCCGCCAAATTCGGCCAAAGTATCATCACGAACCACTAACATCCTTGCAAGCTCTTTCTTCTACCAGTATTGCACGTTAGTCCGAAGGGCGTACTTTTGGTTCATACACAATGCTGCATCACTGGGCCTGCATCATCTGGGTGGATGCACCACGTTTGTGCTCTTGTCGTCGAGTCAACTGAAGAAGCCATCAAACAATCTCAGATCGGCGTACCGAGGGACCAGCACTTTTCCCTACGTATCTCCACACTGACACGAGGGCCATGAGACGCGACGGCACCTGCTCCTGCTGCTGCTTTACAAGGGGATATGATGCATGTCTGTGTATACAGCTCCGCGTGGCACCTCTCACCCTGGCAGCAGCAGCGAGGAGCAACGTATTGGCCCCACCTGTCGCTGGCTCGACGACACAACCCACGTGATCCGCTGACGGTACTTCACTTCAAGGGCCTTTCTTGTGTACTCTCAACCTTATGCCTTTTTCCGTCGCATCCACGACAGTTGCCATGACATATCTGCATAATTAACATATGCATACTTGCAAAACCCTCCTAGATACCAGCGAGCTCTTTTACGCCGAGTCGACCCACTCGATGTGACCTGCAATAGCGACAGTAGAGGGAAGCTTGCCAGGGCTCGGGGAGAGGACTGTATACTTTTTCTTCACAGTGTCAATAGCAGTACTGTGAATCGCATCAGTTGAGGAAAGACAGGAAGACGTCGTATCAACTTACATGACGATGAACCCCAAAACCTCCCTCGTCCCAATCTCTTCCTTGTACGGCACTTCATCATCCTCATCCTCCCGCTCTTCCTCCTTCACCTCTCCTTCCGCCCCCTCAGCCCCCTCGCCATCGTGCTCTTCTTTCTCCTCCTTCATCTCTTCCGGATTCAACCAGTCCTCCTTCTTGACCTGGACCAGCGCCAGGACGGTATTCAAAAGCCTCACCACATGCCCCGGACCGCTCGGGTCAACTTTGACAAGTCTCGTCGGCGAAACAACCTTCGAAGACCCCAGAGGCAGCGCACTAGAAGGCGCCGTATTCTCCTCCCCAACCCTCAGCACAGAAAGCCGGTACCACGGAATCTGGAACGAATACGGCGTCAACTCGCTATCCAGCCCGACCATCTTGCCCACCAAGCTCGAGATCTGCGGCGGCAACGGCGGTTCGCCGTAAAAGTACGTCCTTACGATGAAGCTATGCGCGAGAGAGCGGTAGGCGTCGTCGAGGTCGACAGCGCCGTCGGATTTGGGGAGACGGATGACGGTGGTGCCCCGGGCTTGGAGGAGGGGGAGACGAGAGATGCCGATTTGGAGCTTTTCGTTGCCGATGATGAGGATGGTGTCAATATCGAGGACTTGGACGGCGTCGGTGACGAGAGAGTATGGAGGGGTGTGGTCGTCTTTCTTCTTGCTCAGAGAGGGGACGGTAAAGGCGCTGGAAGTGTCGACGAAGAGGCCCGAGACGGCGGCTATGATATCCACTTAGCGATAGATTGCCGACACCTATGATATACTCACCATTCTTGTCCTGTTGGCATCGCTTCTCCCAAGCATCCGCCAGATTCCGCACCAACACCTTCCAAACTTCCAGATTCTTGCTCGTAGGCTCGTTCGTCCCCAACCACCAAGCAAGCGTCTCGACATTCCCGGACAGAGTGTTTCCTGCTGTAGACGTCGAGGACGCGCCGAGAGGATGGGCGATATGGTGCGTTGGGAGAGTGTGTGAAGGGGTGGACAGAGAGATACTGCCCGGAATCAGGTTCGGGGGCTATACGTAGATCAGCAATGTTACAACTTATCAACAAGGCTACTCACACTTGCAGGATCCAAGCCAACCACACCAGGCGTCCACCCAAGTCCACTGCCAAGCGCCATATTGACCAAATTCTTCACCACTGTCGTCTTGCCCGCATTCGCCTGCCCGATAACCATTACCCGCGGCGCTCTTCCCTGCCCGCGCTTGGCCAGTATCCGTTCTCTCTCCAAGGCCAAATGAATATTGATAAGCTGGGGCTGGTTGGTAGAGGATGATGTGTATTGGGAGGCGGGCATGTTGGCGACTTGAAGGCGGGCGGGGGAGGGGGCGTATATGGCGGCTTTGGTGTAGCGGTGGATGGGGTACCAGGTGGTGGGGTTGATCTCTTCAGAGTTGATCAGGACGGATCCTTGAGAGAGAGTCTGAGAAGGGGTTAGTATACCAGTCAGATATGGTTCTTGCACTATTCTCTTCTGACGTGCACATCGACACCGCAGAAAGGCCATAGCACGATCAGAGTGGACGTGATGCCGCGTAGCATAGCAAACCAAGCACGCTATCAATAGAGGGAAGTCCTGCCGAGTATTCCTGCGTACATTGGAACGATACTCCGACGCGTGACCTGAATACAGGCAAATGTTTAGCTACACCATCATCACCGTCGATGTCAAGACTTACGATGCGGTACCCCAGCCGACGCTTACTTCCTCATCAATTCCCCACAAACCAAAGAGATATCACGTACCCTGACAGCCATATTCTCATCCCCTTCCAACTCAAACCTCCACTCTGACCCAGCTTCCAGTTCGAGGTTTGTGAGTTCAGTGTTCTGTTCGGCCATCTTGCGATTATGCTGAGTCTAGTCGAGATGCAATGTGTGCGACACTTTATGCCTTCAGACTATGGCCTTCCCGGATGGATGAGGATGAGAACAGGGAGTTTGATGCAGGATTCGAATGCGCAGGACGGATTCGAGATGGGTTTTGAATGTCAGAGGTCCTGCAGTAATTTGGTTCCGCCGTACGCTGGCGGCATGCGCCGGTTCAATTTGGATCAACGGTAACTTGACGGTAACCTTCTTCCCGTCATCATTTCTCTCTACGTTGATACCCGGGCCAGGGAAGACTGAAGCCGCCCCTCTCGGCAACCAACCCCCCGTGTTTGGTCGACGAGGCCATCGGTGTCACTTGGGCCTCGCCGTCCATGACGGCACACCCAGATCGGCCATCCGTGTGTATCCCGCGGGGACACAGAGGTTCACGTCTTGGGCGCAACCTGATCATTTGTCACCCCTTTTCTCTCGTATGATGCTGTAATGCTGACACTCTGGCTAGCCGACGGGTACTACGGTATGGTTCCGATCCATCGTCCACTGGTCGTCAACGTCCATGGTACGGTTGAGTCAGAGCCCGTGAATAGGGAGTTCGTTGTCGGGGGCCGCTTGATCATCGTAAGTGCTTCGTCTGCCGCCTCAAACACTGGCCACCAGTCTGACCGTATCGTAGAAGCGCAACCTCACCCTCCCCTTCCGGTGGGCGTTCCGGCTCCCGACCCATGCTCAATGGGAGAAGATCCCGCTCCCTAGGAAGGGCCAGGAGCTGGACCTGGTCGGCAAGTTTGTCGACAGGCGTGAAGGCGGGGTGTTCGTCCTTGAGCCGTTCAGTGTGGTATTCACCGCGCGCGCGGCTCCCCAGGTGATCGCCCCATCCTCGGCGGAGTCTTCAAGCTCCCCTCGCATATCACTCCAGCGCACATGTCGGACGCTGCGCAGAAGGAGTATCACGACACCCAGGGGCGCTCAGATGGGAGAGCTGGGGTGGACCCTATGAATCCTGACGAAGCGATGATTGGGGAGACGCTGCTCAGCTTGGAATTGAGACCGTCGGTTCGCCTCCTCCGGCCGACGCGCGCTGGCTCGGCTCAAGCCCTTCTCCCCAGCTGTTCGAGGAGGAGTTTCGCCCAGACTGTAGTGACATCGTGAGCATGAATAGGTGGGGTGTTCTACGGGAGAGGGGGAAAGGAGGCCGTCATACAGCGTTTGACGGATGGGCAACAGGTGACGGAGAAAATTCTGAAGAAAGTGGCGGGGGGAGAACACCATCCGCCACTGGTTGGTCAGCCTTGGCTACCACTACAGCCTCGTGAAGAAAGGGGTGTATTGTTGATGGGCATGAACGCGAGGATGTGAGGCCGAGTTCTCCAAGTACGTCTCTCCAATATCAAACGTGCTGTGACGACGAGCTGACTCGGCGCTTTAACGCAGGTGTATGCGTCAGTATGTCGATAAAGACGGTGTTCTCGAGGTCATCGAACCTAATCTCCCTGGCCAACGCCACATCATCGCACGCTTCCACGACGAGTCCACTTTCTACGGGTACGAGATGGAGGCCAGGGCATGGTGAGTCATCCACGCAGTGCGAGGGGCGCGCAACGACAATTGCCGACTATGTCTTCTTGCAGGATCAACAAAGGCAGATTTCCCCTTCGCAAGAAGTCTCGAGGACAGGCTATCATCTCCGACTTCAAAAACAGATGTTCCAAGTCAAACGGTATCTCGACATCTGCCCTCATATCAACATCCCCGACGAGTTTGAATTCCATCACAAGATAGCTGTACGTGGTCACACATTTTGCCCCGTAGATCCGACCTTCAAATTGGTCTTACACTAGTCACTCTACCCGAGATCATCTGTCGGAGTAATTCTCGTTCATTCATCCGCTTTGCTGATGACCATCACCATTGTCCGGTTCATCAATCATGTGAGTCACCACCTTGATCACCAGTGCAACTTTCTGCTTACATATTGTATCCAACTGTAGGCCTGGAAGTACATGGACACTTATCGGAAGGGCTTAATTTTGGAGGCGGTGAGGACGAGCGGCGGGATAATGGGTGGATGTGTGAGGCTGTGCAAAGACAGATTGAGCGCATGCAAGCGCGGGGAGAGAACGTTGCACATGTGGATCCAGAGTTACCGCTTTTAGGATGATGCTCCTAAAAAATATGTACAGCTCGTCAATCATATGTAAAGCGCCTTCTTGTCTCTTCAATTGCCTTCCTCTTTGCCTCCTCTTTTGTATCGCCATCAGCCACATAATCCTTGATAATCTCCTTACGCCCCTTGATATTGGCCGTGGAGTGGTCCCTAAAAAGACCTTGTAGCTGCTCGTTCAGGTTGGCGTTGCCGCGCCTGCCCTTGCCAGAGGTTGGGGTGTCTTGGGCATTGAGGGACTCCTGTGCCCTTGATGCCTTGAAGAGAGAGCCGGCACCCCTCGCTCCATAAGTCGGCTCGTCGGCAACCCCGTGATTGCTGGTAATATCGGTAGACCGAGAATTGGCCCTTGTCTCTTGTTTCTGCTTGTGCAAGAGGTCCCTCTGGCGAACCATATGAGCCAAATAAAAAAGTGGGCACTCCGGCTGCTCTACACTCTCTTCTGACCCTTCACTATCCGAGTATTTATTGGAAAGCCGATTCCAGAAGGAGATCGCGGAGGCCGGCTGAGGCTTACGGAGAGCGGCCGCAACATCGGATCCAAGCTCGAATGGAGGGTAGGATAGTGGAATAGTACGGCACTAGCCATAAAGCCGACTATCAGTATCAATCATTGTAAGGGGCAGGGTGTCACACTTTGCAATTGACCCACCAAAGCGTCCACCTCTTGCTCGGAATCACTTTTGTAAAGTGTACGAAGCGCATCTTCTGTCTGATACTTGTGGGGTTGATGAGCATCCTGCTTTTCTGTACCAGCTATACGTATGAGGCTGTCAGTATTGACGCGGGACATTAGAGAAGCAATGGCCAATTCAAGGCATACTCACTTTGCAGCGCAGTATTACCAGCATCATGAGGCTCCTCACGTTGCTTCTCACTCCTGCCGTGCGTATGGTCGCGTGTTTCTGCTGGTTGTAGGAGGATGTTGCGGGTATGATCAGGACTTGTCTAGTCATCATGTTTCTGCTCGCGTTCGCATCGCTAGCCGCAGCAAGAGCCGTATTGACAACCGATGGAGCCTGCTCCTCTGTCATAGCTTCCTGATACTTCCGACTGTACCACATCATAGGTCAGTGTAGAAAGTGGGAGACACAAGCGACATACTCACCTATTTACTCAAGCAAGATCCCTCGCTCTCACCAATGACTCCAACTTTCTGTACATCGCCTTCCTCTCCTTTCTCTCTAGTCGTTCCGATGCCATCTCCTCCAGCTGATCTGCCCATTCGAGCCGCAGTTGCTCTTCAAGATAGCTCTTCTCTGTCGCGTCGGCGATTGCCTTCTCAGCACCCTCCAGCCTTGAGTTCACCACACCGTACTTTTTTCCAACCCATTTCACTACGTTCAAAGCAGCGTAGGAAACATGCTTCCAGCCGCCTCGAGCCCTTCCCTCGCAACCCCTCGTCGAAATGACAGTCCTCCAGCTGCTGGCCGCTGATGGACGAGTATCCGGACCATCTGATCCACTTCCCCAGATCACTCTTCACGCTGCCGAGGTCCGAACTGCGTTGCTTGCAGACTTGTTGGGATACCTATGTGTACTGATTAGCGTCGCAAAAGTGAGTTTTGGAGAAAGAGTCTCACATGCTTTGCGAAAACGTCATAGAATCGTTCTTCCTCAGTTGACTGAGGGAAGTTGCCAGACTCGGCATGATACACATGCTGTGGGCCGATTGTGACGCAAATCGCAAGGACGCATTGATACAAGAAGGGAATCTTCCTGCAAATGTCGTCGAACACGTTCACCCAATACAGCACATCGCGGTGGCTGTATGGCCTATCATGCTGCTATAGCATCACATTACGGGGATCGATTCACGTACTTACAAGCTGTACTCCTCGACGAGATTGCGCCCGCGAGGGGCGGAATTTGGCACAAAACTTTACCCTCCTGGCTGCCAGAGTTTGGCTGCTTGAGTTGGATGTTCTTGATCACTAGACAAGTCCTGATCATACCCGCAACATCCTCCTGCAACGAGCAGAAATGCGCGACCATACGCACGGCAGGAGTGAGCCTTTTGTACGTTGCGTTGGTGCCAAGTTTTGCTTGCCTATTGACGACATCAGCGTGTTTACGGGGTGTTGTTATCATCATCAGATCCTTACCCATCCTTCTGTTGAGCGAGATTGATAACTCTGGCACCGCTGAGTCTTACAATATCTATGTATTTAGCAAGACGAGGAGGCCACGTTGATTTACTCACATCCTGGACAGTTTGGGGACGCATGTCAGAGTACGAGCCGGCGCGACCAGCGCCAGTCAGAACCCGGTCCCCTGGATAGCGGTGTCTGGAGTTACTGAGCACTGTTGGAGCTTGAAAGACCGGAAAGAAAACACTGAAGCGAATAGACTACCGCCTGTCTGCGAGTGCCGGCGCGATCGAGCCGACCATCTGCTCCCGCCCTCGCATGTTCGCGTCATGTTCCAATCATGTTCAGTTTGCCCCGCGGATTCACTAAGAGTACTATCCATGAACACTCCACGCCAGCATCTCGGCTGCCCTCATATAAAGTATAGTATGCACGGCAAACAAGCGACACTCGTCTCCTCGAATACCCTCCATATGTATGCCCACGAGAAGGCTGCCGAACGCGCAACCGACGGGCAGACGGCCTCCACTTCGACCCTGCTTCGGTCAGGTTCCATAAATTACTTTTGTCAACAAGCTATTGCATCGACTAACGACTTCTACGACTTCTGACGATGCCTGCTATCAAACCGGGATCTCTCGTTCTGGTCACAGGCGCGAGTGGTTACATCGCCGCGTGAGTCCTTTGCCCGGCCACTTCTGTCGTCAATCCTGACTTGATCCACAGGCATACTGTAGACACACTCTTGAAAAGGGGGTTCAACGTCAGAGGGACTGTTCGGAGTCAATCCAAGGGAGGATACCTCGCCAACCTTTTCAAGAATGCCAAAGCCAACTTTGAGTATGCCATTGTCGGCGACATCGCCGAGGTCTGTCTTTTGTCTTTGTTTACATTGGCCGAGATCTGACATCTTGGGTAGAAAGGGGCGTTTAATGAAGTCGTTAGAGGAGTAGATGCCGTGGCTCATATGGCTAGGTTCGTCGACATACACCAAGGCGACTGTGTAGCTGACAGTCCGCTGGTAGTCCTTGTCACTATAACGCTGTTGATCCTGCCGAAATGCTTGGGCCCGCCAAGAGTGGTACTTTGGGTGTTCTAGAGAGTCTCAAGAGATACAAGTAAGTGTCAATATGCCTGTAAGCGAATTATGGAGCTTACCACCAGGTGCAGCCCTGACTGCAAACGTGTCGTCGTCACAAGGTGCGTCTCTCGTCCAGACCAATGATCCAAGCTGACTAGGATATTCAGCTCAGTCGGCGCTATAATCAACACGGATCTTCTCCAGCAGAAACCTCACAAGTAAGTCATATCCGTCTTTGGGCCATTTCATTCACTGACTTGATGTGGTAGATTCACGGAGGCCGACTGGAACCCCGTGAGTTTGAGAGTATGCGAAGAGAAGGGCCGAGATGCCGATGGTGCCAACATGTATCGAGGTAAGTGGACCACTACACAATGACGTGTCATACTAATTCTGATCAGCCAGCAAGACTCTTGCAGAGCAGTCTTTCTGGAAATGGATCGAGGATGAAAAACCATCGTTCGACGGTGTCGCCATTAACCCTTCAAGAGTACTCGGACCCATCATCCAAGAATGTGCTTCACCCGAGTCTTTGAACGCCTCCGTCGGTACGTCGTCTGCCCCTTAATGACACCATGCCACCTACTGACTGTACTATAGGGTACTTTTATGACTGGATGATTGGCAAAAAGACACAGGACGACCTTCCTGATCCTGGTGGAAACTATGTAGACGTCCGTGACTGTATGTCTCCCATACGCTCACTTCCGCTTTCCCGCGAGCTGACTGTTGACGACTTTTCAGGTGCTATGGGACATGTGAGAGCTCTAGAGGTTGAAGAAGCTGCGGGCCAACGGTTCATCACTGGTAACAACTCGTATAGCGGGAACGACTTTGCCCTCGTGAGTATACCTGACGCTGCTTCCATCTCCTGCAGAAGCTGACTCCCCAAAAGTCTATTGCCAGAGCATACTTCGACCTCCCCAATGTGCCCAGAGGCAATCCAGACCCAGCATACAACCAAAAACTGCGAGACGACTACAATTTCTTTGACGGGTCGAAAGCTACTAGGGTGTTGGGTTTGCAGTATAGGTCGAGAGATGAGACGCTTGGGGAAATGGCGAGGAGTTTGAGGGAGAGGTTTGATGCCTTGTAGATATGTAGACGGTTAGATGACTAGATGTAATTGGGAGGTGTCGGTGTGTGGTGTTCATGTATATATCATACGTTACGCGCCTCACATGGTTCTGCCCGGCGATGATGATTGACACTCCGGACGCTAGTACCAGCCGGCATTTGGCTTGTCACTTTAGTAATTGCACAGCACAGCTTATTACATATGCGAGGCCGGCATATCGCATATCTTTGTCATCAGCCGCCTGTAACCCCAAACTCCTGCTAGTGAGGGGCGGCTTCAGTCTTCCCTGGCCCGGGTACGCCAACGTCAGAACGAGACTGTCCCACGCAAAACGCGTCGCGTGGGTCGGACTGCCTCCACCTTGCCTCCACCTTGCTCGACCGTACATAAGAGATGCGGATGGAATCTATCGAGTCCAACAACGAAGTATCTTCACATATCTTACAATGCCCGCTGTCAAAACCGGATCTCTCGTTCTTGTTACCGGAGCTAGTGGCTACATCGCCGCGTGAGTGCTCCTTCTACTATGACGAGTCACGGACCGCGCAGCGCCTAGGAGAGGTGCTGACAGAACTCTAGGCATACCGTGGACGTACTTTTGCAGAGAGGCTTCAACGTCAGAGGTACTGTACGAAGTCAGTCCAAGGGCGAATACCTCTCCAATCTCTTCAAGAATGCCCCAGCCAAGTTTGAGTACGCTATCGTCCGTGACATCGCCCAGGTGAGTTCTGACCTCGCCCTGCCTTCCACCCATTGGATCTAACACTCGATTTAGGATGGAGCTTTCGACGATGCAGTGAAGGGTGTCGATGCTGTGGCCCACATGGCTAGGTTTGTCCCTCACCATCGCATATGACATCGCATGGATTAGAGAAGCTGACGGAGATGGCCGGTAGTCCTTATCACTTTGACGCTGTCGAGCCTGCCGAGCTGTTTGAGCCAGCCGAGAAGGGTACTCTGGGGGTACTGAAGAGTCTCAAAAAGTTCAAGTGAGCGTACATAGATCTGAAAAGTGTGGGGAGCTGACCGGCAGGGGTAGTCCGGGCTGTAAGCGGGTCGTTGTTACTAGGTTGGTCCTTGCCTCTCACACGCTTGGAAGGTGGACCTGGCTAACTTGTATGGTAGCTCTGTCGCCGCCGTCGTCAATTCGGATCTCCCCCAGCCTCACACGTATGCCTTCCATCCATGTACCGGATCTGATTGCTGAGGGTACTTGCAGATTCACGGAAGCCGACTGGAACCCTGTCAGCTTGAAAGTCTGCGCGGAGAAGGGCCGAGATGCGGATGGCGTCAACAAATACCGCGGTAAGCTTGACCCTCACCATGAAAGTCACTTTACTGACTTTGACCTTTAGGAAGTAAGACTTTGGCAGAGAAGGCTTTCTGGAAGTTCTTTGAGGATGAGAAACCTTCCTTCGATGGTGTCGCCATCAACCCTCCCCTTGTCCTTGGACCTATCATACACGAGTGTGCTACCCCAGAGTCACTCAACACTTCCGTCGGTGCGTGTTAAACTTTTGCTGTGGTTGCGGCAGTAGGGCTAAGACTAGCACAGCAAACTTTTACGACTGGATGATTGGAAAGAAGACGCAGGATGACCTCCCCGCTCCTGGTGGGAACTACGTGGATGTCCGAGACTGCAAGTCTCATCTTTATCATCTGATCCGATAAACTTGAAGCTAACTTGTCACCAGGTGCTATTGGACATGTACAAGCGCTCGTCGTGGAAGAGGCGGCCGGCGAGCGCTTCATCACCGGAAACGGCGCGTACAACGGCAATGACTTTGTCTTGGTGAGCACCCTTCTTATTGATCATACCAGATCGTCGCTGATACCCCCTCAGTCTATTGCCAAGGCCTATCCGGACATCAAGGGCGTTCCCAAAGGCAACCCGGACCCTGCGTACAGGCAGAAGCTGAGAGATGACTACAACTACTTTGACGGATCCAAAGCTACAAAGGTTTTGGGAGTCCAGTACAGGCCCCAAGATGAGACTTTCATGGATATGGCAAAGAGCTTGAGGGAACGGTTTGGGTCATGATGATTGTTCTGACAGCATTGACAAAGTAGCTACGTAAGTCATGAATCACCGATAATACACCTTGAGAGTAACATCCCAAACTACGCTTCAAAAGTGAACAATACTTTCAACCCGTTATGTGCAGAAATACCCTGCTTCATCCAGCCTTGCACGTAGTCATTATCAACGACAAATTCTACTTGCTCGATGAGCTCTCCAACTTTTGTCTTGGCAGTACACCGCTCCCACTCCCTTCTTGCGTACTGCTTGGCAATGCGTGCAGAGGCATGTTCAAATGACCCCTTTGTGCCCGTCTTGCCCTTTCTCCCCTTCTGGTCGTAGTCGGCTTTGCTCTTCCTCCCCATCTTACCATTTGCGCTATGCAAAGGCGGGCCAATACGGATACGCAAGAGCTTGGCCCCTGACCAGCAAATCGGCAGCTTGCCGGAAGTGACCGATAGCGCCTTCAAGATGCTCGACCCCGCAGCACCTTCCAGAGTGATTACTGGAGCGCGAAGAGCTTCTGCAAAGCACAAGAGTTCTTGAATACTCTCCTCGATAGCCAGGGGGTGGTCTGAAGGGTCCAACACCCCGACGACTTGTTCTAGATTGCCACTGAATTGGCAAGAGAGCAATGTCTGGAAGAATCCCCTCATGGGATGCCGAGTGTCGATGTAGAAGGACGCGTGGAGTACGAGCTCGTGGAGGACGAGAACTTTGACGCCGGAGAAGGTACCGTCCAAAGACTGAACCTGGTGATCTCGAGGGAAAAGTGGGTTGTGCTCGGGTGTGTGTATGGCACGGACAACTCTGTGGTCATGGATATGCAGGACGCGGGTGTGCGACAAAGCGGCCCTCATTCGCTTGTGCCCATCACCGAATCCTGAGACCACCAGTAGAAGCTGGAGTGTGAGGTCCATCTCGTGGTAGAGGGAAGGGATAGTGAGGTCGTAGCAATACTGGGAGAGGGTGAGGAACTTGATTGGGCACAGGGCGCAGAGTTCTCGCAATATAATATGGTGGACGGGGAAGAGGCGAGTGGTGAATAGTGGTATCGGTCTTTCACCACAGTCCCCCTTCAGAGAGAGTGAGTGATAGAGCGTTGACTGCAAGGAAACAAGCTCACCGTCGACAGGCTCCTCGAGCCCAGCAGATCCTCGTCGTCTATTCCTTTCTTCATCGTCGTACAATGTGTCTATGCGTACTGGTATGCGTACTGGGACAGTGTGGAGCGAGTTGTGGTGAATGCTATGATCAAATCGTCAGAGATGAGATGGATATCACATAATGTCTCGAGTTCTAAATGTCGACTGCTGGACTCTGACCGACTCGACTGTTCGTTTCACTTCGGTATCCCGAGTGGCTTGCGGAACCTAAATAGGAGTGCCACATCAGATGGCGCGCAATATCTCATCTCAGATCGCATCTTCTTTCTTGCTTTGACGCTGGATGTGGATCCATAACTGAACTAAGGGCAGACCGAGTATAGCCGACTCGCAACAGACGCTTCACATGTGCAAAAAGCGTTCAGTGACCGCCCCCACCCAAAGCTTGCCTGGCCTAAACACTCCTCAATCGTCTAGCTTTAGGCTGTGAAAGGGTGTACAGGCAGGCATACTAGAAGTTGCATATTCGTCGCGAATGTCCATACTTCAACTATGTATACTCTATCTAGCACCGCATCATCAGAACATACAGTTTTACAAAGATCACAGATCCCTAATCAAACGCAGAAAAAAAAACCCTGTCCTGAGAAAACCAGAACTATACTTTATGTACCCCCCCCCCTTCTTCCCTCTTTATCTATACGAGCTCTTCTCATTCCCACTCGGCGCGGCGGCACTCGTATAGTTTCCAGCCGAATAACTCGGCGGCCTATTATCCGACCCACTAACATCCATCAACTCATCCCCATACCCCCCGCCGCCGGACCCACTCGCCCCGAGCCCCAAACTACGTCTCTGATCCACCGGACTCTGCGGCTCAGCCAACAAACTCGCCGTATTCTGCCCCACCAAATGCTGAGGACGCGGTTCCTGTATCGGCGCCGTTATCGCCTGCCCCGTATAATCTCGCTCATGCCTGCCGGCACTGCTGGTCGTAGCCGCCACCCCGATCGCACCCAGCCCGTCGTCATACGCATCGTAAGGGTCCGCATGCACGACGCGGGGTCCGGGGTCGTAGGACTCGGACGAGCCGGTGGTGTTGTACCCGTACGGGTTTGTGCTCGAGCCGGAAGGTTGGGCGATGGGCATAGCTTGGGGTGGGGAGCGGGTGGCGGTGGGGGTTGGGATGGGCATGGCGGTGGGGGCGGCGGTGTAGTTGTTGGAAGGGGAGGCGACGTAGGGGTCGTTGTAGGTTGTTTGGGTGTAGGGGTCGTATGAACCTGATCTTTGGGTAGCGTATGGGTCGGCGTAATCTGTACAGATGTCAACTTGATTCTTGTATCTTATGGATGGTAGGACATACTAGTACCATACTGATTCGGCTCAGCATAATTAGACCCATACTGCCCCTGCGCCGGCTGCTCATTGTAGTAATTCTGCTGTCCACCATACCCGCCAGCAGGGGTCCGCGAAGGAAGAGGCGGCACAGGCGGCGAGCTGTCCACCCCCCCTCCTCCAGCCCCAACACCCACAAAATCCCCCGCCGACGTCGCATCCGACAACCTCCTCGCCACCGGCGGCGGCGCCTGGATATTCTGATACCCCCTCGGCTGGCCCCACCCGCCATACCCATTCCCGCCCGCCATCGCATAATCATTCGCTGGCGTGCGGTTGTTTCGCCTTCCATACCCTACTCCGACACCCGAGACCATACTGGCGTTTCTGCCGAGGCCGCCGCCGTCGCGGTTCTGCACGGGGAGAGCGTTGTGCTGGATGAGGTATTGTTCTTCCGAGTCGTCTTTGAGAGGCGTAATCTCTTGGAATCCGGGGAGACCTTGTTCTTGCTGTTGCTTCCTCGCTCGCTCGCTGTCGATAGCCATCATCCGCATCTTGTAGTCCTCTTCCGCCCTATCATCCATACTATCCTTCCTCCTCCTATTCGTATCCCTGCTCTCATCCCTACAGCTCCCACAGCAATTCCCAATCCCAAAGAAACACCCGCTCAGCGCCAAGATGACCCACGCCGCCAATGTGATCCATACCGACTTGCCTATCGTCGCCGACGCGCCATCCACCTTGTTGATCCGCGCCTTGGCTATATAAAACATGGCGAGGTCGAATATGAGCGCGATAAAGGTGATGGTGGAGGCGATACCGGCGAGCCAGATGGAGAGGCATATAAGGGGGAAGGTGGGCGAGTGGGCGAGGATGGCGACGATCATGGCGATGGCGGAGAAGCCGAGGGCGACGACGTGTAGGATGAGGACGTAGGTGAGGTATTTGGTGATGGCTTCGGGAATGTCGAAGGAGGATACGCCGAATACATCATTGGGGTCTACCACATGTCAGCCTTGCGCCAAGACCCAGACCGTGTAGGGGTGCTTACCGAATTCGTATCCAACCTGTGGCCCGGTACAGTTTTGTGCCCCGCTGAGGGTATGGCAGAACCCAAGCGTCCCGAGTGATAGCTCGCCGCTGTAGGACCCAGAGGTATAGGTCGCGGAGAGGAAGTCGAGGGACTTGATCATGGGCGTGTTGAAGGAGACGATGGCGAGGAGGACGGTGGATGCGGCGCACAGGATGGTGCCGGGGGTGGCATTGCGGAAGCGGAGACCCATCGTCTGGGGACGTGAGTCTGCAGCTCTCCTACCTCAGAGAGGGAGCTTACGAGGTGTTTTTACGTGTTTGTATATCTGTTAATGGTATGCACAAGAGCGTCAAGCTCTGTGAAGGGGTGGATGGTGTAGTCAAGGAAAGCGGCACGAGGAGATGCAGCAGGCGGGACGGGCGGGGGTCGTGCTCAGAGACAGTCCGTTGTGAGGTGCGTCCTTTGTCGTGGCGGGCAGGGGATGGCGAGGGGGGTGTTGGATGTTGCGGTGGATGGAATCTATGGATGCACCTGAGAAAGCGTTGAGAAAGCGGCGAACGGTGAATTCAGCTCAACAAGACGCGTTCAGGCACAGAAACACCGCATTCTTCAGACTTCTTGGGTCCGCTGTTGTTCTTTCACCAGATCAGCCACGCCGCTTCAAGCGAGCGCATCATGCATATCTCTACTAGCGTATGCTCCTTTACCGACTGGCCATGTGAGAAGAGCATAGCATTCAGCGCTCTCGAGATCCCAAATACATATATCCATCTCGGAATCTAGGATCTCTTCGTTTGGCGACCCTGATCAATGCCCATTACCGCCAGTCAACCCCGCACAGTACTCGTACCGTAAACCATGACGCATAAGCAATGCTAGTATACATACGTTTCCACCTTGTCAAGGTATCACAGAAAAGTAAATACTCGATGAACTGTCCTTGCCTCTTCCAAACCACTAGACACCATCGGCAGCGAGCTCGAACGGACAAGTCACATCCGAAATCTCCACCGTCGTCGAAGTCTTCTTGACAAGCCCCACGATAGACATCTCGAGTACGAGACGGAATTTGAGGTCGGGACGCGTTGTGCCCGTCCAGATATGCGCGCAGGCATTGTACATGTCGTTCCCTACAGCCCATCGGCCACTCGTCCTTTATACCGAAAGGGGGGACTCACAAGTAGTATCCGAAGTGTTGATAGCGCTATACGAAAAGTCAATAGGCAACAACACCGCCTGCTGCTCTTTATGCGCCATCACATGGTTTCCCCAATCCCCCGTCGCAATCTTCTTGCTCGTCACATGGTCATACACCGTAGCTTCCAGATGCGTGAAATGCACCGGGACATAGGAGGAGGAAGCGTCGCCATAGAGGTTGAGGTTGCCAGAGAATGAATAGTTTGTGGGGGAACGGTTAAAGTTGATGGTCTCGTTGCGCACGCTGAAGGGGTCCTCGCCGTAGAATGTAAAGGTCGGTGCGCGGGGGATGAGAAAGTAGAGAGTCACTCCGAGCCTATTACATCTATCAGTATATTAGTAGCGTAAGGTAGAGACTGCACTCACGCGGCGAGCAAGACAAAGACGATCACAACCACCACCTTCCTAGACAACCATCTCACCCCGCATAACCCTCTCTGATCCCGATTCCACTCTCTCCACGCTCTCATCCGCTTTTCTCCCTGGATCTCTTTCTGTCCACGACGAGACATATCATGCAGTTCGCCCTTTCTCCACCTACCCATCTTCATTCAGTGGCTTGTTAGGCAGACATCGTGGGAAGGGGACGTACTCGGGGCCAAGGACGGGCACGGATACGAGCTCTTCCCTCGACGCGAGCGACTTGTCTTGTGAAGCATACTCCCCCGACGGCGAATGACCCCTCACAGGCATATAGCTACTACCCGAACCATCAGCTCGGTTTCTCTATCACGCAAAATGGCGGACAAGCCTTACCTTCGATCACCAACCACGCCCACACCCATTACACTCCCCCTCACACTCCCCCTCCCTGTCTCCCCTTCCAACCCAGGACTCTTCAGCCCCCCTCCCCCTCCTCCTCCTCCGGCGCTCCATTTGGGACCTTTGACGTCGAAATCCGCGCGCACGTCGTCGAACGGCTCGTCGTGTTCCTCATCAGGGCTGTACGGTCCTCGGTACTTGTAATCGTCGTCGTGGAGGGGTGTCTGCTGTGGGGGGTAGTGCTGCGATTGGCGGTATACGTTGTACGACATGCTGAATGATTCGTTATGCTGCTTATGGTTCAGTAAAAAGGAAGTGTTGTTGTGGGATTGTTGGTTAGTAGGGGTCTCTGTAGGGCGGCAAGCGGGGGCTGTGTCGAAAGGGATCCGTGCGGAGGACGCGTGAGGCAGATCCCCTTTGTGCCCCCCCCCTGTTCGTTGCCTTCGGTAAAGGTTCGCCTTTGGGCCTTTGGTGTCGGGGGAATTAGCTGTGGGGTTTGGCGTATGCATGTTGAAAAGGGAGGAGGGTGATTTGAGGATGATGGAGGGAGAGAGGTGTATGGGAAATGAGTGGGGGCTGGACGCGTTTGATTTTTCTCTTTGGTGCCTCTGCTGTCTGCTACCCCCTCTCGAGTATCGCGTCTTTGGAAATGTACTGCGCGCATGTATGAAAGAGAGCACTTTGCATCAACTCTCTCAAAAGTACGTCTGACCTCTACCATACGTTTCTTGTAAAAATATGTAGTACAAAACTATACATATATACTCCCCCAGGCTGAGTGGCTCAATCATCCTCCTTCCTTCTCATTAAACGTCGTCAAAAGTACAAGTATTGCACCCCAGAAATCTTCTTCAACATGCTTGGCACTAGGTAACTAGGACCGAACGACCTTTCGGACTGTCGGACTTTTAAGATCAGAGGATACCGGGGGGAGTTCGTCATGTTGAGCTGGTCGAGCGGTACGGGCATGTCATGGCATGACAGGTCGAGCCTTGAGTGGAACGCTCTGTAGACGAGTGGTGTCAGCTTTAGGACATTCGTGAAGAGAGTATTGACTGACCGAAGGGGACGCCATCTGAGGTCCAGTCAAATGTGACAAGCTTTTGAGCGATATCAAGATCCAGGTCTTCCATATCGAGACTGGACGATCGTTTCGACTTTCTGCTTTTTATCGCGCGATACACGCAGCGTGATGATTGGCCGCAGGGAGAGCTAGTGGTTGTCTTATGCACACCGTACTGTATCTGGTAAGCTTTCATTCTCGAGATCACATCCAAGATAGACTCACGAGCAAGCCACAAGCATAACGACACCAACCCTCAAATAACACTACTACTCTTCCTCCCCTGCTGCCTTCCCCTCCTCCCATACCCAACCGCAACCTCCTTCCACCGATCCCTCTCCAGCAACCCCCACTCCCCATCTTGCCACTCCCTCATCCCCCTCCGGCTCGCCTCCCTTACTTCCTCATCTTCCATCCTCCTCACCCGCACCCCAGGCCCACGGCCAAACATCCGCGCAAAAGTGAACGACGGTACTTGGCCAGCTTCTTCGAGAGCCCAGATCGTTTCTTGTAACGTATCCTGTGTGAGAGCCGGGGGGATTGGTTTGGTTGGGATTTGGGATGGTAGAGGCGCTGGTGTGGGCGGAGCAGGTGGGGAAGGGGTAGAGAGGATAAGGCTGGAAGTCCGGGAACCGTAATCATTTAACGTGCCCCTCCACGTCTCCCACCACCGATCAATCTGCCTCCCCAAATCCCGAAACACAAACCCCGGCAACTCGTCTCTATACGCATCCAACACCCTCTGCGACGAGAGCGCATGGATGTGGAGTACTTCGCGTAAGAGGAGGAGGGTGGAGAGCAGGGATAAGAGTTCGGCGAGGGATGGGAGTGGAGGGAGAGAGTGGGGTGGGGTGAGGGGCATGGGGAGCGAGGGGTGGCGGTGGCGTTGGGTGATAGCAGTCGGGGATGCGGTCCGGGGGAAGCTTTGGGAGGACGGACGGCGGTTCTTGTGGGATAGAGGAGAGAGGGGCACGCGCGGGGTACGGCTCGAAGGTGGGGTTGGGGGTACGCCGCTTGCGTTACCAGGTATCTCGCTCGGAGTCGCTTGGCACCACCATGTACCCGCTGAAGGCATCTTGGGCGTCTGCGACTGTTTGGGCGTTGGCTTGTTGGCGCCGGGGCTGAAGGGATGACCGGCGGGGATGGGCGGGTCTTCTTCGCTCTGCCGGCGTTCAAACAAGCCGACATAAGGCGTAGGCGGGTAAGGGAAGGAAGAGAGGTAGTTGTCCATTGCGCTCTCTCCAGATCCCGACTCTTTTCTCGCTGGCCCGACGTGATCGTTGCTCGAGCCCGACTGCTCTGCCGAGCCTGAATCACGGTTGCCTCCCGAGGTCGTATTGAGAAAAGACGAGAAGGATGGGAATGATAGAGGTCGAGGGGAACCGAATGTCGAGCTGACTCGTCTTTGAGCATGAGGCGAAGGCGGCCATGGTATCGTCGACCGCCTCTTCTCTTTCAGCGCCTCTTCCGCTCGGACAGTCACCGGCTTTGGCCCCGGGACTTCTGCAGGCGAAGGCACCACCTCCCACTCTAGATCCTCCTTCAACCCCACTTTCACCAACAACCCGGAGCCTATCCGCTTCATCTTTCGAAACCTCGTTGGCTTGTCTTCATCGTCGTCCGGCGGGGTGGGAGGCGGTTTGAGTAGAGGAAGGGAGTGGGACGTGCGGAGAGGAGGATTAGGGAGGAGGATTTCGGCGAGGCGGGGTTTTGCTGCTGGTTTCGGTCTTGGGCGAGAGGGCAGGATGGGCGGAAAGTAGGTATTGGCGAGCGGGTGAGGTGCAGGCGGTTCAGGAAGCGGTATGAGAGGCATGGCACTCGTCGACGCCCGACCCGGAAAAGGATCTATATAACCCGAAGAGCGTCTGCTGGGGTCTAGCTCAGAGTCGCTCTTTGTACGGTGCGGGAACGGTGGTTGAAGAGCGTGAGGGTGAAACACCCAGTCGAGCTGAGAGTCCATGATATAAGGAGGATAATTGCTAGACGGCTTTTAGGTAACAGGCGTGGACCTCGTGCTGGTAATAACGGCATAGATATGCTAAGCCGGGAATGACCAAATAATGCTCGATCGGGTGTTTGATCGTGGCTCTTCGGGGGATACAGCTTGTGCTGATGCTCGGTTCGGTCAGAGGCCGGGTGGTACACTACCAGGCGGGGGATGGGCGAGGGGCAAGGAACAGCAGCGCGAGGAGGTTTCTGCAAGAGGAGATGGGCGGGGGCGAGAGCGAGAGAGCGGGAGAGCAGCGTGTCGTAAGTGAGGGATACGAACAACCCGCTCTGCGCACAGGCCGTCAGTTCTGGAGGACAACGAGAGGCGGGAGGTGAAACAAAGGAGAGCTTACGGTAACGGCCCCAAAAATCAGTCGCGCAGGACGACCTGAAGACCTGGGCTAAAAGAGAGCGAGAAGCTGCAAACAAACACAGAGACCAGGAGTTGCGCTGCCCTTTGACAATTGTTTTTGTGCATGCGAAGTGATCGCTGTGCTGTGGGGGGTCAGGGATAGGGATGGACGGTGCTTGTCAAGGCTGGTGCAGATGGTCCGAAGTGCTAAGCCCAGGGGGGGCCCATTTTAGGCCAGGTCGCTCAATTACCTACTCCTGCATCCCCGCGCAGACCTTGCATGCTACCAGACTTGAGTAGCACTCTCCCCTGCCCTGGCCCAGCCCCCCCTCGCCCTTCCCCCATCTTCCCCTTCTTCTTGTACATCCCATGACTTTCGCGTCGCTGATATACCTCGTTGGACGCGTTTCCCGCAGACTTTTTGCCGTGCCCCGCGGCCCATGCGTTCGTCGCCGCATCCGGTAAGAAACTGCGAGGTACCAGGATCTGGTTCCGCACCGATCACTTTTCAACTTCATGTGTGGTTCCAGTTTTGTTCCAGTTTCACCTTTTCATGTGTACGACAACACCCCACATCATCAACAAGATCCGTCAGAGACATTCTTTAACGATATCTGCGAGCAATCACCGTTCATGCAACCGCCATTCCCGCCCCCGTCGCTTTTGTACGAGGCCAGCTTCCGCTTTTGCAGATGGTGTCGAAGAGACAAGACTCACTGGGCTAGCTTTGTTACTGACACCGGAAACGATACCCAAAAGCGCTACTTGGAAAGGTCGGCAGCTCTGCTCCCTCTGTAGGCTCAAAGCACACGTCAATAAAGATGGTCGATTGAAAGCGCGAACGACCCATGCTCTGCTATGTCTAAAGGCCGGCTCAAGGACGACGGCAAGACGTCAATGTCGATCTCATTATGTCTCTTTGCATCAAGATCTGCGATGACTAGATTGGATACCGGCTATACCGAGATACTGCAGCGGTATCGGAACGGTGAGTAATCGTATGGCACCGGCACGACTCACAGTCTGCGGGATCTGCAGCTTATAGAAAGCAGACGGCAGGCCCAACAGTGTGGCCGGCACTGTGACACCTTCGGCCCGACGTCCTTCGACTTTAGGTCTCTCTCCGACTTGCGACTCTTTGCTTCTTCTCCAGCCGGTCTCTCGCTCCCAAGGGTTTCCGATGTCAGTCGGGACCTTGAATGTGATATGCACGGGACGAGCTCGAGTTGAGGGAGGGTACAGCGGGTGGTCGCCACGCCGTTAAAAGGTTCCATCAGCTTGCTAGCACAATCTCACAATCGACGTTGAATTGCATTAGGGCCATATATATACTACACGAAAGGAGAATCATTTACTGTGCCAACGCCAATCCACCACCCATCACGTATTATCAGAAAAAATCAAATCAATCTGAACGAAAGACGACACTCAGTCCTTGCTCTTCTTCTTCTTCTGTTGTGAGAGTCAGCCATGGACTTTGAACGCCAAAGGATACAGAATATGATGCGTTCAGATCCTTGACACCGAGAAATGGCACTTACAGAAGCTTCGTCTTCCTTGTTCTTCCTCTTCTTCTCCTTCTTGTCGGTAGCGGTAGCAGACGCAAGAGTGGTAGGCGCAGGCGCAACAGACTGTATACAATATAAGTTATCGCCGCGTGCAGAGACACGAAAAGACTCACCTCCTCAGAACTAGAGTCAGACTCAGAGTCGGAGGAAAAGTCTTCCTCGGCGGCGACGGGAGGGGGGGCAGGGAAATCCTTCTTGCTAGTGTAGGCTTCCTCTTCCGCACGGAAGGTGGAGTGAGCATTCTGGTATGCATCCTCGTACACCTACACTCATCAGCACGTGCACCCTTCGAACCATACAAAGACTCACCTTCTTCTGGTCATCCGCCAAATCCTTCCACTTGGCAGAGATGATATGCAAGATCTCCTTGTACGCGATGTTGGGGTTTGACCTCCTAATCTCATCTCTCACATCATTTTGGAACAAGATGTAGGCACTGGGGGGTCGTTTGGGCGCGTTGGGGTCCTTGATCTTCTTCTCCTTCTTCTTGCGCTCCTTCTTGCCGGTAGCACCGCCGTAAGAGGGGTCGCCGAGGCCGGAGGCGAGGGCCTGTGCGAGGGGACCGCCGGCAGTGAGGGGCTGGAGGAGGTCGGGCTTGGAGAGGTGCACGGGAGAGAGGCTGGTGTATTCGTCGATAACCTTGACACAGTTGGTCATGGCAGCCGCGACCTCTCGGAACGAGTTTATCATCTATTGAGGGTCAGCATCCTCTTCTGCCTGTAAGGTTGTGTGTACTGACTTCGAGCCTCTTGCCCTCCATCTCTTCCCAGCTAGGAGCAGACATTGTATCGGATGTTGACGCGTCTGGATGACGAGAACGTGGCCGCAAGGTGATACGCGTCGAGCAGGCATAAACAAAGTGCACAACAGGGGCATGTGGGTAGGGAGGCGACAGAGAAGGGGCGGCAAGCACATCAGCAACCTGTCTGAGGCATAGGCGGACGCATGTAGTGTACTCACGGGTGGATGCCGGTATAGGTTGAGGGGAGATGGCTTTTTTGTAAGGATTAGAGATTTACAAACAAAGCGGATAAGAAAAAGGGTGAATAGAAAAGTGGGGGCAAGCCGAAAGAGCGAGCATTTGGACGATTTGGGGCGGGATCAAAAAATGTATTTGCCCTTAGCTTGGTTTTTCAATCGCGGGATTGGCAATTTAGCTCATTGCCTCATTAGGAGATTCCTAATGCTTCTTCTTTCAATCTGTGGCTTTCACGCTAGTAAGCCATTGCTTGCCCCTTGACAGAGCGTACGTATCGATATCCAAGAAGAGCTTCCAAGGGACATTTGGTCAACGACTCATTGCCTAGTGACGGCGCGGCCGACGAGGTGTCAAGGGATTATGCCGACCGACGGGTCAACTACTCTTAAACAGTAAGTATAGCAATGTATAGAGATGACCTGAGGGCCTATATGAGAATAAGCAGCCAAGTAAATATCGGGCGGCGTGGCTATTATTGAAGTGTTTGTATGCGTAAAGAGACAGCATTATTGGTTCATCGAGGGAAGAAAAAAATGAAGTGAGATCAAATGGCTCTTTATATGTACGGGTTTCAGGGCCCAGCGCTAGCGTCGACACTGTCAACGACATTCAAAGACTTTCGACAACTGGCGACGATTGGCGATTACTGTCGAGACTGTCGAGACTGTCAAAAAATGTCAAAGGCTGACGATGACGATGAGTGTCAGGCACAGGAGGCATGCGATGACTGCGCTATCTGGGTGGATCCAGCATCCGGATAGACTATACGAGTAGATATGTATGGCCAGGTTCGCATACGGTTGTGACACAAGGGCTCGACTCGTGGCTGCGATTTTTTGGCTTGTTGGAATGATCCCGTCGCTCAACGTCACTCACAGTCGTCCAATCGCCAGCATTGAACACCATGCAGTATCTCCAGAGGATGCATGCCTATCTATCAGTAGAGCTGCAACAAAAAGAGATCAGTGGCTGGGGTGAAGTCGACCAAGCTTCTGCATCATAACAAATGAATGTGGCATGTAGCGTATAAGGTGACTGTCAGTACGGGAAAGAGTGACACTTCTTCCCTTGGCACCCACTAGCCAACATTGAGTCGAGAGTTACACTGCCAGATGCACTCCTTGTAACCTACACCGTTGCTGTCACGGTGGAAACGTGTGGCACAGACAGGGGACGAACACCACCAACATGAGTCACCTCAAATCTGGATACCGGCGGAACGCAAGGACACGGAAATGAAAGAAAAGACGACAGGCGGGAGGGGCAAAGCTGCAGGATCGCTGAATGTCAAATGAAGTGCAAAACAAAGACGACAGGCGTCCATCATGCGCAAGAAAACATGAGGTGCGACAAGTGCTTGCTGGTCTGAGGACGCCACGCATGCTGCCAGTCCCCCTTATATATGCCGAAAAGTAATCTGAGAAACCCGTTGCAACTTTCGGCCCTCGGCACCTACTGAGACCACCGCCTTCTGCTGCCATGTTTTCGAAGTCGAAGTATGAAGCGGCACATTTGTGCGCCAGCTATTCGTACCGAGACGCTTTGGATGAGGCTCGCATGACTTATTTGCTCAAGAAGTCCGAATTCAGCGACCATTTCTCGAAGGTAACAGAAAAGTGCTTTCGATTCGAGAGCGAAGGCCATGTACGGGCGATCAAGCTCTGGGATCAAAGGGTCAAGGACATCCGCGACAAGTATGTGCATAAACGCACCATTTTGCCCCTCTCCGTCTATTTACTTGTGAGTCTGCCAAATGGTCCGTCATTCTCGATCTTGAAGCAACCTGACAGTCCCCATTTCAGGCTAGGGATTATGCCGTCGTGTCCACAGTGCTCTGCAAGGCGTTTCTCCCCTGCCACGAGGAGCATGCCAAATTGTCACCCGAGCTGTATACCTTACTTGATTCCGTATCATCGTGAGATTTTTTTGTTCTCAAAAGGTTTATGCTGCTCTCCATTTAGAGCTACGTCCTGATGAATCCTTGTTTAGAGAAGGTCTTTTCATTTTGGATCACCTTTTTCAGTTGGAAGTCGCCAATATCAAGATCTGGGACTCCGGAGAGGTGGAGAAGATGAGATTGGCTGGTGACGGTTTCGCGCATATGGCTGAGCGTCTTCAACGTTTGGTCCTAGGCTCGAGGGTGGGTCCCCGTTCATGAGAGTAGTGGTTACCGGGGTGCTTGTACAATGCACGATGGACATTTAGCTGACGTTTTGCCTTCAAATAGGTCCTTGATCGAGAGCTTGGCAATGATGTGCGACTGTGGCAGGAGGAGATGAAGAAGTGTACCCAGAGAGATATTCAGAATAGGCTGAAATTTGGGAAGTTCGAAATGAAGCAACGCAAATCTGGGGGGTGTGCAGTGCAGTGACATGTCCATGCGATCCCTAAAGTGCTGGCTCTCTTCGGCGTCCTCTACCTACTCATGCATTGTCATCGTGGCGATCACGAGCTTAGACGTTCATCTTGCTGCTCAAGTAAGCCCAACAACATGATGAACCAACACTGCGCTACTTGAACGGGGCCCAGTTGTTACGAAAAGCCGCATGTTGGAAGATCTGATGAGGTGCGGCGACGGGTCGCGCATACTCGTATTGTGAAGTGATGAAGCAGGTGTTGAATGGGTTGCCTGCAGCCTCATCGGGTGTAGATCAATAACAAATCCACCCTGGTCAATGCCCAAACAGGCTGCTCCCGGCATGCTGGGCGCCCTGCTTATATATACTAACCGGTCTCTAATGAAAGAAGCCACCCATTATTGCTCATTCAGCCCCTCGCTTCCTGCTGCCCATTCGCCTTTTTATCTATGCCTGCTCGTTCGCGCTGCTTGGAATCGGTGTCGCCGGAGACTTACTGGTCTCCCAGCAAATGATACACAGACGCAGTGCTTGAAGCTCGCCGGTCATATGTAGTCCCGAAGCTCTATTTAATGTCCTATCTGTCCCGGACAAAGGATTTTTTTCCCGATTCAAGACGAGGGCTGTCAGCGAGCACTCGTGCTTTGGGGGGAGAGGATTTTGGATGTCGGTGACGATTACGCGTATAGACGCAACATTGTACCCTTCTCAGTCTTTTTTCTCGCGAGTCTGCCCAAATGTCATTTGATCTTCTCTATCGTGGTCTGATTGTTTCTCCTTATAGGCTGAAATCTACTGCACCATCTCCGCGTTCCTCTGCAAGGTCATTTTTTCATATGTGAGGGAGCACAGAACGCTGTCACCCGAACCCAACAAGCTGGTTGACTCGGTTAACTCGTGAGTTTTTGTTTGCCTGCAGTATTATAACCACCACACTGCTACTCCAGTGGAATTGACGTTGACAACATCCGCGGATAGAGAAGAGGTTATCATAATGGACCATTTTTTCGCAGCTTCATATCGAAACCATAGAACCCTGGGACTTTGAGTCTGTGACCAACATGCGTAATACAACCTGCAATGGCCTTGTTTGGTTGGTTCAGCGGCTTGAAACTTCTGCTGTGGTGGGTGGGCCCCAACTCCGCTTTCGTTACACTTCGGATCACCACATTTCAGACAATGCTATGCTTTCGAGTAGGAATTTGACGGGGCTCTTGTGACTAAGGTGTGGGGAGGAGGCACAGATGGGGGTCCACAACAAGACTGACATCGACAATATGATTATGTTTCTGAGGTCATCACCAGTAAATAGTCTCAGAGACTTGGCAAGTGGGCAGGTAGATCTCTCGACCGCAGTATGTAGCTCCTGCCATACACATATGCAAGATGCTACCCTCTATTGATGCGCCAATCAATTGCCTCGAGGGTATACACTTCCACCGCGCTTCCCGCCGGAGGAGAGAAACGGGCCTGTTGTCACGGCCTGCTGGGACGCAGCAGGGAGGAGGACTGGAAAAGGTGATTTTGGAGGGGAAAAGACCTTTTCGGTATTATCGCATAGAGAAAGAGTAGACAATGAGATAGGAATTGAGTATGTACACCGCACGTCCTTCAACCATCCACACAACTCAGCGCCGAAGCCACTGCAGGGAATTACTACGTGTGACACCTGTCGGCGGACTCGGTGGCTGTAAGTGACAAAGCAAATACGTGATGCATGTGGCTTTTGTGACATGTGTCATTCTCCTGGACCGATCTGACTCTCTTGCTGATCCGCTGTTTGCTGCAATGCGTCACAATTCATCACTCAACTCTTCAGTACTATCAGATCGTATCGGTCGCGATCGGATCACCGGCGGGGTCCCTGGTGCTGACGTAACACGGAGCTGCCCGACGGCTTGACGCGAGGGCCGACATCATGCGTGCTCTATTGGCATTTCATCTCCTCTTTCTCTTCCATCGCTCCCGGCATCACTCAACATGGGTATACAGGCCCGTAACACTGCCGCCAGGCTGCCATCCAACGCTGACCTCGAGAAAGCCCCGTTCATCGAGCAGGACGAAGACGACGTCAAGCCTCGTCGACGAAGCCATGTCCACGCGCTGCCTATGATACTGGCTCTCTTTGGTGTTCTCTATCTCCTCAAGACGCATTACGATACCTCTTTCCCCTTCCCCTCCAAGCCTGCGCCCCTACCCGACTTTATCCGCGATGGTATTGAGCAATGCGAGATCATCTCTCGACCGCCTCCACATTACAAGCCCTTCACCGCGTCTCGAGAGAAGAACGAGCGCTTTGTGGAAGGAACCAAGTCTGTACTTCTCAAGAACGGAACTGTATGGACGGGAGAGGACGACGGGCAGGAGATCTTGCATGGAGCAGACGTCTTTCTGGAGAATGGTGTTGTCAGGAAGATTGGGTCTGGTCTCGACCTTACCGAGCACTTGAAAGATAAGAATTACGATCAAGTAGAGCTTGATGGAGCATGGGTAACACCTGGTAAGTGAATCCGTCCCGCAAAGATCAATAGCTGAAACGCCTCCAGGAATCGTCGACACTCACTCCCATATGGGTCTTGACTCTGCTCCTGGTCTCAGAGGTTCAGACGACACCAACTCTCGTCGCGGCAACACTCAACCCTGGCTCAGATCTTTCGACGGCTTCAACACTCATGACCTCGCATTCAATCTCTCCATCTCTGGTGGCATCACCACCATGCTTGTCCTGCCCGGTTCTGCCGGCTCCATCGGCGGCCAAGCTGCAGTCTTCAAGCCCCGATGGACCAATGAGAACACTCCTCAGAGTATGCAGCTCGAACCTCCATTCGTGATCGACACTGCTGGCAACGGCGCTTTGAAGCGAACCAAGGCATGGCGTCACATCAAGCATGCGTGCGGTGAAAACCCGGCGCGCGTCTACGGTGCCAATCGTATGGATGCTGCCTACGATTTCCGAAAGGCGTACGCGGAGGGCAAAAAGATCAAAGACGAGCAAGATAGATGGTGTGCCGACCCCAAATCTCAGAAAGAGCCTTTCCCCACCAGCTTGGAGTGGGAAGCTCTCGCAGATGTCATTCGGGGCAACGTCAAGGTCAACATCCACTGCTATGAGACCACCGATCTCAACTCTCTTGTGCGCATCTCGAACGAGTACCAGTTCCCCATCGCCGCCTTCCACCACGCACACGAAGTTTACCTGGTTACCGATTTGCTCAAGCAAGCGTGGGGCCCTGTACCCCCTGCTGTAGCCATTTTTTCTACCAACGGTCGATACAAGCGCGAGTCTTACCGAGGCACGGAGTTTGCCCCAAAGATCATCGCCGACAGTGGCCTCGACGTCATCTTTAAGTCGGACCACCCTGTTCTTGACTCTCGCTACCTGGTGTACGAAGCCTCTCAAGGTCATCATTACGGTCTCAACTTTTCTCATGCTCTCGGCGCTGTCACCACTCACCCTGCAAAGGCTATGGGCCTCGACCACCGTATCGGTCACGTCCGCGAGGGATACGACGCCGATATCGTCGTTTGGGACTCATTCCCTCTGTCCCTCGGAGCCACACCGAAACAGACTTATATCGATGGTATCCCGCAGATCATCAAGCCGCACGTGGTTGACAAGCCTGCCGAAGCTCAGGAAGTCTTCCCCGAGGGAAAGTGGGATGAGGAGATTGTCGAGGTGCTTCAGACCCGAGGTGACCCTGACCTGCGACCCAAGAAGTCCGTCAACAACGTGTTCTTCCAGGACGTCTCTGGCTTCTACCTCGAGTCCAAACACGACTTGTCTGCGTTTGAGAATGGCGGCAAGGGCGATGTCGTGGTCAAGAATGGCGAGATCACTTGTGTCGGCAAATGCGTGGCCGAGGAAGGACTGGACTTTGAGATCATCGACCTCAAGGGCGGGAGCATTGCGCCAGGTCTGATTAGCGTCGGAAGCTACCTTGGTCTCATGGAGATCAGGGGTGAGAAGTCTACTTGGGATGGGGTAAGTGGCTCGTTTGATGATGCTTTGCGAGATTGACAACTCTTCAAGGTGGCATATGACTCTCTGAAGGATGCGGGCGAAGTGACTGACGGTATTCTTGTACATGCGGTCGATGGAGCCAAGTTTGGCGGCAAGGACGAACTGTGAGTTTTCAAGATATCGTATCTGCATACGACTAACCCTCGTAGTATCGCCTACCGATCTGGCATCACGACCGCTGTCGCCCCTCCCATTTCCAACTCTCTCGTAGCTGGCCTCTCCTTCTCCTTCTCCCCCTCCGCTGCTCACCCCCTGGCTCGCGGCGCTATCCAAAATCCCGCCGCCGCGCTGCACATCTCTCTCGACGGCGGCTCCGGAAGCACCTCCACCAAGATTGCTATTCTCCGCCGTCTCCTTCTTGGCCAAGTGCACGAAGATACCGAGGTGGTGAAGGCTTTCAAAAAGGTAGCAGGGGGAGAGCTGAGATTGGTCGTGGAGGTCAGGCAGGCGGATGTGATGAGCGCGTTGGTGAGGTTGAAGAAGGAGGTGGGAGGTGAGGGCAAGTGGACGTTCTTGGGTGGGCACGAGACTTGGCTTGTAAGTGGTGCATGTTCGCCTATTGGATCATTGTCTGACTCGGTACAGATTGCTGAAGAGTTGGCGGATGCCAACATCGGCGTCATCGTCGCCCCCGCCAGGTCTTATCCCGAGGAATGGAGCGAACGCCGCATCATCCCCGGACCTCCCCTCTCCAATCACACTCTTCCATCATACCTTGCTTCCCATGGTGTCGTACGTCCCCCTCTCTCTTGACTCGTATTCCCGCTAATACAACGCCAGACCGTCGGCCTCGGTATCGTCGAAGAATGGCAAGCTCGCAACACCCGATACGATGCCGCATGGGTGTACGCCAACTCGCCCGACGTCTTTTCAAAATCGTCTGCCCTTGCGCTCGTCTCTGGCAACCTTGAAGAGCTTTTGGGTCTCAACGACGCGTACAAGGCCAGGGAAGAAGAGAAGGCGTGGGTGGCGTATGAAGGGGATATGTTTGGGTTTGAGGGGCGTGTTAGGGGTGTGAGAGGGTTTGGCAAGGAAGAGATTGATCTCTTCTGATGCTCGGACGCGGTGCGAGCGGAGAAGTGTTGATATGAAATGCATGCCGAGATGAAGTCCATATAAGTGACAATCATGCTATGGTGCAAGTGGCGCGATTTGACCGTGTATCTAGGAGTATATGAGCGCAGTACTTGTGTCATTAGGGAAAGTAGCCTACTCACTAGCTCCAGAGGGCGCAGGTCCTGAAGAATAGAGCTGCGGGAAAAGATACCGCCGACACAGCAGACAGTTCTTCCACACATGCGACCTGTCCACGACATCCAAATCTCTCTCGCTGAAGAGCGGAAGGTCTTGTGGCACGGCCGTCAGCTGGTTGACAAGCCCGACGGCTTGGTCTCGTATGATCGTTAGAGGCAATGACTCTTCGTGGTCTTCGACGTAGACGCAAAACTGGGGTCTTCGTGGTAAAGAACAGTGCGCGCTGCGACGAAATCAGCATCTGCTCTATGACCAAACAGCTCGCGACTCACGCCATTGCAAGAGCGATACTATTATGATAGTCCATATCATATATATCCCTCTCCCTCAGACCAAAGCACAAAGACTCGGTGTTGACAGAAAGGTTCTGAACCTCTGTCGGCAGCAGGTTCGCAAGCACAAGATCGCTGACCTCATACGCCTGAGCCATGGCAGCGACATACTCGACCAGAAGCAAGCTGATCCTGTGAGGAAACTGAAACACCATTGCTGCTTTGTTGCAGCACAGCCTACTGAAAAGCAGATCTCCTGTGGGAGGATTGTCTTCCCGGCCTGTCTGGATATACGCCAGCGCCTCTTGAGCGAATATCAGATGACCGCAGCTATGCGACCCCTTATCCCGGAACTCTAGGTCAATCTTCAGGTGTATACCGGGGAAGAGCACATGGGGATCATAGCTCGTCATTTGGAGTTCTGGAGTTTGACGCAGGTCTGGGGCATTCTGCAGACCTAGAGCATCTAGGCGTTTGAGCGCTCGAAGACACGCCTCGTACGCCGCCCCATCGCAGATAACTGCATCCTCCACCATCCCCAGCAAAGCGATCCTTCTCGCTATACACCCTTTCCTCACTCGCCGATCATACCAGAGCACACGCTCGATTCCAGAGATATCGGCCCCCGAAGGACCGAACTCTCCGCCGAGGCCGTGGAAGAAGGAGAGCACGTTGCGGTGGCTGAGCTCGACGTGGGCGTAGAGGGTTGGAGTGTAGCGGTGAAAGAGGGATTTGCAGACGCGGACGAGGGTGTGTAGGGTGGTACTAGTGGGGTTGGAGACGTATGAATGCCAGATCTGGGAAACGATTTCGGGAGGAAAGATGTCGTCGAGGCCGGTGCAAGAGAGTTGGGGGGGTGCGTTCTTGCCGCTTTGAGCTGAATCCATTGGGAATGTCGGGTGGGAATGTAGATTGAAAGAAGGTGTATCGGTACTTGTAATCGGCTGCTCGGCCTTGTACGTACACGCGCATCCGGAACCAAGCAAACCGGTCATCATCTGCTTCCGTCTCGGTCTCGGCTGTAGAAGGTACAAGTTGACCTTCATGACAGTTTGCATTCATACAACACACAAGAAGAACAAGCATGTAGAGGCAGTGACACTCAACAAGACCTTACAAACGATCCACCCCAGCAAGGACCACGCCCATCCGCTTCTCAGCCTTCCTATCCAGATCATCTTTCTCAATCTGCAAATTCGGTATCCTCATCTTCTTCTTGACCCTCCTCTCATTCTCCCCTCTCGCCGTATCCTCCCCTGGCCTGGCCCTCTTCCGCTTTCGTCTTCCCTCTGGTTGGTTCTGGGAGATGCACATCGGTAACGGAATCGGATGGCCAGGGACGCCCGTCTGTGTCTTGGATTACGACTTTCACCACAGCATCACCGCCCCATTCAGGTTCTCCTTCACTATCCAGCTCCATACTCTCCGATATCACCTCCACCTCCACCCCCACCCCGTCCCCTTGAGCTGGGGGCGCAAAATCAAAAAGCCCCATCACCCTCGCCCTATCTCGTTCATTGTGATACGAATAGATCCCCGGTAAATGCTCTAGAGGGGGCGTATCGGGCCGCCTTGCGCGTTTTTCGAAATGGCCTGAGACGTGGCGGGGTTCGGTATCGGTTTCAGAGGCGGAAGAGGAAGGAGGGAGGTTCCGGACGGGTCTGGGAGGGACAGGTCGGGGGGATGGGCGTTTGGGTGGACGGGGTCTGTATGGGAGTGGGGGTGTGCGGCGTCGGGGGACGACGTATTCGGAAGGCGAGAGGGGTATGGGGTCGTCCCCACTGTCCGAGTCCGACGATGAGGAAGGGGGAGAGGTGAGAGCAGAAGCAGAAGACGCCGCCGTATCCGACGTCTTTGACCCTCTGTTTCGCCGTACACGCCACCAAGAAGGTGGAGCTGCCCCATCCTCGGATCCATCCGATTCATCGGAAGATATGGTAATGACCGGTGGGGCCGGCTTGGGCTTCTTGATGCGTTTTGGAAGAAGACCAGCGGCGTCCATGAGAGCTCTTAACTGGAAGTAGTGGGGGCAGAGTTCTCGAAGACGATCTATGCGTCGGGTTTGTTGGTGGGTGGTCCGCGGCGCGGGAAGGGACATACCTTGCTCGTCTTCATCCGCTACATCCTCCCAGGAAGTCCAGCATCTGTGAAACATGCCTGGCTTGTCGTATAGCTCATGGCGGAAGGTTTCCATGAGCCTTCCATCTTGATCAGTTCCTTACTTTGGGACCGAGGTCAAAACCCACTCTTCAACCCAATCACCAATGGGGTTATAAACCCCCTCAACCCACCCATCCCCCATTTCCCACTTCCCTTCCCCCTCCATCCATTCTACCAACCCCTTTCCCTCCGCCCTCTCCATCATCCCACGATCCTTCCTAAACAACAACATCCACACTTTTCTTCTCAACACATGAGACGGCGTGGGCGGTGTAGGCCGGGAGGGGGAGGGGAAGAGGTCGCGCTGGCATTGGGAGTGGGTGGAGATGATGGCGAGGCGGTGGGTGGTTTTGTGGGTGTATTGGGAGAAGCTGTGGGGGTGGGGTCAGTGTGTTGGGTGGCAGTGGATGGAGGGCTTACTCTATAGAAAGGGGTTGGTCACCGTTCATTATCGTTCATGATGCTTGCCCAAAAGGCAATGTAGACATCAGAATATACTTCAGTCACGCTTTGATGGGAGATATGCACAGACCATGCACGGACGGCCCTCAGCCGGAGTCATCGCATACCTCTTGATGCTGCCTCTCGAATGGATGTGGCACCCTCGCAGAGAATATACCAGAGTCGACGATAAGGTGCCCATGAGGCAGTCCTTGGATGATGTTGTTGGCGAGACTGTCCATGTTGTGTAACGAGTTGCTTATGATTTCGATAGACTCGGGTGTGGTCGACAGGAACCTGATACATATACTGTCAGCTTCGGGCACCCGTCAATGAGGGTCAGTACATACCTGCGCTCTCCAAAATAGCGCTCTGCAAATGGAACAGTAGGATCATCCCGAGTAATGCTGAACTCTTCCCTGATAAACTGAAACACACTCTCCTCGTGCGTGTTGTACATCCAAGCCTCAGGCTTGAGATACAGCATCACCTTTTCCGCTGCCACACCCACCACCCAGATATTCTGATTCCTTCTCCCTACGGTATTGAGCTGAAGATCAATAGGGTCAACATTGTGTATCTTGACAGTCGAGCATTTTTGTGATATAGCCATCATGAATGCCAGAACCGCGCATGACAGCGGCTCGTCTTCTGGCAAGTCGAATTCCAACTCTCGCCCGTCTGGTTTCTCCTTTGCCACCATGCACCCCTCACAATCACAGTCCACCGACAGCTTGCCGCTAAACTCTTTTGCTAGTCCATTCAGGACTTGCAGCGCGCTCATATGCGTCCCCGGGATAAGATGCTCATTCTTCCCCGTCGCGCACTCGCTCCAATCCACCCTCGGCGGGAACACCACCGCCTCACGAGGTTCTTCGTTGGCATAATGTATGAGCGACTGGCCGAAGTGGATCGATGTGAGATTCGGAAACAGGCGGTGGTGGCCATAGCTATACAGGTCGAGCCGGTCAAACTTTGTAGATGCGCGGAGTGTCCAGACGGCTGCTTGCACGTCTACGAGATGCAAGCTCTGACAGTGCCGCAGCAGCATGATCTTGTGTACGAACGGTGAGCGGTGCGGTGTAGTGGGTGCACACATCGACATGGCGGGGGTCCGCCCCCCTCCAGCTCCAGGGATACTACTCGTACAGCGACACAACAAACCCGCCTGCTCTGCCGTACTGAGCGGGGCCGCCTCGTCCTCGGACAACCCGAGACCTTTGAAGAACCGCATGGCGTTCCATTTGTCTAGAACGACATGGCAGTAGAGGTTGGCTATGGACTGGGCGTAGACGGCGCGGGAGGTGCAGAGGAATGAGCAGGAGGGGGAGGAGGTAAGGAAGCGCCAGATGTGGGATTGGATATCTGGATTGAGGGGTGCGAGGGTGGTTATAACGTCGTGGGGTTTAGCGTGCATTGCGGGTGACATGGTGGTGGGGAATGAGAATGGTTTTGGTATTCCAAGAGAGATGTAACAGATGGATGGCGGAAACGGGAAAACATTATTGACGCAATCGGGAACTGAGTGGGAACTGAGCCGATCGGCCATTTCTCCCTTTCCGGCAAATGCGCGGCCACGTTCAGGTGTAGCAAAGGTATTGACAGTGTTGTCGTGGGGGCAGGGTGTCTCCTTATTTCATCCCCGCCATTCTCCATGCCCCATGCATCCATGTCCTGCATGCACACCTGCCGAGAAGAAAAACAAATTGAATGCCGGCGGTCACTCACCCCGGCAGCAGTGTGATTACATAATACGTCTAAAGCGTACCTGGCCCTCCTCCTGGCTTGGATCGCTGTCAACTCGCTGTCCTCTTCTCTCTCATCATCCATCCGCCACAAATCACCCAACATGCAGCCCCCCATATACAATGTGAGTCCTCTTCTCTCACTGCCATGCATATGCTAACGCGCCCAGCACCACCGCCTGCCGCCCGCAGGCACCCCATCACAACAAAACGTACTTGCCGCCCCCTCAACAACACGCCTCAACGAGCTCTTCGACCTCATCCGGCAAGAGTACGAGACCCTCGGCGCGGACGGCAACGTGTGGAAACAGCAGAGAGATGAATACGAGTCGAAGGGTCGGTTTTTTCATAGTGGATGTTGATACGCGACTGACGAGACCCGCGACGACAGTTCAAGCGCAGATCAATGAGCTGGGGATGATCAGGCAGTCATTGTATGAGCTGGAGGCAAATCACAACAAGATCCGATCAGAGTGCGTTCCCAGCTGAGATGCTTTTGAGGACTGGGATTGTGGCTGATGGGCGTTTGCGCGATTGTAGATACGAAGCCGAGATCCAGAGGCTGCGACATGAGCTCGCGAACCGCGCCCCAGGCGAGAGCAGCGTCGCTCCCGGCCCGCCCCCATCCATCCCTGCCCTAAGCCACCACTCCCCCACCTCCGAGCTCGCCCGTCCGCCCGACGACCGCCTGCCATACGCTGGCGGACCGCTCCCCGGTCTCCCACTGAACGGCACCGACGTCTCCCGTTCCCGCTCGCCCTTTCCGAACGCAGGCACATCCATCATCCGGCCCCCTTCAGAAGCGCGTGTAGCGGCGGTGCGGCCGCCTGCTTCGGCATCTGCGGCTTCCCCGCCAGTACACTTGTCCGACCTTGATCCCGAGAACGTGTCGAGAGAGCTGAGAAAAGAAGGGCCAGAGTGGCAGGCGGTCTGGAGTGGGCAGATGAGGAAGCAGCTGGATGTGACGCTGGTGCATTCGATCGAGCACGAGTCGGTGGTATGTTGTGTCAGGTTTTCGAATGATGGAAAGTATTTGGCGACGGGGTGTAATCGAACGGCGCAGATTCATGATGTCAAGACTGGCCAGAGAGTGACGTGAGTAGGCAACTGGGCGTATAGCGTTCGTGCGCTGATGAGGTTTGCAGGGTATTGTCGGACGACGCGGCTAGTCGTACAGGCGACTTGTACATTCGCAGTATCTGTTTCTCTCCCGACGGTCGATATCTCGCTACCGGCGCCGAAGATCGTCAGATCAGAGTACGCTTGGTTCTCTCTCGATCCGTTCTCCTGCTAACACTCTGTAGATCTGGGACATCAAAGCCAAACGCATCTGGCACTTGCTCCAAGGCCACATGCAAGAAATCTACTCGCTCGACTTTTCCCGCGACGGCCGTTTCCTCGTCTCTGGTTCCGGCGACAAGTCTGCGAGGGTGTGGGATATCGAAAAGGGCACTTGTGTATTCAACCTCCAAATTGAAGATTTCATTCACAATGAGCACGGGCCGATCGATGCGGGTATCACCTCTGTCGCTTGTGAGTGTTTTCCCACAACTTTTGAAGGCAGTATTGACTGGGTGTAGTGTCACCGGATGGAAATCTTGTTGCGGCGGGATCGTTAGATACGATGGTGCGCGTCTGGAACGTCTCTACGGGTCAACAAGTCGAGCGATTAAAGGGCCACAAAGACTCTGTCTACTCGTAAGCCGCTTGCCCTTCTTCTCTCCTGGTGCTGATTCTTGGCAGCGTGGCCTTCTCTCCCGACGGCAAATGCCTCGTCTCTGGCTCTCTCGATCGCACCCTCCGCGTCTGGGACCTCTCCGCCACCAAACACGAAGTCGAAACCGTCCCCGCCGGCAAAGAATCCCAAAAGAACCTCGGCACCTGCCAATCCACCCTCAACGGCCACAAAGACTATGTCCTCTCCGTCGCCATCTCGCCCGACGGCCAGTGGGTCGTGAGCGGGTCGAAAGACAGGACGATACAGTTCTGGCACATCTCGACGGGGCAGGCGCAGTTGATGCTGCAAGGGCATAAGAATTCGGTGATTAGTATTGATCTTGCGAGGAGTGGGGGGTATTTGGCGAGTGGGAGTGGGGATACGTTTGCCAAGATCTGGAAGTTTGAGCAGATCGCGGGATAGGTGTTTAGAGCTGAAAATAATGGAGAAGAAGAGGGTGGTACGTGGGGGTACTAATTGGGGATTGCTAGTTTTCGGTCTCTGTGGGACGAATTTTTGTCTATGGATATTCGATTTTGGACTACAGCAGAGGTGCAATTTCATTGATGGACTTTCGGCTGCCAAGTTAATTGACGCTGGAAGAGGATCAAGGGATGCGCGCGCCGCGACGAGGTTCGTGTCATCTCGGAAAAGCGCTCAGGATCATACTGCTATCTACGTCCAGCTCTATGTCCTGCGGTGCCTCCAGAAGAATACAGTTGACATCCTGGAACTCCAAGCCAACGTTCATGGGCCATAGACACAAGCCATTTTATTTACACCCTCCCCTACGCGACGCGCCCATCTTCGCTGGCGACTTTTGTCAACAAATCAACCTCATCCACCATACAACCATGTTTACGCCCCCCAATCCCCCCTCCAACAACCCCCCGCCCCTCTCCTACTCCCCCTTCCCCTCCTCATCCCGCCACCGCCTCCAGCTCCCCCCACGCTCATCCCTATCCAACTCCTTCTCGTTCGACCCCAACCCAAACCCGGACCACTCCCTCTCTCTCGACTCTGATGCAAGCTACTCATTCTACCCTGGGGCTGGCAAACGCCCGAGACCGTCCAGTCTCACAATGTTCTCGGGCGCGGCGATGGATAGTGCTGTCGAGCAGGGTAACCGCGGTATAGCTCAAGTGTCGCCTAGAGCCAAGCCTAGTCCGGTGGGGTCGAAACGGTCGACAGCTACTGTCCGTCCGGGCTTTCCAAGAGGATCAAGTGCAAGAGAATATGCCAATGGAAGGCCGATGTCGCGGATGAAGGAAACTATCAATGTGGGCGATGCGGACGAAGGGGCGGATGAAGGGGAAGAACGGAATTGGAGTATGGTTGACTCTATGCGGTTGTGGCGGCATGATGCGATCATGCAGCATCTGTATGAGACGGCGGCGTTCTGGGGAGACAAGGTTCTGAGCTGGACAGGTCAGTGCAATCGTACATGGGGTGTGTTGAAAGGGGAGCTGATGGTTTGCAGCCGACCCGAATGATGCGTTTTGGCTGGCGCAAACACATTTCCTGACGGGACACTATCTTCGAGCAGAGAAGCTCTTGACAGAACCTTTACCCCCCCCTCCAAAAGGTTTACTGCCGTCAAGAGACTCGCGCGATAAAGGCAAGATGCGGGACGACGATCAACACGTGAACGGGCACGACGAGAAGGTCGATCTGGGTCTGAAGCTGGTGGATGAGAGCTTGGCATGTCGGTACCTGGCGGCGCAATGTCTAGTATGTCCCCAGGCATCACCAGATCACTCACTGACGACTCATAGGTACATCAAGAAAAATACGAAGAAGCCTTGGAACTGGTGGGCGAAGCCAACCCCTTCAGAGCGACAGATCATTCCTCTCAATCACCCGACGAACCTTCGCAAGACGGAGGTATCAAGCTGCATTCTTCGCTCTGCCATCTCAGAGGCTTGCTACATCTGCGGCTGTCCTCTTTTACATTCGCCAAGGAGTCGTTGATGGAAGCGCTCGCGCTGGATGTGAAGAATTACGATGCTTTTCGGGAATTGATAGATGGTGGGATGATGTCGGAGCAGGAGGGTAAGTCGACCTGTGCCTGGTACTCGTACAAGCTGATGTAAAGTAGAATGGGAGTTTATAAGTGGTCTTTCGTATCGGAAACAACTATCCCAGGACGACGCCAACTTTGTAAAGATGATCTACATGACCAAGCTCAAAAAGGATACCCACGCCCAAGAAGTGGCTTCGGCGCGAGAAAGCCTCACCAGAGAATACGCTCTGGGCGACAATTGCGATGTTCTCGTTGGTCTCGCCGACGAGCTCTATTCGAAATACAAATGGGAAGAATGCTACGCTGTCACCGCCAAAATTCTCTCCCGCATCCCTGGCCACACCAGCGCCCTCCCCCTCCACCTTGCTTGTATGCACCACATACATCGCCTCCGATCCGCGCTCTTCATCCTTGCCCATGACCTTGTGGACCAAGATCCCCAGTCTGCCCTTACGTGGTACGCTGTTGGGCTGTGGTACTTTTCTGGCAAGCGGTGGGCGGACGCGAGGAGGTATTTCAGTAAAGCAAACTTGATCGATTCGAGGTTTGCGCCGGCGTGGATTGCTTTTGCGCATTCGTTTGCGTATGAGGGAGAGCATGATCATGCCATAACGGCGTATTCGACTTCTGCGAGGTTGTTCCAGGGGTATGTACGAGGCGTGTTCTGAATTGCAGCAAAGCTGATGACTCACAGTTCACATCTTCCGCTATTGTTCATTGGGATGGAGCATCTACAATTGAGCGCCTCGAGCCTCGCAGAAGAGTATTTCTTGGCAGCAAAAGCCATCAACGCGGCCGACCCTTTGCTCTTGAATGAGCTTGGTGTAGTGCATTACAACAAGGAAGAGTGCGTACATCATCTGTGGTGAAGAGGCAGAGCTGATTAATCTCAGTTACTCGGGAGCTGCTAGCTACTTTCGCAAAGCCCTCCGTGCTTCTGCCGAAATGCAGGGCGTCAAAAGCGTCTGGTCAGTCACATACTGTAATCTTGGGCACTCTTACCGGATCATGCGGTATGTTCATCCCAAAATTCTGCTTGTCACACAGTCTCATATCAGTACAGCGATTATGACAAATCCGAACACAACTACCGCCAAACTATCCGCCTCGACCCTACCAATCCCGTCGCCTACTCCTCCCTCGCCCTCATCTTCCACCTCAAAGGCGACATTCGCGGCGCCATCCAAATCTACCACCAAGCCCTCTCCCTCTCTCCCCAAGATCCTCTATCTACTGTCTTGCTTGAGATGGCGCTCAAAGAGCAAATGGAGGCGCTCGACCCGACGACTTTACCTGGTCTGCCGGGACAACTAGGCGGGCGGGATATGGATCCGTTTAGGGTGCCAAAGGGGAATGCGGCGTTTGGGCCAGTGCCGGTAGAGGTGGATCCGGGGAGTTTGCAAGAGGCTGGAGGGTTGAGCTTGGTCTATGAGCCTGGGGAAGGGAGTCGATCAACGATGATGGCGGGCAGAGGGCAAGAGTATGAGGAGGATGGGTCGACTATGGAGATTGAGGATGAATAGTTGGGCATTGTTTTGGATGTAGAATTCTTTGTCGATTGAGGCTAAAGATAGTGCTGTGAGACACCAAGCAGCGAAATCAGCTGTATACATTCTTTCACCAACCCCAAAGTGTTCATGAACAACGACCTGGAGGAGAGACCAGACGCGGGAGAAGGGTAAATGATCTTTCCCATGTAGCTTGCCGCATGCCGCATGTACGAGGGTCATATGACGGGAACGTGACGAAACGATCGATTGGACTGGGCATCAACCCAGGTGCATGAACGCGGGGAGGGCGCTTGCTGCATGCCTCGGAGGCGGCGTGGCCTACTATGAGCCGGAGTCAGTCGACAATGATGGCGACTAGAAGGCAAGAGTATGAGGAGGATGGGTCGACCAAACGGTCTGATGAACAAACCGATCACGGAAGGTGGGTTAGTGGATGTTGAGCATAGCAAGTCGTCATCGCAAGCAACCCTCACGCCGACGCGAGCAGCAGAGCACACCTAGAACGAGTGCTGTATGGATCATGGATCTGCCTTATCACTGCACCAGATAGCCGCCACCAAGTCCGCGTTGCTTCCTCCCTGTCTTCTGCCTCGCTACTGCCAGTATATTCACGATGTCACACTGCGTGTCCAACCCCATCCGCGACTGCCATATTGACGCTTTACCTCTAAGCCCCTCAAGTTCCTTTTCAATGACAAAACGTCAGCCAGCTGTGGTCGGTAAGGACGCGGGTGTCGAGTCTACAAGAAGGCTATCAACTAACCCTGTGCTGAAGGATCAAGTTCACTAGCCTCTCTTCCATACGGCGAATGGCATCGGCAGCTAGATTCACCTTTTTGTCCAGAATATCGAAATCCCCCCGGGGCTTGAGACGAGCGACTTCCAGCCGAGAGAGATGATCCATGATGATAAGGCCCTCCCTGGCTCAATAATCGTCAGCACATAGCTACTTATGAATGAAAGTGAGACCAGTACGAGGGTAGAGGGACTCACGATGATACAGAGTCGAGTAGAGTGTACAGCTCGGGGGACAATCCACCATGCTCTACGTGATAGGAGAGGATTTCCTGACAGAGTTCGATGGAGACATCCAGGTAAGACTCAGCTTGAAGGGACGTTTGTCAGATCGCAGTGAAAGTGAAATGGTCTTCTGGGAGACTCACGAGGAACAAGAGTGCGATAGGTAGAATGTTGCGCCTATACGCATACTTCTCACAAACGTCTTGGGCCCTTTGAACCCAAAGCTTGAGTGTTTGTATGTTTCCTTCGCTCTCGGCTAGAAATGAATCCAATGGGATCTTCTTGAATTGGTTGTCGAAGGTCAACTTCTGGGCGACACAGGACTTTTGGGCGTTGGCCAAACCGATTTGGTACGCTTGGCTGGAGCACCAATAAACGGCAAGGGACCTTGGATGCGGCGATGGAGAAGGCATTGTCGAGATGGCAAGTGAGTTAGTGTAAGTGGCGAGATTATGAAAAGGGGCTATGTGGGGTTTCCCATGGTACCCTTTGGCGTAAAAGCAGAAATTTGGACTATAAAAGCAGAACAGACAACACTCGTGGTATCTGTGTGGCTAACCGCATGTACGGGGGCCATTCCCGACACTGTTTTTGGTTTGAAAGTATGAACGTGGAGAAGCCTTGGAGGGAGCACAGATCCATGTGCATGAACGCAAATCAACATCGTGTATGAAAAATACACGGTTTACGTGCCCCGAAGGTGAGGCTTACTACTTGTACTTGTGTCTAGGTGGAAACGGATAGCTGTCGGACCCTCTTTTCCGGCCCCGACGCCTTTTCTCTATCGTCATCAATAATGTTTGCTCTATGCCGGTGGTGCCACATCGTGGGTCTGGTGACATGGTCCGCACCGAAGGGATGTCTTCTTAGCAGCTTGAGGAAAGAAGTAATCTTTCAATATCCTATAGACTAGTCACTAGGAGTCACGTAGTACGGCTGGCCGGCCTATGTACGGGGGCGGGCCGGGGATGATGTGCTTTGGTGGCCACAGCCCGGCGCCGAGTCGGATACATAGAGAACGCAGCGGATCGCAGCAGTGGCCGATACTTGCTCTTCTTTCTTGAAATCTCCCACTATGACCTCCAGCAGGGATCACGCCGACGAGTCTTGACCAAGTCTTGACCAAGTCTTGACGCCGCTGATGACAAGAAGAAGAAAGTGACGATACATGGGATGCGTTACGTAAGTGCAATGTGGCCGGGCATTTGGAGGTGTGGAGATGACGCTCGGGTTCGGTGATCGATGGAGCGGCGGCGGTATGCATGCATCTGAATTTGTATCCTCTTTCTCATCTGCCTCTCTGCCATCTCCCCCCGCCGCCATACCCGCACCACACCCGCTGGACAGCCAAAGCAGACGATATCCGCCCCCCGCGCCGCCGCCCGAGCTCGAAATCGCGTACCCACTCGCTCGGTTTTAAACTCGCTTCGTCCACTTTTCCATTCCTATCTTGTTCCTCCATCTGTATACATCGCTCTCCACACTGCAGCCATCGGCAGTACTGCCCCAGACAGCACTACACCGCCCCGCAAATCATCGCCACCTAGTACAGCATAATGGGACTCCTTAGTGGCATGGACTCGCTCTCCATCCGAGGCGGCTCCAAGGGCTCTCGACGCACCTCCAATGCCTCCGCTGGATCCCCAGCGGCCAGGGTCGGAAACGATAACGAGACCCAGATCGATGACGGTGATCCCAACGACACCAGTACTCTTGACCAAGAAGAAGGGAACATCCTCATGTCCCTCATCTCGCAATGTACGCGCCTGCTTCCCTTAGATACGTACATCTGATCATGCTTACGCGTGCTATAGTGCGTCCGGGTATGGATCTCACCAAAATCGCCCTCCCTACCTTTGTCCTCGAGCCCAGAAGTCTGCTGGAGAGGATCACCGACTTTTTCTCCCACCCCGAGCTCATCTTCGGTGCTGCCAATGAACCCGAAGCCAAGGAGAGGTTCTTGCGGGTGATGACGTTTTACCTGAGTGGATGGCACATCAAGCCCAAGGGTGTGAAGAAGCCGTACAATCCGGTTCTTGGGGAGTTCTTCCGGTGCACGTATGTGTACCCGGACGGATCCGAGGGGTTCTACATTGCTGAGCAAGTGTCCCATCACCCGGTACGTGCTCACATCATCCAGCATATCCGTCTTCAACCTAACCCGAGTTACAGCCCGTGTCTGCGTTCTTCTACGTCTCCCCAAAGAACGGCCTTTTGGTGACCGGCGAGCTCAAACCCAAGGTAAGTGCACGAATCTCGGACACGATCGGTAACTGACAAATCCATCTCAGAGTAAATTCTTGGGTAACAGCGCGGCGACCATCATGGAGGGTGAGGATCGGATACGCCTACTGGACCGACCCGAGGACGGCGAGTACGCCATCAGCGTACGTCCACATCGTTCACCCACATTTGACCCCAAGCTGACACATCTCAGATGCCCAACACCTACGCCCGTGGTATCCTCTTTGGCAAGATGCTTCTCGAACTCTGTGACCTCTCTACCATCGCCAACCCTACCACCGACTTCCACGCCGACGTCGACTTCAAGGCCAAGGGCTGGATTTCGGGCGGGTACAATGTCATCAGCGGAAAGGTCAATGGGCCTGGGAGGGCGGATTCAGGTGAAGTGGGAGGACACTGGAGTTCGGCGATTGAGTATACGGATAAGAAGAGTAAGGAGAAGAGGGTGCTGTTTGACCCGGCCAAATCGAAGACTGCGCCGAAACGCGTTTTGCCAGAGTCGGAACAGGAAGAATTCGAATCCAGAAGGTGAGCTTGACTCTTTCTTCCTTGCTTCCAGACACACACTGACTCTTTGGGTAGGTTATGGAGCAAACTCACGGATGCCATCCGCGCAGCCGACATGTACGCTGCTACAGCCGCCAAGGGCGTTGTGGAAGACCACCAACGAGACCTTGCGCGAAAGCGCGAAGCCGCTGGCGAGCAGGTCGAATCTAGGTTCTTCAAGCACGTTGCCGGAGACAAGTGGATGCCCAAGCTGGATGTTGACAAGTAGGCCCCTCGTCTGCCCGGTTCGGAGAGTGTGCTGATGCAAAAGCAGCTTGCCCAAGGACAGGACGGAGATGGAGAGTACTGTGAGAAAGTGGATTTTCGGAGACAAGAACCCGCTCGACTTTGCGGAGAATGGAAGTGCAAAGGCGTCTCCCAAGAAGCAGCCTCTGGATGTTGCTACTGGAGCTGGTGCTGGCGTGGCTTCGTCCGGCGCGAGCTTTGCGGGCTCTACTTCGAGCACTATCACTCCTCGTACGTTGAATGGCCCTATGGTTTGGCGGAAAACTGACTTTACCCAGCTTCCTCTGCCACCGCCCCCGGCCCTCCCGTCGGTCAGCAGTTTGACCACCCCGTCTCCCCAAAGGTTTAAAAAGGTTGAAACGTTTGCCCGAGGAAATACCTATCGTCACATAATCAATCCAACAAATACCTTTTCCCCTCGATAAATACACGTGTATACCCTCTCCCGCAACGAATACAATACCAACGACTTTAGATGCGACTATTATCACATGGTCCGTCTTGGTTAAAGAAAAGGCAAAGAAGGAAATCAAGACGGTGCACACAAATGTAGCTTGGAGAGACCTCCGGAGAAGAGGAAGCAGATGAAGGATACATCACCATACTGTATACAAAAGGCTTCTTTATTTTCGCTTTGTTCCGCTATATCTATCCTTACTTTTACGGTATCTCTACTTATCTCTGTCTTTCATCGAAGCTCCGTCTTGCTCTGCAGGGGTGTTTTGTTTCTTTCGGTATTTCCGTATCATGAATGCAGCACTATTGACGTATCAGATATCTGACGTTAACGACGCAACTCGGGCAACCCAACGCACAGTGATGCAAATGTACAAGGGGCCATCATGAGTCGGATGACTCAAAGGAGCATCATATCCTCCGTTGTCGCTTTCGTCTCTCCAGTGAAAACATGTCTACCCCCTTTACTTCCTTTGTATCCTGTCTTTGGGGCGAGTGTCAATACATGCCAAGGTATCGACCCCTCGCTGTCAATTCTCTTTGTGGATTATGAAGTCTAGCGGCCCCCTCTGTCATTGAACGTTCTCGGATACCGAACTCAGCACACTCATTTAATATTACCTGCACCTCTCCCCTCGCCTCGCCCCACACCTCTCTGTCTCATACTCAATCGCCGCCCAGAATGCGTCCCTCCCTACGTTCCCTCCTAGCCACCTCCCTCCTCACCCTCCCCTCTCTCGCCCAAGACGACCAAATCGAATGCCCCGACACCGACCTCACAACCTACCTCATCTCCCTCATCGACACCCTCTACTCCAACGGCCTCACCACCTCCGAAGAGCTCATCGTCCATCTCTCCGAAACTGACGCGGGGTACGAGCTCTTAGAGTCGTTGTATATGGCGGATGCGGGGACGAAATGGACGTTTATGGCGCCGACTGATTCTGCTTGGCAAAATGCTGGGATTTACCCGCCTTTTAGTGGGATGGGGGATGAGTATGGTGCTGATTTGATGGCACTGCATGCTCTGCAAGGGACATACTCTGCTTCTTCGCTCTCTACTACTTCTGGTGTTGGTATAGCCAGCACGTACCTCCTCCTCTCTTCCGAACTCAATGTCACCTCGTCCAATTCTGATGCCTACCAAGCTGTTGTATTGAACAAGGGAGATGACGGAGAGGCTGTTATAGTGGATGGGTGGTGGGGGAATGGGACGAGTTGGAGTGGATTTGTGGATACGAGTGGGGCAAATGGACTGGGGAATATCAATATACTCCCTGTAGACATGGTAAGCTTCCATTGAACTCTTCGCGCTGTACTTATGCTGTTTCCAAAGGTGATCGCTTTTCCTCCCGCCCTTTCTGAAGCTCTCACAACCTCTGGCCTTTCAAACATATCCTCCGCCATTGACGTCGTAGGACAGACAGACAACCTGTCTCAGCTTTCCGAGAACGGGTTCACTATCTTTGCCCCAATCGATAGTGCATGGGGTGACGACGTTAAGGGATTGATGGGGGATTCGAATGAGGCGGGAGGGCTGGTTGGAAATCATGTGAGCTCTTTTCATTCATGTAGGTAATGAGAGCTGATGGGAGACAGTACACGACCAACTATACGCTCTTTTCGCCTGCTTGGACCGACGACGATAACAAGAGCTTCGACCTGCCAGTCTCATCCGGCCAGACACTCACGATCAAATTGGATGATGATGGAGGATCGAGCGTGGTTCTTGGGGGAGTACAGGCGCGGATTTTGAAGTCTGATGTGACGCTTGCCAATGGCGTCATGCACGTAAGTATCCTTCATACAACTTTGAAGCAGGCATCATTGACGAATGTAGGTCATCGACACGGTCTTGTACCAGAGCAACAGCACTAGTTCGACAGCCTCTGATTCAGCCTCCGGTGTTGCAGCAGTAGCCACGGATGGTGCTTCTGGCACTAACCCATCTGCAACCAACGCTGTTAGCACGACTGATAGTTCTGGAGGTGGCGTCAGCAGCAGCGGGTCTGCTTCCGACAGTGCGGCTACCACATTGTTGACACAGGCGGCGAGTGGACAATCGGGTTCGACGAGCAGTACTGAGAGATTGGTAGCCACAAAGGAGTCCATGGCCGGTCTCGTAATCCTTTCGGTCTTGTCCTATGCGTTAGTATAGATGTACGATATCTTGCCTGTGGGATCACTATTATACACTGCATCGTCACCACACTCATTGTCCCTCCAGCAGAGGTTGCTTCTGAGTCTCCACCTGCTCCAGCTTCTCGTCATGGATTCCCGACTCTAGTGATTCAAAGCTCTCCGTTGATCTCCTTTCCAGCTCGACGTCCCGCTTGACCTGATGCAGTTGCTCAAACAGCTGAGATCGGAGGAGAGCGCCATAGGGAGTGAGGTCTTTTGGCCTTCTTGACAGCTAATGGCGAATCAGCCATTGCGACTCGATGCTAAAGATCGACATACCAAGAGACCCTCGATACCTCCCGCCTTTTCCACATCCCTGATTCTCCTCACAGACATCTTCACCGCCTTCAGCTTCGGTAACACCTCCCCATGAGCAACAGGCCCCCCGAGAACGGTGACAGGCCAGTCGGCGCGGGTCAAATTCGGCTTGAAGACACGTTTCGTTTTTTGGAGTGATTTCGGTTTATTGTTACCGGATCGAGTCATGGCGAGGGGAAGGATGGCAGGGGTGGTGGCGCGGGCCGTGAGGAGGCGGACGGGGACAGACATGGCGCGTGGTGAATGGAATAAATGTAAGAGGAGATGGCGCGAAATAGGTCAAAAGACGCCACACGCTAAAACGCCGATTTTGGTTCCGTTTTCGAAACTGCCCTCACAGAAGTTGTCGGGGTTGCTGTGAATTATCCACCAAGACCTACTCCGGCCTATCAAAAATGTCTAAGCTCCAGGCTGCCAGCGTGCGAGGGTCCATCAAGACCATCATCGACCAGTCCTCCCTTGAAACCCACAAGGAGGCTGGTGGTAAGAAGAGGAACTTTGTCGAGACCATCGAGCTCCAGATCGGCCTCAAGAACTACGACCCCCAGAGGGACAAGCGATTCGTGAGTCGTGCATGCAAGGGCGCTGGAATTGAGCTGACGTCGCATAGTCTGGTACCGTCAGGCTCCCCCACGTGCCCAGGCCCAGGATGTCTCTTTGTATCCTTGCCGATGCCATGGACGTCGACCGGTCAGTTTTTTCGCATCCTTCTTTCTGTCCCATACTGATACCTTGTTCAGTGCTAAGCAGCTCGACGAGGAGCTCCCCTTCATGACCGTTGAGGACTTGAAGAAGCTCAACAAGAACAAGAAGCTCGTCAAGAAGCTCGCGCAGAAGTACGACGCTTTCCTCGCCTCTGAGGCCCTCATCAAGCAGATTCCCCGTCTGCTCGGTCCCGGTCTTTCCAAGGCCGGTAAGTTCCCCACCCCCGTCTCTCACTCTGAGGATCTCGCCAAGAAGATCACCGACGTCCGATCTACCATCAAGTTCCAGCTCAAGAAGGTTCTCTGTCTTGGTGTCGCCATCGGTCACGTCAACATGACTGAGGACCAGATCATGACCAACGTCATGCTTTCCATCAACTTCTTGATCTCCCTTTTGAAGAAGCAGGTACGCTGATCAACCTTTGTCATTTTAGAATCTTTGCTGACCCCTTGACAGTGGCAGAACATCCAGTCCTTGACCATCAAGTCTACCATGGGCAAGCCTCAGCGAATCTTCTAAGCGATGTCCTTAGCTCTGTCTCTAGCATTTTCTGCATTCTTATCATCAGGCGTTTCATCGGAGGTTTAGGAGGAAGAAGGAGCTAGGAGTTGGAAAGGAAGGATGCGGCAGCACAACAGGAGTGATCGCACGCTTATACCCAAGCCTTGTCTGAGCCCTTAATTGGGTGTTCGGAGGCCGAGGGGAGCTGTCCTTTTTTCTTTCCTTCTTTAAGCTCTTTTCTTTCTTCTATTCCAACTTTGGTCGTATGGTGGGACGGTGTGATATCTGGAGAAGATTATGCATCAGCTCTCGCTATCACTATCTCGGTCTTGTCTGCTCGCGCTTCCGATCCATTTTTTTTTCTTCATTTGTTCACAGGAGCTTGCTACATACTGACTAATTTACAACACAAGATCAAACTGACACGAAAGTAACAAGCCTGAAGCTCAACAACTACAGCTTTGCGGATTTCCTCTGCCCCGCCAAGAATGGGCACCCTCCGCCAGCCATCCTGACTCCGCCGTTCGCCCCAGAGAATGGACACCCGCCACTCCCGAGCTTGGCAGTACGATTCGGGGGTGTAGTCTTATCGAGAGGCCTGCCTTCTTCAGCGGCTTTCTTGGCGAGAGAAGCCAAGCCTGTGTCATCTCGGTCCACGCCGAGTTCTGATATCAATGTTAGTGAATGACAAGGAAAGACGAAAAACATGTGACGGACCGATGAGTTTGGCGAAAGCGTTGGCAAAGTCTTTGAAGAAGAGATCCTGGTCGGCGGCGTACTTTTCGACCCATCCCTTGAACGCAGAGTCTTCGACGAGCGCCATCTGTCTACCCGTCAGCTGACAGCTCGAGACCTGTTAGAAGAACTCACGTCGGTGGGCAACATCATCAATTTGGTGCCAGCGACGGTAGCTTCGTACTGGAATGGTCCGTCCCATTCTCTAGGCTTCCAAATTGGGCGGAGGAGCAGCTTGAAGTATTGATTTGAGAAACGAATAGGGTTGACCACCCAAGGTCTAAATACCGGGTCAGCACCATTCCATCGTTATCACAGCGCAGCCCACCCATCAAATCCGCTCCGGTCCTTATGACATCGTCCCAACGCATGCGCCCCACTCAGCGCCACAATCTCCTGATCCGTGAACCCCATCCGCCCAAACACATCCCTCACATGCTGCGCGCCGAGCGCCCCGTCGGGCAGGCGGTCGCCCACGTTCCCGCGATGGGAGGAGGCTTCTTCTTCGGAGGCGTAATCGGATCGTCCGGGTGTCCAGGGGACGCGGGGGCCGCGCATGTGTTCGATGGCTGTCACTCCGGCTAGAGCTGCGAGCGATGAAGGTTAGTACGAAGGGAGAAGTGGAATGGAAGGTGAGAGAGGACGTACTCCAGAGGTCGGCGTGACTTATCCAAGGGTTGGCGGCTTGGATTGGGAGGAGGAAAGATATGGCGTGGTGCAGACCGGCGTTCGCAGGGTCGACAGACTACAGCGTGGGTCAGTCGTGGTTCTTGATCAATTATATCACGAGCCGTACCTCAGGTGGGAACCGCATACCAGCGCTTAGAGAACAAACTCTGGTTAGCTTTTTGAACACGCCGAGTGTCGCTCACGATGCCAAGCTCACCCATTCGATCCTCCATTGTGCTTTTTTGAGGGGAAGAGGCATGTCAGCGTCAATACTTCTACAGATGCAAGATATCTCACCTCGACCAAACTGAAATTACCTGACGCATGCCACGCCAAACTACACCAACAAGGCACATCAGCAACAATCCACTTTCAGTAGTACATCGCTAGACATACCGAACGAGGACTGGACCAGCAGATCCGTCGTCATAGCCTGGCTGCTTCATTATCTTTCCAATCTCTTCTCTCAGCGCTGTGAGTTTATCAGCTCATGGTCGCCCAGTATCAACTTGACATCATCCATCAGAGTTCAAGAACTTACCATCATAGTCGCCGACTTTGACTGTTCGTACGGATGCGGACATCGTGGTGACGGTGAGTTTCTAGGGGATATATAATAGAGGTCAAGTCCAAGGGCTGTTTGATATCACACAGTGACCTCCAGAGAGACTTGAAGTCAGCAAGAAAGTTAGATGGGAGGAGTAAAGCACGCGCTGTGATTTGAAGACACGGATTACCGCTTATTCCACAGCCGGAAGAAGCGGGCATCTCCGCCGGCCTTGTTGTTTACGCAACGTTGAGTGACAACGGATTGGGTAAAAGCGCTGTAAATGGGGTCTTTGGCGATGGGAGTTGTGAAAGTTGAAAGATTAGTATGCACAATCATGTAGAAGGTGAAACTTGAACCACGGAAGAAGTGTCTTTGCATGGATCATTCATCGATGACCGTCAGATAGTCTGTCCCATGGCTCGCATGATGTCTAACCGAGACCATCTACAGCTTACTTGGGTGGGTTGCTGATGCATGTAACAAAAAACGATAGTCTTGAAGTCTACACACGCCTTCTTGTGGTCTGCTCAACTTCAGTTATATCTTTTACTTTGGATCATGTCATCGATGCGGTCAGCTGATAGATATTCTGCCATGCAATGCAGTACCCTGCAGTCTCATGACATACGGCGGTGGCGTGATTGCTCACGGCCATCTAAACCTTCTACTTCTTTCCTTCGGCCATCCTTGTGGTGGAACGTGGCCAAGAGGCATGGAAGATCTGAGACTGAATCTATGACTAACAAGCGTATGAAGTGATGTTGGTATCACCAATGTGAGGCTGCATACAAGTTTCCATATTACATCCGCAGTCGTTTGGACGGAGGGGCCATGTTTTTTATATGGAGTCTCAAACTGATGACCCATGCGAGGCTGAATTCCTTTAAACGCATACTCTCCTCCGTACCGCTCACCATACATTCCTCTCCCTGGCCCACCATATAATTCTCCTTGCCCACCGAACACTTCCCTTTCTCGGCCATACACTTCATCAGGCTCATTACACGTCCCCTTGTCCGCAGCCGTACGCCATCTAGATCTGCGATGGCTTTTCGGAGACGCTCAGCAAGCTGACTGTTGGTCAGATATACATAGGGCGTATGATGCTTGGCAGCCTTTGCCATGCCTTGGAGCTTCTGCATTGCCGTGTCGAGGTGGAGTGAGTAACAGGTGGAACATGTTGTGAGGGTCGAGGGATGTCGTAGGGCTGGAATTGGAACCAAGCTGAAAGTCCTTTTGGCAGTTTCGATCGAAGATAACCACTGCATCTTTCGAAACCTGATCCAAGTGTCAGCAGCAATACACCCCATCGCCCATGAGACACTGTATCAGGCCCATACTGACCCTTTTGGTGCCCTTGCCCGCTCAATTTTCCAGCTTCAAATCGTCTTGGTCCGCTTTGGATTTCGAACCCCATTTGCCCTTTCCAATTGTGCCTCCTTCACCAAGGCTTCCGTAGGAAGGATGATCCGGTCCTGCTGCTTTTGCGTGACTGGGACAGGTCGCATTGCCTTGACGATGACACCGTCGTCGTCAGCAGGGCGTGCGATGACAGGCAGCGGCCTAGATAGACGCTGAGTAAGCGACATTGGGAGGGGATAGAGATACTCTTGAAAGAGCAAGCCAGCGTGGTGAAGTGTGTTGAAGACGCCTTCGCGTTCAAAGAGGCTGTACGCGTAGTACTGAGTCTGCGTGACATGGCTGGAGCCGTTCTTTCCATAAGATGCGTGCTCGTCGCGGAGGGAGGCTACAGTGGCCATCAGCTCGTATTCAGAGGGGCAGCGAAAATGACATACATCGAGGGACGGGGGGTAGAAGCGGGTCGGTGGACCAAGGATTGGGACCATACGCCGCTGTCTCGTTTCGTGCCATCTCCGGTACCAACGCCTGCGGAGAGGAGTAATGTAACGGGTCGCTAGGGCCACATCGGGCACTGGTTTCGAATCGAAGAAACCGCCCGTAGCGACGAATTTGTTTTGTTTTCCACCGAAAGGCTGTCAGATCTGAGACGTGACTGTATCATGAAATACATACTCTGTGAGGTAGAGGAGGAAACCTGCGCCGCAATCAAACTTCAGGCGTAGCAGCTATCAAATCAAAATCAGAAAGTGTCACTACGACAAGTGAGAGCGCAAGACGTACTTTGGCTATGGCTGCAGGATAATTCTGACTGAATTTGCCAGAATTCGCAGCCCTCACCTGGTGTGCTGCCTCATACGCCCCTACGCCACCATCACATCAGCTTGCTATTATACGTATTCTAGGTGGATCCCTGACTCTGTCCATGCGAGGCGAGTTCTCCCTTCACGACCGATTGGGATAAGTGCTGGAATCCCAGTATAATCTGCGACTATACCCAAGTAATACTTGTTACCAGCCATTGAGGCTCGCACATACCCTTTCAGATCGGCATGGATGACTTCTTCTTCAACATTGCCTTCGAATCATCACGAGGTCGGGAGGGACATATGCGTACTGCCTGGTCATCTCGTGCGGCAGATCGAGAGGGTTCTCTTTGCCACTGCAGTTTCGGATGTGGCAGCTCCCGCTGTGGCGGCCGCTGATTCCCTCCCGCCGATCTTCTTGCGCTGAGGAGCAGGTGTATCGGAGGATTCCAACTAGAGCCAGGACCGCATTGCACAGTCGAATCGTCCCCAGCCCCGTCTTCCTCTTCGCTCTCGTCATCCCTTGCATGGTTGAACAATTGATTGATGCTTGAGTCAGACGCCGGCAGGGCGGGCGAATCATTCGTTGACCTCGGAACCTCATCTCCATGAGATCGGGCGGGGAAGGGTGCAGATGGAGTATTGTCAAGGCGGGGAGCAGCGGAAGACTCTTGAGAGGTAGCGGAAGTGAAGTACCTGATGACGGATGAACCCCTTTCAAATATGTCAGCAGCGGATCGCTATGTGGGCTTTTGTCCGGGGTACAGAAAGCGGACTCGCCTCTGTCCCTGAGAGAAACGCCTCTGCCCCCAATGCCTCTGTTCTCATGTCCATGCTCTTCTTGATCACCGCCACGCGGAAATGGACATTCGTGGTGGGAGGAGACATCGCGACGGACGCTCGATTGTGATGGTGCTCGGCCTCCCCACCGGGGGCGCCAGCATGTCCAGTCCCTTGCTGGCGGTGGCAGCGAGCGGGCAGACGAACCGAACCCAACAATAGCCCGAGAGCGAGAGTGGAGGCACAGCATTTCGGTATCATGATTCATGTGGCAAATTCCCCGGCAAAGCTCTCGGGGGCGCTATACTTGTAGAAATACTTCCAGATTGCAGACAAACCCGTAGATGTTCTGACATGGCTCTTCAGAGATTTCCTCAGGACCATTTTTAGAATCATTTCTACTCTATTGCCAGACGCTACCTCGCTTTCCCTATATGACAAAATTCTCTCTTTTGAGCTGCAAGAAGGGTCATCACCCAGCACCGCGGTTGAAAGTCTGCCTGATCGTCGACTCACACCACTCCTTCGGTCCACCATCTTGCACCACTTTGCATAGCAGCTTCAATCAAGAAGAAAGCAAGATCGAGCTCGAGAACTTTACATAACAACAGAATCTGACCCAACGTTCTTAGTGTTCAAGTACTACGTCGACATCCGCTGATCGTTGATTCGATAAACATGCCAGATAATTCGACTACCCCTAGAGATGACAGCACAGACGCCTACAGTAATGGTGGTAAGCATTCTGACTCTGGAGAATGGGAAGATATCTGTTCTACAGTTGATTGAAGTACAGTGTAAAGGGAAGACTGACGCGCTGCCATGACAGACGTTCCGAGGGGCCGCATACCCCCCGCTAATAATGACACACCCCCCGCTAATAATGACGAGAGAAGAACTGATGATGGCTTTGAAGAGGTAGCTGGTACGTACGATCAATGGAATATTAGGCTATCATAACACACGCAGTAGCTGACCACAATCAGCGTCGCCGACAGTTTCCGCACAAGGTACCTCAATAGCAGCGTCCATCGTCGTCGGCGACGATGCTGAGGCCTACGAGTTTGTGAATTCACCTACATCGCACGCCAACTCCTCTATGGGATCATTCCAGCCGGAGAGTCACTTGGAGCAGCCTGAAGAGGAGAACACCGTGGAGATTGAATACGATTCCCCAAAGGAGCAGCCGAACATCCGGCGAAAGAGGAAACCAACGAGCGGGAATAGGATACCAGACTCCTTCCACAACACTTTCATCGACATGCAGTCTTTTGATCAAGCCACTCAGATCAACCGCGATGTCAACCCAAACACTGACACTCACAGATCCGTATCCATTGGATCAAGAGCATATGACAACTCTTTGATGATCAGTGGTAAGTCACTGCGCGATTTACCCTTTGTCGGGGGACAATGTACTGATGTAGAGTCCTTTCTTCACTGTTATAATAGGGGATACCACACAGGAAGATATTATCACTCTAATGAGCGTCCACTTTGAAAGGCTAAGGAGGGGCGAGAACTAAGTTGAGAGGAAATACTCTCGATAGCCAATCATGAGGAAAGTGTAAAAAGTGGAAAAGCGGGTGTTTTCGTCGTGCAGCTGTTTATACATATGCTACGAAATGAGCGGTGGACTGCAGATATTTCATCAATGCTAGTCGCAGGGCTATAGGCTTGTCCCTCCCCATATACCATCATGGCGCAAGTCCGGTGCCGGTTCAACACGGGAGTGTGGCAGAGTCCGGAGACGGACCACAAGCTATGGCCAGATAAGTCGGGGTTGAGTCCGGAGCGTTTCGTGTCTCTTCGTGGTCGGCTGGGGCGAGTGCGGCGAGCGGTGTGCGAGCGGTACGAGGCGTAGCCAAAGAAGTAGAAGAAGATGATAAGGATCCTTCGATAGGTATAAGAAAAGGAAGCTCCTGGGTCTCCGGCATGCATCAAGCTCTACGGACGGAAACAGGTAAGAGGTATCGCCGTGCCGAGAGTGTGGCGATGGTGCCATGTGCTACAGGGAGCTCAGAACAAAGAGCATCGTCCTTTGTTAAGAGCATGCTTTTCAGTGTGAATAGCTGCATGACTGGGCTACTCGGTAGTCGCATATATCACCATCAAGCTTTCTATTCCTCTTCGATAGTCGCCACTTCTGCTTTCTTCTTCATCTTATCCGGTAACGGCAGCAGCTCGCCCGTATCTGAAAGAACCCCCACAGGGTTCATTTGCTTGATCACATCCTGATTGGCAAGGTTGTTGCGCATGAGATTGCGAATGCAGAACAAGGCGTGTTCTCTCAAATCTGTCGATCGTATCAGCTGCTAGTCCTTGGACCCAGGACAAGGTGAGCAAGGGGCAAGGGTACGTACAAGGATTACCCTCATCAATCTCCGTCATACCCAGCACCAACTCAACACCACTCCACTCCCTCACTTGATCCCCAACGAACGTATCATTAAAGGAGAGGATGGAAAGTAGCCGGACGAGGTCGCGTTTGACTTTGGAGAACGGTTTGAGTTCGGGGTTGAGGGGTAGGGGTGGGGGGGAAGGGTCGGAGGATGTGGCTCGGGGGTTGGTCTTGGGGAAGAAGTCGTTCAGTGCTCGGAGAAGATCTGGGGCAAGTGTTAGGATGGGCGAGGATATCAATTTGCTGGGACTCACCGACTAAAGACTTGACTATGCCCTGCTCCTTGTCTTTCATCCTTTGCACCAAAGTCTTTTCCCCGGCCGCCTCCCAGTTACTACCTCCCGCATCAGCATCCTCCGAGCCAAGTGCAGCCGCATGATCAATCCTTTCTTGTACTCTCAACCCTATCGACGACAGACTCTCAGTCACCAGCATCAGCGCTGCAAGCTGTTTCGGCAGTCTCGGATCATCTGCTCGGGATGTGATGCTCGGGAGAGAAGCGGACGACAAAGAGATGAACAGGGGAACAAGGAAATTGTTGGGGTAATCACCCGAAATCGGGGGAGTGGGATGGTCGGAAGGCGGTAAGGCGAGGGAAGAGTCGAGTAGTTTGAGGAGGGTTGTTTGGGAGGGAGTGATTGGTTCGGGAGGTTCGGACAGCAGGTCGAAGAGTTTCGGATGCAAACAATGGAAAATGAAGGAGTTGAAGATAGAAGCACTATAAAGTTGTCGGTAGATCATCAAGGCATTAGAGGTGGGGGACCTACGAGAGCTCAAAGCAAGGATCTTCATTATCCAACCAGTCGTCCATCCTTCCCAAAATCTTGGCAAGCCATCTTGTCCCTGAGGCCGATAGGAGAAGGTTCCTGCCCAGAATTATTGACTGTCGGAAAGAGTGAAGGCCCTACTCACAAGCGTGAAGAGCTGTTGCGGGTGAGGTTGTTGAGCATATGTAGGGTGGCGTGGTTCGTCTTTTGTTCTTTTGAATCAAGGAGGCGGCTAGAAGGACATCATGAGCTATGAGATCCTGGTTGTGAAGCTTTGGAATTTACACAACGACGTCCTCTTCTCTGCCGCCAGAAGTGTACAACCGCAGGATCCTGTCGGCGGTCTCAGCAGCTTCAGCGCTATCGTCCGACGGAGAGACGAGGTTGGACAGAAGTTGCGCTGATATGGATTGTATTGTGAAGACTGCCTGCGTGTTAGATACCAGGACTTGCGAGATGGTGCAATGGCCGCTCACATCTGGGATCTTCTATGCGAACAAAAGTAGTGATATTGAAGATGAAACGTCGAATCGCGGCTTCATGCTTGCTGCGATGGGTTAGCATTGTCCCCCAGCATGGCAGTGTCTCTCTCACATTGCTTCTCTCTGAAACTCCAGAAGGCCAGCAACCAAGTTTCTTTCCAGCTTTGCGAGCGCCAAAGCGAGTTCCAGACGCGAGTCCTCCGAGGCAAACGAAGACGTGTCGGCTTGCTCACTAGGGTCAAATGACGCTGCCAGCAGCTCCCATGTCCTTCCTACATCATTAAAGAGTCCACGGGCAACATCTATAGGAAGGATCTCCGTCCTGCATAGTGGGTCAGCAACGGTCTCCAAGGAGCGATGGACGTACCGACGGTGGAGATTCTGCGCAATGCTCCGAGCTGCTGTCTCCGAGCCGCTGGCCTGCTGCAGTGCCCCCTCGTCGCTGTATATGGCGGTGGTGTCTATACCCAAGGACATACTGTTCGTGCGATATACAATTGAACCAAAAGGAGAGTGAAGCCAAACAAAGTTCATCACGTCGCTGAAGTGGAGGCAGGCACCGATGACCAGGGAGCATTGACCCGCTACCACAAACGTTTCTGCTCTCTCTATGGCACCGGTATCCCACAATGTCCATGCTGCCCCCACGCTCCCCCTCCAAGAAGTCCTTCCAAGGCGTCAACACAGCCGAGAAGCGCCCCGCCTCGCCAAACACCCTCATGAGCCTCAACAGCCCCACCTCGACTCCCAAGTCGCCCAAGGTCGTGCTCGGAGTATGTGCCATGGACGTCAAGGCCCGGAGCAAGGCCATGCGAGAAATCCTCACTCGCCTTGTAGATATCGAGAAGGGCGGTCTGGAAGTTAAGATCTTTGGCGACGTTGTCATCCTCGAGGAAGGTGCGTATCGAAGTTACCGGCATGAGCTCATAACGCTGCAGACATCTCTCATTGGCCTCCTGTGGATGTACTGGTCTCCTTCTTCTCTACCGACTTTCCCCTCCCCAAGGCGATTTCTTACACCCAAATTCCAAACCGGCCCCCGCCCATCTCCATCAACTCGCTGTCTATGCAGTCGCTCCTCTGGGACCGCCGGCTCGTGCTAGCTATCCTGGACCATATCGGCGTGCCTACGCCGAACCGCGCGGAAATCTCACGAGATGGAGGGCCCCGTATACCCAGGTCGTTGAGACGCAAAGTCAGAAAAGAGCTGGGTCTGGTGCTTCCTGGACCTAAATCAAAAGACGAAGACGAATGGGACAAGGTCGTCATCCCGGACCGGTGGAAGGGCAAACAGAGGAAGGACGCCATTCCCAAAGATACCGAGGTCATCCTTCGCGAAGACGGGGATGCCATCATTGTTGGTGGACATGTCATCGAAAAGCCTTTTGTCGAGAAACCCGTCGATGGTGAGGACCACAATGTGTACATCTACTATCGTGGCGGAGGTGGTCGACGACTGTTCCGGAAAGTCGGCAACAAGTCGAGTGAACATGACCCTAATATGTATCACCCCCGTACCATCGGATCCTTCATCTATGAAGAGTTCATCAACGTTGACAATGGTATGTCTGCTCAAGCTTGAAGAGACCATACTGACACGACGTACAGCCGAAGATATCAAGGTTTACACGATCGGCTCCAACTTTTCCCACGCCGAGACCCGTAAATCTCCCGTAGTAGACGGCCTTGTCAGGCGAAACGCCGATGGCAAAGAGACGCGGTTCATCACTTCTCTCTCTGAGGCTGAGAACCAATGCGCCAAGGACGTTGTTGAAGCATTCGGTCAGCGAGTCTGCGGCTTCGATCTGTTGAGGTGTGGTTCGAGGAGTATGGTCATTGATGTCAACGGATGGAGTTTCGTCAAGGGCAACCAGGTAAGCGCACCAGATCTCGAAAGTGAATGTGCTTATAGGGACTAGGCATACTACGACAAAGCCGCCGAAATCCTCTCTGGCGTCTGCCAACTTGCGCGCGACCGCAAAATCCGAGGCATCCAAGCCGGCTTACCTGCCGATAACAACAACAACGAAAGTGCCGGAGGCTCCACAACCAGTACCCTCCGTGCCACCATCACTGTGTTGCGTCATGCGGACCGCACGCCCAAGATGAAGCTCAAGTTCTCATTCCCAGCCGACCAAGCTTGGTCCAAGCCTTTCCTTCGACTGCTCCGCGGTCATCGTGAAGAGATTATTCTTCGTGATACGAGGCAGTTGCAGTTTATCCTTTCGGCGGCGGAAGAGTCTGCCAAGATGGAAGGTATTACGGAAGAGCAGCTGCAAAAGCTGTCGCAGATCAAGGAAGCGTTGGGACGAAAGATGAGTTTTGCGGGGACGAAAGCGCAGCTCAAGCCTAGTTTCGCCAAGAAAAAGGGCGAGAAGGGGGAGAAAGAAGGCAAGAAGGACAAGAAGGAGAAGGAGGAGAAGGAGGACGAGGGTGATGAAGAGGACGAGTCTGAAGAGGGCAGGAGGAGAGTGAACGAATGGCTCGCCCGAGGTGAACGAGCCACTGCAGATGGTGTCGCCCCTCACCCGTCCACCCCCGACAATGCTGCTGTCGATGTCGGTCCCCGCTCTGGAGTCCCTCACAGTCCTCAGATCACTGCTGCTCTCGACGAGGCTCCTGCTGGTGGTAGGCATGTCAACTGCCAACACGCCGAGGATGAACCAGACATCCCGGAAGGGCTGGAGAAGATGCAGTTGGTTGTCAAGTGGGGTGGTGAGAGCACACACTCTTCTAGGTATCAGAGTAGGGACCTGGGTGATGCGTTCAAAAAGGATATCATGATCATGAGTGAGTAGTACTCTTGGTTCCGGGTAACTTGCTGACGACGGTACAGACAAGGACGTGCTCAACAACGTCAAGATCTATACCTCTTCCGAACGTCGAGTCATCGTAAGCCACATCTCTTGAGCTAGCATGGACCGCACTGACATGATGCAGAACACTGCCCAAATCTTCGCCCACGCCCTTCTCGGTGCCGAAGGATCCTCTTCCACCTCCCAACAAGCCTCCTCCGGCAACGGCCAATCTTCCATCGCCGCCTCCCGCCTTCCGCCTGACGCTGGCCCTGCGGGTCCTCAGATCAGTCATCTCATCCAGCGACGCGACCTCTTGGATGACAACAATGCGGCCAAGACGCTGACGAGTGACGCAAAGAAGAAGCTCAAGATGCTGCTGAGGACGGGCGAAACAGAGAGAAGGACGGATTTGGCGTGGCCAAAGAGTTTCAAGAAGGAGCCTGTTGAAGTCGTCTCTGTAAGTAGATCGCTCCCTTCTTTCACGGGTGTGCTGACAAGTGTCAAAGGATGTCATTGAACAGCTCACTGAGCTCCGTGGTATCATGCGCCGTAATTACGAAAACGGCAACGTTGAAAAGATCCCCCAACAGCGATGGTGCAGTGGCGACAGCCCATGGTTGTTCAAGGAGCGTTGGGAGAAGATCTTTGATGACTGGGTAGGCGTCAAGCAGGAAAAGTTTGATCCTTCGAGAGTCTCCGAGCTGTATGACAGTGTAAGCGTGCTTTGTGACATGTGAGAGTATGGCTGACAAAAGAATAGATCAAGTACGATAGTCTGCACAACAGGACCTTCCTCTTTGCCGTTTTTGACCCCGAGGGTAAGGGACAGACCAGCAAGGCCGGTGCTCCCAACCAAGACCGACGTAAGCTGCAAAGTGTCTCCATAACTTTGGTATCAGCTAAACACGGTTGAACTAGGCCTGCATGACCTCTTTGGTCGTGCCAAAGCTCTCTTCGACCTTGTTGCCCCCCAAGAATACGGCTTCGACGCCGAGGCTAAAGAGGAGATTGGCGTCCTCACAAGTCTGCCGTTACTGAGAAAGGTGTGGGAAGACTTGGAAGAAGCAAAGAGCACTGGCAAATCTTTGGCTTGCTTCTACTTTACGTGCGTACACTCTCTGCTTCCAGGTCAAGATTTGCTGATACATGCACCTCACAGTAAGGAATCTCATATCACGACTTTTGTCCACCTCCTCCTCGCTTCCGGGCTTCCTTTCACCAACGTCCGTATCCCCGAGCTCGACTATTGTTCCCACTGCACTATCGAACTGTGGGAAAAGTCTACCGGCACTGGGCAGAAGGACTTTTCCATCCGATTGAGTATCAGCGAGGGCGCGCACAGTCCGGCTGTATTGGACAGCAACGTCGATGCTGTAAGCACCCTTCCCTCACCTCGGCCAAACCTCCTCTTAACCTCCCTCGTAGCGCCACAGTCTCACAGTCCAGCCCCGCAAGAAGCTCTCCTCCCACATCGACTACGACCTCGCCAAAGACTGCTTCTCTAAACACTTCAACCGCGGGCTCTCCTTCTCTACCACCCCTCTTGAAGGGGATGAGGTCTATTTGAAGAAGAGTATCCAGGACGAGTCGGTGTTGCCGTTGTCGAGCTTGCATGGGGCGGCGAGTAGTAGTAGGCAGGGGGATGAGACGCCGCGGATGATTAGTTCGGCTAGTAGTGATAGGAGCCACCCGGGGGATGGGTGGTGAGCGGCATGCTTTGGACAATTTGGATACGTTTGTTGTTCAGGCAGGTGTTCACATCGATTCGATGATCTCTTCAGTAGAATTGATGAATATGTATGACGGCTGCCATCGGCTGTTTTTGGTTCGTAAGCGTGATGAGTGGAGCCAGCTTGCTTGGCTTCTTGAATGACGAACATCACCTGCGAGGCCTAGCAGCAGGAGCCCCAATCGATAGAAGACGAAGCATTCACCGCAACCTATCAAATATCAGTCGCGCTGCGAATGCGCCCAATCCATGCTAGGATTAGTCGGAATATTACCCCGGTTAGTTGCCAAGAGGCGAGACTCTAATACTCTAAAAGCCCTAGTCTGTCAAGCAAGAAGCGATGCGGTCACCATCCCGGCGCAACCCGGTACGAAACTCGGTAAAGAGCTTTACCCGCACCGACCACGCCGAGCCAATCAGCGCGCTGCCCACACGTTTGGGGCTCGTACACGACTCATTCCTCAATTTCCAACATCGAATGCTGGAAGCGGGATGCTCCTATCCATAGCCCCATTGTATGCTCCCCACCAGATAAGCATCCACCCTTGTAGCCTCCTCTGTATCCAAGCAGCGCCCGTTGTCGGTAAAGAACCGATGCATGATTTTGGCAAGGATCGGGAAATGGTGATACAAGTTGTCGATGATGGCAAGGATCCAGTCGCAGATGGATCGTCTACAGTGATATGATCGTGAAAAGGGTACCAGAAAGTGTCATATGTCTAGAATCGGATGTTGACTGTAGCAATGTCAGCGAATGCAAAAAATGTAGACAGAAAGACACGTACAAGACTCTCCGCATCCACACGTGTCAACCACGTTGGGGCTGAAGGGTAGAGACGTCAGCATCCTATCCAAAGCACTATCCAGACTACTACTCACTTGTCAAAGACGAAACCAGCGCTTAACCGAGTGTCCCTCCAGTCCATCCTGCTTCCGATAATGCTGAACAACGCCTTGCTGTCGATCAAAACCCTGACGCCATCCTGCTCGACAACCTCGTCAAACTTGCCTCCGGGAGGGGGCACATAGTCGAGGTGGTAGGCCATACCGGCACATCCACGAGTCTTGACACCAATGCGCAACAACCGGGGCTCTGTGGGGGATGATACGAGGGCCCTCAAGTGTTCGATGGCAGCAGGGGTCTGAGTGATTGTCAGCACCAATCCATCCGTCATGGCATTAACGTACCATTGTTATCGGCGCCTTCTTGCCTCTCAAATTACCTGTTCTCCTGGGGGGCCTCTCGCTCGCCTTGGGCTGCACCTTAGAGGCAGGTGCCGCTGGTGGAGTGGGCGTGGGAGCGACATGCATCTCCTTGACGCCACCCTTGCCGTTGCCGCCCGACATCATACCCGAATGTTGCAGTTGGCCTTGCTGGACGACTGAGCCATGGTAGGCAGGGGATGAGGTGGGGGAGTAGGACTGGGGGGAAGGGGATGTGACGTGGTGAGCTAGGGAGGAGCCGGAGCGGGCAAAGTAGGTGAGGGGGGACAGGTGGTGGAGGGTAACCCTGGAGGTGGATGCGAAGGTGGTGCGGAATGCAGGGAAGGCCATGTTGGGTGACGATGGATGAGATGTGGATGAGAGATGGTGATTGCAAGCAGTGAATGAATCGGCGGCGAGCAATCAAACATCGGCGGCAACCCCCGCTGAATTGCCACACATTTCATTGGCCCAAGAGCGTGGTACGTAAAGATCTCAATTATGTAATGTATGAATAATTATGTAATGTATGAATGGGTGGCGGGGACAACGACGTTAACAACATGTACTTGTACAACACCAACGCAGGCCGCGGGAATGTATTCTTCACCCACTATCACCCACCGACCCATTCATCAGCACATCTACTTCCTGATTGATACCTCGCCAGTACTCATAGACTCCCCGCACCATGCCCCCGAAGTCACCCTCTCGACCGTCCGGCCAGGACTCTCCTGGCGCCTCTTTTTCTACCCCTTTAAAGGCGTCCGCACGACCATCTGCAACCGACCCCAAGACATCATACAGCTCCCTAGGGACATCACAAGACCCCTCTCAATCCGAACTCAAGGAGGCGACTAAACGCGACCTCCCCATCGATTTTGACTCGGCCATCCTCGAACGCGATTTGTCGCGTTATATGCCACGGGATTGCAAAGATCCCACCCCTCCTGAATGGCCGACGGGGACCAAAGGTGATGCCCACTATGAGCAGATCGCCAAGTTCATGAACTCGGTCTTGAGTGTAGCCCGAGAGGCTCATAAAAAGTCTGGCAAGAATAATGTCGAATATTGCGCGCTCGACTACCTATACACGGATAAATTCCGATGGATCGCTTACAACAAGCAACTCATGTCTGACAGGGACAGCAAGAAGGAGCTCAAACCAGACCTGGTCGGGTGCAAGCTCGATGACCCGAATCTCTTCGATGAGGGCACACAGAAACTGCCCAAAAAAGCATACCGCGTGCAGGCAGCGCACCTGATCACTTTTTGGCGAGGTCAAAAGAAATCAGAGTATCTACGATGCTGTAGTCCAAGCCTCCACCTATGGTCGAGCTACTTTTGGCTCCCAGCCCAATCGATGTGGTGTACGCTTCGTTGTCATGTCATTCAATGGTACCAATGTGGAAGCGGCCATCGGGGAAATGGATATGGCAGGCATCTACCTCACACACGTCCACAATCTCAAGGATCAATACCAGTACACCCGCTTTTGGCGTCTTCTTACAGGGATGTACTGTTCCCCTATCGACGATGCTGGCTGCAATCGGCGCATCCGCTTCTACTCCAATGAAGCCGGAAACATGGTGCTCGAAAAGTGGTCCTACGCTCAGAAGGCGTGGAGGTGCGTCGAGAAACGTCTGTGTAACCGGAACAACTTCTGGTCTCGAACCACCCGCGTCGATGCCCTTCATCCCGCTGGATCCGAAGAAATTACAGAGTATGAATCTGCCCGGCGAGCTCCATTGGAGGAGGGAGCCAAGAAGCGAAAGAAGGAGGAAGACACAATCCCCCAACCTGCCAAACGTGGGAGGTCTGGGCAAAGCTCAACGTCTTTTAGGAGGGAGGACGCAACGGATGAGCCAGACCGACCGGTAAGTACAGTATCTCTACGGGCACTTTTCAATCAGGAACTGATCTTTGTGGTCAGAAAGCTGCTCCAGAACAAGGCTCGGACGTGGCTGTGTCATCGCCTCTATTCAATCACGAAGATATCCAGCGGCTTAAAGCTCCACTCATTACTGTTATTGTCGAATCATCCACAGCGATTGAGCACAAAGTGGAAACCGACATCTACAATCCCATCACTCGACACAAATATTCTGAAAGACAAGTGTACCAATTTCTGGAGAAAGTGCTCGGTCACAACCAGTCCATGCGTGGCATTGCTCAATTTGCCTCTCGTCGTACGGGTCGCCCAACTAGGGCTGTGGGCTGTGTGGTGGGTGGCGAGAAATTTTACCGCAATGGTCTTGAAGACTCAGACGAATCATGCGCCAGTAATGATCTTGTAAGTTATCGACTCATGATTTAGCACCTTTGTCTTGCTGACACTTCTGCAGTTGCGAGATGTCACCAAGTATCTTGATCTTGACGGACATCTCACTCCTGACAGCTATTATCCCCGACGCGCGTCCTCTGTCAAACCAAAACCGGTCATCCCTCGTATCGAGACTGTCCAGGAAACCGTCACATTAGGGGTCACATTGTTCGACGTATACCAGAAGCACAAGATGTTGGGTCTTGTGAAAGCTATACTGGGTGCATTGCATGGTGGGTACAGCGCGGGGGATGTCCCGGAGTATCATGAATGTGGCTGAAACTGTCCTTCATAGGGTACCGCAACCTTCTTCGAGGCGGCTGGCTACATCGAGATATCAGCGTCAACAATATTGTCGTTGGTTCAACCAAAGGTTTCGAACCATGCGATTATGATCAGGATGGCGGCCGTGCTGTGCCCACTGCCTACAGTTCGGACTGTCTGATTGACGATAAAGATGGGGAGCTCTGTGGCATGTTGATCGATTTTGACCTTGCTGTCTTGAAAGGGCGAAATGGCGGGACTGCCAAGGATGACAAAGCTTTTCTCACGGTTCGTTTCCTAGCTTGCTCCACCATGCTCGTGTGTCTGATGCTGGTGCTTGCAGGGGACCATGAACTTTATGGCGACAGCCATTTTCAGAGCCCATGACGAGATCGCGGATGGAGAAGAAATCCCGTCCGCACATTCCCCAATCTTCGATTTGGAGTCTTTCTTCTGGGTCCTAATCTACGTCCCACTTTACTGTGACACACAAGGTGATACCCCCAACACACGCGATGTGTCTATCTTCCGGTCTCTTTTCGGATCATTCCCTGCTTCAGTGGGCAACCGGGATAGCTTTCTGGCACGCAAAGGTTCGGGCTACATTGACGACGAAGAATGCTGTCTCGCACCGCTGGAAAACCTGCTGACAGAACTTATGGACCTTGTCGATGATTATTATAAGCAATCTTTGCGAGCAATGAAGGGGAAGGCCGGACAAAGCAGAAAGGCAGAGAACATCGGGAACAGCCGAAAGACCACGAAGGGCGGAAAGGGCGGAAAGGGCACGAATATGATGTGTCCTTGGAACGAGTGCGAGGAGAACATGGCTGTTGAGAAATTCATCGATATCCTCAGCGGTTATGTACGAGAGCAGGTGTAGAATGGGCGTCAATGAGGTAAGTCTCAGTCTTCCCATCTCAGGCGCCGATCGTTGACCGCTAGACCGTAGCTTCCCTCGAGTTCAGCTACTTGACTTGACCCTTGTCGCACCACATTTCCTTTCGTTCTTGTTTATGATTCCTGGGTAAGTATTTGGTGAGGGGCTGAGTAATTTATTGCTGACTGCCATGGCGCACTACCCAGCCCTTTCCTTATCTCGGGTAGCTTTCAACCCCAAAATATTGTTGTGAGCACTTGTTGTGCCGAAATGTCATCTCTGTCTTGCTGACTATATCGATGCAGCTTCTTATATCGATTTGCGCTGTTCTCACATTCGCCAGGTCGCACGATACCCTACCAAGAAGAGTTGATACCACGAAACAACCCAATCAACCATATATTTCATGGATCGGTGTCGCGGCGATAGAATGGGAGATGATAGAGGTTGGGCGGCAATGAGCTTAGTGATATGTCGCATATATGTACATAGTATTGTATGAAGCTGTCCAGTATAGCATGAAGCAGTACAGGCAAGAAAAATAGAAGGAAAGACAAGTGACGGAGCACATGGGCAAACTGAGAAGGGCAGCATGGCGCGGCGGCCGGAACTCAGTTGTGTACCCGTAATGTATGAGTGGGTGGCGGGAATACGGCTGTGCATTCTCTTCCATCTTGTGTTTCGAGGAATGCAGCTCAACAGCACTGCCCCTGCAGCCACGCTGTGCCACACTGTAGACAACACTCAACATACACTCCTACCGGCAGTTCGGCGGCGGGCGGGGCCGCGGTAAAGGTCGGTGCTACTCGGCGTTACGTCATCCCTCCACCTCAGTGGACCATATGCGATCCATCAACCAAGATGTGATCTTTCTGTTACAACTTGTAATCCATTCATGCCGTTCCCAGACCGCAGACATTTATCACCTCCGCCAGACCTCCCAGATCTTCCCTTCGAAGTCATCCGCCGTATCATCTACTTTCGCCTGTCCCTCCCCCCGTCCTTTCCATCTCCCGTCGCCGCCCATCATGAGACCGCGGCGATCCAACCGTCCTGGGACTGCTGGGCAGGCGCCAAAGGCCGAGAGGTAGACTGCAAGCTCGTTAAGGCTCGCAAAGACATCAGCAAGACCGCTCTGGGGCTGTTGTTTGTGTGCAAAGCTTGGAAGGTGAATTACTCTGATCTGACAATTCGGCCGAAGTGGCTGACTATATCCAGCCCATGGTACTCGAGTACCTCTATGCTTCGCCTCATATAACAGACAATCTCACTCTACTCTCCCAAGCCATCTTGCGTGGCGAAGCCAAGTGGTCAGATATCAACATTCACAAGTTTTCCCTTCCGGGTCGATACCTGACAACCCTTGATCTCTCGCATCTGCCGCCAGAATTCGACCGGTATGCCCCAGGACCTATTGCCACACGACAGGCAGTACTGTCCATATTCCCCCTGCTACCCAATGTGGTCCATCTAAAGCTGGGCGAGAAGGACTGTCGCAGGGTGGTACCTTTGGAAGAGATTGGTTATTCAGCTTTTGCGTCAAAGTTGCAATCGCTTGAAGGGGTATGGGTTGATGAACGAGAGAGAGGCGGGGTGGATCTTGTGCGATTACTGCGACGGTTGCCGAGTCTACAAGCTCTCAGCGTCTCGGGCCCGGGTATCGCCGTCGAGCCTCCAGACCTTGACGGCGCCGCACCCCTATCACTTCCAAAACTCCACAGCCTCAAATTGGAGGGCATCCCCTCCGGCTTCTTCGTCTCCTCCCTCCTATCTGCCTCCCTCCCCTCCCTCACCCGCCTGGCGCTTACTCCCACACCATTACTCCCAAACGACCAATCCCTCCCCCTCCAGCACTCCCTCTCCTCCCAAATCCTCTCCCTGTCCTACCTCTCCCCGCGCGGATGGCCCAAAGCCGACTGGTGTATCCCCCCCGAAACGCTCGCCATCCACCCCAGCCTCTTTCACCTTGCCGTCCTGGACCAAGACTACGAAGCTCTAGACATCCTCCTCCGCTCTTCGTCCGCGCACGATCATCCGCTCCAAGCGCTCACTGTGCAAAAATGGTCCCCATCCACGTTCCCATCCCCCACCCTGTCCCTATCTTCTTCCCCCCCAACAGCACCCTCATCCATATTTCCCCTCTCCCCCCCGCCTTCCCCGCCTTTAGCCGCTTCTTCCTCCCCCCTTCGCAAGTCCGGGCCAGCATTCCTGCACAATATCTTATCCCACCGCTCGCCCGCGCCCAAGGGGTTGAAGACGATAATGATAGACGGTTTCAAATGGCTCAACCCCTCACTTGGGGTCATAGCTATGCAAGCCGGGCAGATGGGTGAAATGCGGTATTACGCCAATCTACTATTCTCTCAAAAAGGGATTGAAGTGAGGGATATGGAAGGGGAGAAGGTGCCTGATTTGGTGGGTGCTAATTCTGTGGGTATGGGTGGAATGGCGATGGGTGGGATGGGTGGGAAAGGAGGAATGGTGATTAGGGGAAGGAGGGGGAGTGCTACTGGTCTGCAGGGAAGGTGGATGATGAGTCCGCCAAGGGAGGGTGGGTTGAGGGAAAGGTTGCAAGAGAAGGAGGGGTGGGATGAAGATGGAGGGTGAAGGTTGGAATCGTTTGTATATCTTGTTGTAGCTCCAAAGCCGGGTTGCGTCTTCCGCTGTTGATACTTCTATACTCTATGTACTGTACTTGTAATCTACAAAGTCCAAATGGATGCTGCAATGAAGCATGTGCGACAACAGTACAAGTAGCAGCGTCCACGTGAGTTCTTAAGAAGATATATCGTAATCATTGTTGCGTGACATTGTTCGTAGGACAGACAAGACAACCAGAGAACAAGAGTCGTTATGGGAGACGTTCCTCTACCTCGTAATCTAACTGTACACACCAAAGCCTATAAGGGACTACCCCCTAGTCAGACCACCCACTTCTTGCTACGCTCGAGTCAGCAACATCCATCAATGGGGTCAGAACAGACTCACCACCCTCCTCTGCCTTCCAAGCCACCCCCCCGGAGTACTCTTCCCCTGACTCCTCCTCCCCGCCCCTCCCAACACCCCCGCAGCGCTCCCCGCATTCTGCAGATGCGCACTCATCACCCTCGACCCCAGATCATGCCACGCGCCCAGCATGAGCTGGTTCTCCATCTCATGCAGACTCTTCGACCTCGCATTCGATTGTTTGAGCTTGGAGAGGGTGGCTTGGAGGGAGGCGATTTGGGATTCGTATGCCTGTTGGGCGGCTTCGAAGAGAGAGTGGTCTTCTGTGTTGGAGCTGGGGGAAGCTAAGAGTTTCTCTTGGAGAGCCTTCACCTCTGCGGATAGCTCGATGTTCTTTTCGTGTACGTTGAGAAGCTGTTGCTGAGTTTCCGGAGGGACGCCGCTAGCAGACATCGTCGCCCGAAGTTCACTGAATTACTCAGCCAGGTCCTCAAAAAGAAAACGCAATACAATACGTACCTGAACTCTTTCTCCTTCTCCAAAACTCGTTCACGTTGGGTGATGCCAGCTGATTGAAGATCGACCTTGTCCGTAAGGAGTCTGTCACATCCACGTCAGATATGCATTGGTTGACTTGGGGAGATGAACGCACTTTTTGATCTCTTCGAGATTCTGCCTATCCTTCTCGCGGAGAATGTCGATCTGGTCTTTGAGCTGTCTGACTTGGGACTCAAGGTTGGTGGTGTCCTTTTCGACGTTTTCGCGCAAGGCTATGTCATGGTCGTCAGTAATCACATCCTTGCTGGTCGAGATTCATTCTACGCACACGCAAGAATATCTCGCTGGTCCTTTCCAACCATATCCACTGACAATCATGGTTAGCAGAGCGACTTCAAACGACCATACCAACTTACAATCTCTCCTCGCGCCCTCCAGAGCCTTCTCCACCTCTTCCTTCCCCTCCTGCATACCTTTCTTCTCCTTCCTCAGCCCTATAACTTCCTCCTCAAGCTCCTCCACCCGTTTCCTCAAGGCCTCAACCATAGCCGCATTTCCACCCTTCCCTTTACCTGAACGAATAGCTTCCAACGTCGCCGACAAGCGCAGAGTCTCGCGATGCGCGGTGAGATAGTCTGTTTGGTACCTGTCACGGGAACGGGTGGCGTCGGAGAGCAAAGCCTGGACGGTGGAGAGTTCTGTTTGGGAGCCAGGGGTGTGGGAGAAAGATTTGAGGGAAGCGATCTCGCGTTCGAGGGATTTGATCTTGACGCGGAGGCTGATAAGTGTCAGATGTTGATCATATGAGAAGCTATATTGAACGTACTCTGTCTTGCTCTCCATCACTCCCCCGTCGATCCCCTCCAGTTCATCATCCAACGACACCGAAACATCACCCAAAAGAGCCCCCGACTCGCTCCTCGTCATACCTCTCTTCCCCGCTTCACCTCCCCCACCCTCAGTCCCTCCACTCAGCTCAAGCTCTTTCAGCTTCTCCAAATTGACAGCCAGTTCTTCCTCGTGCTCGTCGTACGACTGCTGTAGCACCTCCAACTGTCCTTGTGCCGTCTCCAGCTGCTGGTTTAGCTGGGCAATCTCCGAAGACTGATCAGACGTCTGCTTTTCGAGAGTAGTGATTTGTGACTTGTAAGTGTCCAGAAGCGATTTCGATGAGAGGGCCTTGTCTAAGTCGGCTTGCAAAGTCGAGTTGGTGTTGACGAGCGTGGCGTTCTCTTTTTCGAGATTCTTGATACCGAGTCAGCTCAGGCATAGTAGAAGGTGAGGTACGCACCCGAAGCTCCCGTCGAAGCCCAGCGCTATCCTCCAACTTCTTGCGATACTTTTCAATCACATTCTCGCTCTTGCGCAGACGGTCCGACGTATGCCGGAATTCGTCCAGCTGATCTTTCAACCGTACGGCCTCCTCGGCTTCGGCTTTGTACTGCTCGATCTGCATCGAATTAGCGTCTGCACCTTGATATTTCAATGAAGCTGTTATAATCTTACTTCTTTGGATAGTTCGTTGACCAGGGCAGTCTGCTTTTCCAACTGCTCCTCCACATGTGCCAAGTTCTCCTCAGACTTCAGCCTTCGTAGATGTCAGCAGTGAGCCTCGTATACAGCAAAAACCTACAGGTCTGCTGTAAGACGATCAGACTCGCCGGTATGAGCGTTCTGACTAGTCCGAAGCCCGGCCCCAGGCCCCTCATTCCGCTTCAGACGCTCCATGGCGTCGTCTCGGTCCTCTTTTGCTTCATCCTTTTTTACAGTCAGAAGCATACCATAATGAGGGAAGGAGATACTTACCAGTTCGCTGGTGAGCTTGGACACTTGTGCGACCATCTGCTCACATCGTGAACGGAGATCGTCATTCTCTTGCAGCAGCTTGTCCCGTTCTGCTCTCAGTCCAGACGGCGGGGGCCTAAGCTCATCAGCACATACAATTCCTTCACCCATGTTCAAGCTCACGAATACGACATATCCGGAGACGGCTTCAACGGCGAAGCCTGCCCACTCCCCTGATGCTCCTCCGGCATCGTCGCCATAATCTGCTCAATACTCTTCATCAACTCTGCCATATGCTCTTCATTCAACCTCTGGATCTTGGTGATCACATTCTCATTGTTGGGTGCCCACACGCCGACCACGAGGCAGAGACGGCAGAGGTGGAGGAGGCCTTGGGAACCTTCGCGGGTGGAAGGGGATTTGGCGATGGAAGAGAAGGGAGGTTCGGGGAGTGATGAGAGGGAGAGAGAGGGAGGGTGGGGAGCGGGGAGAGGGTAGGAGAGGAGAAGGCGGTATAGTCGTTTCCTGGCAACAGATCAGCTCAGTCCACCATCACTATAACGGCACGAACAATGTGTTGGTACGGAGCACCCAGTTCTCCGAAGAGCTTGATGGTCCAACAGCTCTGGCAGGGACATTCTTGAAATGCGTCTCATCACTTTGACACTTTCAGTATAACCCATCAAGGCCCATTGATACATACACAAAGTTCATAACCTGTGGCAAAGTCAGCAGCGTCCCACGCGCCAGAGCCGTCAACACGCACCTCCATCAAGGCTTTCCCGTCTGCGAGCTGGACAAAGTCTGTGACTCGTTTTGAGAGCTTGAAGAGGTTTACGAATGCCACGAGGGCATCCTTGTCATTCCGGGACATCGCTATGGGGCTGTCTAGAAGAACAATACTTGACTTGCCTAGTGCACGATCCGAGCGCGTCGCAGGGTGGAGGTCGCTTTACGTAAATAATAGGTTGTCGTGCATCGTTGAGGTATCTTTTCGGCGTTGTTGTTCGAGCGTAGATAGGTAGTGAGGCTAACGACACAGCTCATGTATCTGTAGTCGTTGAGCTCTTATAGGTCCTTGTGCAGCTCTCAGCTGGTGGTCGTCAAGGGCGAGAGGGAGATTTCAGCTGCCAAACGAGGGTTTCCGCCGGCTCGCTCGACTGATTGCAGAAATCGTTGTAGTCGAGAGTGTAAGTATCGGGATACATTCGAATGAAGAAGTCTCAGTTCTCCGCGTCTCCTTCAGCTGGTAACACTTGATATGCTAAGTTGCCTTATGATGACTCGATGTTCGCTCAATACTCGTACAATCTCAGATTAGATTCCGGTTTCGAAGCCCGTACTGGAGTACGAGTATTGCTTCCGGGGTCTCCCTCGGCTCATCGACTACAAATCTACAATGTAGCCGGATGAAGAACACCAGCGCGTAATTGCACCTCATCAGCCCGTTGTACTTACTCACATCACACCACAATTTCACTGATCCGGCGGGCGAACCAAACAAGACAGACAAGCACGATGACGTGATCGACTTTAGCGGAGAGGGCTGAGAGGAATTGGAGTGTCAAGGTGTCTAGGTACATCTGGGATTGTCTACCACACCCATCACTGGAGCTACTGGCTCGAGTGTGCTGCTTTGAAGTATAAGCAATGTCTGGCCAAAAAGGCAAGAGACCGATGGCCGGCAATAGCCGAAACCCGAAATGGTAAAGGCACGCGCCGAGATGGAATATGGCGTCGCCGTCGAGTCGGAAGCAGGAGGCTGACTAACTCGCATTGTGTTCTTTGATAACAAAGCGAACCTGCTTGAGCCGGTTACCCTCTGCTCCTGGAAATGTAGCCTGAGAAGTTCACGACTCGATTTGCGCAATTCAATTTCTACAACTATCCCACCGTATAATAGCTTGGGTGCCAATCTCACCTCAGCTCGTCAACTGCCATGTCGTATCCAACGGTCCGCGCTCAGTCTCCGTTGTCTCGAGGCCGCGGTGCTTCTCCCCGCCCGCCTCCTTCATATGCCCGCTCAACTCTAGACCGGCCCTCTCCTTCGTTGGGCCCGCGTAACCTGGAAGATGAGTTCCGGCCTGGCGTACCCCCTCCAATCTACTTGAGGAGGTCGGGCACACAGACTATCAGCGGGAAAGGCGTCTTGAAGATCCATGTCCCTGGTTGGTAAGTGGCAGCCAACCGCCAGAACATTTCGAATATGGCTAACTTATACCCAGGGCCTGCGTCTTGTTACGCCCTCCTCGACTTCTTGATCTGCACCCTCTCGACTCTAACAACGGGGAGCGCATCCCTCCTTCGAATGACACAGTTCTCACGGGAGTACTCGAGATCGTCATGACCGAAAGGCGAAAAGTACACGCAGTCTCTGTAGGTGTTCAGAGTGTGGCGCGCTTGCACTTGGGGCAAGGAAGAGGATGGGAGGAAGATGGGATATTTGAGAGGGGTGTGGAGGTACTGGGAGGGAATGAAGAAGGTATCTGGCTTGAAAAGGGCACTCAATCGCAAGTTCATGTTTCAATGGTATGACACAGTGCTGATGACAGCAGTTTTGGGTTCACAATCATCCTCCCAGCGACACTGGCAACAACAGACATGCACAACTGTGGCCGCGTGTCATACATCATCACAGGCTGCGTCCGCGGGATCCCATCACAACCATCATCCTTCTCCACCATGTTCAAGTCTACCTCGTATCTCAGTTCCGAGATCCCATTCGTGGCCGACTTTGAGCGGGTCATCTCACGCTCCGATAAGGCTGAAGCCAAAGCCCGCGCCAGGACCGGGTCAGAGTCGGCCTCGGGAAGGGGAAGATCAAGATCGAGGGCAGGATCAGGATCGGGGTTCTTTGGTAGAGAGAGAAGCGGCAGTGGAACCACACTCGAGTCGCCAGAGGATCTCGGCGTGCAGAGGATGTCTCTTGGCTACTCTTCGGGCGAAGGGGAAGAAGAATCGACAGTCATTGCTGTAGGCACCAAGACTCCTTGTACCGGCGGTCTGTACACCCGCCGTCAATCGTCCGACCAAACCATGCCACTTTCAACCCCTCCTCAATCCAACTCTAGCTCCTCCCCTTCTTCTCTGGGCCGATTCAGATCCTCATCCCCGTCGCTGCCTTCCGAGAAGACAGGTTGGATGAAGGGCGATCTGGTGGCTTCCAAGAGCATGTGCTTGCACGCCATCTCACCAGTGACGGGCGGAGTGGTATCCTTGAACTTGCGTAAAGAAGGTTTTGCGGATGGCATGGGGATTTGGAAGTTCAAAGCCGTTGCTGACGTCGTATGTCCCCCCACCCATGTAATCTGGCAGCGCTGATTGAAGCACAATCAGTTTTCCATCTCCTCTGTTTTCCTACTTAGCTACAAAGTCCCCGCCCCTTCCCCACGCACCACCATCTTCCTCTTCCGCCTCATCCTCGCCCAATCCTATAGCGTCGTCTCTCCCCGTACGCCCAACGACCCACCCCACATCCCTGAGTCTCCAAAGCAGCACGTGCTGTACCAGATCGGACGGGTGCACAAGTCTACGGAGAGTCACCCTGAAGTGGGCGTAGATTGTCTTTGGAGGGGCAAAGAAGTGCCAGACAAGGAAAAGAAGAAGGAGGGTATGGAGGGGGAAGAGTCGTGGACGGTGAAGGCTGTAGCGAGGATGCCTAACCATGACAAGATTCGGCCTACGACCAACGAGGGGTAAGTATCACTTTCCTTGACTCGCGATGTTGGCTGACCATCTTGATCAGCACGATAACCCCAATTCGAGTATCTCACGAGCTTATCATCCAAGTCTACTATTCGGTCCACGGTGAAGACGTCAAAGGACGACTCATCAAGGGAGCTGGTGAATTGCGAATGATGCGTACCAGGATTCCTCTTCGGGTCCCTAGTGTGAGTGCCAGTCTGTGAGTAGATGTCGAATGCTAATGCGCGTTCCCAGTGCCACTGCTTATCGGATTCGCTTTCCCTCCCAGCATACTCTTCCTCTTCCCCTCCCGATGGCACACCCGTTACCGCACCCTCATTGCCACAACCAACATGCCACTTTGGACCGGTCTCTTCTGTCCCATCCGGGCATCAGTCTGCTCAGGAGATCGACTCCATCATATCATCTCCCCCGGATCTTAGGAGGTATTGTATGTGCGGCAAGACATTCGCCGAGCTGGGGGAGAGCATGCTGCGCGGGATGAGACCTGAAGGTGAGAGTGAGGATGAGTTGAACGGGAGAGATGGTGAGCGAAGGGAGGGACTCGAAGAGGGGGCCAAGGTGGGTGAAAGGACTGAGGAGGTCGATAGGTCGTTGTAGTACTTTCTTGCTCAGCTTTTTTGCGCTTTCCATACAAAAGACAAATCGTTTTGTTGATGTTCTTGCCCTGGCCTGTTTGAAACGAGTCCCATCCTGTCTGGTCAGCTTTCAGTCCGTAAAGCCAATGCATAGCTCTGATACAAAGCCGCCCGTGCCCGTCGCGCTCAGGCTCAGGCCACAGCCTCTAACTCCCGCCACTCTTCGGCGCCCACTCAAGCCTGGGGTTGAGAACCTCGAGGCTTCACGACAGGTTCCCAAGCGTTGACTTTGGGAGCAGTGGTGGAGTATGTCTTGAAGCTTCCCCTGGTACCAGTCATGTTCTCCACGAAAGGCTACATCATTCCTGTCAGCGCCGTCTTCTCTCATCATTTTTGAGCGCCACATACAGCCTTCCATGGTGGAGTCGAAGCCTTCATGATAGCATCTTCAGTGGGAGGGTGTTGACGGATGTGAGAGATCCAAGAGTGCCATTCGGGGGGAACTTGGGAGGCGTTGAAATCATCTTGGGAGTAGTCGATCCATCTGTGACGACCTAGTAGGTGATAGTGTCAGTGAAAGTTCTGGAGAGTGAAGGGGAGAGGAAGATGGCTGGACGGGTAAGAGACGTCTCGGGCTTTGCGTTTGTGTACCATCGCATTCTCAAACTTGCACTCCTCTCCTTCCACGAGATGTTCCTCCTCAACTGATGCCCGATTCATATTCTCCAGATAATCACGTCATTCAGAAAGAAGAGAGTAACGCACCAGGAATCTCCTCCGCAGGGTCGGTGTTTTCGAAGTATCGGTTGCCAAATTGGTCGGTGCCCACAAGCCTTCCAGCCTTGGAATCACCAATGTAGCTATAAGAACGGTCAGCATCTATACCCAGCATAGTACCTGATCCACCAAAACATGTCAAGCCATAGCCTTCTTCACGTGCGGACAATAGACAAATGGAGATAGAAAAGCAACTCACGTCATTTGCCTGAACCACTCCCTGAACCCAACCTGCCTGAAATGTCTGACTGTTCGTGCTAAGGAGACCATGATGACTGTATAGCTGGAGAGGAGAGCCGGCACCAAGAAGAAGAGATGGAGACGAATGGCAGCGGGGGCGGCGACAGTGGGTGGAGCGGGATCAAATTCGTGTCCAATAAGGGAGGAGCAATTCGAGGCTTGTTGCGAGGAGCATCGTTCGACTTGTTTGGCTGGGGCACGAGTTGGGATAAGCAATACATGATATATCAATACAAGGGAGAATTATGTACAACAGTCACAACGATGTTATGATGGGGGATTTGCGACCAGGTTAAACTTTTGCTTTGGGTACGCCCGCACGAGCCTGGCGTGCATGTCGGGTTCAGCGATTTGCGAATCGCCCACTGTGACCTCTATCAGCTACAATCCTTCCTTCGGATCAATAAAGAACTCACGCTGATTACCCAGGGTGACCCAACCTTTTCTGACATTATGCTTTCGCCCAAATAACTCCAACTTTCGCCCTCCGCCCTCTGCCAACCTCTCGATAACCCCATACACCTCTTCAGGCTTTCGGCTCGTCTCGCGGACTTCAGCAACCACCACGTCGGTGTCCAGGTTCTTCCGGAGGTTCCGAAGAGAAGGAACAGTATCCCATGGTATGGGAGCGTCACGAGGGTGATCTTCTGGGAGTTTGAGGGCGACGAGAAGGTGCTCGCATGTATGACTTCAACGTTTCATTAGTGTCTCCTTCTACATGCGCATGTAAAAGTACACTCACTTCAACCAGTGTCCCGTTCTCCCTGTTCTGATCAACCTCTGTACCTGGTTCACTTTGACCCAGACCAACTCGTCCACGCGCCTGTATCCCCAGTGAGCGAATACGACACGGCCCACTTCCATAGCACGCCCGGTAACCCAGAGACATAATATGCCCCAGTCTGGCTGGAGAGCACGGATAGGAAGATTGCGCATCTCGTCGTCCGTGATGGTTCCGTAGGGGAGAGACATGTGAATGTCCTGTGAGAAGGTCAGCGTCAAGGCGCAGTGATGCAGCGTTGCAAGTCAGGCTTACCCAAGCAGGGTCGGCCACTATGACTTGGAACCTACACATAATCGTTAGCAACAATCATTGGACGTTATATCGAGAAATTGGCTTACTGTCCGAGCAGAGAATAGTCGAATCGCCGCAAGTCACAGTTGACCCACTGCGCCACCTCGTTTGCCCCTTGTATGCCCCCTGCTTCATGACCTCGTTTTTCTTCTCCCAAAAGTTTCCTCCGCACGACTTCATTCAATGCGTAGCCGGTCTCGGGCAACACCTCTCCACTGGGCTGCTCTGTGCCAACCACTTGAAAATGTTGATACCGGCACTCTTTTGTGCCTCTGGGTCCACCACTTCCAGAATCTCCTCCGCCTAGGGAAGGGTTCTTTTGGAACATTGGATCACCGTAACATAGATTTAAATAACTTTGATGTGTCAGTAGAGAACACATAATGGTACAAGATGAGATGGGCATACGAGCAATATCCCAGCGAGGGGTCTGTCCAGTGTCTCTTGATTGGTTCAAAGTGCGCCTATTCAAACTGTCAGCGCGTTTGCTCGCGTATACTTGTGGATCTGGGAGAGTATGGTGCTTCCAGATTCCCAAACACAATAGTTGATGAATGACTCACTTTTGTACACTGCTCTCTGACCTTCTTACAAGCCGTCAAGGTCGTCTCGGTACAGATCGGATTAAACACCTGCTGTCCGCTCTTTCCGGAGATCTCCGTGATGTCAGATGATACGGCTAAACGCCGTAGCTTTGTCTTTGCCGATTCACGATTGAGCAGAGCATTGATGTCTGAAATGGTTTGGTCGCCTGTGACCGCGTCTTCCGTCGTCAGCTTCAGCGGAGAGGATACGAGCATGTCCCTTACGCGGCCGGGTAGAGGTGCTTGCAAGTGGCTGGCTGGGGGAGAGGCTGGCCATAACAGACTCTGTTCGAGTTGTCACAAGATGAAAGAGAATAGTAGTGATATCGAGGCGCAGTGCGTGAATGCTGCCTCCACTTCTGTTCTTCGGCACAGTGCTTCGGCCGCCCGGCACTCTCCGACGCGATCCTGCCATCTTTTCTTCACTTTCCTTCTTTTTGCGTCTAAAACGATATATAAATACCTCCTCACAATGTTCCCCCTCCTCTTCAACACCGCCCGGGCTCTCCCTCGTACCACACCGCTTTCACGCACCCTCTATACCTCATCATCCTCGCTGGCACCTCGCTCCTTCACCCGTCCAGGCCCTCCTCCCCTGCCCGCCGCCGACCAAGCCGAGTTCGAGGCTCTCCTGAAAGCCAACCAAACCGTCGGTACCATCCCCAAGGTCAACCAAGTCGACGCCGACGAGGAGCTGCATAAAGACGTGAGAAAGGGGCCAAAGCCTGAATTTGAGGGCGAAGTAAACCCGAGAACAGGGGAGAGGGGTGGACCCAAGCAGGATCCGTTCGTGGCTGGAGACTCGGACTGGCAGTTTGGCGGAAGGGTTACAGTAAGTCAATCTGTAGTGACTGTGCGATGGCGACGGGTGCTGATGAGTGGCAAATAGGACTTCTGAGCCGTCCGATATTAGAGTGGAGCTATCGACCTGTAGCGCGCGCATATAGATGTATCTTCGATCCCTTTACTATCCTTGTCTGAACCGACTGCACTCTCCGTGGAGGATACATTCAAAGACATACATTCAAGTCATATCGTACTCGAGTACTGAATCACTACCCCGATTCTCCGATCCCTCCCCTGGATGTCTCCTGTAACGATAGGGTATCGCATCGCAGTCATAGTCTACTGAGCAAACTTGTTGGTCCACTCCTTCGCCTGAGCGATAGCAGCGCTCTGGTTCTCCTTCCATGCTTGGGCAACGTCATTGGCGAGGGGGTCGTCTGGGTTGGGGGCACCGAGGAGGGCTTGGATAGAGAGGCTGTAATGACTTGTCAGTGCATGTGTGGGAAAATTGAGGGGCGACTCGTACAGGACAGTTCGGATTTGAAGGGCGGGGGACCACTTGTCTTTCAGGATATCGAGACAGATTCGGCCAAGCTTGTCTACAAATATGTGTTAGCTTCAACCTCTTCCTCCTCATCTCGTGCATACCGATGTTAGGGTGGCTAAGAAGATCAGTCAGTATACACACGATTGACGAAAGAACAGACAAAGGAGCTTACTAGATCTTGGTCAGGAATCGGACCTTGGGAGGGTTCATGGGGTACTCTTCCGGCAAGAAGAGCTCGAGCTTGAAGATACCGCCTGTTATCATTGTCAGGATCTGCCTTCTTTCCCCGCTGTTCTTTGTTTGCCCATCTCCACATGATATTCCCCTCAGACCGGGCATAGACCCAGCACCGATACCAAAGAACGACAACATACCCTCATAAGGACTGCTCTCGGGCCCCGCCACAGTAACGTCAAAATGTCTCAAGTTGTCGTCTTTGGGAGCAGCCGAGATACCGGGGGGAGAGTCGGCCATCAGGCGTTCGGTCTCCTGTTGACGTCCAGAGCATCGTTGTAATGATAGTGACAATGTAGATGCGGTAACGGTGAGGCGGGCGTTTTGGGATATAGTCATGGGTTGAATGACCCAGAGTATATGGGGAAGATGGGTGTTCAGAGATCAGCCAAGTCTTCTGGCTATAGTGACAAGAGTACTTGCCTTGAGGATACGTTTAGGCAAGGCGGACATGGCGGGGGACCTCTGTTCAGTCAATTGGGGTATACAGGGCTATTTCCTGCTAGTGAGCAAGATTCTTCAAAGCCTCCATTGGGACGAACTTACAAGTGAGTTGAATAAACGGAGATGCGCAAAGATGAACACGAGATGCAGCGAGATGACAAGTGACGGATCCAGTCTCGCTGAGAACGTGAGGCAGTCCCTGAAGCTATTACAGATCCGTGGTAATGGCTAAATTGCTTCCGCTAATGCGCTACGCGTCTCCAGAACATTACATTGCTCAATCTACGTCTAACTTTCTTTACCTTCACTCAACATTCTTGTCACCTCTCTTGCTGCCCTTTTGAAGCCTCAATATGGCCCCTTTTGGAAGAGGTGACGTGAAACATCAGAAAGCGACACCCACAACGACTCCTTACCCCGCCAAAACGCGTCCAGTCAATCATTGCTCCCAGAGCAAACGCGTGCCAACGAGTCCCGTCAAGTCTCAAGCACGCCCCAGCGTCGCTCGCACACCGAAGCCGGCATGTGCTAGAAATCTGGAGAACGAGAAGAAGGAGCAGCCATCGCATCAAGATGAGCAGGCGATGATGGACAGCCTTCTGGCAGGGCTCGACGCGTCGGTGTTTGACGACTGGGGCGAGAATTCGCAACCTTCGCCGAAGAAGCCTCGTCTTCCACAAGGCTCCTCCTTCCGTTCGCCTCGGAAAGAGAAACGCTCAAGGCCACCCAATGTCAAACTCGAGCCCGTGCCACCTACCAAGCGGGCCAAAGCCCTGTCACCGAGAAAGGTTGTCGTTGAGCAAAAGCCCTCCGTGGGTACAGGTCCTCGAGGGTCTTTGGGGAAGACTGTGGCACAGGATGTAACCCGAAAATCGGCATTTGCGCCTACAGTCGTCAAGCGAGAGGCTCCGACATCGCCCATCAGGGCCGAGCGCAAACCAGAGGTGAAGGTTGAAGTAGGCATCCCCCCAAGCCACAAGCCCGTCAACGCTGTCAAATCTCCCAAACAGGTCGAAAAGGTCAAGCCGGAGATCGAGGATGAGGACATGTTTGAATTTGAGTTTGGCCTGGAAGACTTGGACTTTGATGAACAGGAGCTATTGGCGCGCCCACCTCCCGTCAAGGTCAGTTCGATCACTCAACTTGGTGCATCTGACTGACGAACTTCTCTACAAGTACCCGGTAGCTCACCCCAACGTACCGCCTGCTCCTCCGGGATATGAGCCAACAGAGTGGATCAGGTGCACAGTCGATGCCTGCTTGGAGGGACACTTATTTGAGGACGGCATCATTCCTTCTCCTGCAGAAGTCGAACAGCTTCCTCTTGCTGATGACTGTGTGGCCAAGGTGAGCATGAGCTCCGATCTTATCGCTTTTTGTGAGCTCACTTGTTGCAGACTCTCATCGTGAACATCGCTCGAGGTAAAGGCAAACGGGTAGTGCATCTGAAGGACAGATGGGCCGACACACTTGTCAAAAAGGGTTCGTCTTACCATCTTTGATCATGCGTAGCTAATGACTTCTCCAGATGATATCGTCAACATCGTCTCCCCTTGTCTATCTACTCCCTCTACCACTCCCATCGCCATTACCTTCCGCGACCCCTCCACTTTCCTTATACACCACCCCGATCTCATGCTCACCATGACTTCCATTGCCAACGCCATGCCCTGCCCGCGCAAGCCTATCCTCCAGACCCTCATCAAAACCCCCGCTCCTCCCACAAAGCCACTTCTCTATGGTACCGTGTTGCATCAACTTCTGCAAGACGCTCTTCTGGAGCAAGAATTTGGAGCGGTGGAGACTTTCCGAAGGCTGGACAAGGAGTTGAAGAAAGAGGAAAGACGGCTGGAAGTTTGGGGGACTGGTATGGGTATACAAGATGTGAGGGAAGAAGTTGGCCAGAAGGCGGGAAGGGGCTTTGAGATCTTTAAAGAAAACTGGGTTGGCCCTGAGCCAAGAGTTAGTCGAACCACCTGATACATAACACCCGCTTACATCTCGTAGGCACAAGGCGAACTCCACTCCAGTGCTGGGGATCAACCCTCTCTACTCGCACTCACAGGCCTTCACGAAGTCGAAGAAGACATTTGGTGCCCCAAATGGGGTCTCAAGGGTAAAGTCGACGCTTCCGTGCAAGTCAAGATCGCGAAAGAGCCCTCCGAAGGCGGTGAAGCAGAGGAGAATGTGGCGCCTTTGGAGATCAAGACGGGAAAGAGTGTGGGCGTGATGGCGCATAGAGCGCAGACGATGTTGTATACGCTGCTGATGGAGGATCGGTATCGTGAGTCGACCATTGGCACCAAGGGAGACTACATATACTGAACATTCATAGGCGTCCCTGTCCCGGCCGGACTGTTGTACTACTCTCAGTCCGACACCATTCTTCGTGTGGAAGCAAAGCCCATGGAGATTCGGGCTCTGATCATGGCTCGAAACGAACTTGCGTTCTGGTTATCGAAGCAACGCAAAGTGCCCAAGCACATCTCTGAAGAGGATCAGCCTGTAGAGATTCTAAGGGGCGGGGTGGTAAAGAAGGAAATCAAAGCAGAGCAGAAGGTGGTTGTGGAAGAGGCTGAAATGGAAGAAGAGTTTCTGCCGGCCACAATCGACAACCCGAGGGAGTGTAAGATGTGCTATGCGAACGAGGCCTGTATGCTTTACCGCCGGGTTAGATTGATCTTCCTTTTTCGTGTGACATGCTGATGTGTCGCAGGTCGATGACCAGATGCCTTATGAGGATGACGACCCCATCGCCGAGCAGTATAGCGACATGACAAGCCACATGACAGACAAGCACGCTCAGTTCTACAAAAAGTGGGACACCCTTTTGACCGTCGAGGAGCAAGACACGATCAGATTCCGATCCCACCTGTGGACAATGACCGCAAAGCGGCGGGAGAAGAACGGAAGGTGAGAATATGTCGATTGTGACGTGGGACCTGAGCTGATACAAATATGAATAGGTGTTTCAGCGACATGATCATTCAATCTTACTCGAACGACATTGGTAAATCTCTCGCGAAGATCCACAGACACAGCTATACCTTCACCCGTGCCCCCTCCACCGACCCATCATCTGACGAACCCGTATCTCTACTCTCTGGTCATATTGCCAAAGGCGATCCTGTCTCCCTCTCAATTGAGCCGGATCTGCTCTGCATGTGGCGTGGGTTTGTGACAAACTTGACACAGACAAGCGTCACAGTCGCCGTTACATATGTCATCGACACTAAGGCTCTGCTCAAGAGGACAGGCAGGGAGCACAGAGTGCTGAAAGCTGATAATGGGGAAGGAGAGGACAAGGTGGTGTTCAGGATCGACAAGGACGAGATGTCGAGTGGCATGATGAGGATGCGAAACAATCTCGCGCAGCTCTTCTACAAGAATGGCGATGAGCAACGTAGGAGGTTGATTGTCGACCAAGAGGCGCCCGAGTTTGAGCCATCCTGGGGGCCAACTCCAGAGGAGATTCCGGCATCGCTTAATACCGATCAGCAGCAGGCAATGGAGTCTGTCCTGACTGCACGGGACTACTCGCTCATTCTCGGTATGCCTGGTACGGGCAAAACGACGACAATCACAGAAATCATCAAAGCTCTCGTGGCAAGGGGAAAGAGTGTGTTGTTGACGAGTTACACACACTCGGCAGTAGACACGATCTTGATGAAGTTGGTCAACGCCGAGTTCGGGGTGTTGAGGCTGGGCAACATCGACAAGGTTCGTTGTCTACTTGAAAAGACAGTGAGCCATGACTAATGAACAATCTAGGTACATCCTGATGTGCAACATTTGACGTTGGAAGCGTACGAGTCTTCGGCTAGCATGGACCAGCTGGACGCCCGTTTGATGAAACCTCCAGTCGTCGCTGCCACTTGCCTTGCCATCGACCAGTGAGTTTGACTTGCAGATATCTGTGCGAAACTTACATCCTCCTAGCCCCCTTTTCTTCCGCCGGAAGTTTGATTACTGCATCGTCGACGAAGCCTCCCAGATCACTCTACCCACCTGCATTGGGCCGCTTCGTATGGCAGACAAGTTTGTCCTCGTTGGGGACCATTACCAACTTCCCCCCATCGTCCGTCATCCCGAAGCTCGCCGGGGGGGGCTCGATGTTTCACTTTTTCGACATCTGTCCTCTGCCCATCCACAAGCCGTCGTCGATCTGTCCTACCAATATAGGATGAACGAAGATATCATGGCATTGTCGAACAAGCTGGTCTACGAAGGGCGGTTGAAGTGCGGCAATGAGGTGATCGCGCAGAGCGGTCTCAAATTGAGGAATCGAAAGACCTGCAAAGAGATCTACGGGGCCGACAAGTGTGGCTGTATTGACGGCGACTGCTGGGTCCAAGAGCTGCTGGATGAGAGTGCCATGTGTGTCTTTATGGACACCGACGGGCTGCCCGCTTTGGACTCTAGAGTGGGAGACTTGATTCAAAATGAAGTCGAGGCTGAACTTGTCTCGCAGGTATGTCCATCATACTCATCTCATGCGTGCTCGGCGCTGATCATGCGATTCAGTTTTCCACAGCTTTGGTGGCTTCTGGGATCCGACAAGAAGACCTCGCCATCATCACTCCATACCGACAGCAGATCAAACTCCTTTCGTCGTATCTGACTCCACTCCCCCGGGTCGAGATCTTGACTGCCGACAAGTCACAAGGCAGAGACAAGGATTGCATCCTAGTCTCACTCGTTCGTTCCAACGACACTGGTGCTGTAAGTTGATCCAATCTGGCATTGAGCGAAATGCTGATACGGTCGCAGATTGGCGATCTTCTCCGAGATTGGCGCCGAATCAATGTCTCTTTCACCAGAGCCAAGAAGAAGCTCGTGATCATTGGCAGCGCCCGTACACTCGGCCTCGATCCGCTCTTCGGAGAGTTCATGGAACTCGTAAGAGGGAAGGGTTGGGAGAAGAGGCTGAGAAAAGGGGAGGACAGGCTGCATGTCGTTGATGTGCCTGGTCTGAGGCAGAAGAAGAACAGCGGGACGTTGAAGAAGGAGGTGAAGAAAGAAAAGGGGGCAAGGGAGACACAGAAAGAGAAGAGAGTTCTTGGTGTTGGCAAGGCTATCTTGAATGCAAAGGGACCGTTCTCGAAAGAGATAATGGTAGGTTTTTGTCCTTGAATGGCCCTTGACTTGCTGACGCAGGATCTAGGAAATGGAATGAACGCATCATGGCTATTGCCACTGAATGAATTTACGAACTTTCTTGAGGCGTACCATAGCCTACGATGTATGTACTTTAAGTACTTGTACTTGTGTCAGATCGCGTGTCTATCCGCATAGGCTCAGAGGTCCATTGCACATGTTTCACGGGGTTTCCTGGTGCCTTTCAAACCCCAAGCTAAGCTCTAGATACCACAAATACATCATGGTGGCTAAAGTGCTCAGTATTGTATTGTACTTCATCTGTGTCGCGCCGCACTGGCTCCATATATAGTACATGTGCTGGTGAGTTCGGTCACTCCTCATCTTTAGAGTCTTCAGCGAGCACATCGTAGGAGATGGCGATACTAGCACGCCTATTTCGCGTCAGCATCAGATATGTATACGGGTACTGTCGAGCTCACTGTACGTGATTCTCCCATCTCGGGTACAAAGCCCGGGCCCAAAGTGTGATACAATCACCCTTTTGCATCTCTTTGACGAACGGGTGTGTCGACGGAATGGTATTGGTGTGTAACTTGAACTCTTTGCCAGCTGCACATGGGGTCATTCATCAGTCAACCCGCCGCGCCATATATGTTGCGTTGAGCAACTTACCGTGGACGTTGTGCTGGACGTCCAATCTGGTGTTGGGCACCTCCTTGCCATCTCGAAGAAGAGTGAGGTCAAACCAAGAGGAGGTCACATCATAAGTTCCTAGTATCTTGTCAGAAGCCGTCCGATACGACTATAGCTGAAGGCCATGTTGGCGACTTACCGTGATTCTCGCTGAAGGAAGACCATCCTTGGTCTTTCGACTCGGTGGCCACGACGATCTCCTTCACTGCGCTCACATCTGTTTCCAAAGGCGCAGAGACCATGTACCATACCCGCCCGTCACTGTTCACCAGCCCACCACCCTCCTCCAGTGCCGACGAGGGGATGCCGTAGGCTGATGGGAGAGGAGGAGTTGGGGCCTTGTCATCGGGAGATGGAGGCGAGGTGGTGTGTCGGGTGGAAAGATGAGAGAATACGACGAGGGACCGGTCGTTTTCGACCTTGGTTTGAGCTACTTGAGACTGTGGGGCTGACATCTTGATAACTGTTCGTTCGAGTAGAGAACCAGATGAGCTGAAAGCGGCTCACCTTATATAGAGACATCATGTCCCTGCGAACAGGCAATGGAACGCGAACAAGCTATCTTTGGAGCGACCTCAAAGGGCTCGCTCTTTTCATGACTCTGGAGGTCATGAAGGTGGCAGTCGTCGTGGTCATCTGTGAGTCGCCTCGCTACTCCTTTGGGTAACATCTCCTGGTGGGTCTGTAGAGTTGAGTCAGTTTACGGTTCAGTTGGCAGTAGTGACGTGAGCTTCTGCTGCTTGGGGTTCCTGAGTCGCAATTCGATGGAGAACCTTTGAAGGCAGTCAAGTGAAGCCATATGATGTCACAATCTGTGAGGTAGAATTTCGAAGGCATTGTCGTAGATCAGCGAGGAGGTCTCCGGGAAGCAGCCAGTTAGGGTCCTGTAGGCAACCACGGCGGCCGCCTCCCGAACGAAGATCGAGGGAAGAAGCACCGACGGAGGGAGGGTTAAGCAGGGCAGAGTACTTCATCGCGCGGCGATGGCGGTAGGGGTGAGAAATCAGATGGTTGCTGATGACGGTCGGGTGAAGGCGGGTGAAAAGGGCAAAGGGAACTATAATCAATGAGAACAGAGTTCAAAAGTCATCATGCTGCTTTTAAAGTTGCTGCTGCTGCAGCTATCTACTACTAGACTCGTCGTCGGATCGCTGAAGAAGAAAGAGGGTAATGTTACGTAACACTTATTGTCGCTGCTGGGAAATTCGTCCTTTCGTTCGCTGCTGTTTTCGCTCTGTATAGATACCTCGCACCAAGTCTCTCGCCATGCCTCTCTACGAACTCTTCTGCATAGCAGTCCACAACCCCGTCTCCTCTGTATGCCCCCACATTTTGACCCGCTCTTTCCCACGCTCATACTCTACAGGTCAACTTGCGGGGCATCGTTAACACGGTCTCGACCCAAGTTCACCAATCCGGTGGTGTCGTCCGGGACTTGAAGAACATGGGGCTGAACTTGACACTGCCGCAAAGGATACGGAGGATGAGGCAGTACTACACGAAGGGGGAGTGAGTTTGATGGTTCATCCTTGCGTCTACCCATATAGCCGGCGTTGGTCGAAGTGTTGGGGTTCTTGACCTTTGTAGGGGAGGATCAGGGCACACCTGCTGATCTCTGAATGTTATAGTCATTTCACAATGGCCTTTGACACTTCGCCAATCGTCTTGAAACGCATCAACGAAACCCTCAGAAGTGACCCCTCCATCATTAAATGGACAGTACTCAAACGTGCCCAGAAAGTGTACGTATTTCCTCGGCTCACTAGCCGAACCCCTTGATACCAGAAGGCTGCATGCTGATACTTTTCTGACTTGTAGCAAGGATCTGGCGGCTCCTAGAAATCCATCAATCGAGTTCCAGGAGATCGGGGTGGCCGACAAGCACACGCCTTTCTAAAGAAGCAAATAGGTGCGGGCGCGCTGTAGAGGGCAGGCAGGCTGCATGCTCGGGGAACGTTGATGGTGGCGGGGCACGAGAGGCGCACTGGGGTGGCAGGGAAGCAGAATCGCAAAGACTTGTGGTCGGGGATCCTCGTCTTTTGTTACAATTTGTACAACACATTGCATACGATATTTCAAAGTCGTCCTGGCCGTTTGATACTGCTTGCCATACCCAGACCAGGACATGTTGCATTGAAGCATGGGCCGAAGAGACCTGTAGAACATGGACCGCACTTGTCAATGAAGCAGGAGGTGCCTCCACTTCCGCTGTCAACTTGTCGTCGTCTCGCCTGTCATCTACGCATCTGTATCTCAGTCAACTGCCACACTTTACATTTCACCAGTATCATGGCTCCGATCCCGCCATCCTCCTCCCTTCCCGGGATCTCTCGCCACCTCAACGACATCCGCACATACCAGCTCCCTCGCCTCTCTTCGCCTTCAGGCGCGCCATTACCGACACAACTGTTCGACGAACTGGTAGAAGAGCTACGAGTGGACCTGGAGGGGGTCAGGAGAGGGCTGGAGAGGGAGAGGGAGATGATTGCTTTTGGAGCTGGCGGGCCAGAGGCGAAAGCAGGGGTAGACGAGGCCGAGAGGGAGTATTATGAGTGCGTGTCATCTCCATGATTTTGGAGCCGTAGCTGACTTGATGTTCAGACTGAAATCATTGTTTCGAAGTACGGTGGTGCAGGCCAAGAAGAACATGGCTGTGCGCCATGCTCGTATACAAGAGCTCTCGCGAAAGGGATCCGAGAAAGATGAATCGGCGAGCAAGACTACACCGGTCGAGGAAAAGGGCGCTGCCCGCAGTGCTGCTGATATGGGGATTGGGTATGTTACAATCCGGGATATCGTTAGAGTGCTAATAGTGATTGCGCAGAGGTGATGATGAGCTGCAAACCAAGACGAACGAGGTCACGTCGGCGCTGAGACGGACGACGGCTCTGATGCAGACAGAGCTGGAGCGATCTGTTTTGTCTGTCCAAATGCTCGGTATGATATTCCATCTACTGCCCCAGGTCCCCATCGCTAACTCTTAATCAAGAATCATCCACTCAGACCCTCACTCTCACCCAAACCCTTCACGAGACCTACACCTCCCTCCTCACCTCATCTCACCACCTCATCCAAACTCTCTCCCGCGCCGATACACTCGACCGCTACATCATCCTTGCTTCCCTCCTCTTCTTCCTCCTCGTCTGCGGGTGGATAGTCAAGAGGAGAGTACTGGATAAGGCGTTAGGGGCAGGGTGGTGGGTTGTAGGAGGCGTTGGAAAGGGGGTGGGGTGGTATGTGGGCGGGAGTTGGAAGTTGGTCAAGATGGGTTTTGGAGGAGGTGGGCCAGCTACACGACCAGAAGGGCTCGAGGTGATGGGGTTCGTGGACGAGGGTGCCTTGCCGCGAGTAGGCCAAGACTCGGCTGTAGGCTCTCTCGACTCGGAATTCGAATACATCAGGCCACACGCAGCGAACGGCGTTGATGACTATGTGGCCGTAGCCGAACCTGCACCAGCGGGAATAGCCACAGGAGAGAAGGTGATGAATGAGATAATGAGGGACATGGAGAAAGGAGGAAGAGGGAAGGTTGAGATTCTCGACAACAATGAAGGAAGACCAGGGCAACCTCGGTTGGCTAAAGACGAGTTATGATGATCATCGGCATACTTTTGTCATGCAAACTTCTTGATGAATATGTCAGGGTACCCCGAATCCCGCCGATGTCCTTTACCGGAATCGTGTGCTTGTATGCCTTCATGGGGATCACTAAACGCGCCACATATGTTTTACATGAGATCGGTGCCAACGCCCATTATGAATACTGACATTGTGGTGCTGACGTTAACGCAAAGGGCACCATGCATCGGTGGCGCTTCGGCGAGGCAGCATACAGACCCTTCATCCACGACGTTGGCTCATACACCTGGTTGCATGCTGCAAGTCGCATGGCAGGGAAACCCCGCAGTGTCGGGCACGGTTATAAGCGTGTTGAAAGACGCGAAAGCGGCACTCCAGATCCACGTCCAAGCCAAATAAGAGATGACTCAGACGCCTTACTGATATATAACGCTGCCCTCTTTCCTTCTCCTACTAGTCGCCACCCACCTTGTAAATCCTCCATAAATCTCTGATTTTCGATCGACCGACGAGCCCAACAACGCTCTTTCTTCACAGGAAGAATGACGTTGAAAGTGAAGCGTGGAACGCAGAAGAAAGCAGCCTAAGAGATCTTGGCGGATGTTACTGCCCATGGAACAGGACAAGCCCACCGGTGCTGGCAGCTTCGAACCCATGGACCTTTGCCAGGGTAAACGTAGACGAGAGCTGTCGAACTTGTTGATGTTTATGCCCTGGGCGGAGAGTCCATCGATCAATTCCAAGCTGGCCACCGGTATCAGTGGACTTGTCGTGGATCATGGGCAGCGATGTCGGAAAGATTTCTATGGCTGTGTTCTTCTGTGTTTAACAATGAATCCTTTTGTTGTCAAAGGCTGGAAGTCGTTTCTCTCGTGAATGGGGACCGCTATAGGGTCAATAAAAGTGGCAATGATGAACCATCATGGTGGCGTCCGCTTCAGTATCGCTTGGCTGCGATTCGAGAGGCCCGATAGGGCGCAAATGAGACCATGCTCACGAAACCTTTTGGCGAGGTGGTAGTGTATATATGCACAGTTCATAGCACAATATGAAAATGAAGATAAAAACCATCTATAAGTGCTTCTCACGTCCGGCCATTCTACGGGTCCCCTTCACCTCACTTTCCCTTTCTATATCAACACAAGCGACACCTTAGATGGCCTGCTTCACAGCAGCATCCATTTCACTCTTCATCTTCTTCCTCTCCACTGTAATGGGGTCGTCCTCGTTGGTATCAGAGATCCACTTGTACTCCGTTTTCGGGTAGGCTACCTTTGCGGCAGCGGCATTGTCAACAAACCAGAAGACGAGACCAGGGCTAGATACAAGTCAGTCTTCGTACTGAGAAAAAGAAGGAGAGACTTACGAAGCAGGGCGGACACGGGAACAGGGCAAACCGTCTTCGGGCTTGTCAAGAATCTCAGCGAGCATGTCTTGCTTGCCTTCACCAGCGGCAACGAAAGCACATCGGAAAGCGTGGTTCAGAACAGGGTAGCTAGTAATTCGTCAGCCGAGATGAAACCTCCACTTGACGACAACTCACGTAAGAGTGATCCTCCTGAGTGGGGGCTTGGGGCTGTCCTGAATCTCCGCCACCCATCTGTCGTTCTCTGACAAGAGCTCGTGGCCGGGGAAGAGCGAACAAGTGTGGCCGTCCGGTCCCATACCCAATAGGATCAAGTCGAATGTGGGATATCTGGCAGCGTTACCACCGGCAAAGGTCTGCACCAGCTGCTTCTCGTACTCGTCCGCAATGTCCACCGCCTCGGTCTCTGCAGCTTCTTCTTCACCCTTCCGAATTTCACCGGTAGGGTCTACACGGGTCTGCTCTCGGAAGAGATCAGTGTTGATGGTGTGGATCTGTTCGCGGGCAATGGGGACGTGGTCGAGGAAGGCCTTGGCGCAGGCATTGTAGTTGGATTCGGGGTGGTCGAGGGGGACGATACGCTCGTCGGCAAAGAACACCTGCCACTTGTCCCAGTGAATGCCCTCGAGATCGGCGAGGGGCTTCAGCTGGTTGGGGAGCGAGCCGCCGGAGAGGGCGATGGTGAATACGCCGCGGTGGGCGACGGCATCGGCCTGGGCTTTGAGGACAAAGTTGGCGAGGGATGACTGGAGGTGGGTGGTGTCGTCAAAAGAGTAGAAGACGGGGGCGGCAGATGACTGGGGCATGGTGAATAATATTGTGAAGAAGAAGAAGAAAGATGATGGAAAGCGTGACGTCAAGAGCCACAAGGGAGGCTGCAGCGGCGAGCGCCGAAACACCGAAAATAATCCCGTACCGCGCTATTGACCTCTATCACCAGTGTTTACAGGTGTTTGCATACATCCAGCGGCCATGTCCACCCCCAAGATATCCCTCAAACTCTCCAACCAGGACGGAGACGCCACCGGCGAAGGAGTCATCACCCACGACGTCGCAGCCGCGCCCGGCAAGGAGAAGGAGCGCGAGCCCCTGTTTGGCGGGGACATCGCAAACATCAGCAACGGCGACCATGGTGAGTGGGCGCTTCCTGCTGGGGGAGTGGGTAGATGGACGGGTGGAAATGTGGCATGGTTGCGCTCGAAGACGCGTGCCCGGCTCGGCGGAAACGCGTCAAGTCGACATTAGAACCCAACAGACCGAGCATGCGCTGACTATGCTCAGCCGATACCCCAGGCGACTCGCCAGCCCCAGAGCCCGAACGCCCTACCCCTTCCCAACTCCACGACCTCGCAACCACCTACCTCGCGGCCCAGACCCACCCCCTCATCATCCCCTCCTACTCTTCCTGGTTCTCGCTCTCCACCATCCACCCCATAGAGCGCCGCTCCCTGCCCGAGTTCTTTTCGTCCCGCAACAGGTCCAAGACACCGAGCATCTACAAGGACTATAGGGATTTTATGATCAACACTTACAGGCTGAATCCAGGAGAGTACTTGACGGTGACTGCTTGCAGGAGAAACTTGGCGGGAGATGTGGGAGCTATCATGAGGGTGCACGCGTTCTTGGAACAATGGGGTCTGATCAACTACCAGGTGAGATTAACGCGTTACGGTAGTGACTCAAGCTGACTCGTGCAGGTTGACCCGGACTCTCGTCCAGCTGCTCTCGGCCCCCCATTCACTGGCCACTTTAGAGTCACCCTCGACACCCCTCGCGGTCTGTCCAACCTCCTTCACCCCGGCACCAAACCCGGTGCTGGTGCGCTCGCGTCCACTACCAACGGCGTTACTCCCCACCCCTCCAACCTCGATCTCCGCAAGACAATCTACCACTCCACTTCGCGCTCTACAAAGCCAGTCTCGGCAGAGACTGCATCCAAAATCGCTGCGGCGGGTGCTAATGGCGATGTGACAAAGGGCAAGACATATGCTTGTGAAACTTGTGGGACGGATTGTACTACGACACGATACCACTCGCTCAAAGATGGCGAGTACACTGTGTGTCCGTCTTGTTTCGTCTCGGGGCGATTCCCGTCATCAATGTACTCTGGCGATTTCGTCCGTCTCGACGAGGAAGCGTTCAAGCACGCTGCTGCTTCTGCCGGCGACGAATGGTCTGATCAGGAGACTTTGCTTTTGCTTGAAGGTGTTGAAATGTACGACGACGACTGGCAAGCCGTCGCCGACCACATCGGTACCCGCTCCAAAACACAAGTCATCACCAAATTCCTTCAACTCCCTATCGAAGACTCTTACCTCTCCCCCTCCAACGACCCTGCTGTCGAACTCGGTCCTCTGCGGTACCAGGCGGGTCTTAATGGGCTGCCATTTGAAGGGAGCGAGAATCCGGTGATGAGCGTGGTGGCGTTTTTGGCGGGACAGGTTGGGCCTGGGGTTGCGGCTGCGGCGGCGCAGAGTGCGTTGGGAGAGCTGGCTAAGGGGTTGAAGAGGAAGAGGGGAGATGAGAAGGAAGGGGAGAAGGAGGCAAAGAGTCCGAAAGTTGATGCCAAGGAGGGCGAGGAAGCGGCGGATGGTGATGAGCCTACAAAGGAAACTTCTGCCGAACCCATGTCTGTCGACGAAACAGCCCCTCCAGCCGAGACCGAAGAAGGCCAAGAACCGTCCGCCTCCTCCCTCTCTCGCGCTGCTACCCTCGCCCTTTCCTCGGCCGCGACCAAAGCCCAAACCCTCGCTTCCCATGAAGACCACCGTATCTCCCTTCTCGTCTCTCGCCTCGTCTCTGCGCAAACACGTAAAGTCGAGCTCAAACTCGCCATGTTTGAGCGACTCGAGGAGATGCTGGAAGGGGAGAAGAGGAGCGTGGAAGTGGCTAGGCAGGGACTGTTCAGGGAGAGGCAGAGTGTAGTGAGGCAATTGAGAGAGGTTGAAGGTCTGATCAAGAGGGCCAAGGAGGGACATGCCACTGCCACGCCGGCGGAAACAGCAGGGCTGGAAAAGGAAGTGCAGGGCTTGAGGAAGCAAGTCGAGGGCGAGACGATGGCGGAGCAAGTACAGGTTGTGCAGGATGCTGGAGCGCCGGAGGGTGAATCGACGTTGGGCAAGCTTTGAGTTGTTTAGAGTAATACACAAAAATAAAAGACGTTCTTGGACTCTTTTTTCCGTATTTTTCAGGTGTAACATGTATATCCATAAGAGACCCCGATACTCGTATGGAGTGATCTTGGCTGGCTGACGTGTGTATTGAGGGCCGTCAGGGGAGTATATAAAGACGAATGGTATCGTTTGTTTGTTTGATGGGTAGCGTTCGGCGAGACCGGCATGACACCCTTGGGGTGCATGCATGTGACTCTATGACACGAGATTCACGTTAAAAGTAGTTCAACATGCTTCCTTCCATCAACGTGGCGGTGGAGCCACAGCAACAGCATTTCTTCTGCATCAAGTCCCGTATCATACGCAGATCCAATAGAGCACGGCAACCAAGCAGCAGCGGAGATCAGAACCCCCCCATACATAGTCACCCCCACGACGATAACGAACCCTGACTATGCGGCGGCGGGCCGGCAAGTGAGCCCTGGGGTGGAGGTCGCCGAATGTTCTCCAGCTGGTGGCGGAGATTTTATGCAGACTTCGCTTCGAGGATGATGAATTTGCAGCAGCGTGGAGGGGAGGCAGAGAGAGGAGGGGGTACAGGGGACGGGAATGGATGGGGCAGATACGCCATGCAGCTGTGCCGAAGCCAGATGTACTGACGGCGAGCCTAGACCCGATCCTAGTGGAATTGACTTTGCGGGAATCAGGCCAGCAGCGACGCGTTCGAGCTCTCAGTCATCAGTGCAATCTATCTCTTTCTTCCTTTGTCTCATCACCCAACATGCCAGAACAGCGCCAGCAAGACACTGCCCCCCCGGCATCCACCCCCATGTCCTCGAGCAGCATCGCCACCGTCAAGCCCACTAGGCCCCCCTCCACCGCCTCCCTCCGCCACCAGCACCGCGCCCAGCCCTCCCGCTCCTCCACCCAGGCAAACCAGCCCACCGCCACAGGGAGCAGCGTCTCCCGCTCCCACTCCCACTCCCGCCGGCAGTCACTCGACACCTTTGTCCTCGACTCGCAACCTCCATCGCCCATCACCTACTTTCCAAATCCATCCACCTTTGTCAACCCCACAGAGCCCGTCTACTCTACCCCCTCAGCTACCAACTCGACGTCCACGTCGCCCACGGCCTCTATCATGCCCATCTCGACAGACTCGGAAGAGCCCACGTCGACGATCTCGAATGCCCCAGCAGGGTCCATGGCACCATTGCGCACGCCCCGCCTCAACCCTGCCCCTAATGCCAACCCAAATACCATGCTAGGCCTCGACGTCGGAGCGCCTTCTCCTCGGGTTGCGTCGCGGCAGCAGAACGCTTCCAACACTGGTACTGGATCGAGCAGCTCGAGTAACGCCATGGAGCAGGCGCGGAGAAAAGGATCGAGCAGGGTCTTTTCAACGCCTGTAGCTGGGTACGCGGCCACGCATCCCAATATCGGGTTGGGCCTCGGGCCTACTCCTTCACGCAATGGCTCAGGCTCTACATCGTCGACTATTGGGCTCGGACAACCAGGCGATGGTCCCCTCGCGAGCCCGCGCAGAATATCAACATCACGGCCCTTCCAACACCCACCCCAATCAGCCCATCCCTCTTCCTCTGGCGGTCTCGGCCTTCCCAGCCACGAAGCGTACTATTCAGCTAGCCAGCCGGCTAGCGCTACCACCCCGCGCTTCCGCGACAAGTACACCTCTCGCGGCGGCAAGGGTCACCAGCACACGTCCAGCTTGGGCGGCGGGCATCCGAGCTCGGGAGGGTACGGTGCTCTGGGCCATTCGAGAGATCCCGGATCTGGTCTAGCACCGGGCGTTTCGGGGCTGGCTGCACATTCTGGCTATGCCAACAACGGAGTACTCAATTCTCCGTTCCTTTCGCCCAAAGGCTCTGTCATGCAAAAACTGCGTAAACGCGCGAGTGCGGTGGGGTTGGGGTTGGGAAGACCAGACAACTATGACGAGGCTGCGTTGGTACGGCGAGAGGATGAAGAGATGCTGGAAGATACGGAAGGAGAACGGGCAAATGGTACGAGAGTGTGGTATAGCTCGTATGTCACGATAGACTGGATTCACGATGCTGTAAGTGCTCTGCTCTGTGCAATGGCCGTCACTGACGTTGTTGCAGATTAAAGAATCTTCACGGGTCCGACGTCTCCGCCACATGGCCTCCCGATCCATACGCGGCAAGATACTCAACTCTTGGGACCGCTTCCAAGGCTGGCTAGTCGTCACCCTCGTCGGTATCATCACAGCCCTCATCGCTTTTCTGATTGTCCGCGCCGAAATGGCCTTTTTCGACCTCAAAGAAGGTTTCTGTGCTACCTCTTGGGGCACTGCAAAACGGTTCTGCTGTGCGCCACGGCATCAGAGCCCAGGAAGTGATGGAGGGGAGGACGAGTGTACGGATTGGGTGGAATGGGGTGAATTCTTCAACCCCGGAGAAAAGGGCGGACCGGATGGAGCTTGGACGTACGGAGGTCCAGAGTTTATGGCGTATGCTGCTGTTGCCATGATCCTAGCAATCATTGCGAGCTGTATGACCGTCTACCTGTCTTCCTCGGAACACCACACGACTTCCAAAGACTCTACCTTCCTCCAACCTCCTTCCCGTGCACCCACCGCAAAACACTCTGTCACCTCGTCGCCCACCAAACCGAACCACTCCAATCTCAACTCAAACCAACTCGCCAACGAACGCCAACCTCTGCTCGATGCAATCACAAACGAACCTCCCACGCCTCTGCTAGAGTCGGCTCCTGAGCCTTCTCGTAAAGTCATGTTTTACGCAGCAGGCTCTGGTATTCCCGAGATCAAGACCATTTTGAGCGGATTTGTGATACATGGGTACCTCGGAGGATGGACGTTGATTACAAAGAGTGTGGGTTTGGCGTTGAGTGTTGCTTCGGGGTTGAGTTTGGGGAAGGAAGGGCCGTTGGTGCATATCAGCAGTTGTGTGGGCAATATCGTGTCGAGGCTTTTCATCAAATACGAGTGTAACGAAGGTATGTCCTGTATCAAAACTCCAAGACCCAAAGCATGACTGACTAGTGGTCAGCCAAGAGACGAGAGATCCTTTCTGCTGCGTGCGCTGCCGGTGTGGCAGTTGCGTTCGGAGCTCCTGTCGGCGGCGTTCTCTTTTCGTTGGAAGAAGTGTCCTACTACTTTCCGTCCAAGGTCATGTGGAGAAGGTCAGTCGGCAAGCGATCACGAGTATGACTGGGACTGACTGTGGAGGGTAGCTTCTGGTGTGCTGCGATTGCGGCCATCACACTCAAAGCTCTCAATCCGTTCGGTAACGGCAGTCTCGTTCTGGTGAGCTCTTGAAATACTTTCAAGACAGCTCTGACGTCTTGTAGTTTGCCGTGTCATACACGAAAGAGTATCACTATTGGGAGTACGCCGTCTTTGTTGTCCTTGGTATCTTTGGTGGTCTGTATGGTGCCGTGTTTGCGAGGTTGAATATCATCTGGAGCAAACACGTGCGGAACGGGACTTGGTTGAAGAGGCATCCGATCATCGAGGTCTTACTCGTGAGTCCATAGAAGCTGAAGGTTATTGTATACTGATATCATCAGGTTGTGCTCCTCACCACCATCGTGTCATTTACCAACCCTTACACGCGAATGGGCGGAACAGAGCTTGTTGCTGCCTTGTTCGAAGAGTGCAAGCCATCCTCCACGTCGGGTCTCTGTGTCAATCATCCTCATCAAATCGCTGCGGTCATCTGGGAGGTGTTTATGGCGCTCTTGATCAAGGGCGTTTTGACCATCGTCACATTCGGTATCAAAGTTCCTGGTGAGTATTACTCTTCATATCGCGCAAGCCAGTGGTGACGTTTGACATAGCTGGAATCTTCATCCCCTCCCTCGCCGTCGGTGCCTGTTTTGGTCGCATTGTCGGACACGCCCTCGAGTACATTGAATTCACCAACCCCGATCTCTCCATCTTTGACGTCTGTCGCGATACGGATTGCGTCGTCCCTGGCCTCTACGCCATGGTTGGAGCCGCTGCCACTTTGGCGGGTGTGACTAGGACGACTGTTTCGTTGGCGGTCATCATGTTTGAACTGACGTCGACGTTGAATTATGTCGTTCCTGTCATGTTGGGGGTTTTGATTGCAAAGACTGTGGCGGATGGGTTGGAGAAGAAGGGGATATATGACCTCGTCATCGAGTAAGCTCAATTGATCGCAGCAAGCTTGAGCATCTGCTAACTATAAGCAGTCTTAATCAGCTTCCATACCTTGATTCCAAAAACGAATATCTCTGGGGATCCCGACGCGCATCGACAGTAGCCGACCGCTCCACTCCACACCTTCGTGCCGATAAGCCCCACACTGTCCGCTCTCTCACTGGCAAGCTCCTCGAGCTCGTCCGCCTTGGTCTGGAAGATACAGGCTTCCCCGTACTTGTCAAGGAAGTGACGAGTGGGGGCGGTAATAGTGGAGGCGGAGGTTTGGGCTTAGGACTTGAGGGAGGCGTCAACAGTGGCAGGGAAAGGAGCTGTCTGAGGGTGGTCGGGTTCTTGGGTATCAACGAGCTGGAGCACGCCCTGAGTGAGTTTTCCTGCTGTCTAACATGCCCCTGTCGCTGACTCTAGCAATAGCCGAGCTAGCAGATGACCCTGATGCTGCCGTCAACCTCGTGCCCGACGAATCGCCCAATACTCGAACGCATAGCAGTGCCATGTCCATTTTCAGTTTTGCCGACTCTTTCTTAGAGAACGCAAACAATCCATACGATTTGAGCCGTTACATTGACCAGGTACGCCACATGCTTTCCCTCGGGCTTCACCTTGCTAAACCCTCTACAGGCGCCCATCACTGTTCAAATTCACTCTCCACTCGAGCTTGTGCAGCAACTGTTTGTCAAGCTCGGTGTGAGACAGATCATCGTTGTCAACTCTCGAGGTGTCTTCCAGGGGGTCATCACGAAGAAAGCCTGGTTGAGCTTTTTGAACGAGCTGGAGGAGGGACATGAGTGACGGGGATGAGTACGAGGTGGTGTGCAATCTATCCATGTTTCATCTCTTTGTTCAAGATTTTGTGGATATTCGGTTTTCTGATCACCATATCATTGTTGAACTCTTTACTTTGCTTTTTAGGTTACGACACATTTACTCTTCTATCCGAAATCTCTATAACGCCCCTTCACGACGATTCATTTTGTAAACACAGCTTTGCTCGGTGATACTTGCCATCCAATGTAACTCTTTCTCAAATCCTGATGGCGCCTCTTGATGGCGCCTCTGCTAGGACTCAATGGTTGTATGAAACACAAATCAGGTATGATACATCGTCCCATGATTAGAGAACACGCAAAGTCGAAGATGGGCCTAGTGGATGACAACTATGGATTAGGTACGAGTAACAGAGTATCTTATAGTAGAGAGCGACACAGTTGTTGACAAGGATGATCATAGCCAAGGAGGTTGGGCCGAAGTCGTGGGGTTGTATACTCTTAGTAAACGTCCTACAACAACATCAGTTGACGCACGATGGATAAAAAAAGAAGCAGCTCACCAGGGCCGACCTTCATTTTGTAGAGGAACTGCACAATAGTCTCGCTCTCCTTGTTCTGCCCCCCTCCCAAACCCTTTGCCCAATGCGCGTTGGCCTTCTCTGCCAACTCGTGTCTCGCCGCCAGTACGTCCGAGAGGGTCACGACCCCACGTGTGAATTGGGGAGGGGAAGGGGGAGGAGGGGTGAGTGGTTTTCGGGTGGGCAACGTTTTGGATCTCGTTGTAGGAGCTTCGACGGGCAGAGGGGAAGGCGAACGTGAACCGCGTTCTTCCTCCGGGCGGTCGGTGACGATAGGTTCTGACATATCAGGCTGCGCTTCCTCTCTAGAAACCTCATTACCGTTCTCTTGTATACCATTCTTCTCTCCTCCCTCAGCCTGCTGTTGTGACTCGACATGGACACCATTCTCGCCGCCATTCGGCTGTTGCTGCTGCTCAGGCACCGCGGTGTCAGCAGCAGGTGGAGGTGGTTTGACGTCTTCGTCTGCGTTGGCAATGGGAGCAGCAGCCGTCTCTTCTGGTGGCGGCGAGGGGCCAAGACCCTGTTGGCTCTGAGAAGCACCAAGGAAGGCAGTGGCAGTAGGCCGGGCGGATGGGGGCGGAGGCGGCATGCTGTAGAGGAGGTTTGCTGCATGGGATATGTTGATTACTTTTTGCCCGGTTTGTTTCATTGCTTGGCAGAGACGTACGTGGCATACATGGTTCTTCAGACCAAGGCGATGGATTCCAAGATGGTATAAGGTCGTGCAGTTCGAGGTACTTGTAGAGGGTCTCGACGGGGAGGTCGTGAAAGTCGATCTGCACTCGCATCAACAACAGCTCGTGACGAATCTAGGCATGCAAGGGTTGTATCCTGCACACTAGCTACTCACCTTTGTCTTGATATCACCTTCAATCTCCTTCTCTCTATTCACTTCAGCAGCGATGGGTTCCGGTTTTCTTCTCTTTGTCCTCGGCCCCAAGGGGCCTCCAGCAGCCCCATTGCCGGCAAGCGGAACGCCTGGACCCGGGGTGTTTGTGGCTGAGTGGGGGTTGTTGTACTGCCTGGGGCGTTTTACCTGCTGGGGCGGGAGCATGGGGGAGTTGGCTGACATGGTGGGATGCAGCGAGATGGACACTGTGGATGGCTTTTTCGGGGGAGGAGACAGAGTGGAGGCAGGTCAGGGTAAACAATGATTACGTATGCATCACGTTCACTGAAATGTTTTTCGACGGACGACCGAAGGGGATGGTATTCTGACTTGATCAGCTATCGCCACAATGGTGAGTGCAGAAGGGGGGGTGAGGGGGAGATGCTGACAGTATACAGGGAAAAGCAGCAAAGACGAGAAAGTTTGCCACCGTCAAGCGCATGATCAAGCCGAGCGACCCTCGACTGTTCGTCAAAATTCACTGGTGTGCAGGAGTCACTAGCTGACCCGAGACTGTAGGAAAGAGAATGTCGAGAAGGCTGCAAAGAAGGCCGAAAAGGAGAAGGCCGCTGAGGAGCGAAAGGCTGTGTGAGCTCGTTCCCAGATTTGCAACTCAACTCTTCTAACCCTCGACCCAGTGCCCAGGCATCTTCAAGTCTCTTCTTGTCTCACAACTCTGACCTCGGACCCCCTTATCGCATCTTGGTGGATACCAACTTCATCAACTTTTCGATCCAAAACAAGATCGAGCTTGTGCAGGGCATGATGGACTGTCTGATGGCAAAATGTATTCCTACGATATCGGACTGTGTTTTGGCCGAGTTGGAGAAGCTGGGGCCCAAGTACAGGCTTGCTTTGAAGTGAGTTCCCTTCGATGGAGTGTGATAGTCGGACATGAACTGATGGGGACCATAGGATCGCCAAAGACCCCCGGTTCGACCGATTGCACTGTGACCGTAAGTCCATTCTCTCAGCTTTGTGATCTCCTGCTCATCCTCTCCCAGACAGCGGAACCTATGCGGATGACTGCCTCGTTCAGCGAGTGACGGCCCACAAGTGCTACATCGTAGCCACCGTGCGTCGTCCTCATCACCATATGTCTGACCTGTACTGACAAAAGGTAGTGCGATAGAGATCTCAGAAGACGTATAAGAAAGGTCCCCGGTGTGCCTCTCATGTACGTCGTCAAGAGGAGATACCAGATCGAGAGATTACCAGAGTAAGTCGTGTGTCTCCTTGTTTCGGGACTGACCACTAATGTGTTTTACAGTGGAGGCGCTTCGTTCATCTAGAGCCATTCATTGGCATCTGGACATTGTATACTTGTATATGTAACTGATACATCCACGACAAAGTGCATGCTGTGGCAGCAATCGGAGTTGGGACTGACTCGGACTCACAAAACGCCAACAGTGTATATGTTGCCACTCACCGCAGTGGCAAGAGGTTAGGAAAGAGTAGCTTATATCCCTACTTTGTGTTCACGGGGTGTGGTCACAAGTGACAGAGTGATCCATCTCATATCTCAAATTCGTATGTCAAACAGCCTTTCCCTAATATGCGAATTACCAATAGTCCTAGCAACAAGAAGGTCGCCCCAAGTATCGTTCATCTCGTCAACCCCCAATCATCCGCCAAATCCAACCATGAATTCTGCAACTCCATCTCAACCCCCTCCCTCACCCCTTTCCCTTTTCTCGCAAAAGCATACGCATGCAGCAACCCATCCCTCAACTTTAGAAAACACACTCGCCCTCGTCTCTCATCCATTCTCCCCTGCTTAAACTTGCAAGCCCAATACTCTGCCACCGGATATAAACTCTGTGCGTCCCATTCCACCCGAGTCGCATCGTCCCAAGTACGGACGACGGTGCCATTGATGGTGAATGCAGGCAGTGAAGAAGGGTTGTCGGCATGCAGGGCGTTGCGATATTGGACGGCTTCGACAAAGCGCGCAATGTGGACAGAGTAGAGGGAATAGAGTTGGATCGTAGGTCCGGCGGGGGCGGATTCGCTCGATGACACGACGGAGGCGGTCTCGTAGTCGGTCGATGAAGGTGCCGACACGGTCGTCTCGGAGGCAGAGGCAGAGGTGACAGAGGGAGACGGGGAGAAAGCCAGAGCCAAGAGTCTGTCGGCCCCAGGCTCGGGAGCATCCACCTCCATGCTCATGTCTGACACGCGCCTAGCCATATTCTCATTCATTGCCCGCTGGGGCTCATCCAACAGGTGATCCACGAAACCCATGTTGCCAAACGACTGAACCTCGTTCCTATCCCCGACCACATCGAAGGATCCCCATGGAGGGAGGGCAGTACTGCTGTTGGAAGTAGGCTCGACTGGGTGAGCTGGGGATGGGAGACGGAGATTTCGGCTGATACGCGAGTGGTGCGTCCTCGAAGGTGTAACAGGGCCGAGCAGAGGGGCGGTCGGCCTGTCAGAGTCTTCGCTGAAGCGAAGGCGGGAGGACTGATTGTTGCACAATCGCGCATGCCCTCGTCGGTCTCTAGACGTACTGTCGCCGCTCGAGCTACTCGAGCTACCATAAGGACTGCACCGTCCTCCGCGCAAGTTTTGGCTCGATCGTGCACGTTGGAGGTGATTCGGGCGGAGTAGGCCTGGCCTTGCGCCCCTTCTAAACTCGTCGACAGGCGCACTATAGGGCGGAGGAGGTGGTGTATCGCTCTCGACGCCGGAGGAGAGACTAGGAGGAATGACATTCACGTGCGAGTTGTTTTCGTCACTGGAAGATTCGCTCTCGCTACGCAACCACGACGGCTGGCTACTCTGCGCCGAGTGACTACGTTCGGGCGACCTGACGGAAGTGATGGTAGGTGTTTGTCTGGAAGGCATCATCCCAGCTCGTCCAACAGCCGTCCCAGTAGCCTGGTCATTTGTAGACACCAAGCGTCCCATCTCATCCAACCCTGGTGTCGAGCGAGTGTTTCTCACACTTCGGGTCGTACCAGACAGGAGAGCAACCTGCGGCGAACCAAGAGGGGCAAGCCCGCGAGTGAAGAGGCTGGAGATCCGGTGTCTGAGCGAGGGATGTGCAGGAGCCCGGCGAGGTTTGGTGGGAGTGGACGGTTCGCGATGATGATGGTTGTGGGCGCCAGGCTGACGGTTCTGCGCTTGAACAGGTGTGGTATCTCGTCGGGGTGCAAGCCGAGTAGGCGTTCCCTCCGTCTCCTACATCATCCCCATCAGTCTCCGAATCCTCTACCAAGCAAGACCATGCACACTCACATCACCCCAAGTCTCCAGTAAAGTCGGCCCTCTATCAGTCTCATCAACCGGCCTCCACCGAGATCTATACCACGCAGAGCTTGCCATGCGACAGCAACGGTCCAAGAGAGCCGGGGAAGGGTCGTGGAAATGGTGCGATTCGAGGTGGGCGAGGTAGGCGGGCATGTCCATGTCGGGGTCGGTGTTGATGCTGGTGCTGGAGGGTGCGTATAGATTGGGCGGATCCATCTGCAGTGGTCAGCTTCCGTCCAGGTAACACTAGGCTGGGACATACCAAGCCGTCAAAAAGACTCCAGTATCCCGCCATGATACGCTCGCTACTAGTCTCGCTCGCCCTCCTCGGCCTGGGGGCATTGCTCTGCTCCGCTTCCGCTGCAGTCCCAAGCTCATCCTCGGGGTACTCGGAGGGGGCGTAGAGGCGATGGTGCATGACGGTGTGAGAGTTGCCGGTCTTGAACTCGCGCGAGTGGGAGTGCCGGGGTGGGGAGATGATGCTGGGGATGACTGGCATCGTGGCGTGGAGAGAGCCAGAGTTGATGGAGAGAACAAGAGACGAGATACAGAGACAGATAGAGAAAGATGTGCAGAAGTCGCACCGGGAAAGTAAACATTGCACTTGGCGGACCACCCCATCATTCAACGTTCGGTGTCCCGAAATATTATTCTGCCACATACAGTTACCATTCGACTCGCATAGTCTACCTGTCAGAAGATGCATGTGCAGAATATTCAAAACTATACACGAAAGGCTTGATTCTCTACAAACAAGGAGAACTTGGGTAAACTTCTCCTCTCCTTGATTCAGATCGCCAGCGAACGACTTTCAGGAGACACATGTAAACAATTCGATAATTTGACAACGAGAGTGGTGGTGGTGGCAATCAGCAAAAAGAACTTTGGTCAATATACAATAAGAGAAACGGGCTAGACACTTTGTTTTCAAGCATTCTCGAGCTCATCAGCAGTCATCTCCTCCTCACTATCCTCCACAACCTGAAACTCTTCATCGCTCCCAGCTTCCACCGCCTCCCCCTCCTCACCATCATCCGCAAGCCCACTCGTCACACTTTGAGTCGTACCCGTCTTGACCCCTTCCACATCGACATACGAGTCGTACGAGACGACGGAAAGGTCATCATCGTCGTCGTCGTCGTCGTCCATGACGGATCGGCTGCGGCTGCGGGAGGTGACGGATGGGAGGGAGGGCGAGCTGGGCGGGGAGAGGTACTGGCTGCTCTCGGTCGAGGCGCCCTTGTCAGCACCAGCGGCGGGGGTCTTGTAGTGGTGGTAGAGGGTACCGCAAGGGACGGACCCGTCTTGCTTGGGAGCGACGGGCTCGGGCGTAGAGGTCGAGCTGGGCATGATGAAGCTCGAGGCAGACATGTTACGGCTGGCAGCCAAGTCTTCAGCCACAGCGATCCTACGATTTGTGACGTATCAGCTCGGCCCCTTGCATTGATAAACAAGAACGCACCTCAACCTGAAAGGCTGGCCATACTGGACACCCTTCTCATCAACAAATCTCCACCACTCCAACACCTCTCCCTTCCTCTCGGGCACCTTCAGCCCCTCAATCCTCACCTCGCCTTCCTCCCCCTCCTTGACATCATTCTTGTCAATCACAAACTTGACGTTACACCCCTCGACGCCTCCACTCAGCGATTGCCCACTCTGATGCTCGAGGTGGATGGACCCGAAGGGGTACTCGTCGCCAGAAGCGAAATGCTTGTACTTCCAGATCTTTGTAAAGACTGTGCCAGCTGGGAGGGACGTGCCGGGAGGGATGGTGACGTGGCGGACGTAGGAAAAGATATCGAGAGGCCCGACGGGCTCCTTGGCCGGCTCGGGAGTACGAGTCTCAACCTTGGCCGGCTCGGGCGCTTCCTCAGCCTTGGCGGGCACCTCGGCTTTCACCTCTGGTGCAGGGTTGACCGCAAAGATCTCCTTCTTCTCCGCCTTGGGAGTTTCCGGCTGCTTCTCCTTCTTGACATCGGAAGGACCCGCCCACGAGAGCAGATCCTCCACAACCTTGGCCCTAGCACCAGGCGCAGGGGAATGCTCCACATGCTGCTGCCACTGCCCCCCCGTCCTCGCCCCAAACGCATCCCCATGCGGCTTCACCTTGTTCGCCTTGAAACTCGCCGCCGTCGTCGTCATCTTGTCCGACTGGGCCATTTCGGGCGATGGCGATTCCTTGGCGGGCGAGCTGGTGGACAAAGCGTGGGAACGGGTCTTTTGCTCGTATGAGCTTTGGAACTTTACGCGGAGAGGTGCCTTGAGTTTGAGCATGGGGTGATCTACCGGGTGGACGGTGGCGGGGTGGGCCTCGCATGCTTGGCAGAGGTCATAGTCGGGGCACGAGGGGTGCATGCACTTGTAGCGGATGCCGTGGATACGAGCTTCACAGCCTGCAATGTGTCAGCCAGGCTCGACAAGACTTTTAGGAGACTTACCGTCGCAAGAGACGTGAGGATGAGCGACTTGGTCCCTAGCCTCCATGCCTTTATCAGTGACATAATCACCAGCCTTGTAGAGCTTGACAAAGCTGTGTCCCGGGTGCTTCTGCCCCAACCCCTGGGCACAAACCCCACAAGCATCCCAATCCGGACAATTAAGACACTTCCACCTCACGCCCAAGATGTTCCTGCTGCAGACATCACACGTAGCAGGGTGCATCTGGCTCTCGTCAGCGAGCCCATCCGCCGTAAGCTTGATGCGGTCTTGGAGGTCGCGGTGGAGCATGGCCTTGAACGAATGGGTGACGGGGTGGAGCGCGGCCGTGTTGAGGAGCGGCAAGCAAGAGCCACAGAGATCATAGTCGGAGCATTGCTCGCACTTGTATCGCATCCCGCGAATCTCTTGCTCGCAGCCGTCACACCAGATGTGGCGGTGGCGGAATCCGCCTTGGCCGAGCTTGGTCGCGGGCGTCGTCTTTTCGGCCGGGGTGGTTTGGGTGGAGACGTCGTTCTGGACGGGGGAAGAGACGAATGCACCGGGGATCTTGGGCTCGGCTTCGGGCGTGGCAGAAGAGACGCGGGGGGAGCCTTCAAACGTGCCAGCAAGCTGGTTGGTGAGGTTGCCCAAGAAGCCGTCGAGCATCGACTTGATCTCTTGCGCGGGGACGAGTCCGTTTGGGTTGCTCGGGTTGAGGATTTCAGTGACGCTATCAAGGATACCCTTGATCTTGCGCTCGTGGTTCTGCATCCTCTCGTGCGAGAAAGGCGGGCCGAACGCAGGAGGATGAGGGGGAGGCGGAAAGTGGGAGAATGGGAATGCACGCGGGTGGCCATGAGGCGGAGGTGGCGGCATCCCCGGGAAGCTGGGGCGGAAGAAGCCTGGGCCGTGAGGATGATGCCTGCCGCGGCGGCCGCCGTTGATGACAGCTTCGAGCGGTGGGAATGCACCTTCGTCTTGCTGGTTGAGCTCTTCACCGAGACGCCAGGCTTCGAGCTCTTCGGCAGTCTGCTGCGCGCGGAGGGTCTCTTCTCGGCCGAGAGCCTGGGCGTGGTCACGCAAGCTGCTGTGCGAGTATCCTTCGGTGGGTACATTGTCGAGCTGCTGGTTGATCTGTTCGATATCGTGTCGCATCTGCTTGACCGTCTCTTCGAACGAAGCGACCTTGTTTCGCTTGTCCTGGGCGCGAGAAGACCAAAAGGCGATGCCCGTCTGATCGCCGACCTGCATGCAGTCCTGGACCTTTGCCTCGAGCGCAGTCAGCAGGGCGCACTCGTGGACAAGCTCATTCTCCTTGACTTGAAGGCGCATAGTGGAGGCTTGGAAAGAGCTGATGAGGCGGTTGGCGCGGTGGAAGCCATGGATAGAGTCCAGGCGGGGATCCGAGGTGAGGAGTACGGTGAACACCAAGGCAGGCGAGGTGCCGATGGTCTGGACGAAAGGCAGCTGGGCGGATTCGTATCTAGACAAAGGAATGAGCGGGTCATCGCTCTGAGAGGAGGGGCTCACTCTTCGACATCACAGACGTGCTGCTTGAACATGATCCTGGCGTCGCGGGAGTCGTCTGGGAAGAGGAGGACGTTGACCCAGTAGGGGTGGGATGTGGAGGGGAGGTTGAAGATGGTGCGTATCTGTGGCGGGTGAGCCGAGTAGCGGGGGAGTGGGACGCACCTTTTCCTGGACGTCCGAGTACCTGGGGAAGCGGGTGGTGTGGAAGGAGAGACGGCGAGTCTCGTCCTTGAGCGTCGCCTTGATCACAAACATGCCGGGGATCCTAGGGGATGCTACCTGATGGATGCGATTCCATTGACGGGTGGCGACATCCCATACCCGCTGCTTATGTAACCCGGGGTTACACCTGTGGCAGCCCCTTCTGTACTGGGCATTCCGGCCCGCTCTCCTTCGCCTCACGCTGGAACTGGGAGGAAGTGGGCCACCTGCCCCATTTGGGCCCCAGAAGCCCCTCGAATGTGCTGACATCATAGTCATCTGACCTTGTCCGGCTAGATGTCAGATGTTCTTCTCTACCACATAGACACTAGAACTAGACTCATACATGTCCACCACGCCCCCAAAGTCAGACACCCGCCCCCCCGCCTTCCGCCCCTCCCCCACCCGCACCATCTCCCTCGGCGCAACCCAGCAGTACAAGACCCGCGCCGCATCACAGCCCGCCGGCGAGCGTCTTCCCGTCCCCCACGCCCACCCCCACGCTTCCCCAGCCGTCAATGGGAACGGCAACTTTGGTGTGATTGGCGGCACTCGCTCAACAGGTCGATTTGGAAACGCACTCGCAGGTATGGGGCCCGTCACCCGCGCCAGCAGCTTTTCCGCCGGCGAGAGGATGCCCCAGGAAAGAGTAAGTCGCGGGATTGCATTGCTACGGTGCTGACGTTGGCAGAATCTGTCTCTGGCGAGGACGCTCTCCTCGCATACCGAAGAATTCGTCCCGTCCCGTTCCCAGTCGACTTCCCCATTCCCTACTTTTTCCCCCACCTCGACGCCGTCCACCTCCCCCGCGGCGATCCGCCAGCAGCCTCTTCCGCACTCGCCTCCAAAAGCAGCGCAGAATATCTCGAGATCCCGCTCCCAGTCCTTGGCTGCTGGTGTCCGCCCGTCCTTCATCGACCGCGGGTACTTTACCCCCATGAGCAGCCTCGACAGCAGTCCCTTTGTCAAGCTCGACACTTGGGGTTCGTCCGACGCCTCCAACATGTCGCCCTTCACCCGCGGCCTGACAAACCTGGCCAACACCCAAGAGTTGCCGCGCTCCAGGCTGCAGCAAGATACGACTTATACCTCTGCCCGCGCGGCGTGGGCAGACTCGAATACCCAGTCGGCGCTGACGTCTTCTGTCGCGAAAGCGCTGGGTGGGTACCAGCCGCCGCATACAGGCAGTGCAGCGACTTTTGCCGAGACGACGGGCTCGGAGGGCCGTTCCGGCGCTTCTAGTAGGCGCCATTCAGTCTCTGTTGTCGGCGGCCCTGGTGGTAGGCGAGAATGGTTCAACGAAGGCGGTATGGGTATCACCCCGTACTCTCCCAATCGGGGATTGTATGGCTTGGAGAATGACCTGGGTAACGCGCTGAATTTGGATATCGAGAGGGAGAATGCGCAGGGCTTGTACGGGAACGAATTCGATGGGCCATTCGGTGGATTCGGAAAAGGCAGGGGCCCTTCTCCCCAAGCGCCCCAGGTAGAGAGGACTCCCGATCCTCGCCGTCCATCCCAGTACGCCCCCGAGCCACCCAACTTTGGACGCCCGCGTACTCAGAATGCGCCCCCACTCGGCCCATCTCTCGGCGTGAGTTTGCCCCGCAACATCTCCCAGCCGTCTCAGCAAGGCCCAGGACCCATCGGTTCCCCACCTGCAAACTCGTTCATGCAGCAGCCGACCTTTATGCCGTTCCCTCCTGGCTCGGCGCGACCGCCATACCAGGCGCCTGCACCGCCCAACCAAGGGGTCAGGCCTCCGGCTGGTGCCGTGGGCAGCGGCTATGGATTTTACCAGCCCGGTCAGCCACCTGTCCGCCCTACGCCATCCCAGCAGTTTGCCCCTCCCAACAACAACTTTCGCGCCGAGCACAGTCCACCCAACATGCCCGCCTCCACCCCTGCTCCTCAGGCATCCCAGCCCCAAGCTCCCACTTCCCCCTCATTCTCCTCTCTCTCCCTCTCCGACCTCGGCAAAGGCCTCCCCCTCTCCTCCCTCCCCGCCTCCACCCCCCTGTACATCGTCACTTTCAAAGCCGGCCGCCGCGATGTCTACTACTGCCCCGACCCGACTTTGCTCATCAGCAACGGTGACCGTGTCATCGTCGAGGCGGATCGCGGGAGCGATCTGGGAGTTGTCGTAGCGGACCAGGTGACCCCTGTTGATGTGCGTGAGTGGCAAGAGAGGATGGCGACCAAGGCTTTGCTCAGCGGCGCGAGGGAGCACCAGCCGCCTGGGATGGGTATGGACGGGGCGCCCCCCCAGGGTCAGGGTCCCCAGGGTCCCGGCGGGCATCAACGTATGCCGTCCCTCCCTCAAGGACAAGGACGGAACCAGCCTGGGCTGCTGCTGCATGGGATGGAGCTGGCGAGTCTGTCCCTGGATGACTTGCTCTCCGGCGTGGGGCCCGGAGGGCAGATGGAAGTTGCCGGTGGGGCTACGGCTGTGAGGGGACCTTTGGCCAAGGAGATTGCGCCCAAGAGGATCTTTGCAAAGAGCAGTCAGGGGGTGGAGGAGCAGCAGTAAGTTTCTAAACCCTGTAGTCTTTGTGCTTGACGCTGATGAGACTGTAGGAGGATGCGCGAAAAGGCACAGGACGAATACGATGCCATGATGATTGGTCGCGAAAAGGTCCTCCAGCGAGGTCTGCCCATGCAGATTGTCGATGCAGAGTATCAATGGTGCGCAAAGCCCTCTTCCCGTCAAATAATGCAAGCTAATGACCAAGCAGGGACCGCCGAAAGCTCACGTTCTACTTTAAAGCCGACAAGAGGGTCGACTTTAGGGACCTTACGAAAGAGTGTTTCAGGATCTTCAAGTCGAGGATCTGGATGTCGATGGTTTCAAAGGATGGTGAGTCGTCTGTTGCATCCATTGCGTGTGGGGCTGACGAGAAGATAGATCCAAGAGCATAATGTACTACTAGTCAAACAAGACAGCACAGACAAACAACACAAATTCTTCTTTCATGTAGATTAGGAGCCCTTTTTCTTTCTGTCGACTATCCATTCGCCTTTTTTTTTTCTTCCCTTGTTTCATATATTCGGTGTTTAGAATAGAAACGTTTTGTGGTCTTACAAGAATGGGGGGGTTTCTTTCTTTTTCAAAAGCGAGGGAAGACTGGCAAGCGTCCTGGAAGAGTAAAAAGTGTACGAGAGGCGGGAGGGCGAACAGAAAATACAAAGAATTTAGAAATCAAGAGAAGATAATCAATCATGTACTACCATATGCTGTGGCTGTTATGTCGAGAGAGTTTTGTGTGCAGAGTTCTGGTACATGACCTGCAGCATCGGAGGTCATGTCAAAGACCGTGCTTTCGACGGGAACCCTATCCGTTCGACCCGCCCACAAATTCAAGCCGATGCAATATCATGCCATGTTCTACTCGTTATATGTATACAGCTGCGGATCCAAGTAACAATGCTCAAAGAATACTAAACTCTACGTTACAGACATGCGTGAAAAAATCTATGGATCATTAAAAAACCTCATCAAGCCGCCCTTGAAGCTCTGCCTCCATCGGGCCGCGAACTCGCTCCGTGTTCTCCACTGGACCACTCTCCGGACCGCCGACTCCAGCTCGACGGTGGTGAAACACGAGACTGCGTATTTCGTCTAGGCTCACTACCTTTGCCCTCCTTGGACACCCGACGCTGTTTCTCTACATTCTCCTGTGCAGATCGCTCCATCTGCTCCCGCAACTCGACCTTTTCCCTTTCCGCCAGTAACCCCTGGAAGACGCCAGAAGGATGCTGTGCCAGTCGATCCTTGGGAGGAGATGGCTCTGTAGCAGACGGTCTCCTCATACCGAGAGCCGAGGTGCTTCTAGTCTTGCCTCGTTGATCGTTGTGCGACTTGCGAGGAGGCGAGATATTTTGATCAATGGAACTCGTCCGTATAGCCTCGTTCATCTGGCGCTGCTGAGAAGGCATATTCGAGGGCGGACCGAATTCGCCCCCAAACACCGATTGCGCACCCTTCCCATAGGCATAGCCACCGCCGTTTCCTTGCTGCATATGTTGCAGTTGACCCATCCCGAAGAAAGGATTAAACATTTGCGGGGGCATTTGTTGAGGCATCTGTGGGAACCCTGGGTAGCCCATAGACATTCCCGTGTTCATCATGTTCATGTTTGGGTTGAACATGGGCATGGGGGGCATGGAATAAGGTGAGAATTGGGAAGATGGGCCTTGGTTTGTAGAACCTGACACGGCGCTTTGGCGTTCCCACTCGTCCTCGGAGGCGCGATACGCGGCAGCTAGGTATTGCATTTGCCATTGGTGCTTTTGCCATGCCCTACAAGTATACTCGATGAGTATCTGATTCCAGGCTGAACGGGCAAGACTTACAGATAAGCTTCTGGGGACATTTGCTGCATTTCCGGCATGGGCTGAGCGCCCATTTGAGCTTGCACAGGAGGATCATAAGGCGATGGATGTTTTGAGCCCGTTTCTGACCTCCTGCGTTCCCGTCTATCGCGCTCCTACAAAGGCAATCAGCAGTGTCAAGTGACGCCGTATTTGTACCTACTTGGCCGTTCTGCAAAGCTTCTCGACTGTTGCTCCTGCGCACAGCACTCTCGCCTTTCCTCGAACTCTTGTCACTCCCGCCCGTAGTCCTTCGCGGATTCGCCGGCCTCTTTGCAGGGCTATCAAACCTGACTTGGGCCTTCACTGGCGAAGGTAGCTGACCAGACGCCGGGGTCGAAGTTTGAGATCTGTCGGGCGGTCTGCTTGAAATTGAAGCAGATTCGACGGAACTCTCGTCAATGGAGCGAGGCGTGATGGGTACAGCAGGACCCATATCGATAAGAGGCCTACGCCGCTCAGGCGGACTAGCTGACTTCAGGCTAGCATTGGCAATACTCGTTGGTGGTGTAGGCAGCTCTGATTGACCATATACGGGAGACTTGCCCGCAGCCAACGAGGATCTGGACACAAGACGCTTGACAGCGTGAAGCGACTTGTCGTCATCGTCGCTGTCCCCAACGTGACTGTTTCTCGCGATGGACTCTTTACGCGCCATCTGAGTGGTGGTGATGGGCATAGACGCAATGCGGCTTGAGCGGTTGGGATGTCGAGGTCCTCCGGGGGCGCGTCTGGTGGATTGGCGAAGCGATAGAGACTGTACTCGACGGGATTCCTGGACGAAAGGACCAGGACGCTCGCCTTCGGTCTCACTGCCGCTTTCCTCATTCTCTCCGCGCTTGCTAGTGGAAGGCTTCATAAAGCTAGAGAATGGACGGGGACTGGGTCGGTATACGGGAGTAGCAGTATCATCGCTCGCAGGTGACTTTGCGTCGTCCGTGTCGCGCTGGGGTTGAAGCATATCATCGCCAGTCTTGAGCTTTTCAAACGCCGGTTTTGCCAAGTTTCCAGAGGATCCGGAAGCGCTGAGAGCTGCCACCCCCGCCAGCCGCTCGGATAGTGGAGACCTTACACGCTCGGCAATAGGAGCAGGCGCGGAAACGGGCGTCGGAGACGCTTGTCTGTCGACAAACGCCATGTCCTTATCATCCGCTGTGGTCGGCGACTGGACTTCATCACCTCCAAATATTCTCAGAGAGTTTGCCGCCAATACCGGATCAAATCCATCCTCCCCAGCACCCGGAGATGTCCAAAGACCGGACAGATACCGCATTGGCTCTTCCAACAATGACAGTCGCTTTTTTTGCGTACTTGGAGAAGTAGCCTGAGGACCACCAGAGTCTTGGCGGAGAGAGAGCTGGTGGAGAGGTACGGGACCCTTTGGTGGTGTATCGGGCATCTGATCAGGCGGCAAAGGAAGGTTGAGAGTAGATAGAGTGGGAGAGACCTGTCCTGGCTCGGGCAGACCGAGGGGCTCTGGAGGAGGTGGTGATCTCAGAGCAGATTGAGACCCTTGAGATCGACTCAGGTATTGGGAAGGCTGCCTGGCCGTATCGAGGGGCGAGGGGAGGGCATGCTCGCCGAAATCAGGCTTTGGCTTCAAAAGATGCAAAGGCACAGGTCTGGGCGCAGTCGGGGGAGTGCTGTAGACCTCCTCAGAAGCCTCTGCCGGGGAACGTGGCAGGGGCGTGACAGGTTTACTTTCACCATTGGCAGGAGAAGAGACGCGGGTTTGTACAGGGCTTGCACGCAGAGAGTCTGACGCATTGGCCATGGCAGGAAAGTAGGAATCGGCTGGACTTTTTGCCAAACTCTCAGGTGGGCTTTTCGGACTTCTCCCCTTTACTACAAAGCCAGAGCTGGTCCTGTTCCGTGTTCGTGGTCGCACTTGGAAACTGAGAGCCGGACTCTCCGTCCTGTCAATCTCTCGCCCCGACACTTCTTGATGTCCAGGCTCGGGAGCAACTTGCGCGACAGTCTCAATCTCATTCGATCCCACGATGCCCCCAACATTGGTCAACCCAAGCCCTCGCATGCTTGACAGCGATTGCGAGCTTTTTGGTCGGATAAATGGCTGAGAGACTTGACGCATAGCTAGGGGCACGTCGTCGTCATCTTCATCATACCGGCTCGCCCCGTGCCCGATATCGCTCATGGTACTCGTCAACTGAGTACTCGGCCGTCGGAGACCCTTTCGAAATGCACCAACACTGACCCGATTGGAGCTAGTGAGGACATCGTCAAGAGAGACAAGTGACGGAGCAGCACTGGGCGGCCTGGCTAGAGGAACGTAGCTCGAATGGCGCGGAGCCGAGTAGGCCGAAGGTGAGTGAGAGGGGATACTGTCGTTGACAGATGTAGTCGACTTGTTGAGTGCCAAGACCGACTCGCGCTTGACGTGCGAAAGATAGCCTTCCAATTTGCCGGCGCCTTCAACGTCAGACATGCCTGATACGTGTCGAAAGCCTCTGAGCTGAAAAGTCCCTTCGTCAGTAGCTGGGGATCTTTCGCCTGCTCGGGAGACTGATCGGTTGAAAGGGTTGGCAAAAAAGGAGGACGATGGTCTGCGGAGGGGCGGGGGTCGAGCTGGTCTAGTAGACTCGGAGGACGATTTCGCCTGGCTAGACAAATTGTCGGCCGTGGACGATGTGGGAAGCTTGACGGGAGAGGGCGATTCAGGCTATTTTGGGTTAGCGAGAAGAATCGTTGAGGAAACGTACTCACCCTCTCGATTTGAGATTCACTCATGACTCTGGAATGTCTATTGACCTTTCCCTTACTCTTCCAAAACTTGTGCTTCTTCTCAGCAGACTCCAGCACCTCCATCGGATCTTCCTCCTGCTGACTACCATGGGTCATAACGGACGTTGACAGTGGGTGCTTGGACTCTGGAGCCTTCTCGTCCTTCTCCGGGGTGAGATCTCGGCTGTCGATCACGACGAGCGATTCACCTTCTTCTGAAGGCGTGCCGGGCACGCTTGTTTGTCTCGGCGGGGACGGCTTGAGTTCCGGTTCCACTTTGGAGATAGAGCTAGAGTTGGAGACCTTTCGTTCTCTGTCGCCACGCTCGAAATTGAGCTTTCCTAACAGTCCTCCGTCTTGCTTGAAGACGCCGCTATTAGTGCGGGACTTGCCCTTGTCCCGATCACCTTTTGATGACGGCGTCTTGTTCAATAGGGGGCTAGAACGATTACCCTCTTTGGAGCTCAGCGCAGGGAGTGACAGAGCCGGTACGGGCGGTGGCGTAAAGTCGGCATACTGCGAGTCTCCACCTATACTCTCATCACCCCCCTTCTCCGTCTCCTTTTCCTTCTCCAAGTCTTTGCCTACACTCTTCCTCCCCCAGCTAGACTTGGTTGAGTTGACATCTTCCGACTTTTCCCTCTTCTTCCATGGCCGTCTAGACTTTTTGGACGATATCGAAGCCGCAGCAGGTGAGCTGGGGTTGTAGCTTGTGCCAGGCGTCCCAGGCGTTCGGGGGGTAGAGAGAAGGTTTGAAGCGGATGAAGAGTGGGGTGCAGGGAAGGATGATACGTGGCTTGACGTATCATGATGTATACTGGACGATCGTTGTCGGATACGGGACAGGATACCCATTGTTCTGTTATCTGGTCGAAGAGTACAGAGTCAGCTTGAAAGTCGAAGGACGATGGTGAGAAGCGATAGAGAGGAGGCGCCCCAGATGGAGAGATCTGCGAGGAGAGACAAAGGAGCGAGAGGGCACGCTGTACGCTTTCGGGTCGTGCATGCAAGGCAAGCCCTAAAGGACACCGAGGGATCACCTTTCGAAGTCAAAGGCAGACGCCAGGTGAACGCATATAGAAGGCTGCGGACTGGTATTGTGAGGTGGGAGGAGGAGGCTTACAGATTGGGGGCCAGATACGCAACCACAGAAGAAGGAACAGACCGTCAGATCGTTCGTCAGATCGTCAAAGCGTTATATATGTGCGCGACGGATTTGGCGGCTGGGCGGTGGATTTTGCCTGGGATGCCTCTCTGTAGGCTGTCAATGGGACATTGGGCGCTGGGGTGTCAAAGCCTGGGTGGGCGACCGCTGTGCTGTTGCGTTGGCAGTGTCTTCTCGAGATTGTGGCAAGATTGTGGGGAGACAGCCGGAGGCGGACGTGACGCCATCTCCATGAAACTTGTGCTGGGACGTGTATGACCATAAAGCAAGGTCAATATGAAAGGCGACATAGCTCAGTTGGGAGAGCGCACGACTGAAGTTCAATTCTTGGATTCCATTCGTGCGGTCCCTGGTTCGATCCCGGGTGGCGCCATCTTTTTGCATATTGTTATACTTTTCAATTTATCTCTTTCTCACGTGTTTTTCCATCTCATCCTTTATCGACACACCAGCACAGAGGGAAAAGCTCATCGAGGTCTTCGTCTGATGCAGGACACCTGCTTGAATGGGGATGTGCGCGATGCCAGGGGGTGCCGAGGGATGTTCTGCTGACGAGAATATTGACTTTTTGGCTGCTTCATACAACAATTGCTATGCATAGCTGTACTGTCTAAATAGTAGCTGACATGTCGGACGACATATAGCCTTGACAATACGGTGCTACGTAGCGGTCTGAATGATCACGAGGTCGTGGCACAAGCTTAGAGGTCCGATGCACAACGATGGGAGGAAGAGATGAACAAGCATTGGGGGACTAACGTCACCAATATGATCCGTTATTACACCACCACCAGAGACACTCCGCAGGTTTGGTGGCTGTATTGTGCAGTAGTGACGATGCAAATATGTTATGTATAGGTTCTTTGGCATTTAGCTCGTAACCATACCCCGCCGAAGACGTTCATGGATGTGATGAATAATTCCTAGACAGCGCTGACGGTAGGAAAAGATACGGCTATTTTGTCCCAGCGGTTTGCGACGCCGATGAACGGATCGTGTACGCTCAATAAGATTTCCCCGGATTATGCCATGATGCTCGAGTATTCAACGCTTCCGGCCTCATCCAGAACGCCGCACAGTACTTCACCCCTGGACAGTACCTCCTGGGGGACTCTGCTTCCCCTGCTGGGGACTACTGCGTGCCAATCATCAAGCTCCAGCGTAATGCACAGCGCCTTGAGCCACCCGAGGTGATCATTGTTCTTGCAGTTATTCACACAGATAATTGACTGACTTGGGGCCATTCATTCATAGGCGGAATTCAACCTCAGCGCCTCATCAATCCGCGTACTCATTGAGCATACCTTTGGGATGGCTAAGCTTCGCTGGCAGTGTCTACGAGGTTTACGCGTGCGGATGAAGAACGAGACGGACGAGGCTATCGCTACTGGCATGATCCGCGCGTGCTTCATCCTTCACAACCTTTACGTCGCTACAGGAGATTGGTACCGCCAGGTCAACAACCATGACCCTTTGACTGACGCGGAGAGACGGGAGTTGGGGCAAGATCGGGCGCAATGACTCCAGAACGGGGGGAGCGGGCAATGGGGCGGGCAATGGGGCGGGCAATGGGGCAGGTGAAGAAGAACAAGGAGAAGTCATTGAGCTGATGGGCCTTGGGGCTCACGCTCGACACAGGGTGATGAGGGAGATGGGGTTGGAGCCAACGGCGCTGCGTCAGGCGAGGGGCCGGCAGGCGAGGCAACGATTGTAGATATGCGGGGAAGAAGGGGTGAAATGCAGATGTGACTCAGCGAAAGCATAATTACATAGGGCGGTCCATCTATCTTTCTGGCTATCTATCTATCTTATGCATCATCGCGCTTGCATCCGCCGAGGCATCCTCATACGACATATTTCGTCTCTCCATGTTGAACACCACGTGCTTGTGCCACATCTTTAGTTTGGAGGCCAACACCTCTTGCTCCACCCTCTTCTTCTGGATCTCGACCCTCTCTTTCTCAGTCATCATCCTCTCCTTTTCAGCCTTCATCTTCTCCTTTTCAGCCTTCATCTTCTCCTTCTCAACCAGTATCCTCTCATCGTGGCGGCGCTGGGTGTGCTCCTCGACACCCTTCTGGAGGCGCTCCATCTCATCGTCCGCAGCCATTCCCTTGTTAACGTCCTAGTTCCCGGTATTGAATACTGTTGTACAGTCTTCAGCACCTATCACCTGGTAAGATGAAAGAGCATGAGAAAGCACAACAGGCTCCACAATACACCACGCTGCAGTCCCTGAACCTCGTGCCGCCACATTGGGCATCTGGTCCCGCCACGTTACGTAACTACTTGTCTACCGTATACGTCTACTATCTACAGCGTCCAGCGTACTGAACTCAAGAATCCAACACTCCTCCTGACGTTCTGTACGCCCTACACTATACGCTATACACTACACGCAACCACCCGACTACTCGTACCCCACCGCATACCCTCACACCCGCGACGTTCCTCTCTTCCTCGCCCCCGCGTCCAATCCCTCCATCTTTTCACCGCCCTCGCAGATCTCCAGCCTCTGCACATTCGCCTTATGATGGATAGGCTCTAGCGCTTTGGTGAAGATGTCGGCGATGTTTGACTTGGATCGGATGTAGGCAAGTCGGATCAGCCCGGCTTCCACATAATCCCGGATCATGTGGACGCGAATGTCGATATGTTTGGTACGATGATGAGCCCCTGGGTTTGCAGCCAAAGCTAACGCCCCCTGGTTGTCGCAGTGCACCATAGTGTTCGAGGAGATAGCGAACCCCAGGTCCTCCATCAGCCTCCGCAGGTAAACGGCGTGTTTCCCTGCCTCCGACATCGCCACGTACTCGGACTCCAATGTAGACGTCGATACAATCGCCTGGCGTTTCGACTGCCAGTCGACCACCGACCCAAAGGCTTTGAAGACATAGCCTGTGGTTGATCGTCTCGTATCCAAGCACCCCGCTAGATCCGCGTCTACCCATCCCTCCAGAATCGACGTCTCCTCCTGCCCCCCTAGCAACAATCCCTTCGTCCTCGTACCCCTCAAGTACGCCACTACTCTCAGCGCGAGCTGGTAGTGACTCTCCAAAGGGTCGGATGCGAACCGAGCAAGGTAGCTTGCGGCGAACGCGATATCTGCGCGGACTGTAGATGCGATCCACTGCAACGAACCCACTACCTCCTGGTACGGGGTAAGCGGTGCTGCTGGCGATTCGTCTTCGTCGCGTCGTGGTGGAAGGGAGCGAGGATTGATAGGGACGGTCTGCTTTGGTATATTGCAGGGGAATTTGTCGGTGAGTTCATCGATATTCTTCGGAAGGGATAGGTGGAAGGTCTTGGCTGACCGGTTGCGTTCGATCTTGATTCCCAGCACCTGCTCCATCTCCTCCGCTACCGTAATATCCCACTTCTCCGTCAACTTCCCAAATATCTCATCAATCTCCTCCTTCTCCGGCGCCGCGACTATCAAGTCATCGACATATGACAAGATAATAGTTGGTTTCTTGACACCAGGCCTACGTCGAACGTACAGCCCCCAGTCACTCTCCACTCGAGTAAACCCCAAATCCAGCAGAGCATCGCGAAGCTGCATCCACCAGATCCTCCCTGATTGCTTCAGGCCGTAAAGGGACCCCTTCAGGCGCAGTACGTCGCAACCTTTCGCGGGCGTCATCCCCTTCGGATACTTCATGTATATGGGCTCCTCGAGCCGGCCATTCAAGTACGCCCCTTTGACGTCCGCTTGACCAACTTCGAGTTCGTATTTGGCGATTATGATTAGGAGTAGTCGGAGGCTTGTGAAGCGGGATGTGGGGGACCATGTCAACTCGTAGTCGACACCTGGTTGTTGACTGAAGCCCTGCGCGACAAGTCTGGCCTTGTACTTGAGTACGTTGCCATGCGCATCTTTCTTCTTCGCCAGAACCCATCTTGACCCCACGACTTTCCTCCCTTTCGGCAACACTGCTTCCTCCCAGACATCCTTCTCCTCTATCGTCGACAACTCTGTCTCCATCGCCTTTCTCCAGAACTCTTTCTCTTCTCCTTCGAGGGCTTCTTTGAGGGTACCCGGGACATCTTCCGGAATCTTCGAGATAGCGTTGAGAACATGCTCGGAGCCGAGGTGGTATTATCGAGCGTCCTTACCATAATACCGCATGTCATCGTCGTCGTCAAGGTTAAAGGAGGCTAGCTTTCTCGCTTGAGACCTAGTACGGGCCTCAGCCGCGATCGGAGGAGGTGGTTTCGGCAATGATGTAGGGGGCGTAATCTGAGGAGTGTCCTCTTCGTCATCAGACGACAGAGGTGACCCGAGTGCTTGGGCCGTTGCCTTATTCCTCTCTTGTACGTCTCCCTCCCTGCCCCCCTCGTTCTCGCTAACTGTTTCTAGCACTTCTCCGTCTCCCTCCGACTCCACGCTCTCGACTTCATTCCTCTCATCCCCCCTCTTACGCCCCCCTACATCCACGGGATCTGCAACCTCCACCGTCACCATTGGTTGAGGGCGCGGCTGTGGTGCGCCAACGAGCTCCTCGTCCAACTTGAACTTGTCATCAGTTGCTTTCTGAACGTCCCTGGATTCCACGAATTCCCCAGTCTCCAATCTCAGCAACCACCCGCTCCTCCCCACGTCCAATCCCAACACTTGCCCAAGTAGAGCCTTCTTCGTGTCGAGCCTGTTCTTGAGACGGGTTTCCTGCGGTAGCTGCACATAACAGTACTCGCCAAATTCCCGAATCTCCTTCACGTTCTTATCCCTTCCGGTATACCGCTCCCATGCCGATACCAAATCATCACCAACAGATGTCTTCATTAGGACACAAGAGGCATATCGGATCGCGTAGTCCCAGTACTGGTTACCGAGCTTCGCCGAGGAGAGCATTGCCGAGCACATCTCTTTGAGGGTTCGGATGAACCTCTCGCAGACACCGTTGAGCTCGGGTGTATATCGGGTTGACTTTTGGTGGATAAGACCGACCTTGGCGTACCAAGCCTGCGCCTCATTGCTGAGGAACTCGGAGCCATTGTCGGATCGAAGGAAACGAACCCTGGTGCCACACTGTCTTTCAATTCGCGCCACAAACGCTTGGATGTGGGCCAGGACACCTGTCTTCCCCCGCATGGGGACGACGTGGGAGATCTTCGAATAGTCTTCGAAGAGGACGAGAGCGTACTCGTTGCCTCTAGTAGATCGAGAGAATGGGCCGATGATATCCATATGGATCATCTCGCCTGGCGCGCTAGCTCGGTTGGAGTGGCCGGCCTTTGGTCTGCGCGCCGTCTTGTGTTCGCTGCAAGCTGGACAGTCCGTCATCCGGAAGTCTTTCGCCTGCTGCGCGTCGAGGGGATATTTGGTGTAGCCAAGCTGTGAGAGTAGGAGCAGCTTGCGCCCGTTGATATGACCCAGTCGTACGTGTTCGTCATACACTGGATTACCACCACCGAGGAAGTTGAGCTGACGAGGCGAGTAGACAGACACGTAATGCAATTCACCAATACGGATCATTTCGACTACCGTTTCCCCCTTCGTCATAACATCTCGCTCAAAATCCACTTTCCACCCCGCCTTCTGCAACCTGCCTCGCGAGAGGAAGCTGCCATCGATTTCAGGTACATACATTACCTCTCCGACTTCCACCTTCCCTCCTGCGTCGTTGTGCAGTTGGAAAGTACCCTCCCCCTTGATGGGGAGTCGGTATGGGCCCGCAAGCTTGATGTTGCCCTGGAAAGGTCGGATCGAAGTGAGAAGATCGGCTCGACGGGTGACGTGACACTCAGCCCCCGAGTCCACCACGGCCAGTTCACCGTCCCGGACGGCTTTGCCGATATGGAATAGCTGAAGCTCGGAGTTACCTTTCTCCAAGGTCATCCCACCGGTACCCAAGTCTTTCTTCTCCTCCTTCGCCGCAGATGATGCCTTCTGGGCTTTCTTCTTGGGACAGTCTCGAGCGAAGTGCCCCCTGGTGTGGCAGTTGAAACAGGACTTCTTGTGTCCATGACTCTGTCTGCTGGTGTCACATATATCGACTGTCCTTTCAGGATAAGCCCAAAAACAGCATTATTGTCGCTGAACGGATCTATCATTTTCGTTCTAGCAAAAGACGTGGACATAATACCTCGACAAAAGGCTGAAAGTCTGTGCTTTGGGATATATATACGGACCAATGCGGCGGCGCAAGTTTGGTTTACCTTCAAATCATCCAACATGCCTGGTTCCAAGTATGATTCTTGCTTTACTTACCACATAGGCGGTACCAGCGCCTCGATCACACATAGTGACGATGGTAGGGTCCTCATCGCTCGCTCCGAGACGCCTAATCAGATCGACGAAACGACTACTACAGGCGCCTCTTAAACGACGAAATCGGAATACATTGACCATCACAGAAAGTTGAGACAGGCACGTCGTGAACAAGAGGAGCTGGACAAAGACCCAACGTTCAAACCTGATCAATATGCACTCTCGTCGGGGTTTCCTATGTTGGTGTGAAAGCAAGCACCGCGTATGTACGCGACAACCAAGACCGAGGATACGGAAGCCGCACGCGAAGAGCTTGCAAGAAACGGGTACATCATCATGACTACAGACAACGAGGAGGATGATGGCTACATGACGTTCTCGTTCGTGGACACGCCATCCCTCTTGGAGTAAAACTAGAACAATTTGTGCCGAGCGGGCAAAGCTGTGGACGTATGTAAAAAGTTTGGTTTAAATAATAGTAGGCTGTTGTCTCCCAACAAGAGAGAGAGGATCCTAGCATATAGCCAGCAGAAAAAGTTTTGATTGACATCCACGCTCGCATCAGCAGCATATAAGCAGCTTGTGTCGCTATGCTCGCATACTACCCTTGCATCTATAATTCCACAATGTTTTGCTGCGCCGTGATGACAAATACTGGGACCTTGAGACGTGTAAAGGACAATACGAGACTCTGCCTCTGTTAGTGGTGGTGGGAGACTCAGTGGAAGGTGAGGTGCAGATGATACCATCTTCTTCCTTTCTAGACGATGGGTTGATGCCGCATCTATGATACGTTAGAAGAGAGTCGTATTTCGAATCGGGCATGCTAGTCGGTGGTAGTGTAGATCGCTTGACTTGAATTCCTGCTTGGTCTCTGCTTTTCTCAATTCTAGGATGCTCACATCAAAGGAGCGGAACATCGTTTGGGACTTTCCCATACTCCCACTATGTATGGAATGCTCGAGTACGACGTACAAATGGAGGTATGTTTGAGAAAAGCAGGACCGGATATGTGTCAGAGCTGGGAAACTTGTATGCTCGTCTGAGTGTCAGTCTACTCTCAGACCATCGCTGCGCTCTGTGATATGCGATGCGGTGGATAATGTAGTTAAGGATGATAGCATCGTTCACATCATCATAGTATGCATCATTTTCTCGATCGCTGGCTGTCCCGCTATCTGCGCACGGCACAAATAGCCAATCGTGCGCGATAAAAACAAGTGCTGATCACCCCCGATACTGTATATAGTCCCCTGCTGCTTTCCCGACTCTCCTTAAAGGTAGCGTTGGTACGTCATACTCGACTGGATTGACAATACAGTGTGACCGTCACCAACTGGCACTCGAGAAGTCGCCGTTTGATTACCTCTCGACTCAATTTCTGCAACGGTACTTTCCACATCATCGTCAGCAACAGTCTGGCTTTCAGTATGTGTCTCCGTAACGTCTTGGGCTGTGACTACCCCGCTGTCTGCTTGACTGCCTGCATTTGATGCATTAGCGGGGAGGTGGTGGCCTTCTCGGTTGGGAAGCCTGTTATCGTCCTAGTTCCCGGTATCAGTCAACGTGTACTTCCAGACACACAGATGACCAGAATGGTGGGGAACTAGGGAGCGTAGCTATGAGAATATATATATATGTGAGATAGAGCGGAAAGAAAGATATAAATAGGTAGGATGTACCGTAGTGAAGGTAACGGGACAAAGGTAACTGTTACGGGACCATAACGACCTCGGGTCTCTATCCCAACATCCCTTACCAGCAGAGTCATGGAGACTGAGAGGAGTCTTGGGTTTGTGAGGCGCCTTACGATTGCCTGAGACAGATCGGCGATTTGAAGTCGCTTTGCCATATACTTTGGGTCTCTTCATGTATCGAGAGCGGGCAAGCGCGGTGTACATGTTGATGAGAGAGGCCTTGAAAGGAAGGCCGAGGGCAATGGCCAAGCAGGCCATGCGGTGGTACTTGGCGAGCTTTCTCTGTTTTGGGCTGACGCGACTCATGACGATAGGATGTAGGTGCGTGTTGATGGAGACAAGAGGGGAAGTGGATGGAGAGGATAGAGGGCAAGAGCAAAAGAAATACATTCGACATCACTTCGGACAGGCCGACGCGTTCGAGACGGACGGGATCTAATCGGGTCCAGACCTCTGCTTTAAGACCACAAGTTTAAGAACCAGTTAAGAACGCCAAATTGAATTCCCCCGGATATTATTCACAGCACCGTCTGTCTGACCGACGCGGCTAAACATATGGCACCAGTACAATGAAATGATGAAGGATAGCAAGCAGTTGCATATCTATATCATACGAATACTTTTACAAGAGATGAAGAGATCAAGAAACGCAAGTCTCACAAGATGCCTTGGCTTATAATATAATGTTTTGTGTCCGTATATCAAGCTTCTTATGTCGTTTCCATCTATATACACGCACCACCATACGTCGAAAGATGAAAGCTAGACGACTAGGGGTTCTTCCATCCTTGTCGTCTGGGGAGGAAGAAGCCCGGATGAAAGATGTTGACTGACGCAATGGCGATGAACATGGGGATACCATCAAGCACATCTTGGTACACCTCTGCTCTCATTCAGTATTTGCGCTACACCCAGTCTGAGATGACTTACCATGCTCTATCAGATACCCATCCCATCCTTGGACGAGCTCGACAGAACGGTAGAAGCCTCGGAGGATAATGCAGACACTGCAAATGGCGACACCGAGCATGACGAACCACCAACCTCGCATTTCACGTTGTCTGACAGCGATGTCCTCAACGGAAGATGCCCGACTATCCCTCAAGCTCCCCTTTTGCGCAGTCTCCGCATCTGTCAACTCAATCTCCTGCTGCTGAATGGCGGCAGCACGTCGTTTGAAAGGCTTTTTGGTATGCGCCCGCCACATAAAGTCGGCAGCGAGGTAGGAAAAGATGATCATGGTGACGAGCTGGAAGATGATACCGCCGACCATGATGTTGGTCGGTGTATGGGGTATGGGGGATACGTCTGTGGAGGCTGCCCAGCCGCCGCCGACCGCTTGCAGGATGAGGGAGACGACATCGCACGAGACGAATACAGCGACATACTATACATGCGTGTTAGTGGGGTAAGGAGGGACAGAAACCAAATGGACGTACCCATTTGGGGGAAAGGAGGGAGTATTGCGGACCGAGAGCTGTAATGGCCACGCCGAGGATGGTGTAGCAATAGGCAGAGAAGAAGACGGGCGCAAAGATGAGGCTGTTCCGATGTCAGCATTGGCCAGAGTAACAGATGGTAAAACGTACGTGATGATCTGCATCAAGAAGGGATCGCGGGCAAGCACATTCTGACTGCTCCAGTATCGAGCTGCCCATCCAATGATTTCGACTGGCATTTTGTCAGTTGCTGATCTTATCATCTCGTGGACAGCAGACTCACGGGTACACCCGATAACGAGGGTGGGAAAGACGAGATAGTACTTGTAGAAACACCCTTGGGCCAAATGGACGACGTCGGAGACTGAAAAGAGACAGATAAAGGTGAGGGCGACCCAGGCAGTGGGGGTGTAGCCGTAGGCGGAGGCGTCGGCGGTGTCGTCAGACATTGTGGTGGAAGAAGTGAGTATGGGCAGCTTGGGCATCTTGTGCATACGGGAGCATATATATGGAGCGGCCCTGTGGCGTTGATGAATAATAAAGCATAAAGCGATGAAGACGATGCCCGCCATGGACAGCGAACAGCGAACTCACCGAACCCACCGCAGCGGGCATCTCCCCCGAGACCGTCCCCGCTCCCTTCCACGTGCCTGGCAGGTGCCGGCAGACGCAAACCGAGTAGATGGACATGCAACCAAGCACTGTAAATGTTGCGCAGCCATCGCCAGGGTAGAAATCCCATCACTGATCACCGTCCAGCTCGGTGACACGGCCCAGAACACCCCTCCGCGCCGATCACCCCCCGGACCAAACAGTGCAGTCTACTGTGACAGTCATGCATTTCAAGCTTTATTTTATCCCCGCTCGAAGATCGCCAACACCCAATGATAGAAAGACACCACTAACGTACAACTCCCCTCAACACTCTCAGCTCTTCCAGCTCGGCGACGTGCCGTACCCTCCACGCCCAGCTCCTGCACCCTGTCCGCCCCATCCAGGTCGAGCAGGCTGTTGCGCCTGCCCGTTTTGCTGAGGCGGGGCAGCACCCCCGTAGGCCGGAGATGTTGGACTGTATTGCGGTGATGTAGGGCTACGATACATCAGCTCAGTCACAAGATCTTGGAGACCCGACTTACCTGTAAGCAGGACTGGTGGGAGAATACTGCGGGCTTGTGGGCGAGTACGCCGGGCTGGCAGGAGAGTAGGAAGGTGATGTCGGCGAAAACTGAGGACTCGTCGGGCTACATACATGTCAGCTATATTCTCATAATCGATGCAGCACGTACGAGTATCTCGGGCTTGTAGCCTGGAACGCCGCTGGACTCGTCGGGCTGTACGACGGACTCGTAGGAGAGAACGCCGGACTCGTCGGGCTGTATCTCGGGCTGGTAGGGCTGTACTGCGGCGAGGTGATACCACCCATAGGACTCGTCGGGCTGTACGCTGGTGAGGTGGGAGAGTATGGCGACGCCTTGTTGCCACCGGCTCCGCCATAGGCAGGTGAAGCAGGCGAGTATGTAGGCGATGTCGGTGAGAATGAAGGCGAGGTGGGAGAGAATTGGGGTGACGTGGGAGAGTACTGAGGGGAAGTCGGAGAATAGGCTGGGCTGGTAGCACCATAGCCACCTCGTCCGACCCAAGGAGAAGCTCCACCAGCACCCGCGAAAGGTGACGTCGGGCTGTAGCCGGGAGAAGTAACAGCGAAGGGTGATGTGGGCGAGTAGCCAGCAGGTGATGAAGGAGAGTATCCAGCAGGGGACATGCCACCGTGCATCGGCGACTGTCCGTAACCCATGTAGGCAAAATTGCCGGCCTCGTCGTTTGTAGAAGACTGGATAGGCGAAAACGCCGCTCCGCCCAAGATACCCTTGTCTCCCCATGTCGGCGACAGATTGTCGTACGGTGTCATCGCTCCACCCGGAGTCATGCCGCCCGCAATACCCGTCGCCATCATGTTTTGCACCGGCAATCGGTGGTCGACAATGACATCCTTGAGCATGTTCATGTCCAGTGACACGTCGAAAGCACCAGTTCCCATAGGCGCCATCTGACCCAGCAACACATTCTCGGCCACACCTCGGCAATCATCGATATCACCAACAGCAGCAGCTTCCAACAAGATCTCGACAGTCTCCTCAAAGGCAGCTCTTGAAAGCGCACCAGCATCCGTTCGGTTGATACCGTGTCGAGTGATGCTCATCAGAGATCCCTTGCTACACATCAAGTCACACAACAACGCCAAGTGTCGATAGTTGACATAAGAACCACCCATCTCGATAACGCCGTTGAGCTCCTTGTAGAGAGCATTTCGGGCGGCCTCGATACCGAGCGTCTCGTAGACTTCGTAACAGTTGTTCGAGTAGGTGCGGAAAGCGTCGACACCGTCAATGGCCATGACAGCCTTCAAGTTGATACCGTCGGTTTCAAGGAACCACTCCCGCTCCTGGTCATACTCGCCGTTCTGAGATACGACAACCTTCTTCCCTTCAGAGATAAACACACGGATGATGCCGGTGACACCACCAAGCTCGACCTGGTCAAGCAGCGTCCCTTCAATCCTCTTCAAGAACATGTCTTCGTCGCCCAACAGCTCTTCGTCCTCCTTTTCAGCCACGACTCGAATACGGATGACAAGCTTGTCGGCATTGTCTTCCGAATGAATGACAAAGACGTCCTTGCCGACAGTCTCTGCGATGGCATCGACAATCTGCGACATTTCGTATCCACCTTCAAGCACCTTTCCTCGGTCAAGCTCGAGACGCAGCAACCACGGAGAGTGGAGCTCGAGTCGGATATCCTCATCAGGAATGGCAAAGAAGGCATCCACAAAATCTTTATCCTCTTCAATGTCTGTAGAGTCGAGTTTCGGGTCGTAAAAGATTTCGACGGTAGCCGTGACATCTCTCAGACGCGTGTAGGTCAACTTTCGCATGATCTGATGCGCGTCGTGCTCGGTACGGCTGTACTCTGGGTCAAGGTAGACGTTGAGAGCAGGCGTTCGAATGTTGACGGCGACGTTGATAATCTCCTTCAGACGAGGCACACCACCAGTAACAGACTTACTCGCCACACCAGCATAATGGAATGTGTTGAGCGTCATCTGAGTAGCAGGTTCACCGATAGACTGAGCGGCCAAGGTACCGACCATTTCGGCGGCATTGACAACAGCCTTGTTGAAGATCTGCTCCACCTCTCCGATAACCCAGTCGAACGCTTCCGTGTTGAGATGGTACTCTTCCAAGACTCGACGGACAGCGAGGTGAGACCGCAAGAGCATGTTGAACACCAAAGTGGCATTCTTCTGCGCGGCCTTACTCAGCTTGTCGTCACCACGCACAACCATCAACCTAGACGCCAAAGCGTTTCGCTCCTGGAGCAGATAGACCGGGTCAAGGTCACTAGGAACTCGGGGATCAATGTGGAAGATTTGCTGAGAGTTTTGGATAACACGTTGAATGTTGACGGGAAGGGGATGCCCAGGGGTTCCGTCCTCGTAGATCTCTTCACGCAACATACGCCTGTTTTCGGTGAGTTGCTCGAATTCTTCGTCAAGCAATTTCTGGAGAGAGACGGAAGACTGGTCGATGCCAGCTTGAAGAGTACCGCGGGAGAATCCGTTGTTGCCGAGGACATCGATCTTGTATCGGCGCTCAAACGCGCGATCAGATAACCGAATGATATCCAAGCTCTGCAAAAGCGTCAGTTCTGAACGCTGCAACATCACACACACTCACCTGCTTCTCCATAGCCGCTCCGTCCATACCGTCTTCACCATACAAGAACTGGACAACTTCTCCAACACTGTTCCTGACCGTTCCATCGTACGCGACCTTCAAGTCCTCCATGGCCTTGACCAACCTACGCTGGATATAACCAGTTTCGGCAGTCTTGACGGCGGTATCGATCAAACCCTCACGACCACCCATGGCGTGGAACCAGAATTCCTGAGGGGTAAGACCTCGGAGATACGAGTTTTCGACGAAACCTCTCGACTCGGGACCATAGTCGTCTCGTGAGAAATGAGGTAATGAACGGTGTCGGAAACCGAACGAGATACGTTTACCCTCGACGAACTGTTGTCCAACGACACCAGACATCTGAGAAATATTGATAAAAGAACCCTTGGCACCAGACACGACCATCTGCTTGACATTGTTGTCGTCCTTCAAGTTGTCTTGTGTGGTTTTACCCGTCCAATCACGCGCCTTGTTGAGCTCGTTGGCGATGGACGCTTCGAGGGTTTCTCGAATGGTCATACCAGGCTTGGGCTTCATTCGATTGGCTTCAGCTTCAGACACGAGCTTTTGCACGGCCTCCTTAGCTTCCACCATTCGGTTGGTGATACCCGCCATGGTGGCCTTGTCGACAATGGTGTCTCCGATACCGACAGAGAAACCAAAGTGCAAGAGCCAATAGTTGACGACTCGCTGGACGGCAGAGAAAAAGTCTCTCGCAGCGATGTGTCCGAGTTCACGGAAGATGACGTGCACAAGACCGTTGTTTGCGCTTCCCGCCATATTCTTTACGATTGTACCATGCACCAACTCTCCGTCTTCAATCAAGACATTCTCATCCGTCACATCGATCGGCGAAGGCTTTTCGTTGTTCTTGTAGGTAATGTTGATACCCTTGGGGATGGTCATGGAGATGAGCTGTTTACCCGTCCATAGAGGTTTAGGCTTGAAGATGGCGGGAGGGGGGATGGTGCCGTCCCATTCAGGGAGCCAGAGGAGAATGTGCTGAACTTGAAGCCAGTCGAGAAAGTTGTCTCGAAGGGTAAACTTTCGAATACCACACAGGGTGTCTTGCACGATACCCATAACAGGCTTGTTTGCTTGTGGCGAAACAATCTAGCGAGGTTGAGTCATCGTCTCTGTAAGAAGGAACAACTTACCTGTCTGGGGACCCAAGCAATCTGACTCAATTCGGCTCTCGTCTCTTCACTCTGCGGCACGTGCAAGTTCATTTCATCACCATCGAAGTCGGCATTGTAGGGCGAAGTGACGGAAAGATTGAGACGGAAAGCTAAAACAACATTAGTGGTGCTCGATTACGGATACAATAGACTCACTAGAATAGTTCATCAACTTGACACGATGCGACATCATGGACATTTTATGCAAACTCGGCTGTCGGTTGAACAACACATAGTCTCCGTCCTTCAAGTGCCTCTCTACAATCCATCCGAATTGCAGACTGATCGGCTCGCCACCCTTGCGGTATTTCAAGTCGACTCGCTCTCCTGTATCCTTGACATAGTATCGGGCACCGGGATAGGTCGCGGGACCATTGTTGACAAGCATTTGGAGGTAGACGATATTGTAAGGCGTCACTCGCTCAGGGTAGGTCAAAGTCATGGCGATACTCTTTGGTACACCGACCTGGTCCAACTGAAGATTGGGGTCACCAGTAATGACTGTTCGTGCCGAAAAGTCGACTCGCTTTCCCATCAAGTTTCCTCGCATTCGACCCTCTTTTCCCTTTAATCTCGCACGAATCGCCTTGATCGCACGTCCACCCTTCTGCTGATCCCTCGGCAGACCCGCAATGTCATTGTCCATATAGGTACACACATGGTATTGGAGCAAGTCGAACTGCTCATTGACGACACTGGGGGGCACACCTTCGGCTTCCATTCGTCTGACGACACCGTTGAATTTGATGATTTGCGAGAGCTTGTAGGTCAAGTCATCTTCGCTTCGCATGGCGCCACCGTCGACGGCAATGGAAGGTCGGACAGCGGCCGGAGGGACGGGCATGACGGTGAGAATCATCCAATCGGGACGGGCATATTCGGCATTGAGACCCATGATGTGGAGGTCTTCGGGGGTGATCTTTTTAAGAATGTTGTAGACCTCGCCGGGGGAGATGTTGCGCTCTTCTGGTTCAGCCGCTTCTTCCTGCGAATCGTCAGATAGATTTCTCCAAACGAGGTAATACGCACATCGCCCTTGTCGGTAGGCTTCCACACTCCGTTTAATTTCAGACCTTTCTTTCTCCACAACGGTTGCTCGTGACCACACCCGCCATGTCCCTTGACCTGTTGCTCCTGCAGATGCTCATCCTCAAAGGTTGAATCGCCATTCTTTTCGTCAAGCTCGTCAGGTTCACAGATCTTCTTGTCCTTGGCAAGGGCCCAGATAGCCTTGAGTCGGTGCTGGGCTTTTATCCGGCGGACAGCGTTTGCCACCATCGGGTCGCGCTACAGATCATTAGCCAAGTTCCACCGTCCACCTGAAACACTCACCGTGTCCACCTTCAATTTTCCACACGAAAAGCACACACACTCCAGAATCTTTTTCACCTTGACAATGTAACCCTGGTGAAAGACTGGCCTGGCGAGCTCGATGTGACCGAAATGACCGGGACATTCTGCCATGCCTTCTAGACACGTCTGACACTTGAAGTTTCTGTCGATAGCTGATAGAAAAACATAGAGCGTGAACAAGTCATCGCCGCGCAATCGCGGGACAACTTACTGCCCATCTTGGGATCCATGAGACCTCCGACTTTCTGCTTTCCATTTTCATCCATGACCTCGGTGTATTCAATCTTGGCCACAGAGAAGGCTTTCTGCAGGGCACCGTTAGCGCAGGGCGGACGCGGATGGAGGCCAACGCACAATCTCCTCTGGGCTCATGATACCGAACTGGATCTCCTTGACCTGCTTGGTCGGAGCAGAGGAGTAGGGAAAGGTGACGGTCATGTTGGAGGGGTTCCTTCTTTTACTTTTGTGCCGCGCCGGTCTATGTTTTTCTGATTTGTATTATTTTGGGTCCTACAACAGTTGAATGGGGGTATCGTATGCGTGGTGAATCGGGGCGGCGGAAGGGACAAGAAGTTCGTTGGACGCGGTCGGACGAGTCGAGAGGGGGACTTGGAGGGCGGAATTTGTCGGGTGTGGAGGGCGAGTGGTGTTCCCTTTTGCGTGCGTCTCAATACGGGGTACCGAGACAGCTGGGAGAGGTGGATGGAGAGAGAGCGGGTGGTGCTGTTGTGCGCGCTGAGTGAGCGGAAAAGTGCCACACAGGCCTGGAGGCGTAACCCCGAATGGCCGTGGTGGTAGCCGCGGTCGGCGATGTCCGTCGCTGGTGTCACCGGCGGGCGGATGCTCATCGATGCTCCTCTGTCTCTGTGGCCAGCACTGCACATACAAGTACAAGTATACTATATTGATCCCGGGGGCCGACTCTGTACTCGACGACCATAACGACATACGACCACAGCCTGTATCCCCTTATCGCCCCGCTCCCACCTCCACTTCGCCTCTCCCTTTGTCGTCTCCCGCTCCTTCCAATCAACCACAATGTCCTGGCTATGGGGTCCATCCGTCAACCCCCAATTCGAGCAACTGTCTGGTGAGTGACCCGCCCATCTCCCACTCGCCGCTGACCAACCCATTCCGTCTCGCCTCCTTTCAGAGAAGGCATGTTCCGCCAACAACCTGCCTTATCCCCAGTCCGAGGACATGGCGACGGCCTTGGAGGTCGCTGATATGGTGAGGGCCAAGACTGTGCCTCCCAAGCTGGCCATGCAAAGCTTGAAGCGGAGAATAGCAAGCAAAAACGGACGGGTGCAGATGTATGCTATCTCGGTAAGTACGCTGATATTGTAAAGGTGCATGCTAATCGTATCATAGCTCACAGATACATGTATCAAGAACGGGGGGGATCATTTCTTGATAGAGATTGCCAGCAAAGAGTTTGTCGACGAGATAGCCGGCCTGATCCGCTCAGACGTACGTGCACTCTACTACGCAATGCATCCAAGCTGACCAAGGCGCAGTTTACAAGTCGTGAAGTCGTGCAAATGCTCCTCGTGTACTTTCAACAGTGGGCTGTAGCATTCAGGTCCAAGGCCGAGCTATCATTCCTGAGCGACGTTTATAACGAGCTCAAGGCGTCCGGCGTTCCCTTCCCTCCACCTCCCCAGTCAATTCCCAACCACCTCCTCACAACCATCACCGCGCCCACCTGGAACGATTCCGAAGTCTGCACCCGCTGCAAATCCGCCTTTACATTCACCAACCGCAAACACCACTGTCGTAATTGTGGTCTCATCTTTGACCAGGCATGCTCCAGCCACAACATGCCTTTACCGAAGTATGGCATCACAGAGGAAGTGCGGGTGTGCGATGGGTGTTGGATCAAATCAGGAAAGGGCAAGGAGCAGGTGGTGGTACTACCACCGCCTGCGCCGGCTGTGCCCGAGCGCACGAGGAGGTCGAGGAGTGATTTCGATGCGGACCTCCAGCGAGCTATCGAACTGTCCCTGGCCGAGACCCAGTCGCATGGGCATGGGATACCCTCGGAGCCCCCGCTAGTGCATAATGCGGCAGAGGACGATGATGAGCAGATGCGGCTTGCGATCGAAGCTTCTCTCCGAGATGCCGAGGCCCGCCCTTCGGCTCCAACAGGCTATGGCGAAGAGCCTGAATTGCCGCCTCTACCCACATTCGACTTGACTGCCAGGGAAAGCGAGACAGTGTTGACATTTTCAAATACGATGGACCAAATGTCGGCGTACGGAGAAAGGGATTTGAGGAGGTTTCCCCATGCGCATGTGTTGGCGGAGCAGGCTGGAGCTGTTGGGGAAAAGCTGAGAAGGAATGTGGAAGAGAAGAGTACAAAGCAGCGTGAGTCGGTTCGCATACAATTAGAACTTGACTGACATGGTACACAGAGATGCTCATGGAGATGCAAGACAAGCTCTCTCAGGCTATAAACATCTATGGCGGCATACTGGATGGCCAACAGGCATTTGCTGCCAGAAGAGCTCAGGATGAGCAGGCGAGGAGATACCAGCAGCAACAGGGGATGTACTACGGCCAGCAGCAGCAGTATCAACCATATGGCTACCAACCGCCTGTGAATGGCTACCAGCAATTTACCGCCCCACAACCAGCGTACCAACCCCCCCAGCCGCAGCCTCAATCTTCCCTCTACCCTTCCATGCCCTATGTTTCTCCTTCCTTCAACCAACCACAGATGTACCCCGCACACCAGAACCACGCATGGTCGCCCCATCCTGTACCCACGGTCGCATCGCCCATACAGCAGGTGCCTCACCAACCAGGGTTGAGCAGGCATGCGTCGCTGCAGGCCCAGCCGGTATCACCAGTGGTCCAGCCTGTGGGGGTGCAAAGGCAGACGTCGATGAGTTATGGAGCGCCTGCAATCTCGAGCCATCCCTCTCAGATTCGGGCTCAGCCAAATGCTCCTCAAGAGATACCATCAGCCCCTCCACCCGTCAACCTTTCCACCCACCCCGCGTCGCCTATAGCTCCCACCCAGCCCCTCGCCCAGGCGCAGGATATCCCTTCAGCGCCTTCAGCGCCGCCGCAGTTCTCCCCAGAGCAGACAGCGAGTGCGCCGCCGGGTTCGGTCGGGTCGGAGAGGACGCTTGAAGTATCGTCGCCCAAGCTAGAAGGGAGCGCGCCGGCATGGGAAGGGCAGGACGTTGAAGAGCAGGCGACGCCTGTTCCTCAGCAGCATCAGCAATCGCTCTACTCTCAACCCCCATCGCAGGCTCAGCCCCAGGGGCAGTACCAGCCTCCCCAATCACAACCACAGCAACAGCAACAGCAACAACAACAGCACCTTCCTCCAGGCGTCTACAACGCCGCTTCCTTCCCCCAACCCCTCCCACCTACCATCTTCCCCGATGCACCTGTCGAGGCACCTGCCCAGCACGCCGAAGTGAATGGGTTGGAAAAGCAGGAGAAGGAGGAGGCGTTATTGATTGAGCTTTGATGCAGGAGGGGTACATAGTGGTCAGGGAGTCAAAGAATCAATGTTGTGTCGTTTGGGTTGTATCATAATGGGTTCAGACGTCAAATGCATGGGCTTGATGTATGAACGTTGACAAAATCCTGGGTGATACTGATAGGAGAGCTCCCCTTAGGAACGCTTAAGAAACGCGTAATATGAGGCCGCCGGGGTTGGATTGCACGCGTGCACCGACCTCCCCTGGCGGCCTTACAACATATGTTCATAACACAACCCCATACCCTCTGCTATCACATAACATCCATGAACGCGCCCACCCCAGATCTGCCCCTCGCTCTCCGCGCCACCCACCTCACAACCTCCGCCTCCGATCCCATCCGCCCATCCCTAAAACTGACCATCACCCACCACTATCAAGTCCAAAGCACCATCATCTCCTCCAAAACGAAAGCACTCCGGATAGACGGTACCTTGGATGTCGTGGTACCTATTGGAGGAAAAGTCGAACTTGGTTTGCACATCGATGATCAGCTTCTGAGGGAAGGAGGACATGACAATGGGCAAGTCAAACAACGGTTTTGGAACAAGCTTGCAGGGATGTTGCGACATGTGAGAAGCGCTGTAGTTGTCCCCGTGATCTTCTACTGACTAAGGTAAAGAATTCAGACACTCTAGCTCTCTCATCGAATTGCCCTGTGGCCCAAGCACGCACAGACCCAAACGTCCTCATCCTGATTCCCATATCCTCCTCGCCTACTCTCAACCCTATTCCACATCAACTTGTCTCCTCTGGACACCCTTACGCATACTTGCGACGCTTGGAAGTTCGTATATCATGGGTAAAGACACGTACGGGGGGCAAGAGAAAGCTGGGACGAGACGAGGATGCGGTCGATGAAGAAGGGGATGCACTGTTGCCTTTGATGGACGAGTTGGATGATGCGGCCCCCGAGGGAGATTTGGGGAGCCTTCCCTTCAACGCGGATAATCATCATGAGCCAAGTCAGAGCTGGCTTGATCAACAAATTGAACGAGCTCTCATCAAGCTTTTGATTGGACATTTATTAAAGTATATCCATCGCTTGACTTTAGGCCGCACTGACAGAACCGCAGACGGTATCCTTTGATCTTTGATGGAGAGACATATCGCGTAAAACTAGATTGCTGTTCGTCTGAGCGACATACTGATCTTTCTCCTTAGATTGCGCCAAAGACCACCCCAGGACCATCCCTCTTCTCGTCTCTAGCTCACATACAACGCCTTCACGTCCGTCACAACATCACTACTGGCCCCAGTCTGTCCGAAAGCATGGCCCGCCTGTCCCTTGCACAACAGGATAACCTCAAAGCTCGAGTTGGTCGAGTGGTCGCATTGCCGGCAAAGAAGGATAGCAGGATCGAAGCCGCACATAAACGGCAGAAGGTCGCTAGAGAGAGTGCAGTCAACACGGCCCGGGACGAGGAAGAAGAGGTCGAGGTAGACTTGTACAAAGTTGATCGAGACGAGAGGCAAGGAGCGTATCTGGAGGGAGTGGGGGTGTCTATCGAAAGGTCTGACAAGCAAGGGCATAGGAAGGCCGAGGCCAAGCTGAAGAGGATAGTTGGGGATGCAGTGGTATTCCTGGGTCGAAAGGATCTAATTGAAAGAAGGAAGGGTCGGCGCAAGCTTGGGTATGGCCGAGTCAAGGTGGGCTCCATCCCCTGCTCCCTTAGCGGCATGCTGACGATCCTTAGCTTGTCTGCCCATCCAAAGATGACTTGGACGTCCCGGTTCCAATATCAGACTATGCTCTCTCGGCAATCTCTCCACCATCAGGAACGTCGCTTGTAGCCTGCTCCCCACAAGTATCGTTTCTCGAAGATGTCGATCAGGATCCTACCGACCAGTATCACATACCCTCGTTGGATGAACGATTCGATCTCGACGTCAATACCTTGGAGGATGTTGTGATGGTCAACGATGATATACCGGAGGGAGAAGAAACACTTGCATTGGTTGTTGATGTCGATGAAGATGACAACGATCCCGAGTCGGATGTCAGCCAGCTCCTTCCACCATCGCCATCTCCCCATCTTCACCCGGTCAATGACCTGCCTCCGCCTGCTCCAATTCACCCTCCTTTTCGTCAACCTATCATTGAGCTCATGGTGGAGCGCTTCGGTAACCCAAAAGCGCCCGAGGATTCCGTCGTGATGGGTCTTGAGCTAGAGGAGACTCAAGTGAACTGAAGGTGTCCCAGCTACAATCATGCATATGTAAGTCAATGATGATTGACTCGCCTTTCCGGAGGTCAACAGAGAGTCATCTCAAAAAGCTAGTCATTTTAACAATGTTTTCCTCAATCACCATGACCACCAATCAAACATAGCCATTACAGAAGATATGATACCCAGTGAATATAAACTATAATTCCTTCCCAGAAAACACTACTCGAGATCCTACACAGAGGCCCAAACCCCAAAGATCCCAAAAACTACTCTCGATGCACTTTTTCGAAATGCGTCACAGCAGTCCCATCCGACAACAGCTTTCTCGTGGGCACAAGCTCGTACTTGAATATCTTTGGCGCGAGCCAGAATCGCCCAGTCCAGTAGATCGTACCCGCCGCAAAGATGCCGAATGATACGGCTGGGGCCATGGCGTACCACATGCTGTTGTACACTGCGTCGGATGCCTAGTCGAGCATAATGTCAGCATACGGTCAGGTGAAGAAGGAAAGGAAAGTACCTTCTTGGGAGGGATCCAGGGGACAATGACCATGAAGAAGGAAACCAGGGTGAAGAAGAGCGTGATAGGAAGAGTAGCCCTGAATGGGGGATTCCATTCACGTGCCCACTCTGGCCTGAAGCGACGAGGGATGTAAGTTGCGAGAAGGCCAAAGGAAACGGCGGCGTTGACTACGTTGAGCGGATATGAGGATAGATTCAACACAAAGTTGTAAGCCTGGGAAAATCAGAATCAGTTTTGGTCAGAGGGTGTACGTGGAATACGTACATCTCCAGCTGGAGGAGCGAGTAAAATGATCAGAGTTACAATGACATGCCAGGTAAGGCCTGCCAAGGGCGCCTTGAACGGTCGGTTGGAAGCAAAGACCTTGGAGAAGGGGATCAATCCATCCCGGCCCAGAGCTTGGTTCAGTCGCCCTTGGGAGAAGATGACTGAAAAGACGTTCGCAACGGCCGAAAGGGCCACAAAGACACTCAACGCCCGGGCAGAAGACTCGCCAAACATATTCTGGAAGAACAGGGCAGCTGTGATTTGGGTACTTCCAAGGATGTCCTCCTTGGGGACGGCGGCAAAGTAGGCGATTTGAGCGAGGAGGTAGAGGACGGTAATGATGCCAATGGCGAGGGGACCAGCGATCTTGATGGTTCGGATAGGCGACTTGACCTCACCGACGGCGTACATCAAGTTAGAGTATCCGACGTAGCTCCAGCAAGCCTGTCAAGTATGAGTATCTTGTTTTGCAATATACTGAAAGCGTCTCACGTTATAGATACAAGCTGCGATACCAAAAATGTCACTGCGAGTGCCATCGAAGGCGTTGTCAAAATTGTGAGGCGGGTCAATCTTGGTATGACCGGCAAGAGCACCAAAGCCCGCAAAGCTGATGAGAAGGAGGATGACAATCTTGAAAAAGCCAACAATGCTGAGTAGGTGTTAGATATGTCAGACAGCTGACGAAACACAGGTCCTCACTTCAAGAATCGAAGACCCCATTTGAGAAGGGTGCCGTGAATGACAAGCGCAGTAATCAGGACTGCGACTCCGATACCTCGAGATCCCCATTCGTTATCGGTGATACCCCCAGCTCGAAGGAAGTATCGTCCGGAGGTATAAGCATTCCCCTAAAGACCAGGAATCAGACAGCGTTACTTTGGTCATGGCGGTACGATCTTCAACTTACGGCAGCTATAAGTTGGTTAATCTCGATTACACATTGTTCGCCTTCATCGGAGCTTACCTTGACCTAATAGCAATGCCTGAGCACCGTATATGCACGCAACAAGATACTTTGGTTTTTTGTATACATGTTGTAAGTAGTTGCTGTAACACGAGTACGTCAGTAGACTCTCATGGGATGATATCGAAAGATCTGCGCACAGCTCACCCCCGTTACGAGGTATGGAGGTAGCAAATTCGGCATAGACACTGTAACCTGTGGCGGCAATGACCGCTCCAATGACCCAGTAGCTGAGGCCCATTAGCAATTTCCTTCATCATGAACGCCGACTTACAGAAGACTCATGCCAACAGAACCACTCTGATCAAGAATCGTCGATGTCGTAGCAAATACACCAGTACCGACCATACGGTTGACCATAAGGAATGTCGCACTGATCAGGCCAAGCTGACGGCCTTGAGGCAGGTCGGACTCCGCTACAGAGTTCACCTCTGCTTCGACGTCATCTGCGGGGTAATGCCCGTCGTCTCCTGCAATATGCTCATCCTTGTAGTCGTAGTCGTCAGAGGTGTTGGTCTGAAGTCTAGTGGGGTCTGACTTGTTACCAGACTTGGTGAAGAATTTGGACATTGCGGTGTTCTGTGAGGAGCGATGAAAGCGACGGCGGGTACTCGTACATATATTATTACGGGTTGGCTTTGAAAAGTCCTACTGTTTGCAATTGGCGTGATTCTGCATCTTGTTGTCGCTTCCCGGCTGGCGGTTCCGAGAGTGAACACATGCTCCCCCCTCGCTTGGCTCCCTCTTGAGTCTTGACCGCCTCCCAACCTGAGCACGCCATCTTGGGAAATGGAACCAAATATCGGAGCCCCCCGCCCATCATGAAGCTTATCCTCAGGTCCCGCCCACTGCTCCCTCTGCTGCTGGCTCCGCGGGACATTTACGTACGCAGGACGAGGGGCTTGCGTCGAGCCAGGCTTTTGCTTGTATCATATGGCGCCTTTTTGTCCATCACGCGCTGTGGTTCCCGAACAAAGACCGGGCATGTCGCAAGAAAACACATACATGCAAAGCAGTGCACAGGAAAAGCAAGTCGGACAGCCCAGGATGTCATGGCCGTTTGGGCCCAAAGAACGCCTGGATGCCCTCCTTTTTCTTCTTCACGGTAGTCTTTGGCTTTTCTTTCGATCGGCTCCCTGCGGCCTCGACCTGAGCACGTCTCTTGGATTCAGAGGAGTGTGAGTTCCCTTCGTCCCCATTTTGCAGAGACATTGCGAAATGCCAATCCTCGTGCTCCTGCTTCATAGCGCGTAACAGCCCTGGCCGTTCATCCTCCAGCATTGCCAAGTCTTCTGGCCGAGAGATCCATTTTTTGCACTTTGCACACCTCCAGGACATCCCATCATCCTGAGCCTCCACCTCGTCATCAGAGTCGTCTACGACAAAGACCTCTGGCGCTTCTGTGGATGGACGTCCCTCGCGATCCGAATAGGACGAGGTCCTTGATAGAGATGGGAGCGGTTTGGCGGAAGAAGGCCCTGCCTTGGCGAGGAAAGCTTGGAGGGATGTCTTTGGTTCTACGGCATGGAGCGTAGGCAGGCGTGGCTTTTTGTGAACAGGGTCGGCTGAGGGAGCTGGTGAATGAGCTCTTTTAGCTGAAAGGCTCCCATCTGGAGGCCCCGACGATGTAGACGAAGAATCTGGATCGACTTTTGCAGATTTCGGCACTGCCTTGGCAGTCGAAAAAAATCCTTCAATGCCTTGTTGGCCTTCTTCCAGCTTCTCCAGACCTGTGAATGATAACGCGATCTGGCATTTCGATCAGCTTCCCATCCATATACCATGAAGAAGGCTCACATTATTGAGTTTCATATTACCCTTGTCCATGGGCTGCGTCGCTTCTTCCCAGAGCTTATGAGCATACTTGAGAATATACTCCGTTGAGAGATTGCGGGTAAAGGGGAAGGGCGCTTGGCGAGACCGAGGTGCCTCGAAACCTGTTTCACGTCAGTCTTGCTAGGTTGACACGCATGATAGACATACCTTGCCTCGTCCCAAGTACGAGTGTCTTAGGCCATAGACCAGGGGCAACTTCTCTCGACTCTCTCAAGCGGACATTGAGCTCTCCAGCTAGGACAGAAAGCCAATGATAGCCTTGTGAAGGAGCAGTCACTGATGGCCGGATGTTCTTACTGGCCAACATCGACTTGGTAGCCACTCGCTCCTTGACTTCGGAAAGGTCGATGCCCTTGAGTGAATGGTCAGCACTGCCGCTTTCAGTGACGCATGTATGTGGGCTCACTCTCACGACATTGTATATCCATAAGCTCTCTTCCCCGAACTTGTTCTGCAGAGCATCAAGAGGTACGGTACTATCCAATGTCAGTCAGTCAGTCTCATAGCACTCAATAGTAACTCACAGCAGATCGCCCACGGTCGTGACGTCGAATTCTTGCGCAATCGCGGCTCCAAGCTTGCCTCCAAGGGATCGGATCTGATGTCGGAAGTAAGTCATCTAATCAAGATAAGATGATGAATACTGACATCCGTGAATTCCCTGTCACGCAGAAAAGCAGCGACCGCCGCAGAACGCAAGATGGTTTGATTATTTGGTTTCTTCCAGGCCGAGCAAAGCTGGAAAGAGTCAGCTGTAATTTCACTGCTAATTTTGAAGAATACCTTGGCCAGTGATTTATTATGCGCAATGCCCTGGGTACATGATCAGCCACCGTTATGTGGGATGAGAGTCAGATTTACAGCTGTACACGTGTAATGCAGCCTGTTGTACACTTCTCCACGCACTTCTGACATGAGCTGCCCCCCGAGGCACAGTGCCCAGTCCTCCCAAGTGTCTCTCCCTCCGCGTTCTCTTTCGCCACCCTCGCCATCCTCGCTGGTCACCTCACCTTCTTCGCCATCATCATGCTCCTTACCGTCTATGGGAAAGACGGTGCCAGCTTTGCTCCAGTCGATGGGAGGTGGTGGTGGGAGGGGAGAATCTATGCCGTTTGGGGCATCTTCGGGTACAGTCGCTAGATAAGGGTGTTCGATGAGGAGTCGCTCTAGGACCATGGGTGTAAGATCAAGAAATGCCTCGTCGATGGACGCCTTCTCTATATGAAGGTCAGCACCTTATAGGGAAGATCACATCGAAATGCAAACTCACCCACTTCCCCTTTCGGTATCATTTCCTTGAAGATGGCCAATATCTTCAAGCTCTCCCGACGATAAGGGTCGAGACTGACTTTATGCGTGCGCGAATCGACATTCTCCCAATAGCCGGCTTCGGCCTCGCCGTTCCGGTAGGTAGCAACGTGCTGGACAACAAGGTGGGGGCACATCTTTTTGGCATCGTCTATAGATGTAAATCTGTTTCCAAGGTCAACAACAGTGCCAAAAGACAGGTCTTGTACAAGACCCACCTTTTGATGCCGAATTTGCGCGCTGGGTAGTTGACAGCAATGATGGATTGCCATTGGGCACAGATCAGAGGGACCTCGTCCGGTATACCAAGTCGAACTTGCTCAAACTCTGTTATCGGTCAGCCCTTGCATTCTTTCATGATGCTGCTAGCGGCTTACGAGCATAAGCGGCATCTATATCACAATGGGCGATGGTCCTCAAAGGATTACTACAACATACGTGATGAGCTGAGACCAGAATCTAATGGAAGCCAAGCTTACGCTAGCGTTAGCGCTTGAGGCGAAAGTAGGTGTCTGAGAATGATGAGCAGAGGTACGATATCGATCGGGAGGAAGAGCCAAGGGGATCGTACCTATATGTCGGAACAACATTCCCTTGCGATTTCCTGGCTGGACCAGCAATGAAAGACATTTGGCAGTTCTATCTTGACATGCTGTTGGACAGAAAAAGTCGACGGCTCTTGCAATTCGAAAGACAGAGTGTTGCTCGACAAAGATCCATCATCACAACAATCGATGAAGGCGCGCCTGTTACATAAGCATCAGATGCGTGTGAGGGGATCAACAACAACAACAACAATGACGAGCAATTCGCGAACCACAAGGTGTATTGGGTCTGTGACCCAAGATCGCCTGTCTGTGTAGTGGCGCAGCTGACTGAGTCATAGTAGAAATACAGACAGAAGAAGATGTACTTACTAGGATGGCCCGCCCCCCGACGGGTTTGTATATGTCCGGCGCTACCTTGTGTTCAATCCCTCTCAAGGCTAACCCGCCTGAGGACAAAGAGAGAGGCGAGGCGGAATAGGACCCAAATCGATATCTCAGTCACTGATCTATGCATTAGCCAAGTATTTGGACATGGTCAGTCAACATCAGAGACAATTTTGTAATGGCTTTCCTAATCCCGACGCGTCGAATAGGAAGGCGCCCTGAGCTTGTAATACGAGTACTATTATGAAATAGACACCCGAGGACGCACAAACATCTGAACCGCCATCTCATGCTCGCACATCTCTGCATTCCCACAACTCTACAAGTATAATTCCCCGCCCCTTCGTGGGCACCGCTCCCGACCATGTCTGCAGCCAACGCCATCGCTGGACCCTCCCGACCCTCCTACCCCTATACAGCACATTCTACGCCCCTCCTCCGACGTGCTGAATCGACATTCACCTTATCCTCCGGCGCCATCGCCTCATCCCGCTCTTCAACGCCTCTTATAGCATCGCATGGGCCAAGAATCATCCGCTCCGGATCAGTCTTCAGCAAGGAACAGTGGAAGAAGGAGGAAATATCACGGCGGAGACAAGAGTCTCGCGACAAGCTCAAGTCGAGCTGGGATGTCTTGTTTGACAAGTACAAGGATGTAGAGGACGACGACGAGGTGGACCTTCTCACGGGGAGAATCGTCAAAGATAGAGGCTCCTTGCGAAGCCTCCTCCGTCCCATGCACTTTGGAGAAGACGTCGACGGAGACGACGAAGATTCTTCGGTCAATGGCAACCACGAATTCGAGTCTGATGAGGACGAGTTGGGAGATTGGGAAGGACGGTCCGGGCTGGATTCGCAGCTTCCAGAATATAAAAGTGTTGTGGATAGCGGTCCTGCCTGGACAACAGAAGATGACGAGGACTTTAGAGAGTTCATGAGGGCCGAGGAGCGCAGAAAGACGATGTACGGAGATGAGGAGGAGGAGGATCCTGAAGATGACGCTCAGTCATTGGCAGAAGGATTGAATAGCGCATTCTCCGATACCGAAAAGTCTCCAAGATCACTTGGTACCAGAATACTGGCCACTCCTACTCTGGCCGACTTGTTCCAGTCGGGCTCGGAGGACGAATTCGAGGCGGACATTCGAGATACGCATGACGAGGCGTCCCGCAAGACCCCTGCTCCAGCGCGTGTGTCATCTGTGAGTATGATCATGATGGGTTCTATGTTCCCTGACTCTTCTCAGCCCAAAGCTTCCCCGAAGCCTGTACAGGTTCGAAGGCGACCCCGAATGACCGTACAAGTTGTCATCCCTCGTCGACCACGAGCCAGATCTTTCATCTCCAGCTCCTCAAACCCACCACCAGCATATCCATCTATACCCAAATCCGCATCAGCTCCTACACTCGCCGATTTGTTCACCCCTCCCCCAATGGGGAGCTTGTCGATTTCGAAGATTGACAAGGGAAAGCAGCGCATGATAGGGGAGCGTCCTGCTGAAGACGTGCCGGACAAATCAACGTCTACTACAGGCTTCTATTGGACGACGAAGATATACATGGCGGACGGAAAGCCCTTCACCTGCAAGGACTGCTTGAGAGCTGGGGGCGATAGAAAAGCCAAGGCGGGATTGTGCAAAGGAAGAACGAGTGATTGCAAGTTTGCTTCAATTGACAGTGGGAGTGGTAAGTGAATCGAGCGTTTGCCAGGAGTGTCGACTAATCTATATACAGTTACGGATAGCGCATCAGCCCGTCAGGAACTCTCCCGCCCCCCCGCGCCTCGTTCTGCCGGTGGCCAAAGAAAGAGGATCTGTAGGCTATGTCGGGACGCTGGTGGTGAAAGAGCAGAAATGGCAGAGCAGTGTCTGGGTAAACACTCATTCAGACGTTGTCGGTACTTTGATCAGTATCGAGAAGACGACACCGATGGAGGGGAAAGCGCGGGCGAGGCTGAGAAGGCATCTCGTACCCCTGCACTACATTCACGAGAACACCGTACTTCCACCAAACCTCATTCACCACGTCCTCAGTCAGAGAGTATAGAGAGAGGGCCGCCGAGCGTGGTTCCGTCCCGTTCAGCAACAGAGCCGGTTGTTATCGTCATCAGCGACGACGATGAGGATGTCCCGACGCCCAAACCAACCGCGCCTCTTCCTCGTCGAGCTAGATCAATCGCAAAGAGGCCAACGCCAGTCAACCTCGCCGCCCCTCCCTCTCCTCCACTATCATCCCCTTTGATGGCTCAAGGCAGGGCTTCTCGGGTGCCATCCTTGCCCCCATCATCCCCTCCGCACCCGGATGTATTCTCGCCTGTCAGCTCGACACAACGCCCTACGATGTCGCCGTCCAAGTCAACGAGTCACAGTCGTCTATTGGATAGTTCCCCTATGACTACCTCGTATACACGCCCATTATTCAGCATCAGCGGGGGCCAGGTGTTCCAACCGACGCCACCACCTTCGTCTACAGATGGCACGCGGAGTCAATCGTTGTCCAGCGACGTGCCCACCTCGTCTGCTCTGAAAAAGAGTGCCCTTCGTCGCCCATCAGAGTCTCTCCTATCAGGGCCTGGATTCAGTGCAAAGCGTACTAGGTTCTCGCTTGCTCCACGCTCGCCCCCCAAGTACCCTGGTTCATCCTCGACCGAGCCCGAATCGGACGATGAGAGCCAAGACGAGCTTGATCTTCTCTCAAGCTCTGATCGCTCTGATGAAAAGTTCCCGGTGTATGAGTCGAGCTCGAGTCCTTTGAGGAGCGAGTTCAGTGTGCGGGCCGCAGACATTGGAATGAGACTCGGTCCAGAGCACACAGGGCGATTACCGTCTACAATGATCAAATCGTTGGTGCCATCCATGAGTAACTATCGCTCGAGCTCGACCCTTGGGTCATCATCCACGGGATTTGCTTTGCCGACGCCCCCACCGAGTAGTGCCGGGTCAAATGGCTCCAGGCCTAGTCCAGCGCCCCGCGCAAATCTGAGATCGGGTTCGGTAGCCAGGAATGGAAACTCTGAGAAGAGAAACGAGAATCCCAAAGCGGGTCTCATGCTACCTCCGCCTATACCATCTCACAGGCTCAAGGGTGCTACACCCTCATCATCGCCGCTCAAAACGACTCTGTCCTCCACCCCTCTACGCGCATCGACTCTTGCCAGACCACCTGCTTCAGCCCCGACTGCAGGGGCAGGCATCAGATTCGTGTCCATGTCGCCTGCTGTACCACAAGCGCGCCCGCGTTCGCGCTCCCAGTCAGTGTCTATCGCGCCTGACAGATCTCAGAGTCGTCCCGCCACGCCCACACACCCCAAGACACCCCGCGCTACTCGTACATCTTCTATCGTCCCCATGAGACTCGCCCAAACGTCTCCGGCGAAGAAGAGTATGATATATAAGAGCCTGGAGAAGGCGGTGAGGGAGGTAGGGGATGAAGATGGGCTGGAGTGGGGGTTGGACGAAGAGACTGATGACGGCGGGAGGATGTGGAGGGATAGTAGTGTTTCTGCATATTTGCATTGAGGTGTATGTATGTTTGATGAAATAGGTCACTAGGGCTGTCATCTGCTTCTGGATTTCTTGCAGTTGGTGTTTACATACCGCAAGCAAAGTGTACACTTTCAACATGTATAAAGCGATGTGCTACTAATCACTACTCTTGTGGTCGATGAAGTTCATGATTACAACTCGTTCTCCACCCCCGCTCCTAGTGAACCAATGTTGACTGTGTGCGTTTTTACTCTTTTACTCAAGATACCCTTCTCAGTCGAGGTCAGGGTGACTGGGTCTTCGTGAGTTATGCTTCGTAATCAAGAATCATGACGATACGCACTATCCATTATAATTATGGTCTCTTTCTCTTTCTTCCCTTTCCCTTCTTTCCCTCTGCGTCATATAATCCCTCGCGACCCTTTCCTGAAGTCTGTCAAACGCCTGCACTCTCTGAGCATCTTCATCCCGATTTCGAGATTGCGCAGTGTCTCCGGGGGTCGTCGCACCTGAAGACGGGATCGGATTGCCGAGGTTAAGAGAATCATTATGCGCGGAAGATTGGGATGTGCTGGCGGGTGGGTTTTCGGCAAAGACTCGGATAGGTGAGTCGTCGTCCGAGGATTCGGAAGCGGTGTGTTGATCATCATAAGCCGGGTTTGGGTGGCTGTCCCTAGCAGAGACGTCGGGTCCTGGAGATCTGGGAGCATCGTGCCCTGACCCCTCGTTCGCGCCCCGGCCACTTCCCAAGTTGATTTCATCACCAAGGCCAAAGATGTTCCTAAACAGCCCGCCTAGTATTCCGGGCATCCCGCCTGGTAGATTTTGACCCTGCTGTCCTTGCCTATTGCCAGCATTGCCATCTTGGCCCTGGTTGAGGCCACCGAAAGGCTGGTTGAGGGGATTGTCTCGGCGCCTGTGTGCTTCCCGATCTTCTTCGCTGACCAAGGAGAACCGGCTGCACAAATGGTCAGCTGGGGATGCAACCAGACAGTACAGAAACTTGCCAGACTGGACAGGTACCGTTTTGCTTTAGCCAAGGTACAAGACAATCGTCATGGAAAGTATGCCTGAGTTTGAGAATCAGCGTGATCCCTTGACGAATTTTCGAGGCTCACTGGCAAGGTATTCTGACAACCGCATCATCCACTTGGAAATCGTCTTTGCACACAGGACAGTCTTTAAATTGGCTCTGAGCTGGGAACCGTCAGTCTTGTCTGTTGAACATGTAACAGCTCCTACATACACAATGACTTTTCGTCAAATGTAAACCTTGGGAGACCTTCGATGACAGTATCATTTGCCGGGACCGAGCCCTGCGGTCCGGCAGCATCCATGAATCTATCCAGAATGTCTTGGAATTCACCTGCAGTCTTGCGTCAGCACAGTAATATTTGACCCGGACGTCTGGTGAAGGCAACATACCATCGCTGCCTGCGTAGTCTCCGAGATTACCTCCACCAGGAAAAACGAACGCTGCACCTCCTTCCCCGGAAAGCACAGCAGTTATGGTTTGCAGCTACGAGACGCGATCAATTGCTGTCAAGTACAGATCAGATATGCGATGACGCACCACCTGCCGAGCTTCCTGCTGGAGGCGTTCTTCATCAGTCATGTTCGGATCATTACGAGGGCGGCTTCCAGCGCCCGGGGGGTCACTTTGAGCACATCAGTAAGATTTCGAGTAGATTCAATTGTTAGCTTACGCAGCGAATGGATCGGGGTCATCCAACCCTCCAAATGCAGCGAATGGATTCTGCGGAGCACCTTGTCCGCCCACATTTCCGCGAAGATTGAAGCTTCCCACAGTGACACTGGTATGCGTGTTTCCCAGGTTGAAAGAATACGTCCTGGGCCCTCCTCGACCACCCTGATCACCGTTAGATCCTTCGCCACCTTGGTTGTCGCGTGGGAGCTGGTCTGCAAACAGGGGCGGGGGACGACTCGGCTGTCCGCCATTATCTCCAGGGTTGTTTCCACGATTTCCAGTTGACAGAAGACCGAATAGATTGGAGAGGAATGAGCCAGGAGTGGGAGGGTTGTCGGAGTGCTCGGGAAGAGTTGGACTGGGCGGGTCATCGTCATCACGCGTCGTGTGATGGGGTGGCGGGGGGTAATTGAACAAGAATGGGGGGAATTCACCACGGGGCGGAGCTGGCCCTTGTCCGGGGCGAGCTGGAGGTGGAGGAGGAAGTTCGTGATAGGGGTCTGGGTTGATCTCTGGATCGAGCTGCGTAGGTTGCAGGATGGTGAGCACAGCAAGGGGCCCGAGAATCGATGCGTACTATTTCTATGAACTCGCCATTGCACGAAGCACAGTGTGGGATGTTGTTGGTCTGAGAAGTATTAGAAGATGGGAATCGTGTATCTCGAGATACATACATAGATGGGACGCATCTCCGAGTGACACTGATGAGCCCGTCAGCGGTGTCGGGGTGGTTATCGGCGTACCTCGTGGCATATCCAGAAGGGGTCCGGCATGGCGGGGGGTGGGGAGGAGAGGAGAAGGAGAGATGCAGATGCAAGAAGAGACAACATCCTCCACGCCTGCATGCATGCGCACCACTACTGACGACATTCATTTACGTAACTGCGCTCATCGCCGACGGCCACCACCAGGCGTGCCTAAAGTCGATAGGCTTTGTCGGCGTTGGTCCACCCCGTGTGTGTCTTGTTGTGCACGGTTGTTACACGGGTCCATGACCTCTAGCGATGCCCTTGTAGTAGTCGAGGTGAGTCGAAATGACTTGAGGCCCATGAGAGGTAGCCAAGCCAATGCCGGAGGAAATGGACGCTTGTGTTTGAAGAGAGACAACAATATTTGATCGACAGAGTATCTAAAAGCTATGAAAGAGTGTGGTATTTATATCCAGCCTCAAGCCTACGTATCCCTTTTCCATGACCTTCCAGTGTTTTCTACAGTGGCCAACAGAGTGGCAAAGATTATTCTAGATGCTTCGAGATATTTCTGGGTCGAGTGGCGACAGCCACGTGACAAGAAGCCAAACATGCCGCACCTCACGTCACCTATTCTGGGGTTGACGTACCAGAAGAAGCCGACGATTTCATTACCAGAGAGGCGGCTGCGGGAACCAGCAACGCCTTGGTTTTGAGGCAGAAGTTGGCAAAAAAGAAGCCCCATCTCAAAAGGTTGACAACTTCAGCAATCCGCCGCCGTTTGACCCAACTTCTTGCTGAACCGTTTACCCTTGATCCAGATTCTTTTACATCTGCTCAGAAGGTTCTACAGCGTGCGGTTGAACGCGATGGAGCGATACTGTTACCAATGCCGGACGACCTACAACCTCGCTGTATAGCTTTTGGGTTAAGCCCTATCCTTGAGGCGTTGATTGAGCAGGAAATAGTGGTGGAGGAAATCTTCCTTGACTCAACGTGTAAGCACCACGTCATATATCTCTATCGCTTCCTGTCACTCTAATGCCAGCATTAGTCAGTACCAATGCTCAACAAATGGAACTTTATGCCCTTGTGGTGAACACTGGGAGGGCATCCCGGCCTGTTACATGTTTCTTGAAAAGGGAACGACACCACTGGATGTCTCATCCAGCCCTTCCAGGTATGTCAAATTGGAATGTCTACTCCCAAACGCTGATAGTCGGTCTCAGAAAACGTATGCAATACGGTCATTCCTCTCAGCTGCGAAGGACGTCTTCAACCTCGGCCCGAAAGTCATTCATATCGATAAAGACTCTGCTGAGATTCACGCCTGCCGCGGTGTGTACCCTGATTGCCGAGTTCTTTCATGTTTATGGCATGCAAGACGTGCGTCACTCAGATCTTGACAGCTGGTGAATTTGCTTGCTGATCTTTCATAATCAGGTGCTATAGGCGATCAGCTTGGGAAGAAGGAGGTCCATTTGCTATTCGATTTCGTTGATCCATCATTCATATCCATTGCGGCGGCAAAACCTTTGTCAACCCTCAGCTCGCTTCGCGCCCGCTTCATTTTTGGATCAGAAGATCATCCTGACAATGTCCCTATACTGCCCTTCTGGAAGAAGCGGAGACAGATGCTGTGTTGGCCCTTTTCTTGGGCCAGGAGATTCTTCAAGACACAATCACTTCCTTTGGCTTGGCTCGCGAGAGCTATCACGACGAACCGGCTACAGGGAGGCCCACGTAGCTCTCCTCGAGCTATTGCTGGAATGGCACTATACCATCCCAGTTTCCAAAATCAAAGAAGGGTTTAGCGAGCTTCACACTGAGGGTGGATCCCTTTCTCTCTTCGATGCCAGAGTACGGCAAGATGATGGTCAGGACAAGTCGTATCGGCAGAGCACACACTATGCTCGATTCATCAATTGGTTAGGCAGTACCAAAGAGCTGTCCGGCCAAGACCCACAAGGAATGTTGGATCTGGAGAGATAATCACCAAGCCAGATGGGGGCATTTCTGCTAGTGTTGTTTGTAAATTTGAGGTGAGTTCAACTCCTATCAGTGCAAGGCCGCACCGACGTACGGCCCCAAGGGTATCGACGACATGCCTACCCTCGTCAACAGCAGCGAGCCTGTCAGGAGCCAAACAAGAAGTTGACGTTCCTTGACCGCGTGACAGCTGGTCTTCGTACCCAGTACAAGCTGAAAGACAACGAGGTGCTCTACCACATCGTCGGCATTGTGATAGAAGAAAAGCCCCCAATCATTCCCGAGACGCTCCTTATCGGCCAGACTTCATGCTATGCTGGTGGCTACCATGATATCTGTGGAACCAGCTACGGTTACGCAGGTCATGGTTCGAAGGTGTATCGCCTTTTGGTCATAGACAATGCCATCGTCTTCGAAGGCCCGTCTAGCGATGGAGTACAGGTTGTTGGTGACTTCGACACGCTGGTTAAAAGGTTGGAAGATGGCAGTGTCAAAGTTGGAAGGTCCCTCCTTGTCCAAAACAGCGAAGGCGAAGATGAGCTGGACTACACGTTGATCAAAGACGTTAGAAAGCTGTTTGTTGCTGCGATCAATCAGCTTGAGGCAATTCCTCGCGCCTTTGAAGGGACTTCCCAGCCCCGAGGGGGAGACATAGACAACCTTGAAGAACATCGGGAAGACTTTTCAGTCCGAAAATGCCGTGACTCAGCCCGAACCGTTCTTTGCAAAGGCTTATCAAGAGTGAAGATGGCTTAACCAATTGATGAATCGAGCATAGTGTGTGCTCTGCCGATACGTCTTGTCCCGACCATCATCTTGCCGTACTCTGGCATTGGAGAGAGAAAGGGATCCACCCTCAGTGTGAAGCTCGCTAAACCCTTCTTTGATTTTGGAAACTGGGATGGTATAGTGCCATACTAGCAATAGCCTGAGGAGGTCTGCGTGCGCCTCCACTATAGCCGGTTCGTCGTATCGGTTCTTGCGCGCGAAGCCAAAGGAAGTGATCGTGTCTTGAAGAATATCCCGGTCCGAGAAGAGGGCCAACACGACGTCTGTCTCCGCTTCTCCCCGAAGGGCAGTATCGATCTTGAAGAATGAGGCGTAGGTGGGCTATCGGGCTCAGGCTGACTCAGTCACGCAGATGAGTTGAAAATATATCCGATCCAATGTCCCACTCTCGCCGTGATTTCTCTCTCCCATATGACCCAGGGCGCTGCAAAACACACGATACGCTAGCTATCATTCGTGCAGTACTATTATTGTTACATCAGAACGATTTTTCACGGAACCTTTTTTATGTAACCTTTTTCACAAAACCATGTACCATGACCACTTCATAGCAGGCGCACGTCAGAACGCAGCACATGCATAGGTGTGCAGCATCTACCCCTTTCTCATTGAAAACAAGAAGATGTGGAATGTCACCAACGATTGTAGCTCGGACGTCGCTGTAGGTTGCACGTTAACATGACTCAACCGCCCAGACGCCCGAAGAACACCAGCTTTGAAATTGAGCTCTTTGGGCTTGTACTATACGAGTACCGTTGGTGTTTCAGCTGCCCGAATACGCTGTTGGCAGTCCATAGCCGATTGTTTCTCCGACATAAGCTACTATGCCAAGATACATGCACACAAAACCTTCTCACTGTCTGACTTGTCTTCTTGTATTGTCTTCTACTGCTTGTACTGTATGACTTGTGCGTCTTATAAGCATCCCCAACCTCCATGGTCTAGCGTCATTTCCAACCTCCTCGCCGTGACATGCGGGATAGCATGCGTTAGCCACGTCTTTCTCAGCGCATCCATCCGCTCGAGATGCATGTATTGTCGATGACCACGCCTGAATCCCCATCAGCGAATGCAGATGCCGTCACAATCGGAAACTCACCTCATAGATACATCTAATTCACCATGCGCGTCGAGATAGGGCATGGATCCGAAACTGCCAGAGCCAGCGTAGAGATAGAGCAGGCTCCAGCGTCTTATATCGGCAAACATGCCGACTACAGCACCACATCTAGCCAGACTTGTTAGCATTGTCATACCACGACCCTCAATGACTTACTCTCTCATATGCAAATTACACTCCCCTTGCTCCCCTTGCAAGCAGCAATCGCCCGCCAAACACACCAAAGTTCCACAGAACAGGCAAATCGCCGGCCAGATCGGCTTCGTCTTACACTTCTGACACTTCCTGTTCACCATTGCCAACACCAGATCCTCCCACTTTTCCGGTAACCTCACCAGCTCGTACGTCCCGGGGTATTCCAGAACAGGCATCACACGCCCGTGTAAAGCCCACTGGGTAATCCAGCGCGCGACGATGGGAGTTTCCGTTGAAGAAGGGTTACCGAGGGTCTCTGTCGGTCGGGGGATACCGAGGATAATGAGGAGGCGATTATACTCGCTAGTGGAGGAGGTAAAGTCGCTGATAAGCGAAGGTTTCGTGACCGGGTATGTCCCCGTCACGGCGTAGTAGATAATAGCACATCTACGGAGGAACGGGAGAGTGTAAGAGTAAAGAAGCTTGGACAGCATCTCATCGGAAAGGAGTGCCAGGACGCCATCGGTGTCGGCAAACGGGCCAGCATGTCGCAGGATGGACTGCATGACCGGCCTGAAGTTTGCAAAGACGGTGAGGGCGTCCGTTGACGACTCGTCGCTAGAAGGCTGAGTGCGCAATGCGGCGCTCTGTCGAGGGCCAAGACAGCGCTTGACATACAAAGACAAGGCGAGCATACAGCGCGTAAGCTCGGCATAGTACGCCATGATCATGACTGCTTGGAGCAAATCGGGCGCGATGGCAGCACACTCAATGACCATGCCAAGGGGATGTCTGATGAGCAGAGGGGAGGGAAGTGTACTGGATCGATACCAGTCTGGCAAGAATCTCGCAAAAATCCCGACTCGCAAAGACGTCCGGTCAAATGACGGTCCAAAGTAAAGGTCAAGCTCGAGTTGGAGTAATCCAACCAGCTTCCCTATGAGCTTGAGAGAGGTCTCGTTGATCTGCTCGGCTACAGTCAAGGCATCCGCGCTATTGTTCTTGTGACCGCGCTGGGTGATCTCGATCATCGATGCCGTGTATGCCACCATGTCGTCGGGAAGGTACATGTGGGTCTTTTTGCCTCTGATCCTCTGGCTCTGCTCTGACAGAGGCCGCACTAGACCACCCATTCTGTCGGCCATCCTTGATATTACCCTCATGCTACCTCTTCGGTGGCTATGGTCTAGAGAGTGCAAGGAGAAGACACAATCAGAGAACCATGGTACGACTTCTCCAGTCTCGACGTGATGTTCCCATATCCTCTGACTGTCTGCCACCCTCAACAGCCCTTCACTCGACACTCTCCTGATGACCACCGAGAGAGTTGGTACAACATCATCATCCTTCTTAACGGCCACGGCACCTTTCGTCGTCGTCCTTGTGGGTTCAACAGGAATGAGCACATTGCCCAATGACTTGCACAGAGGGCACATATACTCGAGCCGGACAGCATTCTCGGGATGGTGACGCTGAACTTGTTGGGTATGACGCACTTTCGTACCCTCAAAGTGACTCGTCATACAACTTTCGTGCATGTAGTGACCGCATGCCGACATGTGGATGCCGAATTTCATGTTGGTGCACGGGTAGCCCTCTGTATTGACCGGCTCAGGATGTTGGGCGTCGTTACTGTATCGCTGATATCTTCCCGACCTGTCCAAGCTGGTGGGCACCAAGATAGATTCTTCCAGCCAGTCTCTCGAGTTTACTGTTTCGCGCAGTTGACGACTCGGCTGTAGCAGAGTGAGCATCCCGCCAGGATTTTTGGCGGTGACCTCCTCTTGACAGACAATACAATTGCCAAAGGACTTTTCTTCTTCTTCCACCCCTTGTTCCACCTCGATATCATCGTCATCATCATCCGCGCCGTCCATCATGGCCGCAAATTGTTGCTGTTGCTTAGCAAACTTGGCCATGATCGCTTTTTGTCTTGCAGCCGCCGAAGCCTTGGGGTCTGGCTTGGCCGGGCTTGACAGAGCGATAAGATTCTCGCTCTCCTTGTGAGCGCGATAGTCGGCCGTGTAGTGGGGCGGTAGGTTGGCGACGATAGTATCCAGGATGTAATCCACCCTGGCTCTGAACGGCTGGAACGCTGCGTCAGACTGCATTACCCAAAGGTTTTGGAACGTGCTGTTTGACCCTTCCGAACCCTTCAGATAGACCGACTGTTGTGCAAACTCTTGAGCGTTCACACTGAGAGCAAGCATGGACAGGTGCAGGGCGTAGTCGAGGACCAAGTCCCAGGTGGGTATCACGGGACTATCGGTGTATTCCTGTGGGAACGCGGACTGGACAGTATCGGCCCACTGTTCCGGAGTCGCGATGTGCATGGAGTGCGCAAACACCCAATGGACTATGTCGGCGACCACATGGGTACCCAGGAAGTCGGCGATAGTGGAGAATGGCTGGCCAGAGTCAGGTAGCTCTAGCGGAAGAGGTAGAATGAGAGGCTCGTCTTTCAGGCCGCTCAGTCTCTTTGCGCGAGTAACAAGCTTCTCGGTGACCGCACGCTGGTCATTACGGGAGTAGTATCTCCAGTAAGGATCCACCTCGTTGTACATCTCGTCCTTGAGACTGTACCGTCCAGGAGCACTCTCTGTCGGGCTCCTGAAGTTGGCCACCTCCGACAAGATGGGCGAGCAGCTGGTCTCCTGTGATCTTTCTGGAAGTTTTCGGTATATCTCGGAATAGGTCATGGGCTGGACAGCCAAGAGATGAATGATCAACTTGCGCGTCAATTTACGCCTATCCCAGCCGTTGATGAAGACAGGATACGTCGCCAGCTGGATCACCAACAGCAAAAAGTCTTCTAGCAGATTGATCTTCTGCTTGGGCTCGAGGTCCTCATCGTACCACATTCTGGGGTCCGTCACACTGCCCTGAAAGTAGTCCCCTAGGCCGAAGCGGTCGATGCAAGCAATCATAAACTTGAAAGGGTCAACAACGCAGAGGCCGACTTGAAGGAGGAACAGCTCCTGGTCGATGGTCGCTTCACGAACAGACACGTCACAGTAGTGGTGGTGTTGCAATCTCAACGCCGAGCCGTTCTTCTTCCACATGTTTGCGCGAATTTGAGCAAACACGACATGCTCTGCAAAGGATCAGTGCCGTCCAACTGTCGAACTCGTAGAGACTCACTTTGAAGAGGCCACTCCAGGATCATCAACTTCATTCTCTCACAACTCGCCTTATCTCCTCCTCCAAACACAAACTTTTCTACAACCTCCACAAAGCCCATTCCATTCACCTTTCCATCAACCCACGTAATTGCCGTCCTCATATTCTTCATCATATCTGCAAAAAGCAAGTTGAGATAATGATGGAAGCTGAAGGCGTCTATGGTGGAAATGTCTTGCTTGATGACGACGGCGCTGGAGCCAGGGACAAGGACGTTGTTGACGGTATGTTGGGTTATAGGGAGGTATCGCTCTTTGTCGAGAGTGTTGGATAGAAGAAACATGTCACAGAAGATGCGGTTCGCAACCAGAGACATGCTCTGTAGCAAAGCATCTGGTGAAGCAACAGAGAAAATCTCTCCCATATCTCGACAGAGTCTGGACAAGTCACCCAGAACGATGAATGATCTCAACCATTCAATCTCATACTCGATGTGCCCTCCCTTTTCGCGTCTTTGAGGCTGGATACCCACAAAAATGTTGATGAAGCCAAGGAGTCGATTGAAGAGTTGATTCTGCTTGACAATCACTCGCCTAGTCTCGTCATGCTTGATAGCGCTTCTGATATGACCAATGATCGCCAGACCCTTCTTTCCTGCTACCGAAAACGCCGGAATCTCCAAATCTAATCTCCCCTTCTGCGCCTGATCTACCATGTCCAGACTGACAGGTGGTATGACCAGCCGGTCCACTCCATCAGTAGTCACAACTTGGCCCGTATACCATGCTTGCGCTACTTGGACAATGTTGGAGAGTAGATTGTCATGGGCAGTGGCGTAGGCTGCGGCGGGACCATTCGTGAGGACAACGTAGCCAGATGAGAATAGGATGTTGGTGTCGAATTCGCGGTCTTGGAAGAGGAAATGTTCGGCGATTCTGGGATAGTTGAGGGCGAAGCGACAAGCTATAAAGTATGAGCATTCGTATTATCCGCATACAGTGTAGCTTACCAAATGCCTTGTTCACTTCTTGGTCATTCAAGAATATCGAGCAATATATCTGTCGCATCTGCCATTTCGCCTTTTTCCACAGCCGGGGGTCAAGCTGTAGCAGCCAATCTATCCTTTTGATCTCTTGCGGTTTCCCTAGTATCTTGCCATTCACGAGATCATTCAAATCCGGTGTCAGAGGGGTTCCAGGAGCCGCGGGAGGAAGAACTCTTTTCTCAAAGAGGGCGTTTGCGAGCAGGCGTTTCGATAAACGATCATCGCCTCCGATGATGGAAGCTCGCACGTCGTATAGCCATTCGATCAAGACGGCGACTATCTCTTCTCTAAAGACATCTGCGGCGGGGCGCAGAGATACGGCGGCGTCCACTTGATGGAGCATGTTGGCGGCATGGAATGCCACTACTGGATTTGGCGATGACAGTATGACTTTACGACCCTTTCCGGGAGTCAGCAAGGAGAGAATCAGTCGAGATGCACTTACAACAGTGTCTGCTTCTCTCGCCCATTGCTCGGCCACTTCCCACTTGACTCCCACTCCATCCCTGACCTGCCTAGCAAGCTCCTTCATCACATGCTTATCGTCGTGCCACATCACAACCGCCCATGGCCCCTTGCCCCATCTCTCTCTAGGTTCTCCGGTGGGACCATTGGTGGACCGCATTTCCTCCTCCGTCTTTGGCAATTGTCCATAGTCGGCGGGGGGATGAGAATGCTCGATTACGTGTATGATGTACTCTACACATAAGGCGATGGTCTTTTGTAGTGCGATGACAAGCCCGTCGGGGACGTCGAACTTTGATGGCGTGGGTGGGTTGGTCTCGCCGAGAGGGAGCCTAGGATGATGGGAGCAGCCGAGATGTTGATCATCGCGAAGTGCGGTAGGGTCGCCACAGTCACAGCATGCCGAGAAGGAGAAGGATTGACTAAAGAGAACTTCGTGGCCTTCATGATCCCCTGCCTTGAAACAATCGACGCATAGTGACACTGCGGGCGCTATAGCGCACGTCCTGTGACAATGTCAGGAGCTGTTTGCCAGTGCACTAGGTGTGACTCACTTGCAGGTATATGTCCTCTCATGCCTCTGAAAGACCTTGCCGCACACCTGTCCTGCCCTCGGCGGCCATATTGGATCTTTCCCCTCACGAGACTTCTTCTCTTGCAGTTCCTTCTGAGTAGCACTCAGACTCCACGTCTGGTACAAGGCCTCCGGGGTGTCTACCAACCAATCCTTGATTTCCGCCTGCTTTGGTAACGAGTCTGCCTCCTCGTCGGGTACAAAGTACTGGACCCACTCGGGATCATGCCACACTGTCTGCCATAGCTGGCGGATTATGGCCGCCTTGACGGTGTTGGACCACCGCGAGCCGTTTTGAGTGTTGGATCCGTGGAGGAGTTCGGAAAGGGTACGGTACGGGTCCTGGGGTGCGCTGGGTGCGCGGGCAAAGGGGTTGAGAGAGGGGAGGGTAGGCATGGCCGGTATGCTTCGCTGGTGTCTGGGATATAGCACTTTCTCATTCACCGCACCTTGCACAACGCTGGCAACCAGCTGGCAACGCGACGACCTCCCCGCCGCATCGCGTGCATGGGACTGTTTACGTAAGCACTCTTCCTTCCGACGCTCATTTCCGGCCATTCTTCATTCCACGGCTCAATCTCTGCTTCTCTTATACACTTTCCAGCCACCTCCAACTTTATCCAGCATGGTCCTGGCAGACCTCGGTACCCGTATCGGCGGCGCTCTCAACCAACTCGCAAGAGCTCCTGTCGTCGATGACTCGGTAAGTCCCGCCCATTCCCATCTGCATCTGCTCATACTGCATAGGTCATCGACGCCGTCCTCAAAGAACTCTGCGCTGCTCTCCTCGAATCCGATGTCAATGTCAAACTCGTCGCCTCCCTTCGCTCCCGTGTCAAGACAAAAGTCAAGAAGAGTCTAGAGGAGAGTGAAAAAGCCGGTGGAAAAGAAGCGAACAAGAAGAATGTGGTCCAAAAGACGGTGTTTGAGGAACTAGTGTCCTTGGTGGATCCTGGAACGGAACCGTACAAGCCAGTGAAGGGCAAGACCAACGTTTTGATGGCAGTCGGTATCCAGGTGAGTTTGATTTCGTCGGGTTGCAGACGATGCTGATGGATTGGTAGGGTGCGGGAAAGACCACAACGTGTACAAAGCTAGCAGTGCACTACCAAAGACGAGGTTTCAGGACATGTCTTGTCTGCGCCGATACCTTCCGTGCCGGTGCTTTCGACCAACTCAAACAGAACGCAACCAAAGCCAAGATCCCCTTCTACGGCAGTTACACCGAGACCGACCCAGTCGCCATCGCCTCTCTGGGTGTTGAAAAGTTCCGCAAGGAGCGATTCGATGTGATCATTGTGGATACCTCGGGTCGACACAAGCAAGAATCCGAGCTGTTTGAGGAGATGGTGGCTATCGGTGGCGCTGTCAAGCCGGATATGACCATCATGGTCTTGGATGCTTCTATCGGTCAGGCGGCGGAGGCGCAAAGCAGAGCTTTCAAGGATTCAGCCGACTTTGGAGCAATCATTGTGACAAAGCTGGACGGTCACGCGAAGGGTGGTGGTGCTATCTCGGCGTAAGTCGGGCTCTTGCCTCTCATACTCGGTATCTGACTCTTAGCAGGGTTGCGGCGACAAAGACACCGATCATCTTCCTTGGTACCGGTGAACATCTCAACGATCTCGAAAGATTCTCTCCTCAGCCATTCATCTCCAAACTTTTGGGTCAAGGCGATATGCAGGGTCTCATGGAGCACATGTGAGGGATAAGTCCGGTGATCAATACAAATGCTGACTCTATCATAGGCAAGAAATGGCTCAAGTCAACCCGGACAAGCAAAAGGATCTCGCCAAAAAGATCGAGCAAGGCAAATTCTCCATCCGCGACTGGAAAGACCAATTGTCAAACATCATGGGTATGGGCTCCATCTCCAAGATCGCCTCCATGATCCCCGGTTTACCAGCTGGTATGATGGACGGCGGTGGTGACGAGGAGGCTGCTTCCAAGGTCAAGCGCATGATATTCATTACCGACGCTATGCGAGCAGATGAACTCGACTCTGACGGGCTGATCTTTATCACTTTTGACAAGACTGGAAGCCCCACTGGTCTGAATAGACGGGCGAAGCGGGTTGCTAGGGGAAGCGGGACGAGTTTGAGGGAGGTGGAAGAGCTGTTGGTGCAAGTGAGGATGATGGCGGGTATGGCGAAGCAAGCTGGTGGTCAGAACGGCTGGTGAGTGCCACAATTCGCCGTGTCATCGAGCTTGCTAACACGACGAACAGGATGTCGGCAATGCAAAAGATGCAAGCAGCAGCTGGTGGCAAGCCCCTCGGGCCCAACGGTCAGCCCTCCCCTGCCCAGATTGAAGCCATGCGAAAGGCGGTGCCACCGGAACTTGCCAGAAAGCTCCGTGCCGCTGGTCCCCAAGGGGCCCAGAAGATGATGGCGGATATGATGGGTGGCGTCGGTATGCCAGGGATGGGAGGCGGTGGAGGAGGCATGCCTGATCTGGGAAGCTTGATGAGTCAACTTGGTGGCGGAGGTGGGGGCGGGGGTTTGGGAGGGATGCCAAACATGGCGCAGATGCAAGAAATGATGTCGAGCATGGGTATGGGTGGAGCGGGAGGTGGTGGGATGCCAGGTAAGTCGATATGCCTTGCCTGTGTTGAACAGGGTGCTCATGACTGCTTAGACATGAGTCAGCTTATGAAGATGATGGGCGGTGGGCGATAAGTCGACCGACCAGCATCTCTCCCACAAGTCTACCGACTCGGCATATCATCACTTGCCTTCAGACAATGCCGCCGCTCGGCGGGCCAAACCCAATCCTCAAGGCCCAGTGCCTCTATACCCTTAGTTTCGAGATATGTATAATGTACGCATGGTTATCATTGGCCGTGGCGCGTATAATAACCATGCAGCCTTGGAATATACTCGAGCAGGTCAAATGATGCCTATTGCGTGTGTAGAGAACTTCAGGACGATACATGTTCTGGAGGGCCTCGTGATCATCTTCGTAAATGGGACGTCGAGAAATAGTATACAGGAGGGTATGGAGGCATGGTATATTGTCCGCCGTTGACATACAGCCGCTAGTTCTTCCTGCAGCATCTGCCCAGTTGTCTCACAAGCCAGTACCACACACACTAAAGCCTGTGAGCTTGATACCCTCGACCGAGCAAAGGATGGACGTACCCCGATGAATCGCACCATGGACAGCCCAAAGGTGACCCAAAGCAAGATCCTAAAGTAGATCTGCTGCTTGTCCTGCAGTTCTGCATCGTCCAGCTTCAAAGCATTCTCGATACAAGTGCCGTTCATTGAAACAACAATAGATCCGTTATTGGGGTTGTAATCGTCGGGAAGACAGGCCTCGACCGAAGATTGGGTATTATCGATTCCGTTCAAAGTCTGAATGGAGATGGCCAAGGCCGCGTTAGACAGAAGCCAGATACCAACGAGTCGGGTTCGGAAGGTTCGGTTTTCGTCCTAGCGATTGCCAGTCAGTTACAAATCGAACCACCAATATCCGTACTCACATCTGCACTGGGCTTCTCGACCTCTTCATCTACCTTGAAAGGTTTGACCGCCCTCTGTACGACTTCCTTGAACGACTCGTCCAGCTCTTCTTGGCTCTGCTCCCGTTAGCGCTACTTCTTCATGTCGGCATCACTCACCCGTTGAGTATCTTCGACCACAGGTGCCTCGCCATCCTTCTTCATCGACGACACAGCGGGCAGCGCCTCCGCCTTGTCCGAGCCCTTAGTTCCCCAGCTAATGTCGTGTAAATTAGAGAACGCATAGACATTCAAGATGTTAGTGAAGGACGGGGCCAAGAGCTGGTCGCGTAAGCATCAGGCGAATTGAATCGTGGTCAGTCTCACCATGTACTGAGGGAAGGAGCTGAACATGTGCCATGGGTCTCGCTGATCTTACAGTCAGTTACGGCACCGATTGAGTGTGAGAATACTCACGTAGAGGAAGGAGGCGATCAAATAGATACCGATAGTAGACATGAGCGCGGCTACCATCACACCGTTTGTCGAATTGAAGAGGCTCTTCAATTTGTCTTCTATACCGCTATTTAGCCCTAATGCACCCTGAAGCAATGTTAGCTGGCGTCCATCGATGACCACGATACGCACCTGAAAGGCCTTTACAGATAGGATGACTGAGCAAACGATGAGATAAAGGGATAGGAAGGCGTATACGCTGCCAGGTATGAGCACATAGATCGTGTTTGTAGAGAGTAACGGCTCACCAGAAAGTCAGCAGATACAGCCCCTTTTCTCCCTTTGGCCTGTTTCCAAGAGCCAAGATGAATTGCAAAATCAAGAATGCCATGTAAATCCATTGAAAGACCAAATTGACCCAGTGTGTCTGAGGGGTTGAAATCAGCTACATCTGAGTGGATGGAAAGAGTACTCACGACCTCTTCAGTACCAAACAAGTATATGTGGGAGCTTTGAGGAAGCAGTTGGATGACGATAGTGAATGTGAGCCATAGATTGGCGAGAGCAAACCAAGAAAAGACCAGACTGCAACTACGACAGAATTAGCTGACTCCAACTCTATAGATACCGGACATTGATTTACAGGTTGTACTGCAATGGCCGCCAGTCAGCAGAGTTCACTCGATTGCCATTGAACGCACCAAAGCCTGTATATGAAAGAAGAACATTCGGATCGGATTGTGGCTACTTCGATAGAGCCGGAAGAAATGAGCAACTGAATACTACGGCGCCAGTAAGCCTATATAAACGCTCAGTTTCTGGTAGACGCACAACAGAGGCCGCAAAAGAACCGTTGAGCCATCGTCGACGTTGACTGATAAGCTCTGCGGCTTCCTCAGGCACGTCGGTCTCAGCCTTGCTCGGCTTGACGTATTGGAGAACCCATTTCTCGTGTGCTTTGGCGACGAGTTCGAAGCATAGGATACGATCTTCGGCCAAGAACCTGAAGGGGTGGATGATTAGTATATGCATTTGATTTCGGCGATCTCTTAATGACCAACATGTTCTAGTATTCTCGTCAGCAACAGGTTGTGGGCAGGCCAGGTCAGCTTACTTTGGTAAAGATGCTCATACCCTCGACACCCTTCTTTCCAAGCCTACTAGCCACTGTAAAACACTATTAGTTATTTGCCAAAAAGGAGAAAAACAAGGAAAAAAGGGGAAAGGGAAAACAAAATTAAACTTACAAGTGGCATCACCATGGAAATACTGGCCCAATGGACGACCTTGGATAGCCCGATATCTGTACGCACTAAAGGCTCCCGGTAAGACTGAAACGTACCCAAAACTTGATTCTAGTGGCTTGTCAAGAATGTTGGACATCTTGTACTCAAAATTCTGAGCAGCCACGAGCGGGTTCAACAATTTGACCCCTTTATTGATCATCGCGTGAATTTCGCCACAAGCTCCGCCGAGATTAGGATTGTTGTAGAAAGCTTCCCAGACTGTGCGCGTGATCAGCTTGAGCTGATGGTACAGTGTAGACGGATACCCACGGTGATATATGGCTTTGTGTCCAGGTTTGGTTCCCGCGTCGAGAAGAACACAAATTTCGGGGTTGAGTTGTTTCCCGATAGCGTTGAACAGCCATCGGTGCGAGTTGATCTTCTTGGAGTTGTCCTGCTTTAGAACAAAAATGATTTGCACCGGGACCTAGCAGAGTGTCAGCAAGAGTTCAATTGAGTCATTACTACCAACAAGGTTTTTCTCATCACCGGGATGAGGAAGCACAAGCTGAGGCGTGGCATCGATTGAAAGCTGGGTAGTGTACTGCATCACATTAGCTCAATGTCAAGCGGAAGGATACCATACACACCTCAAAGATATGTGCAACAGTCTTCTTTCCATCCACTTCCTTTTTCAAGACACCATCCTGGAACACCCCGATAGTCTGCAGAACATCCAAGACCTGCTTGTCCATTGGACCCAGTCCATCAGCGACGAGCGCCACCACAATCTTTTGCCATCCGGGTTGACCATCTTCGGCGGAGCGTTTCCAGAATTTGGAACTATTGCGAGGTTAGAGACGAATTTGAGCATAAGAATTCCGACGAACGCGTTGGTGTTGCAGATATCGCGAATGTTGAGCATAACATTGTGCAAAGTGCGGGCATAGAGAATCTTGTCTTCATTGTCTGTAAATGGTCAGCATTATGATGCGGCATCGATTCGATTGAGGCCAAACTTGCAACTTGTGATGGCAATAAGCAGCTCTGTCTCTCGATTGTAACCCGCGGTCTTGAGCTTCCATCCGTTTTTGGGCGTAAAGTCGTCGGGATCGCAAGTGGCAGCCGTGTATCGCATATGCGTAAACTCGTCGGAAGATTTGTCTTTCAGGTCATCAGTGTGTGACACCCGAGATATGGTTATCCTCACCACCAAGCCATTTGGCTTCAACAGCACTCGAGATGGGACCGGGGACGGGATAACTGGCAACAAGTCAGACCACTCTTCATTTGCATGGTCTACATACTTTCTGATGAAATGGCCATTTGTCAGCTTGACCTTCTTTATAGTCGCTCCTCGCTTGGGCGCCGTCTGACGCCTGATAAACTCGGACGCGACGCTGCGTAACGAAGGTCGAGCGGAGTTGGGCCGAGCGATGGGTAGCTCAGGGCCGCCGCTGAGGTATGGGTCGCTGTTCAGGAATGTAGTGGAGGAGTTTGCCCTACAGCTATGGTCAGAATTGTCTTCAAGGATAGCTCTGCTTGACGCACCCAACAGCAGTCAGAGGCTTGAGTTCCTCATCCGCCTCTTCACCTGCTACCCACGCCGGGGAGCGTCGTCCAGGGCCGTATCCCACATCTCCGTCGTCGCGCAGTTGGTAGGAAGGGTAGGCAGCAGGCTGAGGCGGGTATTGAGGTCGCGGCTGGGCAGGGTATGGCGATGAGGTCGGCACAGGGGAGGAGTTGTACTGGGCGCGGTTTCGCTGGGGATCCTCGAATGGATTGAAGTGGGCCATGGTAGTGCCCGAAGAGGTTGTGGATGTACGAAGAAACGAAGATTGATCCAAGTGCCAAATTGAGACAACAGGAAATTGTGTTGCAATGGCGATCACGCGGTGACAGCGACGGCACAGCAGTCTTAGTCAGCTCGTGGCAACACAGGCCTCTTTCTGAAAGGACCCTTGTAACTGAATCCTTTGCTGCACTTCACCGCCATTATTGTTCTCCCTTCTGTCGATTCGGCGGGGCGGGGAGGAGCTAGGAGTACTCGGGCAGGACGCTGTGCACCATGCTGTGATGTGTCCAGTGTCTTTGTGCAAGTACAGGGAACTTGGAGACCCTCAGCAGAAATCGATGCAGCTACTTGTAAGCGCGCGTCTGGGGCCGGCCGCCGGCATGACCCAGCAGCGGGATCAAATTTTACCATCCGCCAAAGTGGAAACACCCCCTGCTCGTGGGAGTCATTGATTTTATCCTCTCTTGCCTCTTTTGGCTAAGATCATGTGTAGTATCTGTTCTTAACGCTGTGAGAAGCGTTACAACCCTACGGGGTTTTCTTCTCGCGAAGTTTTTCTGCGCCCGCGTTGCCTCTTCAGCTTGCTGAATGTAACGCACGATGTCGCTGGCCTCACACTATCGCCTTCTGATGTCAGGGTTCCTCCTTATCTTTTTGCTTTTTTGTCAATCTGCCCCATTTGCTACCTTATGGCCCATAGTAAGCTCTTTTCTTCGACCTTCTCTCCGCATCAGAACCTCTGGATCACCGACACTGTCCTCCAATGTGTTCGCGACGACCTAGGTGACTACGGTACCATCTCAAATGTATGTACACCACAAGAAAGCTCTTGCTTATTTCTAACCATCTGGTGAGTGACACGATCCCAGCCCAGTCACGATTCCAATCCGCAGTATCCAAGACGACCGGCCATTAGATAGCCACCAGTCCGGCCCTGTCTCCTTATCTGCAGATCTCGACCATGATGGCCCCTATTCGGCAGCCGAGATGCTCAAGATCAGACAACAATCGACTGTTCCCTGATGGTCCAGGGCATACGGCACACGGAATCCACAAGCCACTAACATCCAAGGGAAGGAAGATGGCCAAGATGGATAGACGAGGAGATGACATGTCTTGTCATTCAGGGAGACGGTCGATGGTGATTCGGCTTCCTCTTCCGCTCACAGCCGTCTTGTTGGTATTCCTGGCGTGATCTGGGTATAACGATCAGAGATACAGTGCGACCCATATGATGTCGAGTTCGTTTCAGTTCTGAAAGGAGCTAGAGAGTCACCAAGGCATCCGAAGACTGCACCCCAGACTAGGCAGGCAGTCACACTGCCCACAGTTGCCATGTGCCATAAATGGTGGATGTCGTAAACCAAACACCTACCGCGCTGCCTTGGGTGGGTGGGGGTGCACTGACTGTAGTTCCCTGCAGAACATCTGTTGCATCAAGGAACGAGAGGAACGGCGATTGCATCCACGACGACCGTTTGAACCCATCTGTCGACCGTCGCCCAGTTCACGTCTGTCTTTGTATACCGAGGTACGCTCTCTCCAATCGATATAAGTATGCAGGCCATGCAGACATACCCTCAGTCCTCAGAGGTTCCCCTATATCCACCCCGCCATGGCCATCTTTGGAGTCTTCAAGGCCACCAAAGCCCAGTCCCATGCGTTCGCCGACTCCGCTGCCTATCCCTCCACCCCCGTCAGCGCTGAGCGCTCGCTTCCTCCTCTCCCTATGCCCTACATGCCGTCCGCCTCATCCAGTACCGTCAATACTGCGGGCATCTTATCGCCCGGTGGCAGGACCACTCCCGTACGCCCTGGGAAGGGCATGCCGACGCCTACAGGCGCAAGAGCAGACAGCGGGCCCAGTTCGTTCAATCGCACCCCTAGCGTCATTTCTCGCGTAAACACAAAGATGAGGAGCGGCACATGGTCCTCTACATCGTCACCCTCGGCAACCCGTCCTCCCTTTCTTCGAGGCAATAACTCGTCCTCATCCCTCACAACACCTACCAAGTCTATCTCCCGAGCTCCGAAAGCTCTCCTGGCAACGCCCACTAGTGCCTCGCAGGCGCCACTACCTCCACCCAGCTATGCGCTCCCTCCCACGCCAGAAGCGTCGCCCCAGAAAGGCATCTCTACAATATTCGAGTCCAGGGGCGCGTCGGCCACCATTTCACATGTAAGTCGAGCTACTTTCTCTGGAGTGTCACAAGCTGATGATTGGCGTAGCGCGGTTCATTCAAAAATCCTTCTAGAGGCGGCGGTCGCATGTCCAATCCTCGGACGACGCGGTATGCAAGCGGCTCGAGCGATGTCTCTTCAAACATCTCGAATGCCTCATCCACTTCGAGTGGTAATGGACGTCTTCAGCGGGTGCTCAGTGGCCGCCGTACTTCCACCTCCATCTCCACCTCACGACCTGCCCAGCTCGACGCGTATGACGGTCCTGTCCTCGAGATCAATGCAGAGCCTTCTCGAACCTCCAAAGATGGTCGCAAGTCAGCAGAGGGTAAACGCCGGCCGACGGCGCTGAAGCTGAGGACGAGCAACCTCACGCCAGAGCCCTCGCCACCAGCAGGGAAGGGCGAGGACGTCGATCCTTCTATTGCTGCCTTGCCACCTTCTGCCAAGCCATCACGTATTACCGACATCGGTACTTCTGCCCTCGCCCCGCCTCTCATGTCTCCCGCGAAAGCTTTATCCACTTTGGGGACGATGCTCAGCGCTCGGGACCCCGAGCCGTCCCAGAACAGCAATCGCACCGTCAGGCCGGAGGACAGCAGTAGTCCGCCCGTGTGGCAAAAGTCTTTCGACCTTGTCGAGCCTCAGCTCAAGCCTCTCAGACTTCTCGAGAGAAGACGGTCCAAGTCTACAGGAGACGCCATCGAGTTTATGCGCATCGGCCGGTTGCAGAGAGATTTAGGAGGAGGCTTGACACCAAGTTCGTCAGCCTTGCATCGACTGTCACCGAGCAAGAGTGGCGGGCTGTCACCAAAGAAGACTACAGGTAGAGATGAAGCCAAAGACAAGTCGGTCTCGACTCCTGCTTCCGCTCTCACCATCGATGGGGATGCTCCCCACTCACGACCCCCTTCACCATCACCGTTCCTCAACCTTCCTCTTCCTTGGTCGACGGTCGACCTGCCCACCATCACTGCCGACTTGGGTCTCACCAACATCAGTTCCCTGGTCAACTACACGGTCAATCAACTCGACACTTCTTCTCCTCATCTCCTCCCGCCTGCTATACTGAAGAATTGTGCCTCAGAGGAAGGCCGTCTACGAGCAGAGCTCGAGAGGTTACGCGAAAAGTATGACACACTTGCCTACCATCGCGGGTCCCTCCAGCAGCAGATCGAGAACTCAGTTCTCAAGGTTGAGCAGACCAAGCTTCACAAGATGGTGCAAGCTCTTCGCAAAGTGACCGCTCGGTGCGATAGGGTGGCGAGGCAGATCTTCATCTGCAATGACCAGATCAGGCAGATAGAGATACAGGGACAAGAGCATGTTGTTGGCGCGCTAAGAGTCAAGCTGAATGAGGTGGAGAGACAGGCATACGGGTTGAAGCCCGGTGGCAGCCATCTTTCGCCTGCGTCTGGTTCGTCTAGCTCTGAGAGCGCGGCAACTCCTACGCCTACGCATACATCGACGTCAAAAAACTTTCTCGATGATGTCTACTACCAGTCGCTCGAGCCCGTTACCCCTTCATCCAAGAAATACGGTGGCAACGAGTCTCGACGTACCTCTCAAGCGACCATGATCTCTTTGAACCGCTTGACGTTCCCTGTTCCACCGGACCGTATCCGTACCTTGTCGACTGCTGCGGACGATATGGAGCAGCTGGATGACAAAATTGGCTGGCAAGGGAGTTTGAAGATTGAGATTGAGGACATGGTAGATGACGGGGCTTCCAGCCATGATTTAGACTCGGCTCCTTCTCCCACGTTGACCGACGGCTACATGGCGAGCCAAGACGGCCATACCATCCTCATCCTCCCCCCTACCGCTCATATGCGGTCGTCTTCGGCACCCGACTGGCCAGTCACATCAAGGATTGAAAGCGGGGATAACGCAGGGCCGTATGATATGGCATCACCTTCCTTCCATAGTGCATCTGCACCCTATCTATTACAGCCTCATTCGCCACTTGGTGCTGCTGGGCGTCACGGTAGAGCTTTCTCCGACTCGTCGAATCATCCACAAACCACTTCAGCACCCCTTTCGCCCACGGCTATGCAGCAAATGGACACGGCGCCGTTAAATCTGGACATTCCAGGTATGGGAAAGTTGGTCAAAGGAAGGGGGACAAGGATGACGAAGAGTATGAGCGCCAAAGGTGAGGGGCTGAAGAAGCTCAGGAAGGGAAGAGAGAGTATGTTGGATACTGTGAGTCCGAGTTGAAGAGTTTGGACAGGAGCTGACGAATCGACAGCCCGAGTCTATATTGTGGAGCCTTGCCACAGCGCCCATGTGGACCAAGCAGGAGCTGGACAGTCAATGATATGTGATGTTGTAGAAGCGCGTCATTTCGTATCGACCCCGTGTCGGATAACGTCTACTAACGATACATGCAATGATAAAGATGCCTATTCTATTTCTACAGCAGCCCAAGATCCCTCTTCTTCCACAAATTTCCACCTCGCGTCTTTGACATCATTCTCGTTTCCAACTCCTACCCAGTCCGACGCTTCACCCCTGTCCAACCGCACACCCCCGTTCACTTTCCACTCTCGAGTGACCTTGTCGGTTACCTCCTTGTAAGCCTTCACATCTGCCACCTCAGCATCCGTGAGCTCATGCGAGTACACTGGCAGATACATGAAATCCCTGCTCGGTACCACTAATCCCGTCTTGCCAACATCTGTGGGTTCTTGGCCCTCGAGCATGACGGACGGTGATACGCAGTGTTTCGATATTTGATCTGCGATAGACTGCATGATCAGACGAGCATGCAGTTCGCTCGAGTGTTTGGAGGAGAGGGGGATCGGGGGGATCGGAGGGTCGCTGGTATGTGGCAAAGGTGTGGGGGAAGGGTAGGGGAAGGAGTTGATGGGGGAGAGAATGGATGGAAAGGGATGCGAAGTACTGTAGCGGGGGGACGGGAACCTGTAGGAGTCAGCAAGGAATGATCCGATGGAGGCATACTCACATGGCAGAGAAATGGTTGACAGCAACTCTTCTCGCTTTGATGTCTCTCGCAAATATCCCAACCTCATTGGGAGTCGAGTGACCCCTGCTCTGGGCCTTCCGGATCACTTCGCGCGCCCTCGATTCATCGGCGAAAACTTCTTCGTCGTTTTGAAAGGTATCCTCGTTGCTGTCTTCCCCTGCCCACCGCGAGGGGCGTGGGTGCGTGACCGATGGGGATTTTCCCGCGCCAGCCGTCACTCCGCGAGAAACGACAAGGCTAGGTTCCAAATCTCGCTGCCTCACTTTTTGGCCCTTCTCTCCTTTTTGTATGGCCTGAGGGATGGCAGCATTGGTACACTCATGTACCAGTAGACTAGCATCAGAGCACATACTCCTGAACGTGTCGTTTGGTGTGCCGCCATTGCAATCGCCGAAAATGACGATTTTGCGCGGAGGAACCCCCGAAGGTTCTGGCGGGGATATGGTCTCACCCGAGGGGAGTCGGTAGGGCAGGGGCGACGGTAAAGAGGTAAGGTGCGATAGAAGAGACAAGGGGTGTTTTACTGGAGGGTCCCGCTCGGCGAGAGCAGCAGCGTTGGATTGTAGGAGGGGTATCAGGGTTTGGGTGTCGAGTGGTAACCGGGGCGTAGGCTCTTGCAGGACGTAGCCCAAGCATGGGACTATAGGGTTGTCAGATGGGGCCGTTTGAGTCATAGATCGCTTACTTCTGTGATGTATAGGTCCAGCCTCCACCTTCCACCCCTTGCCGCTTTTTCCACTGCCCTCTTGCAGCACATCTCTCCAGACACCGTCGCTATCCGTTCGAAAGTCTGAGCCTACCGCCTCGTTCGTGTGTATGTCCTCCACGCCACACGGGGCAGAAGGCTCTTCTCCTTCATGCAGAATTTCATGTACGGCAAAGACGCCAGAGAGATTCGCATGGACAGTCTGCAGTAGACTTCGGACCATCTTGCGAAGACCCATCGGGCCGTAAATGTTGAAATTTGCCTTCTTCTTCAATCCCCGCTCCTTGACGCGCTGGGTTTCCGCCTCTGTTGTGCCGACACCGCTCATAACAGTCGTGAGTACTGGTACCAGACCGAGTACATGGTCCAGATGTAGATGGGTGATAAAGATGCGGGTGATATTGGCGACTTTGAGTGACGATTGATGGAGCCGACCAAGTGTACCGTCTGCCGTGTCAAATACTATATCTTGCGATGAGCATTCTGGCTTATGTGCTTGCAAAGATATCTCACTCCAAATGTCGTTGCCAAAGTCCACGGCCAAAGAGGAGCAATTGCGGCTCTGGATGGGGCCTCCGCCGCTGCTGGTTCCAAGCTGTGACGTCTGTCAGCGGCTGAATGCAGGTGTCCAAATCACGCACAAATTGGACTGAGACGGGCGGCAGGGGTTTCAACTTGGTCGCTGCCATGGCCAGTCGTCTCGGCAGCTTCACTTGAGGTAGAGATGGATAGACAGCCTCCTATGGAAATCTATCGATTCGCCCGCGGTCATACCCGCAGTGCCTTGATCGTCATGGTCGATCACATTGCTGCTGATTCTTGATCTCTCAATTGACCTTTTACTCCAATATCTGCTCGCCAGCGATCCGACAGGGTATATCATGAGTTAGACGAGCCGCAAGATATAGCATGCACATATATCAATCAAGATGCTCTTCGTCGTCATCATCAACCTATTACCTACTGCCCTGTCTTGGTGTATATTCTATGTTAGGTACAGTCGCAGGTCTCTCGAAGGACGTCCCTCGCTACTCAGAATAACCGCCCTAGACCTGAACAAGTCGAACATCTCCCCTCGTCAAAGCCAAAGAACAAGATCTCTGTCCCGGAACCATTACATCTCCAACACAGTCTGTGGCTCATCAGCCCCCGTCATTACAAGACTCTCAATGGACTCACCTCCCACCGATTCTAGGATCCCCTGGCGCTACTACCAGCGCTCCCGGAGGTGCCATCCCCGCCGTTCTCTGCACAAAGATCTGCTGCCCTGGTGCTGGGTATTGTAGTTGCTGTTGACGTTGAGGGGGTGGAGGCAAGTGGCTATAGCTCTGCCCCGGACCTTGGCCTTGGCCTGGGTATGTACTCCACTTGCCGCTACTGCCAGGGGGTGGGGGCAGGTGACTGTACTGCGCCGAGGTCGGACCCGAATATGGGACCGAAGCCGGGGCGTGCCCAGCGGGGGCATAGGAAGGTAGAGGCTTTTGAAAGTTGTCGGACATTTGCAGGCCGGCAGAGAGGGCCTGAGTGTAAGAGTGAGCGAGGGTAGAGTTGTACACCCTGCCATACTTTTTCCAGTCCTATTGCCTTGGTGTCAGCAACCTCCTAGTGTCTACTTGCCATGCACCCACTCTCTCATGAGGGTTTGAGGGATCGTTGGCTTTATAGCCCGTATTGTTACACTTGCTGCACCAGAAGCCTCCGGGGTACACCAACATCTGGCCTCGGTGCAGTAGCGGCCGGCCCGGAGTCGGCGCCTCTGTTGGCGCCGCGCTTTGAGACGATGAAGGCTGTGTCGTAGAGTCTCTGCTTGGCAAAGGCGGGGGCGGTCGTGCCGACGAGGAAGTCACAGAGGGATGGCGAGGGGGCGGAGGAGGTTTTGTCTCGTTACTCGAGCTGTTCCCATTGGCGTATTGCCCCTGGCTATGAGCCTGCCCACCATGTCCATACCCCATCCCAACTCCAGTCAAATTAACGCCGACACCGCTTCCTCCCGTATATTGCTGCTGCTGCTGTTGCTGCCGCTCGACCCAGTCAGGCATAGGTGGTGGGCCTGAGAAATCAGGTCTGAGCGGCCCGGCTTGGACGGTGGATTCACCGGTGCCCGTGGTTGCAGAGGGAGTGTACGCTGGAGGAGGCTCTGAAGGGATCTGGTCCTCTGGCAGGCCATTAGAGGGGTGAACATTGTTGGCAGTGGTCGTGGTTTGCGAGTCGTGAAAGGGGTTGGTGGGTGCCATTGTAAAGACTGTAGAGATGCAAAGACGGACAACACAGGATGAAATATCTCAATGACGTCTCAGAGGTGGCAAATCCGGCCGCCGAAGTATGTAACTCGGTTTCACCATTAAAGTCTTTATGTAAAGATGGACTATCCCTCAATGGCCCACTTATATCTAGCAAGTGCATACTATATCATCATACGCGGCCCACACGAAAACATATATGAACTACCAAACTACGTTCCCCTCCCTAGATGGAGAAGAACGGCTGGTCGGTCTGCCCATTCTGCTGGCCCTGCTGCTGCATCCTCTGACCGAAAGGATTGTTTGCACCGAGCCCAGCCGCACCTGTCTGTTGCGCCGCCAACCTGTTGGAGTCGTGGAACCCGGATCCCACAGGGATACCTGTTCACTTGATCAGCGGGCCCTTCTACAACTCTTTGAGGATAACTTACGGAGATTACCCTGGTTACCAAACGTATCCATTCCATCTTCTCTGCCCCTCGCCAACAGGCTCGCCAAACCTCCATGCTGCGCATCGTTCGTCTTGAGCGCGCCGTTCCACCCACTCGGCGTCGCGGTCGCCTGCGGCTCAAGCTGCTTGGGGGGCTCTTGAGGCTGAGGGCTGAAAGATTGCTGGGGCTGCTGCTGAGTGACGCTGGGCACAGGGAGGAAGGAAGATTGCTGTTGGGGCTGGGGGGAAGGGACGGGGGGTTGGGATTGGCCACCGCCGGGAGCAAAGGGATTGTTGGAGCCGTAGCCCGTGGGCTGGGCAAAGAGGGAGGTGTTTTGGGCTTGGAGGTACTGTTGTTGCTGAGCCCATTCTTGTTGCTGGCGTTGCTGCTCTTGCAATGCCATCTGCTGGCGCATATACTCTTCTTGCTGCTGCTGTTGCTGCTGCATGGCAAAGAAGGGCTGAGGATCGAATGAGCTCAAGTGTCGGCAATATGAATCGAGGACGTACATTGTAAGAAGTGTATTGAGGCTGGAGTTGCTGCTGCTGGCCCCATCCAACATCTACAAGCGGCCAGCCGCCAGTTGGCTGCATTGGCATCTGCTGAGTTTGCTGGGCAAACAAATCGGGCTGTTGCTGAGTATACGCGTTCTGCCCTTGCCTGCGAGACGTCAATACAGCTCGACATGCACAATATGCACTGACAGGTTGAGGTTGTCGTCAAACAAGGCGCTCTTGGTTGATTCTTCCTGCTCTCTCTTTCTCCTCGCCTCCTCTTCTTCCGACGCGCGGATTGCCCTTCTAAGCTCGTCCTCTTCCTGTGTCTGCATGCTCCTTCTCTTTGCCTCGTCTTCCGACATTCGCTTCGACTCTGCGATCGCCCTCTCCAGCTCGTCGTCCTCGTCCCTGCTCCTGCCTGGACGCTGCCGGGGAGGAGGCGAATCTGGTGGCGCAGGACTACGGCGTGCACCGCTATCGCGCTCGCCACGCAGCCCAGACGTCTCGATATTGTTCAGCATCCTGTCCCGCATCGCGCCCCTGGAACGCCTCTCTTCCCTCAGGCGCGAGTCGTCCTGGAGCAGGTTGGTAATGTCCTTGGCCTTTTGCCTTACGTTTGCCCCGACATCCTTTCCATCCTCGTCCACATAGACAAACTCTTTGAGCGTTTTGACGAGGTATAGGTTGTCTTTAAAGTAAATGACTACGTTTTCAGAGCCGCCATGGAGACAGTAGTCGAGAAGAGTGAGCGCTTTGAATACGTGGCGCCAGTTCTTGCCCTTGTCGTTGAGTCGCTTGTCCAGCATCTCCATAATCTCGACAAAGTCGTTCCTAGAACATGTATGAGTATTCCGCACCGACCCCCTAATGGCGGAACGCACTGGTTGTAGGTCAGCTGGCAGATGACGTTCATCTCTGTGCCCGAGGGACCCCATGGGTCGTTGGAGGTGGCATCCCTGACCTTTGTCTGGGTGTCTGTGTAGCCTTTGGTGTAGTTCTTGATGACTCGGAGACCTGCGTGATTGTGAGTGGAGGGCAGGGATGCTGGGGCTGGGCGTACCTCCTCGGCCGCTGTGGATGGTCAGCGGGGCAGTGTGGGGGGCGGGGGACTTACAGGTGCTGGAGGGATGAAGCCATGGTGATGGATGCGAAGGAGAGACAGTGCGTCATGTCAATGTCCTCGACCCATGTCCTGAGTGCGGCGGAGGGCCCCGCTGCGTGCGAAAGCGGACAGGGACACGCGGACAGGCGGACGCCACAGTACGGATTTACGGGGTTAGAGGACAATGAAGTGCATACATTTCAGCTGGCCACGGTACGCTCTACGCATTAGAAAGCACTAAAAAGGCGCGATGCCCCCTATCTACGTCAAGCCAGAGAACGCCCTCAAGGTCAGTCAGTCCCCCTTTCCCCAAGAACCACAGCTGAACCCTCACAGCGGTCCGAGGAGCTCCTCGCCCTTGGTACTCCCCAGTCCCAGCAGCAGGCTTTCGAAAACTTGATCGAGGTCTTCCAGTCGTACGTAGCCACAGCAGTGCACTGGACACACCTGACAGTCGCGCAGTAAACGATTCAAGCAGACCCCCATCAACGTCCTCGAGCCCATCGTCACAAAATTCATCGACCTCTGTGTCCTCCTCAATCGAAAAGCCCACGCCAAGTCTGGTCTCCTCGTCTTCAAGTCGGCTGCCCAGACCACCAACATTGCCGCCATCGAGCGCGTCTTGAACCACTTTATCGCCCAGGCCGAGACCCGTCTCGCCGATGCCGTCGAGCAGGCCAAGAAGGAAGTCGCTGCCCTCCCCGACGTTCCCGTCGTTGACGATGACCTCCCCCTCCAGCCCGCCTCCCTCATGCTCGACACCTTTGTCGACAGCGCCGGCGACCGTGAGCGAATCGAGCGACGATTGATCGCCCCCGCCCAAAAGTACTGCTGGGATGCCCATGACATTTGTCTCGACATTGCCAAGAGCAACGACAGGCTCGAAATCATCTACCAGTCCATCGCCCACCGAGCCTTCAAATTTTGCAAGGTCCACGAGCGAAAGACCGACTTCCGTCGTCTCTGTGAGCAGAGGCTCAGGAAGGATCTCGCCAACGCTGCCAAGTACTCTCACCAGCCCCACGCCATCAACCTCTCTGACCCCGAGACTCTCAACCGATTCCTCGAGACCAGGTTCCTCCAACTCCAGACGGCTGTTGAGCTTGAGCTCTGGCAAGAGGCTTTCCGATCTGTCGAAGACATTCACGGTCTTATCGCTGGCAGAAAGGGTACCAAGGCTTCCATGATGGCCAACTATTACGAAAAGTTGACTCAGATCTTCAAGGCTGAGGGCGGCAAGCAAACTGCCGTGTTCCACGCTGCTGCCTGGGCCAGGTACTTCCAGCAGGCCGAGCGAGCTGGCATTGTCAACGACAAGGCTTCTGGATGTGTCTTGCTTTCTGCCCTCGCCGTCCCTCTTGGTGAGGTCGAGGTCAAGCAGAGGCTTGTCGCTCTTTTGAACCTCCCCAAGATGCCCACTCGTGAGACCCTTGTCCAGGACGCCGCCGGCAAGCACTTGAAGCGAGTCCCTGTCGACATCAGGCAGATCTATAACATTCTCGAGGCCGACTTCGAGCCTACGACTGCTGCCAAGGTCCTCGCTCCCCTCATCACCAGCCTCGCCCCCGAGTACCAGCCCTACCTTCCCGCCCTTCGTGACGTCGTCCTTTCTCGATTGCTCCAAGCTCTCGCCCAGGTCTACGACGCTGTCACCTTGAGCCACATCCTCGACCTTGTCAAGCCTCTCGACAACACCCCTTGGGCTACCGACATGCCTTCCCTCGAAAAGTTCTTGGTCTCTGCCTGTCGACGAGGTGACATTCGCGCGTCTGTCGACCACGTCTCCAAGACTATCACTTTCGCGTCTGCCCCCGCCGACCCTACCCACCTCCAGAGCCTTGCCGTGTGCTTGTACAACACTGTCAACTACCTCAACCCTGTGCCCACCACCTCCCGTTCTGATGCGTTCGCTGCTGCGATCGCTTCCGCCGAGGAGGAGCGCAAGCTCGCCAGCCACAAGAGGCAGATTGTCATCCGCCGACGTGAGCTCCTCGAGGAAGCCCGTCTTCGTCGTGAGACTGCCGAGTCTACCGCTCTTGCCGAGCGCCTCAAGGCCAAGGCTGAGGACGACGCTCGAAGGATCAAGGAGGAGGCCAAGCAGGCCGAGATTGACCGTGTGCGCAAGCAGATCAACCAGACCAAGGAGGCCGAGGCCAAGCAGCTCGCTGCTTCCCTTGCTGCTCAAGGTGCCCTCAAGGTCGACATCTCTAGCATCGAAAACCTCGACTCTAGCAAGCTTGTGGCCATGCAGGTCGAGCAGCTCGCCAAGGAGAAGAAGAGCTTCACTGAGAGGCTCAGGATTGTTGGCAAGAGAGTTGACCATTTGGAGAGGGCTATGAGGAAGGAAGAGATTCCTTTGCTCGCTGACGACTATGAGCGCCAGAAGGCCGAGGACCGTGCGGTCCACGAGCAGGCCAACAAGCTTCTCAGGGAGCAGGCTATCGAGCAACAAAAAGCTGCCAAGGAGCTCAAGCAGAGGCTCGGCAGGATGTTGGACGACTACAACCAGCTCAAGGCTGTCGTGGAGAGCCAGATGGAGGACGAGCTGAGGGTTGCCAAGGAGGAGGCAAAGAAGAAGGTTGAGGCCGACAAGGCTCGTGTCCGAGAGCAGATCATCCAGAGGAAGAGGGAGGAGAAGGCCAGGAGAGAGCAGGAAGCCAGGGAGAAGGAGGAGAGGGAGCAGGCTGAGCAAGGTACGTTATTTACATTCTTTCTAGGGTAACGCTGACACAATCTACAGCCGCAGCTGTCCAGCGTGCTGAAGAGGAAGCCCGCAAGGCTGCCGAGCGTGAGAACGCTGCTGCCGAGGCTGCTATCGCCGCCGAGAAGCGCAAGGCCGAGCGTGAGGAGCAACGTCAGAAGGATGAGGAGATCAGGCGCAAGCAATTGGAACGTGAGGAAGAAGCGTTCCGTCGTCGACAGGAGGCTGCTGCCGCTCCCCCTGCCCGGGCTTCTTACCGACCCCCTGGTGCCGGCGCTTCTCCTTCTGCCTCCCCCGCTCCCGCTGCGGGCGGTGGTTCATGGTTGGAGAGGAGGAAGGCCATGGCTGCCGCCGGTGGTGGCTCTGCTCCTTCTCCTCCTCCCGCTGCTGCCCCTGCTGCCCCTGCTGCTTCCGCTCCTTCATCGTCTCCTGCCCCTGCCCCCGCGTCCGGTGGCTCATGGCTCGAGAGGAGAAAGGCGCAGGCTGCTGCTGCTGCTGCTTCCGGGGGTGCCTCGCCCTCTGCGTCTACCCCTGCCCCTGCCCCCGCGACCAACGGCACGGACGACGCCAAGCCCGGTGTGTGGAGGAGGAGGGGTGCTCAGTAGAGTTAGATGAGGTCGAATGTCTAGATGTATCTCAATTCATATGCATAATGGCCACGCCAGACTGTACGACTACTTTTCAAGGATAGTGAACAACAGCGTCGATACATTGTTGTCTCGTTGTCTTAGTAAGGAATCAGCCCGGCAAGCTTTTTGGTTCTCTCGTCTAGGACTGGAATCTCATGAGGCAGCTGCTTTTCATCAGGAGTAAGTGGGCCCAAGGTGTTGGTACCTCTGACGGTAAACTCTAGCGGATCATGAGTCTGACCAGATGTCAGCGACGACGGAATAGTGTAAACTCGTCAACTTACAGTCCCTGCCCACTCGGCAAAAGCCTGCTTTCTTGCCTCCAACTTGTCGGGCTTTATGTCTTTGGCGGGCTTGTAGCAAAGGTCTTGATTGTGGTCAGCAATTGCTATCATACCACAGGACAACCTACAGGTGGCAACCCTCGGTCTATCACCCTCCGCTACGGCTCCATAATGCACAGTCCTGCTGTCCCACAATATCAAGTCTCCAGGTCCAGCCTCAACTTTGACCCACTCACATCCTCTGTCCTTCAGCCACCCCACATCCTCCTCCCGGTGCATGAAGAAGTCGCCCGCGGGCCAGCCTCCTTCGGGCTCGAGCTCGGGGTGTGCGTCAAAAAAGGCATTAAAGTGCTGGACAGAATGGGAGAGGACTTTGAGCCCCCCGTCCAGAGGCCCGTTGGGAGCTATGTTGGCGATGCCTTGGATACAGTGCTTGTGCCTTCGTCTTGGGTTTTGGTCGACGTGAGGCCATGGAGCGGCTCGGTCGGTCTGCTGGTCATCGATGTATGGGAGTGAGATGTTGAGACCATCTGCATTATCGTCAATCTCAGTCTTCGATAGCTCAAGTTGACTTGCCAAAAGATACGAGGAGCTCGTCCGTCCCCCATAGCTTGGCGAACACCGCGACAATACCAGGTTCGGACCTGATGTCCCAGACGAAACGCTCGTGATGGACTCCATGGCGCTTGAACATGCCTCCCCTGATGAGTATCAGCTTTGTTTTGTGTTGGAGTCGTCAGACCTACCTGTCAAATGCAGGCATGTTTTCAAACTTCCATGTGTCTTTGTCATCTCTCTTGAAGCCTTTCCCGAAACTTTCAAGCCAGGCGTAGGCTCGCTGCTCGTACTCTTGGGCTCGTTCCAGGGGAATCACGTTCTTCACTACCGCCCACTGTAATAGCGGTGGTCAGCGGGCTTGTATATAGCTATGAAATCGAGTTACATACGCCTTTGGTCTCCAAGTCTTCCAGAATAGCCTCGACGGAGTGTGGGTCATGGAAGCCACGGAGCTTGAGGATGCCCGCTTCCTCTTCTTGTTGCGCAAGCTGGGTGGTGGTGAGACTCATTTGAGCAATAGGCGGCTTGCAGAGAATGTATTCGCAGATGTTGAGGTCTCCCTCTCGTCCCAAGCCCACTTTTCAGCGATACTCCTCGAGCAATAGGATCGGTCACCCGAAGGACCGGCGATGTCCGACCAGCTCACCTCATCTTGCGCCATGGCGTCGGATAAACATCTCCTCTTGAGTATGCAGGTGGCTGAACATGCCCGCCTGCGATAGGATGGTAATAAGATGCCTCGGTCGCGTGCTATGACGCTTCTCGTCTCGGAAGCACGATGGAGTCATCATGTGGGCTCATCTGCTCACATCATCCATAACTCTCGCACGGTCATATGCAAAAGATAAGACAAGAAGCCGACCCCGCCCCCGATCCGTGCTGCTATCCTCGGCGACTTGGACTGCGCGCCTGGCTGCTCCTGCAATGTTAACTCATCAGAGCGCGGAGTACCACTGCATACCTCATCGGACTTGGACAAGTATGTCTATCGGGGAACGTTGTGCCTCGGCAGCTGAAGTTTACTCAATAGCACGTCTTTCATGTCACTTTAATGGACGGAAGCCTCCTCGGTCGCCAACTTCCCAAATGGAAAAAAAGTTGAATATATTTTGCATGCAAGTGTGGACCCCAGCCTCAACAACCTCTCCTCACAATGTCTGTCGTCTACCGTGCAGATGAGAAGGTGCCTCACCTTACCGATGAGCTCGACGGGGAGACCACCTCGCAAGACCTCAAGGATGGAGTTGAAGAAGTCGCGCAGCAAGATGCCGATGCCGCTATCAAAGAAAAGTTTACTTATGAGCAAGAGCAAAAGCTGCTTCGCCGAGTGCGTACCGTCCGCCCTTATCTCTCTCAGCAGCTTACCCCGGCACCTAGGTGGATTGGCGTTTACTTCCTCTTCTGATCCTGGCCTACTTGCTCAAGAACTTGGATGGAAATGTGCGTCGCTGACTTGTTGAATCGCACTCGCACTGAAGGATTTCGTAGAGTATCAGCTATGCCAAAGTCATATCCTCCGGTAAATCCACCAACATTCTCAAAGAGCTCAACATCACCACCGACTACTACGCCTGGACATCTACCATCTTTACCATTCCATTCATCCTCGCCGAGGTCCCGTCAAACCTCTTGATCAAGAAGCAGACCCCTCGTCTACATGTGTTGAGAATCGTAGTCCTATGGTCGATCGCAGCGGGGTGTCATGCGGCCGCTCAGAATGGGGCGGGTTTGTTGACGACGAGATTCTTCCTTGGTTTGTTCGAGGCAGGGCTGTACCCTGGAATCCTGTACCATGTTGTCTGCTGGTACCGTCCGGATGAAGTGAGCAACCTTTTACCCGTACGAGTTCCGCTAAGAGATTAGCTTGCCGTTCGTATGGCCATTCTGGGCCTACTGGGTCAATTCTCTGGTATCCTGGCGGCCCTGCTTGCGTACGGCATAGAGTTTATTGATGGACGAGGAGGTATCAGCGCCTGGAGATGGATGTGAGTAGCAAGCAGAAGGCATTGGAACTGCGCTAAACAGATGCAGGTTCGTCATCGAAGCACTGATGGGCGCCGCCCTCGCCTTGCCTGTTTATTTCTTCCTCCCCGACTGTAAGCGATGGTTCTCGCATGTTATAATCAAAGCTTACATGGATACCAGTCCCCGATACTGCCAAATGGCTCACCCCTGACGAACGACACTTTCTCGTCGCCCGTCTGCCCCCCAACGCTGCCCGGGCCACCGACAAGGCTTTCGACAGGAAAGGTGTATCGGATGCGCTGAAGGATCCGTTGCTTTACGCTTTCACTTTCATGCAGATGTTCTCTAATCTGGGGGCTTATGGCTTGTGAGTCTGGAGCCATCGAATGGAGGAAAATACTGACGACGATGGGTGAAAGGTCATTCTGGTTGCCAAGTATCATTGCGAGCTTTGGGTTCACCACGACTCAAAGTAGTCAGCTTCGTAAGAATCACCCTCATGGATCCAGGAAGAGCTCACCAACATATGATATCAGTCAACATCCCTCCCGCAGTCTTGGGGATCGCCACGTGTATTCTCTTCGCATGGATGATCGACCGCACATTCGATATCCCCAGACCTGTAAGTCTCAACTGTAGACAGTAAGGCGTGTGCTGATGAGGTGATAGTGGTACGGTGTCGTCTCCAAGGTCGTCACTATCGGCGCCTTCATTGCCCTAGCCACGGTCACCAACAAGGTCAGTCGACTCCCCATCGCGCATCTCCCCAATCTCTGACTCGTGACAAAGCCTGCGCTCTACGCCCTTACCATCATCGCCACGGTGGGATCATCGTGAGTGGTTTCCGAACAGCACAAAGACCGAAGCTGATGATTTGCTAGTGCGTTTACAGCTGTCTTGATGCCATGGCGCGCCCAGTCTCTGAAAGGGTCGACCAACGCCGCTTTTGCATTCGCGTTCCAAAATGGTCTTTCGCAGATCTCTGGTATCATCGGTGAGCGCACACCCTGTAAAATCTCCGGTGATACTGTGCTTAACTCCCGTTCTAGGCCCACAAGTGTTCCGCTCCAAATACGCTCCCCGATACACCATCCCTTACGTTGTCTGTATCGTGTTTCTCGTGCTCTCATTCCTCGCACTGCTGGTCACGTGGTACCTCAGTGCGGCTCTCGAGAAGGAAACGCGAAGAGTGGCCAAGGTTAGAAGCTCGGAGGCAAAGGCGAATAGAATCACGCAGGATGAAGTGGTGTTCAGGCGCTAGCTATAGATTATTAATTAGACGTCAGAGGATCTGGGAATTGGATTTCTGTGGAAGGTCGCTGGGTTGATATGTCTTGGGTATAAATCATGTACATGGTGACAACAATGCTAAGGATGTTCAAATACAGGATGGGAAACGATACAAACGTCAAGAAGGCGACTTCGGTCATGGACTCATGATATACGTTCCGACCCTCTTGCAAACCACCAATCCGAAGATGATGCACACAAGGCCGATCAAGTGGTCCAGCCACAGAGGGACGGGTCGGTTGGAGTCTAGAGCAGACTGGTGGGCTTGGATCCGGACAAAGCCTGGGTCCTGTAGAGCGGGGGCGGCACGGGGTGGTGCGTGGGCTACAGCTATGGCTGGCTGAGGTGCGGGGCGGGGTATGGGTGCGGGGGATATGTGGGAGGGTGCTGGGAGTGCTTGAGGCGCAGGGGCAGAAGGAGGGACTTCTGTCAAGGGCATTGGCTCTTCAGGAGCGCCCTTGTCATCAACATCCTTATCGTCTCCCGCGCCTTCCCGCTCCGCCTTCTCAGTGACCTCTTCTTCCGCCTTTCCCTTTCCCTTGTTCACCCTCTCGGCAAAGCAAGGCAAAATTTCTTCGTTTGCCACTTCGCATGTAGGGCATTTCCACTGGGCAGACAACTTTGCCAACCGCTTCCGTTCATCCTTTGAGTAGTCGAGGGCACCGACACCCGAGAGAGCTTCACCCGTTTGCATCCAGAAGGAGCGGAGACCGACGATGGCTACGAAACATGTCAGCTATTGCATGGGGCAAAGATGTGTGCATACCTGTGCGAACTCCCCAGGCCGGCTGCCATGATCCAGCATGGAAGCTTGTAAGACCGTCTATGCAGATCTGTAAAGCGTAGTCAAAGGGAGACATGGTTGCCACGTCAGCAGAGTTCCTCTCACCGAGAAGGCAAGACGACTCACCTTTTTACCCAGTTCAAATCGCCCGTTGGGAGTGAGCAAGATGATGTCGGGAGCGGACATGGGGTACGAAGGAGGCAGCACAATGCGGAAATGGTACAGACCTGGGTAACTGTCAGCTCAAGATCTGTATTGATGAGACCAATACGCACCGCCTTCATACTCGCTATCCTCCACTCCTCTCATCGTGCAGTGCCACTCGAAGATATCGTCCTATCCACACGTATAAGCTAGGATCCAGGTACGATGAACCTGACATACCTCTACGGGAGCGGCGGTGAAGCCGTCGTCATCGACGTCTGCGCTGGCCAGCTCCTGAGCTTCCTGCATGATGCGCTTGACCGCTGTGGAGCGGAGGTTGAGCTTCTTGGGAGGGGTGGCCATGGTGGCAGGCTGGGAATGCGTCAAGAGAGATACAACTATGTAGATGTAGTGACGCGACGGTGGCAAGTGAAGGTGTCTGAGCTGGATCGGGACAGCGCGGAGATCGGCTGCGACGGCCGAGCAGTTCCGTCCGGAGTCCAACTCACTCAGATCAACATCGCTCCTTGTCCATCTCTCCTCCATCCACCATGGCAGACCCGACGCCCCTCCCAAAGATCCCCATCATCGCCCCAGTCGGCACAAACCACGACGAAGTAGCAACCTCCGGCGCTGGCCCGCCCAAGCCTTTCACCGAGGCCCAAGTAGAGGAGTTCCGGGAGCAGGATCGATGGCTGCCTGTGAGTGCATACCGAGAGGGCCAAGAGCTGTGCTCACAATGCCATCTGTAGATTGCAAACGTCGCCAGAATTATGAAGTCGTCACTACCATCATCAGCAAAGGTGTCCAAAGAAGCGAAGGAGTGTGTACAAGAATGCGTATCGGAATTCATTTCTTTCATCGTGAGTTACCATCTTGCCTTCATGATCGCATAGACTGACAGGAGTCAGACATCGGAAGCAGCAGAAAAGTGTCTCAACGAGAAGCGAAAGACGCTAAACGGAGAGGACATACTCACCTCGATGCGGGCATTGGGGTTTGACAATTATGAGGGGGTCCTGAGAGTATACTTGGCCAAGTACCGTGATGTAGGTCCTTCCCTTTCGACATCTCGGCCCCTACTTATGCGCACATAGTCACATCATTCTATACCAAAGCGCCACCAACATCACGACGACGACAGAGATGACCTCGACCATGCCGGGCCAAAGAAGCGAGGGCGTGGGAGGGCATCGGGAGCCGCTGGCGGCACCAATGGAGAAGGGAAGGGAAAGCGTAGAAAGGGGGATGACGGAAAATAGTGGAATAATATGTACAACACACCTATAAACGTCACTTAGAGAAAAAGACGGTGTAACAGTAATCCTGCGAACGCCGATTCATACAATGCATTCCTCCTTGTAAAATGTATGTCATCTACCATGCGTAAAGTGCTATTATAAAGGTGAACCATCTAGAAAAGAGATCGACAGAGGGGACAACTGCTCGAATGGGACGAGTTGAACCACTTGAAGAGACAGCTAGCATGGAAGCGATTCTTACACGTGCGACAAGGCTTTGTGGGAAGAGTTCTGTCTGTGAGAGAGATGATACTGGAAGAATGTCAGTAGAGTCCTACGATCGGCAAGATTGACTTACGAGTAGCAGATAGCACACTCGACAACACCCTCAAAGTGAAGCGAGACGTTCCTCTTGAACAATGTCAGAGCTTCCAATATCAGACCATTCTGCAGGCTCGTTAGTCGTGCACCCACTCAAGCGTACGTGTACTCACTCTCGAAGTAATGGTCTGCTGCACGCTCATCAACCACCCCCTCCACTTGTTCTCTGGCACTCCAACCCTTCTCAAGTCACGCACATCAACAGCCTTCAAGGGGAACTCTGCCGGGAGCCTGATGCCGATCTCCATCGGCTGCTCGTCTACGACATAGCTCGCGATCGCCTCGGACGAGCCTGCGCTGTTTGCAGCCACCGTTGCACCTCCACCCTGGGCGATACGCACGTTGAGCCCTTCTTCTGTGAGTTGGGCCATTGCCGCGGGCTGGCGGAGAGCGGAAAATTCGTGTGCAATGATGACGGGGGAGAAGTGACGGGCTGTAAAGTTGAGCATCGACATGGACAACTGTCTATCCTTGAGGGACTCGTAGTAACCCCGGAGAGAGGACGGAATGGTGACGAGGGCTCGATAAAAGATGTGGGAAGCGAGGGGAGCAAGGTCGGGTAGACTTTCGGGGTCGAGGAACTCGGTAAAGTACTCGTCTACCGCATACTGACTCGCGGGGAAGTTCCAAGCGCCCACTTCAGAGACGCCCAGAATGGCAAAGAGCATGGGGATGAGACCGTCCGTGATGAGGTTTGATGTGTTGAGCTGGTCAAGGTATGCCCATCGTAGTGTTCGAGAAGCATCCTCAAAGTAGTCCAAGATGGACATCCAGGTCAAAAGCTGCCCAAGGACAAGCGGCACACCAAGCTCTCCATGCCAGTCCAACTCTGTCCCAATCTTGACGATATCCACCAATTCCTTTGCCAGCTCGATCGTCCTCTCCTTATGCCCATCCTCATCTGACAACGAAGCCTCCACTTCCAGCACCAAGGACAATGTCTCATGCTTGATGACCTTGCTCAAGATACGGTAAGCGGCCGTTTGGATTGCCGAAGAAGTCGACAGCGATACAAGCTTTGACAACGACGATAGCGACGCATGCTCCATGACCTTGTCCGGAATGTCCGGCAGTAGATCAAGAATGAGAGCCTGGATCTCTTGAAGAGGTGCGGTGTCCGCCAAACGGCATTGGAGGAAGAGATCAAGGACGAGCTTCAGATGCGCGTCCTTGCTCGTCCAGGATGCTCTGAGAGACTTGTTGGTCTGGCAGAGATTTCTGATCTGCTGCAGGACAGACAAGCTTTGGTACATCAGACAAAGGGATGCGGGATCGTCCATGGCAGAGTTCTGCGAATTGTCAGCTACGTTCTCTTCATGAAGTGCTACTCACCTCCAAACCACTTTCCACCAAGTCAAAGATCCCATCCCAATGGTTGCCACCGACATCTTGTACGATAGGCGCTACAGCACCTTCCAGCTCCAGGACTCTATACTCCATGTCTTCTGGCAACTGATCCTCATCAACATCGTCACTTGTCAACCAGCCGGCCACATGCCTCAACGCAAACAACGCTCGCTGCTGAGGCAAAAAGACGGAAGCAGAGTCCGGTGGAGGCGCAGAGGCGTTGAAGATCCGTAAAAGGTCGAGAGCGGTGTGGCATTTAGAAGGAGGGATAGTGGTGATAGCTGACGCCAGCCTGTTTTGAGCTGTCATGAATTGTTGTGTGTCGAGGAGCATAGGTTTGATGGCCAGGATGATGGCAAGAGCCAGCTGAGGCGCTCTGTCGACTTGTCCCATGGCATAAGCGAGCCACGCTTCTCCTTCCTTCTCCCCTGCGCCCACCTGCCTCAAGTGTCTACTCAACACATCTCTAAACGACCTCGCACTCACATCGCCCCCGGTAGCCACCACATCCCTCTTGAGCGCTGTCAGCAGACGCTGCAGCAAGTCAGAGCCCTCGGGAAGAGTGTCAGACTTGAGAGCTTGTACTGTAGCAGCATGCCATGATGAGGGAACTTCGTCCACATAACCAAGCGCAAAGCTGGTAGCACCTTCGACCTCTCTCACCAAGTCTTCCAAGCGTGTCAAAGGTGTATCCTTGGAGAACAAGCCCCGTGAAGCTCCGGGAACTGCCAGAGCATCTTGGGCGATACGACCGACGGCCAAGGCCACCTGCAGAAGGACAGGCTCCGTCTTGACGAGACTTCTGTTCGCTCTGAGAAGTGCCACAGCGGCCTCAGCATATCGTAAGACTTCGGATCGACCGAGCAGATCAAAGTCTGTCGAATCGATATCGGCATCCTCGTCTGGAGCGACGAATGGGATGAGAGCGTCGACAAGTGGTAGCGTAGGGTGCGGGGACCTGGACGCATGAGATGCGAGGTCTTTCAACAACTGTTCGGCATGGGGTAAAAGAGCGTCGGCCAGGTCGCCCACTGACGAGCTGCGTCCTCCCAAGGTGGTCGCCAAAGCAACATCCACCAGCACATCCGGGCTCACATGCACTCCCACCCTACCGATTTCTTCCCTCAACGCTTCGTGTACCCTGACAAGCACCTTGCTCTGTTCCTTCTCCTCGAGCTCGCCGAGTTTGGCCCAAACATTCGTAAGGCTCTCCACCTTGCCCTCTCGAGTCTCAATATGCCCTGGGACTCGAGGGAGCATGAACAGCACATGGTGTATCGCTACAAGCCCCTGTACCCATTCATCCGATCCCACAACCTCTTTGAGATGATCTTGAGCATAGACAGTAAATATCTCGAACGCGGCTCTCGGGATGCCCAGTTCGGTGAAATCGGTCGTCAAGAGCTTGTCGGTGGAGGATTGTATAGCCTTGCAAGTCTTGGACAGCACATTGTGAAGGGTCGCTGGGGAGATGTGTGAGAGAGACCGTAGAGAAGCTGTGATGACAGACACTGCCTCTGGAGAGCCAGAGGAGAGAGCCTCGTGGGTCGCTTCGGTCACTATAGGATCCAGGGACGTCGGTTGGAGGAGATTGGTGGAAGAAAGGGACAAGAGAGAGCTGGCAACGACAAAACGCTGCGATGCCTCCGCTTCTTGTGAGCTGAGTAGGGATACCAAAGTCTTCTGACATGTTGCTTTCTCCTCGGGTGAAGAAGAGACTTTACTAAGGAGGTCAAGCGTCCGAACATAGAGAGGTGGTGTGAGCACCTGCAGGAGGGAGGTGGAAGATGTATGGAAGAGATCCACCAAATTCTAACAAAGTCAGGATCTCAGTTCCTAAACCACAAAACGACCAACTCACATGTACGACAGTGTCGTCCACCAAATGTGGATACTCTGACAGTGCAAGCACGAGTGCCTCCGAGACAACTACCGAGCCAGGATTTTTGTCATCCCCTCCCAGTAATTCGGCCGACTGTTGAACGATATTTCTGATGATGTCCTCAGCAAATCCAGCTACCTTGGCGTCTTCTGTCGATCCCTTCACAGCACTCAGAATGGACAAAGCTCTTGGTAAGACGGATACAATGGGCTTTGTCTCCTGCTCCGTGCTGGGGAAACAACCGTCCAACAAGGCTTGCGAGGCTATCGACTTTACAGCTTCAAGCAACTGTTCGTCAATAGCGACCAACCTTGCCAGAGTTGATCCGAATAAACGAGCTTCAGCTTCATTAGTCTTTCCCTGCACCACCCTTCTCCCACCTCCTTTGCCGCCGAGCACCAAAACGCCCTCTTTCCATGCTCTTTCCCCGAGCTGCTCTCGGGCCAGCCACGCAGCCGCGTCCTTCCCTTCCCCATCCTCCAATCGCCAAGATTTACCAATCAAAAAGATCGTACTCTCCAAGAATGCTTGCAGGAACATCTGGAAAGCTGACTGCTGACCGGGAAGAGAGTGTGTCGAAAGCAATCTAGCATCGACGGGGGACCAGAGGTGTGAGAAGAGAGTTTGGAGCTGGCTTGATGGGCTCGCGAGGGATAATAATGATGTAGGGAGGGTGGAGAGAACAACAAGGATGATGGGGTATGTAAGGCCTGGGATGGAGGGGCAAATGGTGGAAGCAAAGTCGAGGAAGGAAGTGTAATGAGGGGAGACTGGAGGCCCCTCTGGCTTGGCAGTCGAGACGTCCTGCTCGTTCTCACTGGCAGCTTCATCCCCGCTGTTCTCCTCGTCCTTGGCAGGTTGATCAATGGCAGTGATAATCCAGCACTCGGGCCATTCTGGATAGTGTCAGCACTAGATAAAGAATGTTATACCGTACTCACTCCGAACAAATTTAGCCACAGCAGGACCAGCAGCCTCCCATACGGCCGCCTCCTTCTCCACCCAGCACCCTCCAAGCACTGCGTCCGACACCATCTTGAGCACCTCGGGCTCACCAATGATCTTTTCAAAGGAAGTAATCAAGACAGAAAGGAGCGAGTAGGCCGCACGGCGGATAGGCGGTTGGGCTGTACCCAAAGCCCCTGGGTTCTCGGCCTTGTCGATGATCTCTGGGGAAAGGGCAATCCAGAGACCGGGGTTGCGTAAAAGGCTGATCAGGTCAGCGGGAAGTTCGAGAGACCCCAGCTGGGTCCATGATTGGAGCAAAGATGTGAGGCCGACTAGCCCCCCAACTCTGTACCGGACAAGCCTCTCCTCGACCACCTCCTCGTCCTCGGCCTGCACCGGCGTAGCGACTTGTCTAGAGATCGGCGCGGGGGTCTTGGTCTTGGCCGCCTTGTTGGGGTTCTTCTTCGGTGTGGGTGCTTGAGAGGCAGACTCGGAGAACACGGGAGCGGGGTGGATATTGTCGTGTAGAGTGACTGGGTCAACAGTGGATAGAGTGAGATACTCTACCAAAGCAGCCAACTGCTGGGAGATATCTATCCTTTCATCCTCTTCTCCCGTTGACTTCCAGGTAGTGGACGCCTCCCAAGATTTTATTGCCGCCCCACCCGACCGGCGACCTTCTTCCAGAGCAGCGACCATCCACGAGCCCAATACGTCTCTGTTCTGAGTGCCGGGCAAGAAGCCGAGGTTGATGCTCTCCAAGATTGAGGAGCGGAGCGCGGGGACAGATAGAAGGTCTGATTGGATGGCTAGGGCTGTTGACCGCTGGAAAGGGGATTGGAGGAGACTGGCGAGGTTGTGAAGCTGTCCACGTCAGCGTCGAACGATAGGAGGTTGGCTTACTCACCCATACGGGGATGGCCGACAGGATGGCAATCTCCTTAACTTCTCTGTCCACTTCTTCCTCTTCACTACCCTTCGCAGCAGTCACATCTCTCACCCAGTCATCTCTAAACTCTTCCAGGCCCTTCCGCCTGGTGACATCGTCCTTCTTGCCGAGCCGCCGCAACACGACGACCAGTTCAGCGGGCAATGTCCTCGCGAGACCTTGCCCGTCAAGCGGGTCTGGTATAGGAGGCGCTGGCGGCTTTGGTGGGGGGATATACTGCTTCACCTTGGGTAAAGCCTTACGCTGGGCCTTTGAAAGCTTCTTCTCGCCCCGCTGCTTTCTGGTATTTGGCGGCGGAGGCGGCATGTCTTCTGGATCCTCTCCATTCTTGCGCGCCTTTTTCGCGGCATTCTTCTTGCGTGTCCCTGCGGAGGCGGACGACTTGCTGGGTGCCATTATGGATATCGCTGAGAGTAGAAACCGATCCTTTCCATCTCCATTCTTCGTGGATCGGCCAGTTCAAGCAACGACGTAATGCAGTCACGTGACGGCGGGATAAACCCGCGAAACTCGCCCAGGATAATAATTTCGAGGAGGAAATACTTCTCCACTTTGTGGGCTGACGTTCTCTGCATCTCCCAAAAACACGCCAGCATGTCCGGCTCACTCACCCACATCCTCTTCGAAGGGCCCTCCGGCTATGCCCTCTTCACCGTCAACCTCCAGGAAGAGGTCGCCGCCAAGTCCAAGCAGCTCCAGGACTCCATCTCCGACCTCGCCATCTTCTCTCGCATGGTCCAGCTCGCCTCCTTCCTTCCCTTCACCACTGCCGCCCAGGCTCTCGAGAACGCCAACGACGTTTCTGAGGGTGTTCTCAACCCCCACCTGCAGTCTCTGTTGAGCTTGATTGTTCCCGATGCCGCCGGCAAGGGCAACAAGAAGCAGTCTGGCGTCCTCCTCGGTGTCGCCGAGAGGGGTCTTGCTGGATCTATCCAGGGAGAGATGGGCATTCCCTGCGACACTTCTGAGCGCGCTCTTGAGCTCATCCGAGGTGTCCGATTGCACCAGGAGAAGATCCTGGTCAAGGGCGGCATGCAGAAGGGCGATGTCACAGTCGCCCAGCTTGGTCTTGGTCACTCTTACTCTCGTGGTAAAGTGAAGGTATGTCAATAGGTATTGGGAGTGTGGAATCTCACTGATATTGTGACAGTTCAACGTCAACCGATCCGACAACATGATCATCCAAGCCATCTCCCTCTCCGACCAGCTCGACAAGGACCTCAACACCTTCTTCATGCGAGTCCGTGAATGGTACGGCTGGCACTACCCCGAGCTTTACAAGCTCGTCCCCGACGCCCACCAGTACGCCCGCCTCGCTGTCCTCATTGGTGACCGAAACACCCTCACCGACGACTCCCTGGAGGACATTCAGGAGATTCTCGACGACGATGAGACCCGCGCGAGGAACGTCCTTGATGCTGCCCGAGCTTCTATGGGAAGTGACATTGGCGAGATCGACTTGATCAACATTTCCAACTTTGCCGAGCGAGTTGTCAAGCTCTCCGAGTACAGGAAGAGTCTGAGAAGGTACCTCGTGGAGAAGATGAACATTGTCGCCCCCAACCTGTCTGCCCTCATCGGCGAGACCATCGCTGCCAGGCTCATCTCTCACGCGTACGTCTTTCTTGCAAGCCGTGATCAGTGCTGACTTTGCGTAGCGGTTCCCTCACAAACTTGGCCAAGTACCCCGCCTCCACTGTCCAGATTCTCGGTGCCGAAAAGGCCCTCTTCCGAGCACTCAAGACAAAGGGCAACACTCCCAAGTACGGTCTCATCTATCACTCCACCTTTATCGGCCGTGCCGGTCCTAAACACAAGGGCCGAATCTCTCGATTCCTCGCCAACAAGTGTTCCATCGCCTGCCGTATCGACTGCTTCACGGATGTGCCCACCAACAAGTTTGGTGAGGCTCTTCGGGCCCAGGTTGAGGAGAGGTTGAACTTTTTCGAGACTGGTACGCCAGTGGGCAAGAACGCGGATGCCATCAAGAAGGCTTTGGAGGCCGTTGCTGCGGACTTGCTTGACGATGATGAGGATGACGAGGAGGTGACTGATGAGGACATTACCGAGGTAAGCGAGCACTCTGCACATTTATCGGAATCCTGCTGACAATGGATAGGCTGCCAAGCAAGTGGAGAAGGATCAAATAGCCGCCGCTGCCGCTGCCAAGGACGCTCCCTTCGACCCCGAACTCGCTCGTCTTGCTGCCGAGGCTTCTTCGTCTACGCCTTCCAAGTCCAAGAAGGACAAGAAGGACAAGGACTCCAAGAAGGACAAGAAGAAGCGAAAGTCGGAAGCGATGGACGTTGACGTCGACGAGGCCCAGGAGGAGAAGAAGAGCAAGTCGGATAAGAAGGAGAAGAAGAGCAAGTCGGAGAAGAAGGAGAAGAAGGAGAAGAAGGAGAAGAAGGAAAAAAAGGAGAAGAGCTGAGAGGCTCTTTCCATTTTTCACTCTTGGAGGTAGAGGGGACGGGGCGTACATTTCTTCCACACCACTTTTTCGCATTCTTTGGCATCTTCGTTTGTTTTGTCTCTCTACATGTATACCCAGTATCTGGCTCCCTTATTAGGCAATTCCGCCGCTGCTCATTTGCTTCAGTAGAAGTCTACTCTGCCCTTGCAACTGAAAGTCATAGTGGTACTTTCCAGTAATGTGATCAGCCATTCATGGCTCCCCTCGATGACTCCCACATGATAGTCTCTTGGATCGATGTGAACGAGTCATTCAACACAGGACGTGACTCAAGTCTACCTTTGCCTGCCGAGAGTTGATCTCCCTACCCCTGCCGTCCGCCCCCTCGACTGACCTGGCTCACGGGCAGAAGGTGGGCAGACGAAACAACGAGTTGATGGTGAATTCAAAACAAGAACATGAAGATCATATTCACCACTCATCCTTGTTACTCGTACTATCCAAGTGGTACGGCAGGGGCTGCAGGTATGAAACAGTCTCCATGCGTCACGACAATATCAGGAAGAGACCCATTAAAGTAGCAGATCACAGGGCAAATGCTCATAGCTTCAGCCCCATGATCCGATCGTAAGTCATCAAGTGCATCTATTATTACAAGCCAATTGATAGCAAGTGGCAACGAGTACACATCAGCCGTCTGATAACAGTGTGTCGGCCGATACCCGCCAGTCGGCCGTGTCTACAGCTACAGCCCTTTTGGAACAAGACTACAAGCTTTAGGCCGACACTTGCCTACCTGGCCTGCCCGTTATCTGATACGCTGATAATGATAATGATTACATGGCTGCTGATAGATAACAATCCAGAACGTAGCCGGTATCGCGTTGGTAAGGCAGGCAGCGGGGGCGGGGAAGGAGGCTTCGCCGTTCACCTGATATCTGACGCGAGGACATATACAGGATATGTGCCCTGAGTATGTGCAGACTGCAGAGTGGAGGCAGCAGAGCAGAGATCCCAGAGGCAGAGGCAAAGGCCGAGGCTTGACAAGCAAAACACGTAAACACTAATATCAGTCCCTGAAAAACGCGACCGACGCGTCCTACGCAAAATGGTCCCCCATATAATTCAAAAAAGGCTTTATAACCATTTCGGACGCGTCCCCCTCCGTTCTCTTTCATTATCATTCTCTTTCACCCAAGCAGGATCTTATAGGGCTGAACCATCCCACATACACCTTACAGCCACACCCTTGTGAGTCCATCCGCCTCCCTGCTGCCGAGTCAGCCACCCGCTACTGCTCTCCGACGCCGACGACGCTGACCAAGCCTACGCGTCTTTCTAGTTTCCAGAGCATTTGCACCCTACACGCATTTCTTGCCTTCATTCGTCTTCTATACACATAACGCGCGAAAATGATCTGGGTCTTCAAGAGAGACGGCCGAAAGGAACCGGGTGAGTGCACCGTTGTCCCCGACGCGCCGATGAACTGACATAGCCCTCAGTTGCTTTTGACAAGGTACGCTTCTGCCCCCCCCGGTCCTTCTATGTTCTATATAGCTGACTGATCGTCTTTTTCCACTCTCTAGGTAACCGCACGAGTACGTCGTTACGGTACAATCTCGCAACGCCCCCGCTGACGTTCGTTTTCAGATCAACAAATTGTCTTATGGCCTCGACCCCAACTTTGTCGAGCCTGCTGAGATCACTCAGAAGGTCGTCCAGGGTATTCACGCTGGTATCACCACTGTCGAACTTGACGTAAGTGTCGTAGCTGCTTCTCGACCCAGGATCTGACATTTTTCAGAATTTGGCCGCCGAAACTGCCGCCTATCTCACCACAAAGCACCCGGATTATGCTATCCTTGCTGCCCGAATCGCCATTTCCAACCTTCACAAGGAGACCAAGAAGGTCTTCTCTGCCGTTGTGCACGACCTTTACTCTTGGGTCAATCCTAAGACTGGCAAGCACGCCCCTATGATTGCCGAGGACGTCTACCAGGTTGTCATGGACAACAAGGAGGCTCTTGACTCTGCCATCATCTTTGACCGAGACTTCGCCTACAACTACTTTGGTTTCAAGACTCTGGAGCGATCCTACTTGCTCAGGATCAACGGCAAGATTGTGGAGCGACCTCAGCACATGATCATGCGTGTCGCTGTTGGTATTCACGGTGCTAACATTGAAAAAGTCATTGAGACTTATAACCTCATGTCTGAGAGGTACTTTACCCACGCTTCCCCTACTGTAAGTCTTCTTCAATTCACGGTGACCTTTGTTGACCTTGTGCAGCTTTTCAACTCTGGTACGCCCCACGCCCAGATGTCTTCTTGTTTCCTTGTCGCCATGAAGGACGACTCTATCGACGGTATCTACGACACTCTCAAGACCTGTGCGCAGATCTCCAAGACCGCGGGTGGTATCGGTCTCCACATCCACAACATTCGAGCCAAGGGCTCTTACATTGCTGGTACCAACGGTTACTCTAACGGTATCGTTCCCATGCTTCGAGCCTACGATGCCACTGCTCGTTACGTTGACCAGGGTGGTAACAAGCGTCCCGGTGCCTTTGCCATCTACCTCGAGCCTTGGCACGCCGACGTCTTTGATTTCCTTGACTTGAGGAAGAACCACGGTAAGGAGGAGGTCCGTGCTCGTGACCTCTTCTATGCCCTCTGGATCCCCGATCTCTTCATGAAGCGAGTCGAGTCTGACGGCGATTGGACCCTCATGTGCCCCGCCGAATGCCCCGGCCTTGCCGATGTCTACGGTGACGAATTTGAGGCGCTCTACACGAGCTACGAAAAGGCGGGCAAGGGCAAGAAGACTATCAAGGCCCAGAAGCTCTGGTTCTCCATCCTGGAGGCTCAGACCGAGACTGGTAACCCTTACATGTGCTACAAGGACGCCGCCAACTCCAAGTCCAACCAGAAGCACCTCGGTGTCATCAAGTCTTCCAACCTCTGTACTGAGATTATGGAGTACTCTTCTCCTGATGAGGTCGCCGTCTGTAACCTCGCTTCTCTTGCCCTTCCCGCGTTTGTCGATCTCGAGCACCGAGTCTACGACTTCAAGAAGCTCCACGAGATCACCAAGGTCGTCACCAAGAACTTGGACCAGGTCATCACTCGTAACTACTACCCCGTCCCTGAGGCTCGTAACTCCAACATGCGCCACCGACCTGTTGGTCTCGGTGTCCAGGGTCTTGCCGATGCCTTCATGGCCCTTCGTCTGCCTTTCGACTCTGCCGAGGCTAGACTCCTCAACATCCAGATCTTCGAGACCATCTACCACGCTGCTCTCGAAGCTTCTTGCGAGATGGCTCGAGACCAGGGTCGATACGAGTCTTACGAGGGCTCCCCCATCTCTCAGGGTATTCTCCAATACGACATGTGGGGAAAGGAGCCTACCGAGCTCTGGAACTGGGTTGAGCTCAAGGCCAAGATTGCCGAGCACGGTGTCCGAAACTCTCTTCTCGTTGCTCCTATGCCTACTGCCTCTACTTCTCAGATCTTGGGTTGGAACGAATGGTGAGTCGCCTCTCATCTACCAGCTGTATAGTACTGACAAAAGTCTAGCTTCGAGCCTTATACCTCTATGCTCTACGCCCGACGAGTCCTCTCTGGTGATTTCCAGGTCGTCTGCCCCTGGTTGCTGCGAGACCTCATCAACCTCGGTCTCTGGGACGAGAACATGAAGCAAAACATCATTGCTGCTGGTGGTTCCATCCAGAACATCCCCACCATTCCCGACGACTTGAAGAGGATCTACCGAACCGTCTGGGAGATTTCTCAAAAGGCTGTCATTGATCTCGCCGCCGACCGAGGTGCCTTCATCGATCAATCTCAGTCTTTGAACATCCACCTCTCCAACCCCTCCTTCCCCCAGCTCACTTCCATGCACTTCTACGGTTGGAAGCGAGGGCTCAAGACTGGTTCGTATTACCTCCGAACCCAGCCTTCCGCCCAGGCCATCCAGTTCACTGTCGATGCCTCAACGTTGAAGGCCGCCAAGGAGCAGAAGAACAAGCCCACTCCCACTGCTTCCCCTGCTCCCAGATCTGCCGCCGACGCTATTGTCGCTCCCATGAGGCAGGTGAGCATTGCCACTACTGCTTCCAGACACCCCACCCCTGCGCCCGCGGAGCAATCCCGAGACAGGAGTCCCCAGCCCAGCGAGGAGGAGGAGCTCACGTATGAGGAGGCCAAAAAGAGGGCCGAAGAAAGGGCCGAGGCCGCGTTGCAGTGTAGCATTGACAACAAGGATGCTTGTGTCATGTGCTCTGGATAAGGACGTACGCGGGCCGTGCGAGAGAGGCGGGGAATGGGTGGCAGGCGCTTAATAGAGGCTTGATTGCACATTGTGTTGTACCGTGTTTTATGTCTATGTTCTATACCTTATTTTTTGGCTCATATCTTCTATATACTTTTCAGCCTAGTCTTATGATGCAACATACAGTATCGCATACATTACGCAGATTATGGGCTGCATGACTTCTGTCCTCGTTCCACGTGTTTATCGGTGGCAGCATACCACTTGCCATTCCAAAACTCGGACTTCCTCAGAGCAATCTCCCATCCCATTATCGTCGTAACATATGTACCACAATCAGTACTAGTGGACCGGTTAATCACTGCATTGCAGCTGGAGACGATCAGCAAAAGCCCAAACTATCTCCACACTTCTACAACAGGCAGGACAGCCCTGTATGTACCGCTACCCACAACACCAGCACTCTATTCCACTCTATGGCCAGTGTTCCATCCGAACCAGAATGATCGTCTGACGGCACGACGCTTCCGTTGGCACCCGCAAACTCGACCCCCAACTCGTTCAGCGCTCCAGTGCGGCTCTCTTTCCCACTCTCGTCAAATAGCGTATCAAGCGTATTGACATCTTGCTGCACCATCATATCAGGCGTCAATAAGACCTGTTCGCGGGACAGTAACGACAGCTCACCATATCGTACATTGCCCCAAACCAGAACCATCTCTCGACCCAGCTGACGCTCTTCATATAGGCAGTCGTGACGTCCATAAATCTTTGGATCTCGATGTAGGTCGCTTGGTCATCGTAGAGACCTGTCGTGGAGTTGTAGACCGAAAAGTTCTGGGGTGCGTATTCTATTATCGACCAGGTCAGCACTTGCGCAAAGCCCACTCAGGCAGGATGACTCACCGGTAACCCATATGGGAAGGTCGTATTCGTTATGGTAGTACTGGATGTGCTCGATAAAGTCTTGAGCCACTAGGTCGTACTACATGAGGGGTCAGATGTTTGCAGCCGAAAACGGGTGTACACTCACCCAATGGACTGCTGTAAAGTCTGGATTACAGCCACCATTGCAAGCAGAATACCAATCGGTCATCCATTGCTTCCCGGTGTCCCCGCCCGTCACAGTCGGACTCCCGAGCCTATACCCCTTCTCTTTGAGTGGCTCCAGCACATCGACCCATACCTGAGCTGCCTGAGATGCAGTGCAATCAGCTTGTCCAGCATGATCAGGCTCGTTGAACCCCAAAATGTCGCGTGAGGGTGTAAGGGTCACATTGGAAAAGTTGCCCGCCAATTGCTCGAGAAAGGCGTCGGTCTCGGATTGTGATGTACAGCCCCACAGCATGGGCACAAAGCTGAAAGGCACGTCATAGATGTCGGAGTAGTCGGCAGTGGGTACGACAGGGTTTGGGGACCAAGTATAGTACGATGAGATCTGTGTCCCAGAGCCTGATCGGGATTTCATCAGACTTTGCACTTTTAGAGAGAACTGACATACCTGCGAAACCTGCCATTGGCACCCAGAGTCCATTTGACCAAGCCAGACCTGGCCCTCCAGAGCCATAGTTGAGGATATCTGTTGCGATAGAACTCTTCAGGGTAGCTAGGAGCCAGAGGAACAGCATCCTCTGGGTCATTCTTCTTCAAGGCCTGGCTTGCGGATCGAGAGATGTTGATAGTTTTGAGTTTCGTGCCGCATGGTGCTCGCTGGTGTACGAGGCGATGAAAGTCTGCTGCGATTATCGCTCGAGACAAAAAGATTGTGAACGCGCCCAAGTTTCAATCCGTGTTTGCCGTGTGTGGCCACACACCCTCCACTCTCAACATCACGCGGCGATCACCGACAGTGGGATATCTGTTGTAGGTTCTTTTGCGACGATACCTGTATACTCGAGACCTACAGAGGATCCGGATGGCTCGAGTCCTGATAATACTGGAAATCTGCCCAGCCATCAATGCTCAACATTGTTCGAAGAGGGCGCGCCATGGTGCCAGGCTGGTCAAGTGGGTGGATCGCGTCAGCCGCTCTGATTGCGCCGAGTACCCGATCATATACGGTCCTGAATACGCCTCATGGCTCCGATATCGGTGGACTTGCTGCATACTATAGGCCCTCCTGTGATCAGTCTCAAGCACATAGCCACACCACGAGCGGGCCACCATGTCCATCGATCAAGGGCGGCGCCCGAGATCATCGCACCATCAAAGGTTCCCACAAAACGACATTTCCCCACCCTCTCTTTGATCCCGTTCCTCCCTCAATCGCTCTTTGCCAGCCCCCCGGGGCAACAATAGATGACAGCCTGTCCTTTCAAAGTGATCCGGCTTACCCTTTGCATCACGCCCCCTCGTCGTGTGCTCCTTTTCTTTGCTTTTGATGATGCTTGCGCATGGTATGTGGATGAGTGTCAGAGCCTGTAGTGGCGAGATGCAGGCCGAGGAGTATAAGAGGGGCCATCTGAGCGATGAATTCAACTTATCAGACCTGCGGTCCTCGAAAAGTGTCTACACCAGCCCTCATCTATTCACAATTGCTCTGCTATAATTATATCGATTACCATCATGGCTCCCACTGTCTCCCACATCGCCGAGGTTGATGCCAGCAAGCTTGACTGTAAGCATATATCTCTCTGGGCGAATCGACTCGAGCTCACACCATATCAGCTCTGTCCCCCAGCCAACGGTCCACCGCACACTTCCAATGGCTCAACATTCTCTCAGCCCGCCTCTCTGCCTTGCAATCTGCTCACAACATGTGCATGGATCTTGATGTGGGGGGAGGCATGGCATCTGTATCCGAAGAGATTGCTCCCCTGGAGGAAGCGGTTAATGAAGCGAGAAAGATGGTCAGCGTGCTTGGATCGCAGCTAAGGAGGCGGGGAAGTGATGTTGATGTATGCTGAGTGCGCTGGGAGAGACATGGCAACTGTGAGAAAAAGTCCGTAATTAGTTGTGCCAGTATCAGGTTATGTATTACTAGAACAAGCAGGAGGTCGACATATTCTCATCACCCGTCACATGACAGCGATGCGTTATGGGATCAAAAGTAATTGCCCTTGCCCGCATACTCTGCCTCAACCGGTCGCGCCGGGTCCCCTTCTCCACCTTCATCCTCGTCATCTGAATCCGAGTCGCCCGACCTGCGAGGTTCAAACTTGCTCGGAGGGGGTGTGAATGCTTTGGCACCGAATATAGGTCTGCCCGATGGTGTTATCAGTGACGAGACAGGCGGCACCGTTTGAAAGGAAACCTGTCACAGGTCAGCACTGCCGACAACAAACGCAAGCCGACAAACCGTATCGTTCATCTTCTGATAAGTCTTGCCCCACGCTTTGACCACTTCCAGCTCTCTCTCCACCCTGCCCTTTCTCGCCTTTCGCTCTTCCTTCTTTCTCTCTCCCGACTTGCCCAGAGACAAACCTTTGAGACGTTCTCGTACTTTACCGTCTTCAAGCTCTTCCAGCCTGCTCTGGGCGTCCTTGACCCAGGCAAGTGCTTCACCTATCTTGGCGCCTTTGGTGTTTTCGCCAACATCAACGGCGAGCCATTTGTGTGCCAAGGCGAGTGCCAGGCGAGATTCTTTCGTCAAGTATCGCTTGAGCTGAGGTATCACCTCGCCCTCAACAGCATCCGGCTCATTCACCTCTCTATCTGACCCTCTCCTAAAAAGCTTGCGAGAAGGATTACTGGACGAGGTAGGTTGTTGTTGGTTGACGTTGAGGAGAGCGCAAGCAGAGGTGTAGAGGTGGTCGACATGGAGGTAGAGTTTGGCCTGCAGAGATGGAGAGGGGTGATTGGGCGGAAGAGGGGGACCGGGTGGAGAGAAGAGGGTATACGTGAGGACGGGGAGGAGGAGTTTGCGGATTGCCGTCTGGTGGGCGTCGGCGAGAAACATCCTGCTCGTATCAGCCAAGTGTCACAGCTACACAAAGACGTACATGGAAAGCGCCTTGAACGTCTCCCGACTAGTCTCGGCTGGCCACCGCCCCTTGCCGAGCCTCCCACCCATGGCACTCTTGACGGGCTCCACTTTGAGACACACATTCTCCGACGCCCACTCTGCCACCCCGCTCGCCTGGCACAGCAGATCCACGGCTCTCGCAAGTCCTGCAGTGGTACGTTTCTCGTCATCTGTAGACATGTGGGGCATGGATTTGCTACCCGCAGGGATCTCGAAGACAGGGAGAGATTGGAGGATAGAGTGGGCATAGTTGGACAGGGCGAGAGAGTAGGTCAGGATGACCATGAGATGCTCAGAGTGGATTGAGGGGAGAGATAGCAAGGGCAGGGACATGTTGTAGTGGGTAAGAGGTGCTCGCCATGGAAAGACTGGGCAGTGTCAGTGGAGATCTGTTGCCAAGGCTGGCGACTGACCCGGCTCGGCCTTGAAGAGCAGTTGGTCGGCATCGAGGCAAGCAACGATGCCCTGGAGGTACGGGAGGTACACCTGTACAGCCTGTGGGGGTCAGCAGCGTCCCTGGGGATGGATGCTCACGTCTAGAACGGGGAGGGGGTTGGCGTCTGCGAGCGCGAGGGAGAGGCGGGTGCGGGCTGCGGTGGCGTCTGCGAGGGTGGCGGTGTACGCCGCGTGGGGGTCGCTGAGCAGGGAGGGGAAGGCGAGGAGGGCGGTGGAGGGCAGCGGGAGCAGATACGGCGCCATCGTGGATACAGACAGAGATGCCAAGAACACGAACAACAAACGAAGAGTGTAGCAGCATTTGCTTCCGTCTTATCTAATCTCGATTCCAAATTCGCGCATTTTGGAATATCCTATGGCGTGACCCTGGTCGCTTCTTTTTCGCCATCTCTTTCATCGTCTCTCTTGAACACCATGGCCACCAACATCACCTTCCACCCCGGAGCAGTCACCCAGGACGAGCGCGACTCCCTCCTTGGCCAGAAGGGCGCCACCATCTGGCTTACCGGCCTCAGTGCCTCCGGCAAGTCCACCATCGCCACTGCCCTCGAGCAGCACCTTCTCCACAAGAAGCTGCACGCCTACAGGCTCGACGGTGACAACATCCGCTTCGGTCTCAACAAGGTGCGTATTTTTCACGCTGATGGCCCCTGCTCACACTTTTCAGGACCTCGGCTTCGACCAAGCCTCCCGTGTCGAAAACATTCGCCGAATCGGCGAGGTTTCCCTCCTCTTTGCCCTCTCCTCCACCATCTCCGTTACCGCCTTCATCTCCCCCTACATCTCTGACCGTCAGCTCGCCCGAGAGCTCCACGAAAAGGCCTCCCCCGCCATCCCCTTCATCGAGGTCTTTGTTGACGCCCCCCTCGAGGTCGTCGAGCAGAGAGACCCCAAGGGATTGTACAAGAAGGCCAGGGCTGGTGAGATCAAGGACTTTACCGGTGTCTCGGCCCCTTACGAGGCACCTGTGAACCCCGAGATCCACATCAAGACCAACGAGGTCGACGTCGCTGGTGCCGTCGAGATTATTACAAAGTATCTCGTCGAGAAGGGCCTCATCTCTGCCTAAGTAAAAACACTGCAATGCATTGACGACTAGAAACAGCTTTTGGGACATATGATTTGCGTCCGTGCAGGTCGACTTGGATCTGTGGTGATCTCGGGCATGCGACAGTGGACAGCATGAGCTGAAGCTTTGTCCATGGGGCTTACTCACCCGATCTGCCCTGTGCACAGCGTTTGTTGGTCCAATCCTTCAGTCTTCTTCCTAGCAAGCAGAGGCGTGCTTTCGCTGGCTGCAGGTAGATCAGCGTGATCTACACGAGCTGTCCTTTTCATTATAGTCAAGATGAGGGACTCACTGTGCGCATCTCTCTCACTCTCCAACGGCAGCTTTGAGTTCGGAGGACTTATATCGTACCTGGGTACATCAGAACCAGACGATGATCCTAATGACTGAGCGGGCGGTGAGATGTTGATCGGGAACGAGGCCTTTGAGGTCAGGCAAAATATCTCAATCAGGCATCAACTCACTTGAGATACCCTAAACAGGATATTGATAAACTCGTCAACAGCCATGTCCTCCTCGCCCTCAGCCCAAGGACACATCATCCTCGTGCCCTTTCCGCCCTTCCTGGTCTTTCGGTTGTTGCCGATATAGTCTGCCTTTCCGATTTCTCCGGCCTTCCCGTTCATTGCATGCAGAGGTTGCATAAAATAATCAGCGAGAAAGTCCATAAGTGTTGCCAACAAGTCGAACAGCGGTGAGAGACAGCATTCTTCGCATTCTTCGTCGTAAAAGGCTTCCGTATTCCCTTTTGTCATCAGAAAGCAACACCGGCTGCTGTCTGAAGCAGGGAATGATCCGAAAAGAGACCTTAAGATATACGCATCAGGTGTGATGGGGAATGTGCGGACGGAATTTCTCTTCCCCACGCGATCCTCTCATGGGCGGTAAAAATGGCTGTCGCCATGAAGTTCAAGGTCCCCTGCAAGTACCAGTATCAGACACACGGGATTGGTGGAGCAAGCTAGGAAACAAACCGTGGGAAAAGCTTCGTCCTCGTTGGCAGTCCCGCCTTTTGGCCTTCTCTGGACAGCAAGATCAAAATCGATCAACATGCCACAGAGCTTCCCATCTTCATCTTCAATCAGACAGTCCGAATCGTAGGCAGTGGGAACAGCACAGCCGCCATGCTGATCATAATCGGATGGTTCGAAATCTCTGTTTGAACCAACGACAATATTGTTGACGCTGATATCTCGATGTAGCCACCCGCTTCGAAGAAGGTTGCGGTACCCTATGAACACATTTTTAGCCACATTCATGATACTCCGGAGCATCCCCCGCACTGTACCACCATACAATGCACCCAGTATAGCCTTCACAAGACCCAATATACTGTGCTTCTCGTATATTTCGAACAATGTGACCCCTAATGTGACGGTTTCCTGCACGGTCTCGATACGACGGATGACCGGTTTTGGTTGTACAGAGGACGCGCGTGGGGGAGAATGACTGGCAAGAGTGACATGTTTGCTAAGATCAAGATTACTGGTGACTTCTTGCAACTGCGGAAGTGTTAGCAAGACACAGGTGCTAAAACATGAGTCGATAACTTACAAGATCATTCCCGGCGTATGATTCGTCTGAGTCTTCGGCACCGATGCGGTACAATTTCTCGTCACTCTCTCCCATCACACAGCTCACAGCCCTAGTTGGGCAACCCTTACGACGAGAGGCAAATCGAGCAATGCCAATCAGGGACTGGTTCTGGAGGAGCAGGTCCTCCAGAAATTGGTACAGTCGTCTTTCAGGCTCGTTGTGTCGAGTGATGGGATCGTAGATGTCGGTTTCCATGTTGTGCTCAGTCACTGTGGAAGATTTGACAATAATAGTCATGTCTGGAGCGTCAAGCGGTCGGATATTTTGGTGATTGAATAGAGGCGATGACACAGCTACGCCCGAGCCTTGTTCTAAAGCAGCTTGCTGACCACAAAGATCAGTTCCTGATTGGAAAGTGCCCGTAGAGATAATGTACTTACCGGTTGGTTTGGCTCATTCGTTGCCTTCATCCTCCGTTCCTCAGACACTGAGCTCTGCCCAGACTTCCCACGTTTAGTAGGTTGCGGGATTGTATCTTCCTCCTTCTTTCGCTTCCTGGATTCCTCCAATGGAGCTTGCCGGGCAGGTTCATACTCTGTAATCTTCCGGGATCCAGCGGAATGAAGGGCATCGACGCGGGTGGTTCGAGACCAGATGTTGTTCCGGTTACACAGGCGTGGTCGAGAGGGTGACTTCGGGGGCATGGTGCGGGAACTCTATGCGTACTGGCGAGGTGCCGACCAGGAAATAGATGTGCTGATGAATGGGCGGGTACTAATGAATGGATCGGTGGGTACATTCCGGCGGCCGTGCAGATCCGGCCGCCGCGCCATCATGATGCAATGCGCCCTCCGGCCCTTGCCCCGTGTCCTCGGCTTTGTCTTGTAGGCCAGAGGGCTACGACAGGGTGGCACATCTGTCCCGTGTGGAAATTTGTGACAGGGAGGTGTCGTCTCCATCTGCTGTACCCGCCGATCCACAACGAATTCTCTTACGTAGCTGGCACAGACCAGAGCCAGCATCGCCCCTGCCCCCAGTGCCACTCGTCAAATGAGTTGTTGGACACATGTCATTGAGACAGTTATGGAACGATATCAAATTTCATGCGTGAGTGTACCTATGGCTACACTCTACTTCATCCACTGACCTTCTATGCAGTGAATATGAAAGATCCTTCGCCTCTGTCAAAGATAACCTTACCTTCCTCGCCATCCGGCCGCCCCATTTCGACACCGCGACCCAGAATATCACCCACCAGAACCAGGAGGCAAGGAGCAAGCTCATTGACTCGGGCATGACAGTGTTACAAGTCGTTGAGCACAACATCGATCTCTCTCCTTCGCACGTTGACCTCCGACACAAGGTCTTCTGCTCCAAATGGCGACGTCAATGGTTGTTCCGATCACGCTTGTGGCCATTCTGATGAACGCGGGAGTTGGTGATTTTGACGTCTCGAAACGGACATGTCTTGAACCACTCCAGGTGATCGCGAGTCGTCATGATATCTGAATGGTCGACCTTGGAAGCATTGTGTGACGGGTTGTTGGTAGCTTGTGAAAGCCACAGAATTGTTGTACTGTACTCTAACGTATCCTACGAGTACGCATACAAGTATGTGTGTGAGAACAGGCTCTGTAGGTATCGTGTGATCTTATTCCACGGCGTGCCTCGCTCAGCTCTTCACTACTTGCATTTCTCTAGTCATATTTGACCATTGCTGATGCAAGTCCACGGGCTTCATGAGACCCTCGTCGAGGTGAGCACCAGGATTCAAGACTGCGTCGAAATCACCATCGAGCACCCTGAGAAGTCATGCATCACCTGTCCGAAAGACATATGGTTGTGTGTTAGGTACTATCAGCTATCTTGATCACCCCGCAGAGTCTCATTGTCGTCGTCATCATCGTCATACCCCTTCGTCTCCAGCTTTTGCGCTCCCACCTTCCTGATCAGCGCCTTGAGCCCCAGAATGTCGTTCTCAATCCCACCGCTCAACGCCCCCATCGCCTGCCCCTCCTCTGATCCTCCCACAATCACGATCCCATCCACCGCCTCTTCTATCCTCTTTAGACACTGATCCTCTTCCAGCTGCTCTTCAATCCAGTACTCGTGGTCCGTCTCGTCCATGTACGGCTCTTGTTCCTTTCTGTCTGCCCTAGCTTGGGCGAGATTGTACACGATAGCGGTGGAGGCTTTCAGTAGGCGACGGGTGAGATCCGGAGGAAAAGGGGTGTGAACCACGCGGAGGGCGTCTTTGAAGGATTTGAATCTGCGAGTGTCAGCCAAGCTGTGGGTAGAGAGTTGTGACTTACAGAATGGAGATGACAGAGATATCCAAAGCGTTCACCATAGCTTTGATAAGCTGTCTGAAAGCCTGCACATAATTTTCCGGGTTCGTGTTCCAAGCACCCGACTCTTTCGCAACCGCCAACAGGGCTGGCACCAGACTGGTCTCATCAGCCTTGTTCTTGCATCACGTGGCAAACTCACTAGGCCGCAACGTTCTTCACGCTCTCCGCATACGGGTGGTTCAACTCTTCCAAGCACAGCCCCATACTCTGCGCCAGCCACGGCGCAAAACTCTCCCTCATTTTGCTTGCGTAGAAGCCCAGGTGCTTGAACGCTTCGGCCTTGTCAGATAGCTCGTCGCCCCAGTATGGGTCGTCTTCATCGTCGGCATCTAATGGGGCTAGTGATGTTTTCACTGCGGCTTGTCAGTGGGTGGCGCTGCCGGGAAGAGAAATTGCGTACTGGGAGAAGCTTTTTGAGGTCGATAAGAGGCCGTTTTTAGGAGGGGCGGGATGACGTATTGCAAGAAGGGTGCAAACTGCTGGCCCAAAGAGTCACACATATGTTCCCATGCTATGTACATGTTAGTTTTAATTACCCTGCGACAAACAGCTTACCATCCATGAGATGACGCGAGCGTGGGTCATCCTCGTCGACGATTGTGTTTTGAATAGACAACAGCAATTGGACGAATTTGAGCGCGTCTCCGGGATTCTCTTGAGACCACTAAACGATCATGAGCAATCAGTCTGATACAAAATGGTAGGCTCTTACAGTTCCACCTAGAGCAATGGCGAGCATGTAGCCACACTCAATAGCTCCGCCTTGAACCACACGTTCCTCCTTGCTGGACCCAAGCTGGGCCGACATGATCTGAAAGCAGAGATCCATGAGATTACCTATCGATAGGTCAGCAAGGCGCTCCTCGCGACCGAGGACGCACGATAGTAGGGTCTGAACATGTCCTTTGCCGCCATGGCCACCGTCCCCAGCGTTGCCAATGCCTGGTCCTTTGCATACATCGGCCCTGCCTCATACAATCCCACACATCCCCTCACGATCCCATCCAACACCTCTCCAACTATCTCGGGATGTTCCTCTCCCTCGAAAAAGGTTGTCAAACTAGCAGCAGCGTGAACGCGGACGCGCATGACGGGGTCGTCGAGGAGGTGGAGGATGATGTGGAGGGTGTCGCGGCCATAGTCTGTCTGAAGGGCGTCGAGTCCGTCGGTGAGGATTTGGCCGATGCATTGAAGAAAGGCGTAGCGGACCCGAGGGTGAGGATCTTTGGCCGTAGGAGAAATGGCTCTGCGAGCAGGTCAGTCAACAGTCTTAGGGAGAGCGGAGACTTACGAGAGAATGTCGCGGTCGACGATGGCATCGCCAAAGGCCTCTGCTACACAACCAACGCCCATAAGAGCAGCGAAACGACATCTCCAATCTTCCTGTTGCAAGAGAGCCTGGACATGCTTGAGAAGCGAAGAGTATATGATCTCCATGCTCTCGTCAGTATAGCCTGTGTCCAATCAGCAATATGCCCAATAATGCCAAAATGAACTCACTAGCAGCAACACTTAGCCTATCAAGGGCTTCCTCGGGAAACACTGGATAGTTGTCGTCCTCGTTATCAAGCTAGAATCCATCAGCTCTGCTTGCCAGGTAGCCCCAACTCACGTCTTCCTCTTCCATCCACTCTTGACAGTCCATCTCAAAGGTTGCCACTTCTCTCCCCAACAACAGTCCCACCATCTCACTTAACGCTCTCCCGTTCTCAAATTCTTCGAATTCATTCGGTCTCAGCTCTGCTAAAGAAAGCAAGAGCTCTGTAGCAGGGTTTGCAAACGCCTCCCATGCCTCAAGAGTCATATCGTGTGCCGGATACGGGGAGAAGGCGTACGGGGGGAGATTACGACCCTGAGATGGGGGAGAGAGGAGTGGAAGAAGTTTGGTGATGATCAAGGGTAGAGAGGAGATGAAGAGCTTGGGGTGAACGGATGCTAGTTCAACGAGGGGGATGAGGCCAATAGGGACAAGGTCTTGGGGAAGGTTTTGCAGCGTCTATGCAAGTCAGTATAGTCTACAGACCATCAAGAGGACTCACCTGGAACGAGGCTTGTATCAGGACCTCGCCCACCTCATCTCTTGCTTCGTGCGTCAAAGCTTTGATCAACAGACTCTTCATAGCCTTTATAGCTTCCAATCTGACGTCAACACTCGAGTCCTCCAGTCCTGTGAGTAGGAGAGCCGTGAGCTGGCTCGAAGATAGCGGTCCATCAGCAGCATCATCGACAAGTGTCGGGGTATAACCAAGTAACTGAAAAGAGGTGAAGCGGTGAAAGGCGTTTGGCGACTGTGTCAACTCAAGACAGACCGGGACGAACGGCCTAGCTGGTCCTGATACTCGTGTCAGCCATATCGAAGGTATACGACCAAACTCACTCTTCCGCTTGTGACTCTCCTCTGCCCAACTAGCAGAACACATTCCCAGACCTTTCCTGATTCTCGGATCCAACTCGTCTTTCAAACCAGCGCAGAGGACCGTTTCGATCCGTCCGCGCGTCGTTTCTCTAATCACGTCAAAAGGTGCGGAGGGGAGCTGATGTTGAGAGTTCAAGTATAGACCTGGCAGAGGCTTGAAAGCCAAGCTCTTGAGGAGAATGAGGCTCAGAAACCGCTCCTGTCGATCGTTTGGTCAGCTCGGCCTCGGTGAGAAGTGGCAGGTCCTCACGTCTAATTGAAAGCCGCCGACTGCCAGAGCTCCTATCTGGGCGAGCAGTAAAAGGACCTCTGCAGGCTGCTCTACTGTGAGCTTTTGTAGGTGGAGTTCGGCTCTATGGGGCGTGTGGTCAGCCAGTGTCACCCCTCCGAGCTGCCCAGGATAAGTGACGCACTCTCTCCGTGGCTCGTTTGCGATGCCGTTGAGGGCGGTCAGGACAGCCCCGATGTCCCCCAGGAGGTGCTCTGTGGACATGCTGTGGTGAGATGTGGTATACGCTGAAAATTGAATTGGAAACGGCACTGTATCGACTTGCAAGTTGCAGCGGCTCTGAAAGCCGAGAGGCACGCACTAAAGATTACAGCGCGCACTTCAAAATATTTCTAATGCGGCTAACCAAATAAATCTGACTTGGCGAATCAGTCCCTCTTGTCTGCTAATCACTGCACCCCATGCCCGCCATCGGCCCCTCCCTGCTCTTCGCTGCCGGCCTCACCCTCGGCGTCGGTGCCGGCGTCCTCTACCCCAAGCAGTCCCAGGGCGCAGTCCCGCTGCCTCCAGCTCCCCCCGAGGGCGCCCTGCGAGGAGTCTCGGAGGCCAAAGAGAGCAGGGCCCTCATACCCACAGCGGGCGGCATTGTCGGGCCTCTGCAGCATGGCTTCCCTGGTGAGCTCCTTGTACGTCTTTCGTGTCTCATACTGATGCGTTCCAGGTCCTACGCCAGACATCCTCAAACGTGTCGCGTACACGGCAGCTTACGACCGTCGCCTTCGACACCCCGCCTGGACTGCCGAGCACCTTACTGCCACGTCTCTTGCCAAAAAGCCTCCTCCTCAAGCCAGTACGAACCCTGTACCCCTTGATGTTGCACGTGCGGCAGATGTTGCCCCCCCGGTCAAGGTCGACAGATCAAAGAGTGTGTTCAAGGAGGATGAGGGGATTCCCGAGATGTTCAGGGCCAAGCTGGGAGATTGTGAGTGGCCAGCTTTATCGATGAACGTATGCTGACTTGTGATAGACTTCCGAAGTGGTTATGACAGGGGTCACATGTATGCACCCTTCTCGCTGATCGAGCTATGCTAATGTCTTTAGGGTGCCCGCTGCTGACGCCAAAATCTCTCAACAAGCCATGGACGAGACATTCTACCTTTCCAACATTGCTCCTCAAGTAGGCGATGGATTCAACAGACACTGTATGTAGATCGATGTAGGCGCTCATCAGAGCTAACGTACGACAGACTGGGCGTACACGGAAGACTTTTGCCGACGGTTGACTTCCAACTTTGAGGACGTCTACGTGTTTACGTGAGTCTATTGAATCTTGACGAACCCGCTCTGACTTGCACAGTATACCTCTGTATCTGCCAGAGAAGCAGAATGATGGAAAATGGCGTGTGGTAAGTACCCCAAACCATCTTGAATCCCAACCAACACGTCTTGCAGTCTTACGAAGTTATCGGCAACCCTCCTTCCGTCTCTGTGCCCACCCACTTTGCCAAAGTCATCCTCGCCTCCCGCCCCGACTTTGCTTATCCTCAAAAGCCCGCCCCTAACTCGCTCGTCCCTGCGACTTCCCCTTCTACTGTCAAAGAACTCGCCCTGGGCGCGTTTGTCTTGCCAAACAAAGAGATTCCCGATGGTGCCGACTTGAGAAGCTTTATCGTTCCGGTCGAGAGCGTGGAGAAGGCTGCCGGCTTGAGGCTGTTTGGCGAAGAGGTAAAGGCCAAGACCAAGCAGCTGTGTGCGGTCACTCAGTGCCAGGTGATTGTGAGGAGGTTTGACGATGCAAAGAAGCAGTTTGGTGGTAAAAAGTAGCCCGTTCATCCATCTCATAGCATTTATTTGTCCCTTTGCATTGATCCTGCATGTCTTGGTAATATACATTCACGTCATTCCTATCCACTCTAGAAGCCTCTTCCACCCCCAACGGCATTCCCACTGACGTACGTCTTTCTCGTTCCAGCCCACGGCCTCGGCGCAGGGAACATTCCCTTCATAGGGAAAGTCCATCCACCAACAACAGCCGCCGGCTCTGGCACTCCATCATCATCTTCGCTCCCAGCATAGTCGGATCCAGAGTTGGATCTAGAACCGTTTCGCGCGATGGGCGGTGCGAGGCTTGCACGATTCGTAGGACCAGTTCCTGGAGCTGGAGGAGGAGGGGCAAAGACTGTACCAGAGGGCTTGGGACGGGTATCAAAGGCTGGCGAGGGCACTGGACGGGCTGGAGCAGGCGGAACAGCTCGCTAGAGAGATATTAGAGGGATTTCTTTTCAATTATGAACACTTACAGCGGCAGGGCTCGGTCCAGGGGGAGCTGGTGGGGCCACAGGAGGAGCTGGTGGCAATCGCTGTGAAACGAGTCAATCAACAGTTTCATGTCAGATTAACACTTCCGTGCCATATCAACACTTACAGCAGCAGGACTTGGTGCAGGCGGCAATCCTCTCACGGCCGGACTCGCTGTCCTCGGCAAAGGGGGCGGCGCTTCTTCCTCACTTTCTTCCTCGGGTTCGTACGAGGGCTGACGTGGCGGCGCAGGGGGAGGCAAGCTCCTTGCTGGAGGAGCTGGTGCAACGGGCGGCAGTGACCTCCTTGGAGCTACCGCAGGAGGAGGAGAGGGAGCGGGAGGAGATGCGACACTGGTAGGTCTGCGAGGGGGCGTGGGAGGGGCCCGACTTTCGCTGGATGAAGGCAGGGCTGGAGGAAGAGTGCGGCTCGGAGCGGTATACGAACTGGCCGGGCGAGAAGGAAGAGTAGGCGGGCCTGTTGGTCGAGGGGGAGGAGGAGGGGGCGCTCGCTATGTATGATTAGAGAGCGCAAATGCAGATCACAGGTACTTACAGGAGCATTCCCCGAAGGCCTGCTGGGCGGGGGGGGAGGCACAGTTCGCTACAAATCATCAGCAATGGCTCTGAGAGTAGAGAGTACACAAAGCACTTACACCACCTCCAACAGTGCTTGTAGGCCTACTCGGCAGGCTCGGAGCAGGGGATCTCCCTGGTAAAGGCGGCGGGGCTGGCGTATTTCTCTTTGGCGGAGCAGGGACAGTGGGCGCGGCTCTCACTGGTGAAGGAGCAGCTCTTGCAGGAGGCGGTAAAGCTCGAGCTGGTGCTGCAGATGTAGAACTTGTAGGAAGAGGAGGGGGAGGGGGCGGGGCAGGGGGAGCAGTACGCGAGGTCGTTGGTGGTAGCGGTGCAGGGGGAATTCTAGGGGGAGGTTTACGTGAAACAGCGGGGGCTGGCGGTACGGGTGGGCTATATCGGCATTAGATGGACGTCTTCAAGATTCAAAGAAAGACTTGCGCTCTTGCAGGCGCTGACGGGGCAGTCCTGCTGGGTGCACTTGGCAGAGGTGGTGCAGGGGGCGGCTGTCGAGGAGCTGTGGGTGGGGGTGGGGGCGGTGCTGATGGTTTGGACTTGTTGAGCGATGGGACTGGTGGGGGTTTCGCGAGGTTTCCTGAGCCCGCTGTGGTATCTGGTCAGTCGACTCCAACGAGAGAGCTTAAGGGCACGTACATGGCACTCTGTCTCCGGCCTTTTTCAGCTGTGGCATACCGCCAGCAAAGAGCCCGGCCAGTTGCGAAGCTGGATCGCTGCTCGACGCAGATGGGGCCGAGGGTGCGGAAGGTCGAGGTTGGGCAGCGGGGCGAGATGCACCCCCACCGTCGACGACACCGCCTGCGACCTGCGGGGCGGACTTGTCGACTGTGGTGGTCTTCTTGAGGCCTTTTCCCTCTGCATGGTGTGTAAGCTGCTGCCATGCACGACACGGTCTCCTTACGCTGTATCTGGGAGAGGAGGGCTGCGTTCATGGTGTATGGGGAACAAGAGAGAGTGACGCAGCGAACAGCAGATGGGCCGCCGACGGTTAGATTTGATCCCGCACATGACGCCGATAGCGACAACGACAACGACTCTTGCGATGGCCTCAGCGCCTTCTCCCACCCATCCTCGTATCATGAACTTTTCTCCCTGTGAGTCCTACCATCCCATACATGGCTGGCCTCGCGCGTTGCCACTGCGCATCGAGCGCGAGCCCACCGAGCTGACCCTGAGCTAATCACGTCCGCCATCTACAGACCAGCCACCTCCCGACGTGCCCTCGACAGACCCCCCAGAGCCGTCCAAGAAGACGAAGAGCAAATCCAAACGACCATGGTTCAACCGGTTCGTATATATAATCACCTTACGCTCTTCTCCGCTGACCATACTAAAGAGATCCTTCTTCCTATAATACGAATTCTTACCAGTCCGGTGGCTCTATTTCAGACCCAACTGCGGTCCCGCAAGCATACTCGAACGACCCCGAGTCGGCTGCATTCTTGGACTCTGGCGTCCAAGGCGGAGGCCTGGAGGCTGATAGGGCGAATGCCTGGGAGAGTAGGTTTGGATGGCGTGTGGACCTTATGGCCGCAGCTGCTTATCTTGGCGGACCGGTGACTGGTAAGTAGTTGGCATTTGAGGAGAAACAAGGACTGATTCGCCTCAGCCTTGTTCTTTTTGATTCTCGAGACCCGAAATGACTATGTCCGCTTCCATGGTGAGCTAAAACCCTGTCACTCCAGGCATCAGCTTATATACTATCCCTTACAGCCTACCAATCATCCCTCCTGACGACTCCCATTCTCGCCCTTCTCCTCATATTCAATCTCATCATCCCCCTCCCCTCGTTCCTCCGCACTCTCTTCATCCTCGCCTCAATCGGAGGCACGCTATACGCTGCGTTCAGGGCTTGGAAAGATGCCCAGGAAGGGCTGGAGAGGTTCTGGCTGCCATACATAGGGCCCATTGCGGAGAGATGGGTCAGTGAAGAGTAGCATCTTGAGCCGACTCGAGCAGATGAGACGAGCCTGTCGTAATAGGATATGCATGCTGTCAGACCATCTTTGCGTGTGTTACTGCTACAGCGTTCGGAGAGGTCCAGAGTCGCAACTTGGACAATCATGAGTCGTTTGGGTGAGTTCATAGTTGGACGGAACAAGGGCTCCCGGACGATGGAATCCCGATGAGCCCTCAAGATGGTCAGCGGGGGACATGCACACCGTTGTAATTCGACCACTCCCACAGCACGCACTATACACACTGGGAGTTCATTCAGTCCTTATATTTTCGAGTCTCAATAGTCTTCAACAGCCAACAGATCATGGATGGTGACGAGCGTGGGAATATTGAGAGCGCTTGTCGCGGTGAGCCGAGCGAGCGCGAACATTTCGTTCAATCTGCAATGAATCCTCTATTCTCCCCACCATCCCCCGTCTCTCCAAAACGATGCTCCCCACTTGGGCCCGAGGGGGCAAACCTATCATTCTTCCCCTCCCCCAAAAACGCTACCTCACTCTTCCTCCTCTCCCCATCCTGATCCTTCTCCTGCTCACGGGCTTCTTCCTACACTCAATCATTACTCCACCTTGCCCCGCCCTTTCCCCCTCACTGACATTATCAAAATACACAAAATCCCCATTCCTCATCAAGCCAGATCAGTTCCTTCCTCCGCCAAAAGTAGAGAGACCAGAGTATCTGCCAGAACCGGTACCGCCAAAGAAGAAGGGGATGGTGGTCCCAGATGCCGTGCATTATGTGTATGGCCTGAAGCCTGTGAAGGAAGGAGAAAAGGGAGAAGAGCTTCCGTACTTTGCGTATCTTGCTATGAGGAGTGCGCTGGTGAATCTGAAACCGAGTGTCATCTACTTGTAAGTTTCGCTTTGTCCTTGACTATCAAGACTGATGTTCACAGTCATTATGAACACCTTCCAACGGGTCCCTGGTGGGATCTGATACGCCCTTATCTGACGCTCATGAAGACTGTCGTCCCGGACGAGATTTACGGCCGTCGTCTCGAACATTTCGCGCATAAAGCAGATGTTTTGCGGTTACTGGCTATGAAGTACTCGGGCGGCATCTATCTTGACATTGATATCTTTGTGTGAGCCTCTTCTGCTTCTGAAGAGTAATGTAACTGACAAGGGGATAAAGCACAAAGCCGTTTGACGACTTGCTATACTATCCCACGACGTTGGGTATGGAAGCTTCGCCCGACTCTAGGCGTGATGAACTCGACCCGGAAGGTCTTTGCGTGAGTATACAGCCCTCATCCTTGAATACAAGTTGACACTAGTGTCAGAACGCCGTCCTTGTATCTGCTCCAGGTTCTCCGTTCATCGAGAGATGGCTCGCCTCTTACGACACTTTCGATGGTGGCATCTGGGCTCGGCATAGCGTCGTCAAGCCTTGGGTACGTTTCTTTCACTATCAGACCTTTATGTTCAATGACGTTTTGGCATAGGAACTAGCCCGTGCTCATCCGACCGAGCTCCAAGTCCTCTCTGAACGCGCCTTCTTCTGGCCCATGTGGCACGGAGACGAAATTCAGAAGACGCACGAGACGACTGAACATGACTTCCAAGCTTCGGGGCAGTACACGTGAGCTCCTCGTATTTCCAAATGGATAGGCCACTGACTCCTCAAAAGGTACCATGCGTGGGAATCACTCGCCATGGGATACCTGTCCAAGCTATCGCCAAAGAGTATCAGGGAGAATGACAACAGTTTCAACAAGATGGTTCGACCGTGCGTATTCCTGCGTTATGGCTCTCGCTCAACCAGTTACTGATTACGTGCGTAGATTCATAGGGCCAGAGGATGATGAGACGTATAGACGATGGAAGGGGTCAGATTGATACCTACGAGTTAAGAAACGCTTGCTTGTCATTGTTGGCCATGTGTACCTATACTGTCTAGCTATAATGCCCGCCATGTATCGAGCAGCTGTTCTGAGACTTGTCTCTCCTCGAGAGCACATCTCTCTCTTGCCAACGACCGGTTCAGAGATGTGCTCGGCAATGAGTTTCACAAACTCACTTTGCGGTTCGTAAGAGAGGAGGTATGGTGCCCACATATGTAAATCAGTACTTTGTTCATTAGAAATTGGAGCTTTGACTGTGCGTTCAGTGCCAACCTTGAGCGTATACAATTGTAGGAACCAAATAACTAACAATCATTCATAAATCACAACGTCACGGTTTGTTGTAGTCGGCCTCCGCCGCTCGGTACAAGGATGTCTGAAATCGAGATGCAGTGAATGGTCTCCAAGAGCATATTCTATCATTAAGAAAGACCCCGCCATGTCCACACAACTACCCCCCGATATCAAGGAACCACAAGACCCTTCTACTTCCACTTCCCCCTCGTTCGAGCGCTGGCGACATTCCCTCGCCCTGTTCACCGGCATGGGGCTTAGCCCGGCTGAGCAGGAGGAAAGACTCAAGCTCCAGGATGCGGGAAAGCTTGAAAAAGATTGGGACAAGTGTGAAAAGTGGAAACGAGATCTTTCCAACTACAGTATGTCTCAAGAGTGATGGAGTGGCAGCGCTGACTTTTATCCGCAGGTCCCATAGTGTCTTTCCTCCTCAACCACCTGAGAATATCTGGATGCGCCTTCCCCTCATCTTCTATCCAATGTCACCCCTGCCCAGAAAACCGAGCTGGTGGTTTCGCCCCCGAGCATGGTATTCTTCTCTGCCAGGACCGGTTTTTCAACAAAAAGCACATGGAAGATACATTGGCGCACGAATTGATACATGCGTATGACCATTGTCGGTTTAAGGTCGACTGGGGAAATCTGAGGCACCATGCGTGTAGTGAAGTGAGATACGTTGGCCAAGTGCAAGGCTATAAGCTGACATTCGGAAGATTCGGGCAGCCAACCTTTCGGGTGATTGCAGGGCTACGAGAGAGTTCAAGAGAGGCTTCTACGCGTTCAACAAACAGCACCAGGTGCGTTCACCTTTTATCCGCAGATGTCACAAGCTCATTCCTACCAGGCGTGCGTGAAGCGCCGAGCCATCCTCTCGGTTCTTGCCAACCCCTCTTGCAAATCACCAGAAATGGCCGAGAAGGCTGTCAATGAGGTCTGGGAAAGCTGCTTTGCCGACACACGGCCGTTCGACGATATATACTAGCATGGGACAAAGTATCATACATCATGCATGTACTGAACGCTCCTCCAGCGAGGGATTTTTCGACTCATACAACCCGAGGGCCTTTTAATATTCTACTTCGATATCACCGTCGTCGCCCTGTATCTTCACACCCTTCTCTCGCTCATCCCGCAGATCCACAGCCTTGTCGCCTTCCTCCTTGTCTTGATCGACGTCCATCATGTCTTCCCTACGCGTTCTGCCCAGCTCGTCGACCCCAACACCCCTGTCGCCACCATGTGCACGTCTAGGTTCGCGTTGATCGGCAGACCTTTCGCTCCTCATATGCCCGCGATCTCTTTCCGTGATCCTCTCATCAGCCCGCTCTGGCCGTACTTGTCGCCTCAGCCCACCCAGCTTTTGTGAAAGCTCTTCGATCCGCGCTCGGTTCTCCTTTACCAACGTGCGGACGTGCTGGCGTTCGGTTTCGAGGGAAGCTTGTTCTTCAGAGATGCGTTCAGACATGTTTGTGGTCTGGGAAGTGATGGTGCCTTGTTGATGAGGGAGGAGGATCTTTGGAAGCTGTGTTGCGTCAGCGCGGCTACGGGATAATAGTTGAACGCACAAAGTAGAGAGGGGGAAGGTCGGTTTTGATGGGGGGCTCCCGCTTGGGACCAACAGAAATAGGTAAAGGTGCGGGATTGAAGAGTCCTCCTTCAAAGACGGGGGGATGGGGAAGCGGCAATCTCGTGTGGAGGAATTTAGCTGTGGATTGCAAAAGGCTATGACGAGCACCAATCTACGGTCATCGTTAGCTTCTGACCGGGCTAATAATGCTCGACTCACAGAGATGTCCTTTTGCCGAAGCGTGGTCTCGGCGTGTTCAGTAGCAATCTTGAGTCCTTTCAACTCTCTGTCCGTTTCGGTAATCTCATGGTTCAGAGCAGTTTCCTGGTGCAATTTCTTGGCTATTCTCTCAGACACCTCTTCCCTCTTTCTGGCCTAGAAACGAATGTCAGCGAACATACTGCAAGGCATCAGGGATATACTCACTGCTTCACTGCCGCGGGTAGACTTGTCCTCCGTCTGGAACTTTTGAAGTGTCCCCAAGATATTACCGAATAAACGCTTCCCGCGAGCCTTGTCATCCCTGTTTGGCCTTGCACGCCTGCTCACTGTGTCAGTCGATATATGCGATCGATGGAAACAGACGCACTTTGTTGGAGGTGCCTCGGTATGTTCTGGCTCCGGGCGGTCGTGGGTGGCCTCTGTGCTGGGCGATGGTCTGCAGCCTGTCAGTGTTTTCCCCCCTACTCCATCCGACTCACCTCTCTGGGGATTGTTCTGGCATGGCTATTGCTTGTCGAAGTATGGATGACAGACGCAAGATGGCCATTACTACTATCTAACAAAGTGGGTGCTCTCATAAGATTACGTAACATTATCTCGACGCGACGTGGTCTGAGCGTGTCTGTGTCTGTGCTCTTTTCCATCCAACATCTCTCTTTCTTTCTCTCTTTTCCCTCCCCAGGTGTCCCCAACCGCCCCCTCGTCCCCCAGCGCCAGTGTTTCCTCCCTGGCACTCACGCCCAGTCGCTCCTTCACCTCCCAGTCCCACAACAACCCTCAGACCACCCACCCCCGTCAACCATGTCCAGGCCGAGCAGAGGAAGAAAGCAAGCCAAGAAGGGTGTCCAACTCACCATTATGGTCGTTGGTGAGTCTACAACCCCTGGTCCCTTCGTGTTGCATAGGAGGAAAAATGGCTCGCTGGCAAAAGTGGAATGTGGCCCGTGCCCAGCTAGCACATGTTGCCATGAACAGCTCACATCCCCAGTCATCGGCGGCGCTCGCATGTCTGAAGCTCATGCTGACGCTTGCTAGGTGCATCCGGAACTGGGCGAACGACCTTTGTCAACACCCTCGTCGAGTCTGTCCTCCTCGAGCATAGTACCGCTTCCCTCCTTTCCAATCCCGAGGACCTTCACTCTCCTCTCGACCTCAATCAGGTCAAGCAAGTTGCTGCCGAGGCCCATGTTGAGCAGCCTATACGCATCAAGCCTGTAAATGTCGAGCTTGAGGAGGAAGATGGTGTCAGGATTGCGTTGACCGTTGTGGACACCCCCGGTTTTGGCGACGGCATCGATAACGAATACTGGTCGGTCTCTTCTCGGTGATCTCAGGCTCCAGCAGCTGATGACGATTTAGCTTCCAAGAGATCTCGACTTATCTCGAGCGACAATACGACGATATCCTCGCCGAAGAATCGAGGATCAAGCGCAACCCTCGTTTCAGGGACAACCGAGTTCACGCGCTGCTCTATTTCATCCCTCCCACTGGCCACGCGTGAGTCATATGGGTAGCAGTTATGATGCCGTGCTGACGTCGGATGTTAGTCTCCGAGAATTGGACATTGAGCTCATGCGCCGACTTTCTCCTCGAGTCAACGTTATCCCCGTCATTGGCAAGTCCGACTCTCTGACCCCCACCGAGTTGAGGGCTTTCAAGAAGCGCGTGAGTCAATTTCTACCGCTGGCAGAATATATATTCATGTTTTTGTAGATAATGGAGGACATCGAGTACTACGGGATTCCAGTCTACAACTTCCCATACGACGCCGAAGAGGACGACGAGGAGACTATCTCCGACAACTCGGCTCTCCGCGCCCTTCTGCCGTTCGCTATCGTCGGCTCCGAGGAGGAAATCTTGATTGACGGAGAGCCTGTGAGAGGAAGAAGGTATCCTTGGGGTATCGTGGAGGTTGACAACCCCGATCATTCCGACTTTGAGCGATTGAGGAATGCTTTGCTTGTGTGCGTGAATTTCTCGCCATTCCAAGACCGCTCTGACTTGATCCCAGTACCCACTTGACAGACCTGAAAGAGATTACCCACGACTTCCTTTACGAGAACTACCGTACAGAGAAGCTCTCTCGTGGTGCTGGTGGTGGCGGTAATGACGCGTACGTTCCCTTCTGTCTTGGCATTGACACTTGCTGACTTTATACACACAGCGACTCCTCCTTCCAGCCTGAGGACATGGCCAACCGATCTGTCCGTCTTAAGGAAGAGCAGCTTCGACGTGAAGAGGAGAAGCTTCGTGAGATTGAGCTCAAGGTGCAGAGGGAGATCCAGATCAAGCGACAAGAGTTACTGGCCAAGGAGGACAGTCTGAAGGTGCTCGAAGCGAGACTGGGTGAGTGCCTTCCTACGAATATTGACCAAGCTAATATCTACCTCAGCTGCTCAAGGTTCTCACTCGCGTGAGGGTACTCCCAACTACTAAAATCGTCATCTAAACCAAGCCCTGCGCGCTCTACGAAATGTCTATATCTCATGTCTATTATGCCCCCTCCAGAGATGTCCTCCGGTCCACGACTTTTCTTCTCTCAACATCCAAATAGCCTCATCCTCCTCGTCTATGCTCCCTTTTTCAATTCTTGCCCTAATACCCCACTTTTCTCGGTAGATATCATATGTCCATCTAGATCATGGGCTCTTTGGTGAATCTGCCGTATCTTTTGGATCTCTGTTTGATGTCTATACCCCGGGATGAATATCAACTGTTTACAGTTTACATCATTGCTTGAGTGGACTGACTTGGTGTGCTGACTCGATTACATGATGTGTCGCTTTGTAGTGTAGCAAGTCCTGGACACGTCCTGGACACTCATGCCACTTGTAAGCTTTTCATCAATCTATCTAGACGAAAGCATCCTCAAACACTCCGAGCTTCTTTGCAATAGTTTCAAACATGTCCTTGGTACACTGTTCCAGGCTCGTATACTCTAGCCCTAGCGCTTCTTGTGCCGTCACCTGGTCATGCGTATTGAGAACCTTGACCGCCTCATCTCCACTACCCTTCACGCCCACCGGGGTATTCTTCTTGATGAGCGGGTGGTCAGGGTAGTGGGCGTGAAGCACGTCAACCCAGTGTTGGCCAGCAAGCGTCCCGCCGCAGACAATGTATCGTTGAGATGCGGCTTGACGTCTTTCAAGGGCCCTGACATGGGCAATCGCGACTGGAATATTTTAGTTCTGTCTCATACGACAGAAAGAGAGAAGAGCGCACCATCTCTCACGTCGACCCAACCCCCAACGATAGGCCCCGGCAAATCCTTCTCTCCCTTCTCTCCAGACACCCAATCCCAGAAAAGCTTAGATGACAAGTTGAGGGAAGCGACGTCTTTGAAATCATGCAATACGGGACCAAAGATCCATGGAGGGTTAATGACGGTGCCCTGCCAGGTCGGTTTATGGACTTCCATAAACTCTTGAAAGACGTCAGTCGTGGCATGTGGCTAAATTTGATAAATCCTACCCCAAAATGCTTGCTCAGCTTTGACTTTACTGGCCATATAAGCATGAACACCCCACATAGGGTCGGAGGGAGGGTTGTTTTCGATGTACGCCACTGATTGCACATTCCGGTCGGCGCTTGTCTCGCTGCAATCAGGTGTCAGCACAGTACTTGTGGCCATCATGGGAGACATACTGCCAAGGCTCAGGGCTTTCGGGCCCTCGGAAATTCTGAATGGTAGCGGTGGAAGAGGTGAACACTACTGCTTTGACTCCAGGACTGCAAAACCATCAGTGATACCATGGCGTTGATCGCGTCTCATCACTCACGCATACTTCTGCATGGCGTACAGCAGCTCGGTGGTACCCTTCACGGCTGGTCCAATAAACTCCTCAGCAACAGTACCTGTCGTGGTACAAGGCGTGGCAGGGTGGATCGCAGCATCGATTCCCTTGACTGCTTCATCCAAAGCTCCATCCTACTCAAGTCAGCCTATCAGTATCATCGCGATGCCAATCGCTCACCTGTTCGACGTCTTTGATAATCACATACTCAAAAGGCTGGCCATGGTAGAGTTTTCTCAGGTATTCACCTTTGGCCGCTGACCTCACCGTACCTCGGACTCTGTAGCCACTGCGAAGCAACTCGTTAGTGATGTGAGCGGCTACAAAGCCAGAGGCGCCGGTGATGAGTACGAGGTCTCCTTTGGCGATCGGGGACATGTCAAATGGTTTAGTGGATCCGGATCTATCTTGAGCAAGGTCGGGTAAGAACCTTGAGGCTTGAAGGGGCGAGTTTCCAAAGAAGATAGGAGCATGGCGAAAACCATGACAAGCATAAAGCGTCTTATATCTCCTTCTTGAGCGATAAGAGACCCATGCGGTTGTATCACACACATATGGCGCGTCTGTCAGCTGCGATTGGGGTGATTGATTGGGTTACCAGGAAAAGGGGTCTTAGCATGGGTGATGGCTCGTTGATGCTGTCCCAGACGGGAAGTCGATCAGAAAGATAGTTCAGGCTCCTGAAGGGCCACGCTGTATGTACCCTCTGCCTCCAAACCTTGGTCTGGCACTATCCCCCGGTGCATCCGGGTCTCTGCACTTTGTTGTCCGTCGTGCAGGCCAAGTGCATCCCAGAAACAGACACAAAGACGACATACGGGGGCAGTCACCTTCGTTCACGCGCTCGTGGCATCCACGTGCTGCTTACGTCATGCACCAGACGCGTCGGTGACACGCCGCGCTCATCAACTCTTTCATTTCACCCACAAATCCATCACACCCTATATCTACAATGCCCGCCCAAACACCCCGGAGAACGACAAGAGACTCGCTCAGAAACCAGGCTACACCGAATTCGGTCCTGTCGCTCCAGGCGTACACCCCCACCACCACCGCCAAATCGGTCACCACATTGACCTGGCTCGGCAGACCTCGCGCCACAGAAGTCCAGAAAGACAAATCGGTCCGCACATACTACAACGCTTTCGACCGGCTGATATCCTACGGCGGGGGTAATACCCCCAGTCGGAAAAAGAGCAAAAAGCAGGACGAGATCAGCCGGTTTACCGTTGGAGATGGCGTACATATCATCACCGAGGCGGGCTTGGCTGTCGGGGTGATAATTGCCTTGTGGGAAGAGGAAGATGCCGAGAAAGACGGAGACGAGAGTGGCGATGAGTCTGAAGAGGAAGAAGGCACTCGAATGCGTGCCAGGATACATTGGGCGTCAAGCGAAGCCGACCTGCCGAGCGAGATGCGAACTGATCTCAAAACCAGAGAAGTAGGGTCCGAATCTGCTAGAAGCTTTGAAGCGCTTATGTCTCTCACAGAACGAAGTGTTCATTCAATACTCTTCCGGTCCGAAGAAATGCTCCGTGACAGAAGACATCCCTCTTTCAGCCATCCACGCCAACATCCCTATCTTATCCCGAGACACATTCCTTCACCAATATGCCGATGACTTTCAAGAGAAGAGCAAAGGCGGATGGGGAGGCTGGGATGTCCACGTAGAGGGTGTCTACTGGTGTGAAAGAGCATTGGACTCTCTTGGGGCAGGGTCGCCCTGTTACTCTTTCGACATTGACGAGTGGCGGGGTAACGGCAAACAATCCGGGGATTGGGGTATCCACGACCTTTCCCTGATTCCACGTACTGCAAAAACGGGACATTCTGTAAAAACGAAAAAGGCGAAAGTGGTCGTCGAGTCCGGGGATGAGGGCGAGAGTGATGGCAGCGGAGACGATTTCAAAGCTCAAAGCGAAGACGAAGGCGAAGATGTGGAAGAGGATGAAGGCGACGCCGAAGAAGAGCTCGGTGCACTCCCTTCAAAACGAAGGAAGGTGGCCAAGCCAAAACCCACCAAGAAACCTAGAGCCGCCCCCGTCAAGCGAACCAAATCTATCTCAGCTCCCAAGGCAGTCAAATCAAAACGAAAAGTTCATCCTCAGACATCGGCATCAGCGCTACCCAGCGAAACCATGGATATCGAAAAGCTGCCCGTGGACCCCTTCGAGAGAGCGTTGAGACTGCTGCATGTTGGGGCTACGCCAGACAGTCTACCATGCCGAGAAGAGGAATTTGTTGATGTATTGAGCAAGGTCGAAGAGGGTGTTGAGAGTGGAGGCGGCGGTTGTCTTTGTGAGTCATTTCTTTGCTGTGCAAGACGTCTGGCTAAGTCTTTCAAGATATCGCGGGCACGCCTGGTACTGGCAAGACAGCCACAGTCCACGCGGTCGTCAAAGAGCTCAGACGTAAAGCTCAAGACGGCGAGATCCCCGCTTTCTCTTACGTCGAGATCAACGGTCTCAAAATACCTTCACCACAGCATGCCTATACTGTATTATGGGAGGCTATCAGCGGATCGCAAGGGACGAGTGCAAAGACTGCTCTGAGAGGACTCGAGGGTCATTTCAGCAAAAAGTCTGGGTTCGCGAGAGGGCCGAGAGGGCATACTATGTAAGTAGATATCGAACCTTGGTTGAAAACCATGCTGACCTTGTACAAAGCGTCGTCTTGATGGACGAACTCGACCAGCTTTTGACCTCCAAGCAAGACGTCGTTTACAACTTTTTCAATTGGCCCACCATGCGTGACTCTCGCCTCTACGTGATTGCTGTTGCCAATCGTATGGACCTCCCCCAACAGCTCGCAGCCAAGATCAAGTCTCGTCTCGGCTTGCAGAGCATCATGTTTGAGACATACAAGAAGGACCATCTAATTAGCATCGTGCAGTCGAGACTTGTGCCGCATCCAAAGGCGCCGAGTCAAGATCCAAAGGTGCTGTTGCCGGATGCGATTGCACTGGCGGCTACAAAGATGGCAGGTACGAACGGTGATGCGCGACGGGTTTTGGATGCTTGTCGAAGAGCGGTGGAGATCGCTATAGAGAATGGCAAGAACCCACAAGCGTCCGTCTCTGGTGCCCCACCCAAACCCCCTGGTCCTCAGCCGGTGACCTCTAGGCAGATGAACGCCGTCCTAATCATCATGTCTTCCTCCCCTACCGCCAAATTTATTCAAGCTTGCTCTCTACAGCAAAAAGTCATGCTTGCCGCGGTGGTCCGCTGCGTCATGCGCCAAGGATTGTCCGAAGTATCGTGGAAGAGCGTCAAAGACGACCATGATGCCTTGACGAGAAATCTTCTAGCGGATACAACCACGGGAGAGGCTGGCGTGGCGGCTGACGCAGCTCTACTGTCGAATGCTGAGTTGGCGATCGTGTTGAGCGGTCTGACGAGCTCGCACGCTTTACTATGCTCGACGGATTTGAGCAAGGGGCTAGATGAAAGAAAGATTGCGTTGGGAATGGAGGTGAGAGAGGTGGGAACGGCCTTGACGAATGAAGGAGACGATTGGAGGAGAGTTATGGCGGGGGTGTAGGCCGATTGGTCTACCTTGTACCACATTCTATCGAGATGAATCTTGGTTGTTCGTGGGGCTTCCTTGGGCTTCTTTCATGGAAATGTTGCACGTTCCGGTGGTGCAGTACATTTACACCTCCAAAGCTGACAATACGACAGGCGATGAGGGTTCACACCGACCGAATGTCGGGGCCTGTCGTGAACATTGAATAGACGGTCATGTGAGAGTGAACCTACTCTAGCAAAACGCCCCTTACGACTCTCCGCATCTCTAAACAGTCGTGCATGTCAAGACGCTCATCTCGGCGCAGTCAAATGGGGTATACGAGTATGACCCTTTCACAAAAAAATGTCCATAGGTAGATACAAGTAAAAAGTCACAAACAAGAAAGAGAGACGTAGACGTAGATGTATGAATGCCAAAGATTCTAAAAGATGGTTTGGAGAGCCTCTCCTTCGGGCTTGATACCTCTGGGGGCCGGGGCGACCTATGGAATTGTTAGCAAGGCGTCTCGACAGCAGCTCAACGCGACTCACGTTGGCGTTCTTGCCAAAAGTGAATCCAACCCAGTTGTTTCGGTTTCCAATACCCCTCTCTTCGACCGCCTCGACGTCCTTTTGCTTCTTGAACACCTCGGCATACTTGGCCATATCCTCCGGGCTGGAGAAACTGTCAAAGTAACCCACATCGGTCTCACCGTCGAGGACAGGCACGAAGGGTGCCTCGATCTGTCGAAGGCTGCTGAAAGGCAAGGCAGAGAAGAAGGGGAGGGACTGAATGTCCTGGAGAGAGGCGATTCGGTCCTTTGGATGGGCGATGAGCCTGGTGACGGCATCCCAAGCGACGTCTGTGAGGTTGAATATGAGGTCTTCGGGTCGGTCGTACACTGGTCGGCGGAGGACTCGAGTCCAGTTCTTCAAGTTTGCCCAAGTCTCTTCGGGAGTAGAGCCAGAGAAAGGAGGGAAGCCACAGAGGAACTCGAACAGGATACAACCCAGAGACCAGTAGTCGGCAGAGTATGTGTAGGTCTTGCCGCGAAGAACCTCAGGAGGCATGCTAAAAAGAATCAGAAATATGGTCTCACTGGGCCGCAAGCGCTCACTAGTCGGGGGATCCTACAACCGAGTCGGCGTATCGAGGCTCAGTGGCCCTGATGCTCCTGTAGATTGTCCTTCGCTCAAGAGTGCTTCTAAACACAAGGTTCTCGTCCTTGACCTGGTCCAGCTTCTGCTTCATGTCTTCGATCTTCTGGGGATTCAATGAACCGGTGGCAAGACCAAAGTCGGTGAGCTTGACGTGGCCAGTGCCGTCTACCAAAAAGTTCTATAGTCTTGTGAGCCACCCCCCTCGGTCACCGTTCAAGACGTACCTCGGGTTTGAGGTCGCGATGGATGTAACCCAGTTTGTGAAGCTCATTCACGCATATAAACATTTCAGCCGCATAGAATCGAGCATGCTCCTCCTTCAAGACACCGGAGTTGTTGAGAAGGGTCCGGAAGTCACCGCCGGGCACGTATTCCTGCGAAATCATCAGCTCGGGACAGGGACCTGAGGCTATCCTCACCATAGCGAGGTACACATGCTCCTTGTCTTGGAAGGCATATAACAGGTTGACCAACCAGGGGGTCTTTACAGCTGTCAAGATATCTCTCTCCACCAACACGTGTTTGACTTCGTCCATCTTGGCCAAAGTACCCTTTCGCATCTTTTTGAGGGCACAAATCTCGCCAGTATCGGCTTTGCGGGCAAGGTAGACGGAGCCGTAGCCGCCTTGACCGACTTGGGCAATGATCCTGAACTGGTCGATCCTGAGCTTCGTGCGTCGCTTCCGGAGCAGCACACGCTCTCGCCCATTGTAGGAAGATAGCTCCTTGGCGTATGCCTCGTTGGTGATCTATGCACGTAAGCTTGAATCTCATGCGCCATGTATACGTACCTGACGAGAGGTGGTATCAGCCTTGAATGTATCGAGTCGCTTCTTTCGGTTGGCAATGTAGCCAAGAAGGTCGACTGTTTGAGAATTAGTAACGCTCGGGCCTGCACGACAAACAACATACAGTAATAATCCAGAAAGTCTGCTGTGGCATCAGCTTTGTTGTAACGAACAAGGGCCGCACTCACAGATTTGAGCGACAGTAGCCTTTCTCCGCACGTCAGGTGTCTCCAACAGCTCCCTCTCCCACAGCTGCAGACCCCTCTCCTTTTCATGTCGCGTATCGTGCCTCGCAGTCTTCATCTGTACGTCATCGGCCTGGTATGCACCGCCTCGCTGAGCCGCGTAAGCGTTGGTAGGAGCGTAGGGCTTTTGGACAGGCGCAGGAGGACCCATAGAGGCGGGGGAGGATGTGTGCGAGCTCTGAGGGGTGCTGGCGAGCTGCTTGAGCACGGCGGGGTTGACAGTGTTCTTCATGGTCATCATGTGGACGTCGTCTGACTCTCGCTGCTGGTAAGTAGAGGGTCTCTCTTCTCGCTGCGCAGCAACAGCTTGCCCATGGTGTGATTGTCCAGGATTGGGTGCGGCAGGAGCAGGAGCAGTCTTGTTGACCTTGACCGGTGTTGAGGGGGTGCCAACCTGACTCTGAGCGAACAAGAAGGAGAGGTAGTTGGATCGCTCGTTGTTGGCCTGGGAGGGGGAGGGCGGGACCGAGTCGCGGTTCTCCTTGGAGGCTGTGTCGAGGAATGAGGAGCGGGAGGTGGGGGTGGAGGGGACGGGGATCTTGGAGGGGGAGGGGGGGACGGTGGTGGACTGGGACTTGGAATGTCCCGAGCGGGAGGACTTGGTGGGGGAGGGGGGCGCCGGGGAGGGCTGCTGCTGCGAGTTTGTGGACTTGAGCACGCGGGAGAACATGGCAGATGGCATGAGAGAGAGAGGAAGAACGCGCCTGCCTTTGTTGACTTGTTTGCCTCGCTGGATGGCTTTACGTAACGGGAGAAACACGCAGAAACAACACAACATAATACGCGTCTCCTCTTCGTGTTGTTTGGAACCAAACACTCTCTCTTCCATCTCCACGCAAACATACATCTCGTCCACCATGGCCCCGTCGTCATACATCGCTTCAACCAGACCGACATCTCTGCAGAGTCTCCTCGACACATCAACGTCCAAGAACGGCACACCGTCGCTGGATCTCAGATGGGAACCGTTTCAGCAACACGTCGAAAACTTCTTGACAGCCATCGATGCGTATACCCAATCCGCCAGGACAGAAATCGTAGCTCGAGCAACCGATCACTATGCTACCGTGCGCGATAAGAAGGCAGAAATGGAGGAAACGGAAAAGAGAATCCAGCTGGAGAGGGAGAAGGAAGGAGACATGTTGGCGAGTGAGTGTGTTTCTGCAAACATTGGCGGTATGCTGACTCGAGCAGCTCTCGAGTCCGAAAGACATGTCCTGGCCGACCTCAACTCTTCACTATCACATCTGCAGAATAGCTTGGCCAAGACAAAAGAGCAATCATCATCTCTCGAGGCGGAACTGAAGGCTCTCAGGACAGAAGTCAGATCGGAAGAGACCGAGAAAGAGAGGCAGAAGAAAATGCTGAATGATATGAGGAACAGGGATACTGTGGAACTGAAACAGATGGAGGAGGCGCTAGGATGGAAAGTGGAAGGCATCAAGGGCACGTTTGTCAGCGATCGTGCGCAGTAACCCCTCTGACAATCTTGTAGCTGATCAGCTACTCATGCGATTCTACCTGATCGACCCCGATGATCCTGCTAGGGAATTCTCATTCATCGTCGATGTTGCAAAACAAGACTATACAGGTGAGCTTTTTCTACCCGAACCGCGATAGACACCTGACGATAGTAGTGCCCAACTGTGACCCTCCCATCCCGACTCTGCCCCAACTCGTGCGGCAGCTCAACGAGGATCGAGATCTCTTCTCTTTCATCAAGAAAGGTACACGGTCTCTTGATTGTTTTGACAATATCACTGATATTTATCCCAGTCCGCAAAGCTTTCCGTGCGCTCATCCCCAACCCACCAAATCCATCCACCAAATTTGATGACCTCTCTGGTCCTGGGCTCGGCCTTCGTACACCAGGGCGTAGCCAGAGAACATTGTCCTCTACAACACCGGCGGCTGCTAGAGATGTGACCGAGGGGTCGGCTCTAGATCATTTGACCCTGGGAAAGTGATGGGAAGTGTAGCCAACCTGTTCGGTGTACCTGTATAGTTTTGTTTTCGGGCTTAGATGTTTCTTTCCTCGCCTTATATTTCTTGACGACCATGGTCAATGCACGTTGTATAGTAGTTACAAAATGAGGTCTTGATAAACATCGATCAAGCATCGCATCAATCCATGAGCTTCTGCGCTGGACTTGTTGTGGTCCTTTTCGTTCAACTATCCGCTACTTCTACAAACCATAGGCACATAAACACAATCTACCAGGCCCCCGCTGTTAGCTACATTCCCTAAAGAAGTTGTTCGAGTCACTTTACGGGGAGTGTCAGCTCTCAAGACTCCATCAGGCTTGGACTGCCAGTCTCACGTTTGTTTCGACGACGGCCTGGGCTCTCTCGCGTATTGCGGCATGGACCTGCAAGATATCTCATAAGCTTTCGAGTATGTTGAAGGGAAGATTTTCTGACCTGGGCGTGATCTGGCCTGGGCAATATGGTATAGGAAGAAGCATTGTCGACGTCCATTTGACTGCTCTTACTCCAGGACCCTGACGTCCCCACCGTGGCTCTGATGGAGGAATCATCATCGTCAGATCCCGCTTCAGACACTTCGTCGAGCTGAACATCCTTAAAGTCGATCTCAAGCAGATGACTTTGATCTTCCTCTTCGTCGTTCATAGCGCTGTCTGGAGTGTGATATTGGTATACTGGGGGTCTTTCAGTTGGGGATGGTTCTCTGTGAACGCTTCCAACCCTCTCCAGCTTTCTCCCTCTATGCTCGTCGTCCTCTTCCCCTGGCGCGTCCTCGTGATGTCCATCCTCCATCTCATCCTCTCGCATTTGCATCTGCTGCACCTGGGCTTGAGCCTGAGCCTGCGCCCGGGCCCAGCCACCCATCATATACGCTTCAAAAGCTTCCTTTACCCTCTCGCAGTACGCACCCAACCTTTCTCCGCCAATCCTTTCACACGCAACTCGGCGCACGCGGCTCGCATGGCGGTGGACCCGCTCGGCGTAGCCTGGTGGGGACGAGGAAGAGTTGAGCGGATGTGAGAGAGCGTGGATTTCAGAGATGACGAGAAGCTCGAGGAAATGGCGGTCCAGTCGAGGGTACCAGCCTCGTCCTTGTCGTAGGGGTGCCTCCGTCTGTTCCCACTTGCTCCACATCTCTGCATCCGGCAATACTTCCTGTAAGCCACAGTCAGTATACTGAAATGGAGGCACAAGGGCGACGTACCGCCATGACAGTCTGCTGCCGCAGCTCTTCTTCATATGCCATGTCGTACATGTTCACGATTCCGTCTGCTTGTCCGTCGTTATCCAAGTCGCTAAAGCCTGATTCTCGAACGGGAGCCTTATTATCCTTTGCTTGTACGCTATAGCCGAAAAGACAGATGGATAGACTATCCTTGATTTCCTTTTCCTTTTCTATGAGGCGATGCTGTCGCCTAGTATAGCCCAGTCGCTTGACTTGGTTTGTGCTTGCAAAAAGCCCTCTGGTACGTCCAAAAGCAGGCCTTGTACGGGAAGTGAGAGGAGTCGAGGCGGATGGAACGATACGGCTTGAGCGTTTGCGTTTGAGTCGACTATGAGGTGACTGTGGCCGGATATCTCGCATTGGCTTCCGCCAGCACAGCGGGCGGTGTAATCCTTTTGGAACGGCTTGTGGCTTTCGGGGGGCCGTGGAGAGGTCGGAAGGCCCGGCAGTAGCGGAGTGTCCTTTTTGGATGGCTGCAGATAAGCAATTGTTAGCATCGAGGCATTGCAGCATGCGCTCCCAGACTCACTTTTGTTTTGGGTGCTATGCAAAGATACCTCGATCGAACACCTTTTGAGCGGTCTGCGAATGATTATCCCCAAAGAGAATGGCGAGTGGGGTGTGGTTTGATAAAGATTCTTAATACACGGCTTGACACTCTTGTTTAGAGATACCAGGCAGAGCAGGTGACAAAGCTGGGGGTCGCTCGTGAAATGTTGTGGCAAGAGAAACAACAGCAAGGCTTGTGAGACGTTCCATCTCACGGTCCAAGTTATATGACTCTCAAAGACAGCAAAGGAAGTGTCTTTAGCGATTCAAAGGTTGTACGGAGAAAGGGTCTCTGATTCTGCGATAGGAGGGGAGAATGTGGAAAGGAAGGTTGCGTCTGTTGAAAGGTGCCGCGTCCGTAGCGCGAAAAGGCTATAGCCCTGACTCTGCCGTCCTTTTGAACCTTCGTTCCGGGAATTGCGCAGATGCCCTATTAGTGTGGGAACAGCGATCCAGAAGTAGCGCTTGAGATGAGAGCCTTGCTGAAGCGAGAAGTGGTGGCCTGTGCATGAGAGTTACGGCAGCTTCTAGTATAGGTTTGCGTTATACAATTGTCTAGGACGTTCGCCTGAATGTGGGATACATGTCTGCTAAACCTGATATCAGAAGGATACCTGAGATGACAGAGGACCAACTTGCCGTTTTCTTCGCCGAGCTCACTCTCCATCAATTTCGATATCCCCGTCAAAGTTGACTCTTCCCTTCTTGACCTTTTCACCCTTTGCTCGCAAAAGATCTTCCACAGTCTTGAGCTTGCCATCTTCCAGGCTCTCCTATACAGTCATCAGTATGTCTCTTAAGATCATCACAAGTTCATGACATACTTTAAACCATCCCAAATGATCCGCTATCAGATGCCTGGACCCTCGATTAGCATGCTTAAGAAACTCCGACCACATCCTCAGACTCACCTGTTCTTACACTCCGGGCACTGTACAAGGACAATTCCTTTTTCGTAACTTCTCTTTGCAAATTCATGGGTCGACCTATGTCCACATCCATCCGCCGTGCAAGTGAAGGTCATCTGTCTGGCATCGATGTGAGTCAGCTCCGAGCGCGGGCATCTATCTGTCTGGGGCCACCCACAGTCTTGGTTCTATTTGAGCAATTTTCTGAGGCTTGCTTCCTGGAAGGGGCGCTTCAATAGCAGGGTTGTGATTGGCAGAAGAGTTCCATCGTCGAAAGATGGCCTCGCTGGGCCGGAGCTGCTGAAGAGCCGCCTGTCGAGGGAAAGCAACCAGTCGACTGGAAGAAGGGAGCGAGCGAGCAGATCTTATTAGGGATGTTCTGAGAGCAGACATCTTATGAGACGGCTTGTTTGTTGAGAGTATATGGATCGCTTCGTTCGTCATTCTCGAACATTTCTGGTTGCCACCGCCGCCGGCGACCTGCCGCAGTGGAGGCTTACGTAACATTTAACTGTCCCTTGCAAGCTTCTTTTTGGCGTCATCACATGCACAAGAAGGATATTGGTGATGGCAGCGACAGCTTGAAGGGCTTCAGACCGAGTCCTCCAGCTACATAGCGCCTATCTGAGGGGTTGATGCAGTCAAGTCAACGCTGTTCGGAAATCGCGTGGGCCATTCGGATGATTCCGTCGTTTTTGTTTTTGTTTTCGCGCGCCGAATGAACATCCGTCGTTTTCACTCAATCCCACCATATTTGATCTTTGCCACCTACATTCCTCTCTCCGTCCCTTTTCGACCAGATCAGTTCATAATGCACGCCCTCCTTGGAAGTCCCGAAAAGCAACTAGGTACGCTCGCCATCTATCCGTCATGATCAAAGCTCATTTCATGTCCCTCTCATTGTAACTCTGCTACTCATGGCCTCTTGTCACTTGACTACACAATCTGACAGTCTGCGCCGAGTTTATCAAAGCTCTCGAGGACTGTCACGCCCAAGGCCTTTTAGCCAAAATTACCGGCCAATGTAATAAGCCCAAGATGATCCTGAACGACTGCTTGCGTGAAGAGGTATGTCTGCTTGCACCAAGCTGAGCTCAACAGATAGAGGTAAGCTGTATGTAAAGCTTGCTGACGGAAAGAGTAGCGTATAGAACGAACGACGAGGAATAGAGACGAGGCGAAAGAGAGGAACGCGAGGAAGAAAGCGGTTTGGGAAGCGTTGGAGAGGGAGAAGGCTGAAGAGAAGGCCATCTGAGTCTTGACCAGTCAGTGAGCGTCATTGGGCGCCGGGGGATGAGACTGGGAGATGTTGGAGCTGGGGTCGATCGGGCTTTTACGTTTTTGGTACGTCTTCTCGTGGTATACGTAAAGGGGATTGCTGATGATCGTTACAGTCTGTCTATTGTAACACTACCCGCATTGTCATTTCACCTCTCAATCTTGTCATTATGCATCGCATGGGCTTCAGTAGAGGAGTAAAGAAGTCTCACCAGCTTTGTTGCACAAGAGCAAGTCATCGCAGACCAGAACAGTTGTCGATTGTGACGGGCAGATAGGAACCGCCGGCCTATCGGTGCATAACTTACACTTGCAACGCCTCTGCTATACAAGACTAATGCTCCTGACCCCTGGCGGTACTCTCAGCAAGTCAAAAGTGCAGACTACTTCTTTACGCTGCGCTCAACTTCTGCGATCACTAGTAGCCCGGCCTTTCGAATGATGTAGCCTATGAGTTGTTGTGATGCAATAGATACGGCATGTTGAGCTGTCTCACCGTCGCAGATCACCACGGTAGGGCTAGCAATGGTCACTCGAGTCCTTTTGGCATCGGTCAAGATGCAAAGATGGTAGGTGCTATGCTCTGCACGAGACACGGCGAAGACAAGACAATCGCATGGTACTTGTACACTGCCACAGACCACAGATCCACCGAGCAGCTTGGCCGACAATAATCACAAGATCTCCAAATCCAGACTCGTGCGTAAGGTCCGGGTCCCAATCTCCAGCTTCTCCTGGAAGCAGTGCAGGCACGACCATGCATAGGCCTCTAATCGGTCACGACTCCTTTCTGTCCGCAATCTTCCACGCTGATCGTCACCGTGTGGCGTTGAGTGGATGTTTACTGCCGCCCATCTTCTCTTTCATCTCTGTCCATCATCTACCAGCTGGAGACTGTGCAGAACACCTTGCCAAGACAGACTGGCATTAGTTCAAGGTTGAACTGAGCGAACAAGCAGGGGCCATGTCTCGCAACAACCGATGGTGATCAAGCCATGAAGGAAGGATGGCCGGCCTGCCGGTCGCTCGGGCGAGGGCAACATGCGCATCTCACGCAGCCGGACCAAACGGACATCTGCCATGCCAAGCTGTGCTCGCTACTGGACACGATGTGCCCAAGAGATGCAGCTGCAGGAGAGGAGAGTGGCCAGAGGCCGCTGCAAGACGCGCAAGACGGACGCCGAAGTCAAACAAACAAACATAAACGACCAGGCGGGGTACGCCGCTAGCACTGGTCTAAGGAGCAGCGGCCCAGCGGGGGGTTTACCGCCCTGAGGCCCTGAGGGGGTGTCCGGGCGGGGACATTTCGCGAGCGGCCTCGGTGGCTGGCTGCGAATTCTGCCTGCGAAAAGAGGCGAGAGCGGCGGGACACGCGGGCGGACATGGGACACGAGGGGTGCGCTATGCTGAGCTTGTTGCTGAGCCAAGCAGACACGGCTGTGCATGCACGCGTGCAGAGATTCGCATCCTCGTGTTGATCTTTTCACTCTTCGCTTCTCCAAATCTCGCCCATCCTTTCTTGACGGCTCCTTCCACCCAGGTCTTTCTTTCCAACCCCGCCAGCTATACATATATCCCCCCGCTCTTTCGCCCTCTCAGCACAAAACAGCGCACCATGCTCGCCCAAGCAGCCCTCGCGCTCCTCCCCCTCCTCTCCCTCCCCGCCCTCGCCATCGACGCTGACGCTATGCGTTCGCGCTCCGTCTACCAAGTCGTCACAGACCGTTTTGCCCGTGCTACTGGCTCCACCGGCGCCTGTGTCGAAGCCGACCGCAAGTACTGCGGCGGTACATGGTCTGCCATCACCGACCATCTCGACTACATCCAGGGTATGGGTTTCGACACCGTCTGGATTTCCCCCGTCGTCGATAACATTGGCGATGACACGAGCGAGGGCGAGGCGTACCACGGTTACTGGACGCTCAACCCCAACTCTCTCAACTCCAACTTTGGTACCGCCGACGACCTCAAGGCGCTGAGTACGGCCCTCCATGACAAGGGCATGTACCTCCAGGTCGATGTCGTTATTAACCACGTGGCTGCTACTTCCAGTTCTACCTTCACCCCCAGCGACTCTTACGGTCCTTTCAGCACCAACTCTACCATCCACCCCTTCTGCTGGATTGAAGACTACAAGTGAGTCTGTTTTTTTGCGGGCCGAGGCTATACTGACGCTTCAAACAGCAACCAGACCAACGTCGAGCAATGCTGGCTCGGTGACGACACGGTCGCCCTTGTCGACTTGAACACTGAGGACGACTCGGTGACTTCTTACTGGAACACTTGGATTAAAGACCTCGTCTCCAACTATACAATCGACGCTATCCGAATTGACACTGTCAAGCACGTCCGTGTCGACTTCTGGCCCGACTTTGTCAGCGCCGCTGGGGTCTTTAACCAGGGTGAAGTTCTTCTCGGTACCGCCGACTACGTGGCCAACTACCAGAACAACGGCGATATCAACCCGTTCAACTATCCCATCTACTACCCTCTCATCTCTGCTTTCAACGGTACAAACCAAGACTTTACCTCGCTTGTCGACATGGTTGCCACTGTCAAGAGCAACTTTAGCGACCCCACCTTGCTTGGTTCTTTCCTCGACAACCATGACAACCCCAGGTTCGAAAGCTACCAGAGCGACACTTCGGTGAGTACTTGTCGTTTGTTGGTGCAATGTCGGAGGCTGATAATCTCTCTAGTTGATCAAGAACGCCCATGCTTACCCTCTCGTCACTGACGGTATTCCTTACGTCTACTGTGAGTGATCCGTGTTCCGCATGGAAATGCCGCTGACGTGCTACAGACGGTTCCGAGGCTGGATATGACGGTGGTGCCGATCCTCTCAACCGAGAGCCTCTCTGGACCAGCAACTACGACACCACCACCAGCATGTACGGCTTCTTTACTGCTTTGAACGCGGCCCGTACCGCTGCGGCCAACGCCTCCAGCACGTTCTACACCGACCAGGTGCGTCCTTCCCACGCCTCTCTGTTCAAAACTAAATTTTCTACAGATGACCGTGTCCAAGCTCTCCGACACTTCCATTCTCATCGCCAAGAAGCCCCTCATCTCTGTCCTCTCCAACTCTGGCTCTTCCGCCTCCAACGCCACCGTCACTGTCGACACCTCTTCCTCTGGCTGGGCTGCCTCTACCTCTATCGTCGACACTCTCACTTGCGAGGCATTTACCACCGACGCCAGCGGTAACCTTGATGTCGTCATCTACCAGGGCTTGCCCCGAGTCATGATTGAGAGCAGCAGCAAGGGCTCTCTGTGCGGCAGCAACTCTGTGGACAGCAGCTCGAGCAGCGACTCTGCTGCTGGTCTCACCGCGGCTGCTGGCGGCTGGGCCGTCGCTGCCGGTGTCGCTGTGGCCGGCTTGCAGGTCCTTCTGTGAGGATAGAGCAGAGACTGTTTATAGATGCGTTGAGACGATAAGAAGTATATTCATCATTCCCCCTTCCCCTCCTAGTATAACGAATTGCAGCGTGTACGTACAAGACGACGTGACGGTTTGTTTAGCTTTCAGACATCTGGTTTTATATCTACGATTTCCTCATATTCTATATCGAGGGATACCCCTTTCGTTTTATGGACACTATGTAGCTACATGGCCACGACAATTGGCATACTTGCTGGAGGGTTGTGAGACTATCCATCACAGACGGTACTGGAGTGCATTGTACTCTGCCAAGGATTCCAGTGTCAAGTACGTATGCCATTGAAGATAACCACCACAGATTCATGCTCCAGATCGGATTCGTCTTGCTCACGTACAGGCGATTCCAGAACTCGGGGTGTATTCGTCATCCCTCCGTGGCGGCCCTGTTGCAATGAATCCTGGGGATGGTACTCCGGCGAAAACTCGTGGGGGATTCTTGACCGACTCTGTCCTTGCGCTACCCAAGAAGGTCTCATGATGAACCCCCCGGACAGTGCCGGCGGTATGAGAGTGAGCCCCGGACATGGCGCGGCGGGGAAGGGCGTGCCTGGGTACTCGTCAAGAGGGTTCTAAGGGTTGTCGACCGGCACTGGAGCCAGAGTAGCCGGGATGTATGGGATGGTCTTCTCTCTGTGGCCGAGGGCGACGTGGAAGCGAGGAGATGCATGCAGCGATACGATTGGGATACGACTATGTGGCAGTTTGTTGATGCTCGCGTTATCTATCTACCCCGCAGATAATCGTCACGTGCCGGCGCTCCACCTCACCGCATCCCGGAGCAGTACCCATCTCCCATTTCCTCCTTCTTTCTTCTCTCCATACACCATGTCAGCCCCCATCTCCATCGCCAACAACACCCACCGCTCCCCCCCATCCTCTGCCTCCCTCTCCCCTCAGACGCCCTTCTTTCCCACCCCCGCCCTCTCTTCCGCCACCCCGAACCAGCCGGGCTCACTCTTCAAGTGGGCCAGCTCTTTTGGCAAGTCGCCCCCTCCTGCCCAGTTTGCCAGTGGAAGCTTCACATCCCGAGAGGGTATCGGGAAGGAGATGGGCACGAGCATCCCAGAGCACGACGGCGAGCACAGCGACAATTTCGAGTTTGGAGACTTTAACGACACTGGGAACAGCGGAAGCTGGGTGAAGGGAAGACGGGCAATGTCTATGAGCATGCCGTATGGTGCGCAGAGTGGCGTGGGGGCCATGCTCAAGAACAACGGGTACTCGCCCCACGAGCAAAAGGAGACGCCTTTTGATGCGGACAAGAATAGCAAGGGGCAGGGGGTGTTGCGCAGGTTGAGCATTGGAGGGTACCGGGCAAGTTCCTTCTCCTTCGCCACCTAAGCCATACTGACATCACGATAGCCCCCTTTCATAAGCCCTCCTACTCAGAACACACACCTCCCGCCCACCGAGCTTCCGGCCTCTTCCAGCCTCCCCCCTCCCCCCGCCTCTACTCCGTCTGGAGCCGAGGGGCCGTCCGAAATCAAGCGGTCGGCTGCCTTGGGAGGCAATACTCATGCGAGAGGGAGGAGGTTCTCGGAAAGCCAGGGAAACAGGAAGAAGGGAGTCTCCCCTGTGAGTATTCCGGAGTATTCCGCCTCGGTCATGTAACGGAATGGAGGCTGACTATGTGGCGAGATGGGAGAGAGAATCCTCCGTGAGCATGGTCACTTTTGAGCGGCTGCTTTGAGCTTGTCTCTGTCAACGCACGTGCATTACTATATGCCTAACGAACAATCAACAATCAACAAAACCCACAATATTGTACAATATTCCGCGACCGCTCTGTGACAATAGCAGCATCGGATGTTTTGTAAGGGAGGCGATGTAGCGGGAAGCTGCCGTTGTAGCTGTAGGAAGGAAAGAGAAGAGGGAATGATGCTAAAACCCAAACCCACAAAAACGTTGAATTCTTGGTATGCCTTGTAGATGTATATGTATAATATCCCAGCAACTCTCCTACAAGTATCTGGGTAGGCGCTCCATGAGTTCGGCGAGACCATGCCAGATGCTGGAGCCGATCCGAGTACAAGACGTCGAGCGCCACTGCGCCACGTTGGATGAACGAGGCGATGGGCGGAGTCGCGGGGGGCTTTCTCCACGTCGCGTCTATCATCATCCGCCTTCATGACAGTCGTTGCAGTTGCATCTCAAACTTGCGCTACCCAAGACTATACATAGGAACACAGGAAGTATAGGGACTGCCTCAGCGATCACCAGAAATCACACTCCGCCACCATGTCCTACAGCCAAGTCCCCGCCGAGAACCACCAGTTCATGCAAGTCCCCTCGGCCACTACCTACGCAACTCGCTTACACTTCCATAGCCAAGCAGACGACGACGACCTCGATGCTCTATCCTTCTCCCATCCCAACCCCTCCGGCCCTTCCCAAACAGGAGCATCCTCTACCCCCCAACCACCGCCCCTCAGGAGCAGTCCGCATCCGTCGGGTGTGTCTGGCAAGATCGGGCAGAGCGGCACTGGAGGAAGAGCGGGACAGACGTCGACTGGATGGGGAGGCGTGAGGACCGAGACGAGGTTCACCGGAGAGTCTACATTGGACGAGCCTGTTTCCGAGACCATCGTAGGCCCCCTCGTACTCGTCTGGTTCAATGCTGATATCTTGTAGATGCGTGATCTGAGGTCCATCTATGCCAAGCTCATACTCATCCTGTACCCGCCAAAAGGAGGTAACCACCAGCTCTTGCGAGATTGGGATCTGTGGGGACCTTTAGTCATTTGTCTGTCGCTCGCCATCATCCTCTCGATGGACGCTCCGGGAGAAGAGTCGATGCAGGTATTCAGCTTGGTGATCACACTCATCACTGTGGGGTCTGTGGTGGTCACCGTCAACTCCAAGCTTCTGGGTGGTAAAGTGTCATTCTTCCAGAGTCTGGTGAGTTTGTGCGGTGGGATGTAGATGCAAGCTGACTGGAAGCAGTGTGTCTTGGGCTATGCTTTGGCACCAATCTTGATCGCCTCTATCGTCGCCTTTTTCGTGCACAACATCTTTGTCCGGCTGCCAGTCACGCTGGCATGTTGGGCGTGGTCTGTATGGGGTGAGTCGTCCACAAAAGCCAAGGAAACCATTGACATGGCTGTAGCTTCAATGAACTTTTTCAACGGCACTCAGCTCCCAGAGAGCCGCCTCTTCCTCGCCGTCTATCCCATGTGCTTGTTCTTCTTTGTCATTTCGTGGATGATCATCATCCAATAACCACCTGTACTTATGCGTCCCACAGAATTCGAACGCGTACCAGAGTTTCGTGACAACTATGCATACAACAGAGGCTCTATACAGCAGGGGTATCATATAATCGTTACAAATTGTGGGGAGCAGTTCTAGGTGTCGAGCTTGTCACTGCGTTCAGGGTCGCCGTCGTTGACACGCAGGACCTTGGCAAATTCGGGATAGTTGAACCGCCCTTGTCTATCTGTAAAGGGACCAGAGAATAGTCTTTCGATCTGGCCCGTCGTCAGCTCAACCTCTTGCTTTGTCGTCTACACACCTCTTGATCATCCATTCTGTCTCCCATATCCCCCAGATACTTTCGCATCTCCTTGACATCCACCCACCCCTTATCGCCATCGTCGAAACACGCGAAAGCTTCTTTCAGTTCCTGTTCCGGGTCGAGCTGGATGAGATGTTCGCCCATCATGGAGAGGAACTGGGTAAAGTTGACGCCGTCCGCAGACTTGCCGGGGGTCGTGGAAGAGCCGGGACGGGAAGTCAGGAGAGAGTGGAGGAGGTCTGGCGTGGGTGTTTGGCCTGTCGCCGATCAGCCTGCGGTCGTCTACACAAAGTAAGACGTACCGAGATTACTAAGCATGGTCTTCAGGTCGTCCTCTGTCACTTTGCCATCTCCGTCTTGGTCGATCATCATGAATGCCTCTTTGAACTGCTTCACCTGGGAGGGTGTAAACATGGTGTAGGCGCCGCCGGAGGGTTCCCGGCGGGCCTGGGAGGACTTTTTGAGCTGTGAGGGGAGACCCTTGCCGAGAGTTGGTTTGGACATGGAGAGTGTTGTGGAGAGGCGAGGGAGAATGAATCCATGTTGTTGATTTCTTGTTGTTGATTTCGCGCTCGGGCCAGCCGGCCAGCGACGCGTCGTGTTACGTAAATTCATCCCTGGCTACTAGAAAGGTTCAATAATTAACAAAACTTTTGCACAAGTCTTTCTTTCTTTCATCATCCGGCTCGAAACCCCCTCTCTTCCTGGTAAGTCCATCTCCACCTCACCCTTCATGACTTGCTGTTATGATGTCTGCAATCTTATCTACATTGTCAGAACCTACATGTTTGACAATCATTTTTCCATATATATCTGAACTCTCTTTTCTTGTCCAGTTATCAAAGCATGCGAATCAGCGCTAACTTTTCGTACAGTGACCATCATTGTTCAAGACCCGGTACTCTTGTATCGTACGCCCCATTCCATAGAACTCATAGCCCGTACATATGCTTATGGATATCATGCCCTCCTTCAGAACACGAGCCATCATGAACTTTTACAAGTCGGCTGCACTCGCTTTGGATCACCTGGAGAAGAATCAGGGGTCTGTCAAGGGATCACTGGCTGCTGCCGGGGTCAATGCCGTTGGTGGGGAAGCAAAGAGGATTTTGGCTCGTGAGTATGAAAGCTGGATGGCAGGAAACTCGAGCTGATGGATGGTAGTGATCATCGAGACTCTGAAATGTAAGCTCCCAGCCAGGTTGGGCCCACCATCTAACATCTTCCAGACCGTCCTGTGCTCCTTCAGCTACTCACCACCGTACCCATCCTCTCGCTCGAAAAGCTTACATTCCCGCGCAAAACGCCCTTCCGCGCCCCCTCCTCCCAAAGCCTCGTTCTCGTCCTCTTGCACGACCTCCTGTTCTCCCCGCGCGCGCGGATAGAAGCGTCCGACAAATGGCCGCCCAAGCCTGCTGTGATGCGCCATCAGGCGAGGCTCAAAGCCGAGCTGGTGCGGATCCAGATCAAGGAAGGCAAAGGCCGAAAAGAAGACCTGGCCAAGACTGCAGGGGACGGGGAGGCTGTGCGGTATGTGAGGTTCAACCCGAACGCTGGGAGGACGCTCGAAGAGCTGTTCGAACATTTGACGAAGAAGGGGTATGAGAGGCTGGAAGAGGCGGTATACCCCGTGCCGGAGGGCAAGTACTTTGCAGACCCGCATCTGCCAGAGGTGCTGTTTGCTTTCCCGGGCAACTCGAATTGGTGGGTAGGAGACGAGTGGTATGAGGGCGGTGGAGCGATCTTGCAAGATAAGGCGAGTTGTATGCCTGCGAGAGTGTTGATGGAGGAGTGGGTGGAAGGCGAGGGCGAGTGTTTGGATGCTACGTAAGTCGACAGTCGGCTGATGGGCAATGGGCTGAACGAGCGCAGGGCTGCACCGGGAAACAAGACTAGCTACGTCTCGGCTTTGATGAGCAACAAGGGCAAAGTATGTATATATCTACATCGGTGGGTCAGACTGACCTGTACCAGCTGCACGCGTTTGAACGCTCCCCCAACCGCTTCAAGACGTTGGAAAAGATGCTGGCAAAAGCCAAATGTACCAACGTCAAAGCCCAGCGTGCCGACTTTACCGACTCTGACCCCAAGAGCAAGGAACTCAAGAACGTTACCAGAATGTTTGTCGTGCATGCGCTTGCAAAGGATTGACGTGCTGATGGCCTGGACTCAGATTGCTGGATCCCAGTTGTTCTGGATCGGGTATTGTGAATAGGCTGGACTATCTCGTGGACGACGGTACGCGCGTGTCGGCCTTTGGGAAGCCTCGTTGATCGATTCTAGACACGGAAGAGTCCGATTCCAAGAATGAGCGCCTGGAAAAGCTGGCCGGTTTTCAGCTGCAGATGATCCTCCATGCCTTCAAATGTGAGCACACTAGGATTCTTTGTGCATAGCTGACGCCAGTCAGTCCCCAATGTAAATCGCATCGTCTACTCGACTTGCTCGATACACGCAGAGGAGGACGAGCGTGTCGTGATGTCTGCGTTGCAGTCTGGTATCGCCAAGGAGCGCGGCTGGGGTCTGGCCAGGCGGGCTGGGGTAATTCCGAGCTGGGAAAGGCGAGGGCGACCGGAGGAGACTGGTGGCAATGAGGGTGAGTCGTCGTTGAGCGATAGAGCAAAGGCTAATAGGATGGCAGACCTGGCAGAAAGTGTGATTCGATGCCTTCCTGAGGACAAGACGAACGGGTTCTTTGTGTCTTGTTTTGTGCGCAACGGTCTTCGGCCCGAAGATGGGGTGACAAGGGATCAGCGGCCCAGCAAACGTCCGCGTGATGTGATCGAGCCAGTGGCTGAGGACGCGCCAGCTGAGGGGGGAGGTGAGGCTGAAGCGGGAGATGAAAGGGGCAAGAAATTGAAGACGGAGGCGCAGGTGGAGCGAGCGAGACGGAAGAAGCAGCTGCAGAAGGCCAAGAAACGCAAGACGGTGGAGTAATCGATGCATAGTCTGGTTCCAGCGCATCTCGTGGTCACGCGAGCAGCCCATGGCCATTATCTCGCATCAATCCCATACAGCATGCCCGACCAAGTCGCAGATCACCCCTTGCCTGCGATTGGCTGTATACACTGGATGCGCGCGGGTGGATGAAAAGAGTGTCCTTTGAGGAGATGCCACGCGTCGCACCGTCTCCTTACACACCCTCCCCCACCCTCTTCCTTTTCCGCCACCGCATCTCCCTTATCCACCATCACTCGCCCGACCATACACTCCAACACACGCACGTTCCAACCATCTTTTATGCTCTCCCTAGCGCACTCCGGAGATAGGAACGAGGTGATGCATCTGTCTGCCCCGCTGACCTGTGAAAGGATCCACTCACCCGCTCGTCACTCGTCCGCCTGTAGATGCAGATATAAGAGACGCCATGGCATCCCATTCTCTCTCTCTCTATCAACCTCTTTCAAACTCAGCCACTCATCTGCTATACTATCTGACACACTTGAACTCAAATTGCCCATCACAATGTCTTCTTGCAAAGTAAGTCGCGAGTCATATCGAGTGGCTAAACGCTGACGCCATCTCCAATAGCTCTGCCACGGTCCTCTTGCCCCCTCTGCCTCTATCAAGAAGCCACTTGAGTGCCATGCCACTGTACGTCCCCTCTACTACCACGTCTTCGTATGCTGACCCTCTGTAGTGCATCCAGTTCGCTTGTCCCGGCTGCGTCAAGGCCAACAAGCCTTCCTTCTCCATCATCAATCTCAACAACCACATCTACGACTACCAGTGTGCCGAGTGCACTGCTCAGACACCCACCGTCTCTCTTGTCACACACACCAAGGTCGGCCCTGCCAACGCCACAACAACCATCTGCTAGCAATGGAGTATCTCAATAGTCCAAGTTCATCTGGTCTGATCTTTGTGTAATTAACTCTGTCTGTTGTATCCATAGTCTAACATGCAGTAACGTAATCATGCATTCGTTCGTGGAATGAATCAAGCACTCCTCCAAAGATCAATTGTCTGCTGTACACTGTGCAACTTCCACCCTTCGCCCCGCCTCCCCTGTCCGTCGCTCTGCTCAGAATATGTTTTGAGCACCTCGCCCCAGTATATCTCTGCCGACTCGCGCATCTTCATCTCCAGCTCTGGCTTGCCCACTGCCAGCTTTGCCACTCCTAGTCTCAGCGCCTCAAGCAAAGGCAATGGCGGCACACCATTCCTCGCCAGCCATCTTCCGAGCCTTTGGGGATCCTCCCGCCAGCCTTCAACACCTTGCAGCAAGTATCGCGCAGCAACATCCTCCTCTCCAGGCGACTCCAATAACGTCCGCCTCGCTGCATTCAGGAAACTTTGTCGCACCAGCGCTATCCGTCTCTCGCCAGACACCTTCATCTGAGCAAAGTTGACCTCATACTCTTCATCATAGAACCGCTTGGCAAACGTCAACTGGTCCACCGCGTGCATACCACCGCTCTCGTTCAGAGCAGGGTTCGTGATGTGCGCAGCGTCGCGTCGGAGGGAGAGGTACATTTGAATGTAGATGGGGATGAGGTGCGGTTTGTCGAGGGCCAGGCATTCAATGATGATCGTCCTCAAAAACGCGCCGACGCCTCCTCCCCATTCATCATCCACGCCCTCAAAATGCTCTGCCAGCCCAATCAAGCCAGCGTCTCCGGAATGCACTCGCACAATCTCCTTCACCTCTTCCACCCCGACACTTGGAGGCGCGCCCGAGCTGATCAGGTCATAGTGCAAATCAATACCAGTCATCGACCCGACCCGGACGAATATACTGCGATTGCCCTTGGGGTCCGACTCATAGTCAATGAACCCGGCTTTACGCTGCACGTAGATGCTCCGCGTGCGCACGAGGGCTTCCATATCACGTGGGTCGGAGAGGTCAATCTTGATCGGCCAATAACGAGGCGAGTCGACCTCGATCGTCAACAACCGGTCAAACGAGGGTAGTTGGGTGGGCGAGATGAGGCTTTGTTGCCGGATCGTACCTCCCTCCATAAAGCGCAATTTGACGGGTAGATAGACCGTCTCGTGTGTCTCGACATCCCGAGCCGTGAGGCAGCGCGCTTCTACCGCCAGCGCCCAAAGATGCCTGAACGCTTGTGGATACGCCTTGTTATCGGCTGGGCTGGACGCGAATCGGGGAAAGAATGCAATACACATGGCGGCGATCGCAAGGTTTGAATTCCCCAGCGTATATTCTCCGCGCCCGACAAACAACAGACCCAAAGCCATGTGCATGGCCATGTGTGTGCCATACGTCACCCCGGCGCCTTCCTGGCCATGGCTCACTCGCAATCGCCGCAACAGACCAAGCTCGCCCGTGCCAGACATGACAGCCGCCAGCGCTATTGTGACGACATTCAGCCCTTGTCTGGCTGATGTGCGCCGGATACGCCCTTCGTAGGTCATGCTCTGTCCCGATACAGCCTTGGCGAGTATACTGTATTGGGTCAGGATTGTATTGTGGGCCAGTTCCTTGGCTGTACCAGCAAACTTGAGCCCGATGGCCATTGCAGCTCCAGAGACAATGTTGAGGTACGCCAGCTCGATGGACAAATCGATAGAGGAAGGTCTTTGGTTGCTCTTGATGGCTGCAAGGACAAAGGACGGCACGAGACTCTCTACCCACGCAGTCGTCGGGGCAATATCATCCCACATGATCAGAGCACGTGCGAGAATACGCAGAAGACACCATTCGGGTTTCACATGTTCCAGCTCGTATGGTGTTTGGGGAATCTCGAGCAGGTCGGCAATGTCTCGACGCATGGTCTTCAAATACGCCAGGCCAAGTGCCAAAGTCGCACCAGGCGCCGTGGTGTTGATGTCGACACCAGGTGAGGCAGTCTTTGCATGAGACCCATCCATCACCGGGGCTTCGCCCACGATACACTTGCGCAGTTGTGCCAGCATCTTTCTGTCCACTTCGCTCGCCGTGCTTCCTCCTCGGCCGAGCATGATAAGGCCGTAAGCCATGGAAGCGGAGAAAGAATAGGACTCTTGGTACTCTCCGAAACCATCCACATTCGGCATGTCACGCCGGCCAATCTCGTAGAGAACGACTTCGGCCATGCGCAAGTTTCGGCTGCCCACATAGACGAGACCAATCCCGACCATGGCGGAGGACTGGATGATAGGCGAAGCATTCAACTCCACAGATCCTAGCGGAAGGAGGGCGTGCGTGTGCAGGGAGAGTATCTTGGTCACGAGTAGGTCATTGGATCCCGCATAAGAGCAAGCAAGACCAAGCAGCAAACCAACAGAGGTAAAGTCGTGGCGCGGTTCCATGAGAGGGAACGCGTGGTATGTCATCAATGACCGCAGATGGCCAGTCAATCCTAGACCCAGGAGAAATCCGCCATGTTCGGCATTCAACACACCAGGGCGGTTGAAGACGATCCACGAGCTGTCAATGTCTTTGCAGTCGGGGGATATCGACAGTCCTGCCGATACACCATTGTGGAAACAAGGCCACTCGGCAGAATCCGAGACAATCTCTGCTTTGAGAAGAGTGTTGCCAGGGGTGACTTTGACAGACAGCTCTATGAATGGTATTTCCCAGACATCCGTAATGACAGTCGTACGGGTACCATACTCAAACATACCTTGCCCAACGGTGACTGCCAACGTCCGGCTGGCAAGCGTGTTGACGAAAGACTGGTGATATCTAGCCACATCCTCTGCACTGCTCAGTCTGTCAGCATATCTTCCCAGGCCGGTTACTCGACATACCTTGCTCCCTTTGGGTCCTGTATCGTCACTATTCTCAGCTTTGTAGTCTGCATGATCCGCTCCACCTCCTGCAACCTCCTGTCGGTCCTAAAGCGCACATGAGGAAGAGCGAGATCTGTCTTCTTGTTCCCTAATGGCCCAGTCTCCGCTGCCTTCATGATCTCGCCCACAGTCGGCCTCTGTGTCAGTTCAAGCTGATCATCATAAGTACACGCTTTTGATCAGAATGTCCCGACTCACCTCCTTTGGCCAACCGTCCTTGACCACAATTTCACCAAGACCTCCCTCTTCAACCTTCTTCAGCAAATCCGACCTCCCAACCAGCTTGTACATTGCCGCGGTCCAGTCCTTCTCCGGCGACATCTGGCAAGCCCTGAGCACTTCTAATATCGGCAGCGACACGCCGTGGGGCAGGTCGGATATCCAATCGGGATTTGTAATTGTTTCAGCTATAGTCCTAACTGTTTGATAGGCGCGTTCTTGGAGTGGACGAGCAGAGGCGGGTGTAGAAGGGCCAAGCTCTTTGTATATTCTCGTTACGAGAGTAATTCGTGGGCAGGTATCCAATGGACCAAGCTCATCAGTATGAGATAGATCACTGCCTGCCCCGTGTCTGTAGAGATACAGCGTCTCGGGGCGGATAAACTCTTTCACTGGAAGCTTGAGTTGCTGGTATAGAGAGACTATGATATCCGGGGGGTGGCTGAAGTGATCAAGCAATTGATAATCGAGCCCTTGACCTGGTCTTGTCAGCTCATTCCCGATAGACCAAAAAAGACTCACCAGTACCAAAAGTGACATCGTGAACTCTCATTGGTACCAATCTTTCCCAATAGTCTACCCAATCTTTTCTCCCCACGTGTATCGCGAGTCGGATGATCAGCCCGGCCACCCGCTCCAGATCCCTTTGCTTTGACAGCGCCAAACGCTGGTCCTGCCCGACGAGATGGATCGCCAGTAAGAGTGAAACAGCGCGCTGAAGAGGGAGTGTGTACCGAGGGGCATGCGTGTGGGAAGGTTTGGGCAGAGGACCGGTTGTGGTTTCGAGTAGGGACGCAAGCCGCCGGGATATAGGGTCCGCTGACCCCAGACCCGCTTGCATCACCCCGTCAAAGCCATGCTGTTCCACTTGATCATGATCCGTCCCCAGTATACCCTCCAATACCCTCACAAACACTCCCCAGACGCGCTCCTCATCGTTCTTCTCCCATGGCTTCAGCTGTTGTAGGCTGGACAAGAACTCTATCTTGTAATGATAAAACTCTTCCGCTGAAAGGGATCCAGAGAGGGCCAAAAAGCATTGCTCGGTGAGTTCGTGTCGGATACGCATAGCAGCCGAGTACTGCTTTGCCGAACCGTCCTCGTACACTGCCGTAAAGTGTGGTCCCGAAGCGTCTGCGAGACTACTGATGATCGTACCGTCCTCAACGGGGACATGGAAGGGCAAAATCTTTCTGCCACTGGTCATCAACTGAGTCCGTCCCTCGAGCGTCAAGAACAACACATCGTGAACCCCTTCCCGTGCAGGTCTGGAAAATGTGGGAATTCTTGTCGCCAAGACGGGAACGGCAGACAAGCACTTTAGAGGCGTAGCAACGTCGATTTTGGCGCAATTCGAGAGAGGGGGGAGGGTAATGTGGAAGGAGAATAGTTGAGGCGAAGTCGAAGGACGGGGCGTGAGGGGCAAGACGTGAATGTTGACAGTGACCTGATTGGGACCTTTATCTTCGCTGATAAATGCATTGAGCTGTTGCGGATCGACCGGGCTTTTTCAAAGTCAGCGTGATGGTACAGACAAGTTATCCAACGCACTAGGGCTGCTTCCACCTTCCAATGACTGATAGTACGACCTCACTCCTCACTCCCACTTCGTCTCTTTCCAGCCCCATCATCATGGTTGTCTCCCGAAGATCCTTCTCCACTGCTGTCTGTAATGCCATTCTCGGCGGTATAGGTAAAGGCTGAGCAGGCAGTCCTGTTGATAACCGTCTCTGACCTTCTGGCCCAGGGGGGACAACCTGGGAATGAGGCAGCATAGACATGCCCCGACTCCGCCGGTGTTGAGGGGCTGTCGGAGGAGGAAGATTGGTGTCGGGTTCCAAGACCGCATGGAGCTCATCTGTAGAAGCTGACTCTGGTAACGGACCCCTTGACAATCTGGGTATGCGACGCTGTCCCCTGTCGAGCGAATCTGCC